AATTTTCAAATTTAAATTAGATAGATCTATAAGTATCTTATTACTTACTAATAATACTTCTAACTCTTCTAATTTATGTCTTCTAAGAGTTAAAAAGTAACAATTTTGAATTTTGTATTAATTATTAAAGAAAACTTAATAATCTCTTGATTAATAATTGATATCTTAATTTTAGAGGAATTAAGATATATATTAAAGTCTTACATCTCTTAAGGCCTAATATAAAAGAAAGATAAATATATTTACTTGATTATAACTAAATCATAGAGTTATTAAATATAAATCATTATTTAAGACTAGGTTTAAAGTCTATTGTTATCTAATTTTTATCCTAAAGAATATCTTTTAATCATAGTAATTTCCTTTATTTAGTAAATTTCCTGCCTTAATATTCATATATTTTTACATAATATAGTAAGTCTTTAGAACTATATTTCATAAATTTCATAATATTTTACTCTTGAAATTTCCCTAAAATAAATAATAGTTAAATCATATTAGACTATGAGTTCTATATAATTCAATTCTATTTTGTATATCTTAATAGTAAATTTTACTTATTATTAAAGTATTATTAGATTATATTAATATTTATATGAATTATCTATATATTTACCAAAGTTATAAAATAATTAGTTGAAATAAACTTTTTAGCTTTTTTTATCTTAGAAAGGATATAATATTTAGAACTTTACTTTATTAATATATTTTCAATCTTATTAAAGAGTCCTATGAAAAGAAGATGATTTTATATTTTTGGATATATCGTATAGATAAAAGCTTAATATTAGAGCTATATAATCTTGATATAGTAACTCAGAATTATGATAGCCTTAATTCCCCCTTGATTTATATATATTTTTTTAGACTTATAGTAAAGTAAATGATAAATTAAATCTTCTCTATGATATTATATCTCCATCTCCCTTATATAATCTATTTTTATTATTAGCTTACTAGAATATTTAGAAATATTCTCTATTCTTTTTCTTTCTTTTTTATATTCTATATATTTCTATCTCTATAATAAACTAACTAGAAGTTTTAATACTCTATTCTTTAGAGTAGTACGAGGTAATATTATTATAATATTTCTTATAATTCTTCTTTAGTCATTTATTAGAACAGTGGTGCTGTTCTAGGGGTGTTATGGATAAGAGTGATAGTGCAAATATACTGCGGAGGTAATATGTGGAACTGGAGGTCTGGATTGATTGTAATATAATCGCTGGGGAACTCCTGAGTTCTGCCCCGCGCTTCTATTTAAGTGCGAGTCTTAGATAATATCCATAAGTAAATATGCTAGTCTAGATCTATCTTATGCTGTAGGCCTTGTGTAGGCTTTATGCAGTTGTTCTGTTCATGCTGCGTCTTTGCCTTAGTCTCTTGGCGCTTATCTTCATTTCCGCTTATGGCAGCACTGCTGTTGTGCTGCGGGAGTCCTTCTTCTTATGTGGGACATAACATCATTCTATAGTTAGTATTTTAGTTATTATAGGATCCACTAGTAAATACTAGGTAGTTCGGTTGAGAAATAATACAAAATATGATTAAAGCTTATATATCTTAAGCTACAACCAATCATTATCCTCAAGAATTGAGTATTTAGTTCTTATCAAGCCTTGTTACTATGATACTATCTATATACGTTCTTACTAATATACAAACCATATTTGCTTACAGCACGAATATAGAAGCCTAGTAGTAAGATTATAAGGGCATAAAAGCCCCAGAGATGTATCAATTTTTTTTAGCGTTTATAAATATAATCACTATATTAGTACCAAATTACCAATTCCCCTGTGGCGTACCTAATACGCTGCTTCTCCATCATCACTCTTATCTTTATCCTCTCAGACCTCTCTAGGACCCCAATTATAGAAAATTTACTATGAATGTTAGGGTGTCCCGCTCGCCTATGAATTATATTAGTTGGCAACTAGTCATGGTCACCTAGATCGCTTACGTTATCTATTACCACCATCCGCAGGCGGCAGGCTAAGACTACACGTGATATTCCGAAATAGAATAACCGGCCACCGCTTTGTAGGTCAAAACCCCGCGCATGGCTAAGCTAACCCCTAAGGCCTTATTACCACTTGATATGACCACCGACACCGACCATGTCTGCAATTAATACGCCCGATCTAGAACTTGCTAAGGTAGGAACTGATTTTCCCACATATATATTATTTTACTATACTTGAGGTTTTATCATGACATAGCCTCTGATCTTAACTATAACGCCTCCAGTGCTGCAATATACTGACCTTCGGTAGGCACTTGCAGAAATCTCTAAGTATATCAACACGTTATTATTATGGCCATGATGAAAGATTGCCTAACGTTTCGACACTAGAGGTGAAATGACAGCAACGGCATTGGAAAACCACCTCGATGCCCTTGAATGCAAAATGGATGAGCTCCTGGCCGCTTTCGAAGGAAAAGAAACGCCACAGGATCTTGCCACAAAAGAACATGGGACTACGAACGGCGAAGATGGTCATCTCAAACCCGAGAGGTTGAATCGTTGAACAGGATGGCCATATTGAACTGGCCAGCAGGGCCTTTCTCGACCACGCCAACTTCTGTGATGATCCCATCTATCAAAGCCGCAGGAGTTATATCAAATGCAGGATTCCAGACGCCAATACCTGGTGCAGCGATACGGACGGTATCTAAGACCATACTACCTGCAGCCTCAGCCCCGTCTCTAGGGCCCTTGATACTTGTTACCTCAGTCTCTGGGCGTTGTTCGATGATAATATCACTCCCGGACCTTGTTGCCATGTCGATGGTTGTAAGGGGTGCGGCCACCAGGAACTTGACACCATGATGCTTGGCCAAAACAGCCAACCCATATGTGCCAATCTTATTGGCCGTATCTCCGTTGGCTGCAACTCGGTCTGCTCCGACCACAATAGCACCCACCCCTGCGCTTGCATCAGCCAGCAATGCGGCCGCCATAGAGTCCGTGATCAACGTGGCAGGAATACGATCATGAACCAATTCAAATGCCGTTAAACGAGATCCTTGATTGTAAGGTCTTGTCTCTGTACAGTAGGCATGTCGTAGCACATTCCTGGACGACAGCGAGCGGATCACCCCTAACGCAGTGCCATATCCAGAGGTGGCCAGGGACCTAATTTTATCGTCGTTAGTCAGAAGAATGCATATAGCAACAGTCATACCTACCCGGTGTTGCAGTGGGTGAGAACTGAGACAGTGTCGGTCTTGGTGGCATTGGCCATGATCCATTCCGCCCCGTGATGTCCAATGCGTTGGTTATCCTCCAGATCCTTTCCCAGCATGTCCTCGGCGGCTCGAATGAATGAAGCGACTACTGTGGGACCAGTGGCCCCCGGTTGCATTGCCTGGGTTGTCACAAGAGTTTCCAATTTGTGAGCAGCGTCGCTCAGGTTGACGGCGGTAGGCCGGCTCGTCACCAGATAATCCAACTTCGCCACGATTAAGCTTCGTGTCTCCTCTGGTGACTCGGCAATTTTACCCGCTGTGCGAAGCAAATAGAGTTCCGAAGACAGAGCGAGCATCGCCACGATAGCAATGGCGGGGGCGCCTCGCACCTTCATCTCCTTAATGGCATTCCAACCATCCTCTGCAGACTGAATGGAGATATATTTTTCCACAAATGGTAGCTGTAGCTGATCGAGGATTTCCAGGTTACCCTGGTTGTATTTAATTGCCTGGAGCATGATGACTTTTTTTCTGGATGGTGCGGGGGTTGTTGAGGGGTTTTTTTGTCTTGCTCAGATCTCTGTCGGAAGGCTTGTCTGAGGCTTACCTAACCAGTCCACTGACGGAGTTCTCTACTCTCGACTTCTTCCAGGATACACCATACATGGTCCAAAGTTTAGGATATTTGAATCAAGGGGCAAAGCGGAAAGCCAAAATCCAATTGCGGCCCTAAGACTCTAGTCATATATTTTGAGTCCATATGAATACTATCTCTCCCCGCGCAAAATGAGGGGGCCAATATTTGACATCCCATAGATCACAAAGCCGAGCATATCATTTTCTGTGGGCCTCATGTCATCAGGGCCTCGAGATTCTCATTGTATGTCGCAGGAAAGTCATTAACACACTGCGGGAGACTTTTCACATTCAAGCGGTGGGAAGGGAGTCGCAGAAAAATGGATAGATTAGGGACAGTCAGAGGAGTTTCATTATTAAGAGGAAAGGCATAGATGATTTTGACATCCAGTTATGGAGATAGGCCTCATAACAGATATGCAATGAGCTGGAAGCAACAGATATAGCGTTACCGGAGCGTGACGTGATGCTGATATTTCTTGGACAACCAGCCTCTTCCGTGGACCCGAAGAGGTAATTGATCCAACCCCATTTAACTCGCAGAGATGTAGAGCACTATTTCTTTCAGTGAGATTTGCAACATGAAAGGACTGGGGATGATGATCTCGAACCATTGTTTCCTCGTACGAAAGCATCGCCATAGTTGCGGCGCAGCTTTCCGTTTACAAACTCCTCGGTCTTTTCAAGCGCAATGTTCATATAGCCATCCACAGACTGAAGCTCCCCTGGAAAAAAAGTTAGGAAAATCCGGCCTTTAAAGATGGAGGCAGAGGGGAGCGGAAAGGTAAATACCCTTGTAAACCACGCCGGAGTTGAGTTTCACGATGACCGGAGCGCCGATAATCTCGCCGAGGAAGGCTGATGGATCCTTCCCCTCGGAGGTTGAACCGTTCTCCATGACGACTGTGGGTAAACTATCATTCAAGGTATCAGTTGGGAAGCTAGGAGAGTGAGCTCAGGATTGACATACAGCGAAGCGGAGTGTTCAAGAGACAAGGTATTATTACATCGTCACCTTCTAGTCGCACCGGAAAAGCCCCACGAAAGCGGTGAGAGGGATCGTCTCAAGCTCCCCGCCTGAGCCTTGGAACTTTTGCAAGTCTGATCACGCTCGTCTTCATGCCCTTCTCACTTTGCAAAGCCTTGGATGACGTTGGTTCTCGGTAAAGATGCGATCCTTCTTTAACAAGCCCTCATGGGCAGCCAAAGGAGGCGGCACTACCAATGAATTCTATCGACGGTCTGAACAAACCTACTCCGATATTATCGCGGCGAATCGAGAGGCACACAAAAAACCTAAGAATCCCCCGGAAGCAGATGAAAACAGCAGCATTATCCACAATGAAGTAACTGAGCGCGTCAAGCGCCCTCGCCTATCGCGCGAACAAAACAAGGATGCAGTTACTGCTTCTTCTGTGCCACTTGACGAACAGGACAATCTAAAAGAAGATCTCTCACTTTCGGCTTGCCCCGAAGAGTTACCCAATGCGCCAGTGACACCGCACCATGAAGAGCATGGATACTCCAGAGTACTTACTTCAAATATATCGGATCGTTGCTCTACATACACCCTGCCAATGAACTATGCAGACCAGCCTGCACCGGCCAATTCCGCAGCTCACTCAGCTGCCGGAGGTAATGGCAACACTTGTTCAGCTTTATCTTCGCTCCGCAAGTCCCCCCAGCTCCTCAAGCCATCCGAACGCCCAGCGGAAGATCCAGTCGTGCAGATTCTCATCACTTCTGAAATCCCAAACACCAAACCGCTGCTCGTCCACCGAAAAATGTCGCAGGGGCTTCGGGAAGTGCGTTTAGAATGGTGCAAACGGCAAGGACTCACAACGGGGGCAAATTCACCTGTTTATCTAACCTGGCGAGATCGACGGCTATTTGATGTGACAACATGCAGGACCTTGGGAATCAAAACAGAAATTGACAGCCAGACGTCTTTGCAAATGCATGATGATCTTCTTACAGGCCCAAAAGAATTGCGAATTCATATAAAGGCCGTGACAGACGACCCTCTTCTGCTCAGCCGGTCTCGCTCTTCTTCGGAGGTGGGCCAACCATCTCCATCTCCATTGAGCCCCAGCAATCAACCAAATCAGGAAAATGAACCGATGAAATTGACTTTCCGCAGCCCCGGGCTGAGCGACTTGAAGATCAAGGCAAGACCCAAGACACGGGTGTCTAAACTTATATCCGTATTTCGAGATAATCAGCAACTCTCAGCGGATCAAGAGGTATCTCTTGTATTTGACGGAGATCTTTTAGACCCCAGTACTTGTCTTGGCGACTACGATATTGCAGATCTTGATTTGGTGGACGTGCAGATCAAATCATGAATCTAGTCATCGGGGCTAGGCGCCTGGTTCGAGAAAAAGTAGGTCCAGAAATCCTTAACGGAGAACACTTGACAAGGGCAAGGCCCCCGAGCACCGATCAATTTGGCAGGAAATAGCGCTTGAAGCACTTTGGACATGGTCGGCTTGCGTTCACGGTCTTGCCTCTTCCCTTCCCCCTTTTCGAAGCTTCTCTCAGCCTTTTCTTTCTATATATTTGCAGTATGCATTCAGGATCCCTCAGAATTTCACAACCCACCAAATGCTCTTTGATAACTTCTTGATCCCTGAATTCACATCTACCTGCTTGAAGCTCTACACTTGTGAGTCTGTAGATATGTTAACGATAAGATCACCTGACCTAAGTGGGGGCGGTGGGGTTTTTTTTTTCTGTCTGCGCTTGATCAACTTATACGTCAATATCCTATCCGACTGCCATTGTAGCAAGCTCCAGTTATTTGATCGTATAGACTTCTTACAGAAAGACTGGAAACACTCCCTTGGCTGGTCGTCATCAACCGTCGGTATAAAACCCAATCTCAAGCACCGTCAAACAACCTCCGGGAAGCACGCCGATCAGACAACGGAAATATGAAGGTCATCACCGCGAATTTCGTGACCTGTGCAGTCAAGGAATGCAAGACATCCCTGAGTTCTTTTCCTTTGCACTTTCACGATGCCGAGCTGGAGATGCAGGAGCTCGAATTCCAGCCAGAGTTCATTCGAAATGTGATTCCCCGCATTGATTGGGAGGGACTTCGAGTGACAGCGAATGAGGTATTCTGCTCCAAGAAAGGATGCTCTAGAGGGAAGCTCGCTGACATCTTGATTGTAGCTCGGATTTCCTAGTCTACCAGAGTCTAAACCAGAAGGCCAGGCACTCGGTGACGAACAGACCTTGAAAGACCTGCACCGACTGCTGTTAGAAACCCAAGTCATGGAGGGCAAACTGATCTGTGGGAACTGTGGGCATGAGTACGTGATAAAGGAGGGAATCGCCAATTTCCTTCTCCCAAGCCACCTAGGTAGGACCCTATCTTTCCTTGACTTCATTGTAAATACTCATGGTGATATGCAGTCTGAGTCTTGATACGACATGGCCAATCTACCAGCCAATCCTTTGATACCCCACTCAGAAGCAAAAAATAGAAAAGCGAAAGGCCCTCGCCCAAAACCGCTTTCATTTATTATGAACTACATCGATACCCCGAAAGAGTTCGCTGTCTCCCGAGGTCATAACCAGGAGTCATGAGTTAATCAGCACCGGCTTCAATAATGAGAGTCGCAGGATCTGATGAGTATGAGAACCATAAGAGCATTTTGAATTGTGGAAGATAAATGCCATAAGAAGTTCCTAAAATCTAAAGTATTGTACAAAAGGGTTTTGAGTCACGCTTCGAATCACGCTTCGAATCACGACTGGGTTGGTTTTTTGAAGAGAAAAAAAAACTGCCCGGGTGCCCCCGTTTCAAACACCAACCAAACCAACGCCGTAAAGATAAGAAAAGAACCTGGTCCTGTGGTTGTAAGATCTCCTAATTGAGGAATCCTTTGCAGCCAGTTGAGCCGCAAAGACAAGGAATACGGTCGTCACTGCCCCATTCTCGTTCAAATTTGTAGTCGTACGTGAGCTCCTCATCTAGTCAAGTAATTAGCAGTGTATTCCAACACTAGAGAGCAAGAAGAGATAAAAAAGACCGGGGAATGACATCTACGTAGTGCGTACCTCGTTCAATATCCCGAAGTGCATAGATCACGATCCGCTTACTCCCATCGACTTTGATGATTTTAGCGGTGCAATTGGGAGTGCAGCTATGATTGATAAAACGTGCGATACCACCTCGTTTGGTGGCATCAATGACCGTGTTCTCATCAATTCGGAAGAGATAACTGCTGCCGATTCCACTCTTGAGATATCGTCTTTCTCTCATGTCGGCGACCTGCTGCCGGACTTTCTCACCCACGTATTCAATGATCATGTCATTCGCTGAAATATCCTCCTCTGCATACAAGCCCCAGTTGTGAATGGCAGATCGAGCAAAGCGAACTGGCTTCTTGCGTTTCTTCAGTTGATTGAATCGAAGAACGTCGCCCTCACCACTGGAAGTGGGAAGAGCTTGCTTCTGTGCATTGATGTCCGCGATGAGTCGGCGATTGTTGACGCGAGTTGATCGTGAAGTTGATTTGGAGATGGTCTTTGCAGCGGCAATTCTCGCAGCTTCAGCAGCAGCAGCTTGAGGATCAGCCTTGGCTTTCGCCTCGCGTTCCTCGCGGGCTTTCTGGACCTTAATCCTATGAGGCAGATATTTTGATTTCTCCGACTCCAGAATTTTCTTTCGACCTTCGGTCCGGGCAGCGCCTGTCGGGTTGAAGACATAGTAGCCAGTGATGCCAATCGCATCGCGAGTTGGTCCTCTGGGCTCTCGCTGATTGAGAGCCTTGATCTCCTTTTGTCGCCAAGCCCATGCTGCAAGATTCCCGACATTGGATGCAACCTGATCGAGCAACATTTCCTGCAGGAACCGCATATCTTCCTCATCCTTGACCAAGCGCTGCCAACCATCCAAGTCCAAGATGATTGCTTCATCATCTTCCACTGTCGCGCGTGGTTCATGTTTAGATACTCCCCATTGAATCTCAGCCCCAGGTTTGTCAATGGCCTTGGGTTCCCAGGTATCATCTTCATCTGAAGTATCGTCAGGGACGGTTTCTTCTGGAACAAGGTCGGCGTCTTGTTCCTTGATGGGTTCATCATGCATCGGTAATGCAATATGAGAATCAGTCTTGATTGCAGTAGAAGACCCAGTAGTGTCGCCTGCAATCGCCCGCTCCGGCTCAATGCTGGAAAGCTCATCATCTTGTCGTTGACGCTTGCGTGCATCGGTCTCTCTGGGGATTCGCTTTCTTTTCAGCGTGGAAGAAGACAGCGCTTCCAAGTCATGGACGAATCCGTCGCTGGTTTTTTCTGTTTCGTCCGTTTCATCAGCTACTTGGGCGCTACTCTCGGCAAACGACCCCACTGCATCCGATTGGTATTGCTCGTCTGGTTCAGATGCCGATACAGAGCTTGCTCGACTCGCTGGACGGCTGCTTCTCTCGTCAGTATCTCGAGTGAGCGGTGTGCGTTGCTCGTCGTCTGAATCCTCGTCGTCATGCAATTCCTGCAGGCGATGATACAAAGGTCGAATTTCTCTTTTTCGAAGAGGCTGTCGGCGCCGCTCATCCACAAATGCAGCTCCAGCCCGGTCGGACCGATGGGCTTTGCGAATGCGTGGTAGGGCCAGCACACTGAGGTTGGTGGTCCGGAATGGGTCTTGTCCATGGGACAACTCAGACCGTGAGTCTGGAGTCCCTAGAGTACTATCCGCGCCGATTCGGAAAGCCAGCTGCTTCGTGCCCTCTGGACCAGGAATCCCCAATCTTTCCCTCCTGGCAGCATGCTTACTGGGATCGAGATAATCATACAGGGCCGGAGCAGCAACGCGCGACTTGACATCCTCGAGAAGTTTGTCTCTAAGATCTCGAATGATGATAGACAACACTTCCCGGCAGGGATCCAAGTTGGCAGCCCGATATTTCTTTTCCTCTTCGATGTCCAGCTCAGCCTCTTTCTTGAGTCTAGCCTTCTGGGCCTTCTCTTGTTCTTCGGCTCGGAGGCGTTCCGGACTTGGGCTGCGAACGTGATTGGGGTTCCCGTAAGGCTGACTTTCCATGTTCATGATGTAGGTGAACAAAGGCTGCATGTGGCATAATCGAAAGCAACGCTCTGTTTCCTCCTCGCCGCGCCGGGAGTTCTCAAAGATGATGTAGTAGCCGGTCTTGTCACAGCGAATGGTTTTGTAGCCAAACAACTTGAGTCGTTTACTCAAATGTGGGAGAGTAGAACTGAGGACTGGAACATAACAATGCGCTATGAATATGTAAGGATCACGTTTGATCTGATTCAACACGGGTGTCTCTTCGACCAGAGATTGTGGCCCGCTGGGCCCCGAAGGAATGTTCGGCCCCCGGGGAATAGCGACCCCGGGACGAAGGGCGGACCTCCCAGAGGGACCTTTCGGCGCTGTCGGAGGGGGTTCATTCTTCTTGGAGTCCACCTTTGTTTCGAGCGTGACGATGGGTTGGGAAGCCAAGCGCTGTGACTCTATCTCTTTTGCGGCCATGCGCTCAGAATTGACTCCCTCGCGATCCATATCAACCCGAATCCTTCGAGTCCCAATGCGTTGTTCCTTCTTGCATTCATAGTACGCGCGCCTTGCCGCACTAGATGCCGAGACGGGTTTACCACCACGAAACGCTGGGCTGTCTTTGTATTTGACAGAGCAGATGCCAAGAAATCGACCTGTAATGGGGTTGGTGCGGTTGTTTATCTCCGCAATCTCACCAAAGCTTGAGAAGAGAGCACTGATGGGAGCGACCGGGGTCAGGGGATCGAAGTTCCAGACCACCACCTGTATGGGAGGACCAGGGCCGACGTTGGTTGCGGCGTCGTACGGCCATGGCTTCAAGATGTACGGGGCAATTCGACATTTGCGCTTTGGCCCACAGGATCCCCGGGGGTAGTTAGAGATGGCCAGACGGGGATCAGCCGGAGTGGCTTGGTTATTGGCAAGAATCTCCATATACTCAAGTTTCCGTCGTTTGTCTTTTGACGAACGTTTTTCGAGTTCAGGATCGTAGACCACCCGATGACCCTTGACCACGTTTTCCGGGCGAATTTGAGGTTGGCCGGTTGGAGGTGTATGGATGGGAGTCAGGGAGGCTTTAATCGGGTCCTCGCTGGGCTTGTCACTGCTTTCTGAGGTCTTCCCCTCCGCTATCTTCGGCTGCGGGCTCGTCGCTTTGCAAGGTGGAGATGATTCCACGTTGGTGAGAGGCGTCAAGGTATCGATAGGTGGACAGACGGTGGCAATTGGCGGGGGCAATATTGCATTCGCTTCTCCTGGTGCAGTACATTCACTTCCTTGGATGTCAGAGGCTGGTTGGGTCGTGTATCGCTCCGCAGCCGGCATATCAGATGCCCCACCGGGAGAAGCGGAGGAGACTGTAAGAGTAGCAGTCGCCTCCGGAACATCTGGACCTTTCCCTCGGCGGTCCCCTGACCTGAAGCGCTTCTGCTGCAGGACCGACGGAGCCGTGGGAAAGAAGTCCGCAAAACCGGCCGAGGCGCGTGACATGATGAGAGGTGGCTACACGCCTAAGACGACCGCGCGATCACCAAGCAGCATCCTTGACGATGGAAGAGCTAGAGAGTCGCAAAGGAAACAGCTGTGGAGCAACAAGGAGAAAACAAGACCCGGGAGCGACTCTGGTGGAGCAACGGACAACGTCTGAAGTGGTCTCGCGCGAGCCCGAGAGTTTTGCAAGGAGCGAAACGCGACCGAATGGGGAAGCGGTCAACGAGTGGGGATGTAATTGAAGATGATTGTTAGGCGGTGAGAAATGCAGGGACAAAAAGAAAAGGTCACGTGGAATGACAACAAGCGTGATCTCAGATCCAGTACTGAACCTAGTATTTCACACGTATTCGTACAAGATAGTACATTTCATACGCCTCATCCCAGTGCATATATCATGTACCTAACTGTATGTATGCGTCTTCAAACAATACGGGAGAAATATCATCTGTTTGGGGCAAGTTCCTCCTTCCTAGTTCTTGAGGGGGTAAATTTTTGATAATAGACATATCATACGTACCCGGATATTTGACCCATAAACCATCATTTCGATAATGAATGATTAAGTTGACAAGCAGAACCAAAAATAAAAAAGGGAGCAATAAGAAATTTAACTCCAGGTACCATACGCCACGGCCAAGTGTGGCGATGGGGCTCAGCATGGTAAAAATAGTATCGTTACGGGTAGCTCTGAGACCTGGGATGGGTCCCGAGCTACTTATGTTATGTTTTTTTTAGTGCATATGATCCACCGATCCATGAAGAATCGTACAACTGGTGCTCAGAAAGAATATAGGGGCATTATTGTTTTAATTGATCATCTAAAATCTTTTGGTACCCTAAGCCTGACATGTATGTATTCACTTTCAGGTACCGACCGCCATCAAGGTGTGTTGCCGGGGGGGGGGAGGAGACGGAAGCCGAAACACCACAAAAATGAACTTCGATCTGTTTCCCCACTCCGAACAATAACAGCTGGAGAATGAACTGATCATGAATTGGTTTTTTCTTAATAATTATTATTTTCATTTGGCCGAGTAATCACTGATTTTCCATATGTCTGTTTGTCTTTCTTTTTCTGTCCATTTCCTCCCCTGATATATGGTAAACAAGAGTGGAGCCAAGCCATTCCATGGAAAAGCCTGGAGTGAGACATCGAGCGCATTGGCCCAGTAGCTTCCCTACGGTGGAGTGCAAAATAATAAATAAGCTAATAATAATCATACCGCCCCTCCCTTGTCCCCCTCTATAAATACGAATTTCCAGCTTCCCTGCCAACTTTCTAATTCCCAATTCTCCTCTACTCCTACCTCTCTCTACACACACACACATACACACACATCTACACCCACCTTACCTTACAGCTTCTTAATCTTATTTCTTCCTCTCTGTACTACTTTGCCCATCATGTGGTATGTGGCCTTCCCCCTCTCGAGAAATCATTGCTCACAACTTCTAGTGGAATCTTTGGCTACATTAACTACCTCGTCGAGCGGGATCGTGAGTTCATTATCAATACTCTTCTCAATGGTAAGTGGCACCAATTCTATGTCAACCCCACCTCCTTTACTTAGCTAACAAATCTCTCCAGGGTTGTCCCGCCTGGAGTACCGGGGTTACGATTCGGCCGGTATGGCCGTGGATGGTGACAAGAAGAACGAGGTTTGCGCCTTCAAGGAGGTAGGAAAGGTCGCCAAGTTGCGGGAGCTCATTGCCGAGAGCAAGCCCGACATGACCAAGACCTTTGAATCGCATGCCGGTATTTCTCACACCCGTTGGGCCACCCACGGCACCCCCTCCCGCCAGAACTGCCACCCCCACCGGTAAGTTGAATCTGATGTTTTAACCACGTCCCCCCTAAGAAAAGTCAAACCTCTCTTCCTGATGAAATTGACTAACCCCCCCTTCTTTTTTCTTACCGGGCAGATCCGATCAGACCTGGGAATTCGCCGTGGTTCACAATGGAATTATTACCAACTACAAGGAATTAAAGGCCCTGCTAGAGTCCAAGGGCTTCCGCTTCGAGACTGAGACGGATACTGAATGTATCGCCAAGCTCGCTAAATACCTCTATGACCAACACCCCGATATTGACTTCACTGTTTTGGCCAAGGCCGTCATCAAGGAGCTCGAAGGTGCTTTCGGTCTGTTGCTCAAGTCCGTCCACTACCCCCATGAGGTCATTGCTGCCCGCAAGGGTTCACCATTGGTCATTGGTGTGAGAACCTCGAAGAAGATGAAGGTGGACTTTGTCGATGTGGAATTTTCGGAAGAGGGTGCTCTTCCTGCGGAGCAGGCCTCCCAGAATGCCGCAATCAAGAAGTCTGCCACCAGCCTCCTAGCTCCCCCAGACAAGTCCCTCCTGCACCGCTCCCAGTCGCGGGCTTTCCTCTCCGATGACGGTATCCCCCAGCCCGCCGAATTCTTCCTCTCCTCAGACCCTTCCGCTATCGTGGAGCACACCAAGAAGGTGCTATATCTGGAAGATGATGACATTGCCCATATCCATGAAGGCCAACTGAACATCCACCGCCTAAGCAAGGATGATGGTACTTCCAATGTCCGCGCCATTCAGACCATTGAGTTGGAGCTGCAGGAGATCATGAAGGGCAAGTTTGACCACTTCATGCAGAAGGAGATCTTCGAGCAGCCAGAGTCAGTGGTCAACACCATGCGTGGCCGCTTGGATGCCGTCAACAAGAAGGTCACGCTGGGTGGTCTCCGTCAATACATTTCCACAATTCGTCGCTGCCGTCGCATCATTTTCATTGCGTGCGGTACCAGCTACCATTCATGTATGGCCGTGCGTGGAGTGTTTGAGGAACTGACAGAGATTCCCATTGCCGTCGAGCTGGCCTCCGACTTCCTTGATCGCCAGGCGCCGGTCTTCCGTGATGATACCTGTGTGTTTGTTTCCCAGTCCGGTGAGACTGCAGACTCGCTGATGGCCCTGCGCTACTGTCTGGAGCGTGGTGCCCTGACTGTGGGTATCGTGAACGTTGTTGGATCCTCGATCTCTCTTCTCACTCACTGTGGTGTTCACATTAACGCTGGTCCTGAGATTGGTGTGGCTTCTACCAAGGCCTACACTTCTCAGTTCGTTGCCATGGTCATGTTTGCCTTGTCCCTCAGTGAGGACCGTGCCTCCAAGCAAAAGAGACGGGAGGAGATTGTCGAGGGTCTCGGCAAGGTTTCGGAGCAGTTCCGGGAGATCTTGAAGCTCAACGAGCCCATCAAGGAGATGTGCGCCAAGTTCTTCAAGGACCAGAAAAGTCTGCTTCTGTTGGGCCGTGGTGCCCAGTTCCCTACTGCCCTCGAGGGTGAGTGTTTCCTTTTCCTCACTTCTTTTTTTTTTTTTTTTTTTTTTTTTTTTTTTTGGTGGATTCCAAAGCGATGCTAACAAATGTTATATAGGTGCGCTTAAGATCAAGGAGATATCTTACCTTCATTGTGAGGCTGTTATGTCTGGTGAATTGAAGCACGGCGTCTTGGCCTTGGTCGACGAGAACCTGCCTATCATTATGATCCTTACTCGTGACAACCTGTTCACCAAGTCTCTGAACGCCTATCAACAAGGTGAGTGATGACTCTATTAATTTCTATTTTGATCCCAGACCCTAACGAATGAACGTCTAGTCATTGCCCGCGGTGGCCGTCCCATTGTGATCTGCAACCAGGATGACCCTGAGTTCTCATCTGCATTGACCGAGAAGATTGTTGTCCCTAAGACTGTGGATTGCCTCCAGGGTCTCTTGAACGTGATTCCTTTGCAGCTCATCTCTTACTGGCTGGCTGTTGGTGAGGGATTGAACGTGGACTTCCCCCGCAACCTGGCCAAATCGGTCACTGTTGAGTAAAAGACATTGAGATGGGAATGGGTGGGGGTGTTTCCTTTTACAGAGGGTTTGGAGTAGGACAACGATCATGATATTTTCTTTTAGGGTGTTTTGCCTGTCTCTTGCTCTCCAATTTTTAAGGGGTGTTCTTTTTAAGTTTCAGGAGAATGGAATCAATTACAACATCTTATCTGTAATTCCTGTGTTGTACGTAGTCCTGTCTTCGGTAGCACATTCCGCCTTTCCCGCCAGAAATGGGGCAAATGCGGGACCGATGGTTGCGTCGCGAATTGAAACCTCGAACTTTAAAACTCTCGAGCTCTCGAAACCCTCACTGGTTCATACAGTTCGCTTCCCCTTTGTCTTGTCCATTTCGTACAATCTCTTTTCTCTACAAATGTCTCCCATTAAGGGCCCTGGGGCTGCGCAGAGCCATGACGGTATGCAATTCACCCCCACCTTCAGTGACACACGGAAGAGACCCCTCCCTGATTCCCGAGTTAGGCTCCGGACTGCGTGTTGCAATTATCCACGCGCGGTGGAATGCAACCATTATTGACCAGCTGGTGGCTGGGGCCAAGAAGAGCTTGCTGGCTGGCGGCGTGACCGAGGATAACATTACCGTCCAGACTGTTCCTGGCAGTTACGAATTGCCTCTTGGTGTGCAACGGTAAGATTAGCCCCCCCCTCCCAATCCCCTTGTCCTGTTCTTTCGAGATTCCGCTCATACTTGCCTCTTTGTTTTTGCTTGCACAGCCTATATGCTGCCTCCCAGGTCCAGGCGAGCTCCTCCGGCGAGGGCATCAGTGCCACCGATCTCTTGTCAGCCTCCACCTCTGATCTGAACAAATCGACCACCGTTTCATCCAAGAAGCCCTTTGATGCCATCATTGCAATTGGCGTTCTCATTAAGGGTGCTACCATGCACTTTGAATACATTGCGGACGCCGTGAGCCACGGTCTGATGCGAGTTCAACTGGATTCCGGCATTCCGGTCATCTTTGGTTTATTGACCGTTCTGACCGAGGAGCAGGGCTTGGAGCGAGCAGGACTTGGCAACAGTGGGATGCACAACCACGGCGAAGATTGGGGTAGTGCCGCTGTTGAGCTGGGTGTGAAGAGACGCGATTGGTCGGAGGGCAAGATTTTGTAAAGAAATGAAAAAACAACCCGGACATAAACAAAAACACCCTGAGTTCTTATGTGGGTTCTGTGATTGCAAATTATGAGGTCAAAATCGCGGAGAAGCATCAAATTAAATATGCACTGCCAGATCTATTGCTGTTTCATTCCTCCATTTGCTCCTCTTCATCCTCGCCCTCGAGTGCCCGGTGCGCAAATCGCTCTGCTTCTTCACGGACTTCCTTAGGCACTTCCTCGTGGCGACCCTTGGTGGGACCATCGAGTGAGCTAATCCACGACATCTCCAGTTCAAACTCCTTGTCCTTGCTATCTTCATGGGCAACGTAAATGATACGGGCAGCTTCTTTCACACCTTCCAGTAGAGACAGCTTGCCAGAGGTTAGATCTAATTTCTCCAGCTCGGCCTTCGCGGCCTGTCGGCCTTTGCCAGTGGCGGCGCCATAGTAGCCCTATTGTTGTTAGCCCCCCTGGAATAGAAAAGAAAAGAATGAAAGACAAAGATCGGGTTCAAACATACCCAATAGAGCCCACTGGGTTCAATCATGTACAGACCAGGCCCACCAGCTGGGGCACCCTCGACCTTTCCACCGGAACCTGACTTGGGACCGTTGCCCACTTCGCCATCGACCGCCAGCTCCGCTTCACAGTCCCATCCACCGACGATAGAAGTCACGCCGAACGGCCGTACACTGGAGTAGAGAGTGTACGCTTGTACATAACCACCCAGACGGTTTGCGAGTGCTGAGGTAGGGATGGGGGCTTTGTATGTACCTCTCCAAGAGGATGCTTCGTCTCGAGCTCTGGAAACAAAGTGACGACCGTCTGGTACAAGTCCGGCGGACACCTAGATTGTCAAGAGACCGTTGGTTAGACATCGATAAAGATAATTCATGATCTGAGCCGGTGACGGCCAAATTCCAAGATGTTGGGATAATGGGGGGCTGAGAAGGGTGAGGTTCAGCTTACAATGCCAACGTGGCGATCCACCGTCGCGATCCTCTTATTCGATCCGGGTTTTAGGAGCTTGCTGGTGATGATTTTCTCCACAGCTAGCACCACACCATCTTTGCATCTGATGCCGATAGCTGTTCCTCCATTCTCCACAGCCTTGACAGCATATTCCACCTGTGGGGGTTGGTCAGTGGTGATAGGTCCCTCCAGATGATCGATCCTTGGATTCGGTTCGAGTTTCTCGGTCGTACCTGGAAATTGCGGCCATCTGGTGAGAAGACCGAGTTGGAGAGATCGTAACCCGTACCGATTGACGTCTAATCAAATGTTAGCTCTCTGTAGACGACAGATCATTCATTTTGAAGAATAAGATAACAAACTCACCATGATTGATGTGTGAGATTGCAGCTATTTTTCAAGGTGAGAAAATTCCAGGGAAACAAGAGGTTGGATGGAGAGGACGAGCTTGCCTGGCCTTGGTGACCTCGTTCGGGGAAGGTCCAGAGAGCTGCGTCACGGGAGTTGCCTGGATCACGTGACCATCGACTTGGATGTAATTTTGAAATATCCGGTATATATTACGGGGCTTTTGCAGCCCAAACTTGACTCGCGTAGTCCAGGGTTTGGGCATCACAGGATCTCCCTGATATATTATACTGGTGCGGCGCTTCTGTCCTCTTTTGACTCTTGATATTCTCATCTCTAAGTTGTTGGCTCTTGGTTTTCCATTTGACCTGATCCTTGGTCTTTTATACCCCTATTCTATCCTCCTTGATTGGTCGCACTCTTGTGACTATATACAAAACCTCATATAACCCTTCCCCACCCTCCAAGCATACATACGATTCGACTTCAGATTATGTCATCCTCCATTCTCCATCAGTGTCCATTCTGTGGTCATGTCTCTGATATTTCTCTTTCCTTGGCTGCATTCATTGAGAACCCACACTGTATTCAGGTATATACTTTAATCTACGCTAGTTCTACTACTGTCGTGTCACACCCTGACAAGCGGGGGATTCCCTTGTTCTTAGTGCGGCCTATCAGTCTCTGAAAGCAACGGAAAGCTGCAAGACGAGCTAGCGGCTTTGTTTGATCGACAAATGGCCATAGACTCATCGCCTCAGCCTCAACACCTTTCCTACAGCATCTCACAGCACTATCACCATTCCACCCACGTAGCTCCTTCCCCGAAACCTCCACCCCAAGCCCACACAGATCCGACCCCAATAGAGATCCTACAGCATCATGGCCTCGATCCTTCGGATATGCTACCCCGCCAACTGGACTTATTCCAAAACGCAGATGCCGAACAGAGACAACGCTTGATCCAGACGTGGCAGCTCTACGCCAGATCCCCCGGTGAATCGGCAAATTCGGATGCAACACTTACTATGGAAGGTCTTCAGATGGATGATCCCAAAGCACAGGCAGAACCTTACATGGTTTCGGGCTATCAGACACACTCGCAGTCCGCGGAACCTACCACGGGACAGCCGTATACATCGGCAACCGATCCAGTATATAAGACTCAGCACTGGTGGGAAATGGCTCAAACCGAGCCCATGGAGTCACAGTACGGGGAATTTCAAGCGAGGAAGCAATATGAGACAGGCAGTGATTTTGCTCAGCGGTCTTTGTTTCATTAGAACCAGACCAGAACCCCAGTCTACTTCCTATAGATCAGAATAATAACTGATTCATCAAAAACAGAGTTAGGAACATACACGATGAAAAAGGAATAGATGAGAACGTCTTCCAGGGCTATTGTATTGCTATCTAAGCAGTGTCATACATAAATAGTTTTTTTTTTTTCATTTATTTTTTCAGGTTTCTCAGTTCCTTTCAAGCTTCAGCAACGAAAAAGCACAATCCATGGCCAGGATAAAATGAGTGTTCGCCATGAATGTCGTGTCCTCCACATCAGTTGAGTTACTCCGAGAACCGTGGCCGGTTTGATTCCAGAATGTAGTCGAATGTAGCACATATCATGTTGGAATTGTAGTCATGTAGACCGGACATTGGGGAGCATTTCAAGGCGTGTGAGGCTCCACAGGACTATAGTTTTATCAGTAAGGAGGCATCGCCAGACTTAGTAAGAGGGGACGCCAGCCTATTACCTTTACTCCTCATCCTCCTCAAGGGCAGCCATAGCCTCAGCGAGGGCATCAGCAGAGCGCTTGACCTCATCGACGGCATCGGTGGCACGCTTGACCTTGAAGCAGGGCTGGCCAGGGTGAGAGCACCAACGGGACATGGCCTCAGGCTGAGCCTCAGCCATGGCCTCGGCAAGGGCCTCGGCAGAGCGCTTGACCTCGGAGGAGATGTCAGTTGTACGCTTCATCTTATAGCAGGGCTGGCCAGGGTGAGAACACCAGCGCGACATGGCCGCGGACGGAGCAGCCGAAGCGGCGAGCAGAGCGAGGGTAACGGCAAGAAGCTTCATGACGGAGAAAGTATGTAGTCACAAAAGCGAATTGGAATTGGAATCAATTGAAATAGTAGTAAGACGTTGAGAGAATGAGACGATGAGTGTGAACAAGAATCAACCAGACGACGTGAGCACCCCGAATTTATACCTGAAGGTTCGAGGCTCCCACTTCGCCCAAGGGTATTGAATGTTTTCCATTCTGCATGAGGCTCTTCAAAGAATGGGGAGCACCGAGTGGAGATGGCGTCTATTGAGACCCAAGTTGGGATTTGGAGTGCATTGAATCGGCTTTTCTTAGTTGCCCAGGGGAGGCTTGGATAGGTAGCCTAAGGACTCTTCTCGAGTCTAAGATTATGATTTTCTTTCATTCACTTTGAAGTTAGAAGATGTCCCGTGTAGGCTTATTTTGGGGGAGGGGGCGAAGTGGAGTTTCGTCTTTCTTGAAGGGATTCGGCATGCCCAATCAGGCCTATCGTGTGGAGTGCGACATTAAAGAATCAAGTCCCCAAAAAAAAAAAAAAAAAAAAGAAAAGGAAGCTTGCGAGGGACAAGAGTGACCGCAAGTGTAGTTCAATAAGAAGACAAAAGGAGAGTGGATGATGGGATGGCCGGATTGGGTGATCAATAGAGAGTACGAAACATGGAAATACAAACATCGAAAACATCCCTGAAACACAGATACATCGCTCCCTCATACTAATACTATGACAGTGGGATGTACTGAGATAAGATCGGGCCGGGGTCGCTCAGTGTCGCGCGATACCAGATGCCGAGCCCATCCGGGGCCCGTTTTTCCGTCCCTTTCTTTCTTTTCCAACCTCCAAATTCCCTTTCCCCACTCCATACTTGTTCACCGAGACATTTTTGAAAAGGGTGAAAAATTCCAATTCCTCTCCCCAAAGGAAATCGCCTAATACAATATGTTCTCTCGATCGGCTCAACCTGCCCGGGTTCGTTTTCAGCGCCCTTCTGACCCCCTGCGCGCAAAAACCAAGCTAACCTCCAAACGCAGACCCTGCTTCGCAGCGCCTCCGTGGCCCCGTCTGTCGCTCGCTCAATCCCTTCTCGATGTACGCTATGATCCCAGACCCTCTACCCCACTTCTATGAATGGAGAAGAAAGAACTTTGCATTGCGCCCTCTCCAAATATCATTGATGGATTGTGCAGCTAACTCCTACCAGCCTTCGCCAGCGTTCAGTCCGACATCTTCAAGCCCACCAAGTACGGCGGAAAGTACACTGTCACTCTTATTCCCGGTATGCTTGCTCGCATTTAGTTTGTCTTGCGGTTTGCACCGGCAGATTGGTCGCTAATGGATCACTAGGTGACGGAATTGGTGCTGAGGTTGCTGAGTCGGTCAAGACCATCTTCAAGGCCGATAATGTGCCCATTGAGTGGGAGCAGGTCGATGTGAGCGGTGTGGACACCGGCAACAAGCACTCGGAGGAGCTGTTCAAGGAATCCCTGGCCTCCCTCAAGCGCAACAAGCTGGGTCTGAAGGGTATTCTCCACACCCCGGTGGAGCGCTCCGGTCACCAGTCCTTCAATGTCGCTCTCCGCCAGGAGCTTGACATCTACGCCTCGATCTCCTTGATCAAGAACATTCCTGGATACCAGACTCGCCACAAGGATGTTGATCTCTGTATCATTCGTGAGAACACCGAGGGTGAGTACTCCGGCCTGGAGCACCAGTCCGTCCAGGGCGTGGTTGAGTCTCTTAAGATTATTACTCGCGCCAAGTCCGAGCGCATCGCCAAGTTTGCCTTCAGCTTCGCTCTTGCCAACAACCGCAAGAAGGTGACCTGCATCCACAAGGCCAACATTATGAAGCTTGCCGACGGTCTCTTCCGCAGCACTTTCCACAAGGTCGCTGAGAACTACCCCACCCTGGAGGTTAACGACATGATTGTCGATAACGCCTCCATGCAGGCGGTTTCCCGTCCCCAGCAGTTCGACGTCATGGTCATGCCTAACCTATACGGTGGTATCCTCTCCAACGTCGGTGCTGCCCTCGTTGGTGGCCCCGGCGTTGTTCCCGGTTGCAACATGGGCCGTGATGTCGCCGTGTTCGAGCCTGGTTGCCGTCACGTTGGTCTTGACATCAAGGGCAAGGACCAGGCCAACCCCAGCGCCATGATCCTGTCTGGCTCCATGCTCCTTCGTCACCTTGGTCTTGATGACCACGCCAATCGCATCTCCAAGGCTGTCTACGATGTGATCGGTGAGGGTCAGACCCGAACCCGCGATATGGGTGGTCAGGCTACCACTCACGAGTTCACCCGGGCTGTTCTGGACAAGATGGAGGCGGCTCTGTAAATTTCTTTTGTCTTCTTGGAAACCCCTCCTGCCTTCCATGATCCCCCGCTACGCTACGACCGGGGATGACTTCTTGACTGGCTCGGAAACCCGGGCCAGCTGGGGTGATCCTCCATTATGTATTATCTTTCATTCTATTTAGCTCGCCATGTCCTCGCAAGTTATAGCAATAGACACTTTTTTGGATTCCTCAGAATACTTCTACTCTTGGCAGGAAATGTAGATACATATTTTGGCTGTACCAGCCAAATGAGTCTGCAGATATGGTGCCTTTCCGGTCAATGGTCAAAGGCAGTAAAGCTCTATTCATCAAAAACGTCAAAACAAAAAGTCGTGAGACAAAATTACCCCCCAGAAGGATGCTCCAGAGCGCCATTGGTGCCGGAAGTGTGGACTGGTGTTCAGTGGGAAAGGGGTATCAAAAGGGGAAAAAAACATGAAGCGAAGAACTTTTTAAAGCACGCCGGTGCATCTGGAATGGGGAACTGGGAAGGAGTGCACCCAAATGACAGTTAAAAGGCCGTACGTCGTTTGCGGCCGGTGTACTTCGAGTTGTGCTTCACCACCTTTCCTTTCTTCTCCATCTGTTCTTTTTTCTTCATAATCCAGGCCCGGTCACCTTTCCGGGCCGGGCGAGCCTTGTTGACTTCCATGGCTTTTTTCCTAGCATCCAACACATCGACATCATCCATGCCGTTCACAACGCCTCGAATATCCCCTTGGAGACCACCACCACCCACAGTAAGGACCAAGTATAGCTTGCCATTCTTGGTGCCCGGATCATCTTCAAGCATACCAGCTCCGAAGCCGGCCTTAATGGCAGCGCCACTGATCATGCCACGCTGAATATCATTCTTGGGATAGAATTGGCAGACTGCTCGTCCACCACGACGAAGACTGGCATAAAGGCCCTCGAAAAATCGCTTCAAGCGACCTTCAGGACTGACGTCGCTGGTTTCGGCATTGCATAACCACTGGATCGCACTGATACTGATTGCCGCATCGAAAGAGCCGGGGCGGAAGGGTATTCCCTGGCCAATATCGGCAAGAAAGAGATCGCCTTCAACCTCACGTTGCAGAGCCACATCCAGCATGCTTGGGGAAATATCCATGCCTACCCATGTATGCGGTCCGCCATCTTCGGGGGACTCTTGCGACAGAATCTCACCTGACAACCCCGAACCACATCCAACATCAAGGATCATGGAAGGAGACTTAAGGTCTAGAAGCTCCAGGGCTCGGTTTGTCATATCGGCTTGGATATTCCGAATACGTGAAGACGTTGTATACTTGCGGGACTCATTGTCGTTGTAGAAGAGGTCGGGTGGCCTATTGCGGTACAAGAGCTCAATGGTGAGTTTCATGCAAGGAAGGGACTAGAGAAAAGGCAAGTGAGACCTACAGAATATCCTCGGGGCGCGACATGATGGCGAGGGTGGAGATGCCAGAGTTATGTCTATGTCATGGTATAAATTTTAGTTTGCAATTTATTTTTAATCCGGAGTGGGGTGGCGGCCTGAGGCATTCGTCGATCACGTTCGTTTTCAATCAATCGCGTTCATCTTCTACTCTTCCTTCGAGTTACCCCGATCCCATTCCCAAATTCAATTCCTATTTCTATGCTTCACCATGTGGATTCTCTCTCTCGTCGGATATTTAGGGGTGATTGTTGGGTTCGCTTTTCTCACTCTCGCCATCGGTAAGCCTAAGCTTCTCCGAACTTATCAACGACTCCATTGACACGCAAACTATAGCTTCGGGACTTTACTATCTGTCTGAGTTGGTCGAAGAGCATACTGTTCTAGCGCGCAAGCTATTGAATCGCCTTATTTACAGCATTATCGTCATTCAGGTCCTTTTAGTGATCTTTGACCGATTCCCCATCTGGCTCTCCCTACTCAGCATCCTCTCCCACCTGGTTTACGCAAGCAATTTGCGCCGCTTCCCTATCGTCAAGCTATCCGATCCACTTTTTATCCTCTCATGCATTCTGGTGCTGTTGAACCATTGGTTATGGTTCCGTCACTTTTCGATGCCACCCTCTCCATCCCGCCGGGCCGATAACAACTGGCGTCAGCCGTACCAAATGAATTACGAGGATATGCCTTCGTTCTCCGAGGTTGCCTCTTATTTTGGGCTATGTGTGTGGCTGGTCCCCTTTGCCCTATTCGTCAGCCTGAGTGCTGGTGAGAATGTGCTGCCAAGTATGGGATCGGAATACGCAACGGGAGACCGTGCCGCCAGTGGGTTAGGCCACAACCGGGGCACCTCGGACGGCAAGTCCAAAAATAAAGGAATGGCCAAGGCCCTGGTGGACAGTGTGCGAGATTGGGCTCGTGAAAATGGTGAACTCATGGGCTTATGGCGGGGCGAGCGAACTGGGCGGTTCTGATCTCCAGTGATTCACCATAAACAGTTTTGATATATAATGAACTCATGTCAACGTTACTTCTGATCAAAGAGCCCAAGAATAGGGATGGAGACATTGGACTCTATCAAGCTATAATGCACAATCGTACCGCTGTAGATACAAGGGATCTCGAGTGCGTGAAGAGCAATTAGACATGGAAAGTAGAAAAAAAGCCGGCGGGCAACAGGAACCAAGAGTAGACAGAACGACAAAATGAAAGAAGAAGAAGAAGAAGAGAAAGGAGAAGAAGAAGAAGAAGAATGGGTATAACGATAGATCAAGAAATAAAAGATCTCCAGGACACGGGGCTCGTGCCTCATTACTGCAACCTCGTCCTAATTACCATTATCATTAAACATTCCCGTGCGATTCTGCTGGTGCCAAGTGGGTAAAGTCGTCATTCTGCGTGCAAATCGTGATCGGTAAAGAAATAGAAAGGGTGGTTTCATCGACAATAGAAGATTAGAAAGATGCCGGGAAGATCAACATAACAGCACGTTCACAATGACTGCTTGTGGTTTGATTATTTGTCCGGGTTGAATGCAAGATCTCCTGGGTCTGGATGAAAATGAAGGGTTAAAGAATGCGAACCCGAAGCTTGAGCCGATTTTACGTACTGTGTTCCATAAAGAGCATTGAGCTCTCCCGCCGCTTTGTCTTGGCTGAACGAGTATCGTCTGAGCCGGGAGACAACATGCCGTTCAACGAACCATAAGAAGCCGAAGCACCTGAGTGTTGGTTATATGCGTCGCTCCTGTAAGCTGGCTGGTCATAGCTGGGCTGCATATGAGCAAAGCCCGTATCATGGGCGGCTCGAGGGTTATCTGAGGGACCACTGGAGGCGTCCCCTGGACCTCGGAATGACGTCTGGTTGTACGATGGGGTCGGGATATCTGAGAACATCTGGTGACGAGGGGAACGAACGTCATCAGGGGATAAACTGTTGTCCACAGTTAATTCAATGGTTGGTCCTGGACCGGAACCGATATCACCAAAGATGCTATCGAAATCGGTAAGGAACATTGAAAACACCGGTGCGGGGATGTTTAGAGTCGGAGCAAAAACAATGCCAACATTCCGAACAGTCATTTTGTTCACGTCAGAATTGTTGACAATCTCGATTAGGAACAGCGACAAGGCCCGCAGTAGCACCAGATTCGGTCTTGGTAGCCGGCTAACCAGAGCATTGAAGGCTGTAATTTTCTTTTGGCGGTCATCAAGCTCTGTTCGAACAGAAGAGGGATGAGTGTTAGCCTACTCTCCCCATTAAGGCTGTGAAAAGATGAGTGAAGGAGACATACCAAGAACCCGGAGAAAGTCCAAGTGAAGCTCTCGGGTGAGCACCGTTGTTGGGAGTTCCCGAAGATATTGCTTGAAGAGAGAGGCGACAGCATGAACGTCATAATACTGATCACCACCAATGAAATCCACATCACCCTCGGTGTTGAAGCGTTCCTTCAAGGCCTTGATCACAACATTGGAACCGCTCAAACGGAAAATTCCTTCTTCTAAAGCCGCCTCCTTGGAATGCAGATATTCGATACAACGATATACAACAGCCGGCAATTCCACATCTACTCCAACTGGCGCACAGTATTGAACGGCTTCTGCCAAGGGTATTCCGAATACAGGCCTGATGGGATCTTTGCGTTCTGCTTGAATGATGGTATTTGATGCGCCCGACTCACTAACAGCCGGGGCCTGCGACGACAGATCAAAGGAAGACCGGGTGCGGAAGCCCCAGATGCTGCGTTTCTTTTCTTTGGTGGACATCGTGGTTTTATTGCCCCAGGCTCCAACATCCTGGATCACAGCTCCATTGGTAGGACCAGAGATAGTCTTGGGTGATTGCAAGGATTGCTCGACGGGAGATTGACTAAGATCTCTGAAGTCTGTTGAGAGCGCAGCCGGTATGCGTGGCGAACGAGGGGCCTGTTCAAGGGAAGAACCAAGGATCGGAGGCTCTGCCGCAATGGTGTCGTCAAAGCTGAATCCTTGAACTGGGGCCTTAACTTCCTGGTCAGGACTTTCAATACTCCTAGTTGGCTTCCTGCTACCGCTGTTGGGTAACGACTGAGGTTTGCTGCCATTGCTTGACGGTTGTTGGTGTCTCGTCTGGGTTTGCTGCTGGCTTTTGATGGATGCACTGCCCCGACTATCATTGTCTGAAGAGGGGCTCTCGACGTACTCCATCAGAGCCTCTACCCATCTATCGCGCTCATCGTCACTCTCGGCACAGAGCACATGTCGGACAAGGGCCGAGGAGTCTTTCCTTTTGGGTTCCAAAACAAGGAAGGCATGGCGGTATTGATTGTCAGCTTCCTCATCTGGCCCAGGAGGAAGATTGCTCTGATTACTAGGATTCTGTGACTGCTTGCCAATTTGAGCATGGTGCAGCTTGATAGTCCCCATGTGAGGACCGCCTGGCGACTCAAAGTATTTCAACTCGGGTCCATGAAGGACAAAGTAGCGCGCTTTCCAACCGCCAAAGTTCTTGCCTCTTTTCGTCAGGTAGCCTTCTTTTCGAGGCCTGCCATCAGATCCTCGAGGCATGTCAGGCTGCGTCGAGCTATTGCCTTGAAGCAGGCTAGTCTCATCATCTCGTGGCTCGATAGCGTCGTTAGTGAGAAATTGACAAATGACCAAGGCCGCCTTTTCATCCATGGGTGTATCCAACAGACTGTCAAAGTATGCATTCAACGCAGCACGCCGGGCATCTACCTTAGCAGGGGAGTGTCCACTGAAAATGCTGCGATCTGGTAATCTTCCTGGGAATTCGACCAAATGGCGGATTTGGTGATCTAACTGAGGCAAAGATGCAATGACTTTTTCAACTCGCCAGAGTTCTGACATCTCAGCCCGAGATATTACACTGAGAGTAAAAACAGGCTCCTCCTCCAAGGGCTTTGGAGCCATATAACTATTCCTGGATGGTCGAAGTCGGGACGAAGAGACTTGGACTTGAATCACAGGAAGAGCGTTTGGTGGTAACAATAAGCCAGGGTACTCATCTGACACCAATCCCTGATATATAGTTGATCTAAGAGACCGCAGGGATCCGGGGCTGTCTATCTTCGCGGCAGTATCGATTGTTGGTATCGGGGCAAACTGAGCTGGGTAATTACCAGCTCTGGGGGACAGAGGCAAACCAGGTAGGTTCGTACCTGCAGTCATGGACTGGCTCGCCATCGAATTGAGGTCTCGAGGCATGCGGGGCAAAGGCGAACCGAGAGGTCGGTCCTCTGGCCTCGGGCTTAATGGTAAACCGGGGCTCTTTGGGTTAGGGAAGCTCGGTCGTCCATTTGGAAGGGAAGGATTTGTGCGAGAGTTGAGCATGAAACCCAGAGAGCCAGAGGCCCCTACATTCGGTGGCGATCTCGTGGCAAGCTCACGGGGACCAGTTGCCGGGCTAGCAGATGTGGCCGTGCCCTGGGAGGAATGAGATGATCCGTATTTGACCGTGCTCACCGATCCCTGAGGATCTATCTCCTTTTTGATGGTGGCTTCCCGATCTCGATCATCTTCCTCTCGGGTCTTTCTCCTTCCACGATCTAGGCTTGATCTTTCCTCCTGGGAATCGCCATAATCGGATTCCGAATCTGGGTCCCCTTGCACTTTGCGAACATTATCCATTGGCAGGCGTAAATCTAGAGGCGCCGGTGGGGGCTTGCGACTCGGGTGTGGGAGTTTCTGTCCATCGCTTCCAACCGGAGACGACAAATTGTTAGTAGGACTCAGATCCGTGCTTCCAAGGGGCATTCTGGATGCGGCTTGGGCGGGTATAATAGTCGGTTGTGGGACTTGCCGCCTGTCGCACTGTTGCTCGCCAATCGGTCCAGGTGTAGCTTGCTGAGGATGCGCCGCTTCATTTGATCCAGGCAGTGAACTTGCAGTGGCGGCGGTTGGCAGTGGCGGCGCGGTGTCTTGGAGCTCTTTCAATTTCTTTTTGTACTTTTCTTTTTCATTGAAGGCGCGTTCGAGGTCCTTATTAAGACCTAGTATAAGCGTCCTTTGCTTGTCCACTAGTTTCCAGAGTTGCGAGTTCTGGGAGGCTGCTTGGTGCTTCTCTCTCAGGAGGTGTACAATAACAGCCTCCGCCGAACCGGCCGCATTGATTAGGTTATTAATGTCCGCTGGACTCAACGCATTGGCATCAAATGTAGATTTTTGAGAAGCAGAGGATAAGGAGGAAATGGCAGAGTCAATGGACGACGTGCGCGGCATGATGCGGTGGTGTGGACGATCGCCGGGTGCTGACAGTATAGAGCTCACGGACGAGGAAGCGGAACGATCAGGGTCAGCCGCACCAGGCGGTTTGGGAATACTGCCGTCGCCGGGTCTTGGAACGTTGCCCGACTCCATACCTATTATATCTGGTGATGGGGAGAGATTCTGAACAGAATTCGAGGGAGGCGCCGGGAACGGTGCATTGGCTATGCGGGAAATGGGCGACCGATTCTGGGACGGGGACGGGTTGGCGCTCGACCGGGGGGACAGCGGACTCTGTGACGAGGGAGAATCTTGCAAGCGTGAGTTCGGGAGAGAAGTGGTGTGCAGTGGTGATGGTGAAATATGCCGAGAGCCAGGAGCGCCGGGGCGCGAAGCCACTTCGGATCGCGCGCCTAGGTAGTCTCGGGGAATAAGGCCGTTGAGAGGCGGGTTATGGGCAGGTTGGTTCTTGGAACCTGGCGCGTCGTCCTCACTGCCTCGCCACTGGGACATCGTTTCACACAGGGATCAGCATCAGAGGGGTTGGTGGGTTGGAGGCAAAGACCCGGGAGAAGAGAGGGCGGGTCCCCGGAAGCTTGGAAGCTTAGTGAAAAAGCAAGAAAGGGGGTCAAGATATTCAGATGTCTTAGATAAAGGGGCCCCTTGGAAAGCAATAGAATATAATGAGAAGACCAAGAGGATATAAAATCTTAATAGGAAAATGTTAATATATTGAAGGTGGGGAGGAGAAGAAATGCGGAAATTAATAGAGAAAAAGGGGGAGAAGGGCTCAATTGCTTGTAATGGTGTTAGGTGGAGCCCACGACGATCCCTGATGACAGCTAGGAATCCATAAGGACTGTAGGGTGATCCGTTCACTGGAAGTATTTGGCTCGAGGAACTTCGGTAATGTATATATATCTTTAAAAATTGCCGGGGAGGTATATATAGTGCAGTATGTAAAGTCAAGTACCGGGAGAAGATCTAGATATATACTGTGGTCCCCGTGGAGACAATGAACGTGGTGGTTTCCGAGTCACGGGTTATCCACAGTCTTTCATGTGGCTGACCCAGCAGAGATCTATAGATAAACCCTGCATATGAATGCCCCCAAACGTACGCTACCCTGAACAGAGATATACGGTACCCCGGGATCTCCACACATGCAATAAAGGAATATTTAGATCAAGCCAGTCGAATATTGTCCAATATAATACAGGTAGAGCAAATGGAGTAATCAAAATCAACCTCCATAACCAAAGTACGAGAAGGGAAAACAACAGCAATAACGAAAACCGTGGGAATACACCAGACTCCACATAATGCAACCCTGTCGTAGTGGCTATGATACATGGGGTAAAAAAAAGATCAAGACTCCCCATAACGCCAAATAGTATCGGTCTAGGATGTGTGGCCATTGGAATGTACATAAAATCATGCGATATTGCCCGCCATTCCCATGAAGATGGCTTGCGCAGCCAGCTGAAGAGACCAGAATCCAACTTTTTTGAATCGCCGTTTGCGGGCTTGGTCATCAACGACGTCTCGAGCAAAGGCATCGTAGGTCTGAGAGAGATAGGTTAGCTTAGCACCACCGCAAGAAAAGAGAGAGAGATAGGGGGGTAAAAACAATCAAACTTACAGCGGCTGACAGATCGTCCATCAATCCACTGTCAAAGATGGTCCAGCTGCCATCGAAATCACCAGCGCGCTTGACGAGACGGCAGTTGATGGGAATGAAGGTACGCTTTGAGTTGATGTACGCGACAATTGGGCGAATGAGGGCGTTGTTGATATAGGAAAGGTCCCGGGTAAATATGGGGACAGCGGCACGAACGTTGTTCATTTGAACTCGCAAGTCCATCATAAGGAATCGCTTGTCCGCGTCGGAAACGGGTTCGAGATCGACATCGTTTTGCTGACGCAGGGAGCCTGAGTCCTGATTGGAGGTAACGGTGGCTTCCAGTCGATCATAAAAATCTGCCATTACCTTTGCTAGGCTCTCATCGTTCTCGGCAGGGAACATGATGTCGGCCACAATGTCCACAGTACCTTCATGGATCCAAGAGAATGGACCCTGGACGCCGCGGTTCAGATGATCAACATTGAGCCCGTCGACACGAATTCTGCTGTGTTTTTTCCATGGGCTGGCTTGACCATCTTCCTCTGTACCTTCATCCCATTGGCCCCCTGTGAAGCCATTTGTCTGACGCGGGTGGATAGTGAACAGGGAATTATCAAAGGAACCCGACATCATATTTGCCGACAGAAAGTCGTAGAATAACCATTGCTTCCGCAGCTGAGGAAGGTCACAAGAGAAGATGCTGATTGAGAATGGTCGGAAGTTATCCGGTTGATAGACGGTCACCAATACATCATGCATCTTAAATGAATCAATTTCGAAATCGCCGGGGTGATGCTCGTGTCGGTAAGACTTGGGATCGAGGTCATCCTCCGGCCAGAAAACATGCCGGCGGTCGATAACACCTCGGATTCCCTTGACTTCCACATCCCGCAACGGTCCCTTTCCATTCAACCACTTAGTGAATGACAGCGTCACGTTGACGGTTTCAAGAGACACGTCAAATTGTGTGTAATTGGTATCCTCTTCTTCGAACACGAGTGGATCCTCGAGCCCGGGGTCACCTCGGGCAGCGGCAGCGGCAGCAGCGGCGGCGGTCTTTGAAGAACCTTTGCTGACATGGCCCGTACCTTGCCCTGGCCGCCTCGAAACAAAAACGTTCTTGAAAGTAATCACGCCATTTTTCCACTTGGGTACAATGGCAGACTCAAAGACAACCTGGACGCCAGAGGACTTGGTCAAGTAATTGCCCACCCATCCGGCCAACGTTTCTGAGACCTGGTTAACATTTGGGCCCCCGATCAGTAGAAAGAAAAATAATCCACGTACCTTGTGCGAAGACGGTGTTGATGGCCAAGATTAGAAGGGAGAAAAATGTAGTTGTTCCTACTACGACCCATACGACATGACCTAGGAGGACCCAGGAGAAGAGTGCTGCTATTTCATCAAGGTTGAAGGGCCGTACACTTCGTATCGAGAACCACTTGAATCGCACCTTGAGACGCGACCAAAAACCAGTTGCTGCTGCCAGAAGCTCTTCTTTTGTTGGTCGGTGTAAATGTGGTATATGTGGTAATCGGTTCATTAAATGGCGATTGGAGGGACGTGCGGGATGTGCATCATGCGGTTGCAGCTTCGAAGGCGGATTTTGAGTGGTATTAGCAGTGTCTTGGATTACTGGAGAAGAATCATCGGCCTTTGAGGCCTGGTGACCGCCGGAGGACCCTCCATTATGTTGGTCACTTCTTGGTGTGTGAAAAGCTCGTTTCCAGAGATAGTATGGTGATGTAGTTTTGGAGGTTATGATGCACGCTGCATTTGTTTCTGCCGCAGTGGAGCTGGGAGATACGAAAACGAGAAAGCCGCCCGAAGCAAATCTTCTAGTCAGATGGGTTGTTTTCCCAGCTGGAGTGGACAAGCGCCGCGGACCAGCCACGAACGAGTCGAGAAGCTTCCTTGACGAGGCGTCGGCGGCGGAGATGCGATTTGGTATGCGGCCGAAGAATGGATGGGCCGATTCCCAAAGTTGGGTGTAAAGCCGGCGTCCGAGGTTGGCGGACATCTCTATCTTCACATCCTGCGGGGGATTGTAGAAAGTAGAAAAGAATAGCTAGAGCTTCCGTCACTTGGAGAACTTGAGAAACTGGGATTGGGAGAGATGAAATCATCCGCTGTTTGTGCTGTTTGCACAGGGAAAAATCGGGCCGCCCACAAGTTCTTCTGGTAGAGGGGCGATAAATTTTGCGATAACAGACTCATCTTTTTTTCCCCTTCTGGTCTTACACACAAACACATTCACGCACAATGCCTGCCCCTACTGCTATTCTTCAACCGGTAGAACCTGCAGGAATTCCCGCAGCTCAATTTCCTGGTAAGTTACTGCCTAGATCGCATAGATCGAGATCTTCTGAGATGCGCTAACTCCATTGATAAGACCAGGACGATGAGGTTCTGATTGATGCCCAGGCGGACCTGGACGTATCCAAGCCTGTGGAAAATTCGCCCGAAGACAATGAGATGCGCATCGACGAAGAGGGCCGCCCCGTTTTCACACCTGCAAAGGAGACCAGCGCCGCCTATCGGGTCGAAACTCGAAAGGTACCCGTTCCACCTCACCGCATGACACCCCTCAAAGCAAACTGGACCAAGATCTGCCCTCCGATTGTCGAACACTTGAAGTTACAGGTGCGGATGAATGTGAAGAGCCGCGCAGTGGAGTTGCGGACCTCCAAATTTACCACCGACGTCGGTGCGCTGCAGAAGGGTGCAGACTTTGTCAAGGCGTTCACCCTCGGATTTGATATTGATGATGCGATCGCCCTCTTACGACTGGATGATCTTTATATCGAGACCTTTGAGATCAAGGATGTGAAGACCCTGAATGGAGAGCATCTGGGTCGTGCTATTGGCCGAATTGCTGGCAAGGATGGAAAGACCAAGTTTGCTATCGAAAATGCCAGTCGGACCCGAGTTGTCCTGGCCGATGCCAAAATTCACATTCTCGGTGGTTTTAAGAACATTCACATAGCACGAGAGGCCATCGTTAGCCTGATTTTGGGTAGCCCTCCGGTAAGTTTGTACCACATACACAGGCATCATGGAGCAAATTTTTAACCCACAAATAGGGCAAGGTTTATGGCAACCTTCGAACGGTGGCTTCGCGCATGAAGGAGCGTTTCTGATTTCATACTCTCTTTCAAATTCTCCTTGGCATGGTATGGGCGTTCTGGTGCATTTCAAGTGCGGGCTTTCTAAAAAGATACTATATCCGAGTGACGATGTTTAAGAGCTCCATTTACGGAAAGTTACTTATGTTTATGTTACCTTGAGTACAAATGAACTACAAAGGGATTTCAAAATCGATTCCATATTCTCATGTTAGAAGGCTGTCTTAGACAAGGGATAAGATATTTCTAATCCTTCTTCAAAGGGTGGAAGACTTCCTGGATTCCATCCCGGGTGATGATCATCATTTGCAAGTGATCACCAACCTCGATATGCCGCTCCACCGCACTTGTGAATGCATCCCGCACCAATTGCTCCACTGTCGATTGGGGCAGAGGCTCGGGTTTCTTTTGCTCCAGTGCATGTCCTTCTCCGCTGCCGGGAATGTATTGATTCTTGAAGTTGACCTGGTTGTCCAGGAAGGGCATGATCAAGCTTGCTGCCGCACCGGCCGCCCGGCATTGCTCCCGTTCGTATGATCCCACGGGATCATAGCTGTACAGAGCGCCTTTGCCTTCCTCGTCCAGACCACTCAGGATGGCGGTAACGTAGTAGGGAAAGAATCGCTTCTGGTATAGGATTGTAGACAGACGCTGTGCACACGCGGAAACAGACATGGGTTTCCCATGTTGGTACTTGTACATCTTCACCACGGCGTCCAGTCGTTCCTTTAGGGCGTTGCCATCCGCGGCGAAACCGACCACGGATAAGACAATGTGAGCTCCCTCCCCAGTCTCATCATCACCACCGATCTTGAAAACCTTTGGAACCATGCGAGAGTTGATATTGTAGCCTGATGTAGAGCGGGTGTCGCCAGCAAGGATCGCGAAATCGGATCCAGTGATGCCCAGGGTCGAGCCACCATTGTCGGTGTACCTAATGATATCATAAGCTTCAAACATTCAAAGGCAATCAAAATGATGGATCTCCTACGGGTAAAAACCATGTTGCTTGACAGGGGCAGCTGTGGGTTCAGAGAAGGAGTAGCCGATACCCTCACCACCAGCTGGGTGACCCAGAAGCGACGTCATTGTGAAGAATAAGATGTAGCCGGATAAAGGTTTGCTACAAAAGAGTATTTAGAGGTGGTAAATGGTGACCAAGTAGTCAAGAATCGGTTGAAAGTTGGATTTGGGGAGAGGAGAAAGCTGGTCAATGTTCTAAGATGTCTGACGCGATGCCGTAACCAACTTAGCTGCCTTTCGCTTATGTAACATTTAGCCTCAGGCGGTCCTTCGTTAACTTGTCAACCTCGAAAGTATTCTAAACTCTGTACAGTACTGGAACACGCTCAGCACAATTTTGTGGGAGCATTGCGACATTGCACAACTATTCGCTTCTTGTTCTGCCTGCACGCCTTCATTCTAGGGAGAGTACCCTTTTTAGGGAAGATTAAGCTACAGGCCGCATCATGCTCGGTCTAGGTGCTTATGACAGCAGCAGTGAGGAAGAAGTTGAAACGAAGACCCCTGCGCCTCAGGTTCGAGCTTCGATATTGCCATGTATTGGGTTATTAGACTAAGAACTCTCTCGCATAGCACACACAGCAACATCTCGAGGCTTTGCAAGCCAATCAGGTCAAAGGTGATTCTAGCATGCATTCAAAACCAATTGATAATCCCCACACTGACTTGCGCCCTTAATTTCAATTAGACCAGAATGAAGCCGATGATTCTCCAAGTCAACTTGGCCCAAGCACCAGCAATGTAGCTCCGAACGGTCCTGTGCTAGGCCCGGCAGTTATGAACACAACTCCCTACCCGGAAGAGCGCCCAGCAGGCGGCTACACTTCTCCCTTTTCAGCATCCCGGGCTTTGATTCAGGACTTGACACTGCCTCCAGTTCCTAATTTGGATATCCCCCCATCCCCGTCAGGATCCCCCGACCCTGCCGCAAATGCCAAGTTCGAGCATTTCCTTTCCCTCAAGAAAAATGGCGTACATTTCAATGCAAAGCTGGCAAGCTCATCGTCCTTGAAGAACCCGAGCTTATTGATCAAAATGATGGAACATGCTGGGATTGATGAGCAAGCACAGTATGATACCTCCTTACCAGTGGAACTCTGGAATACCTCCACCCTACCGCCCTGGGCATTCAAGGAAGAGCTCCTCCGGGCTCAGCAGGAAGCTCGGCAAAGGATGGACGATAAGAAGGCATCTGGACAGAGATCCTCCATTGAGTTTGTCTCCAGTTCTCCTACGCACGGATCAACTTCTAGCATGGAGATCAAAAGAAAAGGCAATCCGTGAACGAACGGATTGACGTTAGCTCCAGGAACAGTATCCTCCGCAAAACTCGGACTTCCTTACATCTGGATAGACCTGCAGGCTAGGGATGAGCTGCTCTAGCCTCGTGACTACGAATACTCCTTTTCTATCACCCCATACAATAGGGATTATTTCCCGACAGTCGAGGCTTGCCGGAGTTCCAAGCCCCAGGCACATAGTATAGAACTGTGAGGATCTATTGGCAGACTTCTAAATGCAGAGAGAAGGCCAAAATTGCAAAAATGGGACAAAAAAACAGATGAATGGCTATTGTACATAGTGCGGCTTGACGACCCTCTCACGACCCTCCAGCTGCGGCAGCAGCTTGCCTGTTACGACGCTCGAACCTTTCATACAGGCTTATATATGAAAGCAAGACCATCGTATCAAACCACTCCCCGTGATCCTCCTTGATCTGCAATCTCCCACATTGGCCAATAGACCGTTTGCTCGTGAATACCGCCACCAGGTCACCGCTTCTCTCATCAATCAGCTTGAAGTTCCGAGGATTCCACGATGGTGTTGTATCATCGACTCCTACTGAGCGTGTTCGCTTCCAGAGCAAGGCTCGTCTTTGCCCGTGGATGCCCTCAGACCGGCTAGACATGTTCACTTCAAAGCGATACGTTTGGTGCATCCAAGAAGATTCCCTGGTCATATCCTCCCATTGGACATTGGTCACATCGTCGGGGTCCCCCAATGCCAATTTCAAATCACCGGAGAACTTGAGGAGTTTGCTGGCTGCCACCACGGGTGCATCGACGCTTGTTCCTCGATGCAAGGTGAGGTCGGGCTTAGCGTACTTGAAATTGGATACCTCCCCGAAGTATATGAGTTGGTCTGCTGCAGATTTGACTTCATAGCGCCGTCTCCACCGCTTTCGATAGATGATGTAAAGACGAGATGAATCCTGTTCATCCAGTTCTGGGTGGATAGATTGAATCGATTCGGATGGAGTCAAGTCAGAGGCCATGGTATATAGTATGTGCGGTTCGTGAAGAAGGAAATTTAGCGTAGATGGGTGCAGGGTAACCGGGGGATCATATTTATGTCTACTAAAGTCCCTTGATTGACCGGTATGCCGTGCGGATACGAAGCCTTTCAGAGGCTGAGCATACTATTACCATGGTTCTGCCAATAAGAAGACCGGTATGGACTTGGCTGCCTCGGGGCTCGGGCACCAAGCGAATACGACGAACTTGATTGGGACAGATATCGCGAGCGTCTACGTCTATATCGTAGTTCCGTAGCATAAATTTCACAGGGAAACCAATTATAAAACACGAAATAAAGCCCACATACTATTCGCTTTTCATCAGAGACTTGGTTCTTTACTGCGTGTATTTCACCAGTTAGTTGGTGGAATCCATTGCTTAGTCATTCAGAGCTCCGTCAGCTTCGCCTGCCTAAGCTCCGTGCATCGTCATCGTTCAATCCCTACGCTGCACTCCCTTCATCTTCACTGCTTGATTCTGCCCTGTATTTGAACTTCTTCTTTTCAAAAATTTCTGAGACCTTCTTGATTGATAATGGACCATTTCCCGGGAACTTGGGGTCGAGTATGGACTCCCAGCCATGAACCCGTCCACTTCGTCGCTAACAGCACATTACAGCCCAGGAACGATGTTTACGGCGCCTACAACCCCGCATATCTTCAGACCACGGGCCCTAAGACACACACCTCTTCGCCGGCAGTGACTGGAACGTCCGTCATAGGTGTGAAGTTTAACGGTGGTGTCGTTCTGGCCACCGACAATCTAGGTACGCAACCTTCAAGCATCCGGCTCGGATTGCGAGATCAAACTCCTGACTTTCTTTTTTTTTTATTGCCAACTTCTAGCCTCCTACGGATCCCTGGCACGCTTTACTGATGTTAAGCGCCTGCGAGTCTTCGGCGACAACGCCGTTGTCGGCTTCGGTGGAGATGTGTCTGACATGCAATACATCGACCGATTGCTCGAATCCATCGATATCAGAGAGAACTACTCAACCCACGGCAACATGCTAAACGCCAAGAATCTGCACACTTACCTCTCCAAGGTTTTCTATAAGCGACGCTCCGAGTTCAACCCATTGTGGAACCATGTCCTCGTTGCAGGCTTCGACGTGGATGGCAAGCCGTTCCTCAGTTCAGCGGATCTCCTGGGCACAACCTTCTCCGCTCCTCATCTAGCCACTGGGTTTGGTGCTCATCTTGCCGTTCCCATTCTGCGACGACGGTTCCCTGAAGAGATGCCCATTGAAGATATCACCCGGGAGGAGGCCGTGTCAGCCTTGAAGGACTGCTTGAAGGTCCTTTTCTACCGTGATGCCCGCAGTATCGACAAATATTCGATAGCGGTCATTACCAAGGAGGGCATTGACCTCAAGGAGGACGAGCAGATCGAAGGACAAAGCTGGGCATTCGCGGAAAGAATTAGGGGATATGGCCGCCAGACAAACTAATATCATTTCGATTTGGTTTTCCCCGGTGATAGTTACCTACAGGAATAATTCCATGGATGTTGAACAATTGCAAAGTGTGTTTCTGGTACAACTCGACCAGGATGAGCCAGAATGGTAGATCTCTAGATGGTGAGGGGTTTTCTCAAGACATATAGGTCTACCTATAGGGATTGGCCCTTGTATAGCCCACACTCGTACACTTTGTTTTTAGAACTCTTCGAGGCATGTGCGTGAGAACACGCCTCGTATCAAGGGCCACATAAATTGCAGAACAAAGCCGTATTGTGACGGAACAAACCCACTTGAGAATGCAGATACAAAAAAATAAAAATTCATACAAGATTTGTCCTTCAGCCATGGCCCAGACCAAAGTGAGGGCGTTCAAGCGGTCAATGGGGTGGATCCGCGTACAGTTTGGCGTCGACAGGTACCTGCGCCTCACAAGGGATGTCGTTTTATATCATAGTACTTACAGCATTGCTAACTCCTGGTGCTGATCTACGTGAGGATGCTTTTAAGTAGGCTTGGAAGTAAAGTATTTCTTGCGTCATACAATATCTTATCGTGTATGGATCGGATCATATTGGCTTAACGTGTGAAGCTTTCCATCTTACGTGTTTCAATATGTGATATATCCATAGCTTGTAAGTCCTGCACTCTGGTTCTCCCTTACTGCAAGGCTAGGCCACGCGGTGAAGAGGTTGCGAGCTGGCAACTTTAAATTGCAGATGCAGTGCAGGATCAGAAGCATAATTGGAATATCATTAAAATCATCATTAAACCAGATTGAGAAAATGTCTCAATGAGAACTATTCAGAACGCCCGTATATCAAGCCTGGAATGGCAAATCAAACGAGGGTATATCCATTCCAATTCAGCAGACTCCATCCAAAGCACCTTGAAAATCCGAATCTAACGTTTGACACCAACTTTTGTAGAACCCTTCCAATAGCATAAAACCAAACCACCAAGAAGTAGAATTCCAAAGAGACATGAAGAATAAAAAAGAAAGAAAAGCCACACCGGCATTCCGGTATTAGCCAAGTGCAAAAGAAGTCGACATATGAACATCAGGCCGTGGACGCGCTTTCGTCAGCTTGCGAGGCCGTTGGTCCTGGCTACGGCTGCGGGGCCGGCCTCGGGACTCAATGAGAGGAAATTCCCCGTCATTATCTTCTCCAACTTGAAGATGATCAGGAGACAAGATCGTCGGCAGAGGTGGCACCTCGATGCCAGGTCTTTGGCACCACACCCGACCGCTTCGTTGGTTTCGAGCTCGGGAGTGCGAGGCCCCTGTGTCGTACTCCTCGTTTCCGTGGAGGCGATGCTCGGATGCAGATCGGTATATCCGGGATTGAATCTCTGTGCTGGCCTTTCGTTGAGAGCTGCTTGTTGTCTCCAACGTGGCCGATGAGCTTGAGCTACATGAATTATCAAGCGCTGTGGCGCAGAAATGATCCATGTAGAAATTGCTTCTGTTGTAATTCGCCTGCCCCTCCTGGAAAGCAAACGGATATGGAGAATTGCTTGACTCGATCGCGAGATCCTTCTGGGTGGGGTATTCTGTGTATCGAGGTGCGCACAGCGTAGATCGACGTGTCCTCGTTCCAGGTCGCATCTGCGCATTGGCGCCATTCTTATCATACCAGCGACTCGAAGTAGGATGTGGCCGAGAGTAATTTCCAACGGATTTCTCTTGGAAGCGGAGCTGGATCTTCTCATCCCTAGTACACGACACCGACGTCTGAGAGTCAAAAGACGCCCTTGTTCGGCTGCCTTGGATTGAGCGAAGCGAAGTGGCGGAGCTATAGCCACTATCAGACTTGTTGAGTGATCGAGATGTGCTTCGGTCCAATCCAATTCCCATGGGACACTTCTCAAGCTGGCTCTCATCACACATGGCAATTCCCTCATCGTCCAGCTCTCTGAGCAAAGTCTTTCCCCGCGGAGGTACGGTGATTGTAGGAGACTTCTCGAAGGAGAATGGGCTCCCTGGAGCATCATCAGGCCTTTTCATGTCAGACACCGAGCATGGCTCCAGCGTCGCTGGACACGTCGTCTGAATAGCCTCGAGACCAAGCCCTGGAGTCCGGCTGAGTGGAATACGTTCGCTTGGGCACGGGGATGCAGAACCATTGACTACGCGCAGAGAACCAAGTTTCAGCGCTCCAAGTTGAGTGTATCGAGCATCCGCGGGGCTTGTGGGCCGTGCCGGTAGTGCAGACGCAAGTGGGGGTCGCTGCCGCGGGGGTAGACACCAATGTGAAAGAGTTGACTCTGAATCGTCCATCTCTGGCTCCCCAATTGGTGATGGCATGCGTCGAATTGCGCCTGTGGTCCGTCGAGTTGCCACCCCAGGGCGGGTCAGTAAAGACCGTCGACGGGTCAATGAGAAGCGTTGATTGCCCACCAAGAAATGGGTGTTCGAGGATGCTGCATCTTCCATAGCATTGTCATAGATGGCGCTCCGTTGTCTTTGGAGACTAATTTGAACCGAATTCGCCCGCCTTGGCTGCTCCGCAGCGATTGATGGTGAGGAATTCGGTGACATCACTGGCTGGCTGGCTCTTTTACCACCAGAGCCGGCCGAGAGGGAGCTGGAGCGTGGTGGTAGAGCATCACGAGGCGAAACTGATTCCTTTGGTGTCCCTGGCTCCAGGGAAGCTGGTTCTGGCTCGGTCGGAGAGGGAGCCTCACTCGTTTGTAAACCAGGGGCGTTCTTCACCTCCGAGATTGTTGAGCCCACCCATGGATTCTGCCATCCAATCAAGCCGGAAGCTAGCTCTGCAGATTCATATTCTGAGCGGGATAAGTGTGGGGAGCTGAATGTGAACTTCTTGGTCAAAGGCTTGGAAAGGCGATTGGAACGGCGGTTGTCGTTCTTAGTCGAAGTGGATTGGAGATTGCCCATGGCTCTTCAATGCTTTCTTTTTCTTTCCCCGGACTTTGGCTTTACAGGGCCCAGCACTGCATGAGGGTGACAACCGGAATAATATACAGATCGATCCGAGCGGGGAAAGATCCACGCGTGAGGGTCCTATAGATCCCAAGGATCAAAGTGACGTCAAGCCAACGATTGTCCAGAGATCAATCCGAGCCCCAGCTCGTACGCCCCGTTGAGTTGAGAATTGAGCGTGCGATTGGCGGCTGGAGGATCTCCGCACGGAAATGATGGGAGAAGGATGATGTTTCAGATTGGATGAGCTCAGGATCGGTTGGCCCGGGAGGGACAAAGAGAAGGAGGTTACGTCAAAAAAAAAAAAAAAAAAAGGGAAACTCTAGATTCCCTTTTGTAGGTTGTCGTGACCAGGTTGTTGTTGGGGTTTCTCGTATTGCTCGTGTCTTTTTTTATGTTCTTCTCGTTCCCCCTTCTGGTTGCTACTTCCTGCGTAGACTTCAAGGGTGAACCCCAAATTGCGCCCAAATTATAGATTAGGGTGAAACTAAAAGAAGGAGGGAAGTGATGCAGAAAGTACTAACTATAAGGAAACAAGGAAAGACCTGCAAGCGGAACAAACTGTATACTATCGATCAGGTCAGATGATTGGTTCGGCCTTAGCCGCAAGCGGGAGTCATGGGTACTTGCCTTTACTAGCGGTTCACTATGCTAAGCCTTGTACCTCGCACCTGGACCCAACAACTTACCCGCCTTCATCCCAGAAAACCTGATACAACTCCATTGTCTCCCGTCTTCGTTAAGAAGCCACGGAATCACTCTACTGTACTACTCTATAAAGCACCCCACTTGACTTCCCCCTCTTTTCCACCCCACTTCGTCCCCCTCTAAACCTGCAACCGGACGTTGACAGGGGGTTCAGGATGGTACTGTCCGTCTTTCCATTCCTGTTGCCGGCCGAGTTTGAGAGCGCGTGTCGAGATCTGGCCGATCGCTGCACTTCAGCCCAAAGTGCCGGGGGTTGGTTCATTCGACTTGTCACACAGGTATGGAAGCTCTAACTCCCCCTCTCCTTGCCTAGTGCATATGGCAAATATATTGCCAATGGCTTTTCTGGAAGTATGATGGAATCCGACATCTGACGTAGAGATTGGTCTTTTCTAGAGTCCTAGCCTTCGCATAACAAGATACATGGATGTCCAGACCGACCCCATCCATGTAGATCCACATGAGGCTTACATGATACGGATGGAGGAAGAGGATCCGGTCGGCAATGCTTCCCCTCTTATTTAGGAATGATCTACGTTTACAGGTCTAATGCTCTACACAGGAGGCGCTGGTTCGTACCGGTCTCAACCCAAAATTACAGGTAGATTATGATATTGTGCTTTCCCCCACATATCAGGTCCCTGTGTTGTATTTTGCACTGCGATGGCACCATTATGATGGCCCGGTGGGGTTGGATGCCGTCTATCGTTATGTGGTCCCGGAGCAATACCAAAGAGAATTGAAGAGTGTGGGAATCATGGGTGGGATCAGCTTTGGTGTAAGGGTGCTCTTTCTTGTGAACACCGACCAGGAGCTCATGTCTTCGTAGTATCATCCAGAGTCGGGCTCTCCGGCCTTCTTTGTTCACCCGTGCAACACAGCCGACGCCATGGCGCAGGTGACAGACGCTCGGAGCGCTACTGCTGGGACGTATCTTCTCATCTGGCTCGGCCTCGTAGGTCATTGTGTGAACCTGCACATCTCACGCGAGCTGGTGACCTCTGATAGTGCCGGACTATCCTGAGGCTCGATTCAGGGATTGCAGGTAAAAGGGCAAAAAAAAAAAAAACAAGAACATGGTGAACATCGGGAGCTTTGGTCGCTCCCCCGGGGCCCAGTTGGGCTCTTCCCCCTGGAATACTCTTTAATCTTCTTCATCAGATGAAGCTTCCATGGGCACATCGCTGTCTTCGTCCATTGGAGCTTCCTCTTCATCACTTTCCTCCTCGCGGGCTCGCTTGGTTCCGTGCGACTCTCCATTGACCTCGGTCGGTCGTGCAGGGACTGCGCCCGGTGGACCACTGAAGATAGACTTTTGAAGGTCAGTCGAAACTCCGCTAGGTCCGGCTCCTGCGGCGGGCGCAACGTATGTGCCACGCAGTCGGCCAATGACGTGCGAAGTTCCCTTGCCATAAACAATTTTCTATTCGCCATTAGCATGACAAAACGTCGCGATTTCATGGCACTTGCAACCCACCATCTCCTTGCCGAAAAATTCAAATCCCTGGAGAGCGCGCATCGCCTGTGTGCTGGCTTGAACATCCTTAAACACAATATGAGCCTGACCACGCATTTTGCTGGTCTTCATGGCTACGACGTCGAGGATGGTACCGTAGGTGGAAAATAGGGTATAGAGCGACAATCGCAGATCGTATTTGCGGAGCCTGTCTGGCAAATTGGTGCAGTAGAGTCTATGAATCTTTAGCTTCAAATGCCATGACAATCGCGATCACAGGGCAAGCTCACGTTTGGTTGGGAGGTCCAACAGTCTTGGCGTCCAGACCTCGAGGAGCCGCCTTCGAAGCCATTTTGTGTAAAGTGGTAGACGATGATTTCTGACTAATGTTATACTGGCATGAAAAAGAAAGAGAGGGGCGAAGACTGCGCCTAAGGGACAATGAAGCTCAATGGGAGAATAACGTGCCTGTAAGAGTGGATCTCTAACTGCGAGAAAACGAACGCAGTCATGTGATGTTTGACATAATCCCCCCGTGGACCCCCCCGCGGCGTCATCGCCAGCTGTTGATTACCTCCGCATCTATCCGTATCCTATTTCTGCCCCATCGACGGTAGAGAGCTCCTCCTGTCGTACCTCTTGAACAATGGCCTCTCCTCAGGTTCACCACCTTTTTCATGCTCCCATTGCAGACCACTCCTTCTCGTCCGACCGCCAAACCCTTGCCGTCGCCCGCGAAAACAATGTGGAGCTGTACCAGACATCAGGCAACAAGTTTGAATTGAGCGATGAACTGAAAGGCCATGAGAAGACTGTCACCAGTGTGGACATTGCTCCCAATAGTGGTCGTATTGTGACTTGCTCTCAAGGTCTGTACACATCTGTAGACTGGACTTGTAATGAGAGCTGACCTGTATTGTAGATCGCAATGCCTATGTTTGGGAGAAGACTCCTTCTGGCTGGAAGCCTACTTTGGTCCTCCTTCGGATCAACCGAGCTGCAACATTCGTCAGGTGGTCTCCCTCCGAACAAAAATTTGCCGTCGGTTCCGGAGCCCGTGTCATCGCTGTTTGCTACTTCGAGGAGGAGAACGACTGGTGGATTTCGAAGCACCTAAAGAAGCCCATTCGCAGTACTATTACCACCCTGGCCTGGCACCCAAACTCGGTTTTGCTCGCTGCTGGGTCCACTGACTCGCATGCTCGAGTCTTCTCCAGCTTCATCAAGGGTATCGATGAGCGCCCCGAGCCCAGCGCCTGGGGTGAGCGTCTGCCTTTCAACACCATCTGTGGTGAATACCTGAACGACTCCGCTGGCTGGATCCAGGGTGTCGCTTTTTCCCCGAGTGGAAACGCTCTTGCTTTCACTGGACATGACAGCAGTGTCACGGTCGTGTACCCCAGCGCACCGGAACAGCCACCTCGAGCTATGCTGAACATCTCTACCCGCCTTTTGCCATTGAACAGTCTCATTTGGAATGGCGAGAATGAAATCCTTGCTGCTGGTCACGTAAGTTTTTCCGTATGTATGCGGATGATTTGAGTACTAACATCTTTGATATAGGATTGTGAACCATTCCGCTTCCAAGGCGATGAGAATGGATGGCAGCTTGCTGGTTCTCTAGAGAAGTCGACTGGGGCTGGGGCGGGTCCTCGTGAGGAGTCTGCGCTGAACATGTTCCGCCAAATGGATCTCAAAGGCCAGTCTCAGGTGGACACCAAGCTGAAATCGACCCACCAAAACACTGTGAACACCCTCCGTGCCTATGATGAGGCTAACGGACAGGTGCGCTCTTTCAGTAGTAAGGAATTCCCTCCCCTAATACGTCTTTGTCAGATCCCATTCTAACGCCACACCTTTAGCGAGTGGAGTTGATGGCCGCGTTGTGATTTGGTCCACCTAGGCTTCATATAGCTAGATCCCCCAGTCTACCTAGAAATAAAGAGATAAAAACACCATAATATGCCCCCCGTTTAAAGCATGTACATACCTATCCCTCTCAATCAGCACTTTGCCATGCCTCTTATTAGTCAACTAGTTAGCTCCTACCAGATCATTGCGTAATCAGGTACCTGGGTCTGCAGATCGTTTACCTAAGCATGCAGCTCCCCGGATTCTCCAACCCGAACCTTGATTTGTTCACAAGACCTGAGTTCTTCAACTCAAAGAACATGCTCTACCATAGAGTTCTTGCGCTAATACATTGCCTATGGGTGGTCGTTTGCATTGCATCGTCCCCAGATGAACCACAACCTGCCCTAAATGAGTTGTTCAACTCCCTCGAGGAGTCGTCGAGACTAGTAGACATCGCATACTGTGTGGGGACCACTGGCGTCCAAGAGCCATTCCAGTGCCTCAGCCACTGTGCTGAATTCCCAGACCTACAGCTACTTACTGTGAGTCTTCTTGGGGAGAAGTAAAAGTGTGAACCCAGAATAAAGAAATCCTCACATCCCATAGACTTGGAACACTGGCATTCTCTTATCCGACTCATGTGGGTACATGGCAGTCTCCCACACACCCGGTGCGAAACGCATAATCCTGGCCTTCCGGGGAACCTACTCGATCACCAACACAATCATCGATCTCTCGGTATACCCTCAGGCCTATGTACCTTATACAGGTGGCGATATGGGCGACGAACCCGGAAATGGATCCGGTGCCGCGCTCCGGGGTCCGAAGTGCGAGAACTGCACTGTACATGCCGGATTCATGACATCGTGGTTGAACACCCGCTCTGCAGTGTTTCCACAGCTACGAGCTGCTCGTGAGCAGTATCCGGACTACGAGATAACCCTAGTCGGGCATTCCCTTGGAGGAGCTGTGGCCGCTTTGGCAGGGTTGGAGATGAACCTGATTGGGTGGAGCCCATCTGTTACGACATTTGGGGAGCCGATGGTTGGTAACCAAGAGTTTGTGGATTTCCTTGACAAGCAGTTCCAAATAGGAAGTCATCACGTTCCGGGTAGTGACCGGGTGACCCGACCATTCCGTCGAGTGACACACGTCAATGACCCCGTTCCCCTTCTCCCGCTCCAAGAATGGGGCTATGCTGCTCATGCCGGTGAAATCTTCATTTCAAAACCAGATCTGCCACCTTTCATTGAGGATCTTCAAATATGCGAAGGGAACCAAGATCCCAGATGTATTGCTGGCTCAGGCACCTCTGCCCTTCTATCGGATATGTACCAGGATGTCAACATCCCTCTCGATGTTCTTAGTACCCGCTTGGATCCGTGTCCTTTACATATGGGACCGTCAGGCACAGATCCAGGGCACCAAGTTCTCCTAGGAACGCAGGAAGATCGAGTCGGAACAGCAGACTGTGCCTCCCATGATGCGACAGCTCCACTCTATCCTCTTCGTTGGGACTGGTCTCTTATACCAGCCCGATATCGTCTCTGGGAGCTCTTCTACGCACATCGGGACTACTTCTGGCGCATTGGTTTATGTGTCCCTGGGGGAGACCCGACCGGGTAGAATGAGGTAATATCTGAACATGTATATTCCTCATCTTGGTTTGATGACTTACTCTGATCTACTTTAATGATATACACAATGACGTGGCTTACCTCCAAGGTTCGTACTTTTGAAATGGACTCTGCCACATATTAGCAAGGGGATTCATCATCACTGGCTCGTTCCCCTGTCCTTCCAATTTGGTGGCGTTGGGCATGAGCCTGTGTCTGTGGCTGGCTGGGATATAAGCAATGTTGAATAATCACCAAATGTCCTCGTAATCGGTCTCGGTCTCGGTCTCGGTCTCGACCCCAAAGGGATAATAATAGAAAAGAATGTTCAAGGGCCCCAATCTTCAGGCGCCTAGTTGGGCGAGACGCCGATGCAAGTGACGGAAACGTGATAGTTACAACGCTTTAATCTGGTGTGATTGATGTTAACTTCAAGATGTAAGGTTTTGAAATCCAAGTGTAAAGAAACCGAAACCGCAACAAGACTGGGTAAACCAAAACGTATAGTGACATTAGATACATAAACATACATCGATCATCAATCATGCATAGAGAGACAGAATACAGCGCAAATAATACGAATCAACAAGTACAGTGCCCACCAGGTATGCCCACAAGATATGCGCCAGTTCCAAAGAAAGAAAACCCCCAAACAGAAACAAAAGAACCTTTCACCCACATCCCGTTCCCAGCCCTAAAAACCAAAATTGACCATTTGTAGCCCTTCCTGGGCCATCAGGTCCGCCCAGTCCAAATCCAGAGTGTGCCCAACGCGCATCAGACGCTCCAATTGTCGCTCGTAGACCGTCTGCAAGATAGCGCGGGTTGTGGCTGCGTTCCGACCCATGCCATCCTCCTCATCCTCCATACTTGTCATCAATTCCATGGCCATCATCTTGAGACCACTAGCCGATGCAGTGGCACCGGCAAGGAAGAGTGGAAAAACAAGGAAGTGCCGGTCAGCACGGCGAGTATTTGTCGTCTGTTCCGCAATCCGCAAAATCTCCGAGGCGTGATGGTCAATTTCTCCATCGGGGCTGAACTCCGACTCTAACCGTTGACCGGACCACATGCTACTGTAGGAGAACAAATGGCAGACATGAAACAGGGTGGCAGACTGTTGGAGAATCTCCTGAGATCGCCGAGGAAGGCTTTCTTGATGCTGGTGGTACCAAGCGACGTCGGGGGCTTCCCACAAGCGCCCGAAGGCTTGGCGCAAGTCGCGCACTTCCTTTGTGCGCTGGTCGAAATCTGCGATGGGCAAGGTTTGCTTCTCCCGGCGGAGCTGTGCTCCGAGGAAACCTAGCTGGGTGGCCAGTCTAAACGTATCGGCATAGAGGCGCATCATGACAGGCAAGCTGTCATGTTCTTCGGGATAAATGACGCTGAAGCCTTCTGCGACGGAAGGGTAGAGGAGACATTCGGATCCCGGGAGTATCTGGTGATCAATGATAGCCCGCACAAATTCGCCATCTCCTGCCCCACTCAGTAGAGCGTACAGGTCAATATGGCAGATCCACCAAATGATGAATGGGTGGGGCTCGCGGCCAAAGTGATTTCGACGCAGGAAAGAAATGTGAAGTAAACGAGAGATGTGATGAGACCAGAGATTTGAGCCATGGGGTTCGGCGGCGGACACCTGTGAAGAAAGTCAATTTATGACATTCGAGCAATAGAATATCTAAAATGATTTATTTACCTCGTAGATCAAGAGTAAAAAGTGAGTCAGAAAGAGGCCATCGGAAACGAGATCCTCGCTGTTGCGCAGGCTGGTCTGGAGCGAAGGAAATGCTTGTTGGTAGTACTGCAACGCGTCGACACTCTGGCCAGTGCCACTGTGCGAGAGACTGAGTGCCGAGACAGCCATGATGGCATGGGAAAGCTGGAAACGATGATCAGTATGCCAAAAGATCATTGACTAGAAGTCGGACTAACCGGAGGGAAGAGAGCAGCTTCGCGCTCAAGGAAATCCACGCTTAGTGTCATACCACTACTCTCAAGCCCAAATGAGTCGTCCTGTTCACGATTATGTGGGAACAATTGTTTCCAGACAACATGACGAAAATGAGAAAAGAGCACATTATCCTGACTTTCTTGGTCGAGGTATGCATCAAAGAAGGATAATTTCTCGTCTTCCAGGATGGCCGGGGAAGGAAGAGAGTCAATAATGGGGGATAAGGAGAGAGCACAAAAAGGATCAGAGATCTCCGAGGTTGGTGAGACTCTTGATGTTCTGCCGGCCGAGGGAGAACGCCGGGCCACATCCTCGAATGTCTTCAGGATGACCACGTTGGGATCATGGGTATTGTTGTTCGACATGTGTCCTGTGGGACTACTCGCCACGGAGCTACCGATTTCAGTGCTCGTGACTATCGGCTTCTCCATTAGATCATCTGCGTATTCCGGCAGTGTGGAGAAGCTGTCTGGAATCACGACCACATGGTACGTGCCCGGGCTGGAAGCTTCAGCTTTTCTCTCCCGGTCTTCATCGGAGGTAAGTAGAGCAAAGGGCGGAAGGGAATCCCTCGGGGAAAAGTAATCCGATCGATTGTCCTCGCTGGGGGTTGGGGAGGAAACTAGGTTTCATGTTAGTGGAGATCGCCGAGTCAGGCTGCGGGTAACTTACGATCCCAGATGTGGTTCCCTTCTGTCTTCACATCGGCCATTCGGCCCATGATGCGGGGAGTGTCATCCCGAAAAGCCAGGCGCGGCCGGTAGTCACAAATATGGCCGAGTCGAGTACATTGCTGGGAGAATCATGAGTTTAGTGGATTTGGCAGCTCGAGCCGAGGAATGCCTACATTGCATTGTGGATGTCCCTCATCACATTTGACTGCCAAGGAATGTTAGCCATAATTCTTGACGGAGATTGGAGAAAACGCCCTTACCTTTTCGACTCTGTAGGATTGACCAAATTGTCTCAATTAAAATGGTTCCTTTACTTTGGGGGGGGGGGGAGAGGAAATTCCAAATTTGACTCACCCGACATGTCCTACAGATTGGTTAGCCGCTGTACTGTTTTGCCAAGCGCGGTAGAAACATACCAACAACCAGTTCTTGATCGCGGGGGTAAACGTATGCGCGGGGGAGCGACCAAACTCTTTTCCGGTTTCCCAAGTATCTCTTCCTTCGGGGCAATTATGGGGAGTCGCAGGGGTCTGCTGGAGGCATGGCCTCGACGGTTTTGCATCACCAGGCTGGTGACCGTCATAAGGCTGACTGAGTGCCCTAGTCCAATGAATCAATAAGTTTAAATGTACAAGCAGACGGGATTGCAACACCTACGGGTAGTGGTAGATGAGTGGAACGTTGGACGAATCGAGATGATCGTCAATTGCGGGGAAGGAAAACCAATTGAGGAGAAGCTTCACAGCGCTGAAGAATTGAATAATAAGAGAGAAAGAGAAAGAGAGAGAGAAAGAGAAAGAGAGAGAGAAAGAGAGAGAAAGTAAAAGAGGGAAGGAGAAAACAATAAGATGCTATGAAGTGAAGCTGGGGAAAGGGAAAGAACCGGGGGAGGGACGAAGGGTTATGTAGGTTCTCACATCACGAGGAACGGGTGGGTTGGTGCATCACGGAGTATGGCGCAGCCCTGTTCCTATCTGGCTTGACGGGTGGCGGGAACCTGTGGAATCTCCTCTGCAAGTACCGAAAAGGAAAGGGGGAATGGGTTGGGAGAGAAGGGAATGGAACTAGGTGTAGAGGTCACAGATCGGAAAGAAGGCGTCCAGGGAAACACGATCCGGTTCGTCCGGGGGAGACAAACCAGAAAAAAAAGTATTAAGAGAAAAAGGAAGAAAAATCCCCAAAATAGTCAAGATGGCATGCAGGTGCCAACCATGTGGGAAGAAAAAAACGAACAAAAAATAAAGAAAAAACTATATAGCTATTCTTACAACCAAGCTAGTGGTTCCGGATGTGGAGGTTTGGGTACAAAGGAAGTATTTGAAATCTTGGACGGGCTGGCTGAAGAGATACGATACCGGATCCGAGGACCAAGGGCTAGGGACAGATTCGCGGGGAAAAAAACAACAGTGAAAATGAGGCTAAAAACAAATTAGAAAAAGAAAAACACCCAAACAGACCCGAAAGTCAGGAAAAACGAGGAAAAAAAACAGAGCAAGACGGAGGTGGATGGGGCTAGGCGGGTCTACCGGGTCTAGGCTTTCAAGGCTGGATGGAGGACCCCCTCGCAATCAGGGAACTCCCCGTTTCACTGTGGTATTGGTCGTATTGGAAGGTATTCACGGAGGAATGTTCACAGACAACGCGGTCTTCCGCCAATCACGATCTGAACTGATTGGTATAGATCCGATATGGTATAAGATACGAAGGAACTGAATCTAGATCACCATGCCCAACACCTCCCTGGATCACTTGAGCCATCCCTCGGTCACTACAATAACTGCCTAGGGAAGATCTTGAGATAAGATGCAAACATGGGGAACATATATATAGAAAAGTGGTCCCTGAGAAGATCGGCGGTTCATAGGATTTTCCAACGTTCTGGCGGTTTTTTTTTTTCCCTTGTTCCGATTCCAGTCTAGCGGTAATCATCTGCAGATTTAAAGCTTCCTGATCTCGCCACGGACATGCCCGAAGGTTAAGCGAGTGGCGTTTCGACTAGCTTCTGAGGTGCAGAAACATGATTCGCACTCGCCTTCTCTTTTTTGACTGGGCCCCGCGATGCTATCGGAGCAAAAGATCGAATCCGTCGGGCTGTTCCCCACTTTTCTCGCTCATCGGACGAATCCTTAGGTCTCGGATGTCGAACACCAACCATGAGACGTCCAAATGATGGAAAAAAAAAAAAAAAAAAAGAAAACAAATTTACAGAGAACCAAGAAATAGTATGATCCACGGTCGATCCACCATCCACGTGGTTTTTATCTTTCGGTTGGGTGGAAGGTGGAATAATCAAAAATAAATCATATTCCCCAATGGAATAAACTGATCACCTCATCTCAAATCGCTAGGAAACTAAGCTAGTGGTTCCCTAGTTCCCATGGCACCCTAAAAATGGTGTAGTTGGGAATCTACACCAGCGCCTGGGCCTCATCGAGGATGCGTTGGACCGTATTCGATCGTTCGCTGGCCCTCCACCCCCGGAGCATGTCACCGAAGGAATCCGGCACATCGCGTACTACAGGTCGCAGTTTCAGGTACACTAGAATGGCTTCTGCACGACCCTTGCGGACCACTTCAACTGCGTTCCGGTCCTGCGTGAGCAGAATTGCCAAATCGTTCATCGGCCCCGCCAGAACCTGTTCACCGGGCGCCGTCCACCCATCCAGTCGGAGAAAGAACGCTTGGAGCTCATGGTAAACCGTGCTGACGACCTGTCGTCCCCCGTGGGTCAGGGCCTGGTCCAGCGGACCGATCACCTGTTGTATGTATCCTCCCAGCACTGTGGTTAGGCTTAGCTGGGCCGACGCTAGGGGGTTCCCATAGGGCAACTGACCTTCGCCCGAACCGGCCGTAGCGGGGTTCAGACATTGCAGGAGGCACTGCACACACGCCGCAAGGGTGTCATTGGAGTCTGGCCCATTCCCGGAGTCTATCTCCATCCCGTCCTTGAATTCCTCAATCACGGGGATAACTATCTCAAGGGCCTGGGGCATGAAATCGACGTCGCGGACTTGGGCAATCTCACCCAGAGCCCGTAATCCATGCGGCCGATATGCGGCGTTGGCTCGCTTCGCTTCGCGGATGGCGATGGTCTGACTCCCCAACTTTCGTTAGCTTCTTTTCTTTTCTTTTCTTTTTCCTTTTTTCTCCTCCTGTCTGACAACCATAGATAATAATACTTTTAAAAAAAAAAAAAAAGCCTAATTCACCCACCTTCATCAGCTCGGCTTGGTCCGGCCGGTCCATCCATAACGCTTTGCCTTGACGGGCAAATTTAACCAGTGCTGTCAGAACCACTTCTTTCCCCTCCCAAGTCTTCCCCGCCAAGGCCTTTTCCAGTACAGGCCAAACCAATTGTGCCGTTGGGAGATCAATCTCCACCTCTAAAGCAAGCACTGCCTGTGCCATGGCACGTGCTGCAGTGTGCTTGATGGCCCACCGTGCCGAGTCCAAGTTGTCGGATACGAGGCTGACGATCTCCCGGAGGTACAAAGCTACTGCGCGAGAGCCACCCACATTGTCTTGCCACGTCTTTTCAAACTCTTCCTTCACATGCTCGTCCGCGTCATGTTTGCAGACAAACACAAATGGGAGTGCAGCCGTAGCGAACGCCATGAAACGATCGTTGGAGAGTTTTGACGACGAATAAAGAATCTCCGCCGCCACCGCCCGAGTAGTGGCATCTTCGGCCTCGAGATAGAGAGTCTTGGCGTAGTCAATGGTTTTGAGGACCCGCTCATCGGACGCCAGTCGCATAAGATACCCGAGGGAGGTACAGTATGACGCACTGACGGTCTCGTTACGGTCCACCACGTATTTGCAAAGCACCTGAATGAATCGATCCGCGTAAGGACGGAAGAGGAGAGCCTTCATGCTCAGCAGGACCAGAACCCGGCTGCAGCCCACTTTAGATGGTAGACCCACGGCGGAGCGAAGAACCTCTTCTAGTTTAGGAGCCAATTCTTGCAAATTCGTTTCATCCAAGTGGTCAATCAAGTACCGCTCAATGACTTCCATCATCGGCGATGTCCGAATACTTGAGAGCCGCATCTTGTCAATTTCCTGGCCCGTAAGCCCATATTTATCGGCATTGAGATGAACGTAGTTGACGGCTTGGGGCTCAAGAGAGCTGAGGGAGCTCAAGAATTTTTCAAGAATGCCAGGGACAAAGGGGTGAAGATGCGTGCCAGAGCTTTTCTTGATAATTTGCACAAGTGCACCAATCGCATATCCTCGCACGTCCTCCACACTGGAGTCAAGACCCTTGTCACTAAGGAGGAAAGGGATGGCACTGTTGAGTAGTGCCCCCGCTCGCTTCTCCGTGCCGCTTGTCTCAAGCGTGCGGATCACGGAATTAGTGATGGTCTGGCAAAGCTTTAGGGCAGCAACTCGTACAGACTCCTTAATATCATCTAGAAGTCTGAACGCTTTACTATAGATGTCATCGAGATATTCAGCGTATACTTCCGGACGGCGGCCTTGAATTAGATCAGCCACGGCGGCACAGCTTGCTTGTCGAACGCGCCACTCGCGCCCCTGAAGCATGCTTTTCAGGAGATCCTCCATGATTGGTTTAAAGTGTGTGTCGATCACAACGGTAGGATCCTTGACGAGGGCTTGCCAGATGGTGTTCATAGACCGCTGTACATTCGGGTTGGGGTCAAAGCGGTATCGGAAAAGCTTGGGATAAATCTTGGGATTTTGTGCCAAGTAGCCATTGACACTGGAGTCAGAGAAGATGGTACTGATCCCGAATCGACCGAATGCTGCCCGATTTGTCCAGAGGGCATTGTTTGAGGCCATTGACATGAATCGATAGACAAGGGTCGGATCGCCCGCCTCGGCGGCCAGGTTCATAATGTCTTTATAGGTGTTGACAGATGAGCCTTCGCCCGTTGGCAGAGCACCGGGCTCAAATAACTGGGTATCTGAGGTAACATTACCACCCCGAAGGTTGGGGCCTGTCGCCGTAAATGAGTCTACCAGGTCACAAACCAGATCATCCTTCAAAGCCTGGTCACCAATCTCGTATACCAGACTGAGACCATGTGCTCCAGTCTCTTGTACAACCTCATCTCGATTTCCAAGAAGGCTTGTAAATGTGGCTTGACACTTGCGTAGGCGCTCCTGCATCTCTGACAGGTGCCCGCAATTTTTGACGAGCGATAAGAGCCAGATGGCGGACGCCTTCCGAAGAGATGGCTTGGGCGCCACACAGTCGGTGATTATCTTGTCACAGATATCGGCAAACACTGTTCGCGGTACATCAGACTGGGGAAATTCTGCATCCACATCGAATTCCTGAATCAGGGCCCGGGAAGCCCACCCAATTGCAACATTACTTAGCGCCTCGCCCACAGTAAATTGAACCTCCGGGCTCTTTATTTCGTGCAAACTGTACAGTGAATCTAAATAATCACCGAGAAGGGGAGAAGCCGGGGATTTACGAGCGAAAGTCAATGTAATGAGACCCAGGGAACTTATAGGCGTATCATTTTCCGACTTCGCATCCTTGAAGAGCTTCTGTTGGACTTTCTTCCAGCCATCCTCTGGCAGCAATTGCAGCGACAGAATACCCGACAAGCCGAGTAGCCCAAGAGACGTCTCTGCAGTCCGCTGAAGAAGGGAATCACGGGAAACGTCGACAATGTCCAATACTGTGTCAATAAATTGTTTGACCTGCATCTCGGGGATCTTATTGAGGAGACCACGGTAGGCAAGTCTGCTGAACAGGTAGGACAATGCTATAACTGCTCCTCGGACACGGAGCGCAGCTTCACCGACGGCCGTATTCCACGACTGGATTGTACTGGCCAGTTGTGCCACAAAGCCTTTCAGCTCATCATCAGGAAGGGAAGGATGAGATGCAAGAATGCCGAACGAGCGGGCTGCCAATTCCTGTATATCTTGGTTATTGCTAAAGATGGGCTTAGTCAAAGATTTCGCCTGGGAAACCAACTTTGCAACAACATCGTTGCTTGTCAGAGAGCAAATCTCCACGAAATGGACGCCACATTGACGTAGACCTGGCAGATCTTCTCTAACTAGCCCCTCAAGCATAGCAGACAAAAATGCAAAGACAGGTTCTTTCGCATTGTTACGAATATACTTTCGAACAGCAGATCGCGCGTCCTCGCTAGTGGAGAGTTGTACCTCAAGCTTATAGTCCCAATCTTCGTCCAAATCAGTCGTAATGCCAGCTGCTGAGAAAGCCTCCCAAAGCAAAGCATTGCGCATGAATGAAATAGCAGGCACAAATGCATTTTTGTAGGGCCCCGTTAGCAGTTGCGACGTGGACAAAGCCTGGAAGGCCAAGGTGTCGTCCTGATCTTCTGAGTTGAGCAGGAAGCGAGTGGCCTCAGAAAAGGTTGGAAACTTGAACCAGGACTCGTCTCGTTTTGGAGTAGCGGCAGTGGCGCTCCATTTTTCATCCTTAGTTGGATTGAGTAGTCGGAACCAGTACGGATGAAGACCTTTCTTGCCCTCCTCCACGATCTCCTGTTGTCTTTCGGGGCCTCTTGCAATGGCCATAAGATCAACCCAACGGGCCACCACATCGTTAAAGGGCAAGAACCGATTCGCAAACCGTACAGCGGCATACTGAACGCCTCGAACAACGGTGAACCCGGATTCCGGGTGAACATCCCCTGGATGCAAACTCATCTGCTGGACCAGAAACGGGCGCAGTTGATTCTGAAAGTCGTGATCATGGCTGTTCAAGGAGGAATTCAGAATGCTCCCTAGTGCCTGGTCAATGCTAACGAATATTTGTGGACTCGAATCGTCGGCACTGAGCGAAGTAAAAAGCCATCGGACCAAATCGAATTCGAAGTTCTCAGCCGTTTCACTTTGAATTTGAAAGTCAACCTTGGGAACCAGAATGCCGATGCTTTCATAGGCAAGGCCTCGGAGGCTCAAATCCGTAGCAGGTAACTTCTGTCCACTCGCACCCGGGCTTGGCCAATTCTGGGATTGAATGAAATCCCTTAAACCGGCGATTAGTTTGGGTGCTATCTGTTTGAGATCCGTTGGGGAGCCCATGCGGACAACCCATGTGGTAAATGTGAAGATCTGAGTTCTTAACTTCGACGCCTGAAGTCCCTGAGCGGACCTTGCGGCGTCCGAAAGGAGTCCATCCTCGATAAGCTTGTAAATCCTTTGGGTATTCTCGGTCGCCTTGATCGACTTCCCTAGGAAAACCAACGCTTTCGCCTGGAGTGGAGGGCGTGCGGGGGGGGCTCCCTGTGCACCAAAATACAGGTCATATAATTGCTGAACAATTGATGGATCTTCAAGATCGATAGCGAATCGCTTCAGAGTCTCGTCGCCCAGGTCAGCGAGGCGGGAGTTTGCGTCCGCAGAAGCGATCAATGAGGGTAAAAATCGTTGGGAATTGGCAAATACTCCGCTTCCAAGGAACCGAAGAGCGATAACTTTAGTCTCGGTCAGATTCAAACCTCCGGGAGCAGCAGGATTCCATGTTTCTTCAGCAGGGACGCCCTTATTCAGAAAGGTATACTCCTCTGGAGACAACCCAGGGCATGTCGGAGCCTCTGGGACCGCAGGAGAGAGAATAAGGAGCTTCCCCAGCCAGAAGGACAGGAATTGGGAGTCTTTGTCGGAAAGATTCAGGCGCTGTTTCAGTTTTTGGTCCTCATCGGATCCCTTGGCTGGTAATTTGAAAAGAGGCAATAACCGCAGGACAAGGTTGAACACAATGGCGCCCTGGGTGACTGATGTTCCGATCTCCGCAATCCCTTGTAGCAAGGGCAGGAGGATCTCGACTCTCGCATCAGAAACCAGTCGGTCGATTCCTTGCTGCGCATAGATCAGATCAAAATGCCGAACCAGTTGAGACTTTTGCTCTTTAAATTGTTTCAACAGTGCTGCGACCGGAAGTTGAATAGTGGGGGCTTTCACTCGAGTGTTGACATGCTGGCAGACGGAAATGACCTTGTTGCGAACCGCCACGCTGTCCGATGATAACTTCAACAGCAATGGAGGCAGATATGTATGAAGTAGTGATTGAAGCTTCTCATCAGTATCTGCCATGGCGATTCGGAATTCCACTTTGCCTATCAGACTCAACTCGCGAGCCTCGGGGCTCTGAGCGTCAGTCATGGTGAGGAAATGAATATTATGATATGGGAGAAGTTGGCATTGACGGGCAAGTGAACATATGAATCCCACTAATACTGCTTTTCCGGAACTTTCCACAGGCAACCATACGCACGTCAGTTGACCTTGCTCTGGGGATACTTACGCGTGGGGGGTGAGGATTAGTCAGGGTGATGAATAATGCCCCTGATGGCCCGATATTCCAGGCACCATCACCCAGCTTGTCAATCAGCCTCTTGTAGTGTCAATATCGATTTCAAAATATAGCAAACAGTCTTCGTACTTTCAATAGTCAACTTTAGTTATTCTTTTCATCACCCAACCTCCACTATGGCCGTCAGTCTACATTGTCGCCCCGGACGGGGGAGTAGCCCTGGAGGTCGTATCATCAGGCTTTACTATGAAATGACTCCAAAATACCTGAATATTATGATATCGGTAAGCCTTTAAACCTCAGAGTGTATTGATAAGCTCAGACACCTGCATACGTCAGTCTTGATAAAAGGAACTAGCCATCGAGTTCTCTGCAATGCCCATCTTTACAACCCTCACATAATCTGCTGTTATGTGGAACCTTGCTCTCTTTCTTCAAGTAAAAAGGCGCCTGCACCTTTATTCCACTCCAAACCTTGATCCGATAGGCAACTCGTTCTGCGTAGGAGCCATCCACCTTTGGACGGCTGAGAGCCTCACAGCGCTTGCAACGCTGATGATAAACCCTAGCGTTGTATCGTGACCCGGGGTAGAGTCGGATGGTGATTGCTATCTTTTTGCTCGACCAGCCATTTGAAGGACATGTGCTTGATTTACACGCAAACCGGCCCATGATATTTGTGTCGTATTCTCTTTCGCAGGCATCGGGGTCATCTTTTGGGTGGAACTTGAAATGGCGCAGGTTCGCCTCCGAGAGGATTTCGCAAACGTCGTGGTGTAGATCGGGGTTGAGAGACCAGCTTTTCTTCTCAACTTCGGACCTTTTGGACTTTTTGCGCGCCATTTGGTTGATTTTATGGGACAATATGACTGATATATTGCATTCTCCGCGTGGAAACGGAAAAAGGCCATGGTTATATTTCTTTGTGGGAAAGAGGGGTAGTACTTATGAACAGGCATAAAGAGTGTATGTTTGTATATTGCTTTTGACCTATGGAGCAATTTGCAGGGGTGGCATTGGTGACAGCACTGTTGACGTGTTCATACATAATTTCCGAAGTTCCGGTCACGAAGCTCGTGGAAAAACACCACGTCCTAGATAATGTGGCATTATTGCTATCTGCCGAGTCCGTCAAGACTTGGATTACTAGCAGATAGAGAGTATAAATGAGATAAGCGGGCTAGGGACTATGTACTACATATTGGGACCTGGAACTATACATGTTCGGCGAGTTTGAATCATCTACCTCATAACACCGCCAGTAGTCATCCTTCGACCCTCATTTATTCATGACCAAAGAGAAACGCCACGTATGTTCAGCGCAAAGATTTCATAATGAAACTTCGTTCTTGGTCATAGATGAGCGTCGTCTCTTCTTTGATCCGCAGCTTCACCTCGCAAAAATCTGCCAACTTCCCTCTCAGCCTCAGCCGAATGACCATTATCATCTGCTTTCGATACAGCGTTTCCAAAGAGACACTGCCACAGATCATCTTTTTTGACCATCTCTCCACCTGATGCACCACTGGTCATCAAGTTTGTTAGACCTGCATCTTGGATTTCCATGGAATTAGCAGAGTCAATGGCCGTTTCCGTCAGATCATTGATCAATGATTCATCAAAATCTTCAGCAATTGTCGAGCGAGCGTTCTTCTCCTGTTTCTCCTTCTCGATGATATGGGCTAGTCGACGCGCAACAGATAATTCATATATAGACTCCTCCACAGTACCGGAAACAAGATACATCCAAACGGTAGTGGGCCGGTGTTGACCGATTCGATGTACTCGAGCAATGGCCTGAAGTTCAATCGCAGTGTTGATTAGCGGTTCGCACAAGAACACATGGGTAGCATTAATCAATGTCAACCCTGATGACTGAGCTTTCCCATGCAACAGGAAGCATTCGACCTGCGAGAAATTGTCAGCATGAATGGCGAAAAATGGCGTTTAAAGCAGGGTAAAAATACAGCAGGATCCTTTTTGAAGCTCTCGATACCACCCGGATAATCGACGCTGCTGCTGACGATCTTGAAGCGATGAAGAGCTCTTTGTAAAACCTCCAAGAAGTTCTTGTACTGAGAAAAGATAATCGATTTGGCTCCAGGGTCATACTCCCGTAGCCATATGAGATGGCGTGCAAGAGTGTCGATTTTGGTACCGAATGAACCATTGAGGTCGATGTTTTTAATCTCATTTAAAAGACCAGAATTGATATCACTGTAGATCGCATTTTTTGAATGTCGCTCATGATCGAATTTGATGGCTGACTCTTCCTCTTGGGCAACCAGTTCCTGTGGCTTGTAGGTAATCTGATGAAAGTCATTGTATTTCAATGGCCTTTTGCACATAGGGCAGGTTCGATGCTGACGCCACCATAGTCGCAGACAATCCGTGCAGTATTTGTGGCCACAAACGGTTAAAACGCCTAGGAGAGTCAGCCTCGATAGACGGAAAAGATTTCATAAGCTGATAAAGAACGAGACGTACCAACTTCAAAGCTCGATTGACAGATGATGCAAATTCTACTAGAGTCTTCTGAGCCGGACTCATCTCGAAGATGGATGAGATATCGCCTCTTGGACCTCAGGGAAGATATTTTACTTTCCAGATTTTCTTCTTGCTTTAACTTAGAAGCAAAAAGATCCTCGTTCATGGGCTTTCCGGCGTTTTCTTCATCGTAGGGTGCAACCGTATCCGAAATCTGCTGCAAGTGTCGATAGTACTCCAGCCTGTTGTTCATAGTATCACGAAACATTTCAACTTCCCGCTCTAAGTTGGCCGACACTTTAAGTTGCTCGGCAATCATCTGCCCGGCATTTTTCAGAACCTCGACAACCACCTCAAGCTCAGCACGAGCCCGCGAGCTTCCTCCAGTCGCCTGCCAATCAAGCGAGGTCACTAGGCTGCGTAGTTCACTGATAATGCCACGAAGTGATCCCAGGTGGGAGTCCGGCATGATTTCGCTGCGAGTATTCATGATAGAAAGAAACAGTTTCGGAGAGGGCCCTTCATCCTTTTGTGCTTGAATGATGCCAGCCTTCACCTCGTGGGAGATGAGGATGTTCTTTTGACCGGTGAGAGCATCATGGCGATCTGCGTAGGCTGTTCGTAGAGCTTCCATATAAACGTACATCTCATCTTGATGTTTGGTCGACCGCTCATACTCGTTGCCTTCAAGCTCTGCATCTTCTTCTTGGTCAATGAGTGACTGCGAAACAAGTTTGATCATAACCTCTCGCCATTCAATGTATTGCTCCGCATGCTTATTCAAAGCGGTGCACAGGTCTTCAAAATTGTTGAGTAGTCGGTAAGACTCAAGCCCCCTGTTGTACAGATGAGGTTTCATCTTTGGAATTTGAACAAACTGCCTCTTGTGTGTTTTCTCCTTGATCATTCGCATGTATCGCTCAACCTTTTGCGAGATATCGGTTAACATCTCCTTGCGAATGATTTTGGCAGCCTCGTACGCTTCCTCTTCTTTCTTCTCAAGCGCCTTGAATTCCTCAGACTCGGGCTGGGTAAGACCAGGGTCACTTTTGATCTGGAAGTACGCATTTGCAGTGAAAAAGACAGCAATATGCTGCACCTCGAGAGCAGCGCGCAACTTCAGTCGACATTGACCAATACGACTATTTTTGTCTGCTTCTTCGTTTTCATCATCGCTCATCTCCTTTGACGGATCCTTCGAGCCATCCTCCAGAGCTTCTCTTAAAAGTTCTTTCTGCAGACGCAATTGTGATCTGCTATCCTCAACCAGTGTGGTAGAATGCTCCAAAGCTGCCTGCCAAAGAGACAGAGCCTCTTTCCGACGCTTAGCATTCTCCAAAAACTGCCCCCTGCGGAGCTGCGACAGGAGGAGGGCTCGCTCTTCAGCGCGGATTGATGTGTCAGTATTCTCAATCATGACCTCAAGAACCTCATCAACGGTGCGCAGTGGCCCACTTCCCGCACCCAAAGCCCTACGGTTGCTGCCACTAACTTCAGGATGAAGGCATGTCTGGCGGAGTCGAGTGAGCCAAGAACGCATTCGTTCAATAATGCTGGGGTCTTCGGGATTCCAGTCACTGCGGAGCGGTGCGCCTGTCGCGTCGAGACCGCATTGTTCACACATTTCCTCGAAGAGCTGACCATAATGTTGCTCTTCGATAGCCGTGAATGGGGTGGTGATGACAATTCTCTTCTGTTGCGGCAAGCGAAGTTCATCCCGAACACAATCTTTGGTGTGCCGAAGGGCGATCTTCTGAATGATGTGCACTAATACGGACCCAAACTTGGAATACAACCGAGTCCACAATGGATTCGAGTGACAGAATGGGTAATATCGAAGGAACAACAGGAGTCCGAAAAGATCATCGATGTTACGTCGAAGCGGCGTGCCCGTGACAGCCCACGCATTGACTCTAGGTATCAAGCGTGCCACCTTGGCTGCATTACTGACTCCACTCTCGATCATCTGGGCTTCGTCAAGGCAAACCCGCCACCATGAGATCCGTACCAACGGTGTTTTACGAGCTTCAAATCGCTTCTCGTGGCGTAGGCTTCGCTTCGGGGCCGTATTGGTGTAATGCACTTCCCGAGAAATCACGTTATACGTGGTTAGAACAACATCAAATTCGGCAAGTTCTTCGATGATCAAATCATCTGATCTTTCCTGACCACGCTTTATCCCTGTATAGTGATGCACTCGTAGCTCTGGAGCATGCCTTTGAAACTCTTGTTTCCATTGCTCGAGAATTGCAGGCGGAGTGATGATCAATGTGGCTCCAGATGCTCTCAAACCATCAGGATCAAGCTTTAGCTGTATAGGGCGTCGATTCAAGCTAATGAGCGCAATGATCTCGACAGTTTTGCCTAGCCCCATCTCCTCTGCGAGGATTCCACCTTTTATGTGATCTGCTGCATCGTCTCCCCATCTTGAGAGATCCGTAGTTATTATCATAAATAGATGGCTAAAATAGCAGACCCGTCCATCCGCGTCTTTCATCTGCTGAAACGATGCTGGGAGTGCACCCGCGGAGGTCCTGCTGATGGGAGTTGGACTTCCATCAGACTGGAGCTTCATACCTTCTCTCCGCAGAAGCCATCGGACAGCTCTTCTCTGGAAGGGAAACAGCTCACAAACTAGATCTGGACATTTAATGTCTGCTGATGTTCTTTCAGTGTTTTGCGGAACATGAACACTGTCATAAAATTGTCGAGGGGACCAGGTCTGAGAAGAGCCAAGTAACCTTTCACGAAGTAGTCGTTTTGCGTAGAGTCCCACTGGAGGGTCGAAAACTTCTTGCAAGGCATATTTTCCAAAGACATGCAAGACTGGGTCGCGAAGATGTGTTAAATCCGGGATGTCCAGGGAATCTTTCCAGAGTACAGTCACTTCCAAAGAAAAGCAATTATTTTCGGGTCGAGATAAGATGGCTTGGTAGCAAGCAGTTGGAGGACCATTGGAGTATTTATCCGCGGAAGATAGTCTACTTGCAAGGTCGAGCTGTTGGAACAAGTCACGTAGTCGTGAATCGTCGAAAGTGTGTTGTAGAATGTTTTCCCCTTCTGTTTTTTCTGCGCCGACCTTTTTCAGTTCAAGGGTGTAGGAGTCATGATTGAGCGAGGCTTGGTCCGAGGTCGAGACTGGATTGCTATCAATCGGATGAATAGGTACAACTCCGAGGAGAACAGGGAGACGGCGAGGATATTCTAGTGAGCCTTGAAAGCCATCATTGTTTGATTTGGAGTCGCCGATGAATGACTGAAGAGGAGTGGTAAGCTGTTGGCCACTTTCTGGTTAGGTACGGGTGCCACTCAACACTCACCATGCGCAGTGCTAACCGAGCTAATGGGATATAGCCCAATGGTATTCCAGTCGAAGAAACACTCAATGTCTGAGTTAAGCTGGAGAAATTAGACTTGGCGACCTTACGACGCTTGGCGAGGGGCTGGTCATCATCGAGGATATCGGTTTGCTCAAGAGCGGCGAGCAGTGACCTGGGGACGGGATCTAGATCGAGAACATGTTAATGAAACGACTTTGTTACGGAATCCAAAATGCCTGATCAATCATACCAGAAATGAAAACATCTTCTACAGCCACAACCATCGTATACTTCTGCCTAAGCTCGAAGTTTGCTGTTTGCGCAAGAGAGAGGATTGGAAAAAAGCGCGCCATCGAATGCGCGAACCATCATATCAGCTTATCGTATATAGTCACGTGGAGATAAGATAGATCATCTCCACTTGACAACGTCATTGGCCCACTCTTATAGTTAGGTCCATTGTAGTACCACAAGAATGACTAGGAGTGCACAGTCCATGATGAAGAACTCAAACGTCCTCTAGCATTGAAGATAGAAGAAAATGACATAAGCTATTATATTTCGCAAGAAATTAAGCCGCGAGGCTGCCCGGCCCCCTACCTAGCATGCTCCTCACGCTGCCTCTTCCTAGAGTACCCGCATGGTGAGATGAGGATTTCTCTCCACTAATAGGCTGACTGTCATAAACGACACTGCCTCCACTGGCCCGAACAGTTCTTGAATAATCCACCCCATTTACCGTGCTCTGGAACTCATCTAGTGTACTGCCGGTAGAGGTTGTGCCTTCTCCCGAGAATGCCCCGTAGTATGCTTTCCCAGACTGAGTTGTATAAAGCCGTGAGGGCCCAGACACCATAGTATACGTAGATATACCTGGGCCACCAGTAGACACGATCTCTAGGCCACGCTTCATCCAGGAATCAATGGTCTCTGAGGTGGATGTGAGACTATAGGTTGCGTTGACCAGAAGAGGATAGTTGAAGGTGGTTTCGTTAGAGCTCGAATTCTCACCAAGTTCAGCGATAGTGTTTTTGCCTGAAGTGAGTTGTCTGTTGACCTGACCAAACCCAGCTTGGTTGACGTATCCGTAGTTATAATAAGAGAGGGTCTGTGACCAAGCATACTTGGAGGACGTGGACTTGAATGTTCTCTCTGCAACCACCGAGTAGGATAAACTATTATTTTGCGTAAGGCTTCGGGTTATCGTGAACTTCGGCTCGGGCGCTTCCACGTAGGGGGTGATGGTGTCTCTAGTGGCCAGAGCTGAAGCGTTTCTGTGCTCGGTATAGAGAAAAATGTTCCCGGTAACCACCCAGTATGAGTTCACGGTATTTGCAAGCGTGGCAATGCCCTCACTGGAGACATTGAGACCGGTGACCCTGATCTCAAATGCATGCTCTTGGCCATCTTGAACCAGAGGCAAAAACGGGGAAATGTCAATTTCTGGTTGCCGAAGGTCAAAAGCATCGATGCCAACAATGGGATGCCAGAATCCCGGTGCTACACCTCCGGTGAAAATAATGGGAAAAGGCCAAACAACCCCCGCAAGGGTTCCATCAATGTAGAGCTGGATTTCTCGGAATGGCGAGTATCCGTAAAATTCACCTGCGGTATCCTCAAAATCCTCTGAATCCTCGGTGAAGACATTGGACCACCAGAATTCTTCCTCAGACTGCCCACACGCAGAAATTGAGACAACGGCCCGAGATGCTGCTGCAGGGATTTTGTAAGAGACAGTCGTATTATCAGTTGGCACTGTGAAGGAGCTGGATGAATTGGAGGACGACTTCTTGGCCGAAAGTGGAAGAATTATGTCGGCGGTTCTAGCATTGTTCTCGTCCGAGAAATGCGCCGTCAGAGTCACATTGTATGGACCAGTGTAAACATCAGTAATGATGTTTCCAAGGTCAAAAATCAGTTTTTGAGGCTCTTGCCACAAAGCATTGTACTGAGACATTTCCTTAATGTAGGTCCACACAATTCCAGTGGAAGTTGGTTCAGCGGTTGAGGTCCGAAACACCTCTGCGTCTCCCAGGTACATGAGAGCCAACCGGTCGTATTGCGTGCCACGAGAAGTGACAGTCATGTTTATGCGGACAGTGTCAAATTTACAGCTTGGAGGTGTATAGCTTCCTGAGAATTCGAAAATTAGACTCAAGTCATGAGAGATAACAGTTGTGATGTTGATCTTACCAACATATGGTACGCCGTAGCTTTCGCCAAACTCATAATCCATCAATAACACATCAATATCGCAGCCACTGGCGCCGTGAGAGGTGAATGACACCGGTTGGTATACCTGAAACACTTCTTGCAAGCTCGTGGCATTAGAAGTGTCTAGGGAAGAGCGTTGCGCAACTCGAACCAGACTGGGAGAAGATGCTACCCGTGGAATCTGTCCCAGCAGAAGCAGTGAAGATGAAAGCAACGTCCACATTGTCATTGCAAACTTCATTTACTGCTTGCTCTCTTTTGAAGGTTCCGGGGCCGTTTGTTTGGTGACTATACCGACGATGCTCGTAGATCCTTGAGCTCTACCAATATCTAATAAGCTGATAAGAAGACAATGCAAGCTCTGCTTTCAAGAGCGGAAAATTTTGATTTGAATAAAAAAAAGAAAATACACCGCAAGCCACGCATAAGTAGGTTCCGACAATGGGGGGAACTCTTGAGAATGAGGGGCAGGCACACTAGTCTAGCCCGGTTTATTACATTGAGGAGACAAATGCACTGTTTCCTGGGAAGTGGAGACTGAAGCCGGAGTTCTGCAACATGCAGCACTAGTAGATCATGCAGAGGCCGCGTTTACCCCTGAAGATAAGGGGGCTCCATCGGAGTTCCGGGCAGCCTTTTCGGCATTATCTTTATTTAAGACTGTAGCTTAACAAGATCGTATCATATCCAAAGCCATGACGACTCAGGATCGCTTTATTATGATTATCCCGGTGGCACCGGGAAGGAAACATGGACTAGACTGTATAGTTGGCTCCTGAGTAACCGGATAGTCTTAAGGTCCCGGGCACAATTGCATTGTTTCATGGATAAAAACAACCTTGGAAGCAGTCAAATCAAACGGTCTTGGGTCCAACATTAGATCAAGTACCTTGAGTTGATTTCTTTTGACTGGACCAAGGAATAATTTTAAAAAATAAGATAGAAGGGCAAGTCACTTGATACACTTCAAACATGTAATTTAACCAAGCAAGGCGGCTTAATGATTTTGCACAAAGTACCGGGTTAGACGGTTTTATCACCATGAACAGTTACAAACTTTGTGTTGATTCGAGTTTTATTCTCGGGTTTAATAACCACATTACAGTCCATATCTAACCAAGGAATAAAAAGAGGGTCGCTGACTTATAGATAGCCTGACGAGGTGAGAGATCTGTACAAGACAAAAAAAAAAAACCGGATGCCGGAGACATGGTCTCGTTTAGTTATAAGCCAGCAAAAAGAAACGCTCCGCAGCCATGCACATTCAAAATGAGAAGATTTTACATAAATAGACGCCATGCACCAAGAATCAGAGCAGCAGTACCGGTGCAGACACCCCTGTAGAAGTTAGCATTAATCCATGCGCAGATAAAGGCGTTCGGGGTTCATACATAAGCCACTGCAGAGTGGAGAACTTGACAGCTTCAACACGTTCCCGTAAACCCGCCACCTCTTGCTCAATACGTGTTTCGGTCTCCTTGATCCGCATCTCCTGGCCGTTGGCCTCCTCGCGAATCCGGCCCTTCTCGAGATTCAGATCTAGACGGACGGATGCTTGTGTTCGACCAATTTCATCCCGCAGGCGCGAATTCAGCTTGGCCAGATCGGCGGAGATTTTCTCGTGAGATGAGCGGGTGAGCTGGGCCTCTGTGGAATCCGCGTTCACCAGTTCAGAGCGCAATTTGGCGAAGTCGACCTTTTGAGTGTAGGTCGATCTCTCCGAATCTACCAAGCTAGTATTAAAATGGGAAAGCCATAAGAGAACGTCAAGAGTCACTAACCTTCTCGAAGCACCATAGTTCTTGTCAGGTTTTGGATGGACTCCTGAATGATATCGTTCAAAACGCGCATCATGGCCACAGCCTGCTCCTCACTGAATCCCTCGGCCTGTAGCCGCTTCACAAACTTCAAGGTATCGAAATGGTGATCACGGGGGCGGATGGGTGTCGCATGGAAGGCGCGCTGAGCAGGCTTGAATGCTGCGACGTAGACTCCATTATGACGAATGGGACTGCCGAGTGATTCTGGTGACGGGCGTGTTGCAACTGGAGCAGAAGTTTGCCGCACAACGGTAGAAGCAAAGCGAGAGTCTCGAATAGATGTCGAATAGGCCCTTGAAGCCTGGGACGAAGTTATACAATGGATTTGTTGGTTGAGGGGACTCCAGCCCTGAAGATGTCTCTGGCGCTGCCTGGTCGCGAGCGCGGGGTGGTGATAGGATGTTACGGTTGGTCTGGACGACGAGCTGTTCCATGTGAGACGAGGCAGGATGCTCCGAGGCACCTCTGCGACATGTTTTTGAGGTGGCATAGCGCAGATGAGTTGCAGGTATAGAATAGTTGGTTGTGGAAATGACGCAGGGAAGAGAATTGAACGGGATGACTAAAAAGGGTTCCGGAAAGATCGACGGCTTCCCCGAATTGGGCCCCGCATATTCTCGGGAAACTCTAGATCAATACAAATCAGAACATCCATGGTTTCTTCAATTAGATATTATTCGAATGAGACTCCAGAGCACCAAATCCATTAAAGATAACATCAAGTCCATATGCATACGCTATTGCAAAGATCGGTTCCCTCCCCAGCGGGTCAGTTTAAAGATCAAAGATCTCCTTCAGTTGCTTCATGGTATCATCAGGGCCCTCGACTGAGTGACCAATGGTCCGGGGATCAGAGTAAATCTCATAGTCATTGCCTCCCACAAAGCACTTGTCGCCGAAGAAGTGAATGTTCTTGTAATCGGTTCCAGTGATATCCTTCTCAGCTGCAACATGCTGCAGGCAGTAAGTCTTATCCCAGCCAGTAGGGAAAACATCGAAAGAGATCTGGCCACCAATGGAGAAGCTGTGTTTCGCACAGATTGGTTAAGCAATTCACGATGGGTAGTTATTGGTTTCCAAGTGTTGGAGACTTACGTGAGGCCATAGTCCGGGAACTGCTTCTTCAGGGCTTCCACCAAATCCTTCCGAATGTTGTGAATCTTGTCATACCTACTCCAATTGTCCAGTCAGATAATTCACAAGCGCCTGGTGGAGTGAGGGCTCTCAAGGAAGGCATAAACTCACGCCTCAAACTCGTCTCGTTCCTCGACGCTGGCATTACGTCCAATAGGGCTGACATTGATCATACCATTTCGGAACTCAATAAAAGTACCACGCTTCTTGGGAAGCTTCACCCTAGAAATGTAGCCCAGGCAGAAGTCTGCCAGCGCCTGGTATTTCTCCTCCCCGAGCCATTGAATAAAGCTGTTGCTGGAGAGCGGCTTGCCCAAGCGGTAGGCAACTAGCCCGTTCTCGGGGAAACAGAAATCAAAAAGAGTAGTAACATCGACAGTGGACGAGCCTAGCTGTTCCTGCTGTTTAATGAAATTTGAACCGCCAACCTAGACGATGTTAGGATGGTGAGGGTAGGAATTGAAGGAAGAAAGTACAGACGTAACCAATTGCGCACTTGTGTCGGAGGCGCGAGAGCAGCTCAAGCATTTCTGGAGTGACAGTCTAAGAAGGACAGCATGTTAGCACATAATACAATCTAATCTAACAAGGAGGGTTTTTCGGTACTCGTCTGGCCTTTGTTAGAGTCTCGTCGACATCAAACAAAACAATGGTGTCTTTGAGCGGACGGGCCTCCAACGGAGGAAAAACACTGGCGGCGGTAGTCATCCTTGCACAGAAATACTCAGACAGAAATCTGATGAGATTGGAGTAAGAAAAAGAAACACGAGACCGTGGCGATAATGTACCGTCGACGAAGCGGCTCTTCCTTGACCGCAAGCGGTGAGCACGGGGATTGACGATTTCCAAAGCCGGTCCAAACCGAAAATATGGGACTATTGTGATTTTCAATATTTTCAATATTCTGATATCGGCATTCTGTCGAGATGGCATGGTTTGGTACAGTACAACACTTGTGGATCTATAGATAGTGTCACTATGACTTGGCAGGGGATCTGCATATTCGATAAGAGATTATGCGGCAAGCTTGGAACTACTGCAAGTCAGCAGATCACGTCCTTGGATTATATCTTGTATTAAACATCTATGTACTTCATCTAGCTCCTAGATGCTAAAATTATTCATGTCGCATAACGGATTTCTGAGCACCTCAATGTCCCACCTATTTCCCACCTGGCCCCTAACAGGAGACCTTGAATAACAACGCCAAATCCCAATCACAGACGAAACCAAGTTCCAGAAGTCATGATTCCTTTCAATGTCCCATGGCAGATTGGAACATTTTCGCAGCGAGTTCGCTCAAGAGTTGCGTACGGTTTGGCTGTGGAAGGTCCAGGAAAACCTCATAGACACTTTTGCCCTTGGCGTCGCGGACTGCGCCCAAGCGGTTACCCGCGACAGCACCAGCCAGCCCCCCAGCGAAGTTGCCCACGATGAACCCGAGAGCACCACCACTCACACCACCGACCACGGCCCAAAACCGTGACGTAGGACGCGACCTTTGACCACCCTCTCCGTCTTCGGCCAGTCCCTCTTCGCGCAGCATCTCTTCAAATACTGAACCAAACTGATTGGAGTCACGCTCTTCACGCTCCTCGCGATTCCCAAAGCCAAAGCTAGACCATGGGAATCCACCGGTGCCACCCTGGGGTACTTCTTCGTCAACCTCCTCGGCCTCGTATGCGCGGGTAGCGTCATATTCCCGTCGTCGCCCTGGGTCTGACAACGTAAAGTAGGCGTCGTTGACCTCCTGGAACTTGCGCGTCCGAGCGGGCCGTTCGGGTGAATCTGCAGGAACTCGATCGGGGTGGCATTTCAGTGATTCTCTGTTTCTCGGTCAGCATGGTCTGGAGAGAATGACGAAGATGGGATTATGCAAGTTGGCATTTGCACGAACCTTTTGTATGCAGTACGGATCTGTTGCTGTGTGGCATCTTGCGAGACGCCGAGGATCTTGTCTGTCAGGAAAGTAAGTAGTCATATTAAGTTGTGAGAGGCAGACGATCTTACAGTAATCAGGGCTTTCTGTAGCGCAGATAGTTCAGTTAGTTTGATGGGAACTCCAGCAGAAATAAGAGCCACCTACTTGACATGATGATGTGAGTGATACAAATGATCAAACTGGGTTATGTGAGACCAACTTGTCATTCTAAATCCGTTGGAACGAAGAGCCAAACGCCAGTGACGTAGTCAAGGCCTGAGGCAACAACATGTGAAATGGACACGACGGCTGACACCTGAGGTGTCTGACACACTAAAAGGGACTAAACAGTTGATTCGCTGTGTGTTCCCAGCCACCTGGATTTCTCCCAGGGGGAAGATTTAGCATTACTTTTTGTGGATTGTTATTTGCTCCCCTGAATCTCGTACATTCTAGCTTGGTCAATTGAATTGACATTCCCCTTCTTCAACCTGCACAGCAGATCGTGAGTGGAGTAGATATACGCAACGATCTCGGGTCAAGACGAACAGATTGCGCCTCCTGCAGCTCCTAGCGGCTGAGCTGCATCTCTCTCAATTTTTCTTAAAACTCTCATTGCCACACAAGAGGCAAAAGCGTCTTAAAAAAAAACAACCGTTAGAAAGTCGTCATTGCTTTCATCCTGAGGGGTTCATCCTACCGTGGAACGATCTGTTTACACTTCCCCACAATCCATCCGATAAAGAGATATCTGTGGTCTCCGCCCACGAGCCAAAGATCAGTGGCACCAGTCCCCTGAATACATAGAAATGGGTTGGTTTGATGGACCTTCGTCTAAAGTCTCAGCCTCGTCGAATGGCTTCACACGCCGACACACGAGCTCACGCGCAAGCTCACGCTCACGCACGGGCTCACCGTCTCGCAGATCAGGCTACTCAACCTACCATAAAGGACACTCGGCGCCGTCAATCTTCAGCCTAGGCCGTGGAGGAGGTCGCTCCAGTCCATCGGTTTTTTCGACCTTTTCGTCCTCATCACGTCGGGCCCGGCCTCGTGAGGGATTTGTGCAGCGCATGATCCGCGCGATCAAGAAATTGTTCCGTGATATCTACCGCTACGCCCGCGAGCATCCTATGAAAGTGCTCATGCTCGTCGTCCTCCCCCTTCTCACGAGCGGTGTCTTGCCAAAATTGTTAGCGATGATTGGCATCCGATTGCCACATGGAGTCATGGGAGCTCTCGGAGGATCCTCTGGGGCCCGTGGAATGGGGGGAATGGAGAGCAAGGGATTGTCGGAAAGCGTCAATTCGCTGATGAGCCTGGCCAAAATGTTCGCCTAGGCGGCATGGGCGCTTCCATGACGGACCTCGAACCCTCTAACGACTATGATGATATACTCCTACCATCTTGTTTTCGATTATGTGCCTCCATCTCCTTTTCTCTGTGACTTGACCTTCTGATGATTCTGTATGTATTTGGGAGGCTCGCTGGAATTCATTGAACAGTATTGTTCCTGTTTGTAAAGGCAATCGAGGTCTTGAAAAGACAATTGAAGACTTGAGGATTGAGATTGAGAAAATGCGAGTAAAAATCTAGGAGGGGCATGTTCTCCCTTTAAGTGCTGGAGTCGGTGAAGTATCGGTACCCGACGGTGGATAATGGCCCCGTTGGACTTCCTTACATTGGACTAGGGGGGCTTTGTGGTCGACTCTGACTGGCAGCCCTGCATAAATTGCACTGTGGAGATTGGATCGCTGGGATCATGAACAGGCCCAGCAATTACGAAGTTCCTACAGGAAGTCGGCGTAGCGTAGTTTCTATTAATTCACACTCCATCTATTCAACTTTTTTTTTAAAGTAGAGGGTAGCCAGCTGTGACACCAATAAAGAATGAGCCGAGCTTCAAATCATGCCCTGAGTAACAATATTCGCAACGAATCTCAGTTATGATCGCTGAGACCGCTTCCCACGTCGGCGGGTGGACCGGCCATTCGTAGTCGCCGTGGTCTCACTGGCCTCGACCTCCTCAGTCTCATCAGCTTCCTCAATGATCTCCTCAGTAGAAGAACCCATAACTCGGCCAACGGTCTTACGGAAGCACCACAGTGGGAGCTTGCAGACAGCAGTGTCTCGGAAGGAAGGCTTCTGGATCTCATCGACATCCAGCAAGAATTCCTGCCGCTCACCGTCGTCATTGACCTCTTCCAAGAAAACATTTCCAGTCGCCTCCACAATCAAGACCTTGCCATTCTCGGCCTGGACCCGCTTACGCTCCCCAGTCGAGACCACAGTCTGCTCGGTAGGGGTGGAGGTTCCCGAGCTACGAGCTGGTGCCCGGCCACTCTTCTTCTCCTTGCGGTTCTCCTTATCCATCATTCGCTTCTGGCGACGGTTCACCGACATGGCAGTCGGCTCGCCCTCAGAAGAAGGAGCCGGGGCAGACGAACCAATCGAGTCGATACCAGGGATACCTCGAATGCCCATCTCATCCCCGTAAGCGGCCCGGCGCGCCTGGCGAATGTACCGGTCCACGAACTCCCGCTGCCGTTTCCAGGCCAGGATCAGGGCTCCGTAGTGGCCGGCACCACCAAACACCAGGAACAGACCAGCCAGCACGGAACCAAGACCGGGACGGAAGCGAGTGTAGTAGTATCCGGTACCTCTCCACAGAGGGAAGCCATTCTTCAAGAAGTGATCATAGCGCTGACGGCCCGGACCACGCAGAATATTGGCCACGGTGTTCAAACGAGCGGAACGGGCATTGGCATTTTTGACGGCGGCGTCGATCTCGCGCTTGGAGGGGCCGGAGTTGACATGAACGCCTGGCTGGGTGGCCTTGGACTTGGACTTGTCGGTGGCATAATTGGCCACAAAGGCGCGCTTGACCTTGTCAGGGTGGAGAGTACGCGATTTCTGGCGGTGAGCCTTGGTGATTTGTTCGTGATTGGCATTTGGACGAATGCCGAGGAAGTCTGAATCAAGCCATCGCCATTAGGAGAGGAATTCTTCTTGTGCTGCCAGCATTGGCCTATAGGCAAGAATAAGGATCACTTACCGTAAAAGGTCACGTTGGCCCCTTCGGCCGTGGCGACTTCATCACGAAGACGGAAGATCTCATAGTCTGTGTTTTAACAAAACAATTCCAGGTAAGCACTCGATCGGGGGGAACAAAGCGTAGGATCATTTACCTTCCTTGGTAAAGGCAGCCACCAGGCCCACGAAGACCAGAAACAGGGAAAGAATGACGGGCTTCATGGTTGAGAGGTGATGGAGCGGTCAACCCTGCGTGGCCCCAAAAACACTGAAATAGGGAAAGGTGGCTCGTGTCAAGTACACTACGCAGTCCCTTCACTAGAGAGATTTTGTCTGTAGGAGCTAGTTATGTGTAATATTTTTGAAATTTTGTTTTTTCCCCTCAATTTGAACTCATTATTATTCTGCAAATGAATCTATCATAATCAGGTCCAGAACTACTGTCTGGTGGGGAAATGCAGCTGTACGTTGGACGTGGCCCAATCGACTGCATAAGAGAGAGAGAGAGACTTTGAGTGACTCAAAGTGAGGGGAAAGTCTACTCGTCTATTTATAATTCCCCTCGTCCTGGATCTGACAGATGTTTTTTCTCGTTCTTTTCACTCTCGTCAAGGGAGAGAAAGTGATCGATGGGCTCGATACGCGTCAATCCATGATGGATCCAATGCGGTGAATTCTGGTCTGGTTTCCGCGAACAGTCATAATAAAACAGAAACAGAAAACAGACTTGGCACAAAATTCAGCCCAAATATCAAGAAAAACTCTCTCTCTCTCTTTCTCTCTCTCTCGCTTTCTGTGTTGCACTCTCTGTTGCACTTGCGGCTCTCTTAAGGCCCCTATACTATTCTTAGCCAAAGCGGACAAATCAAAAGGGGGCTTTAAGGCAGAAAAGTAACTGCCTGCACTGCTGACCCCTTCCTGTGCGACTTGGCATCTTCGCAAATTTATCAACTTTCCTCAACTCTGGTCACTTTATCTTACCTACTTTTCCTCATTCTTCTTCTCGTTTTCGCGTCAATCTTTCTGCACAATGGCCATCCAAATCCCTATCGATGCGATCACTTCGCGCTTTGGTGACCGGTTCAACAACATCCGCAGCCAGTCCCTGACCACCCGCTTTGCGAACTTGCGCCCCATCTCCGAATTCCTAGATGTCAAGCGCTTGTCCAAGCCTGCCAACTTCGGTGAGGTCCAGAGCCGTGTCAATTACAACCTCTCCTACTTCTCCAGCAATTATGCCGTCGTCTTCGTCATGCTCAGCATCTACAGCTTGCTGACCAACCCCGTGCTGCTGTTCGTCATCATCCTCGTCACCTGCAGTCTCTACGGCATTGGCAAGCTCGGTGGCCGCGATCTGGATCTGGGCTTCCGTCGCTTCAACACTTCCCAGCTCTACACTGCGCTTCTGTGCGTGGCTGTGCCCCTGGGTCTCTGGGCCTCACCCTTTTCCACGGTCCTGTGGCTCATTGGCGCAACTGGTGTGACTGTCTTTGGTCACGCCGCATTCTTGGACAAACCGATCGAGAATGCTTTTTCCGAGGAGGCGGTCTAGGTGGTCGGCCGCGAGCTCCTTACGATATGCCCCGATGGGGAAGACCACCGGGGGCACGAATGGGGAGACACAATGGGGGACGAGCGCAGTGGGAGGAAGATACTCGAGTGAAGGAGATTATCAGCGAGGATGACGATGTGTTTGGGCGGGAGCTGGTACGAAATGGTCGCTACCCGTGGCAGCAGGAATACGGGGGGCGAGTGCCGCGGCGGCGGTTGGAGTATGAGGATCTGACTGACGAGGCAGAGTCGGTGCTGGATGGAGGGGACTACGATCTGTATGAACATGGGGACAGTACGGTGGCTTATGCAGTTCAGCTGGCCATGCGAGACAAAGAGGATCAGCTGGTGGACACGGCGCTGGAGCGAATTCGCCGGGCCCAAATTCTGGGCAAAAAGAACGTCCGGCTTTCAAAACGGGAGCTAGCGGCATTGGAGCGCAAGCGTCAACAGACGGACAACGCAAGTGCTGGCGCAAGTGGTACTAGGTCAGCGCGCAGTCGACAAGGGAGTGTGAGCAATTCACGGCCATCGTCCCGACGAAACGGTCACGCTGTACCCCCCGAGCAACCAGGGGCCTACCCACCCTTTGCCCCTGATGCGGGATGGAATCGAAATGCCGGTCCCCATGGTCGGCCAACCAGTTCATCCTCGACCAATCGTCCACGCACCCCGACGATGCAATCTTTGCGCCCGCAACAGTCCAACTCCCCGCTCCGACCGCCCTACTCTCCGTTCACTGAACGTGTACCTCCCAACAACCGTCCCCAGTCGATGCATCCACCTTCCATGTATGCCCGACCATTGCCAGACGACCCCAACTGGGCGCCACCGTATTACAATCCCATGCAAATGAGTCCGTATGCGGTGGAACAGCCTCCCTTCCAGCCTCAGCTGCCTACAGACCTTCGTGTGGGGCCTCAAAGCCGTATGAGCTATGTGGCGGGGATGTCCCCGATTCAAGCCCAACATCGACAGTCGGTCGACGGGCGCCAATCAGGTCCATCGCAACCACAACATACTCCTCCTCCGGAGAGTGAGTCAGAGGAATCCAGCGAGGAAGAAACAGGAAGTGATGAAGATTCCGATGTCCAGATCGTGAAAGTTGTGGAGCGTCCGCCTGGTCTCCAAAGGCGTCCTGTTGCGAGAGCTGGCCGAGGTCGTCGAAGCAGTTGAGTGGAGGAATCTGTGTCTCCTTACACCGAGTATCTCTCGTAATGCGCTTTTCCGTTCCTGTTCTTTTTTTTCTTTTTGTGGGTTAGGGTTTTATATTATCGGCGTTTGGTAGATCGAAAACGGGTCCGAATGAATAGATCCATGTCCATATTCTTCATGCTGTACAGTGTAGATCGCGTCAGGCTGCTAGTCAACCGAATTTCGTGCATGTAGATGCCACAGCCACAATCTGGAACAATGCCTCGATGGAGATACTAGTTATAATGATCTTCCTCCGAGTGGGGCCTATTACGCGCGGATTCATGGATCCGTGAAAGACGTAGTGGATGATGCCTTGGCAGACGATGACGTCGATGCAAGTTAATTCCTTAAGTCCGCGCACCTTGCTGTGAACGGCGCCGAAAATCACTCCATCCTAATCCTCCCCTTCTCCTCTTCCTCTCCGAGCTTCTCGCCGGGACTCTTCCGATCATTCTGATCAAGGTTCTTCCTCGCGTTCCTGGATTCCGCACCCGTGCGCCACATCCACACCTTGTCCCGAAAATCTTAAAAAGCTCGTCGATCATCATAGAGCGTGTGGCATGCGAGAGATTGGAGACACCTTGTATCAGTATCATTGATCTGGAAAATAAATCAGAGTAAGGGTGCCCATATCTCTGCGCAGCTTCGCAAATAGTGCCCCGACTGACCTTGGGCATGTATGAGATCACTGCTAACCTCCGGCACCCAGCACAGATTTGAGTTCACATACGCTCTAGCAGGCCCGCATCTGCTGTCGCGTCGAGAGCCTCGGCATTGAATAATAAAATCCTATATCCTCCCTGCCTTTTCTTCCGACGTATTGGAATCAGGAGAGCAGATTGAAATCCGCCAAAATGTGGATTATCTCATTCTGGGTGTTTCCGGTCATCTCGGCCTGCATGTGGGTTGGTACGTTGGTTGTTTCTATTTTTACAGTGGCGTCCAAGATCTAATCAGATATCCATTCCAGCGATGTTGATTGCCATGCTCGTGACATGGGTCAGAGATGGCAAACCCATCTACCCATGTATGCGTAATGCCGATGGCTCCACGGATGGTCAGACCGTTGCGTATGGATTTCCCTCGATGGATGTGATGTCTCAGGACTAATGATTGCGATAGATACATCTCCGACGTGGGTGCCTATGGTGCACAGCCCCTGTTCATCACTGGTAGTGTGATCACCGTCGTCTTCCTAGATCTGGCCTTATTGGCGGAGCGCTGGCTGCGACACTCAGGCCAACTGGTTCCAAACAAGGGATGGTTTGACAAGATCTGTTCAATCCTCTCTATCTTCTTTGCCGTGGCTGGTGCTCTTGGTCTCATCCTCTTGTCTATTTTCGACACGGCTGATTACCCGAACTTGCACGATGGATTCCTAGTCATGTTCATGTGAGTTGACGTCCGCTGCCATTCGAGGTTGTGACTAACGCAGGATACAGTGTGGGATATCTGATCAGTGCAATCCTGATCTGTGCCGAGTATTTACATATGGGACTCTTCTACCGGTCCCAGCACCGCATTCTCATGGTCAGCTTTGTAATCAAGCTGAGCTTTGTGATTATTGAGATTGCCCTTGCCATCGCATTCGGTATTTGTATGAAGAGTAGCGATCGTGCGAAGAAGAACCCCGGTGCCATCATTGAATGGGTGATTGCCTTCGTCTTCACTGGTTATATTCTTTCGTTCGTCATTGATCTGCTGCCCTCGGTCCGCACTCGGAGACACCTGCCTCAGGGTGAGAAGCGGTCTACCATGTCGCAGTCTCACACCGATGATGATGTGCCGCAGGCCTCTTTGGAAGAGCCTTTGACCGTTGACTCAGCCCACTATTACCGCGGTCAGCGCGTCTAGAATATATAACATATATAAGGGTGATATCTGATTCTCTCACGTTTGTCATGATTTTTTGGGGTCATTTTCTGGATTGATACCTGTCTATGCGTGCACTTGGTTCTCTTTTCATGTTTGTCTTGGATACGAAATACCTGCTTTGCCATGTTTTAACTGTATATAATAATCACGGCTTCAGTCTACATAAGAGGAGCATTCAATCAGTATCAGCGGGTTCATCATTATCGTATCCATATCTACATAATATAAGTGCCATATCAATACAAAAGAAAGAATATATCCGCAGGATGCGCCCGTAACCTCCCAGAGCCCAGTATTAAGCGAGTATCTTCTGTCGTATGTGTTCCTGCATCTGTGCATCAATGCCAATTCCATTCAAATAACCCTGGACGCCCCCATGCTTTTGGAAATACCCAGTCGTCGCCTCCACAAAGTCCGGTGGACAGCGTGTGTATTCCTCACCAAGACCCAGCGCACGGATTTCACGCATGCGCTCTTCAAATTCCGGCACGAGTTCCAGCTCAGACCGCGTATAGTCATCAGTAATCGCAGCAGGAGACACAGTCTCGCCTGCCAACAGCATCATCATTAAAATGATCAGACCGGTACGATCCTTGCCCTGGGTGCAGTGCACCAGAACTGGATACGCCTCGTCTTGACCAAGAAGTTCAAAAATAGCTCGTATCTCCGCTTTACTAGCGTCGAGCGTGTCTTGCGCGAGTCCTGTTAATCCTCGCGGTTGCATGACTTGCTCTCCCACCAGACGGACGGCGTCGTTGCGATAGCCCGTCGCTGCCATGGTGAGTACTTTTCTGTTTTCTTTGATCAGCCTGGGATGTCTATAGGACGTGCAACGGAGCATACATATAATTCATCCAGTCTAGCTTCCATAATAATGTGCGCTCTAGTCCCTTGCCCGTCAAACTGATCAAGCACCGCCGAGACTCTGGAATCTGCAGCAAATGCTCGTCTGCATTGACTGGTACCGGTGTTCGAGTTAAATCAATCTCGGCATTTTCTCCTGCATTCACATTCTCTGCCCGACGTTTTCGAGTTGCCATCTGATGCTCCGTTCTGTATCGTTAGTAAGCACTGCACTAGTCTGGTACAGAAAAACAAGAAAATAAAAAACGGGCTTACGTTGATCGTAAGTCAATCACGGTGGCAATGTGAAACTCTTCCGCCATCCGGCGCGTATCTCGTTCTGACGCATCATCGGGCTATAAGGGAATCTCAGTCAGTTTTCATAGTTCCTTCGATGCCAAGTCGCCGGCGCTTCACATGGAGGATTTGAATTTACCCTGGCACTGCGAAAGAGTACGCCCTCTTTCAAAATCCTATTTCCGACGTCAGTAGCCAGATCAGGGGGATCAAAGACAATACAGGAAGACACGGACTGTGCACCACAGAACTGGTTGATTGTTCGGCCGACATCACGGAAATTGATGATGTTGTCAAACGGCCGATCTGGCGAGTCTAAGTCGATACTAGAAGAGCGGGCCATGGATACGACGGAATCATTTACAGTAGAGAAAAGGAGTTCATGATCGAAGATGAAAGACGCGGTGGAGACGCGCTGGTAAATGGCGGTGGACGTCACGTTGGGCAGGAAACCCACTCGCCCTGTTTCTGGCCTGAGCTCCTTGTTTCCCCGGGATCCACCAGAGCTCGTGTGATCGTCATTTGACTTTTCTATCTACATGCAAGCCCCCTGGGCCCTTAGGCATATTGGCTTCGATCATTCTTCCACTGCGGCTGCAAATACGACCAATCCTCATTAAAGTTGAACCCCGTGCGGTATGCGCCATACGCGCTCAACTCCACCTGATCGAGTTGCGCGCCCTCCTCCGTCAACGCCCACAGACTGATTGCCAAGGTATTTTCCCCCCGATTATTGATGATACCAGGTGGGAATGGGAACAAGGTTTGTGGGCCCAGATAAGGCAGGTAATGGCCAAATTGGTACCCGTTCATGAAGATTTGAACGACGGCCGTGGTATTGTCGGGCGCGCCAAGCTGCAGGCCAATCGGGACATCCAAGTCTGAATCCAGCTTCAGATCAAAGGTCGTGGTGTACCAGCGACCTTGAGCACCAGAAACTCCATCCAGGGGGCTCTCCGTGCCCGCAGATTTAGGCGGTGTGTAACCTGGGAGATGCCACCCAAGACGCTCTCCATGCAGCCCACCTTCGTTCATGGGGCCCCGAACTGGATCAATATTGGCTTCACCGCCGGCGTTGCCTTGGATACGCCAGGAGGTGAAGTTGGCGCCTGTTAGCGTGGCCCCGAGGATACCACGGGGGTTCTGAGGTCCATCTGGGGATACGCTGGCCTCGTCGTGGCCGGTATAATCCATCACAACCGTCAAGACATTATCGGTCTCGCGAAGGAGGGATTGGTTGAAGGTGAGGGTCGCGGTGGTCGAGGCGAGGTCTGGATCGCCCAGAGCCCCACCAACGTAGGCCCCGTTCATCCAAGCGGCCCAGCCAGACCCGGCGCCGTTTTGCACGGTCACACTAGCACTGGTGGCGTTGAGTCCATTGAATCGACCCCGGTAGATCTTTGTTCCGGCATGATAACCATAGTCGCCGGAGTATAGCACAGGCAGCGTGAGTGGGACTACCGGATTAACAGTCGTCGTCTTGTTGCAAATCACCCAGCGTGAGTCGTCGTAGTCGGCCTGTATCTCGGGAATCGTGTCCTGGGATTTCCAAGACTTCAGGGCTGGCAAGGATATCTTTGTAGACCCAACTCCAGGCGCGGAGCCAATGAGACTGCCATAGGCGGTCTTCTTCGTCGAGATTGATTTTCCATTCCATTTGATTTTAGTGACCTTTGAGTCGCCAGTATATACTCTGCCGCATGGTCAGTAAATGAAGTTTGCCCTTCCAAAAGAAGACTTACTCGATAGAAGTGGTATTTGCGTTATCACCAACCAGACTGACAGTTTTCCCAGAAATAGTTGCTTCACGGACCAGATACGGGCCCAGGGCGAAGATATGCTCGCTCGGGGAGACATTGGGGTTGGTCGTGGTGGGGACGGCAAAGAAATTCCACGCGGTTTCCTTCTCGAGGAGATAGATGAGAACCCCATTGGAGAATTGAATAACTGTCGAGCCATCTCCTTGAGTATATGTATACTCTGTCCGGTTGTCCACGGTCGTAGAGGTCACATTGGAAGTGCCATAGGTTTTAAATGTCAGATGTGCCGGTGGATCCACGAAGGCGAAGATTCCCTTCTGTCCAGAATTCATGTAGAACACAATCACATCTTCCTCCAGAGTAGCGTAAGTGAGAACCTCCGCTGATGAGAAGAGCAGACTCGATGCGCTACCAACAGCGTAGTCTGTAACAATGATTTTGCTTTGCCGACCATCAAGTTCGATATCCGGGATAGAAATAGCACCTGTATGAAGTTAGAAATGTAATTGGGGTTCAGCAAGGATTTATCATACCAGCGGAAGTGTTGACATTCAGAGAGAAGGTGGTTACATCTCGAGATGAGCTGGTATCGTGTGCGACGACATAGAAACCCGCTTGAGTATCCGGGTTGCGTAGAGCCCAAGTGAAGATGCTATCATCACTCGTATATCCAGTTCCATTCCCTTCCATGTCGGCTTTCAACAGACCAGATGAAACACGGGTGAATAAGCCCAACAGCTTAGTCTGTTTGATCTTGTCACGAAGCTCACGAGTCTCTCGCAGAGGCGCCGCATAATCGTAAGACGTATACACCACCGGTGCCGCACTGTGACCCCAATTGGTACCACCAAAAGCCATGTACAAGCTTTGCAGTGTCACTCTCGAGCCGATGTTGTTCTTGTAGTAGACATCAACAAATTCCGGAGACTGTTCCTCGGTACATTGATCATAGAAATATCCACCCCAGGGCTGGAACCATCCACCCTCGAACTCTGGAAAGAATTCGGGCTGTGTGTACGAATAGTTCTGAAACCACTGGTAATAAGTGCGAACGAGATTGAATCCCGAGTTCGGATTGGTACAAGAGAGACCACCGGGATAGGAATCCAATCCGTACACATTAACGGCACCGCCGACATCTTCATAGTCAGTCGACCAACTCTCCGAACGCATACCCTTTTCATTATGGGTGCTGGGAACAACAATGCCAGCGGTGTTGAAGGCTGCCGCAATTTGCTCCATGTATAGAACAAGGGTGTTGGTGGCCGAGTGAGTAGTCTCCTGGAGCTCATTCTCATGCTGATTTAGAATCACCGGCCCACCATTCGTGATCTGATTATCCGCAATGATGGCGCCGACCTTCTCAATCCATGGATACCAGCAATCATAGTAGGAAGTGGCACTGGTGCGCGTCTTCCCCATTTGTCCGTTAGATGCCCACAGTGCGAAGCCTCCAGCAGAAGTTTCGCCGTTGATGTAGGGCCCTGGACGGGTAATGACGTACAGACCGGCCTGCTTAGCGTAGTCGAAGACACGCTGGATATCGTGAGCTCCCGATTCAAAGTCAAAGGTGTCCTCTGAAGCTGAATGGTAGCTCCAGAAGAAGTAAACTTATTACAAAATTAGTCAAAAGCTGCCATAGACGCTGGAAGCTGGTATACTCACTAGAAACCGCATTAAATCCGCTAGCTCGGAGCTTCTGGAAGACGTCCAGCCACATCTCAGGAACCGGCAGCCGCATGTAATGGAATTCGCCAGCAAAGACAAACACCCTCTCGCCTTTCACTGAGAGGCTGTATTTATCCCATGTTACCTCGGTTGTGTTGCCGTTGCTAGTGGCATAAACAAGATGACTCGAGATGGCCCAGAGAAAGAGCCACAAAATCCGGAGAGCGCGCATAGTTCGTGATATCCTGGAGTGTGAGCTCCACGACGAGTTCCTTGGAATTGGTCGCCATAATATAGCATAGTTCCTGATGCCTCGGCGATCGCGGTAGTATTACCCCGACTGGGAGCTTGGACCCCGGGATTGGTGGATGTTTTCGCGATCTACCGTGACGCTTTGGGCAATTCTCCAGCAATTGCGGGGATATGCATCTGCAGGAAATTATTAGACCGTTGCTTCGGTTACATACGTTACAGCGCAATATGTAGACTGCAATGCGGGGCGTACTGTGAATGATCAAATAAAGCATAATATTAATATACACAACCGAATACTACTTGGTAGAGCCCAAGGGCAATTTGGATCGTTCAATGTCAAGCATCGTGCCATAATCATATACCGAGCACCAAAACGACAAAACACCAGTCATAATTCAGAAACCCCAAAGACGCCATAAGCTCATCGTACATAAGACCTAAATCGACCGGCGACAATTCCATAGATCACAAGAAAGTAATTAGCGACGTTGATATCATGACAAATCTTCAGAGAACCTCGACTCCCGGCCGGCGCTGGCAGACTCTCCAAGAACGGGCGGAACAGGAAGGCCCTGGTCAACGGCACTGTCTCTGAGGCCTCGGATATTGGTGCCCTGAACCTTCGTTTCAGGAACCGTCCCGGAGCCATTGATCTTTGTGTCATCAGTGCGAGAAACACTCTTTAAGAATGTCTTCTTGAAGCGCTCCCTCCTACTTTTAGCATGGCCGTTGGTTGCAGGTTCGACACTTCCAGCCGAGCTATCGCTGAATGTATTTGTCTTGCCAACGTCGAGACTACCATTGCGAGCGGGTTCACCCTGATCAAGGTCATTTCCGCTGACAGGGTGAGAGCCAAGAGCCGCGCCTCGGGACTCGGGTCGAGACTCAGGCCTAGCAGCCAGAGCAGCACCTCCAGAGAATCCAATCTCACTTTCGCTATTGAAATCCGGGCCAGGCTGATGAGGATACACATGCACAGGACCACTTGAACGACGGACCAATTGGTCTCGGAACCAGGTCCTCAGCTTCGAATCTGCTCGAGGGCTCGTGATCGGCCGGATGTCATGCATCGGTGCTGGACCAGTACCAACCGCGGCGGCATCCCGCGGGGAAGTATGGGAGCGACCCATCATGGCGGGACGTCCGTCATGCTCGGTAGGTTCAGTGATGGAGACCGGGGCTCCAACGTGGGCAGCAGTGGTAAGAGTTGCCGCACCTGCTGCTTCAGGCGCTTCGGGATCTTGAACAACGGCGGCTTCTTGCTTGGGTTCTTGCATGGCTTCTCGCTCAGGTTCTTGCACGAGCTCTTGCTCGGGTTCCTTAGTGGCTTCAGGTTCAGTTTCAGGTTCAGTTTCTTCCTTAGGCGCTTCCTTAGTCTCTTCCGGTGCGATACCGGCAGCCGTAGCGGTGGCCTCTTGCGCGCCCTCGTCCTGAGCTACTGCCTCTTCGTTTGTTGCTTCATGGTCCGCGGATTCCTGGGCCGCAGCCTCCTCGGATGGACGTGCTCGCTTACTCTTCATTCGCCAAAGGAAGCTCATTACTTTGCTGTTCCGTTTGTCCTTGTTAGATCCTATTGCTGAAGAGTTAGCTTATAATCGGAGATCGAATTGCACTTGGGACACTAACCCTTGTCACGCGAGTCTGCGACTCTAGTCATGCTAGCCTCGCGCTCCCTTTCTATTGCGGCATGCCTTTCTTTCTCCTCAGCATCCAGACGTGCCTCGACCTCATCGGCCCTCTTTTGTTCCGCACTCTCGGTAATCTCGTCGAGTGTTGGCTGTAGGCGGGAGCGTGCAACGGCTTCAACATCAGCCATGTCCATATATTGATGCGTTCCGATGTTAACGCGGTTTCCACGAGCAGCAGAATTCGCCTCCGCCGCTTCGGCCTCCCGACGTACACGCTCGTGAGCAGCCTCATCCCATTCTTTCTGAAGAGACGGTGGCGCCCGGCCTTTGTCGGCATACATTTTCATCTCCATACTCATCAGAGTCGCATCAACATTGCGTCGAGCGGCTTCCATGAGCAACGCCCGGTCCCTGGTTCTCTTTTCGTCCACGTCATTGACCTTGGTCCGCAGGCTTTTCATTTGGTTGCGGATATACCTGGACTGCTCGGCATCCACCTGGACTGAATCTGCATCGCTGGCAGTTCTCTTTCGACGAGCAGTCAGCCGAGATCGTGCAGGTTGAGGAGTAGTGCCGTAGTAGCTCTGGAGCTCAGCCTGCTCATTGTGCATGAGAGCCAGTTTCTCTGCCGCCCTTTTTTGGGCCGCTTCCTGAAGAGTCATTGCGCGTTGGGCCGTGGACCCTTCAGTTCCGCCGACGGTCTTCGACCGAACTGGAACTTTGGGGTTGTTTGGGTCATACATCTCCTTGGCCATGGAAATCGCTGCAGCATGCAAGGAATTCTTCCGGTTGCGCTCCTGTGCTTCACTTTGAATGGGAGGCGATGATGTATACATTTTGGCATTGGTGTTGGCAAGGTGGCGGATTCGACTCGCTTCCATCGCGCTATCCAAATGATCGAGAGGCTCCTCCTCATCTGTTTTATTTCTATGCGACACGCCCGCGGCGGACAACGCATAGGGAGAGTCGGAGGTAATGACCGGCTCACTGGGGGCCGAGTCAGCACGCCTCCGCCCTGTCGCATAAGCTCCCGTGGCGGCTCGGAGCGCCTTGTCCTGATTATTGCGGGAGTATTCATATCTCTGTGTCTCTCGGGTCGGGGACAGGTTCGAATTCCTTTGTTCCCGAACGGCAAGAATCGCGGCGCCCAATCCTTCAGAGCTATATTGGGTGCTGGGTTTGGGGATCTCGGGGGCTTTAAAGTCCCTCACACAATAGGCGGCCGTCTCAGCCTCGGTGAATCGTCCTGGACGCCATATTTCCACCGGTTTCCGATTCGCATGAGCAATTGCAGCCCCAGCCGAAGCGGCGCTCAGACTTGATGCGCCCTTTACTTGTGGATCTATCGCGACAAGCATTCTGGGTCAGATTATCATATCGCATGGTCGAAGGGGGGTCGCTTACTATTGATATCCGAGGCAGGTTTCTCGCGAACAGACGCCTTGCGTCGCGGCTGCACTGCATAGAGTGCAGCAGTAGCGGCTGTTTCAGGTACAAAGTCAGCGGTCGCGACCAGAGCGGAACCGGTGGAGTTCAGTGACGATCATCACCTACCATCATCAGCCAGTCGGGCCGACCTGGGACCGGCGGTCATTTGCGCAGTCGCCATGAGGGAGGAACGTGCGATCGAGAATTAAACAGCATGGATTTGGAGCAGAAGATGGGAAGAAACTGAATTTGAGTGGAAAGGCCGGAAGCTTTCTGGACCCCGTGACGTCGCGAATCGATGATTGCATCATAGCGAACTCAATGAATCAACGATCAACGTGGGGAAAGGCGGCTTTCCGCTTTCAGCTTCCCAGCTCTTGCTTCGAGCTTTTTTCCTCCTGGAACCTTCCTGACTATACCTTTTTCGTCTTTTCCTTGTTGCATTGGCTTCGACTTTCCATGATTCATACGATCAATCGGGATCTGTCCCTTGATGGGTAACCATCGTGGTCCCCGGAGATGGTACCCGGTAAACCTGAGAAGTTCCCACGATGTGATCATGTGGAAATAATAATGACGAGGGATTTGCTCGATTATCACCAGGGCACTACAAAGTATGTAGCTCAGATCGAACTGATTTTGCAATTCAAGCCACTTAACTCATGGTGGGTTTATAGATCGCCCCACTCCACCTTCTTACAGCCTTATAATTCAGTCGGACTGCTGGCTTGGCAATTCACCCTGTGGCGCATTTAACTCTGGAGTATTTGGAAAGAACAATTTTCAATCTTTCTGCCTACTCTGGGTGATTTATGAATCCAAGCACTCGAAATGCGCATAGCCTTCGCACGCTGAACATCCCTAGATTAGCGTTATGAGACCCTTTAAGAGCTCGAGTGGAAGACCTGGCACGCCATGAGATATTTGGATACCAAGGGACGTAAAGATCAATCAAAGCTCAGAATATAAAGACTGTTCAAATCACAGGATGGATTGCTCCCGGGTTCATGAGCCTGTCCCTGACCTGTATTTGCCCAGGCGACGATAAGATCTCGGCATCGATATGTTTTGCCGACGGAAGTGGAGCCGTGCACGATTTTTGGCCGAATAACCCCTTAAAGGCGATGTCTTTGCTCACACCGCAAGTTGACATTGAGAATACCAATTCAAATCAAGGACTTCAATTTTGAAATATGCCCCTCCCTGTAGCTGGGCTGGCTGCAAGAGTGCCACTGGCATACGAATTGCTAAGCGCGGGTAAACACGCAAAACCGAATAAGAAATCACCTATTCTCTTCCTCCATGGATTTCTGGGATCAAAACGAGAAAACAGGCATGTGAGCAGGTAAGGAGAAAGGCTTCAAGTTAGATATGCTGCAGTCCCGATACTGACAGCCCTGTCCCTACTAAGGCTACTTGCTAAGGACTTAACGCGGGATGTCTATACCCTGGTAGTTATTCCCGAGGTTTGATGCATACGTGGAAAGTGGAATATTGATCAAAGACAGGACCTTCGAAACCACGGGGACTCTGGTCATCACCCCAAGCACACCTACAGTGAGATGGCTTTGGATGTCAAGTCCTTCATTGAAACTCATCAATTACAACGCCCCACGGTGATTGGCCACTCAATGTAAGAGTGAACACTGGAAGTTGAGAACGCTGGGTGCTAATGTCTTTAAGGGGCGCCAAGACTGCCATGACACTTGCTCTGGGCTCACCAGACCTTGTATCTAAGGTTGTCGCCGTCGATAATGGCCCTATTGAACTCCCTCTTTCTCCAGACTTTAAAGTATACCTTGAATCCATGGCCAAGGTTCAGAGTATGCGTGTCACTACCCACCGCGAAGCTGACAAGATTCTGCAAGACTCTGTAACGGTGACTTTCCCATGCCTGCCCGGGTAGAAACTAGAAACTGATCTGGTATAGTCTCCCTCAGTCAGATTATGGCTCTTGAGCAATTTCATCAAGGAGAAAGATGCCTCTCACCTAAAGCTGAGACTGTCAGTGGATATCCTGAAAGACGCACTTGGCCCATTGGGGGAGTTTCCTTACGCCACAGGATCTGGAAAATTCTCAAACCCGGTTCTTTTTGTTCGGGGTCTGCAGAGTCACTATGTCCCCGAGACTGCATTTCCCTTGATGTCCTCCATCTTTCCGCGCTCTGAGATTGTCAACATTGATTGTGGACATTGGGTAGTACAGGAAAAGCCGGAGGAACTCAGGCAAGGTATGACTCGCCTATATTGACCTCTTTAATGCTGTTAGTCTTGCTCACATATCGCATAAGCCATCGTTAGGTTTCTACAAAAGCACAACTAAGCCCCACTAGAAGAGACAATGGGCATGTATCAATAATGAACCAAGTGCATATCTGTAAATACGAACATAGAACGGGAAATCCAAAACTACAAGAAATACTTGGTACCCAGACTTTATCTTCCAACACGACATTATTCACAAACGGAAACAATCAAATATGTATGCTTCAGGAAGTCAGTATACGAATCATTTTTATAGAATGAGCAAAAGAACTTCATGAGAGATGTATCCGGCCCAGTGGAGCATCGCAAAGCTTGTGCTGAGTCCGGAAGAGGTTGATAGTTATGCATGACTATGACATATACACTCTCTATACTCTCCCCCAAGAGCAGATGATTTCTTCCTACCGAAATAGCCTGCATATTCATCTATAGGCAATATTGGTAGCCGAGGGAATGATATCTGTGTAGAGGAATGGAAATATAGACACAGACTTTTCTCTTTGTTTCAATGGCAGAAAATAGCACAGGACATGCATGACCCCTGCATCTTTGACGTACATATATGCACGGCTCTGATTAAGATCCTAGCTTTGCCTCGGGATCCTCCATGAACATCGCCTTCAGGAGGAGGAAATGACCTCTAGCCATATTTTTTTCCAGAGAAAATTTACGCACAGTCCGGTTGATATGGGTCTAAGGCGATGATATAAAATCTTCCTGAAACACGTATATTGATTCTGACACTGTAACTGCTCAGGCAATGCCGATCGCGATACCTAAAGTTATCGTGCCACATTCTCAATGAATTTACGGCTTTCCAACCCAACTGTTACTTTGATCTCTCCGATACTGTACATCTGTAAATTATTTTGATAAATCTTATCGTGAATAAAAACAGCGTTGACGCTTACTGTACAAACCATGATAAAGTCCGTGCATCACGGATAAAGGTGGAACACCCGAAGCTTGGCCACCATCCTGGCCAAACACTGCGTAACAATGAAAATGCCTCGAAATACCCAATTTCACCCAGACAGGGAACCCCTTCGAGATCATCCCAGCCTCGAACTCCGCCGAAACCATGTCTCCGGCCCAATGCCGTTCTTGAACCCAACGCGGGCGCGGTACGCACCCGCGCCAGGGAATGCCTCAGCGGACCAGCCCACGCAAAGACCCACCAAACCCACCCCTGAATTTGTGGAGCACCTCTGGCGATCGCGCGACAATCGCAAAGGAAGACATGCGCTACAAGTGGACTATGAGGCCGCGCGACAAGATACCGCAAATGCGCCGCCGGAACCTACATCTACGATCCGGGAGGCGGGGAAGGGGTTTATACGGATGGCTACATATGTGCCCTATTGGGATGTTTCGTATCTTGTTGCTGTGACGTTCACTCTTGGTTCGGCTGTCTGGATCATCAATGCCTTTTTCGTTTGGCAGCCGCTTGTGGATCCGCAGACTGAGTTCTCTGGCGAGTCTTACGTGGGTGGTGGAGTTACCGGGTTCATCGGTGCTACCATCTTCGAGGTTGGAAGCGTCCTGCTACTTCTGGAAGCCGTCAATGCACATCAAACGGGGTGTTTTGGCTGGGCGCTTGAGACGGAATTAAAAAAGGCGGAGGGCGATGCAGTTCGGACTGTCAGGGTAAAGCCGGTTACGGAGGACTGTCAGCACCATCATGCGAACAAACGGAATCTGGTAGGGGCTGGCAGACTTACCCATCGTCTCTCTCAGGATGCCGTGGAGGGGTATTCCACGTCATCTCCGGATGGTAGATCATTCCGCTGGATTCCATCGCTGTCAGAGCTTCGGAGTCACTATCTCCACGAACTGGGATTTCTGGCATCAGTGATCCAGTTTTTGGCAGCAAGTATTTTCTGGATTGCGGGACTGACTGGTCTGCCCGGTATTATCAACCATATGAGCCAAGGTCTTACTGATGGAATCTACTGGGTGCCGCAGATCGTCGGCGGTCTTGGCTTTATCGTGAGCGGCCTACTGTTTACCCTTGAAACCCAGCCGAAATGGTATATACCCGCCCCCAAGGTTCTGGGCTGGCATATCGGAGCCTGGAATTTCATCGGCGGGATCGGTTTCACCCTTTGCGGTGCTTTAGGGCCAGGAACCAATTCCTCAAAGGTGGAGTACCAGGCCACCCTTGCGACATTCTGGGGATCATGGGCGTTTATGATCGGGTCCACAATACAGTGGTATGAAAGCCTTCAAAAGTACCCTGTGGAAAAGAAACGACTCTCGGAGAAATCTGATAATTGATTCTCTTGTACATACGATACTATTATTACTCTATAATCGATACCCATAGACATACAATGCCCGACGCAGTTGAACCCCTAAACCCAACCAGCAGACTTCGAAATCGAACTACCAGAGATGCAGCATCTCAAGGATATCATGACGGGCAAAAAATGAGCGGTTCCGCTTGCCAAACACATCTGTAAAAGGGGTCAGTCACTAATAGTTGATTGTCTGGAGGCGTGAACATACACATAGGAATACTGAGGAGGCAAATGCCCACCTGGATACTGCCGATGATAATCATAGTGTGCTTGACCCCTCCATGAGCAAACCAATTGTAGGCAAAGAAGGTCAGCACAAAGCTGAACATATTCTTGAAGACCAACAAGCAGGTGAATGCTTCCACAGCAATTTCCCCTATGATAATTAGCCAATGTTCGTCAATGACAAAAGCATCTTCCTACTCACGGTGTGCATCGACAATGTAAAGTGAAGCGGCCACTGCGCCCATGACCATGCCAATGATCAGAAATGCGAAGAATACATCCGGTAAGAGCCAGTGGTATTTTTCCACATCGGAAGCTGTCCACCCAAACCCGTACAGGCCCATGGCACTAAAAACTAACTGGAAAGCCACCAGAAGGATTCGGAACTCGGGCTCATATTTGCCTCGATTGAGTCGGATCATCGCTTTGTTTATGGAATCGGTAAGCAGACCAGCGAAGAGCAGGCCTATAATAGCTCCGATGAAGGCACCAGTGTATAGGTAGCCTGTTTTGTCTTCTGCGAACCATAATGGAGGGCCCAGAAACACGATTGCTAAAATTACACCGATGAACACGGCCCACCCAATGACGATACCTTGAGTCAAACAAGCCTTCAGACAGGTTAGTACCTCGTGGAAAGTGTATCAGAGAAAAAAACGGGAACACATACCCAGAAGATTCCAGGGTGAAAAAATAATGGAAAGGGACGGAGAAGTAGCTTGAAGAAGTTTTCGTCTGTTTTTCGTCCGTTGAATAGTCTCATTGATGTCCAAAGTGAATCTTTCTCTGGTGTCACCGTGGCGGAGACCTCTGTTCGTGTACCGTTGCCGGCCATGGTTCCTGATATGAACTCTTGAGTATCCTTATGGGAAGGATCACTAAGCGGCCAATTTGGCTCAGGGGATTCCGCCTGACTATTCTTGTGTCTGAAATCGGTGTTCAGATAGTCGGGTCTTCGAAACGCAGTCTCAGGCACAAAAAGAATCATGAAAGGCAGTGCTGCACCAAGGAAAATGGCAACAAAGTAAAACGACCATTGCCAACCAAGGGACTTGGTGATTTTGCCGACAAATACTGGAGTCAAGAAAGCCGCACCAAAAAGAGCCACATTGGATACGGCCATTCGCTTTCCTCGTTCCTTTGTGACGTTAGTCTCGGGCTATCGACTTGCTGGATATTGCACTCACGTGGACAAAGTAAAGATCACCAACACAAGCATTCACCAGCGCTTCAAATGGAGCCAACGCCACGCCTTGGAAGATTCGGGCCCATAGGAGACTCTTGTGGTTGCGCCCACTCGCACCAGCCCAGATGCAGCTGACAATCATCAAGACGTGCCCAATGATAAACAGATGGCGCTTGCCCCAGACTCGTGCAGTTGGGACAATCAAAATCCCTGCTACTCCAACACCACAGAGGTGGTAACCCGTCAGAAGGGCGGCCTGGACGAAGGTGATCGTCTCATATTCCGCAATTGTCACTGTATTCGCAGCCATGATCGAGCTCAGGGTCGTACATAACACCGTGACAAAGGACAGGATCGCAAGAATGAGGTCGCGTCTCCATAATGGCCAATTCTATGTAGTTAATCATTAGCACTCGCAAGTCAAACATCGTGAGCCATCCATAACGGAGGTATCTGAGCATACCAATGGGTCGTTGGGGTCATCGCTTGGCTGGGGTACAAGAAGCGTTGGTTCTGCAGTGGACCGGTCGTATTTCAGACTTGTGGCGCCCGGGATACGGTCGCTTGGAATCTCGTCCACCCCATAGATGTTGGAGGTGCCTATTACAACGACATCAGTCGCCGGACCAGTACATGTTAGAGAGTCGCTTCTCACCTGGAACCTGAGCCAGCTTGTGATCCTCCAGCACGCCGAGCCCCATGATTGCAGTAGGAGACGAATATGACGTGAATCGAACCCAAAAAGAAAGAAAGTCAAGAGGGGGTCAAGCTAACCTACTTCTAGCCTTTTCCAATCTCATTCGGCGAATACGACCGGCAAAGGTCCAGCACAAGCAAAAATGTGACCAACAACTTTCAATCGACATGCCAGACCCGCGACCAGACGCAAGATATAGATGATTCTGTAAGATTCAGGACTTGAGAAATTCCAACCGTTCTTCTCCGACCACCAGGCCGATCGTAGAAAATCCCAGTCCGAGACTCAACGGAATGAAGCCGCCACCTTTGCCGGTTTCAAAGTTTGGCCCCTGCGGCATCCCCGCGAGTCCAGGTGTGATTGGGATTGGTGACACAGATCTGCGAGGCTGTAATGTACTTTTACAGGCTCCACTGAACCAGGGTAAGAACGATGGTCGATGATTGGTGGTGGGGCCGAGGCATCACAGTTGCTAGTGATGATGGCTGTTTTACTTTTCTCAAAGCCTGGCATTTTCCTTTGTGTTCCCCCCACATGATGGGTCATTGGATGATTTTCGAATCCATTCCCCATTTTCTGCGCCTCATAATCTTGGTGAAACATGATCCATGAATCATTCAGCAAGAAACGAACTCGAACCCTACCCTGACTCTCCAAACAGAGCTACGGAAGAGCTACAGATACGGGGAAACGGGAAAATCCCAGGGCTGGATCCACAGTGGAGAGGCCAGTGGTCCTGAGCGTACAGCGGGTCTTGACACTAGACTCGATTTGGGGTAATGCCATCTGTGTGTTTTCTGGTATTGGAGCTCCGTCACGTCGTGTCTATACAACTAGCAGGATGTGTGCATATGCTATTTGATCTATTCCTCCCGTTCAAAGGCGATGATACTATGCTGACAGCTGCATGTACGGACCTCCGACAGCCATTCTTCTTTCGTCCAAGGCGGAGCGGTGTATTCCAATGCCAGTCCATACCGCTGGATTTGGACCCCAAGTTTATCCATGCGGTCCCAGGGGTACACATATTCCCAGTCTGAATAGGTCCCCTGTTTGAGATTAGGGTATGGACTGACAGGAGAGAACGTGATTTCGATCTTTTTCAATGGTGCCTTGCGCTTCCAAGCAGCTATTGCAAGCTGTCGAATCCATTCTTCTTCCATGTGCCCCCAATTGTTGATTAAGCTGTGGCCCATGACTCCAAACACAAGTCCAAACGTATGGAGACTTGGACCGAGTATCAGATCGGCATAGACTGGATCCCATTCAAATTCTCGGTTCCACGGGTCTGCACATATCTGGGTCCGCGATAGTCGAAGAACTTCCAGTAAGGGAAAGTTGGATGCATTGAATGAGAGCCCGTGGGGGAATCCCAAGAGATCAATGTAAATAGTCTTAAGCGTCTCTTTGTGAATGGAGAGACACATCCCAATATCATGAAGGTTCATGTCGGAGACAAAGCTTCCCGAGGTGTTGATGGTAAAATGAACAAGCTCCTTGGGCCAGTGAATAAACGCCGCTATGGCCTCAGGGTAATCTTTGCAGCCCCTTAGCTTCACGGACTTGAATGATGCAGATCGAGCTTTCTGAATGATTATTAGCATGGAATATTTCAGGGAAACGTCTCTGCACTTACCTGTGGAAGAAGCATCTCAGAGAGGGAAGATGTATCCGAAAGGCCCGCCGCAGATACCTCCAATGTCTCGAGGGAGGAGCAATTGATATATTTCACCGTTTCTGCCAAGGAGATACCTCCAGTTTCATCCCACATATCTCCTTCGATCTGCAAGTTTCGCAGCTGTCCCAGATTCTGAGTGCTTTGGATCAAAGATAATGTGTGTTCTCGGACCTCGTCCGGAGCTTTGGAGTAAAAGCCACCCGTGAGCACCAGAGATCGAAGTCTTGTGAACCAGGAGATCAAGTCATTTACAACTTGGAAATCCTCTTCATTGACCTCCCCAGAATCATCGTCGATATCGATATATAGTGAAAGGCACAGGGATCGTAAAGATGGGTTACGCAGAAGCAATCGATGAAGCTTTCTTACTTTCTCCATCGGTGGCACAGTACAACGCTCACACAGATGCGGATGAATAAATCTGATCTCTTCATATAGAAAAGGTGATACAACTCGGTGAAAACGATGGCTCACCAGAGCCAAGGACCGAATAGTGCCATAATCTCGTTTTCTGGGTCTTATTTGGGCAGTGCTATCGCTGAGCGTGGCCCAATCTAAGATACTGGCAAGTAGCTCATCTGGCAGCATGATTCCCGTCATATTTGAATAAAGGAGAAAGTTGTTTCTCAGGTCAGAAGGGAAGTTGCCCTCGAGAAGTACCTCCTCAAGTAGGGACCTTGGTGGATCGCAAGTACCATGAGGGACAAGCTGCCGCCCCACCTAGCTTAACAGGATCATCAGGGAGGATTCAACCATGAATTTCAAGTTAAAACGGGAGAAACCGCTTTCGGTCTCAATAAACAGCTCGAGTGAGTCTTCTGGGCCCCAATGTATATCGGGAGTTGGTTAATGCCACCAGGATCGGCACATTACGACCACCCACTTCAGCTCGTAATACACATACCGCAAGCGCTGGGCGTTCCCGTAAACCGTAAAGAGAGCTTGAACTATGCTAGCGCCATTAGCCATTGGCAGAGAGTGTATACCCTTGTCGTACTGCGTACGAGGTTGCTGTAGGTCCCCTGGACAACTCAAATTTCCAAGAGCTCAGGACTTTCTTTTAAAACGAAGCAACCAGCTCACTTCTCCTCCTGCAACCATCCTTCCTCCTCCCAAACCCTGCATCTGAAACGGTCCAAATCTTCAATTCACTATGAAGCTCACTCAAACTATCCTGGCTCTGGCCATTGCATCGGTGGCTAATGCCCAGCTGAGCTCTCTGCCCAAATGCGCGGTATGTATTTACTCCCCAACGCCCTTATAAGTAAACAAGATAAAATGACTCTTGCTGACAGTCGAATACAGCAAAGCTGTGCTACCAACGCGATCCCCGCTAGCTGTGGCGTCGATGTCGCTTGTATTTGTGACAACAAGAGCTTCCTAGGCGATATCGCCTGCTGCATCGCTGGCAAGTGCACTGAAGCTGAGCAAGAAGGTACGTTTCTACATCAATGGCGCACAAAGTATGGATAAACTAACCTTGGCACCCCCGCTTTCTACAGAGACTCTCAAGGCAGCCAAGGGAATCTGCTCTGCAGGCGGTGTCACCGACCTGCCTAGTACGGTCGCCTGCACCACTGGGGCATCCAGCACCACTGCTTCAGGTACCTCGACCACCAGCTCGGACAGTGCCTCTACCACTTCCACCAGCGGCACCACGACTGCAAGTGGTTCCGAGACCACCATCAGTGGCACCGCTGAGACTACCACCACGAAGTCTTCGTCTACGACCACGTCGGGCACCGAAAACACTTCCACCTCTGGCTCGGCTACTGCATCTTCCACTTCGGCAGCCGCTACCAATGGTGGTGCTGTGCTCGGACAAAACAAGGATGCTTCCTTCATGGCCGCTGCCGGAGCTGCTGCGGCCTTCGCCATCCTCATCTAGACAATGAACGTTGTCAGATAGCGGCACCACGCAATCCAGTGATCAAAAATCGAGGAAAAGCTTATTTGTGTGGATCGGCGAGAACAACCTGTCTATGACATTATCTGTTCAGACGGAATTATGTACCAAACAGGACATTTTAAGGGCGAAATCGAATCGAACCGAGCATAGTTACTCTAATAATACACTTTCTGGTTGAGAATTTTTAGCTTTCCTTCGCGTCTTCCAACAACTTGGTCATTCGCTCCTGTCGCTCCTCACGGAGGGTGACGAAGATCTGTGTCATCATGTTAGCAGAGGTCGAAATACCGTTCGACAGAGTTTATCTCACCCAGAACCAGGCCATCATCTCCATGAAACCAAAAGTAAAGACAGCACGGTTCTTCAACCGATCAAGGCCGGCGGCGGTTGATGCAGCGGTATAAGAGGATGCCACGAACGAGCCTTTGTTCGAGTAGATGAACAAGGCAATGCTAGCGTAGACGGCAACACGAGCCATGGCCACGTTGACCCAGACATTCCAATACACGGTCAGGGACTTGGCGATGTAATGAGGCAGCTTCTCGAGAGCACGGAGATCCTCGGAGGCGAGGTTGGGGTTGCGGAAGGGTCGGATATAAGGCATGGCTTCATCCAATGCATCGTGGAAGGGAAGGCTGGCCAGAAGGAAGATGTCGACCAAGGCTTCGGCGAAGAGGAAAATGGCACAAAACACGAAGGGAGAGGTTAGGGGACTTGTGGCCGGAGGGAAGTCCTGTAATTCAATTGCTTCATTAGCCAATTGATTTTTAAACGCAATCGCATGCCAGAGCTGGGGGGATTCCCTACAACTTTCAAGGTTTCTCCCATCATAAACACGATATTAGAATCAGTGATCGCCTCTGGGCTTTTGATGAGGTACCCAGCAATAACTATCATAAGCACAGCATGTGCCTGGATGAGGGTCTTCGAAGAAAGCAACACCATCTTGACGGTTGGGTGGTGGTCCTAGGGGTGTTGGAGAAGTTACAAAGTGGTCTTTCTGCGGGAAGCAAGTTGCTCCGTCTCGGACTCTAAGAAAGCATGTGGGGAAAGGCAGCTCCGCCATTCAATTCTCCCCCACCAACAGACAAATCGCAGTGCTTTCACGATTGAGAACAGCCCTCGGGGACTGTTACATGGGACGAACATCGTGAAGTAGGACGACAGAACGAAGAAAAAACGATCTCCAAAGCTGTCGTCAAGTCGTGGCCTCTGCTAGAACCACGATGGCGGCACTCTTTACCACTGAACGCCATGTGAAATATTACCTGCGCTGTCTTAAGACCTTCCTGCCGTCTGCCTATACCTCCAATGACTCAAATCGCATGCTCCTCGCCTACTTCAGTCTCTCTGGATTAGACGTGTTGGGTGTTCTACAGGCCAAAACAACCCCGGAGGAGAGACAAGCATACATCAACTGGCTTTACCATTGCCAGGTTCCCTCTGGCGGCTTTCGCGGTTTCCCAGGCACAGATTTTGGAGAAGAAAGACGGACAGCGGACAATGCAGGGTGGGATCCGGCCAACGTACCAGCCACATTCTTTGCTCTTGTGAACCTACTTATTCTGGGCGATGATCTATCCCGAGTGAGGCGAAGGGAATGCCTACAGTGGCTTCCTCAGCTACAACGTGCCGATGGAAGCTTTGGAGAGGTTCTCGGCCCCAATGCCAGAATTGAGGGCGATCGCGACCTGCGGTATTGTATGTGCGCAGCTGGTATACGGTATATGTTGCGGGGAAGTATGAGCAAGGGCGTTGAAGATGTAAATGATATCGATGTGCCCGGCTTCATGTCATTCATCCAAGCGTGCCAGGTAACCTCAATTCATGATGTTTTTGATTCTGAATAGGTCGTTTTCATTTTTTACTAACTCATGTTTTCTGAACTAGGCTTACGATGGCGGGATGGCCGAATCCCCTTTCCGTGAACCCCACAGTCGGTATCCCCAGTGTGTTTTCTCTCCCTGATCTTTCTGACAATGGCGCCTAGGTGGTCATACATATTGTGCAGTTGGATCACTAGACTTTCTGCGTCGGGCAGGCACAGACATCCAAGCGGTTCCCTTGTTGTCGCCGGGCTCGGAGAGGTTTGAGATGTTGCTTGCATGGCTGGCCTCGCGACAGACGGGTGAACTCGGCGAGGAGGAGGAAGAGGAAGATGACGAGGATGACGAAACCGAAGCAATTGTACCAGATACCCAACCGACCGAAGACTTGACAAGGTCGCTGGAAGAGAAAATCATCGCACTGCCCGGTCTCACTGCATTGACCGCCGACTCAATACCATGCGCCGGATTCAATGGACGGTGTAACAAGTTTGCAGACACCTGCTATTCGTTTTGGAACGGGGCGACACTAATGGTATGTGTCGCATCGAGGTCAGCGTGAATACCCCCTTTCTTACCATATCATAGATGCTAGATCGATACTGCGTTATAGACGATGTGCGTAACCGACGGTATCTTCTTGAAAAGGTCCAGCACCTGGTGGGCGGGTTTGGAAAATCAGTTGGAGACCATCCCGGTAAGACAGAAAACGCCCATGACATCGCAAGTGGCAAATTACCGTTGCTGACCAAATTTCTCCTAGATCTCCTCCACTCCTATTTTGGCATGGTATCATTAGCTTTCCAGGGCGAAGAGGGATTGGCGCGTATCGACCCTGCACTGGTTACAACAGAACGAGTCGTGCAGCACCTTGAGTCCCTTTCGTGGCGGTCATAGGCCCGAACGTATGATCAAAGGGGGGCAATTGCATGGCCCAATGGTGACATGGGCCAATAAGCGTCTCGCATATAGATTCGAGATGTCTATGTATGTTTTCTATACTTACCATCAAGGGTCTGGGATCAAGGGGTAATGAGAAAACATTCGGTGTCGTCACCGGATACCAACCTTGGAAGTCAGCATCAGTACATTGACAGCGCACATAATACAAACGAGAAAGTATATAAAGTAGAGAAAGTTGAACAGAACAATGAAAATGAAACGGGAACAATTTCCACTTTTTTTTCCCGGTTCAGGGGCTTGAGATCCCGCGGTATGATGGAATGAACGTTTTATTTGGAGTCGAGTCCACAGCCGAATACTCCACACCACGTTTCCCCGTTTCGAAGGAAACCTTGTATGCAACTTTCACCTTTCTCTACATCCTTCCGCCTGAAACTCCCCCCGCCGGAATCAGTACCGTTCCGCCCTTTTGGATGGCAATATTGCGCAACCCACTTCGCCCCCTACCACCCATACGCGACGCAGATCTCCGCGGCCGACGGCAACCTCGGAGATCGATTATAACACATGCCGCCCAGGACGAGAGCGGGGGTTCAAAGCCAGAAGCAGAAGGAAAAGGTACGTTCGACCTGCGGGATTCGGTCTCACGGCTCAACCGCCGCGGTCTCGTGGGTGTCCGCTGCGCAAGAACAAATGGCTAACCTCGAGACCGTTTATTCTGGTCGCGCATCATAGCAGCTTGCGAACTCTTACAATGAATTACTTGAGTACGTTCTCCTCTCGATCGAATCAGCAATCCATGATGACTGATGCGCGGCCTGTGCAGAGAGTTCTCGTCCAAGGATCTTCGGAGCGTGGGAAATTACACATTAGGGAGGTTGATTGGAAAGGGTTCCTTTGGAAAGGTCTACCTCGCGTCGCACAAGCTCACCAATGGCTCCAAGGTACGGAATACATGTGGACTAGGAATCGAGGCGTACCTCAGTGCTGACGCGTAAGGCAGGTGGTTCTCAAGTCTTCTAGTAAGGAGGACACAAATTTGGCCCGCGAGATCCATCACCATCGTCAATTTCTTCATCCCCATATCGCACGTCTCTATGAGGTCGTCGTGACGGAAAATCTGGTGTGGCTGGTTCTGGAATACTGTCAAGGTATAGTTGGATCGGAGTGGCTTTGAGCGCGAGTCAATAGGCTGACGCATATTTACTGTCTAGGTGACGAACTTTACAACTACCTCCTGCGCCACGGCCCATTGCCAGTCGACAAAGTAAAACGGATATTCACCCAGTTGGTGGGAGCAGTGGCCTACGTCCATAGCAAGTCTTGCGTGCATCGGGATCTTAAATTGGAGAATATTCTTCTGGACAAACAAGAAAACGTTAAGCTCTGCGATTTCGGGTTCACACGCGAATATGAGGGCAAGTCAAGTTATCTGCAGACCTTCTGCGGGACAATATGCTACAGTGCCCCCGAAATGCTGAAGGGAGAGAAATACGCAGGTGAAAAGGTGGACGTGTGGAGCTTGGGGATTATCCTCTATGCGCTACTTGCCGGCGAGCTACCATATGACGACGACGATGATCAGGTCACCAAGAACCGTATTCTCTCGGAGGAACCCATCTACAATGCCAAGTTCCCGGAAGATGCCAAGGCGCTCATTAACCTTCTTTTGTCGAAACGCCCATTGATTCGACCCAGCCTCGAAGAGATTCTTGCCCATCCTTTTCTCGCGGAGCATGCTCCTGAGCAACTTGCCATCCTCAAAATCCCGCAACCCTCGCCATTTACGACACCGCTCGAGAAGACGACATTACAACGGATGAAAAGTGCGGGAGTCAACATTGACGAGATCATTGAGAACGTCTTGGCACAACGATGCGATCCTTTGGCCGGATGGTGGGCGTTGCTGATCGAGAAGGAACAGCGAAAGGAACAAAAACGAGAGCGCAAGCGTCGCGAGCGAGAAGCAGAGGCCAAGAACCTTCGTCGTCTGAGCGCTGCTAGTAGCCGGTTTGAGAAGCTCTCATCGGCCTTGGTGGAGGTAGACGAGGAAGGCCAGGGCCATGCAGGCAGCCAGCTATCAGACCGTGGGCGTCGTGACAGGCGGAGCCTGCCATCTCAGCTGGCAGTGCCTGAGCTTCCTGCATTGCCTGAGCCAGTACCTGTACAGACACCTGAGCTGAAAAGTGCTCCTCCTACGCCCCTTGATAAGGATTCCATCCATTCAACTACATCGTCGCGACGACGGCCGGTTCCACCACCAAAAGATAAGAGGCGATCCCGCCCCAGTATGTTGCATGTCAGTGCCTCACAACCGGAGCTAGCCCAGCATCATGGCCTATTCCGTCGTCGAACCTCCGCAAATCGACGCCACAATCCAATAATCAGCCAGCTAGCTTCGCTGAAGCACTGGTTTGTGGAATCAGCCAAGCGAGCAAAGTCGCCGAGTGCCAAATCAGCTGGCTCGCGCAAGTTTACCGACAAATTTAGCCCAGCCAAAAATCAAGATACCGGCAAAAAGGCCACTTCATTACCTGCTTCAGTTGAGCCGGCTGAAGAAGTGGTCACCCCTACTCAGATCAAACGGATATCCAATGCTAGCAGCCTCGCCCCGAGCAGTGCTTCTTACCGTCAAAATCGTCATTCCTACCCTCGTCAGCCACGAGCCTTGAACACCGGTCATTCGAGTAATCGGAACTCACTTTCGCCATCACCAATCACTCCCCGCGGATCATATCGACGGTCATCGGCGGGACTAAGAGGTCGCAAATCAACATCGTCGTCCGTCTCCTCCATTCGCAGTATTCACCACACCCGCGCCCATTCCAAGGCTTCGTCAATTTCATCCAATAGCGTTGACACGGTTGCCACACCTACGGCCCGGATCTCCAAGTCTCCTCACTCATCGCTCAAAGTTCTGCCTACCACACCGGGAGCTTCGGCTCGTTTCCCTAGCAATATTCGATATGTGCGCGGCTCTAGCAATGCCCCTCGGGATTTCGGCGAGCATCTAGTCCCAGGACCGTCAAATTTCAATGAAGCGGCGCCTGCACCGTTACTATATTCCCCCTCATCAAGCCTGGTGTTTGCTCGGCGAAAGAGGTCTGCTTTCAAAGGTCCTATGCTTCACACATCAAATATGATGGCGCCTGGTAGTATGGTCCACTCTCCAGTTCCTGGTCAGCCTGAAGACTCCATAGAGCCAATAGTTCCCACTGGACGGCCGGCTGCTCGCAAGAGCCAGATCATTGAAGAAGAGGAAGACGACGAAGACATTGAAGAAGTTGACGAGTTTGATGGCCCCGAAGAGGAGACTGTTGAGCCAGCTGGTGTAGTTGATGAGGACGGGCCAGAGACGGAAACCGTCAAGGATTCTGATGAGCGGGCCGAGGGGACTGGATCTCCTGCATCAACCCGCAAGCCGGCTCTTGAACCTGCCGCAGAATTGGAGTCCAGTCCAATCCGACCTCCACGCTCATCTTCTTTGCGCTCACCACCGCCCGAAACTGCCACGGCCATTGCTGCAGAGACTGCCAGTATTGATCTCCCGCAAGATAATGCTGCGATCATCGAGAATGCCGGTGCCGCTGGTGACGCGACTTCTACGCACGTCGTTTCACCTCAATGACACTTTCATCTTCTGGATGGTGTTTCCATGTTCATCCCTACGACCTCGTTGCTTTACCTCCTGTTAGACCATAGACTTGTTTTGTGATTCCTTTTATACCCCTCATGTTTGCCATCTCATACATCACATGTCTTCACTTTGCTTGCATTTCCTAATTTCTATCTGATTCGGGCATCTCACCATTGGTCAGCGTGTTAGTTGCATCCTTGATGTTAAACCCATTTACCCCCTCTCTCTCTCTCTCGCTGTGTCTCTCCTTCTCATTTCCTTCGTCTTGGTCTGATACTCTGCTTTACGAAGCGCCTTACTCTTTAAAGAATTTCCTATGATTTTCATTCCCCTACTCTGACTCTCTGTCCCGAGATACCTTTCATCTTCCTTCTTTCCCCCATAGACTATTGGTTCGAATTTCGACACAGGCGCCTGCATAATGACAAAATCCTGTCCCAGCATCGCAGAATTGCAAAATCAAAAGCGGATTATATTCATTTTTTATTGATCTCTCGCAAAAACATTATCTTGTCGTCAGTGTATACATGTAACTCAACAGCTACGAATTTACTCATAAGCCACTATGCTGTAAATCAAGAATAAGCAGCCGTCTTTTCCACTTTCTGAGTCTCCGTTCCGACAGCTGTTTCTTCATCCTTGCTATTCTCAACCTGAAGTCCAACGGTGCTTTCTCCAACCTTATCAACTGTATCCCGGTAAGAAGGAGCAAAGTTGACGGTAACGGCATAGGTCCAAGCAACTACCATAAACTGTTTCCATCATTAGCAATACATCCATCGAGAAGGGAATTGCAAAATCATCCACAGCATACCATTGTAGGAACGATCATCGCGAATCCCGTGTCATTGCGCATATCAGCAACATGTCCCAGGATAGGAGGAATGACGGCACCACCGCAGACACCACCCACAATAAACCCGGAACCGCGTTTATAGTGACGCCCAAGGCCGCGGATCCCCAGAGCGACGATAGTAGGGAAGCAAACGGATTCAAAGAAGAGTGTCATAAAAAGCATCGCTAATATCGGTCACGTCAGTTTCAAACTCTCACCCAAGCCATACAACCAACAGGGAAGAGCATACCAATACCACGTTGATCTCTCTGCGTCACAGAGGCAGCAAGGAACGCTACACAACAAGAAAGATAAACCAAAAAGATATAGCGAGCCTTGGTATACTTCATCAACCCGGAACCTAGAAAACGGCCTACAGCGAAAGCTCCCTGTGCACCCGCGAGTAATTTTGCTCCCTTAGCACTATCGGTGCCAGGCCATGTATCGACAGCGTAGTTAATAAAGTAGCCCGCAATGGCGACTAGATAGAGCTATTAGTACAAAACAGAATCTCGTCAAAAAGAACAGACCATAGAGACAAGAGAACATACCCTGAGCACCGGTATAAGTGAATTGCGCCAATGTAGCATGAAACAACTTCCACTGCTTCCAGAAGGGCTTGTCCTGTTCATCAATATGCGTCGTCGACACCTGGAATGCCATATCCTCATCCGTCACCTCCGGGATATCAGAAAGGAAGAAAACACCCGCAAGACAGAAGACGAAGATACCGATAGCGAGGTAGACCCACTGCACACGCTGCAAGGCAGCAACGTCATCGGCTGTCTCCGTGAAAAATGCATAAGAGCCCAGTACAGGACCGACAACGGTTCCGATTGCATTGAAAGCTTGTGCGAAATTGATTCGGATTTCGGAGTAACGGGGTGGACCGCATACTAGAAGGAACCCAAGAATTAGTCGAGGAATACATAGTTCTTGGTCCATACATTCAAAAGAGAGAAAGGACGTGTATAGCTACGTAGATAGGGACTTGAAGACCTACCCGTCAGATACGGATTTGCAGCGGTTTCGAGCGATCCCAACCCAGACCCAATCACAAAAGTCGCACCACAGAATCCACCAAATGATTGATGAAGACCTGCAGGCCACATACACAGTGCTCCAATGCCATAAAGTACCAAACCAAAGATGAAAACGGTCTTATAGCCGAAGTGACGCAGAATCCAATTTGCGTACCCAAGGGAGGCGAGTGGATAGGCACTAGACTAGATCAGCCGACTGATGGTATACGAGTCACATAACAGGGCGAAACGAACCCGAAATAAGCGGCTTGAAGACCAGCCGAGCGACCTCGGTCGATATGTAGAGTGTTTTGGAAATGTTTGTTCAATGTGTCCAGGAGTCCGTATGCAAAGCCCTAGTACCATTCAGCTTCATCTCCCGTGAAGTATATTACCAGCTGAGACATACCCATAGAAAGAATAGGATAGTAACGAGACTCAGAGGCCAGAGACTCTGGCGCAGAGTCAACGTTGCAGCGGAAGTTTGTTGCCGATTATCGACGCGAAGACCAGACCGTTTCTTAATGAACTCCTTGAACCCCATTTTTGCTATTCATATGCGGAACGGGGTATAGAGATCCAATCCAAAGTGTAGGGGAAAGCAATCTTGGAGGCGGAAAAAGACGCCTGGAAGGAAGAAAGAAAAAAATAGGAAGAATGCAGGTATTCCAACCCTCGAACCACCGAATAATTCGCGCAATCAATTGCAGGGTCGCACCAGAATGTCACCCCCAGGACCTTGGAAACTCCGCATCGTTGATCTGGGGTACATCGTCGATCTCTACCCGTATGGTGCTCTATCCCGCTCGCGACTCCATGCCAAGGGTCCGGCGAACTCTTTCTGGGGCCGCGTGCACTAAACATGGGGTAAGGCGTGCGGAGTACATCATGTTGCATGGGGAGTTTAGGCTATTTGCGAGGCAGGTGGAGAGAGGATTGTCAAATTACGATCAACGATTTCATTGGCCCTTTCATCTATCTATAAATGGCATGATATATGAGGTCTAGGCGGCCGGAACTTGCATCTGTCCCAGAGCGCATCTGTCTCTCTATTCAAAGCAAAAACTAGCCTCTGTGTCTTTCTATACGCCACATCATCGGATCGTCTCGTCATTTATCTATTGCTTATGCGCGCTTAGGCTTGCCAGCAGTGCCATTCTGGGTAATTGCGGCATCGGTGACATGTGATGTGTCAAGGCGGCGCTCCACGAACTTAAGGATCTCGTCGATCGCACTGGCCACAGGTTAGGAATTGAACACCAAGGAGAATGACGGAACAAACTTACATCACAGGAGCACTGATCACCAAGACGGCCTGCCATTCAGTCCAGTTCAGAGGGATGATAGCGAACAAGGTCTGGAGGAAGGGAATGTAGAGAATAGCAAAGTGAAGGGTCATCGAGAGGGTGATGGCGTACACCAGCATCGGGTTGTTGTGCAGGAAGAAGGTGAAGAGAGATTCGCTGGATGACAGGGCATTCATCGCGTTCAGCATCTCAATGACCACAAGGATGGAAAGGGACACGGTTGACGCGGATTTGGCCATATCATTACTGAACATCTCACAGCCAATCTCGGGGAACTGCGAAGAGCAACGGTGGAAGTGAGACTAGATATCCGTTAGTACACGATCAAGACCCAGACAAATCACAAAGAAGACTTACCAGCTGGAAGTATGTGATCTGAGGGCCTTCGGGGTTGTACATGAACCACCAAACATAACCGAACACTGTAGCAGCGCCCACGTAGGTACCAATAACCATGTAGCGGAACAAGAGCCAGCCACCAACAAGCGGCTCATCACGGCGACGGGGACGGCGTTTCATGACATCGTGGTCGGGGGGGGTTGAAGGAGAGAGCAGTAGCAGGGAGACCGTCGGTGACAAGATTGACCCATAGGAGCTGGACGGGTACCAGGGCCTCGGGCATACCCAGGGCGGCAGTAAGGAAAATAGAGACGACCTCACCGATGTTAGATGAGATGAGGTACCGAATGAACTGCTGGGTGTTGCTGTAGATTGATCGACCTTCCTCAACGGCGACGGTGATCGTGGCGAAGTTGTCGTCGGCGAGAACCATGTCGGCAGCAAGCTTGGCCACATCAGTACCAGTACCCATGGCGACACCAATATCGGACTTCTTGAGAGCGGGAGCGTCGTTGACACCGTCACCAGTCATGGCAACCACATGGTTCATGGACTGAAGCAGATCAACCAACTTGGACTTGTGAGTGGGCTCGGTGCGGGAGAACAGGGATGCGGTCTCAACCGCCTTCATCTTCTCACTCTCGCTGAGGTTATCGAATTCGCGGCCCGTGAAGCTCTTGCCGGTGAGATCCTCGTTGGCTCCGAAAATGCCAATTTGGCGACAGATGGACTCGGCGGTGTTGGGGCTATCACCGGTGATGACAATGACACGAATACCAGCATCCTTGCATTTCTTGATGGACGCCGCAACTTCGGGGCGCGGGGGGTCCAACATGCCAATAAGACCAATAAGAGTCATGTTCTGCTCAAGCTTGGCGTAGTCCTCGGTAGAGGTTGCATTCTTCAAGAGTTTGTTGCCTGACACATCGCTCACACTCGCGACAGCCATAACGCGGAGACCTTGGTTACCGTATTCAACCACCTGCTCAGAAAGCAGCTGGGCGTGCTTCTTGGAAAGAGGGACCTGGGATCCTTCAGAGCCTTGCAAAATATGAGAGCAGCGTTCCAGAATTGACTCAGGGGCACCCTTGACCAGAAGCTTCTGCTCCTTGCCTTTGCCAACAAGAACCGACATGCTCTTACGGTCACGGGAGAACTCGTAAGTGGCCTGGAGGGGAAGACGGGATTCGTAGTGCGAGCTTGCGAGATGCAGTCTCTCAGAAGCTGGAAGGCGGAAAAGGTCCTGGTTCGTGGCGGCGTCGCTGGTACCGATCTTCTCAGTCAAGGCGCGGAGGGCTGCCTCAGTCGGTTCACCAATGTTTGAGAAGGCACGGGTCTTAGGATCATAGGACAATGTAGCGGCGTTACAAAGAGCGGTAACCTCGGTGAGCTGCCGAATAGTAGACGAGGTCACGGCCAGGTTCTCAGCGACCTTACCATTGCAGGACAGCTTGCCCTCCGGTGCAAAAGTGGTACCTTCCACATCAATCTCCTCGACGCCATTGCCGGAGCTAGCCAGGTAAACAATCTTCTCCACGCTCATCTGGTTAGTGGTCAAAGTTCCTGTCTTATCAGAGCAAATCACGCTGCAACTACCCAGGGTTTCCACCGAGGGCAGAGACCGGACAACTGCGTTCTTCTGGGCCATCTTGCGAGTTCCGAGAGCCAAGCAAGTGGTGATGACCACAGCGAGCCCTTCAGGAATAGCTGCCACACCGAGAGAGACCGCAATCTTCAGGTAGTAGATTGCACCTTTGGTCCAAGATCCACCGAAGGAGGGGTCGTTGAAGTGTTCAATGTTGATGAGCCAAACCAGGACGCAAATGACCGTAATCACCTTAGCAAGCATGTCACCAAAGTCATTCAGCTTCTGCTTCAACGGTGTTGGCTCTGAGATCTGGGAAGTAATGCTATCGTGGATGTCACCGATGGCAGTTGATCCGCCGGTCAAGACAACCAGAGCAGTAGCGTGGCCATTGACGACAGTAGTACCCGAGAAAAGCATGTTGACCTGTTCCTGTTTAACAGCCTGACGATCCTTGACTGCATCGGTCTCCTTGGCGACACTCTCACTCTCGCCGGTCAAGATAGCCTGATCAACCCGGAAGCTGTTGCTGTGAATAGAGAGCAGGCGGCAGTCGGCGGGGACACGATCACCAACGGCAATGTGGATCACATCACCGGGGACCAGATCCTCAGCCTTGACACGCTGGGTTTTTCCACCACGCACGACCTTGGCCTCGTTGGCCGAATATTCCTGGAGGGCCGCAATTGCCTTCTCGGCGCTGCTTTCCTGGGTTACACCCACCACCGCATTAAGGATCAGAATAGTAAGAATCTGTCAGGACAAGGAACCAATCAGCAAATGAACAGTCAATGGACCAACTATCGAGGAAGGAGTCCGTTAAGAGTGAAGGTACGCACCACAGCCGGGTCAACAAAGGCAGTCCAGTCGTCGCTTTCTTCAAACAGGGCCAAAACAAAGGAAACGGCAGCGGATCCCAGGAGAATGAGGACCAACTGGTCCTTGAATTGTTCTAAAATCAATTCCCAAAGAGGGGTTGGGGGGTCTTCAGCTAGGGCTAGAGGCTTGTTAGTTTCTCACAACGTAAAGTCAAGAAAGCGAGTCACTGACCATTAGGACCATACTTCATTCTAGACTTCAGCACGGCATCTTGCGACAGGCCTGAGTTTTCCGAGACATTGAAGTGGTCCAGCGCCTCTGCTGGGGTGTTCAGAAAGGAGTTCTCCATTACGAGCGACTCGTTCTGAATCACAGATGGGATCCAGGGAGCACTGGGGCAGAAATGCGGAGATTCTGGGGAACGACACAAATAAGGAAAAAGGAAAGGAAGGTGTTAAACGCAATACATGGATGTCGGGTAGCCAGTCAAAGTCGAAGAATTGGCAGACGCCCAGGATATGCAGGGAAATAAGTAATCCGCACTGGGGCCGTGTTCTCAAAAGCGCGACGTAAAAGTGGAGGCGGCGGAGCAACAACGTGTTCTCATCCAGTTGATTCCATTTCCGAATCGGGGTGCTGAATCAGCAACAGGGCTGAACCTGATACTCCGCTACCTCCGTACCTTCCGGTCTTTGTTCTCCACTATCGCTCGGTTGATACTTCAAACCAGATCATTTGGTCTGACAGGTTCATCTCTTCCCTATCTATTTAGCTCCGTACGTTATTCCGACTCGATTTTACGATTCTACCTCATCCTCCCTGATCAGGGACCTCCGGTATGGCTTCCGAGAGCTGCGTAGAATTATGGGGCGTTTGCTAGGCTGCATCGTTCCCATACCTATCGGATATCGCTGGTGGAGCTCCTGCTTCCCTTTTAGTAGCAGATTGACCCTACCAGACACCGAATCCTGCAAAAGGCAGTGGACCTAGCCCTATGAACCTAGTGGATTCGTCCGGAGACTGGGAAACCGATATGCTTCTTGACTGGCCCTCCGACCCTGACGGTGGTGCTTTGGCCATTGCCTTACGCAAGTCATCTTGGCTCCTATCCTGACGCTCAGCCCATCTTCCGGCCCATACGGTGTCCGCAATTAGCATGGTCACCACTGCGTCATGGCGCTAATTTGGCAGGGGTCCTGCGGATAATCAGCCTACAAGGGGTGAATCTTCTGTCAGGTGGTAACCCATATACACATACGATTTGTTCCTTACTTGTAGGGCTGAATCTAGCTCATCCACAGTTGCATCATGGGCCGAACCTTGGAAGCGATTTCATTTGCTATTGGGCCTGTACTAGCGACGATTTGGACCCGGCCACTTGGTCAATATACAGCGACGAGTGAAAATGCTATAGAAGTCGGTCTGTGTAATGGGATAGGCGTAAGCATATTTCCCATTGATCATTGATGAGTCGGTGCAATGCAGTCCAGTAAACAGTGGACACCGCCATTGATCACCCTTGGGCTCAAAGCCCTAGATAGGAAAAGAGCAGCCCCAACTCTGAGGCAACAAAAGTCGATACATGTGCAGCACTTCTCTAATTATGATCGGCTTTCTGAAACACAAAATAGCTCCTGATCCATGGACCCAAAACAATCAATTAGTCCAGATGTTTCGACGGCCGACTGGGTGATAGATGTGGCATAGCCGGTACGGTGATTGTTAGAGACCCAGGTAGCAACTATACAGAAGAGCCAATGGGATCCATGAAAAATATAATTAACACAACCCAAATCAAGATACTAAATAGGATATATGGAATAAGATTCATTGACAACCATCTGTGACATTATGTGGAGCCTTCCGAGCAGACAGATCTGGATGTCGCCTTGGGATCACTACATCATAGTTGGTTTCTTAATGCTGGAAGATTCTATGCGTTGCATCATCGTCATATGTAGACCTACACAATCATCCCACAAACTGTTTTCGCCTCAACATCATGAAGGCCTCTCCTAGGCCGAAAAACAAAAAAAGGAGTAAGGGAGAAAAAAGGAGACACACTAATAGTTACTATGGCCAGAAGAATCTAAAGGGTCCACAGCGCTTTCAACTGATCTTCCGTGTGACAGTACGCAAGTTCCTGGTACCATCGATACAGCGTTGATGATGTGCAACACACACCTTAAATTAGTTCCCTGAGGTACTAATTGCAGATATTGTGGATCTAGCAAGATCTTAAAATCTCCGAAAAATAAAAACAAAAATCTATGGACTCCCCAGGGCAAATCATGGCAAAGGCCAGTATATTTAGTAATGCGAATACTGGGTAGTAACCAGAGTACCCGGGTACATGGCGGCAATAGGGATCACACAGCGGGAGACCAGGTACCCGATACAGTGTAATTGTGTATTGTTATGATTCTCCCCCAACTCCCATCTCTCCCTCTCACTCTTCCCACCCCCACTTGGTCCTCCTCACCTTCTCCTTCTGCATCTCCGCTTCCATCCTCTCCAGTTTTTTTTTTTTTTTGCCTTGATCCTCAAATATTCCCCCAAGTCAACTCTATCCACATTTAACCATGGGTTCTGAGGTATGTTCCATTCTGTCCACCTCCCCACAACTTAACCCCTCCATGAGTTGTCACCGCCATCGCAATCCCACGCACGACCACTTTCCTGTGATTGTTGATTTTGTGGAATATCGGCTAACACGCGTTTTTCCATCATGCAGCGTGAGAAGTAAGCATGGCAACATCCGAAACACCACTCTCCCTATCTGCCTGATACTCACCCCCTCATCAGCAAGACATTCCTCGCGCGGCTCTGCGAGCAGGCCGAGCGCTACGATGGTAAGATTGCCCCCGTGTAAAACATGGAGTCTTGGGGCTGACAGATATCGATCACATGCAGAAATGGTCACCTACATGAAGGTTTGTCACGTCTCTTTAAATCTTTGTTATGGTCTAGGCTAACCGTCTCTTACAGGAAGTTGCCAACGTATGACAAGCCCCCCAGGTCGCATTTGGGTGGTAGACACTGACCATATCTTAGATCGGCGGTGAGCTTACTGTCGATGAGCGTAACCTTCTCTCAGTCGCCTACAAGAACGTTGTTGGCACTCGCCGTGCCTCGTGGCGCATTATTTCCTCTATCGAGCAGAAGGAGGAGTCCAAGCGTTCTGAATCCAATGACCACGTTAACACCATCCATGAGTACCGCGCCAAGATTGAGCTTGAGTTGGAGAAGGTCTGCGAAGACGTCCTCAATGTCCTTGATGAGGCCCTGATCCCCAAGGCTGAGACTGGCGAGTCCAAAGTCTTCTACTACAAGATGTGCGTGTCGCCTGTAAACTGCGGTGTGGAGAGGTGCAGATAGCTAATTTCTGATAACAGGAAGGGTGACTACCACCGCTATCTCGCTGAGTTCGCCTCTGGGGAGAAGCGCAAGGTTGCTGCCACTGCTGCCCACGAGGCCTACAAGGTATGTCAATTTGGTCTGCGTTGTGATGTTTCACCGGCTGACTCCTCAATAGAACGCGACCGATGTTGCCCAGACCGACCTCACCCCCACCCACCCCATCCGCCTTGGTCTCGCCTTGAATTTCTCTGTATTCTACTACGAGATCCTTAACTCCCCTGATCGTGCATGCCACCTCGCCAAGCAGGCCTTCGACGATGCTATTGCCGAGCTCGACTCTCTCTCCGAGGAGAGCTACCGCGACAGCACTTTGATCATGCAACTTCTGCGCGACAATTTGACCCTCTGGACTTCTTCTGATAACATTGAGAGTGAGGCCCCTAAGGAGGAGGACAAGCCTGAGGAGGCTCCTGCCGCCGAGGAGCAGGCCGAGGAGGCTAAGCCTGCCGAGACTGAAGAGTAAAGGGTTGCAGCCGATATTGTCAAGGGAGGCGTTCGCATTTCTTCCTGGAACGTGGTTAGCAAGTTGCTTTTGTTTTCACCGCAGCGTGGCTGGGTTGGGACCGGCACTTAACCCCCTTGCACGTGTTCGTGACCGTGTGGGTCGGCCGGCGGAGTTGATATTCGGTTTGACGCGAGCGAAGAAAAGGGGCTGAGTGGAATTTCTCTCTCTTTTACTGTCTCTATTCCCACTCCAGCACGATTCAATGTGTTTATTTTCCAATTCATCCTCTTTGAATTTCCAACTCCCCCTTCTACTGTACTGGCGTACGCCGTAGACAAGCGCCTGGATCCTGGGCCATTGTAAAATCATGCTCAGTACACAAGAAAGTGTCATCAATAAATGCAGGCTTCTCTATACCTCTGTTCTATGGACGATCTTGAGATGCATGGCGTCCCAAACCTGTGTCCGCAGCATTACATCCGCATGGGTTGCGCCAGGGACATCTACAATCTCAGTCTTCACCTTCATCTCTTCCGACACCCTCCGCGCACTTTCCAGTCCAAAAAAGACATCGTTATCCGTGGTGAACCACGTCATACCAATCGGACAATCTCGGTACAAGTCCGTCAAGACTTCCCTCGTAATCCCTTCAATACGCTCATATCCCAGACTGTAATCAAGGTCTACCCTCTCTTCTCGAATACGTTCACGTTCAACATCCTTCTGCTCAAGCGCCGACTTCTTTCTTTCACCCGAGATCACAAAATCCCCGTCTTGACCATCCGCATTCTTCGTCATCAAACTCAGAACCATATCCGCCAACCATTTCGGAGCCGATCCCGAGTCCAGCTTCGTGATAGCCTTGAACAGAAAGACAGGCATCGTACACATAGACTTCATGATCCTTGAATCGGTATAAGCAGCGGGAATATGGGTACAAATCGGAAAGACGTGATCCACTCTCTGTGGGGCATACCGAGCCAGATCAAGCATCTGATAAGCACCCGCCGAGTGCGCCGCAATGCTGAAATGGTCGATGCCGAGCGTATTCAGGAGTTCTAGAGTGATGGTGCTTAGATCGGTGAGGAGCGCCGGACCCGTACGGGCGGCATCTTTGCCTTGGACCCACCGATCAATGCAGATGAGGGATAGGTCTGGGTGGGATTCTAGAAATGGTTCGAATAGGCCGATTAGAAGTGAGCCACCACCTGCACCATAGCAGTAGACTAGGGTGTGTGGAGCGCCTTGGTTCAGGTGGACATAGGAGACTGTTCGGGTTGCATTTGTTGAGTTAAATGTTGTGACTGTCATTGGGGACATGATGGTCAAATGTGAGCGTACAACGGCTTGAGACTTATTGTCTGATGGCCCGTTGAGATCCAATGGCCCCCATGGGCCTGCACGTGGCCTAGTCTGGCTTTAGTGCAAGCCTGCTCCATCTTATCTTGCAAATGCGTGGTGGCTTGCAAGATTCTGAGGTTCACATTGCTTGATTCAGTAAATGGGATTAAGTAAAGCTTACCTAGGTATCTGTATCCCATGTGACTACCAAAATGCGCTTGTACATTTCGTGGGCTGTAGTGATAATTCTTTTGAGCAAGGCGCGATTCCCGATCATAACCGCTCCCTGATTTGACTCTCCCTGCTCCCTTCGCCGTCTTTTACTCTCCAAATCGTAGACAGGAGTCTCTAAGAATAACAAGCTCTTTTTGTTCTCTATTCTTCCAAGATCCTATATCGGCATAATGATCATGAAATCTATCACACTTCAACGACGACATGTCCTGTAGTGTTGTCAAACAAGGACTATGATATTTCTATTGCTAGAAAGGATGGGAATCTTGAAAGCAGAAGAGGAAAAGCCAGGATGCACCTTACGAGCTTTCAAGTCCAAGACACAAGTGGGCTCGTGGTAACACAGACTCGGAATGTTCCTTGCGATGGACTCACGGAGCCGCATGCATGCCAGATGACCCGTTGGTAACGGGCTATCCTATAGATATTATCCATGTTAATATTCAAATTCAGATGCACTGACGCTCTCATCAAGACGCATGATTATGCTTAAAATTTGACGTGATCTATGTGGGTCCTGGCACTATAGCGAGTATATACTTTGCTGTCCAAGTAGAGAGTTTTACTAGGCTTGTCAGATATGATCATATTTTGATACCTACAAATGCTGGAATCTCACATGGTCTTGGTATCAACTATCAAGTCAAGTCTAGCTAAAAGAAGACACGATATAAAACCCACCAAGAGTACGGGATCCCATCTTCCCGGGCCTTGTGAAAGCCTCGTGAGCTACGCCCAGTCGTCCTCATACGCTGGCACCCAACCCCGGTCTCACGCTTCCAATCAAAAGTCCACCAACGACTCGTCTGTACATCTCTAACACCAAAAAGCAAGGATCGACCCTCCCGAGCTCATCTGACTCAGAAACTTCCCCATTCCGCGAAACCCGTCACGGCCGACGAAGAGACAGACAAATCCAGCAGCGGAAAACAACATTTTGTTGATGGTATGGAGGCTGACTGGGGTAAGCTGTTACCAAAGGGCCGACTTGGAGCCCAGAGAATTGCCGCGCGTCAAATATAGCTTTTTGCAAAGGGGTATATGGATGGCACGGGCCCCGAGGGCTTTTGACAAGTGGCGTGGCTTGTGCATGCTTTTACATGCTTATGACTTGTGGTATATTCATGAAAAGATCCTGGCCATCAAGGGTCCCGTATCCGGGATACGGGGGTCGGGGACTATGCGCAGTTTGACTGTCTTGCTTTGAAGAGCCTCATTTGGGTGTTGTAGACTCCCGAGCTGGTTCCGAGGTCTGCTGACACCTGCCCAGGAAAACAGATGATGTCCCAAGGTTTGGTCTGAAATGACCACATGGACAGCAAAGACACTATACTTATGTATGCGGGAAAAACATTTCGAAATTGAGCTACTAAGCTACCATCCTGTTCCAAGTGGTTTTAAGCCACGATACTACATTAGCGACCTATCATTGCCTTGTTGCAGGATGCTAGAGAGTGAATAGAGCCAATTAACCGAAAACAAGCCCCGGAGAGTATCCAGCATAGTAAACCCTACGCCAGAATTAAAAGACTAAAGTATTCCCAGCGTTTTTCTAGCAGGCCGTGGTGCATTGCATCGTCAAGATAATTATTGACAGCCACATCTAACATATGCAAATGATCTTAGTCCGGCAAATATAGCGTGCCTAAAGCCGAGAAGGCTACGCGGCATCGAATTGGGCAGATACACGCAGTTGCATTGAATATTGGGATCCCACCCGGAGAAGACTTCAAAAAAAAGAAAGTAAGAGACAAACTCACGTCACTGATCCATTTTCTCCTACCGGAGCCATGCTGCCGGGTTTCGCATGTACTTCATTGGTTCCGTGACCAATGGATAGATCTCAAGTAGTTGACCTGAGGTGCTGGTGTATAAATCAACAGGGAACCCCGCGGAGCTGAGTCGAACATCACACTCAACTCTTTTCACTTTTACCGTCGTTCCTAGTGTTTCAGATTGCCCTTCCAAGGTTAAAGAACAGACACCCCCTTGCCTTAACCTCTAATATCAAGATACCATTCCTCTCGCTCAATCTAAAAGGGCTTCATTTAATATCCAAATGGCTTTTTCTACCACTTCATTGGTCTTCGAGCCTAATGCCTTGTACATTGCCATTCTGGATCGGGGAGAGACGTATTCTTTCCAATGGGAACTATACCTCGCGAAGACAGCCACAGAGGGGATCGTTTTTCACATCACCAACGAGGCTGGCCAGGCGAAGTGGGAGTACGACCGAGCACAGACAAACCAGATGCCCCAACAACGCCGACTGCTTCTGGCACTCAACATCGGATCGGTGGAGCCAGTACTACACAATGCCCTATCGGATCGACTTGCCCTGGTCCCATTGACTCCATTTTCGTCGCGATTCAGCGAACAACTGAACTGCCGGGTGTGGCTGAAAGAGGCGTTATTTGTAATAGATGACGAGGGATATGTTAATTTGGGCAAAGGCCCGGCGATGATTGAGGAGGAAGCTAGGTACCTTGCAATGATGTGCAAGAGCAAGCATGAGCGCAAGGTGGTTCGGAGTAAGATGTGCATGTCGTGATAATGTCTAATGTGATGAATGATTCCAGGGAATTGGTTGAAGTTAACAAGTAAAATAACCTGTGTAGACAGTATATCCACTGCACTAAACAGGTGGAAATAGGAAGACTGACAATTGTAGGTCAAGTCCAAAATGAGTTCGTTCTATTGTTGTTCATGCAGCGTAGCCAAAGTGTAGGGGATGTACATTGTGCTGGTATTTGAAAGAAATGGGGGTAAGGATGTAGAGGCCGACCATGGATAGAAATACTAATCCATCAGAAGGTTCCTTGTTGCGTATTTTTGACGAGTCAGCCCCAGGAAATGAAGACAGCCGCCAAGGTTCAAGAAAATTGTAAATGATAAGTCGTCTCTTTACATGAAATCATCGTCACCGAGGCCATCGTCGTCGTAGGGGTTGTTGTCAACCTGGCTATCGCGCTGCGCAACAAGAGAGACCTTGGTCTTGGCAGCCTTGGTCTTCTTGTTACCCTTGTCCGAAGCACGCTCCTCGCGCATCTTCTCATTGCTGGCAGTGGTCAAGGCACTGGCAATCTTCTTGATCTCTGAACTGGGGAGCTCCTTCACAAGGCGACGAGTGAAGTCCTGCGCCCAGATGGAGTACTGGGGCTTCTTGGAGTGAGGTGTGAGCAGAGGAATGAGGGCATCGGACAGACGAGTGAACTGGTCTTTGGTGGTAGGCTTGAACAGGGGCATGGCGGACAGGTCGATAGACTTGGTGGGATCAACGTTATCGCTGATGACGATGGCCTTAGGAGCACCACGGTTGCGCTTCATGTCAACCTCTCCGAAGAGGTCACTGGCGTGGGCAAGATCGGAGTCGATCTCCTGGCGGCGCAGGCGCTCACGCTTCTCGGCCTCGGTCTCGTCCTCGATATCGCTTTCATCATCGGCATTCTTCTTCCGCTGCTCACGGTGCTCCTCCACCCGCTGAGCCTTAGTCTTCTTGTTAGCAAGAGCCTTGGCCTTGGCGGCAGCCTCAGCTTCTTCGGCCTTCTTCGCCTTCTCGCGCTCTACCTCGGAGTCCTCGGCCGCGTCCCACGAGTCGAGCACCTAGTATCCAAGCAAGATCGTTAGTAAATCGTCGATTTGGAGAATGTGGTGATTTGTGTCTTGGACAGGCAGTTCAGCATTCGGGGTCTTACATCCTCCTCTTCCTCGTCGTCGAATCTGCGACGAGGGGCGACGGGAGGCGCAAAGGTCTCCTCCTCCTCCTCCTCATCTGATGAAAAGACAAGAAGTTAGCGCCAGTCCTGAAAGGGTTGAAAACAGGTTGTATATGCTCCGCATATCAAATGATCGAGGGGTGATCTAGATAGTCGCAAATGGATAAGAACATACCCCACTTTGAAGGCGGCATTTTAGGCAAGAAAAAAAAAGAAATTGCTTGATCGAGAGTGAAATGCGATCACAGTGAATACACTGGACAATATAAAGAACGAGAACGAGCCCGCGATCGAAACCTATCAACAAAGAGTGGAGGGGAACAAATTTTATGTGGGACAACTTCCAAGGGCATCGCAGGGTGGGATGTCCACGTGACCCCGGGTTCCTTGGTGCCCGACGGGTGTGATCCTTCATGGATCCAAAGTTTCTATGTGATTATGAGTTAAAAATATTACAAGAGAAACCATTAAAAGGTATCTTTCATTCAGAAGATCTTATTAAATTCATAATCATAATAGATGGCAGTTCGCCATGGGGTACTAGGCCATCACATTTTTTTGCCAGTCGTTTTTCCCCAATTCAATTGCTGTCACAAATAAGACTGCATTTACAGGTTGACGGAAGTGCGGAAGTTGCTGCCAGCGTAGATGGCGTTGGCACCAAGCTCCTCCTCAATACGGAGGATCTGGTTAAGCTTAGCAAGACGCTCGGAACGGGCAGGGGCACCGGTCTTGATCTGGCCGGCGCGGAGACCGACAGCAATGTCAGCGATGGTGACATCCTCGGTCTCACCGGAGCGGTGAGAGACCATGACACCCCAGCCGTCGGCGTAAGAATCCTTGGCGGCCTGGATAGACTCGGTCAGGGTACCAATCTGGTTGACCTTAAGGAGGAGAGCGTTGCAAGACTTGAGCTCGATGGCCTTCTTGATGCGCTGGGGGTTGGTGACAGTCAGATCATCACCGACAATCTGGAAGTCGGAGGTCTTGTAGAAGTAGCTCCAGGCCTCCCAGTCATCCTCAGCGAAGGGGTCCTCAATGCTGACAATGGGGTACTTGGTAGCCAGGGACTTGTAAAGGTCGGCCAGCTGCTCGTAGGTGAGCCACTTGGTGGGGTCGCTGTCGGGGTTCTTGAAGTCAAGGTCGTACTTCTTGGCGTCGATCTTGTAGAACTCGCTGGAGGCAACATCCATGGCGATGTTCATCTTGCCGGTGTAGCCGGCCTGCTCGATAGCCTCGGTGATCAGGTCAAGAGCCTCCTCGGCTGTCTGAATATCGGGAGCAACACCACCCTCGTCACCGACGTTGCCAGCAGACTGGCCGTACTTCTTCTTGGCGAGAGCCTTGAGCTTCTGGTAGACTTCGGCACCCTGGCGAAGAGCCTCGGTGAAGGAAGGAGCGGAGCTACAAGGCAGCTTGTTAGGAATTGATCATGTCATAGCTTCAGACCTTGACGGGATTACATACTCAGGGACAATCATGAACTCCTGGAAAGCCAGACGGCCACCGGCGTGGGAGCCACCGTTCAGAACGTTCTGGAAGGGGACGGGAAGGACGTAGGGCTTCTTGGTTCCGGCAAGGTCGGAGACGTGAGCGTAGAGAGGGACGCCCTTCTCGGCGGCAGCAGCCTTGGCAACAGCCAGACTCACACCGAGGATAGCGTTGGCACCAAGGGTGGCCTTGTTGGGAGTGCCGTCAAGCTTGTTCAGGAACTCATCAACCTTAGCCTGGTCCTTGACATCAATGTTCTCCTTGATGAGAGCGGGGCCAATGACCTCGTTGACGTTCTTCACGGCCTTGAGGACACCTAGTTATCAATAAGCATTAGCTTGGAGACTTCACTTGAATTGAAGAGAGACGTAATTACATACCCTTGCCACCCCAGTGGGTCTTGTCACCATCACGGAGCTCAACAGCCTCGTGCTGGCCTAAGATATTGGTGTTAGTATATTTCCCAATGCTCCCAATTAATTGCTTGTTCAATGGGTAGTTCACAAAACATACCAGTGGAGGCACCGGAGGGGACAATGGCACGGTGGAGGCCAGTCTCGGTGACAATGTCGACCTCAACGGTAGGGTTACCGCGAGAGTCGTACACAGAACGGGCGTGAACCTTAGCAATAGGCATTTTGAAAGATATTCTGATTAGGGAAATGGGAAATCAGTTATGCAGGAGAAAAGGAAAAACGGAAGGATATTGGGAGTTTATGACAGAGCCAGCGTGTGACTAACGGCGGGGGTGGGAGTTCACCGATGACCCAAAAAGAAAGGGCGGGCACGGAGAGAGGATTGGGAAGGGGTTTGGTTTGCTTGAGCTCAACCAAAAGTGCGATTGGCCACGCTAATGGACACCAGTCTCTGGTTGGATGCTTTACCTCTTGCTATGGTTGGTTTGGTGTCTCGGTGTGTAGGGGGGAAAAGTAGGAGGGGATGAGGGGCAAAGATGGCGGGGTATATGTTTATGACACCACTTACCTTGGGGGAAGTAAACAGGTCTAGAAACAGAACCAAAATCAACTTGCTAAAATACGGAAACACCCGATATCTTAAATACCTTTGGTCCATTCTCATCCCCGGGAAAGGTCAAGCTGGACCTCCGATTCTTTCCAATGCGGCGGTGGGGCTCCACGTCTTTCTCCAGCGCTTGCTGGCTGATCCCGACCGTCTGCGGGTGCTCCAGCTTGCGAGATCTTCCGTCCCTCGGGAATTTGCATTTATGATGTTATCGTTAGCTCTCGGAAGCTCCTATGAGAATGACGGCATCCGGTCGAATGTACATCCCTAGTTTTAACCCCTCTGCCTCTCATTTAGAACTCCGAACGGCTATAGTCTTGAGCTTGATCTAGGTAATGGTAGATGTGTCTGGAAAAGGTCCAAAAAAAAAAAAAACTCTGCAGAGCGTTGTTCTCTGGAATTCCAGCCAGGGGAAACCCATTCATTGGTCAAAGGCACGTTGCATGTTGCATTCAGAAATGGAAAAGTCCGGGTTTGGATGAATCCATTGATGACGAAACATAAATTCCTGATTCTTAGGGTGTCGAGTGTTTGCTTTGCTGCCCTGATGCCTTGCTGCCTGATAGCCATGTAATGCCTTATCGCCTGGGGCTTGAACTCATTAGATAAGCAAAGCAATGATGCAAATCACGTGAATCGAGAACGCGCTGTCATGTGACCATGCTGGCAGCTCCCTCGCCCGGTGATGAGATGCTGAGGAAGCTCCCCCAAGATTGCATCCGTTTCGCTACTCACTGATTTACCCTTTTCCATCACCAAACCGCTGGAATCTTGATTCCATCTTGCTCTCGAATACCGTTTCACCGGAATTCTGATTATCCACCGCCCATCCCCCGTGTGCATCTCGACCCTCCGGCCAAAATGGACGCCGGCGACCCTGAGCGGGACCAGGCGCTCGAAGACTATAAAAAGAGCTTGCTCGAGCTTCGAGAATGGGAGGCCAAGTTGAAGACCTTGCGCATGGGTATCAAGGATCTGCAACGAGAGTTTGACATCTCTGAAGAGAACATCAAGGCACTACAAAGTGTTGGTCAGATCATCGGTGAGGTGTTGAAACAGTTGGATGAAGAGCGATGTATGTCTCCTGAAGTCTATTTAACCCCAATCTTTTGCAGTGCAAGAATCTGACCGGTTCTAGTCATCGTCAAGGCGTCATCGGGACCGCGATACGTGGTCGGCTGTCGGTCGAAGGTCGACAAGGCGAAGATGAAGCAGGGCACCCGCGTGGCCCTGGATATGACAACACTCACCATCATGCGAATGTTACCTCGTGAGGTCGATCCCATGGTTTACAACATGTCCCTGGAAGACCCTGGTCAGGTGAACTTTGCTGGAATCGGTGGTCTCAATGACCAGATCAGAGAGCTTCGAGAGGTCATCGAATTGCCATTGAAGAACCCTGAGCTCTTCCTCCGCGTGGGAATCAAGCCTCCTAAGGGTGTTCTGCTCTATGGTCCTCCGGGTACCGGTAAGACACTGCTTGCCCGAGCAGTGGCTAGCTCGATCGAAACCAACTTTTTGAAAGGTGCGTCTTCTTTCTTCCCCTCAACGCATTCTCTCTAACCACCAGTCTCGCTATAGTGGTCTCCTCTGCCATCGTTGATAAATATATCGGTGAATCCGCTCGCCTGATTCGAGAGATGTTCGGTTACGCCAAGGAACATGAGCCATGTATCATTTTCATGGACGAAATTGACGCCATTGGTGGTCGACGATTCTCGGAGGGTACATCAGCAGATCGTGAAATTCAACGAACATTGATGGAGTTGTTGAATCAGCTAGATGGATTCGATTACTTGGGAAAGACAAAGATCATCATGGCTACCAACCGACCGGATACCCTCGATCCCGCCCTGCTACGTGCCGGTCGTCTGGATCGCAAGATTGAAATTCCTCTTCCCAACGAGGTTGGCCGTCTTGAGATCTTGAAGATCCATTCCAGCACAGTTCAAATGGAGGGAGATATTGACTTCGAGAGCGTTGTCAAGATGAGTGACGGTCTCAACGGTGCCGATCTACGTAATGTGGTCACTGAGGCGTAAGTGATCTCCAGTCTATCTCTTCGCTTTTCAGCTAATTAACATCATTTAGGGGTCTGTTCACCATCAAGGATTACCGTGATGCCATCAATCAGGACGATTTCAACAAGGCCGTTCGAAAGGTGGCCGAGGCCAAGAAGCTGGAGGGCAAGCTGGAATACCAGAAGCTGTAATTGTACCTAGTTCTGAGCAGATCATTTAGGCGATGTATGCCTATTAGAACTCTGCTTTGCGGAATACCATACATCCAGGAACTCATGACAATTTTTCAAAGATCACGTTCTGTAAAAAGAAATCATTACCATTAAAACTGCCTCGAACCTTGAAGCTTGGAAGCTGGAGCTCGTATACTCAAAGTTGTTGCCACTTTCATGAGGATCCGACTGATAGAATGGGGAGGGGATCACCGGTCTCCACTTTCCCCGGCGCCTTCAATTCATCCTTCAGCCATTGCCGTGACAAAATCTCAAGGATCGGGGACCTTGAGCTTGCCTTTTCGCCTTCAACTGCATAAGCCGCTGGCTCGTGCCACACTACCTCATACGGCCAGTCCGTCCAAGCGCAGAAAGACGGAATCTGGCGGTCCCGCCCTGAAACTATCAACCGTATTGTTCACAGACAGGGATTACTAGGGAACTTGTACTCACGTTGGTGCTCCCATTGCTCAAGGTATGCTGTCCCCAGTGCTCAAAGGTTTCATTCCAGGCTCGCGTTGGTCACGCATACCAAGAATTGACACCTGGCATTAATGCTGCACAGCAGCACTAGTGACGAACCACTTACGACCGCACCCGAAAGTCTCGCGATAGCAAATAAGTTTTCCAAAAGGGCCAACCAGCCGCTTTCGAACCTCGCTCCCATGCGTCTGTACTAGGTGGCGGTACCGATACATCTGCGGACACCATGTCCTTCCAGGCACCGCTCCCCTCGCATTCCCGTTCCCCCCACAACCAGCAAACTTCCCAGGGCTTTCCTAGCCTCGGCTTCTCAAACCAAGTCGGCGGGTTTTTTGACAACGAACGTACCCTTCCGATGTATAAAGACAAGCCCTACTTCACACCGAAGCGCACGGCTCCACGGCGACGATGGAGACGCATTGGCGGTCTGCTAGCCTTATGTACTTTGTTTTTCTTCTGGTATAATAAATCGTCCCTTCCATCATTGAAGAGCGCGAGCGCGTCAGAAAGAGGCGCGCAGCTCTGGAAGTGGGCGCAATCCCTGGAAGATGAAGTCCCACCAGAGAAGATCGATTGGAATGCGCGTCGCGAGAGAGTGCGGGACACTTTCATCGTTAGTTTCGATGCCTACGAAAGAGAGGCATGGGGTAGGAAGACCTGACGAGAGCAGTCTCCACATTACGTGGCTAACATAATATCGCATTAGGCTACGACCAATACAGCCCATCTTCTGAGAACCACAAAAATATGGTGGATGGTGGTATGGGTTGGATGATTGTCGATTCTTTGGACACCCTCATGATCATGAACCTGTCATCTCAGGTTCGGCATGCCCGCCAATGGATCTCCACTTCGCTGCGGTACGATCAGGACCATGATGTGAATACGTTTGAAACAACTATTCGCATGTTAGGTGGCTTGCTGTCTGCCCACTATTTATCTACTCACTTTCCTGACCTTGCCCCAATTGCGGAAGACGATGTCGGTGCTGCTGGGGAAGACTTGTACATTGAAAAAGCCACCGACCTGGCAGATCGGCTGCTTGGAGCGTTCGAATCTAATTCTGGAATTCCATTTTCCAGCGTCAATTTGAATAGGTCTATGGGCATACGGTCGCACTCCGATAACGGTGCCGCGTCAGTAGCAGAGGCAACCACTGTGCAACTCGAATTCAAATATTTGGCGAAATTGACCGGAGAAGCCGAGTATTGGAGGGCTGTGGAGAAAGTCATGGAAGCTGTTGACGGACAACACCCGGAAGATGGTCTGGTCCCCATCTACATCCATCCCGACTCCGGGGAATTCATAACAAAGAATATTCGCCTTGGAAGTCGAGGTGACTCCTATTACGGTTTGTCTTTCCGCCCACTGACTTGTCTGTACGGATCCACGCTAATACAATTTCCAGAATATCTCATCAAGCAATATCTTCAAACATCCGAACAGGAGCCTATCTACAAGGAGATGTGGGATCAGTCATTACGGGGTATTCGCAAGCACCTTCTTGCATTCACGAGAAATGCTAGATTGATGATCTTGGGTGAACGACCTCGGGGTCTGGACAAGGGTCTTCTCGCTAAGATGGACCACCTTGTGTGTTTCATGCCAGGGACAATTGCGCTGGGTGCCACGGGGGGGCAGCCTCTATCCAAAGCTAGACAGTCCCCTGAGTGGTCCCAACAGCGCGAGGAAGAGATTTTGATCTCCCGAGAGCTCATGAAGACCTGCTGGGCCACATATGCAAGCACTGCTACTGGCCTTGCTCCTGAGATTTCCCACTTCCTCATGGACGAAACTCCAGTCATGATGGCAGACAAATATGCCGACCCTGCCCAATCCACCGCCTCGGCACCATACGAATTGCAAGGCATCTCTCTTCCACTAACCCGGCAGGCAGACGGCAATGAACCATGGAAACAAGATATTGGTATCCATCCTATGGACCGCCATAACATTCAGCGCCCTGAAACAGTCGAGTCCCTCTTCTACATGTACCGTATCACAGGCGACGAGATTTATCGCCAATGGGGATGGAACATGTTCAAGGCTTTCGTCCGCCATACAGCGGTGACTGAAACCGTGGGTTCGACGATCCCCGGATTAGGTGATCCACCTCATGAGCGTATCAAGAGCTTCACGTCAGTGGGAAATGTCGAAAAAATTCCTGCTGAGAATCGCGACAGGATGGAGAGCTTCTGGCTATCAGAGACCTTGAAATATTTCTATCTCTTATTCTCAGATCGTGATTTCATCTCGCTTGAGGAGCATGTCTTTAACACAGAAGCGCATCCGATGCCACGATTCAAGCCCAGTGGAGAGCTGAAGACTGGGTGGACGCGGAAATATCGACCATAAAGCATCCAAAGCGTTTCATTTAATTGCTGTTCTCAATTTTGTGCCGGACTTTTTAGTCACAATTAACGAGCGTTCTGCCCAGGTGGATCTGACTATGTTTTGTTCACTGTAGCATTTGTAAACTGTTCAAGTCTGTTTCTTGCCCTTTTTTGCTCCAATTTTGGCTTCCTGATAGCAAGGAAAATCTTCAAACCTTAAGAATTCCTAAGATGACATAGGTCTAGTGATAGATTAGCGGCGCTCAGTGAGTGCTAAGTGAACACTTGTCTTGAATAGGCCTTTCGCGTAGAAGTAGGTTTAGTGAGCGGATCAGACTCATCGCGACTATCTATGATCCACTCCCTATAATAGAGCATCGAGCTCTCGTCACTTTGCTCTTTCTTTCCTGTTGGCTTTGGTATGCGATTAATTAACATTGTCTTATCTACGAACGATTTTACTAGAGGAAAAGATCGATTTCCATCTAGCCGCCGTGAAAGATTGATTGACGCATTTTTCCGAATATATGCCGAAGCACTAGAGTCGTGTTAGGTGGGTCTAATGAAGAAATAATGGTAATTGAGGCTGATTCATTTCATAGTAATTGGGTGCCCTAAAATTACCCGAGATTGAGAAATGGCGGCATCTTTAGTAACTTACAACTGTTTCGAATTCAAACTGCCCGCTCAGGCTGGGTTTCCAGAGCTCAACCTGTAGCTGCGCTTGCTCTGTGATACGCTATCGCCGATATGGCGAAACAGTCCCAATGTTCCACACATTGCTACCCACCACTTGTGAGACAAAAGGATTGAGGTTCATCGCCCGTAGAGCAAATCGAGCCCACCTCGGTGTCGCATTTGAGGTATTTACCGGCCTTGGTTTGGATTGTGAAGTGTGTGTCCTCGTCCGGAGAGAGGGCCCAGAGCTGAAGGCGACGAATCGTTGGATTATGGCTATGTTCTTCAAAAAAAGAAAGTGCGTTGCCGACACCAGTCAGGTCTGTCAGGACCAAAAATTTGTCGAGCTCGGTACCTTTGATTAGGCCATGGAAACTATCGAACGCGTATACCGACTGGACGATGGCTGTAAGGGCACTAAGCGCAAAAAGTCCCTTCATTTCGATATGAGGTAGGTTCGGAAGTCCAAGGAGAAGAGGGTTTCAAGAGTCGACCTTGGGAGGGTTTGGTAAATACTAAAGCATGGCCAAATGAGAAGTTTTGAAATCTTGGAGACTGGTGTGGCAATTTCTTCATATTCATCTTCTCGTTAATCCTGAAGAGACCTCGCGTTGGAAAAACAGGTGTCGTCATGAGAACCTCAACATACATAGATTATTGATATGCACATACCAATAGATTCAAAGATCTACTCACTTGCATTCATTGACATGTGGTTCTGTAATATGCAGGGGGATACCTGAGGGCTGGAAGCTGGAAGTCCCACAAAGGGCGGAAGATGTTACACAAAGCTTAAATATTTGCTCCACGAGGACTTCACAGACTTTGTTATATTGTCAGGCACGTAGCTATGGTTATGGTATGGTGGTATTGACTGCTATAGGACGCCCTAAAACTCGAAATATTTAGTAAGCGGGATATACTCCGCGGCGTTATCGCTGATAACATACTTAACGGTATTGTTGAACTATATTCTTAGGTACTATATTATCGTTTGGTATAACACATGCTGGGCTCCTGGGACTAATGCGTGGTAAGCTGTGGTCGATTCTTGCTTCCCAGGACCTTCTAAAGATTACCAACCACCCTTTAGCGAACTCTTTCTTAGACGCATTCGTCAGGACCATGCAAATATTCCTTAAAGGGTAACGAGAATAAATGAGCAGAGCCGAGTGTTCCTAGGAGCAAAGTGCTCGACAGAAGCTGATAGGCCAAATATTAACTCTTTCAATGCCCCCTTGACACGATTTGAACATAATCCAGAGCAAATATCATATAAGAAGTTATATTCGATGATATGTCATAGAATTAGCATCTGACAATCTGAACCTTGCTCCCTCATGTGTTGGATCCATGTATTGTTCCTATCTTGCCCCAAAGACCAAAAATGCCGCAAGAACGACAACACTTTGCGTCGATCCAAGGTACCACTTATTGCCATCACAACTTCGATCTCATGAGCTACAATCTCCTGTTTCTCCAGCGATCCTTGGCATTCCGTTCCTGCAATAAAGAGAGGCCACACCAAATCACAAGCAAAAGCCCTTTTGTCAGGTAGACACAAAGAATGATCTATAATCGAATCGCGCAAGCCTTGCAATTTGGAGATTGAACAGCCCTTCGTCAACACTTGATATATGTATATCAGACTTGCATGGTGAAAGATACAGACAAGATGCAAAAAGCTGATGCGAGCATCTTCAGTCTGGAATGGGAGTATGTGACCAAATTGGGCCATCCGACACCTTGCCTCATTCAGCTCCTGAACCATGGTCTCAAGCAAAGCTGGGTCACGTGTGTATTTGCGCCCATAATGTAGTCGTTCGGTCCGAGTGACTCGGTTGATGATATTCACGAAATCGCTGAAGATAGCAGTACTGTCTGCATATTGGATGACCTTCTCGGAGTCTGATGGCGAATCAAAAGTTGTCAAGCCCGCAAAGACGCTCGCATAGTATTGCTCGTAGAGAAGAAATGAATCAATCTCATCCGAGAGGACAGGATGGGGAAAGGCTTGTTCTTTCCACTGGAGGATCGCTCTTGCGGCCTGAAGATGCATTCGCCATTTGAGTGACTCGGCGCCGAGCAATTCCACATTATACAATATCAATGTTGACGCTAGAGCAAATTGTGTTTGGATTGGATCAAGCCCCGAAGGAGGATCCTCTTGTCTCATTCGACCAATCTGCTCCGCCAACGAAGCTAAAGCCTGATTCCGCAGGTACAAGGAGACGCGTTGTAAATACTGACAACGAGGGTGATTCTGCTCGAATTTCGATGCCAGATCTTCTGATGAAAGTGCCAGCACAGCATGAAGTACTGTTTTCGATGCCCAGGCAAGAGGGATAATGACTTGCTTCCAAGGATTAGTTGGGAGATCAACCCAAGCAAGTTTCCCAGAAACGTTTCGATGGAAATGGTCCATCAATTCCAACGTCACATGGTCAATGTGAAAACTTGGTCTGCGGGGAATAGATATGGGACTCTGTCCCAATCTCACGGTTCGGAGTGGATCTTTTGGCCCAGTGTCGTGGGTGACGATGCCGCCGGTGCCGCCGGTGCCGCTCACGATCGATTTCTGTATCGGTAGCTGCTTGCCCGCTGATTTACCTCTGCTGGCTACACCCTGGTTCCATCTCAAAATAAAACCATAGCCGGGACATTCAAAGCCCCGCGCAATGCATTTCCTACATTCTGGCAAAGTCCGATCACAGCTGATGCGTCTTGTCCTGCACTTTGGGCAGTCTCGTGCTTAGTTAGATCGAGTCAATATCAAATGGGTATACATATAAGTACCTTTCTCTGCACTTGTGCTACCACGAGGACCTGTGGACATTTGAGTTTCCCAAAATAGTGGTAGCGTATGTATCCATCAAACCAGTAGAAGCTGGGCTTTCTGCAAAGATATCGAAGTCTTGAGGTGTGCAAGGACTCTCTTTGCGGGAAACATGCGTTGAAATGTGATCAATCAGCATCAAGGAAGAGCCGCCACAATGTTGGATGTCCAAAGGTGGGGTTGATGACGTTCAATAGTATTGTAACGAGATGGAGGACGAGAAGTCTGTCTTTTCTCGGAATCCCAAGGGACTATTAAAGTCACATGACCCGGTCGCCGTGACATCCACGTCGACTGTATCAATAGCTTCTCATACGATAAGAATTGTGGGAAGAGGTTTTGTATTTGACCTTGTTGAAGGCCCATGAGTCCGTTCATTGCAGTCTTCGCTTCCTTCGCCCCACAATAAACCTTAATTCCGCACTTTTATTTCCTTCTTGGGACTAGCGTACATGATGGTCATCTGTGGTGATTATGAAGCAGTGAGTTCAGTATCGCTAAATGCGCCAGTGAAGCTGCCCTGGGCTCTGTACATTTAAGTGAATCGGTCTATCCTCCAACTGTAAAGTGAACAGTCTTTGTCAATCAAGAACCACACTTATAACTATGGACTCGATTCTATCCATTGTGTCTCCTAAATCGCAAAATATATACTTCAATCTACAAGGTGACAGCTACGCTCGACCAATTTTTGGAATTGTCGCTTTCAAACCACCCCAAGGCGTTGAGATTACGGCTTCTATGCAACTTAAAGTCCAACTGGTTCGCACCATCACGTCTAATGCGAGCCCATCCTCCACATGCCATAGTCAAGGACTATTGGAATGTATGCGCCGCCGCTTTACAAAGACAGAGCCCACAGAGATCAAAAGAGCATGCTCTATTGTAGAAGAGGTCACACAAGATGTTCTTCTTCCCCCGAATAGACATACCAATGGTCCATCCATGGGAGACCAAACCATTCAAATCCCATTCACACTTCCTATACCAGTCGACATTCCTGGGTCCGTGACTACAAACCTGGGGGAAATCTCCTACGACCTCATTGCTTCCGTGATCACCGAGAATAATACCCTTGCCAGCATAAGACAACTTATTCACTTGTCCCGTCAAGGTATCTCAGATGAGCCAACCATCGAATATGCACGATCCTACCCGAATTCCACGATGATCACTCAAATCAGTCTCTCGCAACACCTCCATACGAGCTCGAAGTCAGAACTCTACTTCTCCATGAACATCATACTCCGAAGACCAATAGCCAGTGGAGATCGTGCATCGGAGTTCAAATGCTCCACAGTAAGAGGAATTCGGTGCCGGGTGGAAGAAGTCACGAAACTGTTTACCAAATCCGATGGAAGTACCCAGGAAGTTGAGCGTGTATCTATACGCGAACTATGCAATGGAAGACAGAAAACGCATTGGGATATAGTTGATAATTCCCTTGACATGCAACAAGACGACACTTCTCGAAGCGGCTCAGTGGATATTCTGTTCGGGTTCACGATTCCAAAAAATGCCAATCCCGCACAGAGGACTGACTTGTCTTGCTATGCCTTTGACCCAGGGCACTTGGATCCTAAGATTTTGCCCACGGAGCTTCGGGGATATTACATATCTACTACAAAGGAAAGACTGGTGATGACCATTGAGCATCAATTGAAGCTTGACTTGTTAATGGGGGAAGACACCTTCGAACGGGGCACCATGAACCTTGTCGATCGCAAACCTGTACGCATAGCTTTGAATGCGTCATTCCCGTTGTTTATTGATGGATGCAATGGCAAGGGTATAGGATCAGCGGTCTTGGAAAGACATCCGCCTAGATACGAGGAGGTTCCTATGGCGCCTCCTGACTATGATAAATTTGCTGGGTTGTCTTTGTCAGATGGAATTTAGAGCAACTATATTGGTCACTTTTTTCTTCATGCTTATAACAGAGCTCTTGTTGATAAAGAACCGAATGGCTAGGATCGCGTGCTCATGTAGGTGCATTCAAATCTGCATAGCGCAGGATATTACTCTATGTACTCGTTTTAGATACCCCGAAAAGGTCCTCAACTCTCGTTAGATAAGAGCTTGCCTTTACTCCCTCTCCAGGGCAGCATTAATCAGCTTTTTGTATCCATTAACCGCGTCGTGCATATCGCGCACAGTAAGAGCCTCATTATCGCCATGCGCCACGAAAATGCTACCCGGTCCATACAAGTACCGCTTCACACCCCTCTTAACCTTCAGGTTGGGCAGATCAGTACCATAGTTGACAGGGATAATCTTGAAGCCAGGAACATCAGTATCGATATTTTGAGGCGGGTAAGATTCCCTGTGTGAGCTGAAGTCAACGACAACCTCAGCCTCAACATCCCGCGTTGCATTGGCAACAGCACGAGTGATAATTCCACGCGCTTCCTCCGGCGTACCAGCCGCAAGACGCACAGCAACATTCGCTCTGGCCTCAGCTGGAACAACATTGGTCGCGACACCCGCGTTCACGGTACCGATATTCAGCGTAGTGTGACCGTACTTCTCGGAGGATGGAAGTCCGCCCTCACTGGCGGGAATATCTCCGAGTTTGTCGACAATTGCGAGCGCTGGAATGATAGCAGAGATGGCACTGTGACCTAACCAGGGGTATCCGGAGTGGGCGGCCTTGCCGTGAGCGAGAATCTCAAAGCCCAGCATGCCCTTGTGGCCGGAGACGAGGGCGAGCTCGGTAGGCTCACCAAAGATGACAGTATGGTAGGCGCTGTTCTTGTTCAAGTCGGAAGTAGAGAAGGCCTGCATGCCGTCTCCACCGATTTCTTCGCCGACAACGAAGAGGAGGCCGAGTTTCGCGTCCGGGCTCTCGTGGAGGGTTTCGAGGGTAGCGAAGATCTGGGCGGCGACGCTGGCCTTTGCATCGACACTTCCACGACCAGCAATGATGATATCCTCAAAACTAGATCCAGAAGACTGCGATTTGGGCTCACTGGTGGAGTACGGGATGAATGGCGGGACGGTGTCGATGTGGCTGGTGAGGAGGATGGAGGGCAGCTCTCCAAGAGAAGAGGGGTAGGCATAGATATTATAGCGTTGCTTGGGAATCGTGGTATCATTGCCGGACTGCTTCTTCTTCACAGGGGCGACTTCCTGCTTGACAACAGTGAAATTCTTGGACTCGAGGAACTCGGCGACGAAGAGGCCGACATCGTGCTCGTTTCCGGAAATGGACTCAATTTCAATTATGTCCCGATGGAATGAGAGCAGAGGAGAGTTGCTGATGACATCCTCAATGTTTGACGGCTCATGGCTGGGGCTGACCTGTTGCGCGGGCGAGAGGGATGTCTCCTGCAGCGGCTGTTGCCAGTGTGGGGGGTGCGGAGAAGCTTGGGCGACGGTGACGGCCGTGGCGGCCGCCAGATACCAGGTGAGCTGCATTGGGGTACGGAACAGGGAATAATGTGTGCTTCAATATAAAGGAGTGCTCCTACAGCTTTAGCTCCTATGTCGCGTGAGCAAAAATATGGCTCTTTTGGAGACCCTTGTTGATGTTGATGTTGCAGTGGAGTAGTTAAGTGAGTACGAGCGATTCCCGTGACTAATCATCACAACCCGATCGGCTACATGGCGATGCTAGCGTCAGTCGCTATCACTGTTTCCACTTACGATGTCGATTCATAGATAAGGGAATCATAATCTAGGTGTTTTCGTTAGCAAATCACCAATGTCACTTGGTAGAAAAATTTGCCTCAAGGTCTGGATGGCATGGATATGACAGATTTGGGAACATTATAGAGCGGGAAAAATTATGCTCATGGGATATCATAGGTGGCGTCAATAGAAGCATTATGAAACCAGATACAGTACAGATATCCCTGTAACCTGTGGCTGCTTTGAATCATTGGGTCTGACGTGTCCCGGGGTTTCGGCAACTCAGGTCAGAATGCCGAATTTCCGTTATGTCACATCGTCCATTGGCCAGGATTTGACTTTCTCTTCCTCAATTCCAATTATCACGGCACCAAAGGGGCAATAAACACCACAGAGTTTGGGAGCCCAGCGGAGAGCGGGGTCAGAAAAGCCACCAAGCGTGATCAGACACGGGACAAGACCGCCCTTGTACGGGAGCAACCGTGGAAACAGCAGGCAGTCACCAAGATCCCCTGGTCAAACTGCGATACGATGTACACTTTCTAAGGGATTGGGTATGTCAAAATCATGAGTTATGACATAAATCCTTTGCAATTGTTTCCCTGATGATGATCTCCGGATAAATTTATTAAGAATCCTGACCGTGGAACCAAGACCTACCCGAATCAGTGTGGAACTGCAGTTTCTATATCCCTCATAACTTATGCGGGAGGATAATGCCCGACATCGGGTACAGTTCCGAAGTTATGGACAGTGCATTAGATCCTTATGACACCAAAATTAAGCATAGGAATAATGTTCACTGACGGTGTATGGAAAGTGGGGACCGTTTGACAATCAAACCTTGCTAAGCTTGGTACCACAGTCATGCCGAATTACCCACATGTAGAAGATTCCTAAATCCTGGTCCTTGTACTAGTCGGATGATCGGCATAACTAATACTATGTACTATGATGCTTTTGATGCAGTATAAATCAAAGGTGGCCCCTGATGAACCAAACTTGAACCATAGACAATCTGGTTTTCCTCTCAACTTTAAATACTGAGCTGTACCCAAGATCTTACTGAAAGAAACTGTAACCATGGCACTGCGAAGAAGATTATTGGCAGGCGTTGTGGATCATGCCGCTGAGACGGATCCAGAGAGACTGTTCGCCGTCATCCCCAAAGGATCGGAGCTATCCGATGGGTTCCAAAATCTGACAATGAAGGGATTGTCCCAAGCTGTGAACTTTCTATGTCGATGGATTGAAAACACCATCGGAACAGATATCCCCGAACAGACGCTGGCATATATGGGAAGTAACGACGTGCGGTATTGTATCTTTATTCTCGCTTGCCAGAAGACTGGACATCGGGTATGCATACCACTAGCTGCAAGATTTGCCATTTAGCTGACGAGATCATTAGGCCTTCTTGCCCTCGACAAGAAATGCAGATGAAGCCCATATCCACCTCTTGAAGGCAACAAAATGCACAAAGTTCCTCTTTCCCGAAGAACGAATCACACGTGTTTTGGAAATAAAGGAACTCTATCCGGATCTCGAGATTTTCCAAGTCCCGTCAGTAAAAATGATGCTAGCCGACGAGAGTGGATTGACACCTTACCGCTATGAGAAGACGTACGAGGAAGTTGAAGATACGACAATGTGCATCATCCACAGTTCGGGAACCACTGGTAAGTTTAGTCATACCACTCAATGCTCACCAGACTGATCTTATCTTTTCACCCTCCAGGAATGCCAAAGCCGGTGCCCCTGACCAATGGATTTTGGAGCGCTTTTGACAATCTAGATTGCCTGACCTGGCCGGAAGGTCGTCAGCCATCCCTTTACTTCAACCTGGGTCGACAAGACCTTGCCTTGGCAACAACACCATTTTTCCACTTGATGGGATTGTTATCCCCTGTACTTTCAATTCTCCATGAGGTTCCTGCTCTGTTCGGACCAGACAAGCCCCTATCAGTGGAACATCTCACCAAATTGTTGCAAATGACTCGTCCCACAACGGGGCTGTTCCCGCCATCGCTTCTGGAGGATATGAGCCACTCCAAGGAAGCACTGGAGTGCTTCAAAGGCCTCAAATCCATTGGGTTTGGCGGGGCTCCACTCGCTCCCGAAACTGGCGACAGGATACGCCAGTGCACCCAATTAATCCCGGTCATTGGAACTAGTGAGATCGGCTGGATCGCCGCGATGGTACCCCAAGACAGGGAAGATTGGAGCTATTTCGAATTCAACGACAGTTATGGTGTCGAGATGCAAAATGTGGGTGAGGGGCTCTATGAGATGGTCATTCGGCGGAACCCCAAGTCTCGGGCTTTACAAGGCATCTTCCACACTTTCCCAGACCTCGAACTATACCGCACCAAGGATGCTTATAATCAACATCCCACCAAGCCGTATCTCTGGAAGTTCAATGGTCGCATTGACGATGTCATCGTTCTCAGCAACGGCGAGAAGTTTAATCCGACAACCATGGAGACGATCATCGAGGGACACGCCCTAATTGCCAAAGCGATTGTTGTTGGTCAGTCCCGATTCCAGGCTGGCTTGCTGGTGGAGCCAAATGCTGGAGTCCCGGAGATGGACACCAAGACTTTTGTTCAAGAGATCTGGCCTACAGTTCAAGCCGCAAACCAAACAATTGCGGCTCATGGTCGAGTGATGAAGAGCCGGATTGGTATTGCCCCAAGGGGGAAGTCCTTCGAAAGAACTCCGAAAGGCAGTGTTCAGCGACGATCTGTTCTACGGAACTTCGAGAATGAGATCAATCAAATCTACCAGTCTGGCCTCGAGGAAGATCTTGACAGCCTGCTCCCAGAGAGTCTGGATAGGGCCAGCGTTTTGAACTACACCCGTGAGATTATTTCACAGATCTTGGAGAAGCCAGATGTCTCCATCAACCAAGATCTCTACAGCCTTGGACTTGACTCTCTGATGACCATGCAGGTGGCCAAGGTGCTGCAGCGAGGTGTCGAACATCTCCAGAAAAAGGTGAAACCGGGAAGTATCAACCCGCAAACAATCTACTCTAACCCTACTGTGGAGCTTCTAGCGGGTGTGATCTCCAACATTGTTGAGGGCAGATCCCAGGAAACTGTTCCCCGCGATGAGAGAATCCAAAAGATGGTAGAGAAGTACACCAATGATCTCCCCGAAGCTGATCACAAAGTCCCGACGCTGTCAGCTTCGCCTTCAACAGTCATTTTGACTGGATCTACTGGTTCACTGGGAACTTACCTGCTGCACAACTTGCTTGAGAACCCGGCAATTTCCAAGGTGTATTGCCTGAATCGCTCAGGCGCCGAAGAAAGACAGAAAAAGGGCCTCGAAGACAAGGGCCTTCTTGTGAATGCCAATGACTGGGTTTCCAAAGTCGAATTTTTGCAAGCATCGTTTGGAGAAGCTCACTTCGGTCTGAGCGAAGACAAGTATGAAGAGCTTCTCGGATCTGTCGATACTGTCATTCACAATGCCTGGAAGGTCGACTTCAACCATTCCCTGGAGTCATTCGAAGAAACTCACATCAAGGGAGTACGAAACTTCGTTGACTTCAGCCTGAACAGCAAGTACAAGGCTCATATCCACTTCGTCTCCTCCATCAGCACAGTCGGTGCCTTCACACCAGAGATGGGATCTGTAGTACCAGAGACCCCCATGGAAAACAGCTCCGTCGTCCTTCCTCAGGGATACGGTGAATCGAAACACGTTGCAGAGAGAATCTGTCTGGAAGCTTCTCGTCGCTCTCAAATTCCCACCTCGGTCTACCGAGTTGGACAAATTGCAGGACCGACGACCGTTCGCGGACAATGGAACTCGCACGAATGGCTTCCAACAATTATCGCCACGTCAAAGGCCATGGGCAAAATCCCTAGCCGTCTTGGAGCTATGCCCGTGGATTGGGTTCCAGTCGTAAGCTATACCTTGACCTTTGTTCTTTTGGCGTTGCTAACCAGATACAGGATACTCTCGCCTCAATCATGACAGATATCATCGACGCACGACACGGCGACCAATCTGAACTCCCCCATGCAGTCTTTCACCTCACAAATTACAAGACAGCCACTTGGTCATCATTCATTCCGGCTATTCAACAGAAATACAACGTCGAGCCGGTCGAGTTCTCGGCCTGGGTAGCGGAGCTTGAAAGCATTCAGAACCCGTCTACTGCAGAGGTGGCTGAGAAGCCTGCACTCAAGTTGCTCAGTTTCTACCGCGGCCTTGTTGATGAAACCAAAGCCGCTATGTCGGTGGCTTTGGATGTTCAGAAAACGAAGGAAGCCAGCAAGACGATGAACTCGCTTCAACCTATCTCTGCATCGTTGATGTCAAACTGGCTGAAGCAGTGGAACTTCTAAGCTATGACTGTTGTCAATATTTTCATAGGATTCGAGACGAAGGTGCTATTTACGAAAGTATGAGATACAATATAGAAGATATAATAGATTATTCCCTATACTTATTCATTTTCACTCTCAACCTTGACCGCAGTTCACGAGTAAGCAATGTGACATACTCTGTCGACGAGAGAGTTCGACACCGGGCTATTCCAGTTGTCGCCGATGAAATATGAAACTGTAACTTGACATTGGAAACGAAAGCAACTGAATGGTGTCGACTCTCTACCAATCACGTGGTCCACAGGTCCAATGCACCGGATCGGCTGTGCATATTTAGCGTCTTCCCCGCAGTTTCGTGAGGGGTTGTCCCGAGCCACGTAACATGAACCTCCAAGTATTCTCGCGAGATAGCTTATCTCAATCATTCCCCCTGAATGATTTAACCAATTGAATAAAGGGATCACAGCCATGCCGAAAGCCATGGCAGCCCGACGAGGCGCCCGTTTCACACCTTTCTCACGAACCCCACGAACCCCTGTCATCGCTAATGAAGACACCATGCTCCCGTCATTTGACAATTTCCCCGCATATTTAGTTGAGGTATGTCAATCCATAAATTAAAACTGGGCGACTTTTTTGAAGAGTCAAGACACTCAAGGGCTCTAATTGACTCATTTCAAGGGTGACTCCACATTCGTTCAGGACGATCAATCGATGGTATTGGCTAGTTTGTCGGAGCTTGCCGAGCTGGGCGCAGGCTCCAACGCCTTTCTAGATTTTGTCTCAAGTCAAACTTATGACGAAAGTCCAAGCTCGACTTCATCGCAGCCGCGCGCTGCGGTGGCGCATCTCTTCATCAATAACAAGACAGTTATGTCCAGATCTAAGGAATGGACTAGCATTCTGGATCCAGTAAGGATATCACAAAGTACAAAGGAGATGGCGATGTGTATCTTGCTTTCCTAGCTAACTTTTGCAAAGACCACCCAAGCCCTTCTATGCAGAGTTCCATGCTGTACACACCAAGAAGTGCAAAATGCAGTAAATGCTGCAAATGATGCCCAAGAGGACTGGGAGGGTATAGGATTCCAGGCCCGTCGGGAGTACTTGTTACGACTCATAGATACTCTCAAGGACTTATCCTCGCTCATTGTGAGTTTTATGTAACGAGAGACGTTCCTTAATGTAATATGAGCTAATCGGATCTAGGTCACGAGCTTGTGCCGGGAGGTGGGTAAGACAATAGAAGATGCAGAGTCAGAATTCCACCGAGGCCTGGATTGTATCCACGCCGCATGTTCTGTTGGTCCTGAAATGGCGGGCATGTTTCTCGGGAATGACCCCACAATGCTACAGACATTCTACGAGCCAGTGGTAAGCGAGGGGAAAAACCGACTTCACGGTTTCAAGATAAGCTGACATTTGCAAGGGCGTCTGCACAACTATTACACCATTTAGCTTCCCTTTCATGACCCCTCTGTGGTCTATTCCATATGCCCTCATAACAGGAAATACTGTTGTTCTGAAGCCATCTGAAAGAGCTGTTTCAGTGCCAGCACTTCTCGCCGAAGCCGTAGTCAAGGCCGAGTTTCCACCCGGCGTTTTCAATCTTGTGCATGGCGGTCATTCAGTTTCCCAGATGCTCATCTTGCAACCCTTAGTGAGAGCAATTAGCTTTGTGGGATCAGAGTCCGCTGCAAAACAAGTGCACGACCTTGCACGCAAAGCCGGGAAGCGAGTTCAGGCAGAATGTGGCGGCAAAAATCACGGTGTCATTTTGGAAGATGCTGAAATGATGCCTACCCTCTTCGCCATTGCAGGCAGTGCCTTCGGGGCCGCAGGACAACGGTGTATGTCGCTAAGTGTCGCGATATTTGTTGGCAACACTGCACGATGGATACCCAAACTTGTCGAGGTTGCCAAGTCGATGACTGTGGGAAACGGCAGTGACGAGGAAACCAAGATCGGACCTTTGATAGACAAAGAGGCGAAATCAAAAATTGCAGCTCTCATCGAGCGTTCCACAGAAGAGGGTGCAGTTCTACTATGCGATGGAAGAGACGTGAGCGTTCCAAGATATCCCAATGGGAATTTCCTTGGACCTACAATTCTATCTGGCGTCGAAACATACATGGAATGCTACCAAACAGAAATTTTTGGTCCAGTCCTCATATGTATGCAAGTCAATACAATGGAAGAGGGGATTGAGCTTATCAACCAAAACAAATGTGAGTTTCTTTCGGACAAGCATGTTAATATCTGAGGTTGACTTTCGAATCTAGACGGTAATGGCTGTTCGATTTTCACTACGAGCGGAAAGCATGCGAAGACATTTCAGCGTCAGGTCAATGTGGGTCAGATTGGCATCAACATCCCTTTGATTGGTATGTTACGAGTCCACTCCTTTTAAGGCCTGCTACTGATTGCTCAGCGCCCTACGGTACTGCCGTGCGGACCAGCAACAAGGGAAGCTTTATGGGAGGTAAGAATTGGAGAGCAATGAGTCTCCCACACCGAGATGAAAATACCATATGGAGTAAAGCCGGCTGACACCTCTGCAACAGACAGGCACTGCCCGGGGAAAACTTATTGGCCTTTTTTTACCTCCACGAAGACTGTTTCGGCTCGGTGGGATCAATGATTAGGCTACAACAAAGAAATGGTATCCCAGTTCAAAACTATGGAAATGAGCGGTGTACTGTACTCAATTGAGAATCTAGGAGTTGGTCGCTATGGCATGGCATAAATATAATATGATCAAGGTTGTTTGTTGAGCCGTAATAAGAAAACCAGTGTAAAACGACCGGAGCCTCACGGAAACCTCCCGAGACACTAAAATAAACACAACGGAAGAGAAAAACCTCAAAACCAAAACCACAGAATAAAGAAGGATCTGGCTACTCTAAACCATAAAAGCTTGCTGATAAGTAAAGTGGAGATGGACCGAAGTGGAGGCAAAATGAGCCAATCTGGCAACGGAAGCCGATGAGTGGAGTCGCCAGTAACTCGGGGATGGACTCAACGAGTATAGCGTCCCGCGCAAAGAACGGGAGCCGCGAATCTCATGCCATTATTTCCACTCTTCCGCTCACTTGGGTCGTGTGCCTTTCCGCATACACCGTCAAACTCTCCCCAACAAATGCGTGATCATGATTGGGTTGACCCCTGTGACTTGCCACCAAACCAGCCCTTATCACCTATGGGGGCTAAGGAATCCTGCTTTAGGTCCTCGAACTCCACTCGCGCTATCAGCCACTTTTACCCCATTCAACCTAAATGGCCCAATATCCGGAGATAAGCGGTCTCACTCTCCGTGGCGATAATTATTCAGTCTGCAGTCCCTTCTGAGTATTTCTCAAACCCTTGTTCAATCTTGTGTCCTTGATTCTTGAGCTCCCTTCCATCTAGTGCTCGTCAAGATGTCGGGATATTTGAAATGGGCCCAGGAGAGCTTGAGACTGAAGGAAGTCGATGGGACATTGGAACATACGCGATGGGTCAATGAAGGTAATGAGGGTGAAATCTGACCTTCATCGCCCGTGGCTGACTTGACCTTCCCCAGATCTCTTGCCGACACCACCAGAAAAAAGAAGTAAGCGTTACCCCTGCGCCGCCAGTGTGATAAGGCTAAACGATAATGACTAGCCTGGCGATGGTGGAATTATGTGACCTTCTATTGGTCGATTTCCTTCACAAATTGGACATTGGGATCGGTAGGCTGCTCAAACCCTCGCCCACACTACGTATTAATTAACGTCTCCGAAGACAATGATTGGAATTGGCCTTAATTGGTGGCAATCCATCGTCGTCATTTTCGTATCGCAAATGATTTCCTCGATCGCCATGGCCTTCAATTCCCGCGCCGCGAGCGTGTATCACATCGGATTCCCTTGCGTCGCTCGAAGCGTCTTCGGAATGTGGGGAAGTTACTACTTTGTCGGTGCGCGAGCAGTTCTAGCTGTAATTTGGTATTCAGTGCAAAGTAAGTTGACAAGCAATTATCTTATCTTTACAGATACTAATTAGTTTCCCAGTGTATTATGGCGCTGAGTACATGCACAATATGCTACGAGCGATCTTTGGACACAATTTCACCAACATACCCAATGCACTTCCGGCCAGTGCGGGGATCACCACTTCTCTCATGCTGGCATTTTTCCTAAGCTGGCTTGTTCATCTTCCATTTTGTTATTTCCGGCCATATCAATTGCGAAAGTTCTTCTGGTTCAAGACAATCGTTTCATTGCCATCTATGTTTGGTTTGTTCATTTGGGCCATGGTTAATACGAATGGCAAAATTGGGAGCTTGTATAGCGTTTCCTCGCGATCGTCGAGTGCTACTGCTTGGCTGATTCTTGCTGGAATTAACAGTGGCATGGGGTACGGTTCTCATTACTCCCCTTGACTTGGCTGTCATACTGATTGAAACTCAGAAACACTGCAACCTTGATCACCAATCAACCGGATTATGCTCGCTGGGCCAAATCGCGTGGTGCACCTATCTGGACGCAGCTTGTGAGCTCGACCTTAATGAGAGTCGAATATCATGTTGCTGATACTTCTTAGATTGTTAACCCCTTGACAGTCACAGTCTCAGCTACGCTGGGAATTCTTTCCACCAGCGCCGTCAATGCTAAGTATGGCACTGATATTTGGTATGGACTTCCACCGGATAATTATATAGACAAAGGCTAACGGTACCAGGAATCAATGGGATATGATGAGCCTGATCCTGGACGAGTACTGGTCCTCAAAGACGAGATTTGCCGTTTTCCTCTGTGCTTTCGCATGGTTCGTCCAGATCCTCGGAACCAACATCGCGGCAAATATGATGTCCTTCGGCGCCGACTCAGCCATGTTGTTCCCCTCTTTCCTAAACATCCGTCGTGGACAGTTCATTGTCCAGTTTCTTGCTTGGGCGGCCTGCCCCTGGAAGATCATGACATCCGCAGCCAAGTTCCAGACTTTCCTCGGTGGATACGGTCTCTTTATGGTTCGTGCTTCAAAACATGTTTCACAATGCAAGTACTCACAAAAATCTACAGGCGAGTGTTGTTGCCATTATGGTCTGCGACTGTGAGTTTCTCCAACCATTTGCATCGAAAGGATAATCACTAACATAAACAGATTTCTGTCTAACGGGTGGCAACATAACCACTGCTTCACTATTCGTCCCCACAAAAGCGAATAAAAACTATTGGTACCACGGCGGAGTAAATATCCAAGCCGTGATAGCCTACCTGATTGGAATCGCACTCCCCTTTCCAGGATTTTGCGGTGAGCTCGGCGCCAAAGTCTCCAGTTCAGCGGCACACATCATGGATATTGCGTGGCTGACCGCATTTGCGGTATCATTCGTGTCTTATTACGTGATTTGCACGTTCTGGCCAACATCCAGCATCCGTGAAGTGAAGGAGAGGAATTTGACACGCGAACAGCTGGCCCCTGAAGATGATTATTACGACGCTGCTATTACAAAAGATGAGGAGATTACGGGTGCTGCCATTTCCTCGGGCAGATTCTATGGACATGAGGGCAATGATATCCCCAAGGCCTTTTCAGAGAGGAAGTTTCCGGTCGAATGAAGAATGTGTTTTAATATTTGCACGCAGTCAAAGCAAAACCATGTGACTAATGTCTAGCGATCTATTTATTCTTTGGTCAGTTTTTCTAGCCTAGACTAGTTCCAAAAAGACGATCTCCAATATCTCCAAGTCCAGGCTTCACATATCCCTTATCATCAAGCTCCTTATCAATAGCACCGACAAACACATCTGTACATTCTGGCCACACATTTGCGACCTTCTGCAAACCGATCTCGCTCCCAAGTAACGCAAACAGGGTGATATGATCAACACCCCAGTCCCTGAAACAGAGTTAGCATGATCGAAATATTCTGCATGCTCTGACTTACCTCAAGATATCAATTGCAGCCTTCGCAGTGCCACCGGTCGCGACAAGCGGGTCAAGAATATAAGCCCGCTTAATCTTGGGACTCTTCGCAGGAAGCTTATTATAGTATTCAATCGGACGTAGCGACACCTTCTCGCGAAACAGACCAAGATGGTATGTAACCGTATCCGCGTCTTCGGGGAAAGCAGCCAGGAAGGAATCCGCCATAGCGAGGCCCGAACGCAAAATCACAATCACGGCAATTTTCTCATCGGGGCTCGGAGGTGTGATGACACTTTTTGTCAAGTTTGCTGTTAATTCACTCACGAGCCGACGGACAGCTGCAGAACTTATGGATTGATCGCGGAGTTGGGAGAGGGTTTTGGACGCTTCGGCGTTTTCGATGAGAGTGATATTTGACGCCATTTTGAAAAAGGTGGGAGAGGAGAGAACTCAAACGGATAATTGAGGATTCAGAGCTCCCATGGTTATATTATTATATCCACGAGCTCAGTAGCTCAGGCACAATCGGAGACTATCGCCATCAAACAAGATAAGATTAGGATAAGCCGCAATCGGACTCTATCTTATCGTTTTATTATCGGAATCCTTATCGCGCCCTACTTTCCTGCTTATCGGATGCGGGGATTGAAGCCAATTTCCTGGTTGTAGAACTGATCAGACCTGCATGTACGTAACACAAACTCGGCTGCGAGAATGAGACGGTGAAGTGCCCATTTATTTATTTCATTCTTTTTCATTTATCTGGCAACAACATATCGTTGCCAAACGAGAGAGACACGTCGGATTGACTTAACCTCCATTCTCTATCTAATCTTGTTGGCAAAGGTCATAATGGCCGAGATCGAGTACCTGAAGAGCCTACAGGCTGTGCGCGAGCGCGCAAATCTGGTCCTGAAAGCCGCCGAAAACGATGAATTGACGCACTTCTCCTATCACCCGAATAAGATGGGGGAAGTGGCGGAATATGTGACTGGCATTATCAATGTATGTTCTCCAACGCCAACCCTCATTAGATAACAGCTATCTGACGGAGGCCTCTCTAGCGAGACTTTGGACCCGATAAATTTGACAAGATCCCCCCTCACGGTCGGTGGCAACACTTCGAGATTGGTGGTGTTCCTCGAGTGGATCAGCTCATCAAGTCCTGGCAAGAGGAGGGATATGATAAGATTGAGGTCACTCGGCGACTAATTGATCTCTTCTTCGTCGCTGTGCTGCTGGATGCTGGTGCTGGTGACTTTTGGAAATTTACCGAGCCCGGAACCGGTGATGCGTATGGGCGGAGTGAAGGAATCGCCGTCGCTGCATTATACATGTTCAAGGCAGGTTCTTTCACAAGCAAGTCAGGAGCTGATAGCGAGTTGGTTGATGGTAAGTAACGAGAGTGACGACATATTCCGATCATGAACTGACGTTGGTATACTTTACAGGTCAGGGTCTTGCATCCCTCAATATCGATACGTTCCGAAAACACTTCCAGATCACAGCTGAAAATGAGATTATCGGAGACGTCTCACGTGTCAGTCTTCTGAACAGTGTAGGAAAGTCATTTTTGAGTCTACCAGAGATTTTCGGGGAAGCTGGTCGACCTGGAAACCTTGTTGGTAAGCTGATATTCCCTTCTAGTGTTACCATGTCCATTGCTAACCAGATACAGACTACATACTGGCTCAAAAGAGTGGGAATGAGTTAGAATATGAGACATTGTGGAATGTCCTTCAAAAAACTCTTCTGCCGGCATGGCCCAAGAATCGAACTCAGGTGGATGGCGTTCCCATCGGAGATTCTTGGCCCCTGGAGGTTCTAGCAAAAGTGAACAAAGGAGAAAGCGAAAGCAGAACCGCAAATATCCAGCCCTTCCACAAGTTGACACAATGGCTTGCATATTCCTTGTCGGTTCCTTTTATCCGAGTGCTAGGCTTCGAGTGGAAGAATCTCAGCTTGGGAACGGGGCTTCCAGAATATCGCAATGGCGGCTTATTTGTTGATATGGGAGTCCTTCAGTTGAAGGAGACTGTCTTGCAGCAAGGGCGAGCAAATTCCCAGCAGGAGACACCAAGCTTTGAAGCTACTAGTGATGTGATTGTTGAGTGGCGAGCTATGACTGTGGCTTTGCTTGATGCGCTCTACGAGACTATCCGAGATAGCTTTGCCAAGCAAGGCGTCCAGTTAAATATGGCACAGATGCTTGAGGCTGGTACTTGGAAGGGAGGCCGAGAACTTGCAGCGAAATATCGCCCTTCGACTAAATCCAGTCCCATCGTAATCCAAGGAGATGGAACTCTATTCTAAGCAGCTACATTGAAGACCCGAGGAAGAGGGTCGGGCTTTGTAATGTGGTCTAGCTTAGCTAAACATAATAAACTACCAAAACTTGTCAATCCATCAAGATGAGGCCGTTAAATTGACTGTTGATGCTTAGGATGTTCAACATAGACTTATATCGTGTGTAACCATCGGGAGACATTGATATATCTTAATCACAATCCCGAGCCCTTGAGGCCCAGAGCCGGCCTCGGAGGCCTCGTCGCCCATGGGATTGAGAATAATTTGACCTTGGCTGATGTTGGACAGGTCTGAAGAGATTGTGATTCATATAATTCTCGGTCCCAAATTCAGGCGTAATATAGACGATGAATGTATGAAAAAGGTATTGAGATATGAAATAATCATCCAGCCTGGTGCAGGATAGAAACGATTAAGCTTGAAATAGGAGATGACAGAAAATTATGGCGTTCAAGCGAATTCAATGATGCGTTCCGTAAAACCGATCCCCAAAATCCCCCAATCCCGGGCTGATATGGCTAGTAAAAGTCAACGTGTGATTCATGAATCATCGTGGACATCTTTGACTTACTTTGAGGGCGTGAGCCTATCGTCTATGGCAGCAGTAACCAATCGAATAGAAGGAAACCGATCAAATAATACCTTTATTCCATGTTGCGCTGCTAGAACGTTAACAAATATGATATTCTCCTCGATGACTCCAGCTTCTTTTATCGCGTCGATGGCTGCACATGCCGAGCCCCCGGTGGCTAGCATTGGCTCAAGAATGAAAATAGCTATGAGGGATTAGTAAAATCTCATGAAATCCAGATTATCCCCGGGCATCATACTCTTAGAAGCAATTCCCGTGGGAAACTTCGAGTAATATAACGTCGGAAGACTTGTCGATTCGTCACGCTGAATCAACAATTTTCCAAAACTTAATGGGCCACTGAAACCAAATCAGTCTTACTATCTCATCAAAATTGCAAGAAACTTACGTATATCCACGTCTCAGGGCGTTCTCAAGACTTGCACCCGCTCGAAGAATACTTACGCCACAAACTTCTCGAGTCTCTTTTATTCCTTGATATTCAGCTCCAGTGGGACTAATAACTTTCGTCGCTTCAGATGAAAGTAGATCGAGTGCTAAATGGACATACTATTAGAAATGAGTCCATCTCAGAATGACCGCTATAGATCACATACCAGCACTAATAAGTTGATCACCAACCCTTTCGGTTACGTCCGCAAAAGTCGCAACGGTCGTATTTGAGTCTCGAAGGATAGTCATCAGACTCAGTAAATGATTGCCTTGGGGCAGAAGAGAAATTCGAGGGCTAAGAGATCCCGATTTGCAAGTCTCAGTGATACTCATGATGGCTCTGTCGATCTATGTTGACGTATGATTTTGAATAGTAAGAGGGGCAGAAGATCCAGCTGAGAGGCAAACTGAGTCAAATGGAATAGAGAATGACAAGCGTCTCTATAAAGCATCACGCGACCCAACCTTGTGGCGTCCAACTCACTTGCCCCTCAGTCTCGATTCTCGAGCCTGTCCTAAATGTGGGGCTCTGCAAGTAGATCTCATGCAGCAAATCTAATCAGCAGATGATAGAGTTGACTTTATTCCGATACACGATAAGATAGCCGATAAGTGTCCCCAATTGTGGATGATAAGCCGAGATTATAACAGGTGGAGACGGGCGGGCGATCTGGCCGTACTCGCCCACGCTGGTGAGAAATAGTATGGAAAATAGGTAGAGGAAGAGGGCTGTTGAGACAGTCCCCGTTGCTCCCTGATCAAGCGAATCGACACCTAGAAGTTATGGTATTAGTGCTCATTCCACTGAGGTTTCGTCTAAGTAATGTTGATTCGAGGTTTTATGTCACATATATTTGGATTTATATTGATTTTAAGTTTGGATTATAGTTCTTATGTTTGTATTATAGCGGTAGACTGTGTGCTTAGGAATTTTATTTGGAGTAAATAAGTAGAAATTTCGAGCATCATATCTAGATAGTAGATACCCTGGACTAGTCCTCTCTTAACTATGAGTAGGCATAGAAAGTGTTGTCTTTGCAGGTTGGCTATCCCGACCAGCCCATTTCGAAGTCACAGTCTTCAACTGTGTATAGAAATTAACACCGGGCCGCCCATAGAAGGTATTGGCCCCCCCTCCAGCAACGCTCTTCTTATTTCCAGTGAACGAAAACATGGGGAGTGGCACAGGGATTGGTACATTGACTCCAACCTGCCCAGCTTGAATGTTCTTCCGGAATCGCTCCGCTGAAATACCAGAGGAGGTGAAGATAGCTGTGCCATTGCCATAGGGGTTCTCATTGACGAGCTTAATAGCTTGGTCAAGGGAATCCGTCTGAAGGCAAACCAGCACAGGGCCAAAGACCTCTTCCGTGTAACATTGCATAGATGGAGTGACCTCGCTGATGATGGTTGGAGCCACCCAGTTACCGTTGGGGTATTTAGAAGGTTTGACTCCACGACCATCAAGGAGCAGTTTCGCACCCTCGGTCTCTGCACTTGCAACCAGACCTTCGATCCTAGTCTTACTCTCCGGTGTCACGACGGGACCAAGGTCTGCCTCAGCCTCAAAACCACCATTCATGGAGAGAGCCTTAGCTCGCTCAACGAGTTCGGGTAGCCAATTTTGCGTCTCTCCAACAAAGACTACAGCAGATAAAGCCATACACCGCTGACCAGCTGCCCCGAATGCCGCAGCAATAATTGCATCCAGTGTCGAATATTTGTCCGAATCAGGCAGTACCACTGCATGATTCTTTGCGCCAAGGTTTGCCTGCACTCGCTTGCCATTGGCTGATCCCTTGGTGAAAATGTATTCGCCAGCCTTGTTACTTCCGACGAAGCTGATCGCCTTGACAGCAGGTGCATCAAGTAGGAAGTTCACAGTATCATGTGCACCATGCACCACATTGATCACGCCCTTCGGGAATCCTGCCTTTTCCGCCAATTCCATGAGAATCATCGCCGCTCCCGGTGCTCGCTCGGAAGGCTTCAAGACGACAGTGTTTCCGGTGATCGTGGCGATAGGTATGCACCACAGTGGAATCATAGCGGGGAAATCTTTCAAACACTTAGAATGATTCAGCATCAGGAGTAACCACAGACTTACTGAATGGACAGATCACAGCGACGACACCAAGTGGTTCACGGTATGTCCTGGTTTCCATGTCTTTGGCGACTTCGAGAACCTCTCCCTTCATATATTCTGGCCCTGCACAAGCCGCCTCTGCCACCTGCAAGCCGCGCAAAACATCGCCTTTCGCGTCAGAAACAGTCTTTCCTTGCTCAAGTGTAATCACAGCTGCGAGTCGATCCCAGTGTTCCCGAATCAGAGCAACGTAGCGGAACATGATCTGCTGTCTGGCAATTATAGACATGTTTTGCCAGACTGGGAAAGCATTCTCTGCAGATGCCACGGCCTCCTCTAGCTCAGTTTTCACCATCTTTGGCACTCGCGACACCAAGTTATTGGTCGCGGGGTCGTGGACATCGATGAAATCCTTCGTGGCTGAGAACCGGAACTCATTGTCAACGAAGTAGGGTGTGTCTTTGGGGTCGGTAATTTTCTCGTGGGAATTGGGGAACACACTGGCAGATGTGCCTAGCACACCTTCCTTTAGGGGGGTTTGAGCCATCGCTTCACTCTGTAGTTTTGGAGTTTTGTTAATGTGATGTTATCTCAAGATGTTCCAATCCTAACTGGCGGGGTGGTGGTTAAACAATGATCAGCTGACCATCTCTTAAGGAAGCTCTTTCCGAGAAGCGGGGAATCACAGGTCAAGCGAACGATAGCTTCTCCGAGGCCAAGTCCTGTGGAGAACCACTCCTTGCCTTACACAGCGATAGCCCAATCTCGATACCTGATCCCCACAATCTCGATAAGGCGATAAGATTGGATTTGATTAGGATAAGGGCCTTTTATCTTATCGGTGCCTGCTATCGCATTATCGCGCTATCGCTAAGATGTTGAACAAGCATTCCGCGATGATTAGACCGATCTTCAATAGGATGTTCTCAAATAACCCAGCTTATAAAGTGCTCTGGGAATCATTTGGGAAGACAGCAGAAAGTAATTTCGTCTCGTCCGTCAACTATTCTTTCGTCGTTGTCCATATTTTGTGACATCGTCCATCACAGTCACAATGACTAGAGACTCTTCCCGAGATGGAGAGCGCATCATTGTCAGTTGGCTTCTTTGAATTTGATCAAATTGAATTTTGACACTGACTGGGATGGCAGTTAACAACATACCCCGGCCAAAGTGTTGTCAACCCGGTACCTTTAGAATGGGGCAAGATGAACCCCGAGGAGCGAGGGCCTGTTTTGGTTTCGCGGAATAAGAAGACTATCACCCACCGAAACGCCATCGGAGCGCATGGTGGAAGCTACTCAATCTATAATGCATTGGCCATTGCCGCAGGCGATCTTCCTCCAGATTTCAAGCCTAGCTTCGAGAACACCCAGCCTATCTTTAACTTTCCACCGCAGGCCGCCTGGGGAGATAAGACGAAGATTGTCGCCATGGACCCCTATGGTCACGACACAGTGAAGCATTTCAAGAAGCACCTCGATGATGGTCTAGACGTGCGCCCAACTATCGCCGTGACGCGAGCCACAATGCGTCTAGCCGAGATCACTGACTCTATCCGAGAAGGCCGATTGCAGGTTGATGGCGACATTGTCATCAGCAAGGAAGGCGATGTTCGCGTAACGAAAGCAGCAGTGGAGCCTGTGTGGTATCTTCCCGGAGTAGCTGAGAGATTCGGAATCGACGAAGGCACCCTCCGTCGCACACTCTTCGAGCAGTGCGGAGGAAGTTTCCCTGAATTGATCACTCGACCGGACATCAAAGTCTTTCTACCTCCGATTGGTGGTCTTACTGTTTATATCTTCGGTGCTCCTGAGAAGGTCTCAGATCCAAATGTGAAGCTCGCTCTTCGTATCCACGATGAGTGTAACGGATCAGATGTTTTCCAATCCGATATTTGCACATGTCGGCCTTACCTCGCCTTTGGTATTGAAGAAGCCATCAAGGAGGCTCAGAATGGCGGATCTGGTGTTGCCATCTATTTCCGGAAGGAAGGACGTGCTCTTGGCGAAGTCGTCAAGTATTTGGTTTACAACGCACGCAAACGTGGCGGCGATACGGCCGACAAGTACTTTGCCCGTACTGAGAATATTGCGGGTGTAAGAGATGTGAGTTGGTCCCTTGCTTGGACAAGTAGTGATCCAGAACTAATGACCTCAAGATGCGCTTCCAAGCTCTGATGCCCGATATTCTTCACTGGCTGGGCATCAAGAAGATCGACCGCATGCTTTCCATGTCCAATATGAAGCACGATGCAATTGTTGACTCAGGAATTCCCATCTTGGAGAGAATTCCTATTCCGGATCGTAAGTCAAGATATACTGAGCCGGAAAATTTTCAATTTGCTGATTTTGACCATAGATATGATTCCCTCCGATTCTCGGGTTGAGATCGATGCTAAGATTAATGCTGGTTATTTCACCACCGGCAAGAAGTACACTGATGAGGAACTTGCGCAGGTGAAAGGTCGGGGATGGCAAAACTGGGAAGATGTTGAACATTAAATAGATTAGTTCAGCGCTTATTCAACAAATATTGCATATTCGGGATCAACTCTGATAGTGCTTGGCCGTACTAATTCCTATTCTTTCACATATCACATTAACGTACCTCTAGTTCACTAGCTTATATCATAACAACTACATGACAAGAAGATCAATAATTGAGTATAGCCCTGTTTACCAAGCAAGTTCTGGCCTGCTCATACAAGTGGCCGCCTCTAGCTTCGAACAAAATTGCTCTTCTTCTTCCAGCTTCGCAGTCATTCCACCAGGGAATTTAGGGACAGCCGGCCATATCTCTTGACCTCCTTGTTGCTCTTCCTTCTTCCGATGCTTCATAACCATGTCCCGTACATTGTTTTGAAAGTGAATTGGTCCCTGTAATACACTCTTTAGTCAGGAGAATTGACATGGTGGCCAAAGGAGCTACATACCTTCTCCTTGCTCGGATGAAGTTCACCGTTGGTGAACACCCCACTGTTCAAATTCTCTTGTGTCCCAACGCAAAGCTCCTTATCCTCATCCAGAACCTGCCTATAGAAAGCATTGATATTCTCGAACTCTTCGTCAGTAGCATCTCGGTGTCGATAGACTTCGTTCTCCACTTTGCTCGTAGTGGCAGTTAGAGGAACCATTCGTTGGATATAAAAGAACTTATCCCTATCCAATCGTCAGCTCTGAACCAATAACCGGAAGTAATGTACCCACGTAACCGTGATAGACGTAGTAGGAAAAAAGTAAGTGATAGCCCTTTTAAACTGCGTGTCAATCTTCTCCTTATTGAAAATATGATGCTCCATATAGCCAGCCTTAGGTTCAACCCGGTACCGAGGTAGATCCGACACGCCACTAATAAGTGGATGAGAAGTCGCGCAATGATAGCACTCATTGTAATTCTCAATCAAGCCCTTCCAATTGGCATCGACATCCATCTCCCAATAATGGTCGAAAGTATATTCTCCAGCGAAATCGAAATCCTGCATTCTTGGTTGCTCATCGATGCGCTGGTACTCGTCTTCCCATTTCACGTCAGGATTTCCAGCTTGAAGGTTCACCCAGACGAAGCCGGCTTTGTCGATGTGGACGTGTATGGGGAGTAGACCCTGTTGACTTTTGTCGAATTCCGGGACCGTCTCGAAACGAGGTGCTTTTGCGAGGTTTCCTTTGAGGCCGTAGGACCATCCGTGGTATTTGCAGCTCAGGATTGAAGTGGAGCCGGATTGAGCTTGGATGACTGGGAATGCGCGGTGTCGGCATACATTATGGAATCCATTGATGTTCCCGTCGCGGTCTTGGATCAGGAAGAATGACAAGTTGGCGAGTGTGAATGAGAGAAAATCACCTGCTTTGGTGAACCGGCTAGAATGGGTCAAAAGGAGCCATCTTTTGGAGAAAATGGCGCGCCTTTCCAGCTGGTACATTGCTTCGGAGCGATACCATGATGCTGGAAGACCCCTTGGGGGTTGTTTCTCTGGGGCGTTTGAGGACCAACCGAACAGTCGCCACATTTCGAACTAAAACACGGGTCAATGAGCTCAATTGCTTTTCAAACCCCCATCTTCCATGCATTTTTTATGGCCTGATATATAGATACTGACAGGTGCGGGGAAGCTAGTAAACAATTTACTATCGCGAGTGGGGAACTGAAGATACTGATAAGCTTCCGTGACCTTTCCGGGTTCTTTGCACACGTTTCTATCAAGAATGGGGGAAGTGGGGGCTCATCACCACCCTCATATAATATTGTTAAACGACGAAGCTTTGATCTCTAATCAATAATGACTAATCTTTGTCTAAAGTCGAGACTCTACGATATCACCACCTTGTAAAGATTTCCAACAGCGATCCACCTGGTTCTTTGGGTTAGCATCATTTCAACAGTGTGATTGGAAGACGTACATCTGCAATATGATCATATCCTAAAAGCTTTGGTGCCAGGCCAGGGTCTCTCCAAGCCAAAGCTTCTCCTTCTGGTGTCGGCGTCATCTGCATCTTGGAATCTCTCTCTTGTTGTTCCGGTCCGTCGTGAAGGTGGTATAGATATTGCTGGATGTTACCTCGCTCGACTACCATTTTTGTTCGCTGTTTCCGACATTCTTGGAAGACTGCCAAAGCATGTCTCTTGGCATGCAGGAATTCAGGCGACGTTTTGCTGATATGGGGATTATCTGGGAGCCGAGAGAGACATTCGCCCAGAACAGCGCCATCTTCGAAGGCCATGCCAGCTCTGTTACTATTAGAAAGGCCTCATGAAATGACTAGGTAAACATACCCTGAAGCTAGATACGGCAGAGTTGCATGGACTGCGTCACCCAGCATCACCCATGCTCCGGATGGATGGGCCCAATTGAAGTCTCCGAATCGGATACATAGGCGCCATTTTTGTACAGACTGGCATAGCTTGAGTAGTTTTTGAATCCTGCCACCGTTAATATTGAATCTTCCCAAATGGTCATCAAAAGCAGAACCAACCTTGGGTCCCACCCTTGGAATAATGAGCACATCTCTTCCACATTTCCTTTGATGGTAGTGGCAAGAGATTCTTCAGGGATATCATCGGGCACGAGAAGAACCATATTGAATAGATCTCCCCCACGAAGCACGTAATTCACTATACAGTCAGAATGAGAATTAAAGGTAGTGTCAGAGAAACATACCTGCATGAGCATCAGGGCCAAGCCAATAATTCACCTGGGGGTCGTTCACAAACGGAGCCAACTCAGGATCTTTGCGCATCTCCTCTGTAGACAAAAGCAATCGATATGCCAGATCACCTGTCTTAACCGGCGGATCCTCACGCCCAAGCAATTCCTGCGTCAACTTTCCAAATACTCCATCGGCCCCAAGCACCAGATCTCCCTCCCACTCCCTTCCATCCGCAGCAACAGCCGTCGCAATTGCTCCATCCTCTCTCACACGAACATTTGTGATCCTTGCACTACATGTCATCTGCACACCCAATTCCAACGCTCTATTGACAAGACACCGCTGCAGATCCGCACGATGAAAATCCCGGTACCAAGTCCCAGGATAACCCTTTTCCGATTCGTGAAAATCCAAAGAAGAAATTGGATTTCCTTTCCACCCGATAAAGTTGCACACGCGTGGGAATGTCATATGCGGTGTGAGCGCCTCCTCCAGACCCCAGTGTTGAAGGACCCGTGAACTATTGGGTAGAACCTGGATGCCTGCACCAACTTCTTTGATCTCGGAGGTTGCTTCAAGGATGTGGACTTTGTGTCCAGCTAAAGCGCAGCTAATGGCTGAACCCAGTCCTGCGAGGCCTGCACCGACTACGAGAATATGTAGCTGGCAGGACTTCGAACGGGTCTGCTGTTGCTTGATGTGGATTCGAGGTGCCATAGTGAAGATGTAGACGGATTTCTATCTTGACTTTCTTGCGGTATCTACAACTTGAATGTATTAATGGAGTATTTAAGATCAAAGTGCTTGATGCGGAGCTTCTGGCAAAGATGGGGGTTAGTCGGTGTACTTACTGCCGATACCGATATCTACAAATAAGGTGTGAGGGGTCAAAAGAGGATTGCATAACATCTGTTCTTTTGATTTACTGTTGTGCCAGCTTAAACAATTCAATCATGTCGAAGGTATGTCAATTCCTAAATGCCGATATCCCAACTAATCGTCCAGTTTTCTCTCCAAGGACGCACCGCACTAGTAACGGGAGGCGCCCGAGGATGCGGCCTGGCCTTTGCGCGTGGACTGGCAGAAGCAGGCGCGAATGTCGCAATCTTCGACATTATACCACCCGATGAAGCATTCACATCAATTGAAAAAGACTGTTCCGTCAAGACCGCTTACTACAAGTGAGTAGCTCAATACTCTACCAAAATCTACCCAATAGCTAATTCAAGAAGAGTGGACGTTTCCTCCGAAGAATCCCTCCGAACCGGCTTTGAACAATTTCAAAAAGAATTCGATAACGCCCTTGACATATGCGTTCCCTGCGCTGGGATCAATCGCCATCTCCCGTTTCTAGAGTTCACCTATAAAGACCACCAAGACTTGCTCTCGATTAACGTGCTCGGACTATATTTTACGGCTCAGTTGGCAGCGAAGCAAATGATCGCCAATGGGACGCAACATGGCAGCATTGTTCTGGTAGCCAGTATGGCAAGCCATATAGCCGTGCGCAGTCAGTTGTGCAGCGCATACTGTGGGACAAAGGGCGCTGTTCGATCCATGTGTCCAGCGATCGCAAAAGAGCTAGCAGCATACGTGAGTGCCATAATGCCAATCGAAGGTCGCATACTGATTGATACAGAATATCCGAGTAAATTCCATTTCTCCAGGCTATGTACGGACCGAAATGACCGCATCTGTACGGAGAACCCCATCCTGAATATGTGAACACCGCTAATGGAATTGCTTTGGATAGTTCCCCCATCTTCTCGAGGGCTGGAAGTCGGAAGCGATGAATGGACGGATTGCCGAGCCGGAAGATATAATGGGGGCATGCGTGTTTCTAGCTAGTGACGCGAGCGCATACATGACGGGGCAGGATATCATTGTGGACGGGGGAGTGACCCGCTGGTAGCAGATACATATCAAGAGTGGGGGTTGTATCTTCTCCGCATCTGCCAAGCTGATTTATAACTCATGGCCACATAACAATGAAGAGCTCGATTTACAATCAATTTTATACCAATAAACTCGAAAAGATGGCTCCTGGTATAGACCATGAAGGATACAGCTTCGGCGAGCCTGTCAATGCGACGACAGTCGTTGTTGTCGGTGCAGGGCCGTCTGGTTTGATGCTCGCGTAAGTCACTTCCGAGCTAGCTTTCAAGCTGTTGTTGACTTTTCTTTTTCCAAAGATGCAATCTCGCTCGTTTTGGCATTGATGTCGTTATTCTTGACGATCGCCCTGATAAAACCTCCACTGGGAAGGCAGATGGCATGCAGCCCAAGACCATCGAAACATTCAAGCAAATGCGACTGGCAGAGCCGTTGCTGAAGAATGCAGCTCGTGTATATGATATTTCATTTTGGGTGAGTCTTTTTCAATTAGTGTTTGGATGACACTAACAAATGTAGCAATCCACAGCAGACGAGCCCCTCCGGCGAACAGGTCGTCAAACACATTATCCCGAGCATCTCGTTGGAGCATCCGACCCCTATATCCTCTTAGCTCACCAGGGAATGATTGAAGAGATTCTGATTGATGATATGGAGTCGCGAGGTGTATTCGTAACCCGAAATGCCCGCTTCTCGTCCTGTTCAACGACTGGACCAGGTCAGCTAGAGGTGGCATATGAAGACTTATCAACCAATACGATCAAAACCATCCGAGCTGAATATCTAGTCGGATGTGATGGTGCACGATCAAAAGTGCGAACGTTCATCCCGGATGCTGAGCTCGAGGGTGAGATGACCAACGCGTCATGGGGTGTTCTAGACGGTGTGATTGATACCGACTTCCCTGACCTGTGGAGCAAGGTAGCGGTTCGCACCCATACTGCTGGGTCGATACTCTGGATCCCTCGAGAACGCAACATGACACGATTGTATGTCGAACTCAGCGCGACCGATGGAGAGCGAGTGGACAAAGCGAAGGCCACAACCGAATATGTCATGCAGCGCGCAAAGGAGGCAATGCACCCATTCAAGCTTGAATGGAAGACAGTGGAATGGTTCGGAAACTACGTGGTCGGTCAACGAGTCGCGAAGCATTTTATGGATCCTGATGCCCGAATCTTCATCGCCGGTGACGTAAGTCTATCCAAATCATTCTAGTTGTACAATTCTAATGTTGAACCCAGGCCGGTCATTGTCACTCAGCTTTGGCAGCTCAAGGCGCCAACACAAGCATGCACGATAGTTTCAATCTGGCATGGAAGCTCAATCTCGTGATTCGAGGACTAGCCAAGCCATCTTTACTATCCACCTATGAGGAAGAGCGACGCAAGATTGCCAATGATTTGATCAATTTCGACGTGGAGCATTGCAAAGCTTTTGAACAAGGGGAAGCAGCGTTAGCAACTAATTTTAACGACAACATCCGATTCATCTCTGGCGTAGGAGCTGAGTACTCTACTGGCATGTTAAATCGGGCTAGCAATGGGCTATCTACACCTCTCCAGCCAGGTGAACTACAGCTTCCCGGCAAAGTAACAAGATACGTTGATGCGAATCCAGTGGATATTCAACTTGATATTCCTCTCCTGTGTCAATTCCGCATCTATCTTTTTGTTCCGGATGTTCCATCCTCGTTGAAGTTCTTGGCCACTCTTTCTGAAGACTTGGCCAATCTGAATGGGCTTGGAAAGCGATCTACTGGAGCAAAGCAGTCTTATATTAAGAAGCCCCTGGGACTGTCTCCGGCAGATGAGTTCATCTCGCCGCAAAGATATACTACTGTGTCAAATGTTTTTACCTACGCGATGGTGACTCAGTCTGCCAGATCAGACTTCGAGATTGCAGATTTGCCCAAGTTATTGCAGGACAGTCGGTGGACATTGTATCTTGATACAAATGCGACAGAAAGGTGGTTTGGAAAGCTGAAGAAGGAACAGGTTGGAGTCGCGATTGTGCGTCCAGATGGATATTGTGGAAGCATTGGCACATGGGGACTGGAAGAGGCAGATCAGACCAGAAGATGGATAGAAGAATACTTTGAGTTTATGCAGTGGTAAATAGACGGAAATTTATGATTTCTCTGAATATTATACACGATTCTACTAAACATATTTGCGTCTTTAAAATTGAAGCACTGATCATGAACATTGGGCATCCCTGCTGCCTCGGGTCTATGTACATTAAAGAACTGCCGCAAAGAGTTCGCCACTTGGAAGCCCAACGCCCCTGACAGAAGATCTGGTTTCCATAGACCCAGGCTAGTAAGCCTTAGCCAGCTAGAGTGGGGGGCTTAGATCCACGGACTAACATCCGCCATAGTGAATGGTGGGGGTCAAGCTACAGCTCAACCTCACAACAGAGCACCACATCCCACTATTATCCCACTTTCGTAGATCGTCAACAATGGGAGACCACACACCCCTTTCTCCAATTGTCTAGGTATTTAATAGCAGCGAGAACATCTACCGTAGAACTGCATAAATTTCAATTAAATTACCATCATACAAAATGGGATCAGTCGACACTATCGGGCCTCTTTTCCAACCTCTCCAATTGGGAGCATTTTCGCTCCAACACCGCGTTGTTCAGGCACCATGTACTCGTATGCGAGCTACCAAGGAGTCTGATGGCGTGTTTGTTCCAACCGATCTCAATGCCGAATACTATTCTCAGCGTGCTTCCGCCGGTGGATTGATGATCACAGAGGGAACTCCAATTAGTCGGCTGGTAAGTATCCAATCTTTCTTTCAGTGGGAGCTGTACTAAGAACAATGTTCAGGCCGCGGGGTATCCAGGTGTCCCTGGTATTTTTACAGCTTCTCAGATTGCCGGCTGGAAGAAGGTCACCGATGCCGTGCACGCTAAAGGTGGCTTGATTCTGTGCCAACTGTGGCACGTCGGTCGAGCTACTTGTCCCTCTTTTCTTGGTGGGGAGCAACCTATTGGTCCAAGCGATATTCCAATTAGTGGTAACGCGATGGATGGGACTGCATACGCCGCCTCGCCTCCGCGACCGATGACGGTGGAGGAGATTCAGGACGTTGTGAAGGAACATGGTGCAGCGGCGAAAAGGGCGATGGAGGCAGGATTTGATGGTGTGGAGATTCATGGTATGCATCAAAGGAAGACTTGACTAGTGAGTATGGAGTACTAATTGGGTCCAGCCGCGAATGGATATCTCCTCGACCAATTTCTCCATGATAACGTCAACACCCGCACCGATGACTACGGAGGCTCTATTGAAAAGCGATCCCGCCTCATTATTGAAACCATTAAGGAAGTCAGCGCCGCCGTCGGTGCCGATCGTGTCGGAATACGGTTGTCACCTTACAACTACTTCCAAGATACTCGTGATTCCAGTCCGAACTCAAACTGGCTCACTTTATGCTCCATGATCGCCAGCCTACCCACTGAGTCGAGGCCAGCGTACGTACACATGGTCGAGCCCAGATTCGACGAAGTGCTAGATGAGAGCGCCAAGATTGACTCTTTATGCGTGGAGAAACCATCCTTGGATGTATTCCGACCGACTCTGAAGAAGGGTAGTGTCGCACTCCTGGCGGCCGGAAACTTCAATACAGAGAATGCGGGCCCGAAGATTCTCAATGATGGTGCGGATGCGGTGGTCTTTGGTCGTTATTTTATCTCCAATCCCGACCTGCCTAAACGACTGAAGGAGGGACTGCCATTGAATCCGTATGATCGCAGTACCTTCTACGGGGCTGATCCTGCTGAGAAGGGGTATACCGACTACCCTTTCTACAGTAAATAGAGTGTGGGAGAACTTTGTAAGCAAACAAGTATACATTTCAGATTCAAGACTATCAAGTCAAGCAATACAAATCAATTTTATGACAAGCTTAGAAGAACCTTCATTGCATCGTGCACTACTGCCCACCGAACCGTTGCCAACTGTTGTGCCATGGCTGCTGCCAATGGCTTAGGATCATACTTCCCGGATAACGCAGCCAACTCCGTCTCGCTCGGACAATTGGTCATCATCACAATCAATGAAGACAAATCCGTAGTAATCCGAGGTTCTGAGCAAGAAAGATCCATTCCACGATGGAATACCCAGCAAGTCAACGTGGTCAGGTACAAACACCAAGGGAAATGAAAAGCATCCGTCTGGTCCCAGTCATGAAGACTAAGTACAGCATCCTGAAGTAGGCTCGAGGAATGCCGCGCTGCAGCCCAAGATGCACCCGAATCTTCGTGTAGCCAGCGAAGAATATTGCGCTGAGATCGCGACTGATCCGCTGCGGTCACAGTCCGCCCGAGAATATTGGTTGCACCAGCAACGATCTGCAAATCTAAAATCTCGACATTCAAAGCAAGACACGCCGCATGGTAAAGAGCATGTGACGCCACTTTCAGTCCGGTGAAGCGGCGTTGATCGGCTGTCTGAGCTAATTTCATGGACAAACAATCCGCGTCAAAGTCTACTTTCCAGAGATCATATGACCGGCTCATGCGAGGGATCCAGGCTCCGACTTTTTCTGGGGTCTCTGATCGAAGCGTGGTCTGATCCCGGCGTTTCAGATCGGCTGATACGGACATTAAGCCGTGCAAAATCACCGAGCGAGCAAACACATTCAGGTCGCGAGGACGCGGTAGAGCTCCCGGAGTGATATAACCCTTGAGGACCGTGAGAAAAGGCCGATTTGTTTCACGAGCGGCTATATTGGCCCACTCCCGAGCTGATGATGCCTCCCATGCGGCACTACTGCATGGCAATGATGATCTGATCTCGAAAGCGGACATACACAAGGACTGCGAGAATAGAACTGCGTGCTGAGTATCCCACATAAAGCAATGCATGGCCAGACGCTTCCTCTGCTCGAGGTTCATGGTTTGTCTCCATGCATGCTCCAGATCATCCGACTGAGCTAGGGGTGAGTCTTGAATGCTACAGCAAGTGCTGCGACGGATAAGTTTGATGAGGACGCAGTGGAAGAGTTGAGCATTCTCCCGCTGCTTTGGACCCGCTCTCATTTTTCCAAAACAGTCAATAAGGAGCATGGTTTGCAAGACCCAGAGATCAGGCTGGGGCGAAAAGCCTGGATGCCCCAGAAGTTGGATTCGGAGGTTGTCATGAACTCCTACTGCCAGCTGGTGTGCTTCGCGTGAGCCGTAAGTGGCACCCATGAACAGAATGGCTGCAAGCAAAATTGGATCGGAGGTGCTTGGGTTGAAGGTTTGCTGATGAACCAGGGGGTATGTAACATTGAAGCGGGTGAAGAATAGATCGCAATAGTTTTGCAACGCGCTCAATGTAAGTAATGGCGAATTCAGAGCCATCGGCTGCCCATCAATACCCATGGGGTGCGTTTGAGCTACTATAGACAAAATACCCGTTCTGGCATCTTCTGAAAGCCGTGGTAAGTGTTGAGGCGGATTCGACCCCAGATAAGACGATCCAGTCATCCAGTCCATCTCTACCAAATCTGGTCCAACCGAAGGCAGCGTTTCTTGTAACGTTTGAATCCTGTCCATCATCGAAGCTACCTCCAATAAAGCAGATGGACCATCGTTTTTGCCCAAATTTTGCGCCTGGACTTGTTCCATGCTATCCGCAAATGGACCCGTTTCGAATCCCAATGGAAAGTCAAAATGGTGAAAGGCGTCATCTAGAGAGGCGACGTCGAATAGCCAATTATAATTGCAAGTTGCAGCAAATGGTAGATTGAAATCGGTCGCTATACTGATCAGTTGCGACCAAGACTGTAGGGACCAAAGCTCATACCTGTGTCCATACCAAACAAATCACCCATGCCATCGCCAACATTAAATGAACCGTCGGCTGCATCAAATTGTCCAGGAACAGGCTCAACATACGGCTCAAAAGGCCCTCCAGGCATCATGGGAGCCAGGAAAGGATCATTCTCGTCGATTGAGAGCGTGGTAAGATCTGTCCCAGAACCAGGAGGTGATAGAGGAGCATGATTGGTGAAGTCCTCTTCTCCCTCCGTCCACCCCCGATCTGAACTAGCAATTGAGATTGAAGATCTTACGGCCGATCGAATCTCTCGTTGCGATGGACGCACAACAATGGTTCCGTCGCCAGCTCTCCGGGTTCGTTTGCGTGTCTTCAATACACCGAGTCCCGGTCCACCTGCCTCCGCGTCTCGTTTATTATGCCGTTCCATATGCCGTTCTGGAAAATTAGTGCTTTTTCACACATGAAATCAATCAATGCTTTTTTACCTAGCAAATCTGGTCGCTGAAAATGCACAGAGCAGCGCTCACAGGTGAATCCATGTCGCGGCTGTTCGTGATTAAGCGCATGTCGACGCAGATGCTCGGCGCGGGTGAAACTTTTGGTGCAACTGGGATGCTGACAAGCGTGATTCTTCATTTTGAAAACAAATGCATGACGAAAATGAAGTTCAGTCGTTGCAGCTCTGGGGTGGGGGTAATAGCGTCGGAGTAAAGCCCGAGTGACTGATAAGAATGCGGGGGACAGCTGATGATTGGTGTAGCTTCATGCATGCTTGCTATCTTGTCGTACAATGATTGACCAATGAGATGATCCATTTAATCAAGTTAACAAGTACCTTTATCGTGCTAAGTATCCCGCAATATAGTCACGTCGTGTACACTGCTACTATAGCCTTCCATATTTGAATGAATAGAGTTGCTGTTTCAAGCCCTAATCACATGATTCTCTAAAAAGTGTAATGATTGAACACTACAAAATTTAGATTGACCTGGGCATATTAAGCGTAGCACGGTGAGTTCTATTCAAGAAAAAGCCTATCTGAAGTATCAAAGAGCAAATGGCCTCGCTTTCTTTGAGCCAAGATAGAGAGAACGCTTCGTTCGAGCCGGGACATACATATCACACTAACATTTCATAGGCAAGAAAGGAGGTTGACTACCAAGCGTCACTCAAGCCTTCACATCCCTGGGTATTCTAGTGTGAGGAAGTAGGCACAGGGTTATGTCCTCGATAATTTTACTATTCTGAATCTCGGATACTGCGCCCTGCTTAATACGGCTAATGAGGTGTGCAACAAGCTGAGGTGCTCAATTATAGACGCGCTTCTCTAAATTAAAATGAGTAAGGGTAAACAACTTATACTGAGTCTACATTATCAGGTAATGATACCAGGCATTTGATAATACAAGTATGAGAATATATGAAACTAGATTAGAAGCCTAGGACTTCCGGATTTCCTAAGGTTCCAGGTAATCCATTGTACCTAATCTTTGCCAAGCCAGTGTTTGTGGCTGGTCAGAGTCTGGGTGAACGACACAAGATTCCCGAATACTGATACTATTTGACCTTCTTCAGAATACCTTTTAGCCGCGTCACGAGAAATCTTCTTGTTGATTTGCCGCTCGATTTTGACTCTTGATCTGGTGATGATTGATTTATCGTCGCCGTAAATGCGTTTCCGTTATCAGAGATCACCTGCGAAGTCTTGATCTCTTGCTCGAAGTGACTTCGCTCTTCACCGTCAGCGACGGGATCTTCATCAGAATATACATACGCCTGCTCTGTTTCAGATATCTTGGACAGATCCTCGTAGAAATCAGCAAGTAACATCTCCGAAAGCGTTCTGTCGGGGTGGTCCTCTGCGAGCGCTTCTGCTTGTATATTGACAACACGCTCTAGCAGCTTAACCGCCTGCTTGACCTGATCGTTTGTGTGGTATGCTCTAGCGAGCGCGTGCTCTGACGCTAGTCGATCGGGATGGTCCTCTGCGAGCACTTCTGCTTCTATTCTGACAACACGCTCTAGCAGCTTAACCGCCTGCTTGACCTGATCGTTTGTGTGGTATGCTCTAGCGAGCGCGTGCTCTGACGCTAGTCGATCGGGATGGTCCTCTGCGAGCACTTCTGCTTCTATTCTGACAACACGCTCTAGCAGCTTAACCGCCTCCTTGACCTGACCGTTTGTGCGGTATGCTCCAGCGAGCGCGTGCTCTGACGCTAGTCGATCGGGATGGTCCTCTGCGAGCACTTCTGCTTCTATTTTGATAATATGCTCTAGCAGTTTGACCGCCTCCTTGACTTGTCCGTTTGCGTGGTATGCTTCAGCGAGCGCGTGCTCTGACGCTAGTCGTGAGGGATGGTCCTCTGCGAGCACTTCTGCTTCTATTTTGACAATATGCTCTAGCAGTTTGACCGCCTGCTTGACCTGGCCATTTGCGTGGTATGCTCGAGCAAGCTCGTGTTCCGACGCTAGTCGTGAGGGATGGTCCTCTGCGAGCACTTCTGCTTTTATTTTGACAATACGCTCTAGCAGTTTGACCGCCTCCTTGACCTGACCGTTTGTGTGGTATGCTCTAGCGAGCGCGTGCTCTGACGCTAGTCGTGAGGGATGGTCCTCTGCGAGCACTTCTGCTTCTATTTTGACAATATGCTCTAGCAGTTTGACCGCCTCCTTGACTTGTCCGTTTCCTTGGTATGCCACAGCGAGCACGTGTTCCGACGCTAGTCGATCGGGATGGTCCTCTGCGAGCACTTCTGCTTCTATTTTGACAATATGCTCTAGCAGTTTGACCGCCTCCTTGACTTGTCCGTTTCCTTGGTATGCCACAGCGAGCACGTGCTGTGATAATAGGCGATCCCCGTCATCTTGAGCAAGATTCGTATCCCTCCACTCGCAAGATTCCCGTGCCCATAAAACCGCTTCTTTCATCCGCCCATCCACGTATAAGCACCGTCCCACCTTCAGACGGAGCTCGCTCATCTCTTCGGTGTCTTGATATTGCTCATCTTTCTCCAAAAGTGCCACATGTGGCAGGTAATCCCGCCATGTCTCGCGGTTTGTGTAGTCGTCAGAAGGGAAGACTTCCGAGAGGTGTGTCAATGCCGCCATTCTCGTTTCTACTTCATGGCCGCTCTGATTAACCCACATCCTGGTCGCCAAATGCACTAATCTATGCATATCGAGCTTAGTGCCACCATCTCGTCTCTGGAGGAACGAGTAGGAGCAGAGTGTGCCAATAGCCCCTACCAACCGTGCTTCGGGATCAGCTGGTGGTAAAATGGAGTAAGGGATAGCTCTCCATTCGATGCAAGATATAAATGCGAGGGTATCTGCTGCTAATGTGTCTTGTTCGAGAATCTTATTAAACGTTATCGTCCACGTTTTAGCGATCGCATTTCCTAAGTTCTGATATCGTGTCTTATCGCCAAAATCCGTGCTCATGATAGCAAGAGCATCATGCTCTGTGTTCTTAAAAAGCCGCAAATACTCGGAGATGGAGCTCTTGTTCACGTTGATATATGCTGCGGCCTGAGTAATAGCCAACGGAAGATATTCCAGCTCTGTGAGAAGACTCATTACAGTCTCGGGGCTGTGAGGACTCTTTCGAACCAACGACTTCTCCAACAAGTCAATCGTCTCCTCCTTTGACATCCTTTCTATCTCAACCACATCGCTGCCTGCCAGGTGCTGCGCTACGCTTCCATGTCGCGTTGTGAATATGGTCAAGCCATCATCGCCGTCTGGTAGAAAGGCCAGCAAGCCGTCTGTCTGGTGGTTTCCAAGAAGCAATTCAAGGTCATCAGCATTGTCGATAATTAATAACCATTTTCCAGCTGTCTTTCCGCATAGCCATTGCCGTACAAGAATTTTCACGTCTTCTTTGCTCTGCTGTTCCTGATTTATCCTCAATGCTCTTGCTATTTCCAAGCAGCCCTGCTCAAAAGTCTCCACACTCAACGATTGTACCCAAAAGATAGAGAACTCTGGATATTTTTCCCTGACATGATATGCGAACTGTAGTGCGATTTGTGTCTTGCCGATGCCACCAAGGCCGCTGAGCGCCACCTTTTGGCAATCTTTATTGACAAGGAGCTTTTGTTCCAGCGTATTGAGCTCTGTACTTCGACCAATAAACTGGCGGTTACGGAGCAAGGGGAGGTAGAAGCTACGCATCGGCTCTACAACGCGTGAGTCTTTTTTCTGAATTTCGGCTGTGGTAGCTCTACTTACCACGTAGTGCTTCATCGACCCTTTTTGTGTTAGTTGCATCCGCCGCTGGTATCACTCCTAGCAGCTCTCTGGTGTACGCCGCTGCTGTTCCTGCCGCGTAAGGCTGCCATGTCTTGTTTTTGTGGGAATCAGCGTAGTCACAAATTCCGCGGATCACCAAGCAGGGGAAATCATTCATTAGGCCAGCCGCCTCCATTTCAAAGCAGAGAATTCCTCCAAATTCAGAGCTGATCTTGTCCCGCTCTATACCATCCCTCATCACCTGATTTCCCGAAGCGATGGTACCATAGTGAATCATGGGTGCATTGTTCGCCCGCTCGTTCCTACGCATTCTTCTCGCGGCCGCGCATGACGCACAGCTATGCTCTCCAACATGATTGTACTCTGCTTCGAACAGCACGTCGATTCCAGCTTGATCGCGGTTGAACTTGGGGAGGTGACTAAGCCTCGACAGGTGCGGCACCAAACTACTTCTCCCACGGTCTAGGTTGGATCGAAGCTTCGTAATAGCGGCGAGGAGGATTGGGGGTGGGGCGTTGAGAAATCCCGTCCGCTTGAACCCGTTTGGCGTTGACTTTCCAAAGTCGTACTGTACTACCCCGCCATGACCGTTGACTGGCTGGCTGACAACGATGTCGCCGAGCCGAACATCTGCCCCCTTACTTGGAACACCGCCTCCGATTCCTACCATCAGCCCAAAGCGAATGGCTGGGAACGTGGTCTTCATCTGGATAGCGACTGCCACAGCAGAGTTTGTACCCATCTGGCCGGCGGGCAAACACGCCAGGACGACATTATGGGTCCCTATGCTCCCCAGCGTGTATATATTTGAATCGTTGCTATTAGGAGGGATATCTTGATGTTCTTCGTCAAGCATCTCCTGTGCTGCGGTGAACTCGTCTGACAAGGCGCACACCCACCCGACTGTGTACTCGTCACGACTGAGGCGGCGCGCCATCTTGCTTAGATATTAGCTTAACAGGTCATGAGCTCGCGGTAGGCTCGAGTATAACGACTGGCATCAGGTGCGATAGGTCCTCGTCAGCTTGAATACGAGGTTCAGCGCTTTACGCCAGTCGGGCGCAAGCGCCCACTCGCGCCTACGTGGCTATCTAAAAAAAGGAATAAGGCTATGCTGCTGCATATGTCACGTGTCATCGAATCGAGTCAATTGCAATTCCCGCAGAGTAACGCCACAAGAAAACCTCATGTAATAAGGATTTGAAAGAGTGCCTCTCTTTCATAACATGGAATTCAATAATTGCCGCCACTATAGCCTTGAAGGTACATGAAGGTAAAGGTAAAATGATATGTCGCATAATATCAATACAAAATTAAAGAAAATACCGCCATTCTAGACTATGAACCCCGTCTCTAAGATGACTAGTATCAATCTCGTCTTCTCGTAATCTATGACCCTGTTCTCGGTCGCGACGGTGATTCTCAGATCGCATCCATAGCCCCAATCCCGTCACAAATAGAATACATACACCATTACAGCAGCAAGTAGCTACTAGGGTAGGTATGTATCTAGCAAAAGTTAGCAACTACAAAGATCTCTTGAATCTACGAAACCTACTTAGGCGCATATTCTGTCCGAAAGGTGGCTGCACTCAAAACACCCGCCAAGTTACCTAACCCGACGAAGAAACCTGTGTTGGCTGCTCGAGAGTTCTCGTTAACATTGTTGTTATTATGCCAAGCATGCACAAGACATGATGGGATATAAGAGCCCGCTGCCATCAAAAAGCAGGCAAAATAGGCTATTCCCTTGTTGTTTAAAACGTCAATGGCAGCCAAGATTACCATTCCAACTAGCGAAATGGTCAAGGAGAACACAATATGAAATGTTCTTTCGCGAAAAGAATCAGACGATTTTGCAACACACAGTAACACCACTGCTCCGACAAGGTTTGGTGCTACTGTCCACAAGTTGGTCTTGACGGTGGAGAAACCCAGGCGCTCAACGATCTGCACCATTTAGATGTGCCTCTAAAGAAGATAATGGGCTACTCACCAAAGGGGAAAAGTTCATTGCAGTTGCGTAGGCAACAGGGTAGGTGAATGTAATGACACACCACACAGGAAATTGCCAGTTATTCCACGTCTGCCGACAAGCCTTCCAGTTGAAACTCGTAGACACCTCCGAGGATGAATCACGAAGCATTCGAGCCGTTGCTGCTTTTCTCTCTCGGTCATCCAAGAACCAGGCTTTCTGTGGAGTATCCGGTAGCAAAAGGAACCCCAGAATGCCAGCAATCAAGGTCATGCTGCCTTCAATTATGAATAACCACTGCCATCCCTTCACCGCCGAGTTGTTGATTTGAAACACCCCGAACGAGATGAGTCCACTGAAAGCAGAGGCTAATACAGCAAAAGATTGCATGATCGCCAGCCGGAATCCCATCTCCCCGCGGGTATAGAATAGTGTCATGTAAAATGTGGCGCCTGCGAAGAATCCGGCCTCAAAGACACCCAGGATTATTCGAATCGAGAGAAGGGATCCAAAGTTCTTGGCTGCACATTGGCAGAGAGCTAGGATTCCCCAGACGACTGACACTTTATGAAAATGTGTGGTTAGCATTTTTACTGTGTTTTGATATAGTGGACTAACTTGATGAAAGCATTATTCGGCCAGAATAGCGTTTGATCAGGAGATTCCATGGTAGGTCAAACAAGCCAAAGGGAATATAGAAGAGTAAGATGAGGAGTGAATAATCATTCCCTTGGAAATGTAGATCCTCGTCGAGCCCGTCTGTTTTGGCATTGGCTAAATTGCTCTGATTCTGTTAGTACTAGAATCGACAAGGTATCTCAGTACTTACTCGGTCCATGCAGTCAAAAAAGTACATCTACAGCCGTCAGTTGTTGTCATTCTTAGAAGTAGTCAAATTTCCTCACCAAGCAAAGCAGGGGTAACACCCAGAAATCGACTTTCTTACGATACATCTTTTCAGCCTCGGTGTCAACATCGACAGCGCTCTCCCCCAGATCGACTTTAGTCTCAGATTCACCCATGATCTCCGCTTTTATATGGCCAGCCATGTTGATATAAATTCATTATTTGGGTTCAAAGTCGCGCGGGCTGGTTTTACGCGCTTTATATACCCCTTGCATACCTCAGCAATATTCTCGACGGTTCAAGTTGTACCTCCATGTACCCTCCGTACAGCAGAGCTATAGGGAGCTCAACACATGAAAGCAAGCAACCAATCAGCTGCTCCCGAGATAACAAAGCCGGCCCTTTTGACCAACTTTCCCGCTTCCCCGCAGATCATCTTATCGCGTGGAGTTGGTGATTATCCCCCATCTTTGACAAACCCCCACCTTCAGTTTCTGGTCTCGAGGTTCACAGATTTGCGATTCAATGGCAGTAATTCGGCATTCTGTCCGATCTAGTGGCTTCTATGAGGGGTCATTGGGACTCTTTGAGGATATATTCAAATCAAACGTGTTCAACAAGTTAAGACGCGAATAACACAACACGACACTATCGAATATCCCCAACATGTCGATCGCATCCGCTCCCCCAATTCTGGACTTCTCCCCAATCTACGGAGAAGATGGCGAAGCAAAGACCAGATTGGTAGAGGAAGTTCGCAAGTGCTGTCACTATAACGGCTTCTTCCAAATTACTGGCCATCGCGTACCAATCGAACTACAACGACGCGTCATGAACTGCTCGAAGAGATTCTTCGACCTGCCTCTGGAAGAGAAGCTAAAGATCGACAAAAGTGAGCAGATACTTCATTATCTTAGTCTTCGTATAACTAACATCGCAGACCTTAACTCTTTCAATCGCGGTTACGAACTCCTCCGATCACAAATGTTGGAAGTGGGCACCGGTCCCGAGCTAAAAGAAGGACTCTACATTGGCGAAGAAATCCCCGAGGACCATCCCTACTTCCTGCAGAAGAAATTGAACAGCGGTCCGAACCAGTGGCCGCAGTCGGTCCCGGATACCGAAGAATTCCAGAAAACAACAATGGAATACTACCACGCGGTATTCGAACTGGCAAAAGACGTCCTTGCCGTTTTGGCATTGACTCTCGGTGTTGAATCCAGCTACTTCGACCCCCTTACCGCCGGAGCCGTCGCGACAATGCGATTCCTACACTATCCCGCGCAACCCAAAGACGAGGACGAGAGATTGAACCGGGGGATTGGAGCGCACACGGACTTTGGCTGCGTCACTTTACTGCTACAAGACGAGGTGGATGGTCTCCAGGTTTTGGACGCTCCTACCGGAGAATGGCTTGATGTAAGTCAATTTGATTCCTGCATATTTCAGATGCCCAATACTGACGGATCCAGGTGAAACCCGTCCCCGGAGCTTATGTGGTGAATTTGGGAAACCTCTTCATGCGCATGGCCAATGATAAATACAAATCCAATACTCATCGAGTGATCAATAAGTCTGGCAAGGAGAGGTACTCGATTCCGTTTTTCTTCAGCGGGAATCCGGATTACCTGTGCGAGTGCTTGCCGAATTGTCGCGAGGCGGGCGAGGATGCAAAATATCCGGCTATCACTGTTCAGGATATGGTTACTGCTTCGTATAAGGAGAGCTATGGTCGGGCGGAGAATTACAAGAAAGAAATGGAAGCGAAGAAGATGGATTTGCCTGCTGTTGCTGCGGTTGGTGCGTAGACGGGTATTGTATAGTGAAGCTTTTCGATATATCTACTTTCGATGTATCGACTTTCTACGTATATACTGTGCGCTAAGTATGATACCAATTAACCGACTCTTCTTTCTCTAGCGCTATTTCATATATCATCAGAGGAACTTTTGCTCAATGTAGACTATAATAATCCCCAACCTCCAACATGTCAACATGTACACGAATAGCTCCAGTCCTGGTCCAAGCTCCAGAATGCTCTACCCCTAGCTCTCCCAATACACCAAAAGTGGGGGGTCAGGCCATCATATCGCATTCGCCCACCCTTGTTATCGATCTAAGCAGCTGTATTGCTCTACTCGATTGGTCGATACGAAATGTCAGCATAGCTTCCAGCCCTACCCCGTACTGGGGACGGAGTATATGAATCGACCTGTTCTAGAGAAAGTACAGAAGAAGTCCTCCATCAAATCCACAATGGACAAAATACATTCTGAAAAGAAGAGCTCTCCAAGGCCGGAGGATCAGAGCGATGAAGGAACGGGAAAGGTCATTCCCCTTGATGACAGCGAAGTTGAGCAGTTCTACGGCTCTTCAACCACGCAGTCGTACCGGCTCAAATCGGAACTGGTGGGTAAATGCATGGAAGAGATTGGTATGGGAAGGTAAGCTTATAACTACATTCCTGGTAAATCGATCTTGACGATGTCAGGTTCCAATGGAAACTCTTCGTGATTACCGGATTTGGCTGGATCGTGGACAACGTATGTGCTTCACCTCCCCTTTTTGAGTCTTTACAGCGACTGAACTTTCTTGCCATCTAGTTCGCCTCACAAGGCATCGGCAGCGTGCAACCTCCCATCGAGCAAGAATTCTCCGATATCACCAAAATCAGCTACAGTTCTGTTGCTTATTACGTCGGTCTTATCATTGGCGCCTCGTTCTGGGGTCTCTCTAGCGACTTGATCGGTCGTAAACCCGCATTCAACTGCACACTCCTTATTGCAGGTATATTCCTCTGTGCAACGGCCGGAGCGACGAACTTTGTCGCATTCAGTGCTTTCTGGGCTGTCATCGGTACTGCAGCCGGAGGGAATGTACCTGTAGATTCGATGATATTCTTGGAGTTTGTCCCTGGAAGGTGAGATTGCATTGCTACGTGCATTTCGCAGTACTGATTGTTCACAGTCATCAATACCTGCTCACTGCTCTTTCTGCGTGGTGGAATCTGGGTCAATTGATCGTCTCCCTACTTGCATGGGTATTTCTGGCCAATTTCAGCTGTCCGACAGATGCAACTCCAGCAACATGCTCTCGAAGCGAGAATATGGGTTGGTATGTACAACTCCTTCACCCTTTTCACGTGCTCAATCTTCTAATACTTCATTCAGGAGGTACACGATGATTACACTTGGAGGCCTCTCCCTCGCTTTCACCTTTATTCGCATGTTCCTCTTCAAGCTACCCGAGACCCCCAGATACCTCCTATCCCAGGGACGAGATCAGGATGCCGTCGATGCCGTGAACTACGTCGCAAAACAAAACGGTAAACCCGAGCCACTCACAATAGGCATGCTCCGCGAGATCGATGCCCGATTAGGCCTAATAGTCAACGAAGAGGAAGTGCGCACAAAACTTTCCGTCAAAGAGATCGTTTCCGAGAACATGGAAGCCTTCACAGGCAAGCACTACCGTGGCCTTTTCGCAACACGGAAACTCGCACGGCAAACTATTGTGATTTGGGCTGTGTGGCTAACTGTTGGTAAGTCACTCCACCTTCAATGGGCCTAGCACAATAATAACATTTGTTCCAGGCATTGCGTATCCACTATACTTCAATTTTCTGCCGTCGTACCTTGCTACAAAGTTCACTTCGGATTCCTCCCTCTACCTCACGTACCGCAATTACTGCATCGAATCAGCCGTTGGAATCGTCGGTCCCCTATCCGCTGCTATATCGGTGAATACCCGTTTAGGTCGACGCTGGATGATGGGTATATCGGCAGTAGTCACGGCCGTTTTCCTATTTGCCTATGTAGGCGTCAGCAACCCGACCTCCAGCTTGGCGTTCTCTTGTATCACCGTTCTTCTAGCCAATTTCGGTGAGTCCTCAACAGATAGTTTATCTCGGTAGGAACTCACAAGTATCGACAGAATATGCGATCATGTATGCATTTACGCCCGAGTCATTCCCCGCTCCTCACCGTGGAACTGGAGTAGGCACTGCTGCTGCGTTGCTGCGGTTCGGAGGTCTTGTGGCTAGTTTGATCTCGTCACAGACGGGATTCACCAGTGCACCCATTTATGCTAGTGCTGCTCTGTGGGTTCTTGTTGGTGTTTATTGTCTTGGTATACCGTATGAGACACATGGACATGATGCCTTGTAGGTTCTGTGCTAAGAGTATGTATTTGACTTACTGTATCTGGAGTTTGAGTGTACTGTTACTAGACAAGTTGTATTGCAGAAATATGGAATTGTATGTTATTTTTGGGATGAACTGCAAGAGTGTAGGCATCTAGATAATGTATTGTTATGGTCCACAGCACAATCCCAGTAATTCAAGGAATAAAGCAACAAAGATTTGCTATGGAGTTTTAAACATAATGATGGTTTTGGTCTAAGTCTCTGTCTACAAGCTTAGGGAATGGTAAATGTCTTTTCACGACTTTTTGGGAAATCATTAAGGAGTAAACGTTTTGGGTGGTCATGCTCAGGTGGATTTCAACAGCTTCAAATTTTGCATCAAACAGCCTGGAAGAAGAAATCTGTTCAAGTAGAAAAAAATAAAAGGGCTCAAAGAGAATGATTGACAAGGCAGAAAATAGGGGGAAAGAAAGAGTATGATTTACTATGGATACTGGTTCAAGCTCCAGGCCCGATCTCTGTACATTGACTTGACCTACGTCTTGCTTCTCTTTATGTTTTCTGGGGTGATCCCTATTTCTCTTCTCCGTAATGCTATTAACACCCTTCCCTCTGCATGTTTGCTTCTCTTCCATTCTAGCCTTGGTGCTATTGCCATCTACCTTTCCACTTCCCCTTTCACCCATACGCACCTACTCCTCGCACCCTCAAGACCATTTCCACTCTTTTGTTTTACTTTGCCATTCAAACTTTCCATTAACATATTCACGTTTTACCTTGCCGTAGAAGGCTATGCTCTAGCCCTTAGTCGGGTCATCACATGCATCAATGGCCTTTCGGGATGAACGTGATTGATCTACCCGGGCAGGATGTACAGTTCAGCGAAACGTCCTCATTGGGTGGACTTTCAATTTTTTAATTATTTATTCTACATTTTCTAGGCACCAGGAGAAAACATGTGCGCTATCAAAAGACACTATGTAACTCTGGGTTTTGTGGGCCAACGATATATAATGGTAACATGCAGCTCCTTGGCATGCTTGTCTCTACTGAGCCTGGAACTATTTGGGATTCAGAAGGTATACATGAGAATTAAAGTTCCAAAGTTTGAACCTTCGCGTGCATGGTTGAACCGCAACTCAACCACGGAGCATTCTGACATCGCGGGAAGCTTATTCGAGATGACATATTTGTGGTCGTTGATGTCAACGGTACGTATGATAACGTAGAATCACATCCGAACCAAGCGCAATTCGCGTGCGAGTAATTCATTTTGAGCAGCAATACTCCTGATTGCCGAGCAGATCTGCCAAAACAGCGGGATATGCATGCGTGCTGCACCAACCCCCACCCTTGATATAGCGATCTCAATAATGGGGGAAGCTCGATAGCCGACACGCAACCCCTCATCCCCTCTTTCAAGGTTATCTGAAATGCCCCCGAATTCTACTATTTAACCCAATTGCTGTTACAATTACCTATAAACCCCTATTTCTCTTATCTCCAATCTCTCACCCGCGATCACGGCTGTAGAACGGTCAAAATGGGCAAAAAGCGCGTTCTGGTCGGATACGGCGTCGACATCGACGCAGTAGCCGGATGGCTAGGCTCATACGGCGGCGAAGACAGCGTCAATGATATCAGTCGAGGTACATAGCCAACCTCCAACACCAAACTTAAAACTAACCCGGCATAGGACTCTGGGCCGGCCACATCGGCACAACCCGACTCCTCAAGCTCTTCTCCAAATACAACATCAAAGCCACCTGGTTTATCCCGGGCCACTCATTGGAGACGTTCCCGGAAGAATGCGCGCAAGTGCGCGACCAAGGGCACGAGATTGGACTCCACGGGTATACGCACGAGAACCCAACCTGCATGACCGAGGAACAGCAGCGTGACATCCTAGATAAGACCTATAAACTACTTACCGATTTCTGCGGAAAGCCACCCCGAGGGATTGTCGCGCCATGGTGGGAAGCCAGCTCGGAGATGGTCGATCAGTTACTAGCATATGGAATCGAGTATGACCACTCGATGTCGCATGAGGATTGCCAGATGTATTGGTTGCGCACGGGGGATACCTGGACGAAGATCGATTACAGTCAAAAGGCGGAGACATGGATGAAACCGCTGGAGCGGGGAAAGACGACGGGACTGGTTGAGATCCCTGGGAGTTGGTACATTGATGATTTGCCGCCGATGATGTTTATTAAGAATTCGGCGAATAGTCATGGGTGGGTGAATCCGAGGGACGTGGAGGATATTTGGAAGGTAACTTAGGACCCCAGGGCTTACTTGATTTGTCACGGCATGGATGGACTGACTTGTTTAGGATCATTTTGATTATTTCTACCGCGAGTACGATGAGTTCGTCTTCCCGATGACGATCCATCCGGATGTCTCTGGCCGGCCGCATGTGTTACTTATGCACGAAAGGTAAGACGAGGGGTAGAAAGCCGAGGCAACATGAGCTGATGCAGTACAGGATTATTGAATATATCAACCAGCACGAAGGAGTGGAGTGGGTGACATTTGAACAGATGTGCGATGAGTTTAAGAGCAAGAATCAGCCACCCGAAGGTGCAGTGATGCCGGCGGCACCGGGAAGTATTCTCAAAGACTGACGGGTGTATCTGGGTATGACACTAGGTAGCTCTTATTGTGATCACAACTGACAGTGAATCAAATGGCATACATTGGTAGATGTTATTGTAGCATTGTGTTCTTGACCCACTAGATTAGGTTTACCCTTTGGTTCTGGCCTTCTGATTGGTCGCGGAAGCGATTCCTCAGAATCCGACCTTTCCACGGGCATCATCGTGACTACTGTACCGTGATCGAGACTACTGTAGTGTAAAAAGGATCTATCAGAGGATCGTCGTAATGATAGGTAGGTCCATCTTACTCAGTGAGCGGCAAACTTGACCTGTTCAATTTTTTTTTTCTGTTGATAACCGAGAATCCTTCCCGATCGGAGTCAGACCGGACGAATCCACGGCGCCATGTCCTTTGCCCCTTCGCCTCCCGCAGGACCCAACAAAAGGATGCAAGAGCCTGCCAATCAGAAGGCACCACCTTCTTCCCCCCGAGTTTCCCGAAGGAAAAAAAAAACCGTTTGTGGTTCTCCATGTGGATCTGACGTCGGCAAGAGTGACCATGTTACTGCGATTCTGTGATGTTACCTGTACCAGGATGCCCATATAATCTACTAGAGTACAAAGTCCGATCTAGAGCGGAGCACCGTGCACTCTAAGGTTCTGATGGGGTAACCGTTGCTCAGTCCCCTGTACGACATGGACGGGAAGGTGCTTCCAGGCTGGTTGGCGACCATCATTAGTCTCAAAAACAAAGCGAAACGTTAGGGTAAACAGGTCTACAGGTCAACAGGACCACGACGAATCACACGGGAAGCGAAAGAATGGGATGGATCGATATGGCATCATAAGAGCATTGGGAACCCCACCCGGCCACTCCACCGGCCTCTCAACGGACGATCTAGACACTGCCGATCTCGCACACTCGGAAACCTTGACTAACGCTCCGTCGAAACCCTAGAATACTATCGAAAACAGGAAAAATGGGGTAAAGGGTTCGGAGGTTGAGTCACACGGATTGCAGACTCTGCCCTCTGTACCGTAAGGACAATTAGAAAGAAGAAACAACATCCATAGAAACATTCCGGAAGAATTCAAAGACTCAGGTTCCATGGTTCAGCTCGCCTGTCAACCACCGGAACGCAGCGGACTTCTGGCAAAGTGAGAATTTCGCAGTGACGGAGTTTACTAAGAAAAGATTCCATGGATAAACTCCGCCTTAGCGTGCTTTCTTAACTAAATGGGGCTCCTCTATCTTCGAGCCCTCGCCCCCAAAGCCTTTTAATCTATTTCACACCCAAGGCCCCAACCCGCCAGCATCAAAAATCCAAAAATACCCACTGGATTCTAGGTCACACCAGGATCTGGGGAGTTCCCTGTCAGGCGCATTATCACCCGCCCGTTTGCCGACATTCCTGCCCAGCCAACTCACTTGAAGTCGATCCGGTTCCCCCGAAACTCATCACACCGCTCGCCTTTGCCTTAATTACGCCGGGTTCCCTGATGCTCCGATACATCGACTTCTACAACATCTACTCGACGCTACGTGCGGACTCGCAATGCGGAAACTGTCTCACTTCATCGACACGCGAGACTCGTTCGACGCGCTAGATTCCCGCCTCCCCTCGCCCTTGAGCGCCAATACTTCTGCCCCGGCCTCGCCGGCCTTGTCTTTCTTCTCTAGTCACAATCGTGTCTCTAGTTCTGTGTCATCCTTGGTGCCATCAGTAGGCAACGCCATGGATAGTCCTAGCCGCAATCCCCTCTCCGGGGTCAAAGAGGAGGATCTCGCCCGTGATTCATTGGAGGATCAATATTTCCGTACGTCATGGAGTTGCGCACGCGATGTGGCGAACCCAGAACACTCTCCCGCTAACATTTCACTAGAACATTTTGATCGTGGCATGTCCGAAGAGCCCTCGTTCATCATGGATCCCACCGATAGCTACGACCTGAGTGACACGGGTATGGACTTTGCGCCCTCGCCGAAGAAGCGTCGGTCCGATAGTCTATCGATGAAGGGTGTCTCGCGTATCAGCTCACACATCTCCACCATGTCAACAAGATGGATGTCCAAGCGAACCTCAGGAAGCCCCGAACGAGACTTTCCCGATGATCTGCGCTCGCGTGCCAACTCGACAGCATCCTCCGCCTTGGCGAGCCCAGCTTTGTGCCCGATCAATCGCACTGATTCGATTCCTCCCTCTCCAGCCCGCACCATCTTCGAAGAGCGCATGAGCGATTCCGGAGCCCGCCCCATTGACATCACTCACGCGAACAGCATGAGCCAGGATGACAACGACAACCAAGCGACCACACCGCTCCTCCCCCCATTCATGGGTGAAGATCCTACCAGCGCAATCGCCTGCCGAGTTCAATCCCCACTCCAATCTCCCTCCGTCGCCGACGTGAGCGTGAGTGACTCACCCAAATACGTGGTGTGCTCCGAGTCTCGGTTCGCAGGTATCCCTTCACCGCCACTATCATCAAGACCCTCCATCGCCTCAATGAGCCGTCCCCGAGCCAGCACCACCTCCCGAACGGTCTCCGGTGAAGCAGCCCCATTCATGCTCTCAGATCCCAACGACGAATGGGCCAACAAGCTAGGCCATGCCAATTTCACCATCCAGCCAGAGCCCTACGAACCGCCAACCTGCGATCTAGACAGCTTCCACCTGTTCCGGGCAGATTGGGATCTCGCCCGCTGCAACTTCGCCAAGCATCTGGTGCGCACAGGCGAACACTACGGTACTACATCCAATATCTACAAGCTCACGGGCGAGAAATGGGAGTTCCTCAACCGCCAATGGCGCCAGCAACATGATGCCCTGCTCAACCAGCTGGAAATGATCGACGGTGTCGCCCTGACACTCACCCAATCAAACCTTCACCGCTGCGAGCAGGAAGTTCGTATTCCGCGCCTGCACGATAATGACAAATTTCCCGAAATGGGAGACGAGGATATCGTCGGACCAATGACCGTCGCGCCCGCCGCGGAGATCAGCGGATTCTGTCGTACAAAGTCCGTAAAGAAACGGAATTTCTTCAAGTTTTTCCAGGATCTTGTCTCGCGGCCTTGATAGCCTCTCCATCTCTCGCTTCATCTTTTCCTTATTCTGCTTTCGAGCGAATCGCCTACGATAATGACCTATAGACTTACCAGCGCGGCGTCCGGATCAACTGCATTGGATGATCTGGACGATCATGTCCGCCCATCATGACATAATGTCTCATCCTATGTTTTTCTGATTTTTGGATTGATTTATGACTCACGACTCACGATTCCGGAAAAAGCGACTACTTTCTCGCGCCGAATCATGCCTTTCCTTTGTCTTTTTTATGAGTCGTGGCTTCGTTTCGTTGTTCATGTGGATCTGTGGACCTGGTGGATATCCACCTGGGCACTGTTTCCGACTCAGGGCTGACAGCCCGTCCGTTCCTTGTTTTACGATATACCCAGCTGCATTTGCATTTCGTGTATACCATAGATTAGACCTTTTGCGAGACAAAAGCGTGTCTTGTTTTCAATCGTTTGTATATATCTATAGATTTCCTTATCTCGTTGAGATAGGATGCATCTTGTACACAATACATCTTATCTTATATTACACTTGGTATAATCTCTTATGTATCTGAATATGTGAAGTAGATTGCGGAGTTTGTGTAATAGAATACAGCTCTATAGCTATGTACCCAGGCATGGTAAAACCTAAACCCAAAACTGACCCCAAATCTTACGCTCATCCTCGGTACCTTTAAACCGAAACTCTACGGAGATGATATCATCAAATCCCTCATCAAGTCGTGGTGCCTTAAATCGGCGCCCAAAGTCGCCAAACGCAATACCAGGCAACGAAGTGCGCGCCTCGGGATTCTACCCAATATCAGTAAAAAAAGAATAACCAAACCACAAACAGGCCAAATTGGCCTATGACAAACGAACCATTTCTTTGTTACCAGCGCGAACGGCATTGTTGTGCCTGCATAGGTCAGGCGGGGAAAGAAGGTGCACACAGCGAATCGGAACGTTCAGTTCCTTCGCTAGCGTGATCCACACGAGTCTTGTCTCCGGGTCTGCGTTGGTGTTGTCTGCGTTGGAGGAATATTAGTGGTGTTCTAGATGAGCTTGTTGGCTTGGCGGGTATGAGCAAGTTGGTGCCCAACGAACATGCCCCAAACGAATCGGGTCCGGAAACAAACTCAGGTCCCGAGCTTGACGGCACATAGACCGAGGAAGTATGACTCACCGATAGCGACGGATTTCTTTGCTTCGAGATATTCACGGGCTACTTTGAGGCATTTTGGGCGCTAATGTGATGGTTTAGATGATTGGTTGCTTCAGCTTACACTGATGACTGATGAAGATTAGGTACTCACCGTCTTCAGGATGTCTTGATTGACACGTTCGTAGCCCAAGGGCTCTAGATTGTTCCGGAAATAGGTTGATTTTCCTGATGCTGGGCTGCCACAGAAGATTACTAGTTCGAGGGGGTGTTTGCGAGCGAAGGTGGGCACTAGGTAGCAAGAGCTGTCAGTAAGGCAACACAACAGCTCAAAGCTGCAGTATCACATACGAGGTTCGCTGGTCTCTGCTTTCGTGTATGCAGTAGGATCAAAGATTGTAACAGATTCCTCAACGCATGAGCCGAAATATGCCTCTGGTGTCTTGAAAGGAAGACCAATATTCGCCGCGAAGCCGCTAGATCAGAAATCAGAGTTGTCCCGTCATCATGATAAGTAGTAGTATCTTACAGGTCTGAAGACGAGTGATCTTTTGGGCGTCCGGCGGCATCGCCCACAAAGATGGAGTTCGTTTTATCTATACCCACCACGTCAAGGTCGTAGTCGTCCACAAATTCTTTCCACATGTCGGTTCGAGGCTTTCGATAGTTGTCATCTTCGGTAGCGGCGTAAACGCTGATGGGCAACCTCAACGCGCTCATGATAGTTGTAAGTTTCTCTTTGAATATCGCCAAGCTCTTTGAGTCGGCTTTCCCAGCTTTCAGTTCCTTTTGGATACTGATCTTTTTCTGGTTGGAAAAGATTACCAGTTGATATCTAGACAAGGTTAAGAATGGCCTTTCAAGATTGAGGAGAAATGCATACCCTTTCTTGTGCAACTGTTCCAATGTGACTTCGACATTACCCTCGAACCATTTCCAGTCGTCTGCTGATCGAGGGAAAACATTTCCTGAACGTGTCTTGATCAAGGTTGAGTCCTGTCAATGACATTAGCAAAGTTGCTTCCTGCCTTATGTCCGACATAAACCATTCTAGTTCAAGAGGGTTTTGACTAACAAGATCAAATGCTGCAATCTTGCGGTTCTTCTCCGGCAGCGTGCTAGGGCATTCTTCGGGTGTGTATTTGCCTACAACGAGACTCGTTCCAATGACCCGCCATGTGACCGGCTTTGGCTTCTTTTGTGAGACTGGAGTGAAAAAAGAAGCAGCAGATGCCTCTGTACAAAGATAGGTGTATCAATATCGTAACGGCCTGTCGGATTGATCCAGATGCGCTCACTGTTAATACTTGATCCGACTTTTCGGCGAAGCGGAGGTGGGGAGACGCTCCGAGTGGGGGAGGCGGTTCGCTTAACTCCCCCTTCGGCCATCTTGAGAGCTCGTGTAAGGGACGTGGTGAAGGTAGCCCGGGACCAGGGCGCGAGCAGAGGCTGATGTCGTTCGTAGCGATGGCGGATTCGGAGGATGATGTCAGGAGCGGACGCGTAGTTGGACGCGAACTTTCACGAAGTCACATGGCCGATTCCTCAAATTGGCAAAATTGATGACCCCACGACCTTACATCCATTACAGACTACACACTTCACATAGGTATCATTTGTGGGAAAATATTATTCTTGCTTTAGTTGAACTAATTTTGTGGACAGAATTCGATGAAATGTGACCGACTCGATTGGAGGCTGCCTCTCCGGGTATTAATGACAGCCGGACGTAAATGCAACACCAAATGAAATCCTTTACTTCGCCCTAGTATCCAGAGACAGACGATCCGCCTGCTCCAGCTTCACTGCAGATTTGAGCTGTTCCCGCAGCCCGAACAAATGCTGGGAGGCTGTCTTCATGGTCTCCTGGTTGCTGCCATCCAGGACGTTGATAGAGGCCTGCAACACATAGCTCCCAGTCTTCTCCAGTGGCGCCATGTCAGAGAATGCCGGAAGTTGCTGCCGAGGCACACGGCCCTCATGCTCGGAAACGGGATAATGCAGCACCCGATGTAAGAAAATAGTGATATCGTTATGGATAAAGACATCGCCCTCGACCACATACTCGGTCACAAAGCTGGAGGACCCGATTAGCATCTGACAGTCATAAGATCCGCAGTTATAAACTTTAAAGGGATCACACCACCCACGTACCTGTAGCCCCACGCATTCATGGCGGGGACGATATCGCCCCGCGGCAGCGAGGCACTAGCCATGACACGGGCCGTGACAGCGGATCGGGTCCCTGCCTCGGGAATATCACGAAACTCCAGTTTCCAGGGTTGTTGCTCAAAGTCATATGGCACATGGGGCTCGGACTTGGACTCATCCATGCCAGCCATCTGGGTGTCGAAATCAGGGACCGAGGTAGCCCCGAAAGCCGAGTCCGACACGGGGCCGACGACCTGGGTGTAGAACATGCCACCATTGAGCATCTTGTTGACGCGTTGCAGGTCCCCCGACTGCAGGTCTTGGCTGCCCCCAGTGCGAACCGTGGCGAGACCTGGTTTCCGATAGGCCTTGAAAATCAGCCGACGCTCGAGAGCGTGGCGAGGCTGCATAGCCGTCAGCCCGGTAAGCTGCTGTAGAAGCTCATGATGCTGATGAACCGGGACCGAGGCGAACAACAAAAGCTCATGCATTTTGATGAAGATTGGTGGAACGGGCGAAGTCGGGATGTGGTTAGTCAGGGTCCAAGCTTCCAGTGGCGCGATTCGAGCTTATCAATTCAGATCACATAAAATTGTGCCAGCAATTGGTAATGGGATTCGCCCCTGCAGATAAAATCAATTTCGATTTTTTCACTTCTACTCGACCTTTTTTATCTTATTCTCTCTCGATTTAGTCCAAATCCTCATCCACATGCATCAAAATATTCAATTGAATAAATCAATCAAAAGGAAGAAACAAAAGGTATAGAATTGTAGAAAGGTCAACACTGTGGGGGGGACCACCGGAGTGCAGAAGATCCAAACGTTCGCACAAACCCTATGAGGAGTAAGAACGCGGTAGAACGTCTCACGGAGAACGAAGCGGAAAATGATTGGATGCTTGGCTAGTCACCCATCCAGGCAGGTAGATCCTTAGAGTGCAAGGACGGGGAAACTTCACCGGCGAGTCGGATTAGGAAAGGGATCGGAGAAAGTAAGCAGCAGTTCAATGCAAAATGCCGTGCGGGGGAACAGAACACCATCATATGAGGAGCAAGTGCGGCGCCGTCTGCCAATAGTGTAGCCAATAGATCCGCTGAATTGCGTGACTCTAGTTAAGAGACTTCCAACTCAAACTCGGGTCCATATCGGCTCCGAGCGGTTCGACCAAATGCGGTAAATCCATGCCAGAACAGATTTCTTATCTTGCCTCTTCCTTCTCTCTTTACCCCTCTACCTTCTTCTCAATCCTTCTCAAATACTCTGCATACCATCTACGAGGTCCAACGCATCATCTTACACATCCCACTTGCAAAACTCGCCAGTCCGCTACTTCGCGTCGGGTCGGTTCGGATACTACCGGACCCCATTGATTTCTCGCACACTGTGAAATCGACCTTCCTTCACTACACCACATCACATACCACCACCTCCTCCACCTCCAACGCCACCTCCACCATCAAAATGCGTGCCACCATCGCTCTCAGCAACGCCTTCCGCACCCCCCTTGATCCGCTTCGTTGGCAAGCGTGCAGTCCCCAGTACGTGACACCCTGGAAGCGCTTCCCGAAAGCTCCCCCCGAAGAAGCTCCTCTGAATTCGTGCTAACATCTCGCTTCCAGGCTCCGTGGACCACACTCCTCGCGTTCACCCTGCTTCCCCCGTGGGTGCCCTGCCTGATTCTTTCGCTACCTACCGCGCAAAGGCCCAGCAGCACGGTCCTCTCGGTCGCGCTCAGTTCACCGGTGGCATTGGTGGCTCAGCCGGTGCCTCTCTCGGTCCCGTCCGTCCCAGTGCTGGCGAGTTCTTCGACCGCGCTGAGCTCCCCACTCGCTTCGGTCGTCTGCCCTGGAGCCAAGCTGAGATTGAGGCTGTCGAGACCGGTGGCGCGAGCATGTACGCGTAAATAGGATCAGTCTGGTCTTATTTCTGCCGGCGGAGATTCTTGTTTTGTTTACATATTATACCATGATGCGATGGGGTATGACCCTTCTGGAAGTTGTGCGGTGGAATTTCTGATACCTGCTGGCGACTGGGTGTCACCACCGTGACTATTGGCGAGTGACTTGGGGACTTGAGTCCGCATTCAACCGCGGGAATTGTGCTCACCTCGAGATTCATTCACTCAATGGTCTTTTCTGCAAGTTTAACTTTCCATAGTTGGACGTTACTTGCGACTTTCTTTTTTCTTTTTCCCCTGCGGTTCTTGTTTTTCTGAACCTGGCGCTGGTGGTTCTGGGGTTATTTTTTTTATCTTTGGGCAGCGCAACAAAGCTTCTCGTCTTGCCATTGGAAAAGCGAGTATAGATGTTGGATTCTGGTTTCACTGTGACATATTCAGCTCTGGGAGCATTGATTTGGAGCATTGCTTCATCTTCAATAAAATTATTATTTATCTATGCATAGATCTCCTCTTATATCGTATATTGCATTATGCTATAGGTTGGGGAACGCGTGTTTCCCCGCACGTGCCCCTTTGATTACTGATTCGTGGCTCCTCATCTTCCTTTGATATTCAACAACTACATGATGGCGTCTCAAGCCAAGGACAGATTGACCTTTCATGAGACAGACGAGGCAGATACTCCTACTGCTACTTATGTCTTCTCAAACCAAGATGGATCGAAAGGATCCCTAGGGCGGGTGGACGTGATGGTAGGCCTCAATTCCATTAATCTTAACCCCGTTGATATCCGATTGGCTCAATTGCGATTCTTGATCTTGCAAATCATGCTCTTCGTGGAAAGCATGGCGGTTGCTCTCTGGATGAGTCTCCGTGTGGCCACATGTCCTCACTTCATGGATGTCATTGTCAACTCTGTTCTGCCGATCGTCGAACATGCATATTTTCGCCAGTGAAATTATAGACTGATCATTGCACATTGACTAGGATGCACCTTCGACCTCATCATGGTCTACCAAACCCCTAGTAGCTACTCTGAGTGAGATCTTTCTGCCGTCAGGATACCCACAGAGTGTGAGCGATGACTATCTACCGTGAGTATTGGAAGACCCATGTCTGCTCGCATTCTGTATATCTTCAATGATACTAACCTATTATCGGCAGATATCAAATATTCGTGAGTGAAATAAATCACTTCAATGAAGAAACCCAGGCACTCGTTATGGAGCAACGCTGATCCAATCTGCGCTGACATAGGATTCCCTGCAAGCATTCTGCAGCTCTATCGCCGGTCTTCTCTCCTCGAGGGCAGTGTTACAAGGTCTGTCGCATACTCCAGTGCACTGAAATACAAAGTCCCCTCAACCATAAACTCATTATCCTCAGGAGTCGGTGTGGGTAATGCTAGTGCATCCCCAACATCTGCCCTTCTTCTACACATCCTGCAGGACTCGTCCGGTCGTGTTGCAACAATTTTATTCGCACACAGAGCCGGGACAGCCCTCGAACCAGAATGCAAGACATACCGGCTAGCAGCCGACGTGTTCAACGATATCGCCATGATCCTTGACTGTCTTTCGCCAATGGTCCCTGCTGGTGTCATGCGAGTGACCATCCTCAGTACAGCGGGAGTCTTGCGAGCTCTATGCGGTGTTGCAGGAGGAAGTTCAAAAGCAAGCCTAAGTGCTCATTTTTCAAAATGGGGCAATTTGGCAGAGCTCAATGCTGTAAGTTCACTGTCCCGGTACCACATCTTGAATTAGACTAATCAGTACTACAGAAAGATTCCTCTCAGGAGACTGTCATCTCCCTCCTAGGCATGCTTGTAAGAACCCATCTCATACAGTAGTTGCTAAAAACTAACAACACCAGGTTGGCTCAGTCGTCGTCTCACACATCACCGGCTTTAAAACCACCTGGATCGCTCTACTTATCCTCCTAGCAGCCCATCTAAGCCTAAACTACGCAGCCGTACGATCAGTGCAGATGACCAGTCTCAATCGACAACGAGCAAACATAGCCTTCTCGGCTTTACTCTCGTCCGATTCAGCCTCACTCGACATCCAAGACAAACATACCAAAAGCAAATCCATCAACCAGGAAAACTGGACAGTCCTCACCCCTGCCCAAGTATCCAAGCAAGAACGCATCTTCCCCCGCGATGGCGTCCTCGAATGGACAACCTCGAACCAACCAAGGCAATACCTCGGCACGGCCGAAATAGGCATATCACTACCTAAATTCTTCGCGGCTTCAGGCCCGTCGTTCCAAACATCAATCCCCATGACCAAATTACACGACCTCTTTGTCGAAGAGCAGTATATCCTCTTCCTTTTCCCACGTGGCACGAGTTGGCACGCTTCCATCCTCCTTAAGAAAGAATGTGCCGTCCAATCACAGCTGAAAGCGTGGATGCATGCGCTTTTAGCCGCACGTGTTTTGTCCGAGGCTGATACCACCTCCGAGAGCAAACAATTTATTTACGAGGCTGTGGAGAGTACGCTTGGGGTTTTGAATGATGGGGAGAGGGTTGAGAGGTATTTGAGTGCGTTGGCTGGGAAGGGGTGGGTACTTGATATTGGGGCATTGGAGACACGGGGTGGACGGAGGGTTGTTTTGAGTAAATAGTGAATAGTAAACGTGGAATGCAAATTGGCTGCAATGGGACACACTTCCATGTTCATTCTTTGTGCGGTTTAGTCTTGTAGACATGGGACTGGTCTAATGGGCTGAGATGCGAACACAGTCCCATTCTTCGACTAATATTATTCCGTGTTTATTTGTTGTGGTCGTATCTTGTAGATGTGAAACTACGAATTGAGAATCATGTTACGTTTGATTCTTCGGTTTAGGTTTACAATATACAGATTTGAATCAAGTGAGAGGGGTATCAAGTCTATCAATTCCAAAGAAATGCTGCACCATCCTATCGTAGCAAGCTATCGACACAGATCCACCAGTGCCAGAAATGATTCAAAAAATAAGTAAAACGCCCTCGCTCATCCAGTCTATATGAATGGGATATTTTTCCTGGGCCAAACATGAACAATGAAAAGGACATATGCTCGTTGAACGGTTCGAACATGGATCCAAACCAAACCAAAATGTAAATGGAAGAAAAACGCCGTGTTCGTATGCTTGATGCATCGTGATTCTCATACACCGCCAATAAAAACGCTAGCAAAACGGAATCGAAGCAGGTCATGTGATATAATGTTCAGGCTGAGGTCATGCAAGGCGACCCCAGGGAGGTTTGGGGGTCGTGAGTTGAGAGTTCGGGTAATTTTGAGACAAAGAAATGGAGAGGTATCGTCAGGTCGGGGTGGGAGGTAGTAAACAGGTGAGGAGAGACGGAGGTGAGATTTATTCGTCCACACCGAGGATCCTAGGATCGCGAGAAGCAGCACTCCCGGTGGAACGCTTCTTGAAGCCGAGCTTCATGCCCATCTTCTTCCACGGGTTCTCGGTACGCAGCTTGGGGCTGTGCATGGGAAGATGAGGCTCGCTTGCGGGCGGGGTGGTAGGCGGTGTCATAGGCTCCTCAGCAGTAGGACTCGACTGGGGGCTCGAATCATCGGTCAGAGCCATGCCGATAGAGTCACCACTTGTACTCAGGAGGGCACCAGAAGTCCGTTTCCCGATAGCATGGACGGCTCCTAAGGAGTGATTCCCACGGCTCAGCGAACCCGGCAAGTCCCTGATAGATGACTGTGGCGAGATACGTTTTACCCTTGAGCGAACCTTTTTCATCGGGTTTTCATCCAAACTCGTGCTAGACAGATTGACGGAATCGTCGGCGGCGAATGGAGGCTCGGAGGGAAACACGGATGGGGAAGTTGTGTGACTGTTGAGGAATGGCAGGAAGATCGATTCCTCCATCAACTCGTGGATGTTCTTCACGGCAAAGTCGAGGGTTTCGGGCACAGGCGGGAAGGGAGCATTTCGGTGGTCAAGGAGGGTATCCCGGACTTCGCTGGACAGGTTGATCTCACGAGGGGCGCCTGGGTAGACATAAGCCACCAATAACCGCTGCCAGAGCATCTGCAAGTGCTGAGCCTCGGGGGTGTCCGTTGTGACGGCGACGTCCCCTAACCGGTCGACCAGAGCGTGGTATGTTTCCCGATAGCGTTTGGCTTCGAGGGTGAATTCGAGGGTCTCGAGGCAATGGTTTTGGGAGAGGTAGGCCATGAACGCGCTGAGAGTGTATGGCGGGGGCGCGGTGTTGGCCAAGACATCGTCGAGGGTTGGTCGCATGGGACAAAAGGCTCCCGACGAAACGGCCAAACTAACCGGTCGGGAGCCGGACGAATCCATATCCTCGTCGGAATCACTATCCGACGAGGTAGGCGATAATTCGGGGGTGGTAGACGGGGAGAAATTCCAGAAGAAGGCAGGCGCCAACGTCTTCTTCTTCAGCATTGCGGACAGCGTTCGGCGGGGTCCCTGAAACCGTCGTTTTCTCACCGGCCCTCCCCTATGTGATGGACGGGACTCCAGCTTGGGACCGGAGAGAAGAATGTTATTGGGGTATAGGGAGCGGTGGAAGCATAGAGGGGAAGCGTGTGTAGGTTGAGCGTAGTATAAGGCAAAATGAATTACACGGGAGCGGGAGGAATGGGCGAACAAGTTCTAGATAAGTTAGGGAAAAGACCCCGAGTCTCCACCCGCACTTCTGGAATCATTCTCAGTCGATCATGACGATACGCTGGTAATTTACAGTGGAGAATGTGTGGCGATCGGTAATACCGTGACCAGTAACGCAAGGGATTGGCAATGCAGGGGGAGAAAAGAGCGCTTCCAGAACGTCATTTCGGTGCGTGTGCCTCTAGTTGAACGCGTGGCGATTCACCTCGTGGGCAGTCTGGTACCGGATGTCCCATTGGGGAGCCATGGTGATTCCTATCTCACCCAGAGAATTCTCTGAACCCCATTCTCCTATCACAGACGAGCGCTGAGGCTAATCAGCCAATCTTCAGGCCCGATGGCCCCACGATGTCCAACGCAACGACGCTAAGCACGCCATTATCCGGTCTCGGAATGTCAATCATCTGCGACCCACGGTTCAGTCAAACCCACGCGGCCAATCAGCCCGCGACCGGTGGAGCGGCTGGTTTTTTAGTGACACGCACATCCCCTTGCGTTTCAAAAAATGATCCTTTTTGCACGTCATGTCCATTAGGAACAGAATGTACATTTCCTGCCCTGCCGATCTCCCTTGGAATGGATTCTAAGCTTTGAGTTTTCAGACACCTATCTCCTATTCCTACCCAGGGGCAACGCCGTAGTTTGTAGAGAATCCTTTTCAGTTTCTTTGTATGATCAGCCCCAATGAAAATCCAACCGATCTTCTAGAATTCTAGAATCCCCGCCGAAGCCCACGATCGCCACACCCGGTCCCCCGAGACAATTTTTCTTTTAGTGACATCTGATGGTGCCTGGATCCTGCCTAGCGGTTTTCTCTTTTTTTTTTTTTTTTTTTTCTTCGTGCAGGGATCGCGTTTATAGTCGCCACTGTATTCCCTTTCCTTTGCCCTCATTTGTCTAGTTTCCGTTTGTTAGACTCCGACATGCATTGCCAAGCCAATACAACATGAAAAGCTTTCGATTTTCCCTATTTACCCCGATCCCGGTCAATCCAGATCTTAGTTTCCCGACGGACTTCACAAATTTTCGGGCCTGATTCAAGGCCGAGAGAAACCGAGAGCCAAGACAATACGGGGCCCATACAAATGGGGCTCAGGGACCTTGGGAATGACGATCCACCCTGACTCACTGATAAGCCGGCCGACAGCGGAGAGTTTGGGCGCTCGATAAGATACAATCCTTGAATCATGGATATGATAAGGACGTCGAAGGATAAGGGTTGGACCAGTTTGCAGGTCTGGTAGCGTGACATGCGACCATGAACCTGTGTGCAGAAACTATTTCCGCCGTGCAGTTTGGCTGCAGGGATGCAGCCAATCCCACGTCCTCGATACCATGTCCACATGTAGAACAAAAAAAGAAGAAAACGGTCGAGCTCTCCCTTGCGTTGAGCTCCTGTACGTCGTACGTATGGCACAGACCGGTACGAGAGAACTGTACGTCGAGTTGCGTCGGCCACCGGTAATCGCCCAATTTTACATCCCCTTTTCTACCAATCCAACCCCGTTCATCATGCACCTAAGCAGCCTCCTACCTTAGTCCGGAATCCACCTACCATACAGGATCTCTTACTTCCTGAGCCTTCTCCAGATCCACAATTTCCCCGACTCTAAGACCTCGGTAATCAGCAAGGATTCCCCACATTGGCGCGCACGGGTTCACGACGCTTTTCCTTGCTGGTCAGGTTTGTGATCTGTACCGTCCTCTCACCCTTCTAGAATTGCGCCATGTCGGCTGGAAGCGACCGGTGCCCACAGAGGCGTATGGGGTACCTTAGCAGTCATTACGGGGGAGCCACAGTGGACTTTGTTAGGTCTCGTGTCCAGCCCATGCACTACAGTACAAGCGTGGAGGTCAAGGGGTACTGATTGGACAATTGCACAGCAGAAATGGCTCGTTCATTTCGAATTTGTCTGGTTACACATCATTTCCTCGGTTCCATCTCTCAATGTTTAGGTTTCCTTTTCCAGCGGAGAATCATCCGCCTAAAGGGAGTAAATACCTCAACATCTACATGTGCTTCTTTGTACAGTCACTACGACCCAGCACAAAAAAAAAAGAAGGAACAACGAACGTCATTCCCAACAATTTTATCATGAAGACTCCATACATCAATATCATAACCCCCAAGTGGCTGCCCCCAAATGACGTGCAGCGGTAATAATCTTTGCCGATCGATCAGATCGACTGGGGCCGCACTGTACTGTGCAAGCATAATTAAAAACAAGGTGAACAAAAAAATAAAAACAAGAGAACAACCCTCCATCAGATCATCTCCACTGAAAAGTTCCAGACTTTGCTCATTTCCTCCACACAACACATCTTCTCCCGCGTCCAGTCGATCAAACGGAGTGCACGGCAGAAGCCGCGCGGATGACCTCATGGCCCCACGCAGTCAGCCAAAATCTTGATTTTCGATGGGACTAGAGAAGGAAAAATTACTTCTATGGAGTATGAAAGAAAAAAACATGATAAGCCTAATCTGAAATCCATGGTTCCACGACGGGATCTTCGGTCTTGTCTTTACGCTCGAGTCAATTCGTACGCCCGGGGGGCTGTACAGGATTCAAGCGAAGGCGAGAAAGACTCGGGCGCTACGTGAAACCATGCTAGAGCCACAACAAAGAACATGTGTTGAATTCCAGAACCACAAAAAAAAAAAAATCAAAACAAAAACATCTCGTGCCCTAATGCTGAACTATGTTTTGCTCCGCAGATCCACACTATTGCAACCTCAGTCCAAATACCAACCCAAGGTTAACATCCCAGCCTAGTCAAAACTAGCTCATCCCATCCAACTATATCTTGGAAAAGCACAGTATAATCTAGCAAAGTCACACGGTGGAGAAGAGCCTTCCCTGTTAAAAACTGGACGAAGATCTGCGCTACGGCAGATTTGCGTCCACACCAATCTGAACGTATTATGATTTCAAGCGCGGTTGCACGCTCATAGGTCCAGGAACTCCACCAGAACTCCATTCCGAATTCCTTTGTGTTTCAACGGCGACTTCTGAATCCTTCGAATCCTGTACCTACGCTAGTTTGTTGATGTTATTAACGCCAACCTATTCTTGGCCCCCATCCCATAGCCGCTGGGCTAATACCTGTTTCAGGTTGATGAGTTTGGCAGTATCCACGATCTACGATCTAGGCCTTATTTGATTTACCTGGTACTAACGGAGGCTGAAATTTACGCCTAATGTGGAGTCTGCGGGTTGTTCTGTTTATGTAAAGGGATTGCATGAGAGATTGCATGTCGTCTGTCTGGTAAAGTGATATGATGTAACTGTTGCCCAATGTTACTACGTTTACGTACCTTGATGAAAATATCTGCAGTGCATAAGCTCTTATCGAAGATCGACCTACATCCCGAACATTTGATTTAGAGTACATCCTAAACCGGACTGACCCCCGTACTTCTATACCCAATGTTTACTTCATCCTCAGGAGCTAATTTCTGATACCTAACTGTACGACAGTAGGACTCGGGACGTGAAGTATGCACCTACGTGCTCGCCCAAGAACTGGCATCATACCCATCCATCCACTCAGTATACTCACTGCCAGAAGCCACCCAACCCTTGATACCACCCTCAAGAGCAAAGCTTTTCAATGCCGTATCCTGTTGACTCTCGATGTAATCTGCAAACCACGCGGCCGCCCGGGTCCCGCGTCCTCCGCATGAACCTAATCAAAAATCGTAAGATAGGGCCCATCAGAACGCCACCCGTTGTAGAAAGGACACAAGCGAAGATAAAGGAATACTCACCACAGTACCAAATCACTCGTTTGACATTGGCACCCGAAAGCACGGAATACAGAGTTGGCAGGGACGGATATAGAGTCTGAGCCGGTAGATTCAATGATCCGCAGATGGTGCCACCCTAATCTGGTCAGCTAACTGGCTAATCCAGTCCACTCCCGGCTTTTAGGTTTGATTGGGCATGTATATTGGTTTTTATACCTCGAAATCTGCGCGTCGCAAATCAACAAGCACAAAGTCCTTCCTACCCTCTCTCAACCACTTCAGGACTTCCAGCCGAGATAGTACCGGTGCAGTGCATTTGGGGGCTGGATAGGCTGCATGCCATGGCTGGGCCGGCGTTTCGGCTGCGGCACTATTGGATAAGCTAGCCATGGCTGTCCTCAGACGGGAGTAGATAGATTAATGAACGGGATATAGTGAAGATGAAGCATGGACCCCGGTAGACATCCCAGGGGCGGAATCGAGTCAAGCCATTTCCGCTAGGTGTAGTGTGCAGGGGGACGTGATTGGTTCGAATGGAAAGGTCCAACCGTTCCCCGCTGGAACGCGGTCACATGGACTGCAAAGCGGCATGTTGGTGTTGTTTGATTGGTTATAGCCTGGATCAATTGTAGTGGCCTGCAGTCTTCGGGTGAAGTCTATCTCTTTGAAGGACGTATTTCAAAGTTAATAGCTTCCGACTGACTCGGTGATTCGGGTTTCATGTTCTAGTTCTGATTCTCATGCTCTAGATGTGGACGGGTGCTATGCTCCTTTGGTAGGACGGCGTTAACTGAATGGCTTATCTTATGCTAGGAGTTTCAGGTAAAGACGTCAGCCTTGAATCATCGGGATCGAGCCATCATTCCATTCTGCGGGGTATCCGATATAGTTGATCCAGACTGCATCGTCCATAGCTACGTGCATCGTCATCTGTACTTTGATCAATTGCTTTCCCCGATGATTTCCCTTGTGGCTGTAGCTTGCATCGTATTCCCGCCCCCACTGCTGCCCAAGCATAGCATAGCTCTGTAAGCTCAACGCATACTCCATGGCTAAAACCAACAACTCAACTGCACTATGCCGTTTCAAGCTCTACAGGAGGCCTCGGACCCTTCGTGCCTTCAATCAGCTTCCCCAGATAAGCCATTAGATCGACAGTTTGATACTCCAATAGTCCTCATGGATCTACGGCATCTCGAGAGGTCCGAGCATCCGGTACAATGTTATCAGCAACTGTCAAGGATAATCCCAAACCCCAGATACCTAACCTTCCACGCTCCAAAGACCGTCACACACGCACACCCCCCTCAGTTCTGTCTTGTCAAGTACCGAGCCATGTACAGAGCCCGATCGCTGCAGAAACAAAGCCAAATCCGACCCCACAACAACGCAATCAACAACCAACAACCGACACAACACAACACAAAGCAGGCCACACGACACACGACACAGCCACGAAGACCCATCAGCCCACACCCAGCCCCTCCCGCCAATAAAAAAGAAAGGAAACCCCCAAAAGCAAAGACATGGTTGCCTGGGGCTAATTAGTCAAGACACATCAACATGCAGTGCCAAGAGTGACCACAACATCCCAGATGCGGGGGTAGGACGACCTGAGTGGTCAACCAGCAAAGTCAATCACAGCTGAAGCAAATCCACGACCGAGGCCCGAGATGACATCCAAGACTCCAAACTTAGGGCCGTACTTTTGGAGTGACTAAAAGATGGGGGTAAATGGAGCCACATTGTAGCCTAGCCAAGCTTAGTCGTAAAGGTGTGTACCGCATCAGGAAGAAATATCCATAAACCCTGTTTCTCCCCGGGGGGTTTATACATTATACGTCTGGCTGAGTCTTTCATTGGATCTCCAGGTTTACTAGGGGCTTTCCATTCTTTCTGTACCGGGGGGTCTCTCGTTTTAAGTTTTTCAATTAGTTGTACGACATGTACAGTGTCGTATGTTGACGCAGATCGTGTCCTAGTCCCCTGCAGAATGTAATCTTTATTTACTATTGCCAATGTGGCGAAGTGTGATATGAACACTATAACAAACGTAGCACTAGAAAATCCAAACAGACATGTACATATGCTAAGCCGGGTGGCGCACCTCTCCTGAGTAACATCGCTCTACTCGAATGTCGCATGTGTCTTGGGGTGGAGAGTGATTGGTTGCCTTTACTTCTGGACATTGGTGTGGCACTCGAATTGAGTTATGTCCTTGCAAGTGATTGTGATGAATTGTGATACTGTTGATCGATTGCCACTCAATTAAGCTATCGACGTCAACGGTTGTTACCTGCCCTAGATAGTGCAGTAGTTGGCTCGGGGAGTGCCCGTTGCTGCTTTGAGAGGTTTAGGCTTGGATGGTGTGATGCAGAGACATGTTTTGGGCGTGTCTCGTGTGGCTGATATGATATCATGGCACCATGTTCTTTTGACCACTCATGATTCTACCGTAACATCGTTTCAAGCCATTGGGTTGCGCTGGGGAGGACGTGAAGAATGTCTATTCTGAGACAGGTCTAGAGTGCTCTATGGTTTCCCTGGCAATTATTGGAGACTACGTTTCAAACCACTCGCAGATAAGCACGCAAATGTATTAGTCGCCTACTCCGAAAAAAGCAGGAATTATGTACGCCGCTCGGACGCGTTAAGCTCCAGGCCGAGGCATCAGAACAAAGAAAACACAAAGAACAATGCTATCTTATGCCAAACACTACCAGAAAACAAACAGGAAAGACTCGCTTCTCAAACGGAGCAAGAGACAAACAATAGACAATTATAGACACGGGCAATAGATTTGACAGGGTGAAACGATCAAAAGACAATCCAACAAGAGGTAAGGGGAAATAGGACCGGGAGAATATATGCATGCGTCCTTCCGCCCGGTTCGGTAAGACGGGTTGACATCGCCATGTAGGTGCAAGACATAGCAGGCCCGGGGGGAGGAGGAACGACAGGAGGTCATGAGGCGATATGCCGAGAAGAAAAAAAGGGAGCATCCAAACGAAACATGGACATGCAGGTGCCCATCTTGCCGAGCGGCAGGATGAGATGGGACCAAACTGCTCCCATGGGCCATGACGGAAATTCCGAAACCTGGTCGACGGTCTTCATTCGTCGTCCTTTGTACAGGGGACCACCCATTGCCTAGTTAGAACAAAGCCAGTGAAGCAAATGATGTTCTAACCGAGGGTAGGAATGGCCTTGCAAGATCCCCAGTCTAAAACAACCCTCCGAAATAGCAGAATGCAGATGTGAAGAGCCAGTTGAATGTCGACCTCCGAATCCGCTCGTTGCCATGAAATTTTGGGATTAGACGGTTAACGCCAGATATGGTGATGGAGATGCAAAATGGGCAACAAGGCAACGAAAAAAAAATCTCTCAAAGTTCGCCGTTCCCAACCGTAGCACCGTGAAAAGAAAAAAGGGGATGAAGACGTAAGCATCAATGAGAGAAAGGTCGTTCTAGCCACATGCGAGTTGTAGGCTGAAGCGTCGAATGGGAAGAAAGAGTGTCAAAAGGGGGTGGCCATGTATGGAACTGGTCATCACCTGGACATGGCCCGGTGACGACGAGTTACCTAGTCAAGATGGCCGAAACAAAAGAAACCAGACAGACAGTCCCATGCCGACTTTGTTGTTATTCTTCGGCCGAATTCGAATATTGTGGGCAGAGCAGAGAAAGGTAGGCCGAGTCCAATCCAGGATGCCGCGGCGTCATGTCATTTGATTCGAGTTCAACCTGGATCTCGAAATGAGCGAGCCGCAAACAGCTGGAAACCACAGCCAAATCACCTACCGCAGCAGAGGGCCTTCATGACTTTCTGAACGAAAGTGGGCTGCGTGTCACTGTTTCCTTGCGCGCCACCAAGCTGCTGGCTGTTCAGTCCTTGGTTTCCGGGGCTACTGTGGCGAGGCAGGTGCGCGTTGGAGTTCTGGAACTGCGCTGTCGTTGATGCTGCCGGAGTCCCGGTCTCAAAGCCCCCGCTCGCGCGTTTCGGTGGCATACCGCTGCCGCTTGGGCGGTCTCGAGGTGTCTTGCCTGGTCCCTTTGCTGGAGAAGGAGGAGGGGGCTGCGCCGCGTTTAAACGGTCGGCAGTCACTCCGGGCCGTTGTTGGCTGTGGCGCATCTGGCTCGCGTGGAGATCGCGCCCCGACGAGGTCTGGTGCTGGTTTTGGAGATGAGCCTGTGACGAATACGACTTATAGTCCCATCCGCGGCCATTGTTCAGCTTCATCCAATCATACTCTCCATCTTCCACATCTCCGCCGTTCTTGAGGGCCTGAGTCAAAATATCACGGAGGTAGTCATAATCGGGGGTGTCCTCGAAACCAAGGTTGCGCACGTAGCTCAGGTACTTGTTGAATTCCTCGGGGTAGCCATCACAGAGATCCTTGATGGCGGTGGTCTGCTTCTTCTCACCAATCTTCTCGTACTTTTGCTTGTTGGTAGCAGCCTTCAGTCCCTGCCAGGGGAGACCTCCACGAAGGAAGTACATGAAGACGTGTCCCAGGGCCTCCAAGTCATCACGTCGGGACTGCTCGCGACCGAGATGTGTGTTGATAGACATATATCGGGCGGTACCAGACAATGACTTGCGCTCACGGTAGGGGATGTGCTGCTTAGTCTTGGGGTCACGGTATTGCTTGGCCATGCCAAAGTCAACAACATGTATGACGTTGGCAGCCTTTGTGCCAGGGCGTCCAATGAGGAAGTTGTCAGGCTTGATATCCCGGTAAATCAGATTCTTCTCGTGGATTGTTTGCACACGGGAAAGCTGAAAGTCGTTAGCCATTATGTCTATCAGAAGGACTGATCATAAACGTACCATCTGTTTAGCAACCATGACAACGGTCTTGGTAGAGAATCTACGGTTGCAGTGGTCGAAGAGATCCTCCAGACTAGGGCCAAGCAGGTCGATCACAAGAATGTTGTGCAAACCCTCTTGTCCGAAGTAATAGACGTTAGGAATACCGGCTGCAGAAAAAAATTAGTCCAGTGGAGGAACAAGAAGTCAGCACTCGAAACTTACGGCATCCAACCAAGATCTTGTATGTCCGGTACTCATCGCGGAGCTGAGGAGCATCGCTCTTGCGGGGTTCCTGTTTTCAATCAGTTCGGCAATTTGCGTCTTGTTTACAGGGATGAGACGCACGAATTTGATAGCAACCTGCTGGTTGTTGAGCAGGTTGGTACCCTCAAAGATGACACCAAATGATCCCTCTCCGATTTTCTTGCCCACGCGGTAGTGGACACCCACTACATTTGATGAAGACGACGCCATGGATGCGGGTGCAAGGGTTGCGATCAGAAACTTGAACTTCAATCACGGGGTGATCTCAAGGACGCAGACACGTGACGGGGCACAGCCTGGACCGCAGTCAGCACGAGGTTGAAGTAGGGAACATAAGGGGCCACCAAAGGGATAGGGTTAGTAAACATACACTGCAAAGATATCCGATCGTCAACCGATATTATCCCGGTCACTTCAATGGATGCACAGCTCCGACGATGTTCCTGGTTCGCGCAGGATCGTTGAACCGAGGGACGTTGTCCGAACGTGACGAGACGAAGGGGTGCGTTGGGAGCTTTCCAATTGAGACAGGAATTGAATTGGGCGAGTCGGTCGGAAATTGGAGACCTGGTGGTTGGAGAATCGAACGGGGCAATGTCTGGGGGCGAATCCAGTCGGGGCCAAGCGCAGATGCGGACGGTGGCGAACACGAAAGGGGCACAACGCTAAATGAAGCGAACCAAGAGGAAGTGAGCACCCACGGTACTCGACAACGAGTACGAGCCGCACTGGTTGGAGGAGCAGGGGAGGGGGAGGGTGTGGAAGGGGGTTGTGGATGAGGAAGAAGAGAAGAGAGGGAGAAGTTAGAAGAAAGGGAGCGGAGGGTATTGGGAGTGTATTTGGTACGAGGAGACAACGAAGGTTGCGGGTAGAAGCGCCCGAAGTTGGCGATCACGAGTGGTAATTACCCGTAACACCGTAACAAACTGGAGCGTTGGGGGGAAAAGGACCGGTCTCACACTAAACTACTAGCCGTAAGGACTCTATCAGAGTAACCCTTTTTAGAGAACGAATGTCTCCAGTCAAGAGTGAGAAATACTTCTTTACTGTCAAATATGTGGACAATCATAATTCGATCAAGGTAGTAAAAAAAAAAAAAAAAAAACAGTTGCTTCACCTAGGCCTTCGCGAAACACCCAATTGAAAGACTAAGGTGCCTGAGTGTAGTGCTGGCGCTTCCCTGCGTCACAGATCCTGCAGGCACTGGGAAAGCCGGGAAAGGCTCACAAGATTCGAATATTTAGATCGGGCGGTAACGGAAGAAAGGGACTTGTTTTAGCGATCGTTACTACTGTATTACCTGTGTGTGAACCCCCCCATTTTTTTAGTTTGGGATTTTTGTTTTTCTTTCCTGCTTTACCGCTCTCAGGGGAGGTTGTCTGGACTCGGTCTGGAATGCGCTTAATCAAGCGGTAAGATTGCGGTCTTGGCATCCGGAGCTTCATCGGTTTATAGTTAGAAGCTAGATAAACAGGACTGACATAATTTTTAGCTAAGGCGATCAATTCTTTTACAATACAAATGACTCTTTTGTTGCCAAGCTAATATATGTAACACCTTGAACTGACAGCTGCAAAGGGTACAGATTCAGGCTGATAGATTAACCCTACAGGTGCATTTTGACACGTCTGCGACCCACTGGGGGTGATCGTTCGACGGGGCCCAAGATACGGTGTGAATGCTAGTGGTTTCAACAGCAAGCCGATCCAATGGCCGGATCCAATTGCCCTGAGAGCTCGAATAGAACAATCGTGACGTCCCCTTGAAGCACATGCTCACATCAGAGGTGCTCAGCGGCACATATTCGTCATCAAAAATGCGTTAGGCCTCATTGCCAAGTTTCTGGTTAATGAGATCCTCATCGCCATCTCCATCTTGATCGGCGGCATCTTCCTCTTCCTCCGCGTCTTCCTCATCCTCATCGTCATCATCGCTGTCATCATCATCATCATCATCGCTGGAGCCACTTCCTTCACTGTCACCATCAGTTCCCGGGTCATAATCTTCCTCGTCCTCTTCCTCCTCGTCTTCAAGCTCTCGTTGGGCTTTTTGAAGCTCGCTTTCCTCTTCTTCACCGCCAGCCTCGGCAGCTCCATCCTGGTTCTTGCCAGTATTAACATTATATACCTTCGCACGCCGGGCCTCAGCTAAACTTGCGTCTTGTAGACCATGTCGTTTGATGTAGGTATCGATCCCACTAAAGTCAGCCTGGTCAATCATCTGGAATTCGATTTCCATCTGATCTTCTTCAGAGCCGTTGCGCGGACGGGCTAAAAAGTTGAGGTTGAATGTCCGTTGAAGAACAGATGTATATGAAACGGATTCGATGGTGTCAAAGGAGAAGAACAAAAGGGGCTTCTTGAAAGCAAACAGAATTCCGGTTGACAGGAAAAAAAGGTAACCTAGCGACAAAAAGGCACGTCAGTATTATTGTAGACCAAAACAAGTGTAAAGACCCCAGACGCCTTTCCCAAGGGATACATACCTTCTTTACTGCCCCGGAAGGCTTTGACATGATAGGCCTTCTCACCCTTGCGGTGGGCCTCGGGCATAGCGCTCACAAACTGTCTCTCATCGGGCCGCACGACATTCGTGTTTGGCATGGTATCATTCAGCAGCTTCCGGATCAGAGCTTCCGCAGTCTCGCCCTCGTTGTGACCGATCTGCTGTCCCAATCCAGTAAACGCAGCCTTGGCTGGGCCATCAGCCACTGTGAAAACCATACAATCTAAGCCAGGCACGCCCTCGGGTGGTGGTGTGATTCCATCGGCGTACTCAGGAATGATACAAAAGTTGAACTGTTTTTGAGTCTTCTCTGGCACAGGGAGGCACAAGGCATGACCTACATTGCAAGCGAAACCACACATTAGTCTCTTGTCTCGTCCAATAAAGACCAAAAAAAAAAAAAAAAATTTAGACGAATTTCAATACTCACGGATTCGGTCCATGGGGACACCAAATTCAATCTGTTTCGTAGCCTGGTTCCTTGCACGAAGGCCGCCACTCGCGGTTATCTCGAGCATGAGCTTCTTGCGTTGAGGTATAGCGAACGACACATCCTGAACATAGAATTGAACTGGTGCGCTGGGGTCTTTCAAGTCTGCAGATGATTGTACAGTCACTGGCGGCTGTCCATTCTCTATTTTGCGCTTCTTCGCGGCAGGGCCATTGCTGGGCGGCGGAACGAACGGGAGGGATGTAGTATTGGCAGCCCTGGCCAGCAGGGAAGAGGTGTATCGCGCGAGGTCCTTAAATAAAGGTTCGTGGTAAGGTGTAGAGCCTAAATGATCGAGATCGATGACGGTCAGTGGGTGGGCGACAGGGTTGTGGTCTTCGCCATCGGGTGGGCGTAGATGCGCCGTTGACTACGCACCGATCGCATCGTAGACTCTTTGCTTTAGAGAGGGTTCGGTCGCAAAAGCCTCCTCGATCTCGGTGATCGGAGCCCCGGCCGAATTGACTGCTGCAAACGCCATGTTTTTGTACAGCTGCCCGGAGGTGAAAGCTGTGTGAAAGGGAATGGCCGGGAGGAAGTTGGATCAAGAATGATTGCCCCAGGCGCTGAACTTTCGATCTCCCCTGTCGGACCCGCGGATCGTCATATGAAAACCCTACATCAAGCACAGCCTTCCCACGGCATATTCCTGTGAACAAACCTTTGATAGATGGTGTTTTGTATGCACATTGAATAGAACCTTGTGGATGAACTCAGAAAAATAGATATAGGCGCAAATTTCCATGCTACTAGAATACATTGAGGTTTATACAAATCGCTTTCTTGCAAATATAAGACAAGTCCAGCTTTCGCTGCCACGGTTACTGGGTTTAAGCAGAAGCCTGGGCATTTGCAGGCTTGCTGGACTTTGTCGCGTTCATCCCCATGAAGCGGCTGATGAAGTCGTTGGTCTCCTTGTCCATGAGCACATTGCCATTGGCATCCATCTTCGCCAGCTTGGATGCCACACTGGCATTGGCCGTCTGCACCTTCTTCTCGCCTTTGGGGGTCAGTAAAGACTGGCTCCTCAGGTATTCCTGTCGGTATTCCTCCATCACCTTCTCCTTCACATACTCGGGGTCGTGCCGTGTGCGGAATCTGGAGTATTTGTTGCGCAATTCATCGATAACGCTGGACGGGAAAGGCGGCTCGTCCATAGAGGGAACCCAAGACATATCTGCCACTTCGTTTCCTCTTGTGTCACACTCGGCGACCTCGGTATGCGGTGGCTCCTCTGCGGGCCACGGAATCTCAATATCCAATCCAGCGATGTAGCGAGAAAAGCGCGGGAGTTTGCTGTCTGAGGATCGCTCCAGGTAGGGAGGACCGCCGTAGGCATGCTGTACGATGTGATCTTTAGTTCCGTCTTCCATCTCGAGGGCAACGACATGTCGAATATCGTTCATGGACACTGGCATGCCCTGGGCGACGGTATCGGAGGTGATTCCCATGGAAATTTTAGCAAACTCAGGGACGGTGACTTCAGCCTGAATAGGTACAAATTGTCAATGATACTCCTCAGAGCCAATTGCGTATACAAGCAGGTCTAGAACGCACCATGTTGACATCCTTGATGATGACAGTCTCACTCTCCACATTGATCTGAGTGATTTCGTTGATCTTGCCCTTATCCCTACCCCGAATAACGCAGACCCGGTCTCCTTCAGCAAATAGGATCTCTTTCCGGCGTAGGTGCTTGGGGATGGCCGGGGGATGCAACAAGGAGACATCTACCGCACCGTACTTGGTCGCATCGGGTCCAACATGTCGCATGGGCGCCAAAGCTCCCTTCTCCCAGTCCTCCCAGCGGGCATTCCGCGATTCCTTAAGACCGGTGACCAAAGCTCTGTTGTAATCCTTCCGTTGCCGGAGGACCTGCTGGCGGTCCGCAACTTTAAGGGCTTGTTGGGCCCGGTAAATCTTCTTTTGCGCTTGCTTCCGGGCTGTCGTAGCCCTCTGAATGACCTTCTGCATTTTGACGAGTTGGGGGTTCAGCAATGGCCGAACGTTGCTGCTTGTCAATAATTAGCAACGCGCGGACGGAAAATTGCGGCCAAATTCACAACACGTGACGTTTAACCAGTTGTATTAGGTAAGCGGTCTGCCCTTCGCAGTCGAGTCCAGGAATAATACAGAGGTAGATTTATTTGTGTGTAAAACGAGGTCTTCAATCCTCGATCGTGGTGTTTCCGCTCTCTTGGTTCTCAGGTTTGACAGGTGCTTGGAATTCGACACATATCCATGTAGGTATATCTCACTCCACACCAGGTGGGCAGATGACAACTCTAACTAAGGTCTTTTGGTTCCAGGTTTTGGAATGCAATCATGCGTGACACAGTGGAACTCAATTGTTTGATCTCTTTTGCATATTATGGCCTCGGCCCCCAATACTTAATTGAAGGTTGATGTCTGGGTATTGACTGACCGCGAGGGTGCGAATCAAAACATGTAATCTTCTCGGCCAGGGCCATACAATGGGGCTTGGTCACGGCAGCAGAAAAGGCTTACTTAGTATCAGTTTAGATACCAGGTTGTTCCTTTGGTTTTTTGAGCCACACGAAACAAGGACAAATAAATCATAGGAAGTCGGTTGAGGGCTGTCCATTTAAAACATAAGTAAGCAAGGCAGTCCGTGACCGGGAACTGTACATGTTGAGCTCCGGGTACAAGCGATTATACTGGTGTTGGTTGGAAAGGCTGTTCAAATATTTCAAGTCCTCGATTCAAATTCGAGATCCATGGACATTTGAGCCCCGAGGCGTTGAAAGTTCCACAAGATGCTGATGTATGCAAGCCTCTTAATATGATACACATCTCTTTATATACACCACGCACCGGTATGGATGATCCACTCATTCAGGCGCCACCAAGTCCCTGAGAATCTCAGTGGCGTGTTTATGTATAGTAAAATGCGAGTCTCCCGTGTATTCTTTCAAGATAGCATGAGGAATACATCCAGCCATGTAGCGCCCCAATGTTACAGGAGTGTTATAGTCCTCCGTACCATACCACAAGCGGACATTTTTCAGGTGGATTTGGTCCAGCTCAAAGCCCCAGTCCGATGTCAAGACTCGCCCTTCATCCACTGTGGCATCTACACCATGTCTAAAGCTCTCTTTGAGGGAAGCCTGCAAGAGATCCAAGCTTTCAGGTTTTTCACAGAAGTCTCGATCAGCAGGCTTCATGCGCTTCGTGGCACCAATCACCACCTCCCTCATTTTGACCGGATTCGAGCCCTTGACCATCTCGCCAAAGATGGTGTTCAGCATGATGCGAGCCAGCCAGGGTGCATACGCAAGGCAATTGAGTAAAAGTCGCAGGTCCCAAGTTGCACCCCCAGTGCCCAAGTGCCAAGGACCCATGCCCGACACAACGCCAACCCCCAGCAGCTCCGATTCCGGCAAGCCATGAGCACAGGCAAGGGCATACGGCCCGCCTGCAGAAACTCCGAGAACATAGTATTGCGCCAGATTTAGGTGTTTGGCCAGCTCACGTGTATCGGCGGGCCAGTCCATAAGCTTACGATTCGGCTGTGGGGACGAAAGGCCGAGTCCCGGGCGATCGATGCCGATGACCCGCACGTTCACTTCACGCGCGGCATGATGAAATGACGCAGACTCGAATCTCGACCCAGGAAGGCCATGGAAAGCGAAAAGTGGAGTGGCATCGTCACTGGTTGAGCCAAATTCCGCGAAGCCGAGAGTACGGCCGTCGACGAGGGAGATGGATTGATGAAGCCGTGCCTGGAGTGATGGGTCCTGGAGTAGGGAGCCGCTAGCCATGCTTGTCGATCGGGCTCGGTGGCTTTTCGCTAGTGTCGCGAAAGTGGAAATCCAGTAACTCTCGTGTAGGAAAAACCGGGGCAAGCTCGAATAATGACTGGCTTTCTATGCATCGTCTAAAAATTGTGTGGAGCGATAACGAGCTAAGAGTACGTGGAGCGGAAACTACGCTAAACGATTTCGCTCCTAGCCTTCACCTCTAGCGTAAAAGCCCTCGACTTCCCGTGAGAACAAAGGCACCAGCATTCGAGCATCTCAGCCGCTTCCGCTTCCACTATTTTTAGTCGCTTTACAATTTCTGATCCCGGCCGCGCAAGGTAAATTGGGGGTTTCAATTTTATTTTTTTCTATTATTATAATTATTCCTTTCTGTAACTGCCCGGACATGCCCCCTATTGTCTCCACCATTTGGATAAGGGATGCACGTTGCAAAGTGGATTGGGCTCGGAGGCATTACAGAAGTCAATTTTGATTGGCTTGGTAAGGAATGGCTCAACGTGGACTGGCCCCTGGATCATGATCACGTTAGAAAAAAATTTCTTGGATATCGTATTTCATCCTTGGCTTTTGGTCCATTCTGAGGAGCAAGGCTGCAGACGGTAATCAAGATGCAGGAGACCTGGGAATTATTGAAGCGATCGTCACTGGAAGTCAAGCATTTTTGGATGGATCCCAAATGATCTTTTATGTTATACAGTTGACCGCATTTACCCGTTTCAAGCTATGATTTGCTACCTCTGCATGTCCACTCTTTAAGTCAGAACGGTACATATACAGCATTAATACCACATATTCGGATCTGAAATATTCAGCTCTATTCAGTCAAACTATCGAACCTTGGTAACATATTGAACACTGTTTCACGGGCAATGCCCGTCGGCTCTCCCTATCTGCTGCTTTCTTTCGAGAGTGCATTCATAAGATCGGAGTTTCGGCTCTACAATGTCCATGGGTACCAAATAAGGCCGTGATAGAGTTCAGCACCAACTCTGAAACCCTCCTTTCCTTTTCTATGATATCACATCCTCACATACCTTTCTATACAGCCACGGTGGCTGTGTCCCCAGGATCAGAGGTGGATCTTTTTGTGACGCGGATGATAACTTTGCTCAGCCACACATAATCTGCTAGGGCTGGCATGGTAATTGTATTACCGTCTTTTGATCAGAGGCCTGGCCACAGCAAGGCAACGGGTAGGAGAACATGCGGACCGTGATAGGTTGTAGGGATCGTAGATCAGGTACAAGGTGTAGGTGACATGTTGCACCTACTTAGGTGAAGTACCAAGGCTTTAAGCACCTTGCAAATGACCAGGTACTTTTGAATTTAAGGGGAAACGCCCAGGTGGTAGGAAAAAGGAGGAAGCCCAGTTCTCCGACACAATACCTGAACGGGCGGTACCACAACAAATACGATACCCCGAGAATACGGCCACCGCCGGGCAAGTCTGGCCTCTATCTTCCTCCACCTCCAAGTCATCAAATATTCTTCTCCTCCATCCCAAATCCTATTTCCTCCATCCCTGGTTCGTTCTCTTGCTACGACGTGGGCTATCTTCTATTTGAATTAACCTCTTTCAACCGCAGTATTCCAGTTGTTGAGATTTCACAGTACGATCACCCTCCTTTTCTCAAAGTCAACCCCCCGGGACAACCTGACCTGGTCCCTTTCCCATCCCTCACCTCTCCCCCTTCTACCCCCTCTCCCCCACTCCCCGCGTGCTCCATCTTCTGGATACACGTCTCCGCAAGCACAAGCTTGTATTCTATGATCATTTATCGTGATCCGTAATCGCTGACTTGGTCTCCCTGAAGATGGCCGAGATCCGTCGCAAGCTCGTCATCGTAGGCGATGGTGCCTGCGGTAAGACCTGTCTTCTCATGTAAGTACCCTGACATCAGAACTGACTCCCCCTCCACAATCACCCCTTGATTTTGTGCCTGAAACTAATCACGTATCTCGCAGTGTCTTCTCGAAGGGCACCTTCCCTGAGGTGAGCTCCTATCTGACCCCGATCCTGATCACATGTCCTATCACAGGACTCCCGGCTCAGCCCCATGTACCTCCGCCGAACTTTTTCTGATACATTTCTTTTATGATTACAGGTCTACGTCCCCACTGTCTTCGAGAACTATGTCGCCGATGTTGAGGTTGACGGCAAGCACGTCGAGCTTGCTCTTTGGGATACGGCTGGCCAAGAAGATTACGACCGTCTCCGTCCTTTGTCATACCCCGACTCGCACGTCATTCTGATCTGTTTCGCCGTCGACTCCCCCGATTCGCTTGACAACGTCCAGGAGAAGGTGCGTACCTCGTCCCGATAAGCCCCAATGCTCCGAAGTGGATTCCCATGATCCACTGGGGCGAACCAGAGCCTAAGCTGACATCTTTTGTAGTGGATTTCTGAGGTCCTCCACTTCTGCCAGGGTCTCCCAATTATCCTGGTTGGCTGTAAGAAGGATTTGCGTCACGACCCTAAGACCATTGAGGAGCTCAACAAGACCTCCCAGAGCCCCGTCAGTGAGAGCCAGGTAAGCTGAGATCCCGATACCATTACAGATTTGGGATGACCCACTAATTCATGTATACAGGGTGAGGAGGTCCGCAAGAAGATCGGTGCCTACAAGTACTTGGAGTGCTCTGCCCGTACAAGCGAAGGTGTTAAGGAGGTCTTCGAGGCCGCCACTCGCGCAGCTCTGCTGAAGATCACCAAGGGCGGCCGCGGGGGTAAGTCCAAGAAGTCGTGCTTGATCCTGTAAACTACGCCCCACCGTTGAGGTAGTCCGCCCCGAACACACCGTCGGGACTCGGGCAGGTTTGGTTCTCGAAAAGGGGGGAGGTGCTACTGGGGCTTGTTTCTTTTGCGAGATTCGTGAATAATATCGAGCCCGAGTGCCTGAGATGCGGAAATCCTCTCTTCTTCCCCCCTGCAGTTGGTCGACCTTGTGTTTCTCCTTTTTTGCCTTTATTTTGCAGAATTTGTCTAGGGAGGCGTTGTCTTCATCATAACCCTGTGGGCTTTTCTCTTTTTTCTCCCCCATCTCTTTCCCATTCAACTTCGTGGATCACAATGACAAATTTGCCCTTTTCGTGGGCAGTATAAAACATTAAGAAAACCAACCAAAAAAAGTGGGAGAAAGCCTTGGACAGTAGCGCCGGTTGTGAATTTGGACATCGCCTTGACGAGCCATGGCTCATGGTTGTCGCCCTGTGTGATGATAGATGATTCCCGTTTCTCCCTTCGGATATCTCCCCCCAGCGAAGAGCTTGACTCTTATTTTTGTCTAATCTAACTATTTGATTTCTGTTAAAGCTAATGCATGGAACATCTGGTCTTGGACTTGTGCTCCAGTTTATTCTTATTTTAGAACTCGTCTTGCGTGAGTTTGGGGGGAAATTCGCAATATATCGTAGTATAATACTTCTAGGTACCCTAGTCACAGAATATCAGGGGGTTGTAAGTTGAACGTCGTAATCGATCTCCAGCAAATTTATGTGATATTTATAAGGTATAGTATCCGTAGAGTAGCCCCGATAGATCGATGCAGGAGTGCAAAAAGAAGAATCACCTGTTAAATCGCAGTAACCCCTCAACATATCTTCGAGCATCCAGTCCAAGCCCCTCTACCAGCTTCGAAGGAGTAGTAGTATCAGCACCACGAGGACCCTTAGAAGACGATCCACCTAAATCGCGGAAGAAGCGCGCACCGCTACTCATTCGATCCTGGTTCACAGGGGAGACATAGTCACTCGCCTTGCGGACAAGGAAAGCTTCTTGCGGTTCTGGGACACCAGGAGACAAGGAGTGAATATCATCGGTTTCCGCTTCAGCCATGGATGACAGAGCCACAGACGAGGATACAGAGGAGAGGGCCTGTGGTGGTGATGGGCCCGTTGGTGGGATGCGGACCCAGAGGATCCACCAGCCACGACTAGTCTTGCAGGTGCGCTCGAGTTCCTGTGGACGGGAGCGGGTATCGATGTATGTGGATAAGAGGCGGTGGTGGATGGCAAGACTCTCTACGCGGGACCATTTTGGTGCGGTTGGTAGTTGAATGGATGAGGGAGATGGCGTGCGAGGTGATTGAGGTATTTTTGGTGATTGGGGGGGTGTACCTAGACTGGGGATGTTGGGGATGGAGGATCGGATTGTTAAATTAGACGGGTCGTAGACTAGGTCGTGAACTGGTTGAGTTCGGGCGGAAAAGCGCTTTTTAGGATCGGCGGTGCCTTCAGATGTCGAAATGCGTGAGGCAGCTGCTGCCGGGGAGGTGGATGAGAGCAGTGATTTCTGGAGGGGGCCTAACTGGTGATGGATGCTAGTGTAGAGAGACGGAGATGATAAATTTGTAGTATTCGCATCAAACAGGAAGGTGAACATGAAAGGTTGGTGCTGTATTGGTGTTAGCTAGTCGAATTTGATATCGGGCACGTGAACCCTTACCACATAAATCACGGCCTCAAGCTTTCGTGCATGCCCGTCTCCACCTGAGCCATCTCCCAAACGAACATGGAGCGTTCGATGCACGATGCGAGTCTTGGATTTGTTCACATCTGACTCAGATACCGGACTACCTTCTTCCAGGTCGTCCAGTGTGTCCAGATCGTCGCGAGGCCCAAGAATGAAACGACCAGCATCCTTGTTAGATTCCTGGCGAGATCTGCTTGGCGCATTTGGCGGTGGAGTCTGAACTGGATTGGTGGATGGCTGAGTTCGCTCTATGATTCCAGTTGTTGGCTTGCCAACCTCCGGAACAGGAGAGCCTGAGAGTGACGGTGTGGACATGCTAGAGAGACTCCAAGATGATCCATACCCCAGAGTCAGATACTTCATGACTGCTTCGGTCCCAAAGGCTGATTTCTCGCTCTTTGGATCACTTCCTAATGGAGGAATCTCTTCTCGCTCAGGCGTGTTCTCGCAATGAGCTTCTGGAATAGTCTGCGGTGCAGCCAATACAAGCGGACGGGGTATGCCGGGCGTATGAACCCGCTCTGGAGTTGACGGATTTTTGCCATCTTGGCGACTAGCGGAGCTCCTTCCTCTATGACTTTGGAGTTTTCTTCGGCGTAGAGAATTTGGGTCTCGCCCGATACCATATGTCGCATCGCCATATCGGTAAATCGACTCCATCCAGTGTGAAACATGAGCGACAGAGCGCCGCGATATGGTATCGACACCCGAAAATATCACACCGTCAGCCGGTCGGGGATCAGTGTCCTGCCCTAGCCATGGCATTTCACCATTAAATTGAGATGAGGAGTCCCCGGAGTGGGCGGATGAGTCGCCGAATCTCGATACAACCAGATCAATCAAGCCGTCTGTTCTCCCCACAAAATCCTCAAGAACCTCTCTCTCCCCGCTGCCCCATTCTTCTTCTCCGACGCCGATTCCTAACTCGCCGCCCGCAGCAAGTTTGATTCCGTTATAGATATCAACGATTGGGTTTCCGGTTAAAAGAAGCTCCCAGTTCCATGCAAATTTCTCCCAGAACCGTTCAAGATAGAGACAGAATGAGGCCCGACTCACACGCCCGTAAAGATCGCTCAGAGAATAGTCATGGAGAAGAAGGAATATCGAGTGGGCGCGGCGCAGTTGTTGAATATGGAGCTGTGGGTGTCCCATCTCCCTTGCTGAATAATGAAACTTCGTATTACTAACTGTGTCGTTTGAGGAAGCTTGTGTTGGTTCAGTTGGTAATCGCGTCAGGTCGATAGACTAGCTTTGGTCTTAGTGGAATGTTCGGGCTATCAAGGCTTCGGTCACACTTACAGCAACCACCCACCAGTCTTTCTCCAGCTCGAGAAGCACCACTCTTGTCTTTGCTGTTTCAACATAGTCCAATGCCTTGCCTGACGAAAAATCACTGTAAAATGGGTATGAGCCCGGTGTTCATCTGAGCAATTTGAGCAAGAGGCTCCGACCTAGCGAAGTTCACCATCCCCTGCGCCAGACCTATCTGGCGCAGCCTCTCGTTTTTGCCATCTTGAGGAGGCTTGCTACCTTCTTCTTCTGTAGGCGAGCCTTCTGTCCGTTGTAGGTAGTCCGACCGCGAGGTGTAGAACACGATCTGGTCTTCGAGCGTCTCGTCGGTGGGTCCGAGAGTTGGATTATAGATAGCGAGAAAGGAGAGTTGCGCGGGGATCACCGAGCCAGCGTCACTTTCCGGCATGGCATCGCTAGGATTTGCAAATAACACTTAGCAATTCCAACCTAGAGTGTGTGAGAGAGAGAGAGAGAGTCGTTGGCGCAAGAACAGTGGGACCGATGATGTTTATATCACGTGGCGCTTATCGATAAGTCGCAGGTCTCGGAGTTTTGGGCATGTTAAACTTCATGATCCCCAGATTTCAATTCAAAGATGTGGTTACTGCGGGGACCAGATGTTCTTGCATCATGCAGGCATATCTATGCTTCTCATCGACCAAGCTATCGGTTCTTTGCAACCCGATCTTATGAGCCTCTCCGTATTCTCTTCTGTGGCTCCGACGAATTTAGTATTGCCTCCCTGAAAGCCCTCCATGCCTACCACTTAAAGCAACCTAGTCGAATTGCCTCAATTGATGTTGTATGCCGACCAGGCAAACGAGTTGGCAGAGGCCGGAAGACGATTCGAGAAGGTTTGTCCAATATATGGGTTTAAATGAGGCTTTCGCGAGCTAAATATGAGCTTTCACCAGTCCCTATCAAGGAGGTAGCATCCTCTCTTTCGCTGCCAATTCATGAAATCGATACTTTCACAGGATGGACAGTAAGATTCTCTACTTCAATATGTCAATTGGCAATTTCGCTAACTCGGGTGCTAGCCACCAGTCACGTCGAATGGACCTGTCAACTTGATTATTGCCGTTTCATTTGGACTTTTTGTGCCTCCACGTATCTTGAATGCCGCTAGCTACGGAGGTTTGAATGTGCACCCCTCATTACTTCCAGAGTATGTATCCAGATGAACTGTTTTTGAAAGTTTGTGCTATAGAAAAGCTGACATGACTCTAGCTTCCGTGGCCCAGCCCCGTTGCACCATACTCTTTTGGCTGGTCGAACCACTACTGGCGTGACATTACAGACACTACATCACAAGAGCTTTGATCATGGGACAATTCTTTCCCAAACGCCATGCCCTGGGTTTGAAATTCCCAGCCCTGACTCTTGCACTGTTCCCGAATTGGTGGATCTTGTTGCACCCAGGGGAGCTCAAATACTGGTGAACGGTATTGATGACGGCCTTTTTGTGCCACCACTCAAGGATGCCGGATGGCGTGCTGCCGAGGGCACTGATGACCTTATCCACGCCGGTAAAATCAAGCCAGAAGACCGATACATTGACTGGGCTAACTGGTCATTGCTTGACATCAAACGGCGCAACACGGTTCTTGAGTCTCTGTGGAGCAATGTACTTGTCCCGGTCAATGATGCAGATGGATCTACATCTTTCCAGTACAAGCGTGTGATTTTCACGGATATTGAAGAAGTTGAACCGCCCAAAGGAAGTGAATGTTTTGCGGTTGTTCCAGGGCTGCCATTTGCAAATGCTGCCCATCCTGTTGGGCCAAAAAAGGGAAGAGAACTCTACGTCTTTACTAAGGATGGCAAGGCTCTGCGCATCAACAGGATGAAAGTCCAGGCAGAGGCAGATGCCGAGGGGCTTCGTGCTGCGATCAAGGCTCGCATGTTTGGTGATCAGTCTTTCCAGTCGGAGGGCATGGTCTTTACCCCATTCCGTAATCCTCTGTCATAAGTGGGATGGACTTGTAGAATACTGTACTTATATTCGATCTATCAACATAATACCCTTTATACTTGGCCCAATATCCCACTCACGATACGACCCCTCACAATCGCTTCCCGAGGCCTTAGTCTACCGGATCGCGAATCCGGAATCTACAGAGTCAGTTATATCCGAAGCACTTGGAATCAAGGTCCATACCAATTTGGACTGTTGCCCCAGTCATAGATGAGTTCTTTGCAATCGACAGATATGTATCCGCAGCGTCCTCCACCTCGGGCTAGGGAACACAGTCAGACACGAGATATACTTAAGGACTTGAAAAACATACCAGCTTCTTCAGTGTCGTTTTGTCTGACATGGCATCAATCTTCTCCTGAGTGAACTGCTGACCCTGTGATATAGTCAGCTATCTGATCCGAACAATTTTGATAATCATGAAGCAAACCCATTCAGTGAGCATGAGCCCGGGGCACACGGCGTTCACGCGGATTTTGGAGCCCTGGGTTTGCGCAAGGCACTTCATCAGGTGGATCAAAGCCGCCTTGGTGACAGCGTATGGTATGCTGCTGCCACTAGGGATAAGACCCTGAGAGAAATATTAGCACAGCCATGAACAAAACATACGATCCACACGACTAACCGCGACCGAGGCAGTCATAATAAATGCTCCACCCTCAGGATTAGCATCTAAAGTCGGTTTGGCAGCCTTGAACAGATAAAGGCCACTCTTGACATTGATATTCCAGCACTGCTACGGTTAGCTTGCAACAATGAATATGAGAATGGGAAAATCGAATCACCTTGTCCCAATCATCATCATCCATAGCATCCAAATCCCCGAAGTTGGTCATCTTTGTCCAACCCTTGAAGAATTATCAGCGAATTCCAAGAATGAAAAGCAAAGCAGAGTGTTCTGCTTGACCTACGGCGTTCGAAATCACAACATCCAGACCTCCCAGTTGTTCAATGGCCGTTCTAACCGTATTGGTAGCTTCAGACTGCTTTCCAGCGTTCTAAGTCGACCCCAAAGACAATATCAGTATAATTTAAGTCAACACTCAATCGGGAATAGAAAGACCGTACACCCTGAATCACGACCGTCTTAACGTTGTATTTGCTCGCAAGATCCCCAGCAATTTTCTCGGCCGCTTCCTTGCTCGACATGTAGTTGATGGCGACATTGCTGCCCTCGGCAGCAAACTTGGCGGCAACAATGGCACCTAGACCTCTTTTATTCAGTGTTAGCTATACATCCCTTCATTGAAGTAGTTGAACCGTGTGCCGCGGGAGAGTCCTACCGGGATCCACCGATGACCAAGACGTTTCGGCCCAGAAGGGAGTAGGGCATTTTGAATGAATAGAATAGGTGTTATTCGATTTGAACAAAACAATGTTGGAAAGATGAGAAATTGTGAACTTAATTCTATTCCCCGCAACAGGGCGGTCCGATAGCGATGCGGGGCGGTGCCGGGTACCTATGGCGGGACTATTCCGATACGCCTCCACTCCGGATGCTGTGTCCTGTTGACAAGGTGATTCTAGGTATAGTGGACGAAATAACTCAGATTATCTGAGATAGGGATTTCGATGATCTTATAACATTTGAAAGTTGTCTTGACTTTAAGCATTGGGCAAGTTCGAAAGGCTCGAATATGCTCGTACGGAAGCGTCTATATTTAAATATATTGTTTCAATGTTTTTTCAACCAACACTGCCATTCAATCACAATTGAAAAGATCCTCAGTCGCAAAGAAGCTCTGCGCCTTTCATTTTTAATACGGTCGGACTGTCCGAAGCAAAAGCGATAAAGCGATAAAGACTGCGGTAGCTGCGCGCGATACGAGTCCCCACATCGGCATGTGGGGAGAAAACACCATTGAAGCTGTGAAGGTCGCGCCTGTGCATCCTTGGGCAGCCAATACGCTTTGGATCATTCCGACGACCGATTCGCTGATTCCAAAGCAACTACAGGTTGACTCGAAGGGTATTAATGGCCAGTGGTCTCGTCAGTACACGGGTATATTCAATTATGCTTCAAGAATTTCAGTATAGACGTCGTCCACGGGTGTTGAAGATCATCCTTTCAATTGAGCCCACCGCTTTTAAGGCTTCGCCTTCAACTCTTCAATAAACCTGCAGGCGCCCGCTGCTGCACGGGATTTAGTATACAGTCTCATTGTGAATATAGCAAATACCAAGCTAGTGACTCTTCTGATATAAACCGAGTACTCATGTACTGATCATCTCTCATATTTCGTGCCCCCTCCAAGCTTGACTTCACGAACAGATTGTCTGAAGCTAGACAGAAAGCTTTGGAGCTTGAATACTACAGGGGTGATACCTGTGTGCGGCTCTAGAGCCTGAAGCGCAAACAAACCAAAATGATGATGGAATGAGCTGATACGACCCGGAATCGAATATAGCTTGTCCCAAGACATACGGGTTTGAGGACAACGGATTGGATGTAGTAAAAAGTTGATATTGAATCTAAAATTTTCAGAACTGATTACACAAGACTCACAACACGGCCCAGCCGACATAGGAGGTCTTCTTCATCCCCCACCAGGCCCGGCGGCCCGCTAGACCAGGCCATTGAACGAGAAATCGGTCGGCAAGGGGAAGCAACAAAACTCCTGAGGTGCTCAAAGTGCTGATCCGCGCCCATGATTCCACGAAAATTGTCCGAAGCCTGGAGATCTCTGGCTTAAAATTCTTTCCGGAGAGTATACGGGAGATGAAAATAAAGAAACGGAGGGTTTTAGCAGCGACGATCATGCAAACAGAGACCGCAGGGCCATTGGTGATAATGATATCTGGACATGCCGAGGTGTACTTCAAGGGCAATCCCTGTTGATCAGGATATTTTCCGCATAGAACCAGGAGACAGGCCCAAAACGACTGGATTGTGGTGAAAGGAGCCGTCCAGTATGATTGGTGTACCCTTCGCGCTCGTGGAATGGTGACAACATCAAAGGAGCCTGTATCGGTGAGATTCTTGTTTTGTTCCATCTGGCGCGCGACTTGTTTGGCCTCGAATTCTGTGGCTTTTCCGGCGCTGAACTGATCCCCCGAGGTCACGACATAGGTGCGATAGGAGTAAACAGATAAGTCGAGGACTTTTTCCAGCATGAAGAACATCTCAGTAGTATGGCCACCACTGCCAAGGACGATGAGCAGGTGGACTGGCGTACCCCGACGACGGACCTTGGGAATCACAGCATTTTGGGAGAAGGCGAGCGCAAAAAGAATGATCTACCAGAATTGGATGTTAGTTTTGCTCATACCTGACAATCGAAGCTGGCTGTAGATACTCACAATCCCTGCAAGGATCACAATGGCTGCTGCGGGGAGGATAATCCTCATTAGGAGCTGGTAAAAGGCCATGATGTCACTTGCTGCGGAGGGCGGACAAAGATGGTTCAAAGATTCCGCAGCTGATGACAATGTTTCATGATTGAATCAAAACAATAACGAAGGAGAGAACATAATTTGTAGGGACGAATTAGTAGAAATGTCTAAACATCAATTTGGTTTCTTTGGGTGAGACTGTCGCGTCGCCCACAACACGTGCCGTTGGTGTCCGCCTTCATTATTTTCCTTGTTTCCCCATCGCATTCACACTCCATTGTCAACAATAACAACCACCACCTTCATTCTTTGCTTCATATGGTATTATGCCACCATGACGATGTTTTCAAAGCGCTTGACCTGCTTTTATTGCGGGGCTCGTCCCGCCAAATCCATTCTCGACTCGAACAACAAGTTTCATTGTGACCACTGCGATGCCGACAACTTCCTTGACCAGGTGCGCCCCTTGAAGCCAGGCGATCCCGTAAACACTAACAAAGGCTCTAGAATGGCGAAATCACCGATCCCCCTAATGAGATTACCAATCCTGTCCAGAACGTCGGCGCATCGAACGAGCGCATTGAGCAATTCCCCGAGTCCGAATTATTTTGCTCCCAATGTCTTCGCAACCAGCATTTGCTTACCAGCTCCCTTGCCGCCTTTGTTCCCGAGGACGATGAGAGAATCGATCGCCAATTTGACTCGAGCTACGCAAGCTACCGCCAAGAACTCGAAACACTGTATCCTCAAGTCTGTGAAAGCTGTGAGCCTCGCGTGAAGCAACGAATCCGAGAGGCCGGGTATGAGGCGAAAGCAGATAACCTCAGACGTATGATGGATCAAACTCGTGCTTCCAAGGCGGTGCAGCGCGCCCGACAGCACAGCTGGCAGAGCTTTCTTGTCTATCTTGGCGCCCTTGGATTCTGGATTAGCATCCTTGGTCAACTTGCTTGGGACACTATTGGTGTCTTGACTCTTTATCCTGTCCAGAACGATGCCGATATGTCCATCGATACTCCCATGTCTTTGTTGCTTCGTGTAAGGCAAATGATTGCGCTACGAGGTATTCCCCATGAATACTCTTTCGACTTAGCTTCTATCGCAGGCAAAGCCCTTGTTGCGGGCTGCCTTTCGCTTTGGTGGAACCCGAAACTACGCATGAAGGTCTATGGAAGACCTGGCAGATTCTCTGGCCTTGGAGAATACTACCAGCTACAGCTATTCTCATTAGTGTTGCGATGCGTGTTCTGGTCCCTGTTCAAAGACCCATCTGCAAGCGGAATTGATCCTAAGGGGTCTTTCGTCGGTCATACTGTTATGGCCGGCATTACAATTCTCGTGAGTCTCAAAAAATCACTTCTCCTTTGACAAAGCTAATGCAAGGAAGTGTATCTTGGCTTCCCGTCATGTTGTCAAGTACGATCGTCGAACTCTAGTGGACTGGTCGGACCATTCCTGGGAAAATGTACCAATGCGTAGCCCTACTTCTTCCCCATCTGCTAGGCATCGAACATCGAATCCTGATATGACGCCAAAAGCAACCAATGGTGGAACTCGTGAGCCGTTTCCGATTGCTCTGTTGTCTCCCCAGTCTGCCGTGACCAGGACCTCTGCCTTTCCTACTCCCCCTCCTGAATCTGATGACATGGACTGGACTCCTTCCCGCACACATGAAATCCGGCCAACGGTCAGTATTCATCAGCGGGATAAGCCATCGGTTTTTGAAGGCCCAAATCCATTCTATGGCAGCATTCCTGCCGTACCAAAGCCTCCTGCATGGCAACTTCGCACACAGCCCTCGAACAAGCCCATTGAACAAGTCGTGGAGCGAAATCCATTTCACCGCAGCCCAACCAACTCGCCTACCTCATGGCAACACAAATCAGCCAGTCCCGCGCCGGTGTTCAAACCTCCGACATTCTTTCCAAGCAGTGATCATAATTCTTTTACCGGCTTGGAGACTCTCTTTGACAGGACTTTCAGCATTGACCCCAATAATACGCCTCGAAGAAGTGAGCAACAGCAGTCACGTCACTGCCACCCCCGCACCTCCCGTTCTTCCCGCATTCAACGCCGCGCTCTGTTACCATTATTCAGATTCCTCCTCCTGCTGCTCTCTATCGGCGCATGGGCCTTCTCCCAGAATCGTATGCTCCCGATACATGGGAACTACATTGAAACGTTTGCCCTGGGTAGTGCAAGCCTCATAGCAGGGCTTACCTTTCTTGAGGCTGTTAAGAAACCCATATCCGAGTGGAGGGGCTTAGAACTGCTTGTCAACATCACCGAACTCATTGTGGCTGTTCACCTTGGGGCACATTTGCCAAAACAGTTTACCGACCGAGAGTACTTTGATCGATATGGCAAATTACTTCTCATTTTCATGGCTGTGCAAGAGGTTATGGCATTACTAGCAATATTTCGCACCCCGACAATTCCTGTCAAACCAGCAGCAGGAGCGCAATCGGGGCCTACTTCTCCGGTTGGATCACCGCAGTATGAAAGACCTCAACTCGAGGCTACTGTCTACTCCCCGACAAGTTCTGCAACCACTCTTTCCCCCACTTACAACTCTTTCAAATATGCCCCTTCGTCATTTGAAACTTCTACCGGGTCGTCAAACTTATCGTCTGCACTGCCTTCATCATTTTCATCTCAGAGCCTCCACTCCTACCACCCACACCATCCACAACACCGCAACCCCCACAGCTTCACTATGCAATCTCTCAAGGAAAGTGAACCTTCAGATTACGAGCAGGACTCGGACAGTGAAACCGTTGCTACCAATACGACGGGTTGGACGAATACTACCAACCGGAACATCCGGTATGGACATCGGCCTTCCACAGCCCAAAGTAATGACAACTTCTTTTCTCCCCGGCGAAATCAACTCACTCCTGGTCTCGGTGGGTTGAGCCTCGAAGACCGACCAAATTCTCGGCGGATGACCCGGAGTCAGACCCAGCAGGGTCTGAACGGACGGGGACTCTCTTCTCGCGCTACTCGATGGTAGTTTCTGCCATCGTCTCGTCTTTGTTTTCAGCGGTCAAGTTCAGCATATCTTTATCTTTTTTTTATCTTGTCTTTGTTACATTGCACATAGCGACAGCGATTTATTTTATTATTGGCGACCAGGATAGGTCCTTATCATTGCCAGTGTTTGATGACGTACAAAATGACTGATGAACATATGTATCCATAGAGATGCAGCAGGTACAATCTAATATTACCTGAATTATTTTTTACTTTTGAGCTAGCCTGACACTTTAGAGCGCTATAATCAAAGGCCCCTATAACTGTATTGGATGCGCAGCATTTGAGATTCTGGATGGGATTATTACCGCACACATACCTCAGCTATCGACTCGGTCACACTAGACGATCTGGAATGTGATGGTGATCGAGGAGTGATGCTCACTGAGCCAGCACAGTTCCAAATCTTTATCCCGGTTCGAAAAAAAGTTTTCTTGCAATAACACACCAATCCAAATCAAACGAGGTGCTGCGTAAGTCTTTATTATTATTATTAAAAAAATTTTAATTTTTTTTTTTTTCGAATTCTACGCAGAGAAACATGCAGCCCTTCGACAATACATACTCGAAACTCGTAATATAGACCAATCACAGGGTCGTGGATTGCTGAGTCAGGATCTTGAACTCTTAGGGCTTCTCAAGGCATGGACGACAGCTAGCTGAATACATACCTTATTATTAAGATAAAGGTGCGATTTCTTAGTAGGCAGCTTGGAATAGTAGTCAGAAATGGTTTTAAGTGTCGATTTTTCATCAAATTCATGTCTGTTTGGGAGGATGTACCCTTGAGCCTGAGGGTGGTTTTATTTGGGACCTAATTGCCGGGGGCTCTTCAACAAAACGTCCACGAGGGGGTTAGCAAACGGCTCCAAGGTACAAGCTCCTTTTTCTGCTCTCCCATTGGCTGAAATTTCTCTGAAAAAAGAAGCGAGTTTTCTGTGTGGGTGTAAATACCCCCCGTGTTTCTCCCGCTCAACTTTCTTCTTCCCCAACTCTCCACTCAACTTTGATCTCCTCCACTTTGATCTCCTCCACTTCCTTGATCATGTTCCTTCCAACATCTTGTGGTGTCTATCATTCTTCATCATGTCGTTCCATCCTTGATGACTTGATCCATCCTTGGCCGCTTCATTCATCAACACAACAACCTTGTGTGCATTTGTGTCGTCCCTCTATCGGTCCTTTATGACTTCACTTTGATGACTTCTTATTGCTCTATCCAAACTTCATGACCTTTATGACTTGTTGTTGACCCATCATATTTTCATGACCATACGCAACCTTTGATGACTTATCCTTGTCTCATCCAACCTTGATGATTTCATCTCACAGCACAACATCAGCACATCTTGTTGTCCTTCTTCTCCCCTTTATCCTTTCGCCCACAAAACTGAAACTCCGTTCTTTTCAGGTCCAAGTCTTCTTTGAAGGGCGTCACTCAGCTGCAAGCCACTTTCAAATCACAAATCAAATCAACAAGCTGGGTGTCAGGACAAATTTAATGAAGACTTGACCACAACGACCACATTGACCTACCCCCCCACCCCCGGTTGACCCTATCTTCGACTCTGTCTTAGTCCAAGTCTTATTTGAAGGGCATCACTCAGCTGCCACATCAAACAAATCATCAAGCTGAGTGTCAGGACAAATTCAATTAGGACTTGGCTATGACAATCAACAACATCCGTTTGACTTTCGAAACATCTCCAACCTCTCGTCTTGGGTTCAAGTCTTCTCTGAAGGGCGTCACTCAGCTCCAAGCCACTTTCAAATCTCAAATAACCAAGCTGAGTGTCAGGACAAATTCAATGAAGACTTGGCCATGACAATCAATCACACCCGTTTACCTTTCCAAAACTTCCTCAACTTTCGTCTTGGGTTCAAGTCTTTTCTGAAGGGCGTCACTCAGCTGCCACATCAAACAAATCATTAAGCTGAGTGTCAGGACAAATTCAGTCAGGACTTGGCCATGACACATCAACAACATCCGTTTAACTCTCGAACCCTCTTCAACCTCTCGTCTTGGGTTCAAGTCTTTTCTGAAGGGCGTCACTCAGCTGCCGCATCAAACAAATCATTAAGCTGAGTGTCAGGACAAATTCAGTTAAGACTTGACCACAACGACCACAGCGACCACATTGCCCCCCCCCCCCCCCCCTCCGGTTTCGACCCTTTTCTCGACTCTGTCTTGGTCCAAGTCTCATTTGAAGGGCGCCACTCAGCTGCCACACCAAACAATTCACTAAGCTGAGTGTCAGGTCAAATTCAATTGATGCTTGGACCATGACCCATCAACACATTCATCTTCGTGCTTCCGTGACTTTTTCATGAACACCATGTGACCATCCATATATTTGAAACATGAAACAAAAGAAAGACCAGAAAGCAAGAACAAAACACCAACCAACAACTGCAATATACACCTATTGAAATATTGAACTTCTTACATAGAAATGACACATGTTCTGAAACTTATACCCTTCTTGTATCCGTGATAGTAATGGATCTTTATACATATCTAATCAAGATAACATTGTACATGCATCTACCACTTTACAACTCATGTAATGGACACATGTAATGATGCATGATTACAAGGTATTCATTACTGTAGGTCCTTGATCTGGAGTTGAGTACTAAGCTGACATGCGTGTCACAACAAAAAGAACACCAAAAAAGTAAACATCTACTACCCAGCCAAGCCCAAAACAAGATATTCATGCCACTCGCTCAACGTGAGATTCCGTAGCTTTGTCCGCTTGAGCTGGAGTCGAGCTGTGCTCAGGATCTTCCTTCTGCTGAAGCAATTCGGTAACACCAAATAGATCATCCATCTTCTCGAGAGACAACCCTGGATAGACTGGGTTAGCAAGCGCGATGTGCGATAAAGGATTGTGCAAGTTCCGACTCACCCTTTGTCTCTGGAATAAAGAACCACACGAAGACACACATAGAAAAGCAAAAGCAGGCGAAAATGATATAAGTCCTGCATATGCAACTACGTCAGTGCCAGAATCACACCACCAAAAGGAAAAAAACCCACCCGTAACCATTAGCACCAACCGTGGCCAGCATATTCGGAACCGCCCGCGCAACCACAAAGTTGAATAACCACTGAGTCGCAGCACCGAACGCGACATTCAGGGACCGTAGTCGTGCAGTTGGGATTTCGGAGACGTAAATCCAGCAGACGGGTCCCCAGCCAAATTGGAAGAAAGCTGCGAAGAGGAAGATGCAGACGAGAGCCACGTAGCCGGCCGGGATCACGGGGGCACCTTCGACCGGAGGAGCAATTCGGATGTATAGCCCAATGTAAAGCATGGCCAGTCCTTGCGCGATTGATGTCCAGAGGAGGGAGCGTCGGCGGCCGAGGGAATCGGCGACGAAAATGAGGAAGACACCACAACTGACCATCTTGACGATGCCGTAGATGCCCGTTGCGAAGAGATTGGTTGCATTACCAGTCACCCCTAGCTGTAAGAATCTGTCAGTACTCCCAAATTAAGAAGGGAGTTTACGGTGATCATGTTAGGAATCGGATCCACGAAGGCTCACATTTTTAACTGCAATCAATCAGCTCACGTTCCACTCGAGGGATATTGGGGGAACTCACAAATCTGCGGACTGTAATAATTAATAGCATTTGTCCCCGTCATCTGCTGGCATATCATCAAGAACACCGAGATCATAGCCCGCTTCCGGTTCCCAGGAATAAGCCACATCTCCTTCATAAGATCCCAGAAACCAGAGCCACCGATCAAAGCACGCTCCTGTTCCAGCTGCAGCGCGATAGCCTGGAACTCCTCTTCCAAGTATGGATGATCAACCGGCAGGGCACGCACTTTACTCAAAGTCGCGCGTGCCTCCTCCCATCGATCCTGTTTCGCCAGCCAACGTGGAGACTCGTTGCAGAGCAGCATACCCACGAACAAAAGCACAGCGGGCAGACCCTGCATTGCCAGTGGAACAAGGTACATTGCTGACCCGGTCAGATGAAGCAGTGAGCCGTAGTTGATCCAGAAGGCCAACATGATTCCCATTGTGATGAAGAACTGATAGAGACCCGTCAGTCCTCCGCGAATTGCGCGTGGAGCGTTTTCAGAGACGTAGAGAGGATTGATCATTGAGGCGCCGCCGACTCCGAAGCCGGTGATGAGACTGAGAGAAAAACCATGTTAGCTTGAGTCCCTCCAAATCAGCCCGAGATGGGTTGATAAATACCGTCCAATGTACATGGCCTCTAGATGACCACTTGCCGAGGCCTGCATGATGACACCGACAATTCCAATCAGCGCAGATCCTATCAAGGCGCCTCTTCTGCCCCATTTCTCAGCTGCGGGGGATGCTAGGAGAGCCCCGAAGAAGCATCCCGCTTGGAGGGTGGAGACGATGTTGGCAGATAAGTTTGCCTGGGCTACAGAGTCGAGGTCTTGCAGACCATACGTTCTGGTCCCCAGAAAGCATTAGAATATCAGTAATCACCCAGTTGAACGAACACTCACTGTTTGAAGGGCGGCATAGTCAGGACACCACCGATGATTCCTGAGTCCATACCGAATAACATTCCTCCGCAGCATGCCTGTAGAGCTCTCAGTATGTATAGAGATTGAAACAATGGCAATAAGCTACTTACCGAACAAGCAAGCAAGTAGACCCTCCACCCATAGATCTCCTTTGGATCCGTTTTCATCGCCTCATTGTGGACAATCCTCTGCAATAATGCCGACATCTTGAGCGGAATCGAATACGAAGCACCTCGAGTCACAATGTACGGCAGTGCAGAAAGAAGAATTTACCTAAATCAAATAGAAGCCCAGAACGGTAGGTTATATAGCAAGAGAGCTCAGTGCCAACTACAAACTGCTACCGTCAACCCGAGGTCATGCATCAACCTCCAAGCCCAGCCTTTTCTTGGCCCTATATCCCCACCTATCAGAAACGATACGAGAAGTCAAATAAGACGAGGAAAGACGGAATAGAACTTCCACGAATCCAAGGAGAGTATCAGATGGCAAAAGGCCAGCTTCATTGGGTATTGATAGGTCTTTGCCTTTATACAGATGTGTGGTCTAGCTCGAGCTTTACGAGCGGGGGTGTGGGGGTTTGACCTTTCGGTTCAGAATAACATAGGCTGATTCCCCATGAGGACGGGCTCAATACGACGTTGGATCAAATGGAGAAAGTCACTTTATCCGGGGAAGAGTCGATCTTTGCTGACTCGGGCTGTTGCGGGGAAGCTGCAGTTTGTCTTGGCAGCGAGAATGATAAACTGGGGTATGCTATCTTGGTGTTTTAGGTTGATGTGCGGGCCTATGCACGTAATATGATTCACATGTTCGTGGTTACTGCTACAACTCAGCTATATGATACATACAACGAGGTTGGGGAGAAAAGGTGTGACGACCATCACTTTTGCTCCCAAGGTTGTAAATATACCTAGAATATGAAGACCTGTGGAATTGTCATGATGCTGCAGTCTTTCGGCTGCCGCAGCTAAAGCTAGATAGATGAGGATGTGGTCACTTCGGAATGGTATATCATAAAGCTCACTGAGCAAGTAAATTTTACAAAGGAGCAAGCTGGTAAGCTACTATCTCCTATAGCCCGGGTATATATCAATGATCCTCACATTCTGACTCGCAGTCCGTCTCACAGCCTAAAGCGTGGCGCCGCAGAGAGAGCAACCCCCGTGCATCTAGACGGTCCAGCCAGCTGGCGTACCAATCTAAGAATTCTGGAATAGAATCAAAGCGCGCCTTCCGGCCGTACAAAACGCTAGAGTCGAAAGCCTCGTCCTGGAAAACAACTACCCGCCACCCCCAGTCCCGGATGTTGGCAGCATCTTGAACGTCTCCATCCTTGTGCTTGCCATCGTCCTTGTCATTCGTCCACAGCCGGCAGTACACATACGCACTTCGCCACGATTCGCATTCAGACAACTGATCATATCCAGTGCCAGTGAGAAAGCCAGCTTTCACCTCCAGGTCATCGTGGATAAATGGCCCCATCGCCCTATTCGACTCTTCGCTTTCTAACTCCTGCTGCAAGCTCTCTTGCTCGCGCTTGAGTAGGTCCAGATCCGCAAGCTTGTCGCGTCTCTGTCCCTCGTCAAGTCCGTCCAGTTCCTTGTCCCGTACCCCGAACGATGAAGCCGGTTCGAACGGCGCAATGCCCAAGTGCCGGAAGTCAATGTCCACCACCCCCTGCGCATACTTTAAGAATAGGGCAAGCTCATCACACCGCGGGATAGTCATCGGCTCGTGGTCTTTGTGGCACCAGCACCCGTCATCACTCTCCTCTTCGTTTTCGATGATCGCGTCTGCCTGTTGCTGGCACACACGCTGAACTGTGTCGAGGTACATCTGCCGCCACTGCTCTGTGCGCAACAGAGGCGGGATGACGCCGTCAGCCGGTCCAGCATAGGATGGCAGGGCGTTGAGAATAGCAGGAATATCGAGGTCACTGAGTGACGTCTGCTGTGGGATCCGGATCGTACTGCTGCTGCGCCTTTCGGGGCCTTCTTCGTCCCACACGAGATCGTCCATATATTTGTACTGGCGCAAATAGTGGCGCTTCTCTTCTTCGGATGCTAAACCTCTCGCCTCGATCTCATTGATGCGGTCTTGGAGAAACTTTTGGTTTGCGGCGGCCATTCTGCTACGAAAGCGGGCGATGGCAAAGCGCATTGTTTCGTCTGCGTTTGTGTCTGTGCCCGAAGCTGGGGCTGAGGCTAATCCTGCCATTGGTGTCGTAGACAGCTTCGTGCTCTCTGCTTCCGTCATTGTCTGTCGTCTTTTTTATGCTTCCTTTTTCTTTTTTCTTTTTCTCTTGAATTTTCTTTTTTTTTGTTATTATGTTCTTTGCGAAGCGAGGAAAGGAGGCAGATGAGTGAGACATTGGAAGACTGGGGCGATTAAATAGCCAAACCTTGGTTCGAGTTCGGAATAGGCACCTGCTACTCCGTCCTTGGTGCCTGGCGGAGAGCCTACAGGCGAGCACCCAAGCGGAATGAATATTCTTGCAGAAGCCGTTCTAGATACTTCATAGTACACCTGATCCTTAAACCAGCTCATGACCTGGAGAAATATCTTGCGATATTCGGCATAATTGTTCGCGTTGGAAACGAGGAAAAGTGCTCATTTTGGACGATACGAAGCATTGCATGGCGAACATTATCGTCTAAAGAGCTCGTCCCGTACCCCAGCTAAAGCTTGCAGTCTTGGCGTGTGAGCATCCTCAAGTTTTACCCAGAAAAGACGAGATTCTGTCGATCCCAAGTGGACGGAGGCAACGTTCGGCGCAACCGCTGCACGCGACCGAGAAGAAAAGGAAAGTGGGCCGAAGGGCCAATTGGGTGATCGGGATCACAGCGCAGCAATGAGCGCATAGATGGGAGGCAGAAGGGCAGAATCCTAAAGTCCACCGGTGCGAGGCGCGGGTCTTTATATCGGAGAGGAAGATTACGTGGTGGCGAGGGGAAACTAGCCGGAACAGGCATGTCGCAGGAATTTTACAGCTTCATTATAATACAGGTTGCTATATGGCATCAATGTCCTCCAAGCAAGTCACCAAGGTAGTTTGCCAGCCTTTGTGCAACATCCACTCCACTCGGACCAAGACCCTGCCGTAATAGATCTGCCCAGCGTTCGACAGACATCTCATGCAACTTTTGTCCATTCAAGACTTCATGCACACGAGTAGCTTGGTCAGAAGCTACGTATGCATCTGAAGAGACGGAAATATTGCTTTCAATGATTGCTCCATACTTGAGGCGCAGAAATGCACGAGTCTTGACGTAGTATCAGCAGCCGCTAACAAATAAGATTAGAATATAACTTACAGAAGGAGGCAGCGAGGAAGGCAATGCTGGGCGCTCCCGGGGATCGTCTTCAGTAGGGTATGTTGAAAAGGTGAACTGCGGAGTTTGTGTGTATTTCCACTCGAGAGACTATCATTCAATGTCAGTCAAGCTCAGGTCCACACCATTGTCAAATTACTCACCCGTAGCTCCGCAATGCCTTTTCCAATATCCGGCTCCTGGTCACCTTGCACATCTCCCACCGTTCCCGAGACCCAGCTGTCACCGGCAAATATTTCGGGCTCCATTGCACGGGCTCGGCGCGCGCGACGAACAGCATCTGAATTGACATTATACAACCCGGCGAATTCCTCCACCACATTGTCCATCACTGCTTGCATGGAGAAGAACGAGTCTGCCAGCACACTCGAGACGTTCCCCACGGGTGATCGCACACTGTCCACGCCCTTCGCCTTGATATACCCTCGCGCCGGAGACCGCAAAAACTTGCCGAGGTCATGAATGTTCGGCGAATCTAGCAGGCACGTGCCGTGATGGAGGGCTCGATGGCGAGTCAGCTTGAATGCAGAGCCAGAGATTTTTCGGAATGGCGGTTCATCGTCACGCTGCGCCAGGTCCTCCGGGGGCGTGATAACGATATCATGTCGGTCATTGACACTCGTGTTGACCGCCCCAATGCGGTGCAGCGCGCGAACCACCATCTCCGCATGTTTGTCGCGCGTAAAAGAGGTCCGAGGAGATATCACGCTATAGTTGAGGTTTCCCTCATCATGGAAGACCGCGCCACCACCAGATCTCCTTCGGACAAACACCGCATCATCATTTTCGGGGAAATCCGCCCGGCGGTCATTGTATAACGCGTGAAGACCGGTTTCTAGCCATGGGTTTTGGTTGCGACCAATTACCACGCATGGTTTGTTGATATAAAGGAAGAGGATGCTCGAGTCGGCCGGCGCATTTTCCAGCAGGAAATGCTCAATCGAGAGATTGACGTAAGGGTCTGTCGATACTGACTGGTAGATCTGGTGCCGGGATGCCGGACGACGGGCTAGCTCGGCGAATTGATGGACAGGAAAGGAAGAATTATGACGGGCCCATTGCCTTGTGCTACCGCACCTTGTCGATGAAAAGCATCCCCGAATCATTTGGGAGTAAGGGCGATTTTGATTGATTGATTATCGATGCGCGCATCGCTTTTAGGCCGATAGTCGGTTGCGCTAGTCCCAGATAGGCAGCCCTGATGAGTCGAATTTCTTGTGTTTCGGTTTTTTTGCTTTTCTATGACTCTTCATTCTCCAATAATTGCTTCTCTTTTCTTCTAGTTGGTTTCATAGCCATTGATTATTTGAGGTGCTCTCATCAGTCTATTTTATCTTCAATTCCCTCATCTTTCCGACTAAAACCCGCGCGAAAAAAAAACTGATCATCATGTCGACGTGGGGTGAACATTTCCGTGTCACTACGTAAGTTGAGAGGCAATACCACAACCACAACTGCCATTTCTTACCCATTTCTCAGCTATGGCGAGTCGCACTGCCGCTCTGTCGGCTGTATCGTCGACGGCTGCCCTCCAGGCATGCAGCTCACCGAGAGCGACATCCAGCCCCAGATGACCCGCCGCCGTCCCGGACAGAGCGCCTTGACTACCCCGCGTGATGAGAAGGACCGCGTTGAGATCCAGTCAGGTACCGAGTTTGGTGTGACTCTGGGTACTCCAATTGGAATGATGGTTCGCAATGAGGACCAGCGGCCCAAGGACTACGGTGGCAGCACTATGGACATGTACCCCCGCCCCAGCCATGCCGACTTCACCTATCTCGAGAAATACGGCGTTAAGGCCAGCAGTGGTGGTGGTCGCAGCAGTGCCCGTGAGACCATTGGTAAGCGATTCTAAACACAGTCAGATATATTGGGACGCCTAACTAATATCACTCCATTAGGCCGCGTCGCTGCCGGTGCCATTGCCGAAAAGTACCTCCGCCTGTCGCATGGTGTCGAGATCGTCTCCTTCGTCTCCTCCGTGGGCAACGAGCACCTCTTCCCCCCTACCGCCGAACACCCCACCGCCTCTACCGACCCCGAATACCTTAAGCTGCTGCAGACCATCGATCGCGAAACTGTCGACAAGTTCGCCCCGATCCGCTGCCCGCAAACCGAGGCCGGCGCACGCATGACCAAGGTCATCGAGAAGTTCCGTGACAGCCACGACAGCATTGGTGGAACCGTCACATGTGTGATCCGTAACGTCCCCGTCGGCCTGGGCGAGCCCTGCTTCGACAAGCTCGAGGCTAAGCTCGCGCACGCCATGCTCAGCATCCCCGCCACCAAGGGCTTCGAGATCGGCTCCGGCTTCGGCGGCTGCGAGGTTGCCGGTTCCATCCACAACGACCCCTTCATCGTGACCACCAATGAGGACGGTACCCAGCGTCTTACCACCAAGACCAACAACTCCGGTGGTATCCAGGGAGGTATCTCCAACGGCGCCAACATCTACTTCCGCGTCGCTTTCAAGCCTGCTGCTACTATTGGCCAGGCTCAGAACACTGCTACTTACGCTTTCGAGGAGGGTATCCTCGAGGCTAAGGGTCGTCACGACCCTTGCGTCGTGCCCCGCGCTGTTCCTATCGTTGAGGCCATGTCTTCCCTTGTCATTATGGATGCCCTCATGGCTCAGTACGCCCGTGAGAGCGCTAAGAACCTGCTCCCGCCGCTGCCTTCTACTATTCCCACCAAGCCGGCTACTGCTCCTAATGGTGCGTAAGTTGGATATAAGAAGAAAAATATCACGGGGCCATGAAAATTTCTATAGATATCATTTGTTTTTAAGTTTGTTCCTATCTTGAACTTGGATCCTTTGCATGAAAATCCTCTTTCGGCCTGTTATATATCCTCGCTATTTAAGTGTTAGATACAAGATTGTTGAATGAGATGCATGAGCTATGATTCCATGAACTACCTCCACAATAATCATGTACCACACAGATATTACTCGCATGTGCATACTGACCATTTCCTAATTCAATGGTATCAGCATTGAAGATAGATAGCACCTTCTACATCCATGGACCTTGGATTATCTTGCGACATTTGAAATTGGATCCATTTGTAAAGTAATTTGTAGAGTAGCAAAGTATCCGCCAAGCGCTAATTTCACACATCAAGCCAGCGCTCAAAGCCCAAACACCTGAAACAGGTGGGCATCATATCAACCTCATGGATATCAAACGAATGAAAGAACGAAAAAAAAACCAAAACCCCACGCCTAAAACAGCGATCGTGCATAATCATGGAAACATAAGCCGCATCTTGTGTACAATCTTCCAGAAAAGATAACTTGTCATAAGTACATGAAAGAAGTAATAAAAATCCGAGATCAAGGCCGAGCTGTACATCTTAGCCGCTCACATGACGACGACCACTAAGCGTGCGACTGAGACTGCGCTCGGAGATATTATCAGCCGCAGAGGCATTGACGACTCGAAGTTTTTCTCGAGGGACGGTGTATGTAACCTGCACACTGCGTCCTTCAGCCGCACCCTCGACGTCCCAGTCCTCCTCTTCTTCCTCGTCCATAGTGTCATCATCACCCAGGTAACCCGGTGCACCGATGAAGAGATCATCGCGCGTAGAGCGGGCCATCGTGAAGTTCTCCGACATACGCTTCTTAGCATTCCAGTCTTTGGCGCCTTGTTTGCGTCGGAAGAGTTCCGCTGAAGCAGACACAGCACGGCGGGGGGTAGTAGCACCGCCGTAAGATGGGTATGAGCCTGGTCCGATAACGGTGCTGCGACGGTCAATGCCAGAAGCTAGGGGAGCGGATTCGGTTTCGGATTCAAGTTGGGTGGTTGGACTGCGTCGGGTGAGCGTGAGAGCCCGACGAACGGTTTGGAGCATCCAGTCTGATGTTTTAGGTTTCGAGGAGGGGAGTTTAGAAGGTGAGGTGTCGATTGCATCTGCATCGAGGAGGGAGAGATTTTCTGCGTGGCGTTCTGCGATGGTGGTACGCGCCGTTGAGTAGGAGTCTGCTGAGTATGAGTTCTCTGATGGAGCAGTTATAGCATCCACATCGCTATGTGCTGTATCCCTGCTATGTGTTGAGATGGCAGCCATGCCATCGACGGATTGTCCGCCACTGCTGGCCCAACTCAGGGGCCTATCGACGTAAACAGACCGCGCTTGTGAAACAAGGCCACCTTGTTTAGCGGATGAGAAGGAGAAGGCGGAGGACTCGGAGAGATTGGTGGATGTTCGATCACTCTTCGTTGGCGAAACTTGGCCGTCACCGTCTATAGCACTTTTTCGGGTATAGAAAGGACCAAGACCGACACCGAAGATTGTGCTTCGGGGTGTAGAAAAGGGAGTATCTGAGAATGGATCATCAGGGTCTTGGATCTTAGGCCTTTGCTCCTCTTTGGGAATAGTGGACATGAGACGTTCTCGGAGGATCTCCTCGTCCTCCTCACGTTCATCAATGGGATGGATTTCGCTTGTGGCTTCGCTTCGACGCCAGTCACAATATCCAGACATCCTGTAAGGCTTTGCACCACTAAATTGACGACTATCTGGGCGAGGCTTTTTGTCCGGACTGGGTACCTCCATAAGCAAACCATGGTTTTCGCTTTGGCTATCATTATTGTCCTGCCAAGCAGGCCGCGAGGTCGCACTGAGATTTCCAGACCAGGGATACATAGAAGATGGATCTATCTTCTCGCTCATCCCAGAGCTGCGGATGCTGCTGGCCTGCTGTGGATCACCCCGACCCCAGAAATGAGCACGCTCAGCCCCCAGCGCGAGTTCACGGAGCTGCGAATCGCGATGGTTCCGCACTCGGCGCTTTTGGAAGTATCTCCACGCCCATATGGCGAGCAATATGGCGAGAGGAATTCCAAGACCCAACCCAGTTCCAAGACCAATCTTCTGTTCTGATGAGAGGCCATGCTTGTGTGACGAAGATGCGGATGTGGAGACTTGAGCTGAAGGATTGGTGTAGGACTTGACCCAGCCACCAGATGTCGAGTTGTAGAAGTAGACCTTGGAATTTTGTTCTGTGGATGACCGCTTTGTGGACTGTTTGGGAATGGTGTACCCTCCAGCAATCATCAGCACACCCCCAGGGAGCATTGCAGCCGAGTGTCCATAGATTCCAGTCCCCTCAGTGATACCAGCATCACCGGTGGTCGATGATGGAACAGTCCATGTCCAGTCTCCAGAACCTCCGTAGCTTTCACCGACTTCCAAGACGGCGATTTGGGGATCAGCAGGCGTCGAAGTATCACCGACCCATCCCCCAATGACAAAGACCTTCGTACCATCCTCAGACAGAACAGCAGCATGACCTGATCGAGGTGTCACCAAAACCTCATCTCGGATAGCTAGCTCCGTTCGTGGCTTTTCTCGTGAGTTGACGGTGACAAAGCTCCAACTTTCCTGCGGCAATGAGAATATGGCTAACTGGGACATATTCAAAAAAGCATGTCGCGTATGTCCACCAACCAACAGGAAGTCTTGCTGCGTTTCTGTCTTCGAAAAAGTCTCAGGAAGCGATACAATAGCCATTCCAGCCTCGGGGACCGGAGGCGCCCGATTCCCTGTAGTTGTCGCAACATAGGTCGTGTCGGAACTAGGGCTCAAGGCAACCATGGACTGTGAGTAGTTGGCGTCGGACAGCCAGGTCTGAGTCGTGCTATTCGCAAAGGGACACATTCCACCGAACATGTACATGGAGGTATTGCTCTTGTTGGAGGATGCAAACGTAAACCCCGCGGCTAGGTAGCTTGGCTTTGTCTTCTCCCCATCGGACTTTACTGAAACCTGAGTCCATGTTCCATTGCCAACGGTACTGTTCTTGTCGGAGTGAAATTGCCATACTTCTTGCGTATCGGATGAGTTATGGCAATTCCCTGTGTAGACGGTGATCACTCCTCGGTCATCGATAACGGGAAGGAAGGTCGAAGTCTGGTCGGCATTTTGAAAAGGAGTCTCTTCGAGAAGCTGCGTGAATGATGTGTCGCTGCTGTTAATACTGGAAGAAATATTGAGAGAAAGGAACTGCGTTCGGCCCGCGCTCGAGCTGTCCGGCTGGAGGAGGTACGCCAGCGAATCATTGTATTGCGGAGCGAGGAATATAGCGGAAGGCGTGTATGGAATCGCAGAGGCGGAGGAAGTGAGAGCAACTAGGCTCAGGGATGTGAAGCCGAGTCGACGTAGCTTAGAGCGGAGGCGGGGCTCCATGGTGCAGCGCAATCTGAGACACAAGGTTCAAGGGAAGGGATGCATTCCAGGATCGCTGAGCATGGCGCCACGCGGTTGACAGGTAAAAGCAGTTTATTGCATCGCGATAGACATGTCTAGCGCGATCAAGATTCTGAGACACAGATCCAAAGTTGAGTAGTTCAACGGTCAGAAAGCGTTGCTAGAAGAGAGAAAATACGGAGATGTGGCCCCGTGATGTTTAGATGCATCCATATGCCGAATCTTACATCTATGTACGAGTAAACACGGCCGATCGGGGCCGAGAAAGTCTGGGTAGCTCATTACGGAGTATGGGTCACCAATCAGAATAATTGTAGGTCCATTTGCATATTTTTCCTTACAATTGAGAGGCCCGCAATAAAGAATTGCGGAAGCCAAATAAATTGTCGGGAGCTTAGATCGGCGTGAGATCAACATGGTTGCGCCGGCAACGGGACTCATTATGGTGCTGGGACCAGCGCGATTGCGTGGATTGTGCCCAACCACCGCCACTTATGCTGTGCTCAGCAAATGTGATCAATAGAAACTCATGCAGTGGATCTTGTGGACTATAAGATGTCTTGCAGAACACCATAGACTTCCCGGTTCTTTGCTAGGTGCCTAGCATCAACAATGCCGCCAAGCGGGGCCATAAAGTGCCGGTATGAATTTACCTCGCTTCCTCTTCATTATGGCTTGTTGATGTCGTATTTTAATATAAGTTAATATAAACCGGAGCTCGGTAGCAGAAATCCTTGTTTTCTGGCCGGAGAGTATACAAGTTGGAAGGTGCGAAGGTCTCCATGGATACTAATGATTGCCTGAGGCCTCCAGGGCGACGACTAGTATTTCACCCAAGCAAGGGCAACTTTTCGCTTAAACTTTGAGCAGAGATTTTAGCTGAAGCTACGTACTTTAAAAATTGGTTCTGAGATCGACTTTCGATCCACGCCCCTCTTAGTCTGAAATGTGGAGATAATCAGAGCCATATCTAGCACAGTGGTTGCACAACATCAACAATTCGACTAAAGAATTTTTGCTGAAGTATAGTACGGCATGATGCTATTCAATATACGAACGCCCAAAAGAACCCTATGTTGCTTTCCAATGTTACTCTAGACAACCCAGACTCGCACTGAACCCGAAAAGCGGAAAGACTAAATTACCCAACACCATACCGCGCGCCCTCAACACTGCCAAGTCTCATCTTGGCCTTCAGAAGTCTCACCCCGCTCATGTTATTGCCTCCAGCATCATCATTCAATTCTTTGAGCACTCTTCAGGTCATCGATTTATCGCTCCAAAGGTGGCCCCTAAGAGTGGGCCCATGGCTGACATCAAACCATGGATCACGTCCCCCGGAGCAGTGGGTTGTCACGCCAACCCCCGCCACGGGAAGGTCTAGCCTCAAATATCCCCTGCTATTGAGGCAAAGCCACTAGAGCCAGGCTCGTGTTGAATTTGTGTAGCCAGTTCGCAGAAATCAGAAGAAATCCCAATGATACCAGCGCTTAACAGATCGATTCCCATCTGAACCAAAATTGGCGGATCAATGCGCTCTCTGCATAGGGCGCATCACCGTAAGCTTGTCTAGGAGAACCCCCGTATAACCATTGACTCTGTACATTACCAGCACACCTGAAACTGGGAAGCGAAGAGGGGGAAAAAGGGCAAAAAAATGCACCCTCATGCACACGACACAAGGCCGATTTCGGGATGCAAGGTCAGGGTCAGTTCCAATGGGAACTTAAGGAATTGCCCGCGATTCATTGGTCTCGACCGGACCAATCATTTTGGAAAGTGCAAATTAGACACTTTGGCGTTATGCACGTAGCATCTTCGAGGTACCTGTCCATCGTTAGGATAATCTAACCGGCCATGCATGGCAAATCACCAAATGCGAGCCTACTAGCCGCATTGATCCTGGTGGACGGCTGGCAACGGGTAGCAGCAACCCATTGTGCTGACAAGGCTCTGTGCGTAAAGTAGCCTGTCAGGGGCCTTGCATGTTCATGCACTGGCGGTTTTTGCTTTTTCTCAACTCGAGACTAATCAGAGCCTCCAACAGGAGTTCATGTCAAACTTTATTCGGTGAGCTGAGGAGAAGAAATCATATACCTCGCCTTGGATATTGGGGGTCCGTACACAGCCACCGCAGCCTGGGTAGGGCGTGCCGAATATTGTACTCTGTTATTGGGGGAGGGGCCAGGGTTAGATGCATCTATACCAAACGGTCTCTGAGGTTGGTTTGGACTGACTTGCTGCGGGTGCTCGGGCCGTTCTCTAGCTCGGCAGACTGGGCGTTTTCTCACTGTATCACTTGCCACTGCTTGGCTAGACTCATTGACCTTTGAAGTTTATTGACACAATGCACCAACCAGAGGAATTTGCCTCAATGGCATCGACTGTAATCTCTGCCCATAGACCCTTTTTTATAATACTGTTATGGTTTCAAGGTGAGGTGAGACGGCTGAATTATTCGGTTGAAAACAGTATTCTGTATTGCTATTCGCTCAAATATTAGCTATATGATGGCCTGAAATGTATACCCAAGAAATCCCCGTCATATTAGTCTATGGCTCATTAAATCAACGGCATCTTGATGATAATAAATTCGGAGACATTGGTGAAGGTAGCAGATTTGACCAATTTGATGGCCATCAGCACCTAGTTGCACATCACTATATTGCCACCAGGACGGTATACAGCTATAACAAGCGACGGGAAGCACGAGCCCTAATGCGTCTCAACGCCAAAGAGTAGTGCTAATTTGCCACCAGCAGCAACACTCCCACAGTTCAAATGAAACATCTCAGAGGCAAACGGGCTCATTCCGCGACAGTTTGAGTATCCGTTCCTCATCAGGTATGGTCCTCTCGACTTATCTTCAGCAACTACACCCCAATCCCAACCTCAACGACTCCGAGTCCGATAGGAATAGCAAGAAGAAGTGGCCTGTCGAATCATTCGGCCATGCAGATAGTTCCATATTCGTAATCTGATACAGATGTCATATCAGAATCCCGGGGTTTTCTCTAGTGTAACCCGAAACCAATAAAGCAGACGTTTATAAGTAAGGAAGAAACCGGAGATCACATATCAAAAGGCAGAATATCAGCGCAGCTAATACTCAAATGCACACCGAATGCAAATGTAAAAGCATGTGCGTGGCGCATAAGCCAATACCTACATCCCGTATAAGGCCAGGGTTATTGAAGTACCAGAGTACATATATCCATGTTCTACCATAGACCAAAGCGTACCTCTTACCCCTCTCGATTAACTATTCACTACTAGTAATACCCTGCCGCAGGCACGGTGTACCCTGTCAGATTGGAAATCGGTCTCAAAGGACGTTAATACAGAGTATTAAGGGAGGTGGTTGCACGCCCCAGGCAACTGGATTAAGGCGAGGGCGTGCGCCGCTTGTGTCACACAGACAGACGGACCAACGAGGATTGAGCCCGAAATCGCAGATCCCGGTGGCCGATCCGCGAAGAGCAGGCGATTTCACATGTGCATGGATCGACTTTTACGCATGAGGCGTAGAGGGTAAGACCTCAAGAGTAGCCTGTAGGACGCTGGAGTGGGAGAAAGTATGGCGAATGGTATACATAGAGGCTTGAGATTTCGTATAGTTACGGAAGATTAAATAAAATTATCAAATACAAGTTTTCGGGGATTTCTTTTCCAACTTTGCTTGCGCTCGGGGTACTGTACAGGGAATACAGGGGCTAGTTTCTGCTATTTACAGGACTTAGTTTAGCGTCCTATTGAGGTCCGATGATCCCAGGAAGGAAGGCGCGGAGGATGTTGATCCGTATTCGCACGGAGCACCCAATGAACATTTCGCCATGTATCTGGATTCTGGATTCTGGATTCTGGGGGTCGTCCGGTGTCGGTAAACCACCCGGAGTCTCGATGCGGGGTTGAGGGAAGTTGAAGCTAACTCATCCCAGTTTAGACTGCGAGCCAAGTCAAAACGCTAAGGGGTCGCGAGGGCAAAATCTGGTGAAAATAGCAGCTCCTTTTCCATCCCCTTTTCCGAGCGGGAAAATTTCAGCCCTTGGTCTCGGTGCTCTCCCGGGGGTCTCAGACCATCGGTATCGGGCACTGTTTTTTGAGTATTGGGCTCTGGGCTCTGGACACCACTCGTTTCTGCGACCCAGAACATGCGTTGTACAGTATACTAGTATTCATCCCCTTGGATCCACTCCGAATACCTGGCATCAATTTGGGGGGCATTTCAGTTTTCGAATTTGACACAGGATTTGCGCGCCACAGAGTCAAAGAGACAGGAGTCTCTAGGTGATCAGTGCGTTCTGCAAGTCGTAATCGACTGTGTATCAAGGTTAACGGTGGTTAATTAGCGGGCCCAGACCCTTGTATGATGTAATCGTTGTCCGGTTTCGACCGCGCACGGACGATTCCAAAGGAGGCACTTGCAGCACGCCTCTCGGGTGTTTTGTGTTGGATTCATTGCGGTCTTCTATATCAGATGCAGCTTATCTATATGTTATAATGAAGATGGACCCCATGTTCAATTACCTATCGAAGCGGGTAGCTATTCCACTCCGCATCCCTGGCGCCCATCCCCACGAACTAATGATTAGTGTGCCAAAGATATGCACATGCGGGAACATCCTTGTTCTTACATCCCCTGGCTCGCAACAATCTCCGGGACGTGAGCGTGGTTGGTCCCAACCCATCAGAAGGGAGCGGCATCCATTGGCAATCGTACCCACTATCCACGGACCCGACGGGCAAGCAAATGGGACGGAATCCTTGACACCAGGCGCCCGGGTTGAAGCTAGTTTTCATTGTACCGAGTTGGACCGTGAGCTGCGGGGAAGATGTGCGATTGGCGGTTGAGATGGCAGGCTCGTTCACCAAGGATGACGGGTACGGGGTAATGGTCAGCCTTTTAGTGCTGCTGGTAGACGAAAGGGGAAGATGGTAGGGTCATCCAATGCCCATTCTGAGTAATAAAATAACAAAACCAGGGTCATGGAAAAATAATCAAAAGTTACCGCCAATGGTACTTGGCGGTTGTAGAGGCGCTCTCAAGACTTCACAGGGTCTTCCCGCTAGCAGACAGTCAAACCTGAATCCGCGAGAGAACATCAAAACAAACCAGATTTAAAGAAGACAGATCCATGGCATCTCTATACTAACCACGAAGGAAAATAGGTTCTGATTCGTGTTCGACCTCGGGTGTGGCAGTGCGCCAAGGTAAAGTCCTCGACGTAATGTACAGCAAGGGTATAGATATCAAGATCGCCACACCGGAGAATCGGCCGAAGCAGTCCGGCCTGATTTAGTGAGTCTGACAAGCCCCACCAGTCAAGTTCTGGTGCTGAGGTCTTTTTCTGTATCGGAATTCATTGTAAATTTACTCGACATCCTTTTGAAGCCTAGTCCTTAAACTTTACTTCTGTTTTTGTAACGCCGACTTTTCTTTTCTTTTTTTTTTTTTCTCGTGGGGCGCATCGTCATTGGTATTTGATTCTCACTTTCCCTTGGCATCCGATCTTCGCTCTGCCCTATTACCCACTTCCTAACCCAACCTCCCTTTCCTTTCTCCCTTAGAGCTCCTCAACTCCCTTTCGGCTTTATTGTCTTCGAGGACTATTTCTTCCTTCCTTTTCTTTTTCTTTTTTTCTTGCCGTTCATTTGGACACTCCTTCTCGAATTGTTCGCAGGTTCTCCCTTCACCTTCCCTCCCCCTCTTCGAAAGCGTGGCCCTTCGAAAACGATTCCGACACCGCCTATTTATACCTCGAATCGCTCGCCTTAATTTGTCTTCCGGCCCATATCCGACCCCTTTCCTCCACGTGTGTAGGATCGGCCAAATTCCCTCGTGCAGTAGCAGGTCTACGTTCCCCCCTTTGGCGGCCCGCTGTCCGGTACACGGTTTCTCGCCCCAATCTGCCTTGAGTCGCAGAGTAATGCCGCTTTATTCGTGCGTGCCATTCGAGCTCACCAGCTTGTGAAGAAATTTGGATTCCATCAAAGGCAGATTGTGAAAAGGATGCTCAACTGGAAACTTGGCGCCGTTTGCCCGCACGCCTAAATCTTTCCTCACCTTCCCATACATATAAACGCAACGGAAGAATAAAAAAATGACGGAACGAGGGTCCTCGGTCCCTGGTCTAGAGGAGCCGGAACAGGTGACTCGAAATGGCCATGGCTTGGACCCCAGACCACCGACGCACAGGTCTGAGGATACATTACAGGCCCTGTCATTATTAAAAGACAAGCCAGAGCCTCGACAGACTGCACAAACTACCACCAAACAGGCTCCTAAAAGCGCGGTTGCGGAGATTTCCGAGGCACAAGCGACCCTTCGACAAGCTTTCCCTCATGTCTACGCATCCGGGCGAGCACCCTCCACCCGCTCTTCGACGAGCTCTTTACAAGCACTTAATGAGGATATCGTGGTCGATGTTCGGTCGGAACAGGGCGGCGTGGGCCGCAGCCCTCGTAGGACATCTCGACACTCCGAAAACACCCCCGAATACCCTGTTTACCCCGACCAGTCCTATGCCTCCCTCCAGTCCCAGATTCATCCGACCTACCAGTTGCCGCATCTCGGATCGCGCAGTTCCTACCCGTCACAGGCAGAGCCGACTCCCCGCTTCCCTCGGGTATCTCGCACTGCCGGGAACACCCCGTTGTCGAGTCCGGGTCTCTTTTCAATAAGGAGTCATCGACACACTCCATCTATGGGCTCGGATGATGGAAGTGCAATTGGCAGCCCGTTTCTTCACCCAACGCATCTACAACCGCCCAAGGAAACCCACACCGTCGAAGTTGATCGAGATTTGGTGACTGGGAACAAAGTCATCAATCAGTATGAGATTCTTGAGGAACTAGGACGCGGAGAACATGGCAAAGTGAAGCTGGGTCGGCATATCACCACCAAGCAGCAGGTTGCCATCAAGATTGTTCAACGATACTCCAAGCGACGTCGACTTGGGAAGCTGGGCAATCCAGAGGACAAGGTGAAAAAGGAGGTTGCGATCTTGAAGAAGGCTCGGCATCCCAATGTTGTCAGTTTACTCGAGGTGATCGATGATCCCAATCGGCAAAAAGTCTATATTGTGTTGGAGTATGTTGAGAACGGGGAGATAGTTTGGCGGAAAAGGGGCTTGCGAGAGATTGTTCATGTCGACAAACTACGTCTGGAACGGGAGATGGCTGGAATACCTGATACCCCAGCATTCATAGAAGAGAGTCAGCAATTCATTCGGACGGCGCAACACTTACGCCGCCAACGACAAAGGGCTAGGGAACGGGTTGAAGCGCAGGCCGCAGATGCACAACAAGGGCCCATTCCCGCTTGGAGTCTGGAGCATGGTGCAGACACCTCGGATGAAGAAGATGACGAAGGGCTTGGACTAGCAATCAGGCGGTCATCCACCCGGTCGGTTGCTGTGACAGATTCATCTCCTAGTCAATCCTCCGCCCAGGACTCAGCACTGGCTGCAGTCGAAGGCACTATGTACGGCGCCTACTCAGACTATCCATTTGAAAGACGGTTCAGCACAGCATCTAGCAGTTTCGGCTATGCACCATCTGAGCCGGAGTGGTCTGCCGATGCGGATGATCTGTCTTATGTCCCTTGCTTGACAATTGCTGAGACTCGAAACGCCTTCCGTGACTCCGTTCTCGGACTAGAATATCTCCATTTCCAGGGTATTATTCACCGTGATATCAAGCCAGCCAATCTCCTGGTCACCAGTAATTATCGCGTTAAGATCTCCGATTTCGGCGTGTCTTATTTGGGACGACCATTGCATGATGAGGAAGAGGAGCAACTAGGCGAAGGAGAAACTGATGCTACCGAACTGGATGATGCCCGTGAGCTGTCCAAGACCGTTGGTACACCTGCGTTCTACGCTCCGGAGCTGTGTTATACTGGTGATGACTTTCTTGAAACCATCGGGTCGGTGCCCAAGATCACAGGTGCCATCGATGTCTGGTCTCTAGGTGTCACTCTGTACGGCATGATCTTTGGACGTCTGCCTTTTGTGTCAGATGATGAGTACAGCATGTTCCAGACCATCGTGAAGAAGGAAGTTTTCATTCCGCGCAAACGTCTCGTTCCTGTCGTGGACGACGCATTGGACGTCGGCCAGGGAGCATATCGCAATAGCGACGAACTTGTTTACGAGGACATTGACGACGAGCTATACGACCTGCTGCGCCGTCTGTTGACCAAAGACCCCTTCAAGCGCATTACCTTGAAGGAGATCAAACATCATCCATGGACTCTGAAGGGTCTTCCCAACCCACGGGCTTGGGTGGAAGAGAGTGACCCCGGCTATCAAAGCAAGGGCAAGAGAATCGAGGTCTCTAACGAAGAAGTCACGAGTGCTGTCAGCAAGGTACCATTCATCCAGCGCGTTCGGTCCAATGTCGCAAAATGGTTTGGCGGTCGGTCCTCCAAGGACAAGGAGAGCCGCAAGCGATCAAATAATTCCTCAGACACATTGTCCTCGGCCTCGAGCATAGGTACATTCAGCAAGACTCCGTCTGGCAGTCGCCGATCAAGCTTGAAAGGAGATGAGGACATTCGGGGGTCCAAGTTCATCCCAGCAGAACATCCACTCGCCCAGAGCGTCACAGCAAGCCCCGTGGAGGAAGAATCCTCCTGGGGCAATTATTTTGATGATGCGATCATACCCGAGATCAATAAGATGGCGGCTGTCTCAAGTGTAACGCCTCGACCCGGCCCTCCCCGGCGCGCCAAGTCCTCGATGTCTACTGCAGAGTCTACAAAGACTGTCAAGCAGTCCAACTTCGACGCTACACCGACGAACAGACCGCGAACCGGCACTCCCTCGATCATCGAAGCTTTGGGAACCACCGGATTTGGCAGTCTTTTCAGTGGTGCCCATCGACGCGGTTCCCGAGGTTCTTACGGTAGCCGCAGTCGTCGTACTTCCCCGTCTGGAGAGGCAATCTCGTTGGATGGAGACCATCGGTCCGAACCCAGCACCGCTGTGAGCAATGCTTCAGCAATGGGTCATTTGCGAACGACAGGCTTGTGGCATGCTGCAAGCCCTGCACCTTCTCGTATCCCGGCTACGGCATCAGCACACCGACGCAATCGTTCCCAACAGCTCCCAGGTAATTCTTCTGCAGAATCATTCCACCTCACCAAGGAAGCGCTTTTGCGCCGCAGAAAGAGCGACATCGAGCCCAGCGCAGATAATGCACTGGCTCCGCACATTGAAAGCGCGATGGTCTCAACTGACTCCCTCCACTTGCCATTATTGGCTCCTCCCTTGGATTCTCGACCTTCTGCCGATCCCCCTCGCAATGGCCTCGCTGCCTCCACCCCTTCTGCCGCCACTATTTCTTCCTCTTCTGCGGATGATTTCACGAGCGGCATGTCTCAGAGTGCTTCTCACCCTAGCATCCCGTCTGTCATCTCCGGCGCTTCGTCTCTATCTGGTGATGGTTTTTACCAATTTAAAGAGAAAGACTCCGACGACACGACCACAGTGCCTTCTATCCTCCGGACGGGGGAGACAATCAAAGCCCACCAATGCTCCCCTCGCCCATCAGAGGAAGACGAGTCCAGATACTACTGTGACGACGAGGACGAGGACGAAGAGTCTGAAGAGGAAATTCTTGTGATTGGAAAGAAGAAGCCATCCACCAAAGCCCCCATTCCCACCGGCAAGAAAGCCAGCGCCTAATACCCAGGCATACCTCAAAATCCATCCCCTCCCTTCCCCTCTGGTTCGACACTTCCTTTATACGGCGAAGTCGTTGTACAATGTGATTGCTTTTCCCGAGTCACCTCTGGACCTAGCATCCTAGAGCTTGTTGACATACATGCTACATGTCTTGTACATATATACATATCGCATCGGTGGCATAACCCACCCGTCATGATGCGAGGTTTCATGCTTCTGGCTGTCTGGGACGGTCGGTGCCAGTCAACCCCGGACTGGCACGGCGTCACCCCGTTATTTTTTCTATCTCTACCGATCCGTTTGCTGTTGTATGGAAGCGCCCGGATCTTTTTGAACACTCTACTTGTATGTAATGTTGACGTTGAGTGGGGTTCCGCGATCTCTTTGGATTTCAGCTAAAGATGCCTGCATGATATATGAAGCTGAGCGGTGTGGGGACGCCTGTTGCAATGACAATTGATGGAAATGATTAATGGAACAAGAGCGCAGTATACATTGTAATACGGAGTCATCTAAACCATTGTCTCTCATTGGCCAGGGGTATACCTCCCGTACTCTATTCGTTTATCCCGGCGGGGTGACCATAACGCTTTGGCATATTGACCCCTAAGTGTACGTCAGTCCCAAGCCTCGCTTATAGAACCCACCAAAGCCTGTATCTTTGAATTCCACCAATAAATCTCACGGTCCAATATTCACGCAAGAGAGAGTGGAGAATAGAGTTGGCCATGGTGAACCGGGATCGGCAAAGGCGTCCAAGCGGGAACAAGCATGGCTTTAAATCCTCCGAAAAGGAATCATGTCCAAGTGACACGCACTCCCCGGAGCTAGCATTTCCCTGAAGAAAGAGAAGAGCCACGTGCGTCATATAAATGATAGACTAGACAGGGGGTAAGCCACCTCTCCCAGAAAAGACTTTCACAACGGTAACCTGATACCCCAATCTCCCCACCCGCCGCACCATCAGACGGGCGTTTCACCCGCGCATGCTAGTCCCAAGCAGGATGTTCTCCGGACAAGTATTCTGACATCTGGAAAATAGCCGAAAGTGCAATGGGGGAATTTCCCCGTCTCAGCTGGAACTAGGCCAGAGGATAGAAAGTATAGAAAGGCGAAGATGTCTCCAGTTAGACATTTCGTTTCCTTCGATCGCATCCCATTATCTATCCAGAGAAGACTCACAGGCTGAGTGCAATTGCCCATCATGCTTCCATTGATTCTTCTTGCCTCCCAGCTCCTCGTTCCTGCTGTGTCCGCGGAGCTGTCCCTTCGCGGAGCGGACATCTCCTCCCTCCTCGTCGAGGAGGACGCCGGTATCTCGTACAAGAATTCCGCTGGAAAGACAGAGAAGTTGGAGGTGATCATGGCGGATCTGGGAATTAATTCCGTCCGTCAGCGTATCTGGGTGAATCCCAGTGATGGCAGTTACGATCTCGATTACAACATCGAGCTTGCGACTAGAGTGCAGGCTCAGGGTATGGGAACATACCTCGATCTGCATTTGAGTGATACATGGGCGGATCCAGGTGACCAGGTACGCACCCACCCATCCACCTTACTGAAGATCCCTAACATAAATAGACAACCCCCACCGGATGGTCCACAACCTCCATCGACACCCTAACCTGGCAACTATACAACTACACCAAAGAAGTATGCAATACTTTCTACGAGGCTGGCCTCACCGTCGACATCGTCTCAATCGGCAACGAGATCACAGCTGGTCTCCTCTGGCCCCTGGGCGAAACACCCAACTATGATAACATCGCCAGCCTCCTCCACTCCGGAGCCTGGGGCGTCAAAGACTCCGACCTCGAGACAACCCCCAAGATCATGATTCATCTCGACAACGGTTGGAGCTGGAGCGAACAAGAGTACTTCTACAACGAGGTCCTCGCATCCAGCACGGATCTGGTTTCTTCCGATTTCGATTACATGGGTATCTCCTACTACCCCTTCTATAGCTCATCGGCTACTCTCTCCTCGCTGAAGACCAGTATGACGAATATGTACGCGGCGTACGGAAAGGACATCGTGATCGTTGAGACTAACTGGCCTGTTTCGTGTCCTTCGCCCGCGTATTCGTTCCCGAGTGATTTGAAGTCTATCCCGTTCTCCGTTGCGGGCCAGGAGACTTTCTTGCAGGAGTTGGCTGCTGTTGTTGAGGCTGTTACTGGTGGCCTGGGTATTTATTATTGGGAGCCTGCTTGGATTGGCAATGCGGCTTTGGGCAGTAGCTGTGCGAATAATCTGTTGGTTAGTACTTCCAATGATGAAGTTTATGCTAGCTTTGCCACGTTGGGAGAGCTTTAGTAGCTCTTTTGCGGGTTGGGGTTTGGTTTTATTGGCAGACTTTGAGAAAGAATTACTGTTATTCTATTTTCATAATCTTGAGCTTGGGTTTGATTAGGATTTCATAAGTATGGTTGATATCGATTATGTAGAACGGTACGCTCTTCGCCACTGACTTGAGAGCCTGACGCCTAGCCAAACTTCCTTCACTTGTAGCTAGCAGTGCTTTCCCATAAATATGGACGAAGACCAAACTCCAATGTTAGCCCTACAGTTAGACCTACGGTAGCTTATGCGTAACGTAACCGGTAAGCGAGTCGGCCACGTACGCGGCCCGGCCAACCCAAAATACCTAGTTATTGTGATAAATCACAGCCTTATATCCCGACAACCAGAGCTTTGGCTGACTTATCCTTATAGAACGATATTCTCTTTCTATCTAAGTGTACTCCTGAAATTCAGATGATCTTCATATCTGATTAAGTCATTCATACACATTTACTACGTGATTTGGAGTAGCCGACTCGCTTACCAGTTACGTTAGTTAGCTAACATCTGAACTAATTGCTTTATTTAACAGAGTTAAAGTCCTGGTCCGGGTCACCGTACTAGTCATAGGTGCTTAGAGTACATGATGTGGCACTTGCGCATATTGTTGCGAGTGGAGTGACCCCTCCAGGTAGATCAGCGCTTCTCTCTCTTCTTCTTCCTTTCTTCCCTTCTTCCTTCTTCTCCCGCCGCCAATTCCCCTCACAATACAACATCTTGATTCGTCTGTCTTGTCCTTTCTGCGTATTCGAACTTCGTACTCGTACGCTTCTTCTTGTCTCCTCTGACCGCTTCGACCAGCACGCGACGTGCTAATACATATGGATGCCCTTTTCTCAATCATCAACACCCACCACTACCTTTCTCACATGAGTGGCTGCCTCGTCTCTCATCAGTCCATAAACATTTTCATTTACTTTATCAATCATGCAGGCTAAAAAGACCGCACAGCCCCACAGGTGTGCCGCTTCCCGCTACCCCATCTATCGCAAATGACCCCACGTCGCCCAATCGATATTGGCGCCGTAAATTATAACAAGCTCCTGGATCTCCAACGCCTCAAAGTGTGTCATCAGTGGAGCCAGCGACTCAATACACTTGGGAGGAGGATAAACGTGTTGCTCAGGCTCGGATTGAACAATACGGGTGTTCGGGTAGGGACGAGGAGGAACGACTGACTAAGGTATTACTTGCAGCCTTGGACTGGCTTCTAGAAGGGGGCCGAGACCCAATGGCCACAGATATCAAGGCAGCCATGGATGACCAAAGCCGACCTCGCAGTTGGAAAGACGATTACCTCCATCGTGATCACCACCGCTGTAAACTCGCAGAGATACAGCCGGATGGGTCGACGAGTCTCTATCACCTGCTACATCTTGCGTTTAGCGAAGTGACGTGATGGATGGAGACTTTGCCTGGTGTTAGCGGTGAACGGACACTTATTTCAGAGGCGAAGAATCTAATTATTGAGCCCAAGCAGACCGCGGTGAGTGCATATGATCTGCGAGATTGGGAGTCTCTGCTGATATCGAATCTGATGGCAATTTCCTCTGTTTGGTTTGATCTTTCCGACTGGCCAACCAATTGCGGGTGCCAGGCAGTTGTGAATGCTAGTTTAGTACCCAACCTTTGCCAGATACCTCGCCATAGAGCTGCAAGAAATTTTGGGTCGCGGTCAGATATGATGACTCTCGGAACGCCCCACGCTCCATGCAGCAAATAATCGAGTAGTTGATTTGCCCAATCCGCGGTCGTGTACGTTGCAGCACCAGGAATGATACTGATTCATTTCGAGGATTTGTCTGTAATGATGAGGGCGGCATCCTTGCCATGAGCTTCAGGCAGTCCGACTCTTAAGACCTCAAGAGGCCTTTATAATTCACATGATAAGGACGAGGGAAAGCAGCACGTCGATTAGAATAGACATTTAAGATTGGCCCTAGATCAAGATCAAGCAGAAATGAATATTTGTGGACTGAATCTCTTAATTGATCCGGTAGATTTGACTCCTAGCTTGAATCTATGGATTCTCTCATCCATCTCCTAGATTTTCACACCATAAATCTCAAACGTCTGCACAGTATCGCTCGGAATCGACACCGAGATCTTTTTATTCTCGATGACCACCCCATCACTGGTGGCATACAGATTATCACCAGCAGTATCAGTCAGCCAGCTACTGACCGCCGTACCATCATCTGGAATCTCAGAAAAGGCCGAAAGATCAAAGGTAAAAGTTTGATCATCATCCCAGTTCGCCGCAACAATGACGAGCGTATCGTTGCTCTCATCAATAGCTGGAATAACATTGCTCGAAGTAGTGTTGAGAATCTGCATTCCAGAGCGAATATGCCGACTGAATTGCGCCAGCATATAGTACTTGGTCGTAGCACCACTGAGTGTATCAGACGCGATATCGCCATCAATGAGTCCCCAGTCCGAGCCATCAACGACCTGCCAGTGTACCCAAGCATTGGGCTGCAGTGATTTGATATCCATCATGATTACTTGAACGAGGGTTGCACCGGTGCCGTCACTATCTCCGTATTCGCTGTCCCAAAGCTCTTGTCCGGCGCTGGTAGCTGCTGCGCGGAGGTCAGAGCGTGGTCCGCTCAGCGCTTGGTATCCATGTGTGTTGACACGTCCAACGTATGATATTTCCGTTGCTTTGGTAATAGTGTCCCAGCCGTCAAGGGCTAACTCAAAACTGTTCTCATCAGAAGCAGCGATGATGGTGTTATCTAAGCCACGGGCTTTCATTTCCTTTGAGAGAATCGGGATCAAGGATGCTTGGGAAGTGGCACTGAAATGACATCCCTCTTGTGTGCCAGTGGATACCCACCAGCTAGACGCTGGCTCATTGAACGCCTCGATGGACGTGAAAGTAATTCCCCAGTTCTCCTGGGCATACTGGGCAATCGTAGAGAGATAAATAGCATGGTTTTGATACTGGGATGCAGGCAGGTTGTCTCCACCGCCAGAGGCGCCACTGGGATTGAGGTTGCTCAGCTGCCACCACATAGGCGAGTTGGAGAAGAGCTCAAAGGTATCTGCCCCTCGAGCCTGGGCATTTAACATCATCGTGCGCTGGTTTGCATCCACCGTCCAGTTCCAGCTAGAGGAACTAGGATCGGTACTCAAGCCATCCAGCCAGTACCCTTCTATCTGTTTGGATGCAGGAATATTTGCAGATGCGGCCATCTTCACGGTGCCATTGATGGTATTCCATGAACACGCACCAGCATTGTATCGTAAAATATTCAATCCCAAACCAGGCAATGTCTGGCTACCAGGACTCCAATAAGTCGAATCTAGAGAAAAGACAACATCTGCCAGATCCTCTCGGTCTCCGAAGATTTTAGCCCACCAAGCTAAAGATACGCCCCAGCCATTCCAGGTCTCGGGGTAAAGGTCAGTCGTGATGGTTGTTGACTGGTCTGCATTAACGAGGGACAGAGTGAGCGCCCACAAGAAAGCTGTGGGAGCAACCAGACGGGAGAAGACACCGGGCATGATGTATCATATAATGAAGATGTATGTTGCAGTCTGTGGCTCTTGTCACATCAGGCCCGCCTGGCCGTTGGTATTTAACATGCATCACGGATAAGAAATCCCAGGAAATCAAGCTTGAAATGCAGCTCGGGAGAATAGTCTCCGATCAATAGTCCGATGTCGGTTAAATGAAGTCGATGCAACCTGAAAATGAGGTAATCAGGTGGTGGAGCAGGCACAGTGAAGATCACTTGAAGAAACCTTGTTTTTCGGCAAATCAGGCAATTTCGGAGATAATGTGGGGTAAATATGGGTCATGAGATGCAGTGTACCTAGAGATTCCACGAGGATGAACATGTACAGAGTACAAGCATGGCATTACGACATCTTCTATTGCAGCTGATGGTTCATGTCCCCTCTTCCCCTCATGTCGACATTAGGTAATATCATGCCTAAGAGAAAGAGCAAAAAGGCATGAGTATAGACATCTAACTATACAGATGTTCAAAACAGTCTTGTACTTTCTACACCATTTACAACTCTAACATCGGGTTTCTTTTATTGGAAAAAAGAAGTTACTCTATTTAGGTTCGAGAAGCTCCGGCGATACGCCAACTAGTAGAAAGTACATAAATTTGTTGTACCTTGTGCCAATGTTGTACCCTTGTCACTTCATTAGGTAGTGAGGCTTGTCGCTGATCGTTCTATAGGATAGTCTGTGACCTTGCATTCTGCTTTTTTTTTTTTTTTTTTTTTTTTTTTGCAATTTCCCCATTTATAGCCTTGAAGTGTTTTAATGAGCAAGTTCGAATAATAGATGTGCACACTGGGTGGATATTTTTCATGCTGTCAGGTACTCGTAAAAAATGATCAAATGGTCCAGGATTTGCTTCAATAAATGTCTGACACTCGAAATCGACAGATCAGGTAAGGATAATGAACTAGAACAGATCCCCATTTCGACTTTTTAGTTCAAACATGCAGTGCTGCTGGCTACAGCCTTAAATAAGTCAACGCGCAGTATTAATGAGCATTTTCATCAGGGGAAGGAGGAAAAACGAAGATGGTGTCAGTTTGTCTGTCAAGGAATCTGAGAACAAGGCAGGTTTTACTATCTACACATGCATCACTTGACACCTCACCAGGTATGCATAAAAGAATAGGTGTTAGTGCAAAGGACTAGTACTAATGTGCGTATTTAAGGAAGACAGACTGATACTCTAGGCAGCTACGACAGATAAGCTTGCCCCACTTCATATGAGTTTCTGATCTTTATGACCTTCTTTGGATCCCATCCACCTATCCTATCCAATTCCATAAGGAAAGCCAAAGGTAATGTTGATTTCAACTCGACTTCTGGTCCCTTTACTTGGAAAGGCCGGACTAACGTACGATTGAAGCCATGCCGAATCTCCCAGAAAATAGACCGGTGGAGCAACTATTCCTGGAGTATTCAATCCAAGATGTTCACAGCAGGAATAAAAGATTTCAAATCGTCGAGCCCTGGGGTAGCCTATGCGTCAACGCCATACGCGAGGAAAGATTCGGAGACGCTATCTGGGCACGCTATCATATTTCCGGAGGGGTGGTGAATGGAATCGTCGGCGGCTCAGACAATATGACTGTGCTTGAAGTTATCAAGGAAGATGCATTGGGCTATAGAGTTGGTGACCCAGAGGAATATGCCAAGGCTTTGTTGCTCTATGCAAAATCTAGTCCTGCCGACGGGCATGCCGATGTGTTAGAGCTCATTGCCAATCTTCCGGAGAGCGATATTGCTCGGGTTCAGGCCGAATATGATATCGAGAGAGAAGAGCAGAGACAGGCGGAGAGAGAGGCTGAAGAGGCGGATTCGGAGCCTGAATGGGAGCGAGCTTGTTTGTAGCTGTCAGGTGTCTGAGCGTGAAGAGAGACATATTTCTGGAATATTTAGTGAGGAAATACATGCGGAAATTGGCTATGTCTGTTGACTCAAAATTAAGATATCTAGAGACGAGGCAAGACTGGTCGCACTGACGGCGGCAAGACACGCCCGAGATGGAGTGCTACGTAATAGGTCCAGTGGAACCGCACGCCCGTCCGAGGATCGTCATGACGATTGCCTGCCTGGGTATTTGAACAACAAGCATCATTGTATGTGTGAATGACTTCTAATTTTACTCATTAAAAGTGCTTCTAATCTTCTTCCAGTACAAGTACGAATATCAGATTTCTGTAGCTCGAACCTTGGAACCACGTATAAAAGCCCGAGGATTCCCCCGGCCCCGAAGTGTATTTAGGAGCCGGACACACCGTAGATGCAAATACCGCAAACCCACGTGTTGCTGCAGATAGGTGAGCCAATTGACTCAGACTTCACCGTGGAATGATCCCTGACTTGGGCCCAATCTATGGGCTACCTTGATATGGTCGGGTACCCCTATGTCGCAAGATTAAGAATAAGCAACTGTCAAAGCTGAAACTGACACTGAAACTCCCCATATTTCAAACTAGGGGAAGCTCCTCCAACTCCGCAAAGGGCTCACCTCAGCAAGGGACGGAACAACGAAACTAACCCTTACAGATGCCGAATCCAGGCAATGGAGCGATCGACATGTTTGCATGATGTTTCTCAGTCTCCATGATATTTTTGGCTCCAGGCACACATGAAACAAGGCAGATTTCTGTCAGTCTGCCTTGGGTGTGTCTCCATTTGACCCCTCCGCGGCTAGACCTGATTAGGGATAGATCTGGTCCAATCACTACCAACCATGGATACCTTTCAGCTGCGTGGCTGTGCAAACGAGAACTAGGACTTCTACGCATTAGCCGTAGCCCACATCTCCACTTGGGATTTATCGGAAGAACACCCTCCAGGGTGAGTCTTCTGGTCAAGTCGTGAATCTGGGATGCCTAGAGATGTACATCTTTGGTGGTTAAGCCTTTTGGAGGCGCGATTTAAAAATAGGTGCCCTATCTGTTATCAGAGTGGGGAATCTCCCCATGGTCTCTCGAGATATAGATGATCCAGTTTCTCACCTCCAATACGTACTCTGTAAGAATTTATCCCCTCGGTGAAACACAATTCCCCAGTTTCCTAGGAAAGTGGGCCAAAGCCAAACACACTTTAGGGCACCAACTTGGAAAGGAAATACGGTTTCGTGAGAACCCAGACCGCCTTGTGCACGTGAAATCATCATTTAATCCATCACCTCGTTTCCCTGATGCTTTAAGGATGCGCTCTCGCTGCTGACGGTGCGCGTGTGTTGTTGTTCCTCTTTGCGAATGTGCCGCCCGCCATCTCCATCCCCGCTCCTCCCTACGCTTCCTGTCCGCCGCCCGCTCTGACGGATCACACCGACTTCGCACCTCCTCCCGCGAATCGCTTCCTCATTCCCATCTGGCGCCTAATCGCAAGGTTGGGCACCATATTACTCTGTTCAGTATGGCGTCTCATGACCAGAGTCAGGGCGGCGCATCGCCTGGAGGCTCTAAACATCGTAGTGTGAGCCCATCACCCCACTCGCAGCAGTATCTCGATCCAACGGGGCTCGGCCTGGACCCCTCCATGGCATTCGCGACCAACTCTGCTTTCCAAAATCCGAATCATAATGCGAACATGGCTGGCACCGACGCGTACGGCTATCCTCAATATCTTTCTGCTCCCCCACCAGCACAGAGCCTTGTTCCACCTGTCGATCAACCCTTCCCTCCGAACATCAACACCGGCAACATTCCCAGTTCGCAGTCCTTCGAGGCGACCCTTGTCAATCAGTTGGATCATACTTCCGGAGGCTTTCGCTCGCAGCCGGAGGGAAACTACAATCTTCTCAACAACCCCGACATGGACTTCTCCGCCTACCACAATCACAGTCCTAATAGCGTCTCTGCGGAGTATGACTCGTCGCTCTTAATGGACCCTCAAATGAACCAACGGCCACAATCGATTCATCAAGCAGTCAACCCCGCCGATCTGGTCAGCCCCATCTCCAATCCCTCGGCGTCGTCGCAAGATCAGCAGCAATCTTCACCCGGTCCCATGTCTCCTCCGGGATCCACACCAGGCACGTTTTACACCCCTCAGCATTCGCGACATACCTCGTTAGACCCTGCCACTGCTGCTTACCTGAGCGCGCAGTCCAATCAAGACTGGCAGTCGGTGATGAACCATTCCTCTTTCCAAGGCCATCGTCGAGCGCCATCTGAGGTGTCAGAGGTGTCTTCGGCCAACCACTCCCCATATTTGTCTCAACATGAGTATGAGGGCATTGAGAATAATGCTTCTCCCTCATTGGCACCGCAGAATGACCCTTCTTTATATGACAATGCGCTGAATATCGATTCATTCACACTGTCTGAACAACAGCAACAGCAGCAAGGATTCAGTCCACTCCATAGCCCGTATATTTCACCGCAACTCATTCCGCAGCAGGGAGGTGAAATGGTTCCACATGCGCCCTATCTGTCTCCCAATCTCAATAACCAATTCCCCTCTGCGCCATACGGGATGCCCGCAGATGACATGATGAATGCCATCAATAGCGGCTCCGACATTGGACAAGCATCCCAAATGGCACCGCCTTCAATCAATGTGGAATTCGCTCCACCATCACGAAATCCAAGCTTCGGCCCCTCTAAGCCAGCCGCGGACTTTGACTCATTGAGCCCTCCTGCAATGCGTAAGCTTCATATACCATTAATCCTTTGTCTTCAAATGCTAAATCCACCCCAGGATCTCGAGTGCGCAGTAAATCCGACCCCTACGCACACCCCGCCTCTCGTTCACGATCTCCGGCTGCCTCAGCAACTAGTCTAGAGGCTCAGGCCGCTACCTCGCCACGGTCGTTATCACCTCATTCACGAAGCAATCCTGGTTCTCGCGATGCGTCTCCATCACGATCGAATCGTCGCCTTTCAACTTCCTCAATCGAAAGCCGCAATTACATTTTGGATCTAGCAGACCCCCAACGCCCGGGTGCAGTATCTGGAGACTCCAAGCGCGTTCAGAAGCATCCCGCTACTTTCCAGTGCACTCTCTGTCCCAAGCGGTTCACCCGCGCCTACAACCTACGTTCTCATCTCCGAACGCACACAGATGAGCGACCTTTCGTTTGCACTGTCTGTGGTAAGGCTTTTGCTCGACAGCATGATCGAAAACGCCACGAAGGACTCCACTCAGGTGAGAAGAAGTTTGTCTGTCGGGGTGACCTTTCAAGAGGCGGCAATTGGGGCTGTGGTCGGCGGTTCGCGCGTGCAGATGCTCTAGGACGTCATTTCCGATCCGAGGCTGGACGAGTCTGTATCAAGCCCTTGCTTGATGAAGAATCCCTGGAACGTGAAAGAGTTCTCCTGGAACATCAGCAGCAACAGCAACAACAGCAGCCATCTGGTCATCTACAACCCGTTCCGCAACCATTGGTGATGCCTAGTGTTCCCGGGATGGACGCACAGTCTTCAGGCAACTTCGTCTTGCCAGCAGCGTTGCTAGCGCAGTATCCAGCTCTTCAAAATCTCCAGTGGGATCAGATACCTGCCGCGGGTGATGATCCCAGTGACATCGGCGGCCATAGTAGCTACGATGCCAGCTCGGGAGGCGAGTTTGGCTTCGACGAGGACGACTCCGGCATCAGTAACGTATCTGGCATGAGCGGTGGCTATGCCAATAATCAACCTGGCATGTACGGAGTCGATCCTGGCTACTAGGAGCGAAAATGGAGTGGATGATGGCAGGAACTTGAACTACTATCACCCTTTACACCACTCATGAGGAAAGCACCACTCTCGTGGGTATTCTTGCATCATTTGAATTGTGCCCTTTTATGATTCTCTCTTTATGCCCGAATAGAGAAGGTTTGGCGTTGAGATATAGGTTTGGAGATTTCAGGGATTTTGATTTATTTATTTTCCAGCTTCGGCTGGCAATGAGGGGGTTTGGCTTTCATCTGATACACCGGCATCTGTCGCATGCGATTGTCTTTTTCTTTTTTCGATCTTCATTTTCAATTTTTGGCTTAGGCCATTCATTCACCCGTTCAGCTACTTTGTAGCTTATCATCTCATTGCTTCCACAAAGGTTTTCTTTGATGCATTTGATGACTTCCCTTATCATACCCGTCTACCTATGGCTTTTTGGAATTCTTGTCTTTTGATATACCTCCATGGAGTATTAAACCACAATATGATTAAATTGCAATGGATGTGTAGATGAGTACATCCTGTGTTATCTAACTCGTATATCAAACATGATTCCAAGGTTCGGCACTCCTCAATCTCGTCAACAATTTGCAGGTTGAATCAAGTAGGGTCGGAACCAGTAGATAAAGGGGTTTTCAAGATATGATTAAGTGTTGACAAGTATCAGTGTGAAGGGCATGAAGAAAGAAGGAAAAACAATCTCAAGAACTGCTGAGAAGCTATGTAAGCGACTTTGAGTTATACAGGAACAAACAGCAGATTCATACCTACTCTAGGTAGGGCAAGGGTATATTAAGCAATCAAAAGGCACCAGATCAGATATTTACAAAGACGACCAAACAAGAGATTAAGAATTGATCTATGGCGAAAAAAGAAAAGAGCAGGAAATATACAAGACATCTATTGCGACGCCTGAACCAACTTCTGCACCTGACGCAACCACTTCTTAGCGAACTCTTCTTCCGTAAATCTTAACGCAGACCGTCTCGCCCGCTGTCGCATTGCAATCTTCTCTTCAACAGGAAGGGCGAGTGCCGCTTCAAACGCTGCAGCGAACTGTTCCTCCGTCTCGGCACGGAACCCTGTCGCTCCATCACCCAGGTCAATCACGATATCCTCCCGGGGCCCGCCCGAGTCATGGGTTACGCAGATCAAACCCGCGGCCTGGTACTCGACGACGCAGATACCGAAATGCTCATTCCACATGCCGTTCACGCCAATGGAAGACGAGCCAAGGTGGGAAAGCACAGCGGGCCAGCTAGCGTCGCAGAGGAAGGTGGTTTGATCACGGATTTTCAGCTCGTGAGCCAGTAGACGCAGGTTGTAGATGTGGGTTTCGTCAGGGCTGGCGTGGCGGACTGAGCCGATCAACACGAGTCGCGGAGGTGGGTTATCAGCAAAAACAGGGTTTCGCGAGCGTTCTTGAAGGAAGCGGGCGAATGAACGCAGGACGAGAGGGTGGTTCTTCTCTGGCCTGAATTGTGCGATGTAGAGCAGAACGGGTTGGCGGGTTCTTTCGCTTTCCGCGTCGACGGTGATGGTTGATTGGAGCTCTGCCACTGCTGTCGGTGGGAACACGACTGCTGGTGATGAAGGGGTTCCTTCGTCGTTGCCGGCGTTTGTCTTTCCGGTGCCCCAGATAGTACGGATGTGTGCCGCTGTCCAGGATGAGTTGCACATGACCACGTCCACGTGGCGGCCGACCCAGCCGTAGAGCTGGGCGAATAGCTGCCAGTAGCGACGCTTGACGGCTCCCTTCAGGCCCTTTCCGGCGCCGGAGTTGATGCCCTGCACGCCAGTTTGGTCGTCAAGAGAGGCGAGCATGTCAGTGGAGATAGTTGGGTAATGGACGTATGCGCCAGTGGGGACTGTCGGGAAAAGCCACTTGCACAGCGCCAACGTAAAGGCGTATCCCATGGTATCGACGAAGACATCAGGGACAAGAAGCGTGAAAGCATCGTAGGCGACCACCAACGATCCTAGGGATTGGCCTAGCAGAGTCATATAAGGGTATGAGCTGCTGACCACGTATTTACGTGTCGTCAAGTAAAGCAGGACCACTGTCGGGGCATGCAACTGAATGTTGAATCTGTTCTCCACCCGCTCCAGCATAGTAGCCTTGGTGGCTTCGTGATCACCAGTGTAGATAGCACAAACAGCTTTCGGCCAGCGCTTCTGTGTTGCGCGAACTGCTTCCCAAAGTACACGTTCTCCACCTCCGCCGGCGTTACTATCAACAGTTAGTAAATCAGGCCACGTCTACACCAGTAGTGTATATCGTACCAAAACGGGTGGAAGAATCCAATGACACCAGCCCATTCGTCAGAGCTAGCTCCCTCATTTTTTACATCATCTCCGCTATCACTGCTGGTGGCAGTCTTCGCCCCACCGGAGCTATCAACCTTCTCCCAATCCTCATCTTCGGCCTGATTCCGAGCTAAAGAATTTGTAGAAGCCTTAGGTTTTGCTGCTCGGTATTCCTCCTCATCGGATCGCGCCCGCGCAATCACATAGTCCCGACGAGATCGTGTCCGGCGGCGGATCAGCCAGCCCGCACCGCGAAATACTAGGCCAAGCAGTGTCCCCGCAAGTGTTGGAAGAAAGAAGGCGGTGGTAACGAGGACCACAAGGGCGAGAATGGCGGTTGACAAAAAGGCCATGGTCGCAGTATGGTCAAGATCCGCGCATACTACTCGGAAGTAGTAAGATGGGAAGATCAAACTGGTTTGGATCAACTCGAAGAAGTTGACGTGTTGCTAGAATGCGTAACTTACCAATACGCGTCACATGATGTGGAGACTGTTTTTCCTTCTCCGATTCAACTCCGCGAATTGAATTCCAGTCAACTGGGATTTCGGTTCCCCTGTCGGCCATGAACTCTCTTCGCACCTCTCTACCGGTCTTGAGGGCTTGTCGAAATGCCTGGACGCCGGTAATCCCGTTGCATGTCCGACACTTCCACCCGACCAAACCAACTCCCAACCTCATCAATGCCGCATTGGATGCCTCCGCTGGCCTGATTCATGGTGTACACAATGTCACCTACCTTCCATGGGTCGTCTCTATTCCCCTTACAGCCGTAATTGTCCGAACCGCTGTCGGATTACCACTACAATTCTACACACGGATCAACGCACGCCGCGAACGAGATATATCGCCCTTGCTACATTCCAGCCGAGTGATGTGGGAAAAGGTCAGGAAACGCCGAGGCGAGAACCCAATTAAATATAAGCAGATAGCGCAGAGGGACTTTGAACACATACGAGAAAGATGGGGAGTAAACTCCTGGTATAAGCTCTTAAATTTTGCCCAGGTGCCCGTCTGGATATCGCTCATGGAAAGTCTTCGTGGAATGTGCGGCAATACAAACGGCCTAGTACCCTGGTTACTCTCGTTGATTGAACCAACCAAGGAGACAACAGAAGAAACTGTCCAGTCCCTCCATCTAACAGTGGAACCATCACTCGCCAACGAAGGCGCACTCTGGTTCCCTGATCTGCTGGCCGGTGACCCGACAGGAGCATTGCCTGTCCTGCTCACAGCATCCATCTTGCTGAATGTGAACCTGGGGTGGAAATCCGCTTCTAGACTGGAGATATCTGAGATGCCGAAGCTCCAGATGTATCAAACAGTCTTTTTCTCGGGTCTGCGAGTGTTTATCCAGGTTCTTGCTGTCAATGTAGGATTTTCGGGATGGTTCTATGAGATGCCTACGGCGCTCATGATTTACTGGATTACCAGTACCAATGTTGCGACGCTGCAGACTTGGTTGCTGGAAAAGTACATGTTTTCGAGACCGCCCATTCCAGCCTACAAGGCTCAGTACTTGAAGTACCAGAATGTCGGAGATCCTTTCAGACTGAATCTGAAGACTCGTTGAGATCATGGCCATCACTGTTGCGCATATCTTGAATGTACAGTGTCATAAGCTACGATTCTTCCTTGAAAGGCTATTTGTTGATATCACGAAACGCTTTCTTGTCCTCAGACATGGCTTGCTATGGCTTGCACGTCATCTTGAATCACCCAGCATACGAAGGCCGCCCCATCACTCTGTTTCACTTGGATAGACAACTCCGTGAGACATGCTAGGGACAGAAGTTAAAGCCACAATTCTTTGGAGCTAACCAGGGGAAAGAACGACTGTCCCAGACCTCTATCATTGTGGCATTGGTGAGCAGCTGAAGGAAGAAGGACTTGTATAATTGCTTGTATAATACCATTCTTGACTGTATATTATTTGACGTTCTCAATGTTCGAATAAAAATCGACATTGAACTATTGATCTTGCCGTTCCCAAGATTTCACTGTCACGAACTACTCAATTTCAGTACTTTCATTCAACTATAATAAAAACTGTCTGTGCAGAGGATATCGGAAATAAGCAATTAAGAGAAAGCCTCCGTCCCAGTCATCTTCCTTGTTAAACTCCAGTAGCGCGGAGGATAGATAGACAATGCTTGAAAGAATCTTGAAATAGGTAATTTCTCAAATTCTGCCATACTTCACCATGAAAACGAGCCATGCAGAGGAAGGGACGTATGAAACATATAAGATCCAGGTATAAAAGACCTAAAGCTTAGCCTTAGGGGGCTGTTCGGCAGCGCTGGCTTCTTTGTTCAGCTCAACGGTGCGAGAGTCAGGACCCTGACCGAAGAAGATGACCTCAACGGTGACATCGTCACTAGAGACATGTTAGTTTTGGTTCACCTCAGGCCCTGAATTGTCATGAAAGAACGGAGCATACCGGTATCGGCGAGAATAAGGACTAGGAAGAGTTAATAAGGCGCACAGCATGTCCTTGTCTTTGCCTCCCATGGCATTGCGCACAAGATGAGTAGCTGCGTTCTTGTCCTCAACTACAAATCGGCTCTCAGCGCCAGAGATATCGTACTGCTGCTGGCGAATTGGGCGGCGCTGGCCGGCGGTGGAGACGTCACCAGCTGCCTCGACAGGCAGGTGCTTCTGGCCGCCGAAAGAGAACCAGCCCTGAAGCCAGGCCTTGTTAGATCCAGCGCTAGATTGCTGCTGCTCAATCCATTGGCCGACCAAACCAACAACCTCCTCGTTGCTCAGCATCTCCCACAGGCCATCGGTGGCCATGACGACGAAGTCACCCTTGGAGGGATCAATCTTGGTGGTAGTAATAACAGGTTCGGCAGTGACATATGGGGGCGTCTTGAGAAGTGGGGAAGGAGTACGGCCAAAGAACTGGCCCTTGATCTTGTCCTGGATTTCTTTGCTCCATTTGTAGACGGCATCACCAAAGGCACGGCTAGGTTCCAATTGGCCCAAGATACGGCCATTGCGAGTTACATATGGCTCACCGGGGTGCTCTTCTTGCAGACGCTTGATCTCAGAGGGGGTCCCACCAGTCAAATCCTCAGATAGTGCTGTGGCAGTCCACTTTCCGCTGGGGCCACGACGTCCGAGAACAGCGCGAGAGTCGCCTGCGACTGCAACCTTGAGGTCGTTGGTCTGAGAGTTATAGAAGCTAAGCAAGGCACAGGATCCCGAGAGGGCGGGTGCGAGAAGCTCCGCGGCCATGCGCTTCGACTTGGACTTGAGGACCTTATCGACACTCTCGTTCACAATATCGTTGTCAAGACGAACAAATCCTTGTTTAATAGCGGTATTGATAGCTTCTGATGAGGGTGTCAACACTGAGGGGTCAGTGGCTGCAGCTTTGTATGTGGCATTGAGCTCCCGCGCAACATAGGAGATAAGTACGTTGCGGAGCTTGGCAGATGTGGTCCAGCCCCTAGCATGTTGTCAGCATTTTCCCACCGATTGTACATTCAGTAAGCCTCACGAATGGCCATCAAATACCGCCCAGAAAGACCAGTCACTGCTTGGTTCTCCATTCTTACTAGCTGCCACTGTCGACGGCACTTCGACAATCAGTTCGGCATGGTCATCCTCGATCGGCGAGTTGCTGGGAACCTGAGCAATATCGTATCGAACAACACCCTTGCCACGGTTGACCAAGTAAGATTCCTCATGCTTCCGCAGCTGCTCGGTAGCCTGTTCCGGTGTCAACATGTTCAACATGCGCCGCTCCGAATCGTCGGTCGTTTTCGAAAGCGGTTCGTCTCCGGGGATCGTCGCGGTGTAGAATTGATCGTTGCTGACCAGAAGAGCACGGCGTGCCGGATCTGAAGGGCCCTCGGCGTGGGCAGATGTGATCGCGCTGGAAGCAAATCCTCGAACCTGTGTTGCTAATGACTGAGCGCCGTCACCCTGATACGCATACCACGCCCCGGAGGCGACCACTCCCGAAACCACGGCGAGGGAAAAGTTGCGGAGTTGCATGGAGGACTGCAGAGCCGCTGGGGTGTAGGATGGACGTCGACCGCCGGAGTATGGCCGTAGGCCTCGTACCTGGTTGTGGGTAAAAGAGAGCGGACTTGGCCGTTTACCGGCAACTTTCCATACTGGGGCACGCCTAGCAGTACGGAAAGCTTGCAGAGCCGCACGACGCATTGGTTCTAGCGGTATTCAGGAGTTCGTATAGCCAGCGGCGATTCTGGACTGCGGTTTTGAAGATGTCCAGTAAAGTGTCCACGAACTGACGCTCCAGGTTATTATGGAGGACAACAAGAGAGAGCGATAAATGATAAGAGGCGTCACGTGTCATAGGTACCACACTAGGCCGAATAAAGAAGTGTCGTCATTCCCCGCGGAATTTAATCGCATTTCAAGTCCCTTTGTCGCAGCCCTTCGATTCTTGTTGGCATTTTGCCTTTTTGCTTTTGTCATTTTCAAAATGTCCTCTCGCGCAATTCGAAAGCTCCTGCGCGAGCAGGAGCTGCAGCAAGCCGATCAGCATGATGAGTCAAGCGACGACGATACCCCGCGCCCCACGAAGCCCAAGTTCAACGCGTTCGATCTCCTGAATGCCGATGATGATGACGATAAGGAGGAGGATGAGCCAGAAGGTGAATTGGAAGAGCCTGTGGTTCAAGCCCCAGAGCCCGTGTCCGAGCCAACAAAACCCAAGAGCGCAAGCAAGAAAAAGAAGAAGAAGAAGGTCAAGAAGGCCCCGACAGAGCCGACAAAAGAGCAAGCCAATGATGAAGCTGAGCTAGATGAGATTGACCAAGCTTTGAAGGATCTAGCTGTCAAAGGACAGTCGACTGGGACTAATCCGTCAGCTATTCTGACTAGCAACCAAGATGCCACCTTCCCAAAAACCACCGATGAGCTGCTGTCGATCGAGTCCAAGTTCCTTAACCCGACAAATGAGATGCGCAGGCTATTTGGAAATGTGGCTTTAGAAAACTTCGATTCGGACGCAGGAGCGGGCCGCCGTCGAGATCGCAATCGGGAAGAAACTGTTGATCTGGGTCGCGCTTTGACGGGTCGATACAGTCCAGCCAGCAGAGGCCAGAGTCTGGGAGGTGTCACCTTACGGCGAAATGTCCTCATGCAAGGAAAGGACGAATGGCCTCGGGCTCCAAGCGGAGGACTGGGCATGGAGATGGGAGAAAGACTCCCTTCGGGTGGCATACTCTACAAGATCCTACACAATGCGGCATACACGGACGTGCAACATCAATTCGAGCTTTGTGTTGAGTCGATGGATCCTCAGAGACTGATCCACCATCTTCAATACAACCCTTATCACATCTCCACTCTTCTCCAGGTGTCTGAGATTGCCAAGCACCAAAGTGACCATGCTGTGTCCGCCGATCTTTTGGAAAGAGCACTGTTCAACATCGGTCGCTCAGCTCACTCATCCTTTGGTAGCCGACTCAAGGACGGTGAAGCCAGACTTGACTTTTTGCATGCGGAGAACCGAGAGTTGTGGCTTGTGGGATGGAGGTATATTGCAAATCTAGGAATGAAGGGAACATGGCGAACAGCCTACGAATGGGCTAAGCTACTTCTCAGCTTGAATGATTCCGACCCCTACTGCATGAAGTTGATGATCGATTCTCTCGCATTACGCGGTCGAGAGTATGCACAATTTGTGGATCTGTGCACTCAGACTCGCTCCAGCCGCGATTGGGCTGACCTCCCTAACATTCAGTGCTCATTGGTGATGGCGTATATTCGGTTAAAGAAGCCTCAGGAATGTCGTCATCAGCTTCACCGCGCCATGTCTCGCTTTCCGTGGATCTTTAACCGGTTGGCTCAAGAACTGGACCTCCAACATATCCCCAAGCAAATCTGGGGCAAGATGCCTCCAACTGGATCGCATGAGCTTCTCACAGAACTCTACATTGTCCGCTCTAAGGATCTTTGGAATACTCCCGAAGCAGTGTCCCTGATTATGGAAGTTGCCGATACTCTCTCTGGAGAACCAGAGCCCATCGAGCCACCTGAGATCACCTTGGACATTGCTCGTCATGTAATCTTGTCGGACACTCCAAGTGTCACCACCCATCTTCCCAACCGCTTTGTGACCGGTCGACTCTCTGCCTCGGATCCTTTACCTCCGTATGAATCAGAAGCCTACCGCCAACAGTCCGACCCTACTCCCTCCTACATTTCACGGATCCCCGAGGCCGGACGTCCCCAGTGGCTCCGTAATCTTCTGGACCAAGTGGGCCTTCAAGAAGGCGCGAACGGAGAAGACGATCTCGTCGAGGATGGCGCCGATCACCATGCAGGCGGTCGGCCGCGTGGATTGGAAGGAGATGGACAGGTTCTCGAGCAATGGCTCTTGCAGGACGGTTTAGAATCTCTACAGATGTTCCTGACTGAGCACGGCGTGGACCGGGGCAACTGGGGCGATGTGGTGGATTATGCTCCGTTGACTGATTATTTGGAGGCTCTCTCGGAAATCCAGCCAGAGGCATCTCGACAGCGGTTGCTGCATGGCCAGATTCAGGAGATCATTGGAGATTTCGCGGTGACCATGCTTGAGGACGAACTCGAAATGATGCAGGAGGAAATCTCCAATCCCAGCGATTTGGACTAAGACTGGGGTATTAAATGATTTTCATTTCTATAGATTCCAACACGCCAGCTCTCCAGCCCTGGAGGGCTGTAGTGAAATGTAAAAAAAACTTTCCAGCCTAAAAATCTTCCACTGTTGTATGAGCACTATATCAAGGTTTTATCTCCGGGCTATAAAGTCTACAGATGACCTGCTGGGAAGGTTGTGTCCGGGTAGTTGCATTAGATCCCTAGGGCTAGATGTCGTACTGCATGTGTTTGGAGCCAGCGGGAATATATACAATTGGGCAATCGCTGTACATCACGCGACGAAAGCAACCTCTAAATATTTACATGACCGTGCGCAAGTCGAATGACTCGAGCCTCACATATAATCCCATTTCTTATGGATAAATCGCCTCTGCAGTCAGAATCGGCATAGCATATGCAAGTAATCAAGGAGAGCCGCATCGCTGATTGGCTGACTCACGTTTCACCTTATCATGCAGGTGCAGGACTAATTTTTTCCTCCTTATCTATAAAACTCAGCAGACTTAAGACTATAAAACCTTCTTCTATCTGGAAGAGTTCTCATTAGGTCGATGATACCCGGTTCAGCCCATGAGCTCTGAAATCTACGCGTCTCCAAGTTGCCCCGGACGTGACCCAAGGTCGATTGTGTCATAGCACGGCCCAACCGCACCCGCTATTTTCTCAGCTACGGCCCCCCGCGAAAACCTTGAAAGTAATCTCGGGACTTGCGACCGCACAAATCTTTCACTCTAGCGTATATCATGAACAACATGATGCTAGAGAACGCCATACCTCTTACGCCCTCCGAGGCGGCGTCCGGGCTTCTAGGCTCGATATCTATGACTTGTTGGATTTTCTTGTTGGTACGTCACTAACCCAACGGAGTTGGACAATCCCAAGCGCGCGACAAAAAAGAAGAACCAAAAAAGAATTTAACAATTCCACACAATAGGTTCCTCAACTAATTGAAAACTACCGCAATGGCAACGCGGAAGCAATTTCCTTTCTTTTCGTCCTAGTCTGGTTCATCGGCGATATCGCAAACCTCCTCGGCGGCTTACTAGCAGGTCTAGTACCCGTCATCATCGCAATTGCCGTGTACTTCTGCATCGCAGACGGTGTTCTGATTTCACAATGCCTATACTATAAAGCGCGGAACTCCCGCCTCGAGTCCGTGCACCGGCGCCGGCGCTCCTCAACTGAAACGCTTGATCCCACGACACCGCTCCTTGGTCGCCGATTTAGCGATTCGCTGGAGAATCCCCATAGGCGGCGGCGATCGTCGGGTTCTTGCCGTGATTATCAGGGTGCTGGGCGCCGGGAGAGCCAGGTTGAGGATCCGTTGGCGAAGATCGTGGAAGAGAGTGAGTATGGGCGGAAAGCCTGGCTCAAGAATTGTGTTAGTGTTTTGGGCATTTTCGTCGTCGGTATGGCTGGTTGGACGATTGCTTGGCAAACTGGAATGTGGACGCCGGCGCCGGCGCCGCAAGCGCATGCGGATGCGGCGGACATGGCTGTTGGTGGGCAAGTGTTGGGATATTTTAGTTCTGTTTGTTATCTGGGGTAAGTTTTGCATCTGGTGGTGGACACTGGGTCGATGCTGACTTTGCAATAGAGCGAGATTGCCTCAGATCTACAAGAACTACAGCGACAAGTCTTGTGAAGGTGCGTTTATTCAATCGTTGGGTCTCGTGCAGACCACGGCTAACATAGCTATATAGGCTTGTCACTTCTATTTTTCATCCTTTCTCTACTGGGTAACCTGACCTACGGCGCTGGGGTATGTGATACTTGAGCCTCTGTCTGTAAGAATATTAATCCGTTACTAACAAATGTGCAGATTCTGGCTCACTCCATGGAGCGAGAATATGTTATAACCAACCTGCCCTGGTTGATCGGATCTTTGGGAACCATGGCCGAAGATGTGGTTATCTTTTGCCAATTCCGCATCTATGCTGCACAGGAGCCTCTGTTGGCGGTATCTTGATTTTTCTTCTGTTGAATCTTTCATTGTGTCGGTACTCGCATATGTCGTGCTGATCTATATGCAACCACTGTCTCTAGTACTATTCTGTTATGGACGGTTTGAATGCGATTGACTGGCGCGAGGACTTTGTTCTTTGGAGCGAACATGGCGTTTTTTTTTCATATAGTTGCGGAGTGCTTAAGCAAAAAGCAAATCAATCATTACACTTTATTCCACAGGCACCCAAGGCCGCACGGCATGAAAGTATACAAATTGATGAACCAGTAGTGTGCTCTACGTCATACGACACCAGTTCTCAGATAACAAGAACGTGATCGCAGAACTACGGAATCACCCCAGACCAAGAGTTGGGAAAAAGCATTTCATACGTCGTGGCGCATATCGTAAGACCATGAACGAGTCAAGACTCATCTATGGGTAATCGAAACACAACCTACATCTACCTGCCAGGCCTGGGCATAAACCATCGTCAAATGAGAAAGAAATTGTGCCAAACGTCATTTGAATTCCCCTAATATCTTGGAAGCAACAATAGTTTCGGAATCACATAGGCATCCGATCGATTTAACCTCCGGCACTCGAGGCGGAGGCAGACCGAGCACCCAGTCTCCATTGAATGTCCTTGTCCGTTTGAATTTTGCTATTTTCTTTTTTTCTTCCCCGTGATTTAGGTCTTCGTAGCAGGGGTCGTGGAGTATCGAGTACAAGAGAGAATCGTCGAGGGAGCCGCAAGGCGGCAGCGGGATAAAAGGTAAGGGAAACGGCAAAAAGGAAACGACTTCAACTTCGGAACGGTTAAACCGCTTAGTCGAAAAGTCCGAATCCCATGTCGTCATCGGACTCCTCCTTCTCTGTGTGGGAGTTAGTAACCCATCCTAACATGTAGACCAATCGAGCCAAAACTTACCCTCAACCTTCTCCTCAGCGGCGGCCTCGGCGGGGGCAGCAGCACCACCGGCAGCGGCGGCACCAGCGGCGGGAGCAGGGCCAGCGGAGCCAACGTTGGTCAGCAAGTCCTTGATGTCCTTGCCCTCAAGAGCCTGGTAGAAAAAAATCGCGTAAGTCCGTGATCTTGAATTTGTTGTGCATCGGTGAATTCCCCTCAAAAGTATTCGTGGACAAAGCGGAGAATGCGATTGATTGTTGAAAAGGCGGGTTCAGAAATTTACCTTGGCGAAAATGGTGGCCCAGATGGGCTCAACCTCCTGGACCTTGGCGGCAGTCAGGAGAGTCTGGATCTTGTCGGCCTGCAAAAACGGAATCCAGGTTAGCCAGAGATTCAACCTTGTTGTAACGTAGCGAATCCAGCGGCCGCCATTTATCTCTTCCTATGCGATTCAAGATTCGCGAGAGAACAAATCCTGGCGGGGGCCTTTCCACTTCGCATCTTCGACTTCCTTCGATTTCAGGAAATACGTACAGAGATCTCAATGCCATCATCGGCAAGGATCAGAGCGGCGTAAGAGCAGGCGAGCTCGGAGGTGGACATTTTGTCGACTGGGGTTGACCGAATTGAAGTTAGAGATGGGAAGAGAAGAGAAGAGTGAAGGGTATCAAAAGCCTATCCGAACATGGCAACTGCTTCTTGGCGTGTGTGGGAAAAGCCCTCGCTTAGGGCTTGGCTAAATCGGGTCTAGTGCGTCCCTCTTTCCCGTGACTTTGAGAGTCCACGCTAATCCCAATCTGGTCCGGATGACATAATCCCGTAGTAATCAGCGTATCGCAAGACCATATCAGTCGGTCCCGAACTGACATCACAGACTGTGGGGTTTCCACGACTTTATCATTCTGTTTCACGTGTGATATTATTCCAGATCTCAGATCTTCTTCAAGATCTCCTTCTCATCTTGTTCTGATTTTGTCACTGCCTGACCTCCCCCGACTTTCTAATAATGGAGTCCCCCGCCATCCCGGTCCCGCTGGATCCGCGGGAGCAGCCCATCCTCGAACGCCTGCTTCGAACCCGCGACTCCCTCCTTCTCCTCAAACAAGACAAGTCATCCTACATAAAGTCTCGAGATGTCCTACCTCTGTACGAGGAGGTTATCGGAGAAGTAGAGAAGCTCAATGCGGCTCGTAAAGAGCAGGACCGCCGCTTGACCCATAACCGATGTGAGTACCGAATAGGCTGATGGGCCGTGCGTAGCCGGTGTACACCGTGACTAACCATCGTCGCTCGACAGTGGATTATGTGTTGGATGATTGTTTCCAGTTGATTTCTTTGCTCTTCCTAACAGTAGGCAAGAATAATGAGGCTCCGGCAGTGTAAGCGGATAATCACCTACCCCGCGGCTCCCTTATCAGTGCTGATAACTTTGTCTAGGTACTCGCTGGCAACAACCATCCAGGTATATCTTTGAGACTAAGCTCCCATTTGTCTTTGGAATTTCTCTAACCTTTTTCATCTCTAGCGTCTGCTCGACCACCTTGAAGAAGCTGGATTTTACAGCTCGAAAGATTTGAATTCAATCACAAAGACCCTCGAATCCATGCGGGAGACCCTAGAGCGCGGTCGCAATACATACTCACCAGCTCTTCTTACTCTACTTGAAAGTCGATTAGAACAATGCCAGATTTCTCTGGACAAATTACAGAAAGGACTAGCGGCCTTGGCTCCACCCATGGCCCAGACCCACGAGACACTAGTTTCTATCTTGCGTTCCACCTCCGCAGTCAACACCCGCTCAAAGGTAGCCATTATTGATCCCTTTGCTGTTTGAGATATGCTGAATTTTTTTTCTTGGAATCAGTTCTCGGCTTCGGAAGTCAACAGCCTTCGGGATCAATTGAAAAAGATCGAGAGCCAGATGAAGGATGGAAATTTTGTGGATTCCGAGGGTAATATTCTCCCTGGCCAGGACGACATCAAATCTCTGATGGAGCGATGCTGGCGTTGGACGGAAACTGTTCTTGAGCGGTATGTTTCTCGCCCCAAATAACGAATGTGTTTAATTATTAACTTCAACGCAGCCAAGGCAAAATCCTGGAGCGCTTCCAGGAGCAATATGAGCGCCTGCTTGAAATTCGCAACCAGCTAGACCGACTGTCAGTCACACAGGCCTGGTCGCTTCGAGAGACAGATCTCTTTGGATACCAGCGCAAACTCGATCGAATTGACGAGGCCCGTGTCAATGGCAACTTTGTTGACGCCGAAGGACAACCTGCTGATCTTCACGCGCAGAGGGTAAAATATGTCGCTGCATTCATGACAAAACTACTTTGCTAATTGAGAATTAGACCCTGCTGTACCTTATTCGACGAAGCTACGCATACATCTACGCCCTTTTGATCTCGTCCGAGCCCGTGTCCGAGGCTTTGCTACCGGTCTACAACCAACTGCAGACGCTTCGTCGCTGTCTAATCGAGGTCAAGGAGTCTGGCGGTGTGTCAAACTCGAGAGAATTGTACCCCTACAGCATGAAGGTATAAAATTGATCCTAACAGCACATTTCTGTTATGGTTGACTAACTGAAGCAGCTCAATTCAATTGACAACATGCGCGTTGACGGAAAATTCTACGTTGGCCCCGACATTCCTGAAGGCCAAGGAAGCGTAAACGCCTTGCTCGCAGAATGCTATGATTACGTCTGGGAACTGCGAGCCGCCGTAGCAGACGAGGAAAACCAGTCCTAGTGACTGTTTCGACCGCCCTGCTTATTTTTATTTCCAATATGTGTTGTTCCTACCCATCTGTATGATGGATTGGCCATCTATGAAACGCCCCGGATGCTTTGCCATTGTACTTTTTGGGCTCGCCCTAATGACTTTTTCCTTTTCTTGTTTTCACCAGGCGTTGATCTGTGGCAATTTTCGAACCCGATTTGGTACTGGCACTATTTGTGAAGGGAGGATCGTTATCTGAGTATCAAATCTTGGGACAATTTATTTCAAACTTCAAACTTCTCTACAAAAGAATAATATCTATTTGTATCATATTATGACTGATTAGTTAACATAAGAACCCTACGTAACTAATCCCGTAGATCGCGACTTATACTCTGGTTTCCCCACAATTATTTTAAACAACCGGTATCGGCGCAACCTCCAGCCAATCAGGACCAAGACAAATAACCCAGACTCCGGCGGCGAAAAAAAGCCCTCGAAACCTCAGCCCTGACTCATTCTCCAGTTCTCATACCTCCATAGTTGAAGATGGTGAGCCAGCTAGTATGGCAGCGGGCTAATGCCTCTCGCAGGGTGAGTTCTCGATACTCCAAAAGGCTGAATGGCAGGAATTGAACCTTTACTGACCTTATAGCAGCTGGCCGCGCGCCTGTCCCCACAACGAGTTACCCGTGGCCTGGCCACCGAAGCCTCCTCCTCCCGGATGCCGCCCTACCCCAAGATTGTCCGAAACCTCGAGCAGGTTCGCAAGGTTCTCGGCTCCGACCGTGCCCTGACTCTTGCTGAGAAGATCTTGTACGCTCATTTGGCCAACCCCGAGGAGTCATTACTCTCCGGTACCAACAATGGCCGCGATATTCGCGGCAAGGCCAACTTGAAGTTGAAGCCCGATCGTGTGGCAATGCAGGATGCCTCCGCCCAGATGGCCCTGCTCCAGTTCATGTCCTGCGGTCTGCCTTCAACTGCCGTTCCTGCTAGTATTCACTGCGACCACATGATTGTTGGAGAGCGTGGTGCCGACACTGATCTTCCAGCCTCAATTAAGGGTAACAGTGAGGTCTTCGACTTCCTGGAGAGTGCTGCCAAGCGATACGGTATTGAGTTCTGGCCTCCGGGTGCCGGTATCATTCACCAGAGTGTGCTGGAGAACTATGCTGCCCCTGGTCTGATGATGCTTGGTACCGACAGCCACACTCCCAACGGAGGTGGTTTGGGTGCCATTGCCATTGGTGTCGGCGGTGCTGATGCCGTCGATGCATTGGTCGATGCTCCATGGGAGTTGAAGGCGCCTAAGATTCTCGGTGTGCGCCTTGAAGGCAAGCTGAGCGGCTGGGCCTCTCCCAAGGATATCATCATGCACCTCGCGGGCAAGCTCACCGTGCGTGGTGGCACTGGCTTCATTGTTGAATACCACGGACCTGGTGTCGAGACTCTTAGCTGCACTGGTATGGCTACTTGCTGTAACATGGGCGCTGAGGTCGGCGCTACCACCTCGCTCTTCCCCTTCTCGCCTAGCATGGTGCCCTACCTTGAGGCTACCCACCGTGGTCACGTCGCCAAGGCTGCTGCTGAGATTGCTGCCTCTGGCCCTAAGAACCTGCTGCGCGCTGATAGCGAGGCTGAGTACGACCAGGTGATCACTATCAACCTGTCCGAGCTCGAGCCCCACATCAACGGCCCATTCACTCCCGATCTGTCGGTTCCTCTGTCTAAGTTTGCGGAGACCGTTCGTGAAAAGAACTGGCCCGAGACTTTCGGTGCTGGTCTTATCGGTAGCTGCACCAACTCCTCGTACGAGGACATGACCCGTGCCGAGGACCTGGTGAAGCAGGCCACCGCCGCTGGCTTGAAGCCTAAGGCTGACTTCTTCATCACCCCTGGTAGTGAGCAGATCCGTGCCACCCTCGAGCGTGACCAGACTCTGTCCACCTTCTCCGAGGCTGGTGGCATTGTTCTCGCTAACGCCTGTGGTCCTTGCATTGGTCAGTGGAACCGTACTGATGAAACGCCCAAGAACGAGGACAACGCCATCTTCACTTCTTACAACCGTAACTTCCCTGGTCGTAACGATGGCAACCGTCGCACCATGAACTTCCTGGCTTCCCCCGAGCTGGTCACTGCCCTCGCCTACTCCGGTACCACTACCTTCAACCCCATGACCGACTCCCTGACCACCCCCGGCGGCGAGGCCTTCAAGTTCCAGGCCCCTTCAGGCTTTGACTTGCCTAGCGCTGGTTTCGAGGCTGGTAACCCCAAGTTCCAGCCTACCGCTGCCATTCCCGATGCTAGCGTCGAGGTCGAGGTCTCTCCCACCTCTGAACGTCTGGCCTTGCTGGAGCCTTTCGCCCCCTTCCCCGAGGGTGATCTTTCCGGTCTGCAGGTTCTGTACAAGGTCAAGGGCCAGTGCACAACTGACACCATCTCTGCCGCCGGACCTTGGCTCAAGTACAAGGGTCACTTGCCCAACATCTCTGCCAACACTCTCATCGGTGCCGTCAACGCCGCCACCGGCGAGACCAACGTCGCCTACGACGAGAACGGTAACAAGTCCGGTATCCCCGAGCTCGCCGAGCAGTGGAAGAACAAGGGCATTGAGTGGCTCGTCGTTGCCGAAGACAACTACGGTGAGGGTTCTGCCCGTGAGCACGCCGCCCTGCAGCCTCGTTTCCTCGGTGGCCGTGTCATCGTCTCCAAGAGCTTTGCCCGTATCCACGAGACCAACCTGAAGAAACAGGGTGTTGTTCCTCTCACCTTTGCCAACCGTGAGGACTACGACCGTATCGAGGCCTGTGACACTGTCGACACCGTCGGCCTGTACGACACTCTGAAGGCCGGTGGCCAGGGTGAGATTCAGCTGCGCGTCACCAAGCGTAAGACTGGCGAGACCTTCCTCGTTCCCACCAACCACACTCTCAGCAAGGACCAGTCTGGATTCATTCTTGCCGGTAGTGCCCTGAACCTGCTCGCCAAGCAGGCTCAGCAATCATAAAGAAAAGTGAAGTTTACGTTTCTTAAATGAAACAAGAAAAGTCGGTTGCGATCAGGAGTTGATGATCCGGGCTGGGCTGCGGGATGCATATATAGCCAATTCACTTTTGTATCTTTGGAGAACTTGGATTTCTGTATTTTTTTTCGGTTTTGCGAGCTAGATGATATCCAATGTGATCTGTATTCTATGTTTTATTTATCATTTAAGTACTTCGACATTTGTAGTATTAACATCACGAGAACGGGGTAATATAGACCTTGCACGAGAGAATTGAATGATGTAGTTAAGCCAAACAAAGAGATATTGCATGCTCTATACAACCTTTTGCGTGAGATCAAAAAGCTTCCGGAGTTCGGATTCCGCACCAAGAAGATTTGTCGGGAGTCGTTCCTCACAATAGCTCCATCTTGAACATTACTCAGGTCAACAACCAATGTTAGCCAATGTTGTATTGAAACAATTGAACATATTCTGACAACTTATCTTCTCATCAATTTGAGCAAAACCTATACCACAAGCAATGTAATTTGATCATCTTTCAAGCTGTGCCCCCAACCAGCGAGTATCATGAACTGACAGAACGTGATCACGTTAGCATTACCTTCGTTTAGCTTGAAAAGATACATCCAATCAAATTTTAGCGAAGACTACCCTGACCTATATTTGGTTTAATTTGTAGGACATAATTGCAAGATCCTACTGGCTAAGCCATGATGTACCATGAGTTGGGGCAAATCCTACCGAGATCCAGTAACAAGTCACCTCATGGCGATTCCCTACATCGATGAGGCGAGGTCCGTCGAGCGTTTACTTGGAGACGCGATTGAATCAAGTGACATCGAGCATTCATTCCCCGCCAAAAACGCTAGACTTCTCTTGGAGTGCGATAAGGATCCCTGGTCGAGGTCCCTGGGGCGCGTGTCACAGGACAGGTACCGAATGTATAATACGACATAGGTCCCTGGACAAAAGGCCACTACACCAAGAGCGCGATCTGGACACTTCATCACTAAACGCTGTACATCCTTCGACTTTGTGGAGGCATGTCAGGCACAGGGCGCGGTTGGCCCGCGCGGCTGATAAGATACGTGCGGGGAAATTTTGCCACTATAAAATGAGTTTGCCCGCCCTACAGTTGACTCAGGCTTCAAGTACATCACGCCCTCAGTTCAGTCACAATGGAGCAGCCAACCCGCATAATTAAAAAGCCCTGGATCGAAACACCACTCATTGAGTCGGCAACGCTATCCAAGCTCGCAGGATGGTAGGTTCCCTACCTCACCCCCTCATCCCTACCCAAACACAAGGACCGCAAGCAAAACAAAACCCCAATTGCTCAGCTAACATGCTTACAGTAAAATATTCCTCAAACTCGAGCTACTGCAGCCATCCGGATCTTTCAAATCACGGTTCGTCAAATCCATCTGAGGGATACTATCATGTACTCCAAACCTCGACTACTTGACAGAACTAACAATCCATAGAGGAGTCGGCAACCTAATTCTCTCAGCCCTCAAAAACCCAGCCAACAAATCCAAAGCCGTTCACCTCTACAGCTCCTCAGGCGGAAACGCAGGTCTAGCAGCCGTCCACGCAGCCCGCGACCTAAATTGCGCCTGCACCGTCGTCGTACCCCACAGCACAAAACCAATGATGATAAACAAGCTCCGCGCCGCAGGTGCAACAGACGTCGTCCAGCACGGTGCAAGCTGGTTCGAAGCAGACACATACCTCCGTGAGAACTTTATCGAAAAGCAGCCATCGCCCGAAGAAAACGCAGTAAACGTCTACGTGCCTCCATTCGATCATCCCGATATCTGGGAAGGCGCTGGAAGTATGGTGGATGAGATCGCAGCGCAATTACCTGCCCGTGAAAAGGGTGGTCGTCAGGTTGCTGGTGCATTCCCGGCTGATGCGATCGTGTGCAGTGTTGGTGGTGGGGGACTTTTCAATGGTGTTGTTGCGGGGTTGGAAAAGCATATGGATGAGTTCGGGAGTGGGACTGATATTCCTGGAGTGAAGAAGGTGCATGTTCTTGCCGTGGAGACTAGCGGAGCTGATTCGTTGGCGCATTCTTTACGGAACGGTCGGCTTAGTTCTTTGGATGCTATTACCTCGCTTGCTACTTCACTTGGTGCGCTTTGTGTGGCTAAGAAGACTTTGGCTAATGCTAAGTATCCGCCGCCGGGTGTGCAGGTTAGTAGTCTTGTCGGGTCGGATGCGGAGGCTGCGAGGGGAATTCTGCGGTTGGCGGATGAGATGCGATTGCAGGTTGAGTTGGCTTGTGGTATTAGCTTGGAGGTTGCTGTTGCTGGGCGGTTGAAGGAGGTTATGCCTGATTTGAATCCGGATAGTCGGGTTGTGGTTGTTGTTTGTGGTGGAAGTAATATTACGGCGGAGATGATTGCGGAGTATAGGCAGCGTTTGGATGAAGGGTGGGAATAGACCTCTGGGACATTAAATGTTAGAATGTTAAAGGTTTACTAGCTCTTAAAATTATACTACGATTGTAAATTGACTAACTCTGGGCCTTTGGAACCTTGACGTAAGTCCTTTCATGTGTTTTTTATCGGATGATATCTAGAACCACGTTCGAAAAGATATACATCCGTGGATGCTCATGCACTGCGGGTTCTCAAGTTCTCCCTTCCCCTGGATACGTAGGCATTCTGAAATTGCAAATACTGTACTTTATTCGTTATATTCGTGGTCGTGCGCAATATAAAGACATGGCCTAGTCTAAGTTCACATGCAAAGCAGTAGAAATAGGCCCTCGCTCAAAGACATCTTCAAATCCACCAGGGCGCCTAGCAGGGACAGATAAGACACATAAATAAACACCTACAGCTCCTCATCTAGTCACTATCACTAGCAACATCATTATCAGAGCCCATGGTCTCATCCTGAATACCCTCCGCCAGAATATACTCGGCCTTTTGCAAGGTCTGCTTAATTTCCGGCTTGTTGAAGAGCAGATCAGCAGGTTTTTGGCCATGCTTATTCCGCACCCGGGGATCACAACCGGCCTCACACATCATATTGATCATCTCCTCGCCCAATTCAGCGTTCTTGTCATTGGCGTAGCGTACGGCAATGTGTAGCGGTGTGTCCTTGTCCATGCGGGTCAGAGGGTCGCACTCGAAGTACTGAATATCGAACAAGGCGTCCATAACTTCATCTGCAAGTATATCTCCTGTTAGCCAAGTTCCAGGGAAGATCGTGAGCGATCAATGCAAGTTATCATCAACGTACAGCTTCCGTAGAGAGCACAAATGTGCAATGCGTGGTTTCCCAAGGCATCCGTTACACTGTTGAAGAATTCCGCTACCTCCTCATTTGTCTTCTCGCTCATGCCGTTGAGAATTTGCTCGATCAGGTCTGTCTGGTCTCGGCGACAAGCCTCGACGACCAGTTCGCGGGGGAAGCACCCTGAAGTAAATAGCGGTCAGCGGGAGCCATGATACACCAAACCGTCCAGTCAACTCACTTCGTCATCAGCCATGGTGATCAATCGTCAATCTAATCGTGTGATTTGGGAAAAGTAGCAGGTATTCTCGGTGCGCGGATGCGGTAACCGCGGAAGCTGGTTTGAAACGTTTGAGCCTAGAGTGGCGCAGCGGTGGGATTCGAAGTGGGTGGAGCTGCGATTTGTCCGGTGGCGCCGTATCAAGGGATTATGTACAATCCACAACCAGGTCTTAGGCAATTTGCAAAGATTAGGTGATTTCAAACTGTTTTCGAGGGTGTTGTTATTTGGACCGCTGCTTTCCCCAGGGACATCCCACGCCGGATCATGTGATTTTCCGGATTCCCCGCCGCAGTTTAGCCGCGCGCCTAGATCTGCCCGAATTACTGATTCACGATTTAACGATTCATGAAGGCTGCGACTTGAGCGCAAAGGATCTGGCCTACGCTTTGTTTTACGACGATTGTGCGACCTACAAGACATTTTCTATACTACTAGACTGGATCTGGCAAGATGCCACTGGTTTGTCCGTCATCCTTTTCCATGCGAGAAAAAAAAAGCTTCATCCGACTGCGACAGCTACAGCGACAGTGACTGACTTTTTCGTCCCATATAGTCTGCCCCAACTGCAGCAATGCGCTGACTATAGCTCGCGCTGACTCCACCAATCAACATCCCATGGGCGTGAACCGCTTCGAATGCCGAACCTGTCCCTACGAATGGGCGCTAGAAAAGAAGTGGTACGACCGCACCGACATGAAGCAGAAGGAAGTTGAAGAAGCGCTTGGTGGCAAGGATGAGTGGAAGAATGCGGACAGTGTGGCCAGTAAGTTTCATCAAGGTTCTGGATTCGTTGATCTGGATGATAAACTAACGGGATGTAGCACAATGCCCCAAGGAAGGCTGCAATGGCGAGCGAGCATACTTCTACCAACTGCAGATTCGCAGTGCAGATGAGCCGATGACTACATTCCTGCGGGTATGTTTTTTTCTTACTTTCCCCTCCTTGCATGGGGCCGAAGCTCGAGAAACTGACAGCTGTGGCTAGTGTGTGAAATGTGCGACCCAGTGGAGAGAAAACTAATGCCCGAAGAGCTCGGGAATTCCTTTCCAACTTCTGCTGGGCCTATCAATGCCTACTACCGTGTCTTTTGGCTTTTTTTTATTTACTGTCCCTGCATTCAAAGAGGCTGGGTTTTTGTTTCGCATTGTAAATGGCGCATTTACGAGGCTAGGGATTGGCGTTAGGATCATAAAGTGAGATAGATACCCAAATTTGATCTACGTCAGTCGCACAGATTACTATCTGGCCCGGATAGGAAAGGTGTAAAAAGTAAAGAAAAAAAATTGGGTTTATACATAGAAACCAACCCATGGGTCCCCGTCGATTCCATACTAACCAGAAAGGAAAGGAAAAAAGTTTGACTTTTGATATTGGTCAGACCTTGTAGGGGAAGCTCAGATGGGAGTCATTGTTTTGGCTATACCTGTTATAGACCCCGACTGCATGGCCATGTCCTGTTTCAGCCTCCGAGTTATGATTTCCATGTCTGTGTGGCAAAAAAAAAAAAATCAAAATCTTTCGCTGCATAACATTGTCGGAATCATAGTGGGTCCTGAAGCTTTGGCGGTGACGGCGACTGCCCCGCGGCTGAGGGGCAGGTGGGATGTGTTACAGCACAGAAGCAGAGATTTCTGCCCTAGGGGAAGCTAGGAAAAACCCACCATAACAAAAGGTCAAAACAATACAAACCTACCCAACCGGACTGCGTTGCTGCCCAGTCGGCCCAGTCTAAGAAAGAGTGGACTGGGAGGAGGGCACGATTGAGAAAAAAATTCACACAGAGTGGATCCCTATGGGAGAGGGAACCAGGGAAACGGCGAAAAAGTGAGAGTAAATTAAGTAGAGGGTACTTGTTCCCAGGTGCGCAGTGTGCGTGTAAAGAGGTACTGAGTACCCAAACAGCCCACCAGGAAGATTCTGCGTTGGTCCCGCCAAAGTGGGGTACATGACCCACGGCTCAGCCAATCACGTCTCCCGATTGGAAAGGGCTTGAACCCGCCCACGACTCGCCTCTCTCGCTTGCCCCTCCATATAAGGATTTCCCCCTCCCCCTCCCACTGAAATTTTTCTTCCTTCCCCTCGTCCGCATCAGTACGTATAACTTGCCCTCCCCTACCTCTTTCTCTTCTTTCCTCCTTCATCCTCTAACATCTTCACAGTACCTTTACGCACGCCGTAAAATCTGTGCAATCTCAAACCTTTTAAAAGTCTTTATTCTCAACCGTCACCATGGGGTATGTTTCTATCCATCGCGCCTTGCCATCCATTGATCAATTCTAACCCACCTCACAGTAAGGAAGAGCGTTCCCACCTTAACATCGTCGTTATCGGCCACGTCGATTCCGGCAAGTCCACCACCACCGGTAAGCTTTACCCCCCTCCTACCCCTCCTTCCTCTTTCGAACATGATACTGATTCATCATAGGTCACTTGATCTACAAGTGTGGTGGTATTGACCAGCGTACCATCGAGAAGTTCGAGAAGGAGGCTGCTGAGCTCGGAAAGGGTTCCTTCAAGTATGCCTGGGTTCTTGACAAACTCAAGGCTGAGCGTGAGCGTGGTATCACCATCGATATCGCTCTCTGGAAGTTCCAGACCCAGAAGTTCGAGGTCACCGTCATTGGTAAGCTGCACTACCCTTCTTCCATCGTGGACTTTCCATTAACATCCCCTCTCAGATGCCCCCGGTCACCGTGATTTCATCAAGAACATGATCACTGGTACCTCCCAGGCTGATTGCGCCATTCTCATCATTGCCTCCGGTACCGGTGAGTTCGAGGCTGGTATCTCCAAGGATGGCCAGACCCGTGAGCACGCTCTGCTTGCTTTCACCCTCGGTGTCCGCCAGCTCATTGTTGCCCTCAACAAGATGGACACCTGCAAGTGGTCCCAGGACCGTTACAACGAGATTGTCAAGGAGACCTCCGGCTTCATCAAGAAGGTCGGATACAACCCCAAGAACGTCCCCTTCGTCCCCATCTCCGGTTTCAACGGTGACAACATGCTTGAGGTTTCCGAGAACTGCCCCTGGTACAAGGGTTGGGAGAAGGAGGGCAAGTCCGGCAAGGTCACTGGTAAGACCTTGCTCGAGGCCATTGACGCCATTGAGCCCCCTACCCGTCCCGTCGGCAAGCCCCTCCGTCTGCCCCTCCAGGATGTTTACAAGATCTCCGGTATTGGCACGGTTCCCGTCGGTCGTGTCGAGACCGGTAAGATCGTCCCCGGTATGATCGTCACCTTCGCTCCCGCCAACGTCACCACTGAGGTCAAGTCCGTTGAGATGCACCACCAGCAGCTCAAGGAGGGTGTCCCCGGTGACAACGTCGGCTTCAACGTCAAGAACGTTTCCGTCAAGGAGGTTCGCCGTGGTAACGTTGCCGGTGACTCCAAGAACGACCCCCCATGGGCTGTGCTTCCTTCAACGCCCAGGTCATTGTCCTGAACCACCCCGGTCAGGTCGGCGCTGGTTACGCACCCGTTCTCGACTGCCACACCGCTCACATTGCTTGCAAGTTCTCTGAGCTCCTCGAGAAGATCGATCGCCGTACCGGTAAGTCCGTTGAGGACCAGCCCAAGTTCATCAAGTCCGGTGATGCCGCTATCGTCAAGATGGTTCCCTCCAAGCCCATGTGTGTCGAGCCCTTCACTGAGTACCCTCCCCTCGGTCGTTTCGCCGTCCGTGACATGCGTCAGACCGTTGCTGTCGGTGTCATCAAGTCCGTCGAGAAGTCCGCTGGTGGTGCCGGTAAGGTCACCAAGGCCGCTGCCAAGGCTGGCAAGAAATAAGTGATTTGCGGATGACCAAAGAGATGCCGTGATGATTTTTATTTCTTCAAAATGCTTTTATGTGGAGCTAGATTTTGCTGAGTAGTTTTAAAAAATGACTACCTACAGATTCGTGACTCATGTCAATTCTTTTCATACGTGCCTTGACCAAGTAATTGTAATTCTAGATGTAGATGTAGCCTTGTCTCTACTTTGGCTGTACATGAAGCCTAAGTTGAGCACAAATTTTAATGTGCGTTCCTTGGGGCTCGATGACTGCTGATGGTATCTACCTTGGTCTTAGACTCAAAGTAAAACCCCCCACCTCCCCCCCCCCTCTCCGCTCCAGTTGACGACCTTCCAAAACCAGATCCTCACAGCACTGTTTCAGAAAACCCATCCTATGATCCAGCATAGCGCTTATCACTCGGTTGCATTGTCTAAATATAAATGTCTGACGTCCTCTCCGCATCCATGATCCTTTGAAGCGGATTTCAAACTTAAAGCCTGATAAGAAGAAGGAGTCTTATTGGTCCATGGATTGAGTTTACCAAGGTTCTCGGATTGGACTGCTTTGGTTTGGATTATAATTCGAATTGGGAACTCTGTTGACTTTTTAAGTTGGAAGTTGGGGTGTGGGGTGATATATTTTTGAGGTTATAGGTAAGCTTATCATGGTTCCGGTAATGCTCGAGTACTTGGGAAGGGCCTCGGACTTTCTGACATTTAAATGTCCAGAACGCCGTGGACTGCGATTTGAAGTTGAATTTGGTATATATACTTGCATGTGTGTGTACCAATTGCGTTGTCCATGCATGCGCATTCTTTCTCTATTGTTAAGACTGGGTTCCTCTATAAATCCATGGCCGCCGATCTTCAAAAATTTAGTACCTATATGTGCCTGGACTTCGGTATAGTATATGTTGACACGTGGAAAGGTGGGAAACATCGAATATTAGGCACGTGGGTGTACCTGGTATAGACTGCATGTGCAACTGTCCAATTCCTTATTGCTTCTCTGGGTATCTATCAACAAGTAGTCTGCATACAAACGGAACCAAACAGAAAAACTAATCACTATCCTCACCCTCTTCCTCTTCCTCTTCCGACTCCTCATAAACAGGCCTCCTCGAAGACCTTCTCGGCCCCTGCTCTTCTTCTCGATGTCCATTCCCCCGAGGCCCCTCCTGCGGCTCCTCTGTCTGCTCAGTCCGCTCTCGAACCGCAGGCATCCCAAGTGTTCGCCTCAATCGCACCTCAAAGTCCCTCTTCACCTCCCGTGACATCTGTTCAGCTCCCTCATTATCACTCCCTTCTTCTCCTCCATTTGTACCGGGCGCTACAGGCCCATGTCCATAAACCTCCCTCACTAACCCGGCCACACCGCTGGATCCAATCTCGACCTTTCCCCTCGGCCCAACGATGTACTCGATATGCTCTTCGCCTCCTTCCGTATTTTTCGAGCGAACGATATACCCTTCTTTACAAAGTCTTTGTAGTAGCTTCTCCGTCTTTTCAATGGGGGTGTACTGGTCCAAGTTCGTGCGCGCAAGGTATCGGTCGAGTTTCTGTTCTGCGAGTGTGCCACCGTTCAACATGATCACGGCAATAATGAAGCTGTACAGCGCCGTGTATGTACTTTCTGTGCTGGTTGAGGGGGCTTTGGCTGGTACCAGGATAGATGGATTGCGATATGCGAGCGGGAGGGTAGTTGTTAGAATCCAAGATTTATTAGAAGCGGATGGTCTTTCAGTCTTTTGAGCAGCTGATTAAGATTCTGTCAGTTTCATACTTTCTTAAAGGGGTAGAGTAATCCCCATCCTGAAATGAGAATACCCTCATCTCTCTTCATCTCAATGGAGAGAGGGGACAAAAAGATCTCACCTATCCGCTGCGCAATAGATATTTTCTCTTTCGCTGGCAACTCCACCATCTCCATCCCAAACTTCTCTCTCAAATGCCTTTGCGCTTGTTCGAAAACCGTCTTGAACATGCGTGTCCCTTGCTCACCGAGCACCTTGGTACTGATATCTGCGCGCCGAATGGGTAAACGGGCGTATTCGCACGCGAGCGCAAAGCGCACCATCTTCTTTACCAGTGCGTCGAGACTGGTCGGCGCGCGTGCGCCGTTGTGGCTGGCATCGGACATCTCTTCGTCTTCAGAATCAGATGTGCTTCGTTGGCGACGGCGTGTATTTTGTCGAGGTTGAGAAGCGTCGGAGTCCTCGGAGTCAGCCTGTGGTATTATTAGAGTTGCATTGGTTTGCTGTTTGCTAGGGTAGAGCACGTACCGCTCTGCGTTTGCGTGCTGAAAGCATGATTACTATCTATTGATCGCTTTTCGTGCAAAGTGTTGCCACGGGTGTGTAAATTTTGGAATGGCGAGGGGTTGAGGGTGATGAAGTGGAGGGTGTTCTTTGAGTGATGGACGCGCGACGCGATGATCAAAGAGTTGCGCTGATTTTACCATATCGGGGCTGGTCTGTGCTCAGCTTTATCTTTTTTTTCCTTTCGCGCTTGCAGTTCTTTATTCGAGAACTTCGAAAACAAAGAGATACACATTCTAAAATTGATTTTAGGAACTCTCGAAATTCTAAGTTTCGTGAGAGATAAATTTGGTTGATCGATGCATTTTGGTTTTCTGGTAACTATATTCACGAAACATGGCATGTCATCTCAAAAAACTGAACATCAATAGCGATGGGAGGTATTATTTTCTCTAAACAATAACTGATAAAACAACGCTGGAAACCCACAAAAAGAAACAGCAAAAAAGAAGGAAACAAAGGGTCTAGATCACTGGTTGGTCTTCTCGTTGACGGCTTCCTTCACCTCCTCCTTGGTCTTCTGGACCAGTCCATAGACCCAGCCAAGTGACTCCTGCGACAGCAACAAGCTGGTGGTGAACGCCGCTTTTCCAGAGTTCACCAGACCACTGCCACCTGCCTTCTTGTACTCCGAGCCATAGGTGTCGAAGACGTGGGCCTTGACATCGCCTGCAAGACGCACCGGGTAGGAAGCGTTGTTATAGATACTGCCACGGATCTTCTGGGTATCTTCACGGATGATAGGGAAACGAGTATCGATCTGGCTCAAGCCCTGGTCTCCCAGCGAGTCGGCGCGAGTGACGTAGGGCGCAATGTAGCTATAAGGTGTCGAGAAGTAGGGCAGGACGGGTTTGGCAAAGCGGTTGTAGCTTTGGTCGGCAAATTCGAGAGACTTGGCACCATAAGGGTTACCCTTGAAGAAGGTGATGGTGTCAGAGACAACAGGGTAGGAGGTCAGGTGCTATGATCAGGTTAGATAGGTAAATGGGGTGATGTGGTGGCGGAACATACGTTGAAGAACTGAGAATGGACCTTCTCGCCGTTCACGATCGGTTCACCCATGGTGTCTGAGTTGGCGTGGGGCATATGGAATGGGAAACAGAATCAAGGGAAAGAGGATGAGCTAGAAGACAGGTAGGACAGAGTGAAGGGAGAAAGAAAAAGAAAAGGTGAAAACCCAGAAAACAGAAGTGGGTTGTATATAGCCCAGATTCACATGTGATTGCGACCTATGCAATTGGCTCGAGGTCAGAGCGCAATCGCACCATCTGTGCACTGGTGCTTCTGTTTTAGCTTTGCATTATTTCCTGGGTATTTTACGGTTTGATATCGAGTTTTTCAATTCTTCTTGGCCATGGTTCATATTCGTGTTCATTACGTTCTCCTCGTGCAGCTGGCCCTGACGCCATCGTGATTTGACTTTCGACGGCAACTTGTGATCTCGATCCGGCGCCTTGGAAGACATCGTCTCGAATCTACACATTGAACTCATATAACCTAAGAAGTGGTGCGTTGGTACACAATTTGCATCAATTGCGACTTTGATAAGGCCTGGTTTCACATGTGATAGCGGGTCCCAACGTCGACGCATTCGGATCCACCTTGTAGTTGCATTTTACACCTACCGCTTCAATCCATTTTTATACAGGTTTATGGCTCATCTCCTTATCTGGTTCAACTCGGGAGAGTGAGTCTTACCGATATCAAACACGAAATACATGAACTTCAATTCGCCCCGCTCGAATCCCCCATATGCACCCCCCACCTCTCGTGTCCCGAAATTGGGCTTGAGAAAAACCACACCTTATCAGCCACTCAGTCCTTGCATGCTCTAGTGTATTCCAAGCACCTGAATCTAGCCAGACCGTGACACCTGCAGGCCGGGGTTGACTTGCGTTCATATCCCGCAAGTCCAGCCTCGCCCGTTTGCATCTGGGATCCACCACCCTGGCCTGAGCGCCGCCGCCCGAACCTAGCTATGCATGGCACTATAGCCCCCCCCCCACCTCCATCTCGCCAATCCACGTACCCCATTGAGCAAACATGAAGGCACAGATGTCATGGTCGGCTCAGCGATCCCACTACGTAACGCCCTGTCGAGCATGTTTGGCATTGACCGGGTGCGAAGCTAGGCTAGCAAGGTGTGTCGTCCTTCATGGCGCACAAGGGCGTTCTGGCCGCGTTCGCGATCGCCGCTTACCGGGTCTATGTGCCCCGGGCGTCGTGCTACTGAATCGATGGGCGATTCGTTCAGAAAATCTTCCGGTTCTCGGCGATCGGGATATGCGGCTTGGATAGTATGAAATGATGAATCTTTTTTTGGGATAACTTCCTTTCTTTTCATTTCTACGCGCGGACCTTGACTGGAGCGGTTGGTTGAGGATTAATTTCTCAATGTCCTTTAGGTTGTACCTAACAATGACTTGGGATATACTTACATGCAGTACTACGGTCAACGTGAACCTCGGAAACACAGGAAAAAATCTCGGAAACGGGTGCAAGCTTGTGCTAAGTTATGATACTGTATGATCTGTCGCAAGGTTGAGGCGGCAAATGAAACCCTTGCTCTCTGCCCCTTGTTCTCCTGTGGATTCTTTGTGACTGTCACAGACTGATGAGAGAAAAGGCAATCTAATTGTCGATCTCGGTGGCAATCACGGATCCAGGCCCGATGTACTATATGATGTACGGGAGTAGATCAGCGTGGATTGGGCCGCGGAGATAGAACGGTATGGCCTGTGAAGTGATGGGGATACCGTTTACCCCGGGCTGGGGCCGCATATGTCTGTCATTCATGTAGCCGAGAGATCAAAAGTACGCCGTTTGAGACGTAATCGCCAATATTCCCCGAGATATGTAGCCCCTGCCCCCGACCGCCCCCGGGTCGTGTATGCATCGCAAACCCATGTCCCGGATTATCATTTCTGCTTTAGGTTGGGGCGAGTTGCGTCAGTTGTCGAAGGCGTTAGCAAACTGCCAGTTGGTAACTTAATAGTTTCTGCCTGCGGTTAGAAGCATACAATACCACCTGCTTGAATTGTATATCGAGGGAGTAGATCATAGTCGACAGGGAGCTCAAAGACCCTATTGGATCGGGGAAGTGCTTTCGGCGGCGGATCCTGAAATTGCCTTTTTGTTCTCGATCGAATTCAGCTGAAGTTTTCGTTGGGAACCGCGGATGCCTATGACTTCTTATGATTAATGTGGCGTTTCACATGCAATGGGGATGTCGAGGGTCGAGGACGTGGATGAGTTGTATGCGACGAGGTCAACTTCTCGATGTAGTTGAGATAAGATTGAAACTCGATCACATGGACTCGAAGCCACCATTCTTATTTACTCTTATTTCAGGTAACGTGAATCCAGGTGACGTGAAGCTACACGTGAAGCTACATGTGACCCGGGGAATTGAGCGTCGGCGAAGTTAAGGCGCCACATGGTCCCCGATGTGTACGGAGTACGAAATGCACACTTGGGGGTGCGCAAAAGCCTAGAAGTCACACTGGGAAAATTTTGGTAACGTCGTAGTCGCATGGGAATTTTTAACGGAACGGTACTGGACGTCAAGTGTCGTACACGTGTACACGTCAAACCAAGGGAGTAATAGCGGAAAGATTCAAACAAGAAAAGAATAGTTGTTCATATTTTCCATTTCATTCAGAGGCACCAGGTCTTGTATGGCAACCTCTTTTAACTGGACATCGATACATTCCCTCTTCTGTTTCCAGCTCTGGTATATGTCTTTCCATCCCATCGCAGGGACTGAATGTGCTCGATGGTTTTTTCGTCCCCGCCTTCACCTAGAACCGTGCTCGCTCGAAAAAAACGCCGGGGTAAACCGTTTAGAAACCTAAATTCCAGATTAGCAAAAACTTCGATGGAGATATTCGCTGGCGGAGCATACGGAGAGGAGTGAAGAACCAGCGGTTCTTGCCGCTGGTGTAGCGGTCCTCAAGAGCCTTCTTGATGGTCTTCTTGGCGTCCTCGCGCTGGGAAACCTCCTTGAAGGTCTCGGAGGAGACAACACCCTTAAGACCCTCGAGCTCGAGAGTGTAACGAGTGGGCATCAAGTGGTTGTAGTTGACGACCTTGATGAAAGGCTTGACCTTGGAGCGGCGGTCGACGAGCTTCTTGCCCATGCGCTTGGTGACCTTCGAGGGGTAACGCTCGATACCGGCAACGATGGCGAAGGGGAAGGGGTGAGCCTTGGAGCCAGTGTCGCTAGGCTGGACAATGACGACCTGTCGAATTGCGCTGTCAGTTATCTGCATTCCATCGCACAGCATTTTCCCCATTTTAACGATTTCTCCAGATTTTCTTCGAACATCCTTTCTTTTGGCGGCCACAAAACACATAGAATCCTCCTCTTGCTAATGCTGTCGTTCTCTTTCCTTCTCCTCTTTCTCTTGTATCCGGGGGGAGCGTCGATTGTCGTACCTTCTTACCGGCGAAACGGCCACGGGTGATAATGGCCACACGGCCCACTTTCATGACTATCGCGAAATTCTCGTCAGCATGGAATTGAAGGACGGGGTCGTAGAGGCATCGAATACGCACACTTCATTCTGGAGTCCCGGTAAGCGGCAAGGTTGGCGGGTTTGGTTGTCGGAGTACGGAACAGTCTAAGATCGAAGTGCTCAAGTTTTCGCTTGGGTAAGAGAGGGTTCAGGGCAAGTGAGATTTGTGTGCGATGGCCTGATTGGCTGACTTACCGACTGCGATGGACTAGTCTTGATCAGGGGTATTTCCCCATTTGTCCAGATCCGGATAAACTAGCTTACCTAATCCTGCCCGGATTCCAAGATTCTAGCCTTACAATCGGGGTTTGTCTTGGCTGGGCCTCACCGCCCTGACGTTTGTTTACATGACGACGTAACTAGTCCGTTGCTATGGTCGCCGAAGTGTGATGTGTAGGCCGCGTAGTAGTTCCTGTCGTCCACCTCCACTTTTGGGCTTTCCTCTTATCAAGCTGATCTCCCGGAGTTTGATGCTTGTTACACCGTCCTTTTCCACTGCTTTGTTTTCTAGCGATCTGTGGTTTTGATATGCATTGACGACCCTTGTTTTGAACTTTACAACGCAAAATCCTACATTCCAATACCCTTGCTCTTGTCAATATCTTTCTAAGCCATCCTGAATATCCTCTCTACACAAAAAACATCATGCCGTCCCAAGATCGGGACGCTCCCAACAATGATCGGGAACTGGTCCGTCATAGACCGACCCACAGCGATTCCAGTCGGTCCTTGGTTCCTATGTAAGTTTTGTTCGATCCCAATTCAGCCGACAACCGGTTACTAAACCTTCAATAACGCAGGTGGGACAGCTCCGACCCAGAGCGCGCGCCTCCTCCATTGCCCTTGAACCCTCGTTCCATGAGCCCAGCGACTAGACACGGCGTTTCGCCGAACATTCAGGCCGTGGCAGCCAAGTTCACAGACAAGCCGAGCGAGAACGCTCCCAGCTCTTACACAACAAACCCAATGCCCAATAAGGCTGGATCACCAGAAAGGTCCTTGGTCAAGGGCCACCACCATAAGCGTCTGCAGTCCTTACAGCCCAACGACACCAAGGGCGATGCTCGTTCGGATTTCCTGAACTATCTCGAAAATCGATCCCCCGAGCGGCCTCTTAGGGCTACAATAATCGATCCCACGAACATGCCGCTGGATGCAGGCAAAGTTTTTGGATCCCCACCACGTCCTGCTGAGCGGGAAATGCCTAGTTACGTGTCAGGTCGTTACTTGTCAAAACCTATTCTTGGAGAAAGTACTCCCCCATCCGCCACCATGCTTGCTTTGCAAAACATGCAACTCCCTTCTGATAATGACCCGCCATCCCCCTCAAAACCTCCTAAGATGATAACGGCGGCGAAGTTTGAAGAACCCAAACACACCATGGATACACTAGCGTCGCAAATCTGCAGCCTAACCGATATTGCTAGCAACTTGCAGCGCGAGATGTCGAATCTCAGCCGCCGGAGCAAAGATAACGCTACTGACCTGATTAGCCTTAAGGCTGCAACAAATGCTCGCGATGAAGATATTCGGAAGAGCTTGAAGGACTTGTCCTCTAATCTCACATCGAAGTATTTCGATGGTGATCTATCAAGGTTGGATCTCAGTGCATTCCTGAAGCCGGAGAGCGGCCCTAACCCCACTGAATCGGATAGTTCTCCCAATTCCAAAAGAAGCTACTCTGTACCACGCATGCCCAGCCCTAATCCTTTCGCCTTTGATCGAGACATATGTGGCTCGCCAGCCCCAATCTCCGATGGATCCGCTAGTATCGCTTTACTCGAAAAGGTTTTGCGCGAGATGGCCACAAAGGAAGGTGAGGAAAGGCTTTTGGAACTTGTGGATGAAATCAAATCACGGCCGGCAACTACCCCCTCTGACAAGGATGCCGATAAGAAGATCACCAATATGCTGGAAGAGATTCTCAACCTTGTCAAGGAAGACCCGTCAAGCAGAGCTCTTGTTCGTTCGATGACTACAGAGAATCTTCGTCCGCCGACCGACTCCAATAACGGAGGTCTTCGATCTACCTCGCTCGGGTCTATTGATGAAACGGCCACTGTCCGTGCGCTGGATGTACCCAAGGACGACAAGCTTCAGCGCAGTGCGCCAAATAACGATGAAGTTTTGGCAATTCTACGCACGGTTAAGAGCAGTGTCGTCGAAGGAGGCGGCATGACCAACAACGTGAAAGCCCTAGTGCGTGAACTACGTGGCGAAGTGCTCGGTATGGGTCGTGATCTCGCTCGCAAGCTAGAGGCACTGGAGTCAAACATTGCCGAGGGAGCACAGCAACAGCCACAAATTGAAGCTCCAAACGCAGATCAGATATCCGCAATCATTCACGAAAGTCTTGGTGACCTGCAGGAGCAGCTGGCTGCTACCGTGAACGAAAGTCGAAGCCAGGCTTCTGCTTTTTCCCAGTTCCAGTCGACCATGAACAGTGCTGAAATATACTCCATTGTGAAGAAAGCACTGGATGAGCTGGAGTTTCCTCAGCCTCAAAAGGAGCCCGATGGCCCTCGAATGGAGAAAGATGACATCCTCGACACTGTACGCGATGCCTGGGAGACCTACAAGCCCGAGATCGAATTGCAGACAATTGGGCTGGAGCGAGATGAGATCCTTGAGTGCCTGGCTGAAGGTCTCAAATCATACCAACCGCAGCACGAGCAAGCTATCACTTATGAGCAAGTTGTGGCTGCGGTTCAGACCGGCATGCAGAATTTCACTCCTCCCCCAGTGGAACAACCGCCCGCTATTACCCGAGACGAGATCATTCTGACTATCCGTGAGTGTCTTGAGAAGCCAGAAGACACCTCTCGTGCCCTGGAAGACACTCATGCGAGCAGCCTGGTTTCCATGCGAGACGACATCCTCCAGGCGGTCTCACAGAAACTCGAGCCGCATTCGCGGGGCCTGCAAGATGAGCATGTGAATTATTTCAACAGCATTCGCGATGAGTTGCTGCATGCCGTGGCTGAAAGGCCAGAGTCTACAAGCAGGGGTCTGGATGAGGAACATCTCCACCACCTGGGATCCATTCGCGATGAGATTCTCCAAGCAATGTCCCAACGACCAGAATCCACAACTCGGTCACTGGATGATGAACATATTCATTACTTGAACTCGATGCGCGATGAGTTACTGCAGGCAATCGCCGAAAGATCAGAATCTACCGACGCGATTCGCGATGAGATTCTTCACGCAATCTCTGAAAGAACAGAATCCAGCAGATCTCTGGATGATGAGCACATTCATTACTTGAATTCGATGCGCGATGAGTTGCTGCAGGCAATCGCCGAGAGACCCGAATCTGCTACCCGATCCCTGGATGACGAGCAGATTCATTATTTGAATTCGATTCGTGATGACATTCTGCATGCCATGGCCGAGAAGTCTCTTCAATCTGTCGAGTCTACCGCTCCCAGGTCTGTAAATGAAGAGCAGTTTGAGCACCTCAACTCCCTTCGTGATGAGATCCTAGACGCAGTGACCAGATCCATGACTACTCAGAGCATGGTTAGCAAGGAATCTTTTGACTCTGGTCTTGGTCGAGATGACATTGTGAGCGCAATCTCCGATGGTCTTGAAGCCCACTTCACCTCGGCCAAGGAAATGGATGAACCGCGCGTTTCGCGGGAAGATGTGGTCAATGCCATTAATGATGCCTTCAATGCCCAACAGTCCGCCCTGGCAACCAGCCCTCAGCCTGCTATCTCCCGTGAAGAGATCATGGATGCCATCGTGGATGGTATTGAGATCGCAAACCAAGCCAAGGAGACAGCAATCAGTACGAATGTCCAGCCGTCTTCGTCCATTTCCCGTGAGGAGATCCTGGAGGCTATTTCCGAAGGTCTGGAGAAGACATACGAGTCTCAGAAGTCGTCTTTGAGTACTGAGGTCCAACAGCCGAGTATCACCCGGGAGGAGGTTTTCACCGCTATTGTGGATGGCTTTGAAAATGCCAATACCATGACTCGTGAGATTGAACTGAACAAAGACGACCTAATGGAAGCGATCACAACCGGCCTTCATGAAGCGACCAATTCTGCCAACATCAACGTTGGCGACCAAGTTCTGGAACGACTTCAGGATGTGGTCGATGGCATGAAGGAAGAATTCAAACAATACTCCGCGGCCAATGGCAAGGATACCGAGCAAGTCTTGGATGCCGTGAAGGACGGCCTTGCTGTTGTGCGACAAGAAATTGAGTCTTATGTGGCCACCGCCCAGGAGGTTTCTGGCAAGCATGAGATCATCGACACTGTCAAGGAAGGATTTCGCCTTCTGCAGGCTGATATGGAAAAAACAATCACCGACACCGCTGTTTCCAATGCCACCCCTAGCAGCCCCGATACAACGGAGCTGCTCGATGCTATGGAGAAGGAGTTCGAGCACCTTCGTGGTTCAATCAGCAATCTCCTCTTAGACAGCCATCGAGCCAGTGACAAGGATGAAATCCTTGATGCGATTCGTGATGCCAGCGAGCAACATAAGAACAAGTCGACCGATGAGCAGATCCTGAATTCCATCAAAGAAGAGTTTGAGAAGATGCGCGAGTCCACGGCGATGAGCGTTGTTCGTTCTGAGCCTCCCCCATCTGAGAAGGAAGACATCATTGCCGCTCTTCGGGAGCATTTCGATGCCCTTCGTGAAGAAACAAACACTAGGTCAGCCGATGAAGAGATTCTCCGCTCCATCAAGGAAGAGTTTGAGAAACTCCGCGAGTCTACGGCAATGAGTGTTGTTCCTTCTGAGGCTTCAACTGAGAAAGAGGACATCATTGCCGCTCTTCGGGAACATTTCGATGCTCTCCGCGAGGAAAACATGCAGCAGAACACTAAGTCGGCCGATGAGCAAATTCTTAATTCCATCAAGGAAGAATTTGAGAAATTCCGCGAGTCCACAGCGCTGAGTGTCGTTCGCTCTGAGCCCCCTCCATCCGAAAAGGAGGACATCATCGCCGCTCTTCGGGAGCATTTTGATGCCCTTCGTGAAGAAACCATGCAACACAAGGATGGCGGCGAGAATTCGGGGTCTGCCACCAGTGAACTGCTTGATGCCTTCAATGATGGTATCCTTTTGATCCGCGATGACGTACAGAAAGTTCTAGATAAGCCTGCTGATTTTGACAGCTCTGAGATCCTTGACACTATCAAGGATGGCATGGCGGAGCTGCGATTAGAGATTGACTCCCTTCGCCAGTCCCAAAAGGAGGAGACCGAGACCGATGTTGTGGAGACAACTCGTGGCGGAGAGGTCGTGCTTGCCAACGAGCCATCTGCCCTGGGTACCGACATCGAAGGCTTGAAGACTCTCATCACCCAGCTGACAGACAAGATGGAATCAATCGAAACCACTCGTGCTGCGGAGCCTGTTGAGGACCCTACCGCAGAGCCTACCGAGCCAGCTCTCAACCGCAGCCATCTGGATGAGGTATTGATGACTCTTCAAGAAGTTCAGTTGGCTATCGGTGAGTTGAAGCCTACCGAGCCTGCCGAACCTCCCTTGAACCGTGCCCATCTCGATGAGGTCATGGTGGCTCTCCAAGAAGTGCAACTCGCCCTTGGTGAGATGAGTGCTAGTCGGGAGATCCCCGAGGGAGGTGCGCGGAAGGAAGATACCGACACCATCGAAGGCCTTCTCATGGGAACCAAGGCTCAGATTGAGGAGATCCAGTTCCCATCTCTCGATGAAGTTGCCACTTCTGAGCATATTGGGACTCTTGAGGCTATGATCCGCGAGTCGAAGGATGCTATTGCCGACTTATCTACTCGCCTGGAGGCGGAGGGCTCTACAAAGTCTGATATTGGCACTCTGGAAGGCCTGATCAAGGATGTTTGGGTTGCCCTTGAAGAGTTGAAGGGCAAGACTAAAGGAGAGGAGGAGACAGAAGGAGATGAAGGTGAGGAAAACGGCAAGCTGCTCAAGTCTGATCTTCAAACCGTGGAGGCTATGATCTTCGAGGTCAAATCTCAAATTGACGAGCTCAAGTTGCCTGATGTGGAAACTCTTCCCACGAAGGAGGAGATCCAAGAGCTCTCGGCTCTCGTTACCGATTTCCGGGACAAGATGGAGAATGCCAACGACCTCACTGCCCAAGGCTTTGAGGCCCGGAAAACTGAGCACGGTGGTCTTGCCATCAAGATCGACGAGAAGATTGATGAGGCCAAATTTGTCGTTGGTGAGCTTGGAGACGAGCTTAAGAGTAAACTTGATGGCAGCAGCGAAGGACTCATGGAGCTCAAACAATTGCTCGAGGGCCTGGCTATCTCTGCCGAGAACTTTACCACTGTCGAAAACGTCAAAGAGCTCACTGATCTCATCAACCGCGAGTTCGAGCGCGCCCGCGGCGAGGAAGATGCTGGCAGGCTGGAAAAAGAAGAGAGAGATGCTGCTGCTTTAGTCAAGCACGACGAGACTCGGGCTGCAGTTATTGTTGAGCTGGGAGCCAAAATCGACGAGAAGATCGGAGAAGTGATCGCTAAATATGAAGAAGCACATACCTCGTTGCACTCCAAATTCTCGGAGACCGAGGAGCGTGATCTGGCTCATGCTGAAGCGGTCACAAGCACCAAATCCCTCGCTGAGGACATCAGGCTTGTCATTGGCGCTATGGGCACTACTGTCACCGAGGCTTGTGAGCGCACGACCGAGGAGACCAAGGCTCTTGCTGTGAAGGTTGATGAATCATACAACCGGATGGAAGAGATGCACAACGAAGCCAAATCGCACCAGGAGCAGTCGCGAGGCGAGAACGAGAGAGTGGTTGCGGCCACCGAGCGTGTGGAGAGCAAATTGCTCGAGTTCAACCCTCAAATTCTGGAGACTGTGCAGCAGATCCTGACTGTTGTCAGCCAGCACTTTGACCACTCGCAAAAGTCGGCGGAGGAGGTCAAGTCAGAACTTATGTCCCTTCCGACTGCCATTCCAAGCATGCTTCCTGCTTTGCCACCCCCGGAATCTTCTCGGGAGATCGAAGACGATCCTGTTCACAACAAGCTTAACGATCTTTTGGCGCACGCCAAGAACAGCCCTGTTCAGGATGTTTTGAACACTCTGCTGGAACACTCGAAGAGCACTCAACTGCATGAAAAGCTCGACCGTGCTCTGGAGCATGGCGCTGCGTCGAACAGCGATATTTATGAGAAGCTGAATCAGATCCTTGATCATACCACCAATGGTACCGGTTCTATTCACGAGAAGCTTGATGCTCTGCTCAGCCGTCCCGTCACTACTGTTGATCCTGAACAGTCAGTCACCCAGATGATGAAGCTGGATGAGATGCACAAGGACATAATGGAGAACACTCGTAAGATGAACGAGATGTTTGCTGTGCAGTCCACGCTCGTCGCTGAGGAGACTGAGCGCAAGCGTCGTGAAGCGGAGGAAGCTGCAATTGCCTTGGAGCGCAGGATTGCCCAGCGCGAGCAAGTCGAGGCCGACATTGTCGGTTTGCAAGAGGAGAAGGAATCTCTATTGAAGATGTTCCAAACCCTAAAGGCAGAGAAGGATGAACTTGCCAAGCAGACATCCAAGATGAGCAAGGAGCTTTCCGGCCTTGAGACCGCCCTAGAGATCCGCCATGAAGAGATGCAGCAGATGGAGGAGCGTGCTGATGGGCTGGAGAAGCGCATCCTTGAAGGTGTTCTCGACCATGCCCGCAGTATTTTGTTGAGTCGGTCTGGTAGCCTCAACAGCATGAACCTCAAGCGCAACCAAAGCACGCGTTCGTCTCGCGCTGGTGCTCGCAGCCCTAGCATGGCTAGCATTACTACTACAAGCACTGCCCGAGAGCCAAAGGACGCACGCAGCCTTCTCGGTAATGGTGTCGGTATGGCTCTCAAGCGCCGTACAGGCAACAGCCTCCAACCTGGGCCAGCCGCGGTTCAACCCAACATTGGAAAAGAGCGACGAATTCTCAGTTTGAGTCATGTTACAGGAAACCGCGATGCTGGTCGTCAATCGGGTCCAAACGGCGGCATCACTAGCCTGAAGCGTAGCCACTCGGTCAAATCCAACTTCTCGGCCCGCAAGACCTCTTGGGCCGGCCCCACTGCAAACAAAGAGAACGAAGCATTCCCAGAGGAAGAGGAGCCCGAGAGTGAACCCGAGACCGATGCCGGCACGGAGCGCAAGAGTAGCTACGCAGGTACCAACCGGCAGTCTAGCTACGCAGGAACCAACCGGCAATCTAGCTACACAGGAACTGATCGAAAACTTAGCTATGCCGAAACTTGCACTGACAGCATGGTCACCGGAGTTACCGATAGTGTTATCTCAGAAGATCGACGCACTAGTGGCATGAGCAGTGCCACCGGGGAGCACGAGGAGTCCGAGCTAGCATCAGATGATGATGAAGATGATGCTCAGACTGCCCGTGAAGACGACGACGATGATGTTAATTCAGATGAAGAAAATGAAGAGTCAGAAGGTCACCAGGATGATGTGGATGACAGACTTTCTGACACTGCCTCAGCAATGGAGGCTGAAGTTCTGAAGCTGCTGGAGCCCCCTCCTGACAGTGGATTGGGAAGTGAGATGACTGTCTCATGAATAATATGACAGCTTACTTTGTTCTTGTTTCGGGTTGAATTGTTTGTTCCCTTTGGAGTTTGGGTTTCTTTTGGTCTTTCCTTTGTGCTTTCATATACCACCTCTGTGTTGATTCTATTATTATGGGCCTGTATGAATTCCCTATGTTTGTATTAATGATCATCTTTACCACTTTTTCATGACCAACCATGGTTTCTCGTTTAGTAAGAAGCAATTTTCCAATCGTAAAATATGATTTGGAGGCTGTAGACATGCATGACCTGGTCATTCTGCTATAGTTCGGTCAGCTGCCCGATAGGGCAAGTAGTCATGTGACAGGTCATCCTGCCTGAGGCAAAGCCGAGGCCGTCTGGTCCGACGGTTGGAATCCCAACCTGCTTTTCCTTGCTATGAGTCTATGCATGGCGCTCAACTGTAAAGAAGGAGCGCTGTCCTTGTCCCTGAGCCGATGGTAGATTTCTGAGGAATCTACTCTCCCCCTCATAGAATCCACCTCCCCCGTCCTAGCAAACCTCCTTGGAAGACCGTGAAGCTCCCCACATCAGTTGATAAGCTACCGGCTCATCAACTATGCTGGACCCTCTCGGGCCCCCTCCAGCATGGCTGCGAGAGTTCATCAAACCTTATGCGTTATCGCTAGATAGCCCGACACTCACCGTGCACGTCCATGAGATTTTCCTGGCCTTCGCTTTCTACCAGTTCATCCACTCGGTAGTCTCGCCGGTTCTATCGCCGATCCTCTTCCCGCAGTCCTACAACAAGTTGTCTGCCCGCACCAAGTTGAATTGGGATATCCATGTCGTCTCTCTTGTGCAGAGTATTGTGATCAACGCTCTCGCACTGTGGGTTATGTTCGTTGATGACGAGCGTAACTCCATGTCTCCCCTTGAGCGTGTCTTCGGTTACACGGGTGCCTGCGGGTTGATCCAGGCATTGGCTGTCGGATACTTCATCTACGACCTGATTGTCAGCACGATTTACGTGAAGATGTTTGGTATCGGAACACTGTTCCATGCCATCAGTGCTCTTTGGGTATTTAGTCTTGGATTCGTAAGTCGGCATACTCTCCGTGGTGAAAACAGCCCCCAAATCTAATACCGATATCGCTTCTGTACAGAAACCATTCCTTAACTACTATGCCTCGACATTCATCCTTTATGAGCTCTCGACACCCTTCCTCAACATCCACTGGTTCCTTGACAAAGTCAACATGACCGGTAGCAAGGCTCAATGGTACAACGGCATGGCCCTGCTGTCCGTATTCTTTTCTTGCCGCCTCATCTGGGGAACTTGGCAATCCATCATCGTCTACAGTGACATGTGGACCGCTCTTCAACAGACCTGGAATGCCTCGTCCGGCCCGCTAACAGAACCCGTTAATATCAACGCCAACGTGTTCCAGCTAACTCGCAGTAGCATGTGTATCGACGAGACCTGTGCTCGTGCCAATGCTGAGATCTCCCAGTTCAAGGAGTACACTGCCGCCGGTGTCCCGACCTGGCTGGTCCTGACGTACGTCTTGTCGAACATGGTCCTTAACTTCCTGAACTACTTTTGGTTCTTCAAGATGGTCGAGACTGTTCTCAAGCGCTTCCGCACACCCGAAGCTTCAGGAGCGAAGGCCGGTGTACCCGAGAAGAAGGGTGAGTCCGCGAAATCGGATGGCCCTGCTCAGGATATCATCCTCGAGGCAGCCGCCGGATTGGAGACGGAGGGTACTACCTTGCCCGAGCATGCCTCTGGAGATGTGAGTCTTGGTGCGAATGAGGAATTGAGAAAGCGGAGGGTGGATCTTGCTTCGAAGGTTCCTCTGCCTGGGTCATAACGGATATTTCTCCGATTTGGTAGAGACATACAGTAGACAGGTGAGAGGGTCTATTTTCGCTGTTTGGCGTCTCTTGGCAAGATTGAACGCATATTGGGGTTGCATGGTGGACTATTCTCTGTGAAAATATCTACTTCTAGTTGCTGATTGGTGGCAGCGTTGCACATTTTTGGTCTGTTGGTGTTTTACTTTCCAGTTTCTATACTTTGACCTTTACATAGTCTGCGTCTTTGGTGTTTTTCATGCTGTATGGCTTCCCATTTGGTTTCGTTGTCCTACAAGCTTCATTGAAGCGATTTTGAAACTATAAGGGCTTAACTATCGAGTTCATTTTCTGTGGTATCTGGCCGGTTCTTGTCTTCGGTTGGCGTAATATAGTGAATGGCATCATTTTCACCCTGACCTAACGGATTCCCCTCGATCTTCGAGGTATGAAAGACTTTGCCAAGTATAAGGACCAGGATTAGCTAGCATCATGCATCAAAGACATACTATCTAGGAATACACTTCGTCCTCAGATCCTGATACAATGACAACGAAATCACACCAGCCTAACACTATGCTTTTAACATCCAGCCTCCAAAGCGCAGCACTAGATAATCTAATCAATTCAATACAAAGTTTTATATGCATATGACGATATAACCAGCTCTTCGAGCAGAGCCGCGGGCTCTCTAAGTGACTGATTCGGTCTAACCCTGCCGTGGTAGTGAGATACCATCCCAACTGCCCTTCACAAAACGCAATTCCCTATACTTATGCGTTTATTTACTTAATAATGTCTGGTCAGTCTGGTGGGTAAGCGAATCCTTCCTCCTCTTTATCATGCGTATGGCCAGAAAAGTCCTTCTTTTCTTCCATGGTGGTTGATCGAAGTGCCTGGGGAAGGCGGACAATGCTAGCTTTGCTATCGCGGTGTTAACACATATTGTCGTACATTGCGTGCTTCTTCAAATGGAGGCACAAAAAAGGTCGAACTTATGGATCAAAGGTCACGGAACACAGGTGAGGTTTAGAATTTGTACAAAGGACAGAAGAAACCTATTCAGATAGGATCACAAGCACCTTCCAAGAGACTAAAAATAAATCTAGAAGCTTCACTCACTAGACTCATATGAGTTCTTTGCTAGGGGTAGTCAAAGGAGATTTCGGATGCCATTGAGTTTTTCTATACAGTTCAGACAAGACTGGCAAGCCTCAGGCATTCAAAATTCGGAATGACACCGAACGCTGAATCATGGCGAGCTCATCCTGCATTAGCTTCTCCTTTCTGGAGGGTCATTTTGAATTGGCCTGCATCCCACCCCAAAGCTCCACGAGCCGGACCTCAGGTCGGGACGGGCCGCCTGTGCTCATGTTGATATTTACCTGGTGATGACACAGCCCAGAGAGTCACAAAAGTAGATGTAGAATGAACTGTGCTCACGATGCAGATTGCGCTGGGATTAAAGGGGAAGGCATGAAATGTAAGCCAGTTGAGCAACGTCGAATGCGTGTGTTTGTGCTGTTTAGATCAAGTCACGATTTTCATATGTTCGGACGCAGTAACTACATGGTAATAGCTTCCAACTTCTCCGTTATACGTCTCATTTGCGATGATATAACCCGTGACCTACGCAATGGCAGCTTGGCTTTACCGTATGACCGCCACGAGAGGGGGCGCATCTGTCACAGGCAATAATTCTCGAGGTTCCATGTTCATGCCTGGGTAATACTGGACCATTGCCCCGGCAGAATGGATTGGGTGTGGTGCTTGGGCCTATTCCCAAATTCTATCTACCTCTCTTGATTAGTAGATCGAAAGCCACTCCAGGATGAATGATAAATTGGCGATGATCACATCCTGGTAAAGGAATGGCATCACATTGAATTCTACCGGCCATGGGTGGATATCCTGCGAGACAATACCTGACAGAATTGACAGCCGTGGCCAACTGCATGAAATGAGCTCACCGGGCAAAGACCCTGTGTCAATCAGAGCTTCTTCTAACACGGGGTTGTGACCTGGAAACCACGCTTGGCTCAGTTTGATACGTTGGTCGACGGGAGCTAAGGATTTTGAGTTTGTCGCGTAGAGAAGTGGAGAAACTATGTGCCCCGTCCGGGAGTTGTCACTTCTTCAACTACCGTGAGGCTTGCCAGATCAGGAAGATCGTCCGAGGGAGGTCGTAGTCAAATCGAGCTGTCTTGAAACAAGGTCCAGCACGTGCATCGGGTGCTTCACATAGATTACGATATGATCTAGCTCAGCCTGGTGTTCTAGTTTGGTAGCGGGTTCTAGATGCAATGCCCGAACTCGTTGGCTAGCAATATTATTACCATTAGGAGAAGGTGTTGCGACAGTTTAAGAAAATGGCATTGTGTTCCTCCGCTAGTAACAAGCGGTTCCCTAAATCCCCTAGTCTTTCCCATACGACCCGAAGTCTCTATATAGATTGGACACTTCATCCTGAAGTGTAGCCTACTCAGTAGCAGACTTTGCATTATCAAATAGAGATCAAGAGCATCGCACTTAAAGGGCATTTGCGATTGCGTTGTATGCAGACTTGGGGTTATAGTTTGCGTCAAAGAGCAAAGGAGTGGAGCTAGAGCGCCACGAATCCTGAAAGAATCTAGTGTCAGTATATGAGTTTTTTTGATTTTTATGAATTGGGCGTTTACCGGGTCAGCGACTCCCCAAACAGTGATTCCGACACACTTTGGCTGATTGAGACAGGCGTTGACAACCTATGGAGAGAGTGGTTAGTTCTGAACTCAATTGAACTAGCCTTGGAATGATGGAAACGAACATTGACATAGTCAGTGGAGCTGGCACCGGCAATATCAAGCTCAGTGATAGCGACCTCCGTCGTTCCTGCACCGGCAAGAGCGTTCAGAGCTGTATAAGGCCGTGAGCTAAGGTTCTTTCAATAGGAGGTAAGGGGTACTTATCCAGCAACTGCTGCACCGGCACCGGCACTTAAATGAGTCTGAGAGCCTAGAAAAGAGTCAGTGGTCTTATTCGGTGAATTTTTATAGCAGGTATCTTACCAATTCCATCGATCGGGATACCGGCAGCGATCCATTTCTTGACATAATTGACCATACCGGTCGTCTTAGAGTAGGAGGCGGAATCCAGGCTTTGGAACATCAGAACGTCAGAGCTATGCACCACGAAAAGAGCCGAGGGAAATGACTCACTTGTAGTCATTGATGTAGAGCTTCGCATTTGGGTCTGTAGCACGGGCTGTCTCGAAAGCAATCCGTACATAATCTTCTCCAATCACATTGTAGAAGACGCTGTTACGAAGAGAGCCATCCTCGTTGAAAATCTCGTTCACAACGTCCTTGGAAAAGTTAGCGATGTTCCTTTGTAGGACTGAGGCTATTGAGCTTACGTACCCAGGCGTAGATCTTGCCCTTGTAACGGTTCATCACCGTGGTAATGTGGTTCTTCAGGACACTGGTCAGAGTTGTCTTGTCGGTGATGGAAGAGACCCAAGACGGGAGCTGGGAGTGCCACACTTGACGAGTTTAGCTTCTCTCCTGGCAAACTTGACACCTAGGGACTTCAGCACTTACCGAGAGTATGACCACGGACCAGCTTTCCATTGGTTTGAGCAAAGTCGACCTAGACTCTTTATTAGAACCATGCAGAGGAGCCGAAAGGCTGGATGCATACCAGATAGTCCGATCCAGTGAAGGAGAATTGCCCACGGCTTGCTAATTTCCGACTCAGCTTCTCGTACTCTACTTGTTCCGTAGATGACAATACTTACGCTCAGTAGCATCCCACTTCATGCTGTTCTCCGGAGTCAGTTGACCAAAATCGGCCTTGATGATTGCCGGGGTCTTTGCATTCTTGTTGAAGGTGTACTGGTCACCAATGTTTCCGAGATACTTCTTCCCGTGGGCCTTGAACTTGGAATCAATGCTCACAGAGGCCTGTCGGGCTTCAACAGGTCCGGAAAGCGCTTGACCAGCAAAAAGAAGAGCCAGCGCTGCTGTCTTGATTTGAACCATCTTGGGAAACGGGTTGGGGGTTTCAACTGAAGGATTGGAAATGATAATGATCGATGAAGACCATCTGGAAGGGTCGAGGAGACTGTTTATATAGGGCAAAAGCCAGCTCGTCATAGAGCAAGGCAGTCATAGTTGAGTATCAAGTGGCTCAATGGAGTCGTTTCCCCGACCTGATGTGTATCATCCGTCTCTACCACTGATGCGGAACGGACGTTGCCTATTTCATCCAATGTCCAAGCATCGAGCTCAATCATTTTTTTGCCTGAATGGTGGCATGACTTTAGCCTAGAACGCTGCTGTCTAGACACGACCAAATCATGAAGCTCCCCTTGGGCCGGTAGGTCCACTGGAAAGTCTAGCCTCTACATGTAATGATGGAAGGACCGTCAAGTCTTGGCTTGTGTTCAAGGGGGAAACTTGGCGGATAGTGGAGCCGAAAAAAAGGGTCCGCGAGTGTGGAGACGACAGGGATCGATGATACTTTGGCGGCCATCAAAACCAATCATCTTCAACTTCGCCAAGGGAGGCTTGCCCTGCTTTCAACTACTACATGCTAATTCTGTCAAATCTCCCGAGGAACCTCCGAGGTTCATTCCGACATTCTTCAGGACGGCATAATGAGCAACCTCCACCTACAACTAAGCCATCAAATGGAGACGTTTGGAGTTGTTTGGAGGTATTTGGAGATAATAGTGACTTATAGTGAAACAGTATTAAGACTTTGGTGTCTCAGAGTAATCTATCTTCATTGAGCGTTGCCGTCGGCACCCACATCTATGTTCATCGTCCATTTCACTCATTCTCGCAAGGTATTCAAGCAACTAGACATGTACAAACTCAAAAATAGCCTGAAGAGAACAGAATGATGATCGCTGTGCGGGGTGCATGTCAGCTTCTCTCTCCAGAAAGGTAAAAATCCGGTGGACGAGTATTTCTGGCTAATGTACTTTATCCTGAATCATTCCTTCTCCACTTGAAACAGGGTGGAGTTTACTTGCACATGAAAATGATGGATCTCATATGCTCCGGCTGAGCAAAACAATATTCAAGCTGCACTTGGGATGATTTAAACACCGTCGACCTCCCACCCAGATGTTTCTTCATTCATCTTTCAATTACCGTCACTGACGGGAACCTTCATCACAATGATATTCTTCAACGCGAAAGCTGGCCCGGTGTCATCGGTCTTGTTTTTGCTCGCATCAGCACCTGCTGTCGTCGCTGACTGCGCACTTCCGTCGACGTACAGTTGGACATCCACTGGCCCTCTCGCCAGTCCCAAGTCTGGATGGGTGGCACTGAAGGACTTCACCAATGTGGTCTTCAACAACAAGCATGTCGTCTATGGATCAACTGCCACCGCAGCTGGGAGCTACGGCTCCATGAGCTTCAGCCCCTTTTCCGACTGGTCTGATATGGCATCTGCGAGCCAAAACGCAATGAGCTTCAATGCTGTTGCGCCCACGTTATTCTACTTCCAGCCAAAGAATATCTGGGTCCTGGCTTACCAATGGGGCTCGAGCACCTTTACCTATCGAACAGCAAGTGATCCTACCACCAATCAATGGTCATCGGAGCAAGCCCTGTTCTCCGGGAAGATCACCGATTCAGGCACTGGTGCTATCGATCAGACCCTTATCGGCGACTCGACCAACATGTACCTTTTCTTTGCAGGAGACAACGGCAAGATCTACCGCTCTAGCATGTCGATCGATAGTTTCCCAGGAAATTTCGGAACAAGCTCGGAGGTGGTGCTCAGCGACTCTCAATACAGCCTGTTTGAGGCAGTACAAGTCTACACCGTGGAAGGCCAGAACAAGTACCTTATGATCGTCGAGGCAATAGGATCACAAGGGCGGTACTTCCGTTCGTTCACCGCGAGCAGTCTCGGCGGCTCGTGGACCCCGCAGGCAACAAGCGAGAGCAACCCGTTTGCCGGAAAGGCTAACAGTGGTGCAACCTGGACCAACGACATCAGTCACGGTGACTTGGTCCGCACCAACCCTGACCAAACAATGACTATCGACCCATGCAACCTCCAATTCCTCTACCAGGGCCGAGACCCGAATGCCGGTGGCGATTACAATGCTCTTCCGTATCAGCCGGGTTTGCTCACTCTGAAATGATGAAGAGAAATTGTTGTTGCAATGGAGCCTTAAAGAGGACTTAGGAAGTACCAGGCGATGGACCTGTATGTCAGAGTACATGTAGCGAAAGGAGAGAGACCATGTCTGAGATAAGTGGCAGCGAATGAATATGAATTTCCGGACCGGTACTCACACTACTCTCTGGCGCCATTGAATGTAGATAGAGACTTTTCTACAGCAATAACCGAAGTTTGCTTCCGTATTTTACACAGATTTATCAGAGACAAGTCCCCACCGCCAAGGCTTAATTGGGCTATGCTACAGATCATCCCTATTTCAAACAATTCATCTTTCTCGCACAAGGAGACCAGGTATCTCGCTCCTGGTGACTATTTCCATCTCGCCAATCACATTATGATAGTGAGAAAGGCCTAAGGATTTCTAGCAATACCTATCAGGCTTCATCTACTTAGTATAAGATAGTTTATGAATGCCAGTAAGAATAAAATGTCCAGATCGCCAGAGACAAGAGTAGAAGTCGTAATCCTAGGAGCAAGCGGGCAAGCATTATCAAAGTCTAGGCGAGAAAAGAACGAGAATAGATCCACAGACTAAATTTACAGATAATTCATTTGGGAGTTCCTGAGATATTCTTAAATTTTCTGAAACCAAACATTGAGGTTATATTCCCCGCAACTATGGAGAGATGATAACGTGGATGCGAAACTCGACGATTTAGATAATGACATGGCCGCCAGATATACTGCCAATGAATGTGGCACAACTGTACCATCACAGGCGAATTTGCCAGATTAGACCGCCAATTATCTCTCTATTAAGGGGACAACAGTCAAGAGTGTTGGTCTACAGCTGCATTTAGAATCTAGATAGGGCTAGCACGGTATCCGCCTTCCTAGGTCACGCTCTGGGCAAGCCATATGGCTTATATAATGCTCAGGTGATCACATATGCTCCCCAAAACACCATAGTAAAATGGAATGATTTGCACTATGATATCTCAAGCAACCATGTATTTTCTGTATGATCTGCTTCTAAATAGCACTTTATAAAACTTAGTCATATTCGTCATGTGTCAACTTCGATGAAATCCAAAAGCGAAATTGTACAGGTATCCAAAACTACGTTGCCGGGAGATCGTAAAAGCGTGGAATTATATATATCAATATCATTAGGTTACGAAGGTTTCAGTCGTTTTGAAACAGACTTGATCCCATCAGAAAATCATTAGACACCGAGAGAAAAGTATATAATACATGATTGCCAATATAGCAAATTGAAAATCATCGTAAGGTTTTACTAAAGTGTTTTTGGGTGGCCGATTCGGTGGTGAAATACGATAGTCGCTCAGTGAGCAAAAAGCGGCGATAGATGAGCACTAAAATGGAGAGGGAAACCAAGACTTGCCAGACATTGTCCTATATCTGTATAGGTATAATCGAATCGGACAGTCTATCAATATCATGTCCGATAATTTGGCATTTACTACCTGACGCGAGGTGTAGGAAATCATAGGAAGTATATGATATTGAACATCGAAATTTTGAAAATTAGCCCTGTCCTAGCTACACCGAACCAAACACCACATAAGCGCCCCGCAACAAGAAACCAAAAAGACCAGTAAAAGCCGCGGCTCTTCAATATCATCATGAATCCAATGCCTACCGCGCAGCTGCAGCATCAGGCTTGGCTAGCATGTAACGCACGGCTTCATTGGCAACGGCAGAATTCCAAACACTATTGGCACCACCCCGACGGAACTCAGGTCCACTGGCATCACCGCCAGAGTTGATATCACCCATGATGTTCTCGAGATCACGGCGCTGGGAGTTGACCCAACGCTTCACGAAGGTGACTGGGTCCTTGCTCAGAGCAGTAAAGAAGGCGTGCCGGGCACGGGAGTGGGTAAGTGCCTGGATGATGAGGGCAACCTGGTCGTCCAATGAGGCAATCTGGCGCAAACCAGCGGTGTACTGCGGGTTTTGGATGAGGGCCATCATCTTTGCGCGGAGAGGATCTTCAACAGCGACCTGGATATCGTAGATGGTTGGGGTGGGGTCTTTGTGGAACTCTTCATCAACACGGATGGTGTACGGAAGCTTAATGGGGTCAATAGGGCTGGTGTGGGGCGCGATGCTGTCAGGAATTTGCGGGAAGAACATCTGCTCACGGCCGAAGATCTGGGAAGTATTAGTACGTGTGAACATTGGACAAGGAAAAAACGTTACATACCGAATACAGGCGGTGGTCGCAGCGTACTGTGCGCTTTTCCTCGTCTTCTTGCAGCTCCATAGCACGAATGTAATCCCAGATTCCAAGCACAATTCCGCTCCGAGTCTCTTCTTCAACATCAAGCACCTCAGCCAGCTCCTTGCTCAGCTTGAATCGTTCAGGGGTCTCGTCCCGAACCAAACCAATAGTGATATTCAGGTTGTCCTGAGACGCCCGCGCGAACTGGATGCTATCGAACTCTGCGTTTGGGGGTGCTGATGTCGCATTCGGAGGCAGCTGTGGTTTAGACCAATTGACCGGCTTGACTTCATCCGGGATGGCATTAGCTGGCTTGTCGAAATCGACTGAGATGGTCTTGAAGAAGTGTGAGAAACGCTGAGACGACTTCTTGGAGTCGGATTCCTTGCTCTTATCATCCTCGCTCTTGTCTTGATCCATCACATCATCACCAGCTGCATCGCGCTGACCTTCGTCATCCTCAGAAGAACTGTTGTGATCATCCAGCAGTCGTCCTTCAATGCGCACCTTATACCGACCTGAGCCTGGGTTGTTGCCGGCACCCTGCCACGGCTGGTTTTCAACGGTGTTGGTGATCCAGATGCGCATGGTCCGATATTTCTTCACTGTCTTGCTGATAGAATCTTGAATGTCCAGTCTTTTCCGCACAACGGAAGCGTCGAGTCGCTTCTCCAAATCGCGGAGGTTCTTGTATTGCTCAACGCTGCCGCCGATAACTACATCTTCAACGCCATCGGGGATATTCTTGTCGGTGGGCTTATGGGCGCGGCGAGGGGGTTCTGGGGCTGCCTGCATCACACGTTGAGTGGGCATATACTGTGCAGGAATAGCGTGCTGAGGCATCGGGACGGGCATTTGGCCTGGTGGAGTTAGATTGGGCGCGAGCTTAGAAAGGGAAAGGAGACAAACCTGGTCCTGGTACGCGACGGGGAGTGGCTGGAGACCGCTGGGCGGTCGGGGGGAAGCCGCGGGCAAAATTGGGCTGCATTGGAGCGTTCATTGCGGATCCAGTGGAAAGTAGGGGCTCCAGTCGGGATGGAGTGGGTGGAGGATGAAGATGAGCGAAGTCGCGATTCTTTTGCCGTCACGCTTTACCCGATTCGGAATGTCGCGACCACCAAAACTGCATACTACGAACCTAGCTTTACATAGAATTATACTACGAATTAAGATGATCTAAATTCAAAGCAAAAATATTTAATGCAGTTATTCATGCATACATAGATTATCTCCCAAAAACCAACGTAAATGTATTGCCATGAAACATTGCTCTACTCCAGAAGCGACGCCTGGTTAGTGTACAGACCCTCCACCACATTGCTCATTTTCTCAATGGTGCTAAGTGCAGAGTCATAGGCCTGGTCGCGTTCGGTCTCGTCGAACACAATCAAACATCCTGAACCTTGGTCCAACACACCAATGATTACCTTGTCCAGGATCATCTGTGAGAGCTTGCGCTCCACTTGCTGGGTGTCAAGGCCAACCATCTTGGCAATGTGGTCCAACTCCACTCGGCTGAAAGGCTCAATCACCTTGATTAAGTTCTGTTCCAACATGGCATCATACAAACGGCGAAGGTGATTTCGGATGAAGGTGTCACTGCCGAGTTCGTAACGGTAGTCGGAAAGTGCCTTTTCATATTCTTCCAGAGACCGGTTAGAATGGGCCCGGGCCACAGCTTTCATGGCCTCCAGGCGTGGGCTAGCATACTTTTGGGCTTGCTTAGACCCCAAAAGCTGTGTGACATCATCCACCAGGTTCAACATAATCTTACACAGTAGCATGTACTGCAAAGCGGCAGTGGCCAACTCTCCCGAGTCGAGCGAGCTGTATCCCTCCAGAGCCTCAATGAAATACGAGAATGCGGTGTTGAAGTCCTTGTCCTCAGCGTGCAGCATACCACTTTGCATGTCAAGCCCAGCTTGCAGATTGGGAGGAGTGTAAACGGATGCGGCCGATGTCCGTGCCGCAGTCAGCGCAGCGCGCGCCTTGGATTGGTTGCCCAAGGCATGGTACACACGAGACTCGAGAAGTTGCACCTCCACCAGCATAAGTTTGTCATCCAGACGCTTCAGTTCGCTGAGAAGAGAGTTGATGAGAGTAAGACCATCGTAGTACGCTTGCTTCTGCATATAAATGGCGACCAATCGTGCTTGGAGGTTCTGTCGGAGGAACGACCGTCTCTCGGTGATAGCCCACTCTATGCATGACTTGATGACGGTGGTTTGGAGGTCGAGGGTGTTGGGGATTTCGCTGATCAAGTCGAGGAGTTGACGAACTAGCACAGGCAGTTAGTAATGCATTATTTCATACCCAATGATACTGCTTACCCAATTTGGCAGTCTTCGCTTTGGCAAATGACGAAAAGGTGTCTCGGCTGGTGTTGATGAGCTCTGCGATGTCCTGCGGCTTCTTGGCGTCCCGATACAGCTCTCCCAATCCGATCAATGCATGCTCATAGTCTCGCGATGAAGCCTCTGTAGATCCTGGGCCCTCGGAGAGGATCTTCTGATAACTGCTGCCGGCTTTCGAGGGGTCTTGCTTCGCCAGGTCCCGGGCTTCCTGTATGCGAGGCGAGACCTGGGAGGGAGGGGCCATTGTGAAAAATTTCGGTCTTGGAGAAGCGAGATGTGGCCGGGAATGAGGGGTTTCAGACAATGAAAAGGAACAGCAAGTGGGATAGGATGGAAGGTTGATAGATAGGTCGAGCGTGAGTCGGGGAGCTTGAAGCTGGCAGCTGCAGGCTCACCGCCCGCTTAGCAAATCATCCCGTCAACAGAAAAAAAAAAGTTCATTCCGCTTTACACTTTTCTTCTTTTACGTTCGTTTTGCCAGTCCACCATGGTGAGTTTTCTGTTCGAATTTTTTGCTAGTTTAAACGAGATGCTAATGACCTGCAGAAAATCAAAGCACTGTCTCGCCCAGTGGCGTCGCAGCAGGCCCCCGGGTCTGCTACCGTTCGTCAATCACGGAATCTGGACCCGGCACAGCATCCTTTCGAGCGGGCTAGGGAATACACTCGGGCTCTGAATGCTATCAAAATGGAGCGCATGTTCGCTGCTCCCTTCTTGGGTCAAATGGGTGACGGCCACATTGATGGTGTCTACTCTATGGCCAGAGATCCTCTTTCGCTTGAACGCTTTGCGAGTGGCAGTGGTGACGGTGTGGTAAAGGTGTGGGATCTCACAACTCGGGAGGAGATCTTCCAAACACAAGCGCACGAAGGCATGGTGAAGGGACTTACATTCTTGCCCGCGGAAAGAAAGCTTTTGTCTTGCGCAAGCGACAAAACCATCAAGCTGTGGGACCCGTACAATTCGACCTCCGAGTCTCCCCCCATGACAAGTTACCTGGGCACGAGTGCCTTCACTAGTCTCTCGCATCACCGTTCGATGCCTGCATTTGCCGCCGCCTCATCTGTCATTTCAATCTACGATCTCTCGCGGCCTTCCTCCTCTCCTTCGCAGACTCTGCACTGGCCGACCAGCGTTGACACCATCACCTCCGTTGCATTCAACCAATCTGAAACCTCCATTCTGGGTTCCACAGCCCTTGACCGGTCCGTCGTTCTATACGATTTGCGAACCTCGTCGCCAGTGCACAAGTTGGTTCTCAAGTTGGCCTCTAATAAGATCACATTCAACCCCCAGGAGACCTTCAACTTCGCTGTGGCCAATGAAGATCACAACGCTTACATTTTTGATATGAGAAAGACGGATCGGGCTCTGAATGTGCTGAAGGACCATGTGGCTGCTGTTATGGATGTCGAGTTCAGTCCCACTGGTGAGGACTTGGTCACTGCGTCATATGACCGAACGGTTCGCCTTTGGTCCAGACAGAGCGGTAGATCCAAGGATATCTACCACACGAAGCGTATGCAACGTGTTTTCTCTGCCACATTCACTCCTGATAGCAAGTACGTGCTGTCCGGTTCAGACGACGGAAACGTCCGTCTGTGGCGTGCCAACGCATCTGATCGCAGTGGAATCGTGAGCGCACGTCAACGCAGCAAGCTTGAGTACGACAAAGCCCTCATCAAGCGCTACTCGCACATGCCCGAAATCCGCCGCATCCAGCGCCAGCGCCATGTGCCCAAGCCTATTAAGAAGGCTGGTGAGATTAAGCGTGAGGAGCTGGCTGCCATCAAGAGGCGCGAGGAGAATGTGCGCAAGCATACCAGCAAGAAGGATCTGAAGCCCAGAATGCCCGAGCGTGAGAAGATGATTCTGACCCGCGAGCAATAAGTGGGACTGCACCAGTCTCGGCCATATCTCAGACCAGCTGTATGATGGATTGGGATATGTACAGGAATCCACAGGTTTGTTGGGTTTATATACATGGGAAATTCCTTTGTCAATCAGTCCGTTTCTTCGAGCTCCTGAGAACCCGTCCACCACCGTTGGGCGTGTCGCGACCTTGGAGGCCGGAAGACACTGCCTCGTCAATGCCACTCAGGTATCGTGCTACGACCTGCACTGCACCCGGCAACACGGCATACCAATTGACCAACTTCGCAAACGCCGGTAACCTGAGCACACCACCGTGGCCACTATCGACTGCAGCCACAATCTCCCGAGCCACTTCCACCGGCTCCAATACCGGCGCAAAGAAGCGGCTCGGAGTGCGGACCCAGCTGAACAACGGTGTTGACATCTGGCCTGTCTCCACCAAAAGCGTTTTGATCTGCTCATGACCACGCAATTCTGCTTCCATTGTTCGGTGCAGTGCACTTAGCCCAGACTTACTGGCCGAGTAATCTGACAACCCTGCCGGAGATAACTGGCCCAGTACTGAGCCAACCGTCACCAGTGTGCCGCCGTTTTCTGCATCCATGATCCCCGGCATAAAAACCTGGTACAAGTGGAAAGCCGCAATGAGATTTGTCTGCACTGTTTGCACAAAAGCATCTGCAGACAAGTTCAGCAGCGAGTAGCCATTAATCCTCGCCGCCGCACAGTTGATAATGATAGTTGGAGTCCCAAGCTGTACCATAGCATGCATGCATTAGCAGAATTCCCTTTTCCAAAAAAAAAGCAAATATTTCAAGCAACACCTGAGCCACGATCGTAAAGAATAAGCCCAGTAGACTTACATCTTTCAAGATTTTCCCTCGAACATCCTCCAATGCCTTCCTCTCTCCAACATTAACCGCATAGCACCTAACATCAACGCCCTCCCCAAAGATCTCCTCAGTCTCCTTCTCCCCAACCTCCCTAATATCCAAAACCGCCACACGAACACCCCTCATTGTATAAAGCTGCGCAATGAGAAGCCCCAACCCACTAGCTCCACCGGTAACGAGTACAACCTCGTGCTCTGGATTTACCGTCCTCGGAAGGCCATGCGCAATGCGGTGGTTTACCGTACCCAGGATGAAAAGCAGAGACAGGAAAACAGCATAGCAAACGCTAATGATCCAAGCCGGGTGCGTGGGTGGTGTTACTTGCGCACGGAGACAGAGCACAAGGATCCAGGCGAGGAAAGGATTGAATAGAGTGCGGTGGAGGACTTTGAGGAGAGCGTCTAGGGTGAAGTAATGTATCCACGGCTGTGGTGGTGGCGGAGGTGGAAGAACACTCTTTGTCGTGATTATGGGCGGTGATGACATTTTGAAATGGACTTCTGACAGATCTGGATGTCGCGATTGGGCGTCCGTCTTTGGTAGCTTTGGTGGGTTGATGTCGAAGGATGCGACGCGGGTTTGGGGATGCGTAGTCAACGCGATAGCGGACCCGTGGAAACGAGAATCTGCGGGGTTCAGCCTTGAAGCATGACTTGTCTTTGATTAGAGTACAATGACCGAGGAAGTGGGCGCTGAGGAATTGGTGTTATTGAAGATGTAAGATGCGCGGTTGTGGGGCCGATAAGATAGTCTGGCCAAGAAATGTACGAATATCACGTTTTACCTACAGTTCCGTTCGAATAGTCCGTGACCCCCCTTATTTACCGCCTATTATTCTGCCACGTTTTCTGCCGAATAAAAACCCCTAAATTTACTATCTAATAACTAGTATACCAACCCTCATTCTCAAGCACCTGCTTTACCCGGTTAGGCATGGTTATAGCAAGGTTATCTAGCATATCCGTATCTATCTCCGACAAAGCCTCTTGAGCAACAGAAATAACGAATTCTAGCGTTTCTTCGTTGTCTGGCATACCCTTAATTTCAGGGTGCATTTCATAGATTTTAGCCTTTAAAAGGGACCAAAGGTTCTCAATCGGATTTAAATCAGGTGAATATAGGGGCCAGACCATAACTTCAAAGTCTTGGTCTGCTAGCCAGTCACGTATAATGTGCGCTGTATGCACTGGCGCGTTATCTTGTTGAAAAATAGCGCCATTAACACCATTCATTAAAGTTGGTAGTACACGTTGATAAAGCTTAAGGATAACCCATCGAGTAATACCTCCACGAGGTGAATTTTCATCTCCAAAGAGTGGTATAAGACCTGTCCGTCGACCACCACCCGAAAAAGCGGCCCAAAACATCTGTGAAACACCCTTATGGCAATCGACTGCTTCGATATCTCTAAGTGAGATTTGAGTAGCGGGTCGATTGAAGGTAAACTCTCGACGAGCACCTTTACCTCGTTCAATCGTTGACTCATCTGACAAAAAGACCGTTCTCCATTTAGCAGAGTCCCAATCGCGAACTCGGAAGGCCCACTCGAGGCGTTTTTGAGCTTGCTCTTCTATGAGTACTGGGCGTCGAAGAACGAGCCATTTTCGTCGATTTTCCTCGCGAAGAAGCCTCCAAATCGCTTGTCGTCGAACCTTATAATTAACGGATGCGAGAAGATCATCATATTTCACGCGTGGGTTGTCGTCAATCGCTTTATGGATCTTCTCTTTATCCTCGTCGTTAAGCTTCTTTAGTTGGCCAGAACGAGGAAGTGTCTCTTGTGTAGGGCCTCTCTGGTCGGCTTTAAGGCATGTTGACTTAATTGTAGAGAGTGGAATTGAAGGATATCGATCATGGATTTATCTATAAGACCATCCAATCGATTTAAGCTCTATAAGCTTAATACGCTCATATGGAGCAAGCTGGTAGCCAGGACGACGGGCAGCTACGTGAACACGGTGAATTGGAGGTGCAACGTAGCCACTAGTCCGGATAGGAGGCATATTAGATATGGATATGGATATGGATATAAAGAAGAATACGTGTTAGAATATATGATATTTATTTAGATTAGCGTGTTAAAGCGCGTGTCTATATAAGCTAGCCTAATATGGAAAGCGGTGGAAAAAAGCGGTAAAGGGGGGGTTACGGACTAACAGAACGCCACTGTACCTTGTTATTTATAGACACGAACCAAATTTTTGGAAAAACAGCATGAAAATCTGATGCCCTGGGTTTGTAAGAAGCTGAATTTTTAAGATAGCCAGACTATGCGGATATACCGTCAATTTCGCATCTCGAGACTGCAGGACCAACTTCAGCCCTAAAGTGTACACCTACACTCTTGATAAAGGAATCATGGTAGCTAGAAGACAGAAAGCAGAATCAAATAAAAGATAATAAGATAAAGCTAAGTGTAGATAAGAATGTAAATACAAACAAAATAAGAACCGAATACCGAGTACCGAGTGCCGAACTCCGAAATCCTCTTTCCATCCTTTCTTTGATCATAAACTCCAAACATGACCACCGTGTAATATTAAATAATCTTCAACCATGACTTCGTAGACTACAATTGATGGGCCATAAACATGACACTAAAAGCAACAGACACACGGTTTGAAAGCCAGCAACTTAGACACCCACATACGAGTGGCTTGACATTGGATGATGGCCTTGGTGAGATAGCACACAGACGCAGCTTAACTTTGTCGGCGGTATACTTGAACAACATAACATTCGGATGCGTCTTGACTTTCTGGACGAAACCCTAGACGGCATCACGCACAGACACGGCTTGACTTTCTTTGGGACCTTTCACACGATACGGTAACCGTTGCTTCCACTATCCATGGAAAGTATTTCTCAGCATGTCTCGTATACGAGAAATACCCTGGGTTGCTGCATCAAATGCATGACTGAATGTGATACAGTCCTCATCCTCCTGGAGAATATCAAGGTCTTCAGGCTGCATTGCCAAAGAAAAGCCATTACCGGCCGCTGGATACTGACGGTGGTCTGGTATTTTGGCAAGGATCATCTGCGACAATTCAGATTTGTGAGACATTGCTGACGATAACGATGCCGATGCCGTCCCTGACCATGTTCGATAGAATTCTGCGTCACGGGCCTTTTTGTCAAGGATGTCCTGTAAGGTCCTAGGAATGGAATTTGAGGTGAGGACCCTCTTGTGATTGCGCCCACTTCCAAATGAAGCGGTGGCAGACTGCGAGCGTGTATTTGGCCTCGCAGCAGGTCTTTCGGGGGGAGGCATGGTTCTCGCCCTTTTTGCGGCATTTGTGACCGCTGGACTAGAGTCTTGAGAATCTTCCCGACGTCTCTTCTTTAACGCAGCAGCGCCGGTAGAGTGGTGTTGAGTCGGGTATGCGTAGTTGGCGTTGAAGTAGTTCTCCATGTCTCGGGGAAACATTTCGACTTGCGGGTTTTCAACAGACAGGTTGACTGCGAGTTCGACCAGCTCGGCATGGGCGAGCTGGGATAAATATGCACGTCTTGCATCAATGGAATACTCCGTACCCTTGCAAAATCGTGGAGGAGCTCCAGCTCGTCCAGTTCGAGGGTGAATGAAGGACTTTCGCTTCTGAGGAGCTGAAGCTGTTCCCTTTTGGGGGGCAGGTAGCAGTCCCATTGTGAAAGCTGGGACCGGTTCCTCTGAGGCAGCTGGTGCGGTTCGGTTCGGCGTGGCTGATGCCCTTCCCTTTCGAGAAGCTGATGCATCTTCATTTTGGTGAATAGGTGCCTTTTCCTTTGCAAGAGCTGGCACCTTTTTCTTCTGGGTGACTGGTGTCTTTCCCTTTTTCGGGACTGCGGCCATTTCCTGCGTAGGCTTGCACTTGTGGCAGCACCATTCAGCATCCGCAACTTGAACGACATGGTCGTCAATCGTCGGATCATGGCACTTTTGGTGCCAGGTATCATTGCAACCATCGCAAAATACGATCATGTTGTTGCTGGGGGAGCTACCCCGGTTACATTTGACACAAGTAATGTTGGCCTCCTTCTTGGTGGCACGTTTTCCTTTGCGAGAGGCAGCAGTAGCTGGTTCATACATGGTGGGGGCTTTGAGAGCCCGGCCAGATCTGCTGGTTCGGGTCTCAGGAACATTGGTGACATCCTGATCCAGGTGGCTGATCTCCCGCTTGATGGCGGGCATCTTGGCGGATGAAAAAGAAACGGGGGTATCCTTTCACAGATTGTTCTGGCGTTCTGTTATGGAAAAGAGCGAAACAAAATAGATGGGATGGGACATAGGAAGAGAAGAGAAGGACAAGAAGAGAGAGGGGAGGGATATTTATGAGTGTGGTCACAACCACACAACACGTCCCCCTCCTACTGTGAATGAAACAAATGAGTACCCTACCCTAACTCTTTCCCATTCGGGCGGGCATGATCCCGGTATAGTATCTATAGACTATATCTGCTCGCTGCTGGCTTCTAGTGAAGTGTCTGTGACCCAAATATCTGTATAGACTCACGTGACGTCTTGGCAAGCCCACCAATCAACTGTTGTGGATCTATACTCCTGCATAATCATGCGATTTATGCCCTTGTTTCTACTTCTACATGCTTATTTCAAATGGTAACTCATTCTCTGTATATCATTGTCATTTCTATGCTACTGGGTCTCCTAGACTGCCTATATACAAAAGTGTAGCTCTATGACGCGATGGAAATATCATTCCTGAGGCATTTTCAAGCCACCACACCTTGCTCCTTCAATCGTGCAATATCCGCCTCTCCGTAATCAAGAACAGTACCAAGAATCTCATCGGTGTGTTGGCCAAGGGTAGGTGGAGGGGAGCGTACACCGGGTGTCGCTTCGGAGTACTTGATAGGAGTATTGACCAACTTGATAGGGCCACAGGCTGGGTGTTCGACCTCAGTGACCATATTTCGTGCCAGAACTATAACCACAATTAGAGAAATGGATTGCAAAGAAATACTTCATCAGATGACATACCGTGCTCGTGGTTCAATGTGCCCTGGATATCATTGACAGCCGCATAAGGCATTCCACTGCCCTCGAAGATCTCTAACCATTCCTGTGTAGTCTTCTGCTGTGTTGTAGTCTCAATCAACCCATCAATATCTGCTCGGTGCTTGACACGGTCGCTGTTCGTCACGAAGCGGGCATCTGTCTTCCACTCTGGGAACCCAAGTCTATCGCTAAGCACGCCGAATAATCTGTCGTTTCCGCCACCAAAGAGAATATCGCCATCAAGGGTCTTGTAGCTCCGGTATGGTACAATGGATGCTGGGAGTCTATCAGTCTCCATTGGTTCATGTTTGGGTCCAAATGAGTTGTTGACTTACGGTGTGCTGTACCCCAGCGGCCCGAGTCCTTCTGGCCACTGATCAGTGCTGAGCTAGCCAGGTTCGACAGCGTGGCGACCTGGCAATCGCTTAGACAAGCATCGATATGCTGGCCTTTCCCTGTGCGGACCCGCGCAAGCAAGGCTGCCATGATGGCATTCGAGGTATACAAGCCGGTCGTCAAGTCCGTGACTGCTACACCGACTTTGACTGGGGCACCGTCTCGGGCTCCAGTGATGTGCATCAGTCCCATCTCGGCTTCAACCATGACATCGTACCCAGCACGATTGCTGTAAGGCCCTGTTTGGCCATAGCCTGTGATACTAGCATAGATCAACTTGGGATTGATTTTATGAAGAGTTTCGTAGTCCATGCCGTATTTGGCAAGGCCACCTGGAAGGTAGTTCTCCACCAGAACATCACATTCCTTTGCGAGTTTGTGAAGAATTTCGACGCCAGACTTGTGTTGGAAGGACAATCCAAGTGACTTTTTATTGCGGTTGACCTGTAATTCAATTAGTATCCTCGATAATAGCTGCGTATGACATTACAGAGCATCTGTACAGCAAGATAGTAGGCGCTCTCGCCAGGCCCCTTCCTAGACTCATCCTCATACTTCGCATAAGGTGGGCCCCAAGCCCGAGTATCGTCACCTCGCACAGGATGTTCAACCTTGATGACATCGGCTCTGTCATAGAAATAAGTGTTAGGCAGGTTTCGGGGGAGAAAAGTCCCTCAATGGGAGCTCAATGCGTCTACATACCCTAGATCACCCAGAATCTGGGTACAGTATGGCTATTAGAGAGCCAAGTTAGCATACACTGCAATGATAGAAAGGAATTTGCGAAAGTACAATAACTCACTCCTGCTAAGACACGAGTCATGTCAAGTACCCGAATACCAGCCAAAGGCAGCGAGCCATCTACACTCGAAGCCGGAGTGGAAAAGCCCCTGCTAGATGGCACGCGCCGCCGGGCATTGCTAGACCAAGCTAGGCCCGATCGTCGAGCAAGAACATTCAATCGAAGCGCGACAGCCATAATGAGAATGTACAAGTACGTCTTACTGCAAACAAGCAAAGAATCAACAAAAATCCGCTCCAGCCGTGGGATCTGGGGACGTTTAAAGCGCTACTAGCGGTACATAGGAAGCTCCGTTGAAACGCCGACACCGCTCGGTGCGGAGTCATAAGCCGAGGTCGATCACCGATCACCTAACTTTTCTCTCTACACACACCAAAATGTTTACCGGCCTCGTTGAGACAATTGGAAGTGAGTGCATATGTTCTGCATTTACCGACATGGAGGGATATTATAGAAGCTAACAAGCTCGTTTTTACACAGCCGTCACGGCCCTGGAGCCCCTCGATACCTCGTCGAGCGGGGGCGGGGGAACGTCACTGACGATCTCCGACTGCGAGGAAATCCTTGGAGACGCGCACTTGGGCGACAGCATCAGCGTCAATGGTACATATCTTTATCTCAAAATCCTTCTCGGCTCTAGAATCGCCTCTGACGGATTGATTGTCCAGGAACCTGCCTCACCGTGACCGAGTTCGACAAGACCTGGTTCAAGGTCGGAGTTGCGCCGGAGACACTCCGCCGCACAAATCTCGGATCTCTGCTGGCTGGATCATGTGTTAACCTTGAGCGTGCTGTCGCAGCCGATACACGGATGGGTGGACATTTTGTGCAGGGTCATGTTGATACCGTTGCGAAGATTCTTTCCGTCACACCTGATGGCAATGCCTTGACGTTCCGCCTGCAGCCGCGGGAGCGGAATATTCTGCGCTATGTCGTCGAGAAGGGATATGTTACTCTGGATGGTGCCAGTTTGACTGTGACTAAGGTCGTCGATGGTGAGGATGGCTACTGGGAGGTTATGCTTATTGCCTACACCCAGGAGAAGGTCGTCACGGCTGCGAAGAAGCCTGGCGATGAGGTCAATGTTGAGATTGACATTGTTGGGAAATATGTCGAGAAGAGTGTCCAAGGTTACTTTGCGGGTACCGCTGGAGGAGACTTCGCTATTCTTGAGAAGATGGTGGCTCGCATCGTCGATGAGAAGCTTAAGAAATAAAAGAATAATCTAGGAATAAATAAAATATTATGCCCGTGGCAAGAATATGTATGAAATTCAAAGAAAGCATTATGCATATTTTTTTTCCGTTCAAAACATTGATTCGCAAACTCCATGTACATGTACACCGGAAACCACCATGAGGCTCGTGGGTATAGATTGGGATCATTTTGTAAGTCAACACCTGAGGCTCTTACTCCTCCATAGACTCGTCAGAGTCAGCCCCAGCTTCAGGCTCAGAATCATCACCCTCATCGGCTTCTTCACCAAAGTCATCGCTGAGCCAATCAGCCTCATCATCATCATCGATCATCTCCTCATCCTCCTCATCGTCGTCTACCTTCTCACCCCTGCCTCTGGCCTTGGCCTTTTCGGCCTTCTTCTTCTCAATATTATCTCTTTGCTGCTTCTTTCTAGCCTCTTTCTCCTTGCGGCGAACGGCCCAGCTCTGATCCAGGGCTCTCTTCTCTTTCTCAGTCTTGGTCACATAGTCGTGCCACATAACTCTGCCATCACAGACACCATCCTCGACCTTCATCAATCGAAGCTTCAGACGGGGTCCCAATTCGACCAGCTTTACAGCCCGCTTCTCCACACCGGGTACAGCAGCAGCCTTCTTCTCACCCTTCTCTGCAGCCTTTTGGCGTTGCTGCTCGCGCTTGTTGAGAACTCTCCGGGTGGTGCTCTCCAGGACCTCTACCTCGTTGTCGGTATCCAGCTCAGTCTCGGAAGCAGATGTATAACCCGCTGCAGAGGGATCGAGCAGATAGTCGGCAGCATCCTCCAATTTACCAAGATTAGGAATAGCGGCCTTCTTCTTTTCTCTGTTTCGGATTTCCTTGGGGTCCAAGCGGCGGATACGTTTTGACACACCGGTTTTCTTTGTAGCAATGGCGTAGTGTCGTAGGCTCAGGACATAAGAGCCATCATTCTCAGCCTCAGGCTCGCGGTTCAACAACATGACACGGCGGATAGAGTGAAGGGGGGTAGCTTGCGGATTGATAGGAGGGAAAAGGGATTGGAAGATTGTGGTGGTAAGAGATTCGAGGCGCTTCGGCACCTTCGAGTCCTCAGTCGCATCTGCAGTGGTGAAGTTATTCATCACCAGCAGAGGTGGTGTCTTGTGGTCCTGACCACCACTCTGGGGGCGCTTCATTGCCCGCTCCACGTCTCGGCAGAGCGAATAATTCTCAACTTGGAAGTGCATAGTCGGGCCACGAGGTGTTACTGCAAGACGCATGTTGGTGTTACCGGTACTGGACTTGGAAAAGAGCATCAAATGTGTGACACCGAGGGGACCGGCCATGACGGTGTAATCGCGCAGTCGGTTGGATTTGCGTTCCTGTAAATACGATTAGCGACCAAAGCATAGAGGAAATTGTCATATAACATACCTTCAATCGCACTGCTGTATCGGGCTCCATCATCCGTCGGACATCCTTGACCAATTGGCTAACACTGGTACCAACCTGCGAACCGCCTACTCGAATGACCATAGACTTGGGGGTCTTGTTCATTGAAGCGGCGCCGGCCTTGTTTGACGACGAGGAGGCATTCTGCGGCCGGAGGTGGGTGCGCTTCTTAACACGTGCTTTGGCCATGATGGGCTATATGGTATCAAAGCCTCAAAAGAAATTATCAAACGAGGGGTGAGTATGGAAAGCTCAAGCTCACTGGTTTGTCTTCGATTTTTTTTTTCTCCAAAAAATCCCAGCGGAGAAGAGAGCGCGGAGGAACGATGTTGCGGACCCACATTAAATTATTTTGAGATCTCGACCGCAATACAACTTTTTTTCTGGAACATCAAACACAGCCAATATGCCTGCAATGAAGAAACGCAAGGTTGCCGAAGAGGCACCTGCCGAAGAAGTCGATGCTGGCTCTGCAGCCTCCGAAGCTGGTGACCATGTCCCGGAAACCACCGAACAGAAGAAATCCTTCAAAGACCTCGGAGTTATGGCGGAGCTCTGCACTGCTTGCGAAAAAATGGGATACAAGGCACCCACACCAATTCAAGCAGAGTCGATTCCGGCTGCTTTGGAAGGCCGCGATATCATCGGTCTTGCGGAAACAGGTTCCGGAAAGACTGCAGCTTTCGCCCTCCCAATCCTCCAGAGTATGTCATACTATCAACCTTGCTCGTTAAGCATGAACTAACAATATATCAAGCACTCATGGACAAGCCTCAGCCATTCTATGGTCTGATTATCTCTCCCACTCGAGAGTTGGCCTATCAAATCTCGCTCGCCTTTGAGAACCTTGTAAGAACTTTTCTTTTATACTCCCCAGTCGGTTCTAGTTCTAATCCATGACAGGGCTCGACAATCGGCGTTCGCACAGCAGTTCTGGTCGGTGGTATGGATATGGTCCCTCAGAGCATCGCGCTAGGAAAGAAGCCCCACATTATCGTCGCGACCCCGGGTCGTCTCCTCGATCACCTCGAGAACACAAAGGGATTCTCTCTCCGCGGCTTGAAGTACCTGTGTATGGACGAAGCCGACAGACTTCTTGACATGGATTTCGGTCCTATTCTGGATAAGATCTTGAAGGTTCTCCCTCGTGAGCGCCGGACATTCCTCTTCTCGGCTACTCTCAGCTCCAAGGTAGAGTCTCTCCAGCGTGCATCTCTCTCCAACCCGCTGCGTGTCTCCGTTTCCTCCAGCAAATACCAGACGGTCTCCACACTGCAGCAATATTACCTTCTGAGACCTCACAAGCACAAGGTTTGTTTTCTTGTCTTTTTTTTTTTTTTTTTTTTTGGTTATTAATAAATTCATATACTAATCATTTTTAGGATGTTCACCTGATCTACCTTCTCAATGAGTTCATTGGACAAAGCTGCATTATCTTCATGCGAACTGTTCACGAAACCCAGAGACTTGCTTACCTGCTGCGCGCGCTTGGGTTCCCTGCCATTCCTCTCCATGTATGTCTCTTAAGTATCCCAGCGCGTATGCCAACTCGTATACTAACTCACGGCAATCTAGGGACAACTGTCTCAATCTGCACGCCTGGGTGCCCTTGGAAAATTCCGCTCCCGTGCTCGTGATATCCTAGTTGCCACTGATGTCGCTGCCCGTGGTCTTGATATTCCCTCCGTGGACGTTGTTCTCAACTACGATCTGCCAACAGACTCAAAGACCTACATTCACCGAGTAGGAAGAACCGCCCGTGCGGGTAAGAGTGGTGTCGCTATCTCCTTTGTCAGCCAGTACGACGTGGAGATCTGGGTAAGCCTAAAATTCTTGACATCTCTTGCAAGAAGATTGGATGCTAACGAGTGAAACAGCAACGGATCGAAGCTGCGCTTGGAAAACAGCTTCCCGAGTATGATGCTGACAAGGACGAGGTCATGGTCCTTGCCGACAGAGTTAGCGAGGCACAGAGACAGGCCATCGCGCAGATGAAGGATTATGATGAGAAGCACGGCAACAAGGCCGGAAAGAAGACCTTTGGAAAGGGTAAGCGCGGTCGCGATGACATGGATAAGGAGGAAGGTTAAATAAACCCCGGTCGGATGGAAATGGAATGACAGGCTTGACTTGCTAGATTGATGGCTGGCCCATCGGCCAAATGACTTGTTTATTGTATAATTTAACGTCCCCTGTGGATTAAAAGCTCAAATGAAAAGGTTTATCACGCATGTTGATTTACGTATGTCTAATTGAAGTTCAAATTTAGGGGTCATGCTCAATGAGCATAGGTATGAGTTTCATTACTGCATCAAATGATATCGAGAGTATTTTACCGGGGCTGTAGCTCCCTTTTGTTACAGGAGACCCCAGTTGCAAAAAGCTGTCGTGATCTTTTGTCGCGAACATTGTTCGCATGTCTAGGACGATTAATTGTTCACTGCTGACCATCGGTAGAGCCGGCCTCGCGCACGGCATTAGCGACGCGGGTAGCAAGGTCATCAGCCTCAGATCGGCTAGCGGCCTCGGCGTAGACACGGACGGCATCTTCAGTACCACTGGCACGGGCAAAGCTGCGGCCCTTGTTGTATCGGGACTGCAGAGACTCGATCTTGGTCTGGAGACCGGCAGGGGACTCGAGCTTGCGCTCAGCGTCGTAAGCCTTGAAGATCGAGCGGTCGTTGACCTCGACACGGACAAGGCGGGAGGGCAGGTCAGTGTAGGTGCCTAGCCACTCCTTGGGGGTCCAGCCCTTGTGTGCGAGGATGGCCTCAACGAGCAGCATATCAGAGAGAGCGTCACCAACGGCCTGGTTGATCAGGTCGGTGAGAGCCTGCAGAGACTCCAAGGCGCTCTTCTGAGCGGGAGATTGCGGCTCAGTGTTGTTGATGACCTTCATGGCATTCTCGGAGAAAGTGACAGTGCCGTGACCGTTAGCCTCGAAGTAGACACCAACGTCGAACCTGAGAGCGGCGTGATGAAGGTGCTTGACACCGGTGTTGGTGCAGATGATAGGAAGCTTCAGCACCTTCTCGATGTAGTCAGTGGACGCGCCGTTGGCGTATGCGGTCTGAACAACACCGATCTTCAACTTCGAGGCGATACCGGCGTTGCGGGCAAGGTCGCCGATGAAAGAAGCGGCAAGGGTAGCGATACGGTCACCATCAAGCAAACGGAAGACGTTGCTCTCGTCAAGGAAGTAGTACACCAGACGGTCAGCGTCGCCGTCCAGAGAGGCACACCGGTCGAGAGGGGCAGCCTTGGAAGAAGGAGGAGCACGCTGCTTTGTCTTGACATAGTCGGCACCGCACTAGAAACAGTTAAGAGGTCTGCCACTCATATATTTCCAGGAAAGAAACTTACATCGTAGTTCAGGCTGTCGGGGTTGATCACATCATCATTGATCACCTTAATATCAAGACCGGTGTCCAGGACCTTGATCAACTCCCGCAGCTTAGGGCCACCAACACCGTTGGCGCAGTCGACAGTCAAAGAACCCTGGACCTTCACTCCCCGCATGACCTTCTTGAAGGACTGCGCAAGCTTCTCGTAGTAACCCTGCTCAGATGGTTCTCCGTAGGCGTATTGTGTACCGAGGGTATTCTTGCAACGCACAACGTAGTGGAGTTGAGGGGTGGTCATATACTTGAAGTCGATAAATTCGACCTCGGTTGCGGTCATAGCGGCGCTGAGCACACCTACGAGACGAGAACCAGAAGCACGAGTATCGCGGGCAAACACCACGCGAGCCGGGTTGGTCACCTTGACATCAATCTCCTTCACAAGTTCATCGTAGACGTCGGCGATAGACTCCAACGGGGCATTGGCCAAACGGGTCGCATATGTCTCCCACTCAGCCTAAAGAAGATGGTGAGCTTGAGAAATCAATTTTGTTGTAGAATAACGTCGGCCTTACTTCGAGCATCTCACCCTATTGATTCCAAATGCGTTAGAAAAATTTCGTTGAAAACAATATCACATAGTCACAGGTTTCTTACCATCGGGTCAACCAACTTAACTCCATTGTCCTCCGCGGGGTTGTGACTCGCGGTCACCATAACACCGATCCATTGACCGCTAAGTTTCTTGGATCGCAGACCAGCCAGCAGACCCACGGCAAAGACCACGGTGTTGAGAAGGTCGCTGCAAGGCCATAGTAATCAGCAACCACCGACGTCAACAAAAAAAATATGGACGATCGCGGGGGTGTGGAGACAAGGTTGATCAGTGTTGACACTCACGCTTTCATGCGAAACTGTCGCGAAGTAAGCCATTAGTTGAAGCTTCCAATAGGATCCATGTGGCAGTGCGACTTACACCTGCGGTACCATATTCAAAGACCTTACCCTCGGGCTTTGTGTACTGCAGCGCAGCCTCGGAGATTGCTTTCTTGACAGCCGGAGAGGCCATTGTGGCGGGAATGTGCTGCGATCAAGCTTGGCGCTGAACAAAGTAGAGGATCGAGATTCTGTGGAGAGAAGCGCAGCAAGTCTAATATTTTGAATGAGGAAGAGAGGGAAAGAAGGAGTTACTTGAAACCAAAAAAAGAAACCAGAAACGAGGGGCGAGGGGTGAGACACGGGCTTAATGCGACGGCCTTAGCGGTGAGCCAATGGCGGGGAACCCGTTCTGTTAGCTAACGCATTCCACGCTATCGGTCCGTGGCAATAACAGCCCGCCCGCCTATGAGGATGTGGAAATTACGTGCGCTCAGATACAAGACAATCTTGGAAGTGGGGATAGAAAGGTACAGTTGATTTATTATTACTGTGATGGATCTACCGAAACCTCCAGGGCTCGGCTGTTATACACCAAAATTATTAGAATACCTGAGGTTTCTCACCGATTTTTGGGAGTATAGATGGCACAAACTCTATTCCCACTTTATAATTTACGCCTTGAGTCTGTGGCCTGCAATGTCATCCTGTGTATCTTTGATGAGAAAGCTGTCGGGCAGAAGCGATGCATTAGTTAATGCACGGCAACAAAAAAATAAATAAAAATAAGAAGGATGAAACGAGGGACTTACGAATACCACCAAGCTGTGGGGATCACCGTGCCCAGGTGCCAAAGGCTATGCGCATCGATCAATCCATGCCACGGGGCAAAGTCGAGCAACTCCAAGCTCATGGCCAGGATGATCCACGCCACAATCATACCAGGCCAGGCAGTCCAGGACTTGAGATACTTCTTGTACCGGAAAATACTGAACCCAGTCCATAGCAGATTTTGAATGATACCCACCACGACGTTGGCCGCCATGTTGTACGTGTAATCCCAGGACCAGAAGGTAAGGTAACAGACATGCATGGTGTACAGCAGCAGACAGATGACTGTCCATAGCCGACGCAAGGTGGGGCGGTGCTGTGGGTGTTCAAGATCTAAACGCAGAATCCGGATCACAGCTAGGTAGAGACCGTAGAGGACACTTGCACCAGCACCCCAGTAGTCTAGCTTCTCCGTGATAGGGAAATCCCTAGTGTGGAAAAGCATACTGAATGTCCAACTAGCCAGTCCAAAGTATCCGAACATCATGTAGTATGGCCGGAGGGAATGCCATGCAGGGATGTTCTCCTGGATCCGGGTCATGCCATGCCAGTGGGCGGCGAAGTTGAAGAAGGAGAAGAGCACAGAGAAGGGCTCCTGCATCCCCAGAAGGCGACGGAAGGGCCATTTGCCATGGAATTGGACGATCGGGTTCAGCATCGGCGGGTCACGCGAGACTCGACGGTCGGTAATAACATGTTGACAGGTATAGTCGCATTCAGCCGGGCAGGTCCATAATAACAAACGGTGGTGCAGAGCTGTGGACGGTTAGAATAAAAGCTGGATGAGCAGGGTAAGAAGCCTTACGTAACACCGAATTGCCAGAATTGCAGTTCTCGGTTTGACAAACCTGGGGGAGAGGAAATTAGATGTGTACAAGGATCTCTTGCATGGGAGGGGGAAGTTTACCTTGACACATTCCCTAAAATCAGGAAGATGGTCACCGAGGGACGCCGAGGACTGACCGACCAGACAGGCCAGAAGAATAATGGCGAGAAGGGCAGAAAGGTCCCCTCTGTAGGCACCCAGTTTCATGATGGTCTGTAGCTTTTAGGGCGTGACACGCGTCATGAAGGAAGGGTCAGTTGAGCGGAGCTCCGGGCGGCTTGGGGAGCACTCGCGCAGTAGTCTTGGCAATGACAGCACAGCTTTGATCAACTTCCAAATAAAAGAAGTACTGTATTGGTACTATTGTCAATAAACGCAAACTGTCAGCAGCCTTAGCCAATTTTTGCTTAACATGTTTTTAGGAAAAGATAGTTTCAGAGGCTGAACAATATAACTCCAAGGCTAAGATAAATCTCTCATGCCGGTAGCCATGGAGTACACAGATTACTTTCTCTCTTCCCGAGTGTCTGCAAAGTTTGCTTTGCACTATATAGTTATTCAGGTTTAGTAACACCTGCCTATTGTATACAAAGATGTTAAAGCAATGATCCAATCACATTTGATTGTCATGGACCCTTTGTAGGCAACGCTTTTAACCCTAAACATCACGTGATAGAGGGTTTCTAGAAGCATGTGATACCAATCTACACGTGATCGATATCTACCCAACGAAGCTTAGCGTGGTTGTAGGCGGGGAGATTTTTTGAGGAAAGCTTGGCGTTTGGACTCCCGAAAAAAAAGTCGCGGCGCAACTTGCCTGGTCTTTCATTTGGATCATCTTCCTTTTTCTCTATTTTTTTTCGGTTCATTTCTCTTGAACCCTTTGTTAATTTATTCATTGTCATAATGAGTGGAAACGGAGCCCCCCAGCCCGATGCGGCTATCTCCAGCAGCGCTGACCGCATGGTCGGCATGGAGCACGCTGAAGTGCGCTACTTCACCAGGTATGTAGTCGTTGGTACCCTGTTGTAACGATTCAGAGTGGCAAGAGGCTAATTGATACCATTGCAGCTACGATCACCACGGTAAATAGATCTTGACAAGTCTGCGAGTTTAGTGGGGATTTACTGACGATAGTTCTTCTGTTTTTGTGCAGGTATTCACGAGGAGATGCTGGTAAGTAGACTCATTTCTGCATACCATGAGTCTGAACCAAGTACTGATCGAAGAATTACCTGTATAGAAAGACGATGTCCGTACTCGCTCTTATCGTGACTCGATCTACCAGAACCGCCACATCTTCAAGGACAAAGTTGTCCTGGATGTCGGCTGTGGAACCGGTATCCTGAGCATGTATGTGTCTCATATAGAAATCCATTCCTTTCAGCTATGCTGATTATATTTCCTAGGTTCGCTGCTCGTGCTGGTGCCAAGCACGTCATTGGTGTGGACATGTCTTCCATCATTGAGAAGGCCAAAGAGATTGTTGCCGTCAACGGCTTGTCCGACAAGATCACCCTTCTTCAGGGCAAGATGGAGGAGGTTCACCTCCCCTTCCCCAAGGTGGACATCATCATCTCTGAGTGGATGGGTTACTTCCTCCTTTACGAGTCCATGCTGGACACTGTCCTGTACGCCCGTGACACTTACCTTGCCGAGGGTGGTAAGATCTTCCCCGACAAGGCCACCATGTACGTGGCTGCCATCGAGGACGGCGAGTACAAGGATGACAAGATCGGATGTAAGTGGATTCAATGATTCTTTCAACTTTACTTTCCACGGTCCTAACTTGACTTCAGTCTGGGACAATGTCTACGGCTTCGATTACAGCCCGATGAAGCAGACCGCTCTCACCGAGCCTCTCGTCGACACCGTTGAGATGAAGGCTCTTGTGACCGACCCTTGCCCTATCATCACCTTCGATCTGAACACTGTCACCACCGCTGACCTTGCCTTCCGTGTGCCCTACAACCTTACTGCCAAGCGCAGTGACTTCATCCACGCCATGATCTCTTGGTTCGACATTGAGTTCAGTGCTTGCCACAAACCCATCTACTTCTCTACCGGCCCCCACGCCAAGTACACTCACTGGAAGCAGACCGTCTTCTACCTCAAGGACGTGCTTACCATTGAGGAGGGTGAGCAAGTCTCTGGCTGGATCGATAACCGCCCCAACGACAAGAACAAGCGTGATCTGGATATCGACCTCTCTTACAAGTTCGAGATTAATGATCCTACTCGCTTCGCTGAGGGCAGCTGCTCTTACCGCATGTGAGTCCTACCAAGTTTTATTTTACGTGTATGGGTGTTTTCTGACAACTTCCTAGGTGCTAATTTGACTGTATTTAATTTTTGCTCGTTCTTTTCTACGATCATTCGACGCAGTTGCACGTTTTCGGGAAAATGTTCCGTTGCCAATGCAATGCGGCATAGCATGGGTAAGGATCTGCACAGGGCTAATTAACATGGCCTCGGCCTCGTTTGTTTCACTGGCGTTTTTTCATCTGGGTGGCAGGTAAAAAGGCATTTATGGCGCGATACGGACAGATTATTATGAAGCTCCTCGACATCTGGAATTTCCAAGTAGATACCCCGAGTCGATGCTTAGTCTAGCAACTCCGACGCTCTTTCCATGTCCTTAAGGAATTAACCTTGTTTTGTTCAATTTTCTCTATCCACAATCCACCCTAAATCCCCTAAACCCATATTAAACCCCGAAAAGAAAGTGCGGTAAATGGTGCCAAGCGGATGGCGCGTCGTCGGTAATTACGGGAGCAAATCATTATCAGATCCTCGGCTCAGGGTCGCCCCGCAATTGCTCAATCCTACTTGAGCTTCGCCCCGTCTTCTTTTCCCGTCGAATTGGTTATCTTCTGCTCTTTCACACCTACCTTTTAAAGAGAAAATCTATCACGATGTCTGCCCCTGGAGCTGGCCACGAATTTCCTGCCCAAGAAGTTTCTTGGCAGAAGCGCGATGTCCTACTGTTTGCCAACAGCATTGGCTGTAAGGCCGACGAACTCCAGTTCCTCTACGTAGGTCTTCTTGATCAGCAATTCCCGTCGATTCCTAACGATCATAACAGGAGTTGCACCCTAACTTCTCGGTCTTCCCCACCTACCCGCTTATTCTCCGTATGTAGTGTATCGCATGGAACCAAGGTTCAGCACTAATAATATCTAATCATGCAGCTTTTAAGCTCACCGACCAAGAGGTGACTGATTTTTATGCGCGCCAAAAGGCCACTCACATTCCTGGCGTCCCGAAGCTGGATCACCGTCACGGTGTCGATGGCCAGCGAAAGATCACTATCCTGAAACCCCTTCCTCCTACTAGCGCTGGACGGAAGTTTGAGCTGCGCAACAAAGTCATTGGTGTTTATGACAAAGGGAAGCCCGGAACTGTCATTGAGACAGAACAGTCTATTGTGGATAAGGCGACCGGCGAGGTCTACTCCAAGGTCCAATCCAGTGGTTTCTTGGTTGGACAGGGTAACTGGGGCGGTCCTAAGGGTAATTCCAAACTCACATGTCCAGCTGATGAAGGAAATACTTATAAATTGATGCAGGCCCCGCTACTGTCAACTTCCCCCTCCCGAGGGCAAGACCCCCGATGCCGTGCACGTTGTCCAGAGCAGCATGGAAACCGCGCACCTATACCGGTATAGATCCTTTTATAGACCGGTGGTTATTCAATGCACAGTATACTAACAGTTTAATTAGTCTGAACGGAGACTACAACCCTCTCCATGCCACCCCTGAGCCTGGCCAGAAAATGGGCTTCGGTGGCATCATCATTCACGGCCTGTTCAGCTGGAACTCCTCTGCGCACGGCATTCTGCGCCTCCTTGGTGGTAGCGATCCGGCAAACTTGAAGGAGTTCCAGGCTCGCTTTGCATCCCCTGTTCGTCCTGGCGATACCCTGACGACTGAGATCTGGCGCCTGGGAAATGCTGGGGCCGATGGTTTTGAAGAGATCCGTTTTGTTACTAAGAACCAAAACGGCAAGGCAGTTTTGAGCAACGGTCGGTGCTTGCTAAAGGTTACTAACCCTAAGAGCAAGCTGTGATTTTGGAGTGCTAGATTTTTATAGTACCTGTACCTATGCATTTATGTCTATAAAGCAACAATTCCCAGCATTCATTCTAAACAAAACTATCATATGATAAAACTCAAACTATTTTCATTTAGTTCCTATTTCCCCACTTCTGTCGCCCTTGTGTATTTATTTCCTTTGCTGACGGGGCCTAAGCATGACGCTGGTTTCTGTGGGGTGCCATTTCTGGAAATATTTCAACCACCATGATCAATATATATCCTAAAAACCCTAAAGTAGCTTTGAAAACTTATTCTCCATAGAATCAGAGTTAGAACCGCTTTGATCAGTCAAATTTGGAGCAACAACTCCAATTCCCCTCAGCAGGGTAGCCACGTGACTGTCGACCGTTCCCGAGGCCTAAACTACGAAGCTCGGACATTTCCCCAGATGGCACTACCTACTTGCTCAGCTCAACATACTCAATTATACCGCAGTCCTCGGCATGAACTTCAACAGAGCCATGGCTACCCGGCCAACTATGCTATGGAGAAATAACTTGTATGTGAGATCTCATCGCAAGCTACCAAGATACCTCGGCTAATACACCAACAGCACGTCAGTCACCCGCCTGCGAACTCTGCAGAGGGGTAGCTTGGTATGCTGCATATCTTACTATACGCATAAAACTTGATTCATTGCCTAACTGATTGTCTGCTGTACTTGAAACAGACAGCTGTTCATCGAGGGGTTGTACATGTTCCCTTGCGGTGGAACTCGAATGAACAGGCTCCCAAAAGCGGGGCTCTTAAGAACAAGGCGCCAAGGGTAAAACATGAGGCTTTAATTCCAGACGATGCAAAGAACTCAGTTATACTGAAGCAATTTGACACCAATCATGATCTCAAAAAGGCGTTTACTATGTACTCGAAGGGGTATCTTGTGCTGAAAGGAGAAGGTTCTTGGGACGAGAAACCCTTCTTAGCATTGTAAGTCTATGAGATTGTGGAGATTTTTCTTGTCGTGATATCTTACTCTACGACAGTGGAAAGTTCCTTCTCAGGTAAGCTTTGCGAGGATGCTGTCTCTTGAAATTCATATTGATGGCCCATCAACAGAGAAAATTGCCAATGTTCCAAATGTGTTCACCCAGACACGAGACAGAGAATAGTTGACACCTTCTCGGTATGTGTGGAACAGATGAAACACACTGAATATAATGTATTAGAAAGACTCATAGAAACTCCAGATCCCCGAGGATATCGACGTGACGCACATCGAATCGCGTTCCACGGACGTCAAAATTGGCTGTCAGTGTTCTTAGAAGCCGGATTAGATGGAATGTTGATTTAACAAACATATCTAGGGACCGACGGCCATGAAAGTCTATACTCGTGGGACTGGCTTGTCGCACACCAGAATACTCAGCCATGGAATGACAAGCCGTGGAATGCTAGACGCAAAAATCATCTTGAACTTAGAACAAAGTACTGTCTGTTGCTTAAATCATGGGATAAATTGTATCTAACACTGAATTTTAGGCATGTTGAGATGCATGATGTCGGAGATACCAAGTACCCCGAGGTATCATATGAAGAGGTGATGTCCGGAGATAAAGGTGTATTAGGTTGGCTTAGCAAAATTGTAAGTTTGCCGAACTTGATCGCTTTATGCCTAATGATACTTATAATTTTGGCCCTCGGTAGTACTCGAAAGGATTCTGCTTCATTAAGGGTGTTCCGGTCAACCCTGAGGCAACAAAGGAACTGATCGAACGAATTGCGTTCATCAGACACACCCATTATGGTATTTATATCCTAGCTCTCTTAAGCTTGTTAGTTTTTAATGGTTCTCTAGGTGGCTTTTGGGACTTCACTGCTGATCTAACCTTCAAGGATACGGCATATACCAATGAGTTCCTTGGTGGACACACGGATAACACCTATTTCACTGACCCTGCAAGGCTTCAGCTTTTTCATTTGCTGTCTCACACTGATGGCAGTGGAGGCGAAAGCTTACTGGTAGATGCACTTGCGGCTGCTCGCAAATTGGAAGAGGAGAACTTTGAAGATTATCTTTGTTTGGCCACAGAAAGACATTCATGGCATTCGAGCGGCAACGAAGACGTCTGCATCCAGCCTTCCTTCCGCGCTCCCGTTCTCTCTATACACCCTGACTTTGAAAGAGTCTATCAAGTTCGTTGGAATAATTATGACCGCGCGCCAAAGAATGATTGGAAAATCAAGGACCAGACACGTTGGTATAAGGCAGCTAAACGCTTCAACGATATTCTCAATGAAGAAAGCAGACAAATTTGGACGCAGTTAGAGCCGGGCACAGCCTTGAGTAAGTATTTCAGCACTATAAGCCCGGAGTTACCAGCTGACTTCTATGTTCAACAGTTTTCGACAACTGGAGAATGTTGCATGGTCGCTCCGAGTTTACGGGAAAGCGCAGAATGTGTGGGGGCTACGGTATGTGCTAGACAGAACGACAGCCCATAACATGACCGGTCGAATGAAGACTTATCTCTTATTGGTTCAACAGTGAACAACGACGACTTCGTCTCACGACTCCGACTCTTGAAGTATGGCCGAGAGAGGGTTTTGAACAATCTAGGAACCACAATGCCCAAACTCCACCCAAATTCTAACATCTCTGCGATCTACTAGGATGATTAACATTTTCGAGTGTCTGAATATCTCAATATTTATATACCATCTCAAAAAAGAATAACAAAATTATTGGACATACAAGGCACAGGCAAACGTAGACCAAGTAGAATCCATGCGGTGTTGATATTCGTCACGTGATCATCTGACGTTGTTGGAGCTCGGCCACACCTAAGCTCTTCGTCAACCTTCTACCTCCCCATTTCCACCCTCGATCTACCCTCTCTGAACCAAGCCACCTGCGTTTCAATAGCATCTTCTTCATCCGATACAATTGTCTTTAATTCTTTGATAATCCACCACCCATCATGTCGACCCTTGAGGACCTCGACGACCTTGAGCGCGAGACCAGAGACAAGAAGCAGGACCAGGGAGATGGCGATGAGAAGAAGCCTAACGACAACGAGGATGCCGAGATGGGCGATGCCGACAAGAAGGATGAGGAAGAGGAGCTTCTAGATGAGGAGATCTTGCACTCAAGCACCGCAGACATCGTCAAGCGGCGGCGGATGCTGGAGAACGAGATGCGGATTATGAAGAGCGAGTTCCAGCGTTTGACACACGAACAAAGTACAATGAGGGAGAAGGTCAAGGATAATCAAGAAAAGATTGAGAACAACAGGTACGGCCCTCGGGCATCTCTGGATGGGGATACAGAGATGACAAATGCTTCATTAATGCTAACGTTCGCGCTACTTTAGACAACTACCATACCTCGTTGGAAATGTCGTCGAGTTATTGGATCTCGATGTTGAGGCCGAAGCAGCAGAGGAAGGAGCTAACATCGACCTGGATGCCACCCGTGTCGGCAAATCCGCTGTCATCAAGACCTCCACCCGCCAGACTATCTTCCTCCCGCTCATTGGTTTGGTCGACCACGAGAAACTGAAGCCTGCCGACTTGATCGGTGTCAATAAGGACTCATATCTCATCCTGGACACACTACCGGCTGAATATGACAACCGCGTAAAGGCGATGGAGGTCGACGAGAAGCCGACTGAGAAGTACACGGATATCGGTGGTCTGGACAAGCAGATCGAGGAGATCGTTGAGGCTATCGTATGGCCCATGAAGGAGGCCGAGCGATTCAAGAAGCTGGGCATCAAGGCTCCGAAGGGTACGCCCCCATCTCGATCGCCTTTGGGATATTTTTTGACAAAGCTAACAATCATCTTATTACAGGTGCCTTGATGTACGGACCCCCCGGTACCGGTAAGACACTTCTGGCCCGAGCCTGTGCCGCCGAGACAAACGCAACCTTCCTTAAACTCGCCGGTCCCCAACTGGTGCAGATGTTCATCGGAGACGGCGCCAAGCTTGTGCGCGACTGCTTTGCCCTGGCCAAGGAGAAGGCCCCCTCAATCATCTTCATCGACGAGTTGGATGCCGTCGGTACCAAGCGATTCGACTCCGAGAAGTCCGGTGATCGTGAAGTGCAGCGAACCATGCTTGAGCTTCTGAACCAGCTGGACGGTTTCGCCTCCGACGATCGCATCAAGGTCCTGGCCGCGACCAACCGTGTTGACGTCCTTGACCCGGCTTTGCTGCGTTCCGGTCGTCTTGACCGCAAGATCGAGTTCCCTCTGCCCAACGAGGAAGCCCGTGCCAACATCCTGCAGATCCACTCCCGTAAGATGTCCGTCGAAGACAGTGTCAACTGGGCTGAGTTGGCCCGGTCGACGGATGAGTTCGGTGGTGCCCAGCTCAAGGCCGTCTGTGTTGAGGCTGGTATGATTGCGCTGCGCAAGGGACTGAGCAAGATTGGTCACGAAAACTACGTCGATGCCATCGCTGAGGTCCAGGCTAAGAAGAAGGATACCAACATGGGTATCTATGTCTAAGTCTAGATTTAAGAATGCTTTGTTCCTTTCTCATCTCTTATGATTTTTCCTTTTCCTCGTCTCCTGTCATGTATGTATGGTTCAAGGCATGAATAGGCCGGTAATTCGCTATGCATGCGGGCGGTGCCTCTAAACTAAATATCATGGTGATTTTAGACTGAAATCAGATTTTCGTATCCTGGGCCCCCGACGGGCAATGTTAAAGTAGACAAATGGGCAATTCACAGCTTAAAAAAACATCTACGATTCCCGAGGTCCGTGCTCACCTATATAAATGTCTTCCCATACCTGATGGAAATGTCATCATGACCGGACACTGCGATACATCAAATCCAAATTCAAAATCACCTCCAGATATTGTTTATGAGAAAAAATTAGGTACCAGTCTTGATATATGCATTTGTCTTCAAAATGTTTTAAAAAGCTAGCAGAAACGAACAAAATGCAATGGCTGAGACTAAACCCATGTACCTAATAAACACCCAACCACAACCCCCCACACCCTAAAAAGTTATATCTAAAGCTTAGTTCTTACCAGCATCTTTGAGCGTAACGATGCGGTTCAAAATAACCTTATCAGCACTGGACTCTCGATCAACAGCATAATAAGCAGACCGAATACCCTGGAAACGAATAGAGTGCTTATTATTCTCAACATCATCCTCAGCAGCATCCTTAGGCCAAGGCGCGGACTTGCTAATATCCTCAAATCCATTTTCAATCATAGCACCCTCGTAGATCTGCTCAGAGTCCGGATCGATATCGGCAAGGAAACCATTGGGGTGTGCAGAGGGGTCTTCAGACTTGAAGAGTGGGTTGAAGGCGCGGACCTCAGCGCGGATGGGGCTATTGTGTGCAGGGGACTCGGCGACCCAGTGGATGAATGTCTTGGGGCGAGGAGCGGTTTCGCCTTCGGCGGGCTTTTCGTATTTGGCGTGCACGACTGTGACGAGGCCGTTGGAATCCTTCTCGAAGGTTGTGGCTGTGATGGGGAAGGGGACCTTTAGGAGACCGATAGTCTTGCCGGGGGCGAGACGGAAGTAGTCTGGTGAGTCGACTTCACGGAAATCGGAGCGCTCGATGTAGACTGTCTTGGTGAAGGGGACGTTGTGGGTGCCGAAGGCGGGGTCCTTGGAGAAGGGCACGTCGCAGAGCTCCAGGTGGTCTTCGGGGAGGTTGTCGATGATGACCTTCAAAGGCTCGAGGACGACCATCAGACGGGGGACGGTGGTCTCGAGGTACTGGCGGACGCTCTGGTCGAATCGGTGCATCTGCACGTTGGTGACAGCCTTGGTGACTCCGATTTCGTTGACGAAATTCAGGATGGCACCTGGGGGAACACCACGGCGACGCAGGGCGATAAGGGTGTACAGGCGAGGATCGTCCCAGTCACGGACATGACCCTCCTTAACCAGCTGAATAATCTTGCGCTTGGAGAGGACAGTTCCGGTGATGTTGAGACGGCCGTATTCGCGCTGCATGGGACGGTAGACATCGAGCTTGTCGTTGAGCCATTCGTAAGAAACGCGCGAGAGCTCGAACTCAGTTGTGCAGAGCGAGTGAGTGATACCCTCAATACTATCGCACAAGCAGTGGGCGAAATCGTAAGTCGGGAAACACTTGAGACCCTTGGCGTGGTGGTGCTCCTTGTCGCTCTCCGGAATGCGCCATGCGAACAAATCCCACATTTGCGGGTTGGGGTTTTCGAGATCCTGTTTCATGCGCAGAGCAGCCTCTCCGGCTTTGTATTTGCCATCACGCATAGCACGGAACTCGGTCAGAGATTCCTCAATGGGACGTGTGCGGTGGCTGCAAGCGTAGCGCTGACCACCACGCTGACCACCCTCGCCCTCACCACGCTGAGCCTTAACCTCATCCTTGGTGCAGTGGCAGACATAGGCACCATCGCGCTTAATGAGCTCCTCAGCGAGCTCGTAGAGACGCTGAAAGTTGTCGCTGGCATTGGTCTCCCGCACAGGCTTGAAACCGAGCCAGGACACAATGTCGCGAATAGCATTGTAGTATCGCTCCTCCTCACCGGCGGGGTTGGTGTCGTCGAAACGGAGAATACACTCGCCTCCGTGGTGGCGCGCGAAGCCAAAGTTCACAGCAATGGCCTTGCTGTGTCCGATGTGAAGGAAACCGTTAGGCTCGGGCGGGAAACGGGTGCGGATCTTAGGATGGGTCTCGGAAATAGGTCTCTCCTGGTACACGTCGGACAGGAAGCCAGTCTTGAACAGGGAATCGGGATCGCGGGGCGCAGCGGCCTCCTTAGCCGCCTTCGGGGCCTTGGGCTGCTTCTCCTTTGCGGGCTTGGGGTTCTGCTGGGCCTGCTCTTTCTTGAGCTTCTTCTCCCGCTCTCTCTGTTCTTTCTTCAACTGTTTCTTGGAAGGACCGGCAGGGGCAGCGGGGTCAGCGTCAGCAGCAGGAGCAGCCTCCTGAGCGGCCACCTTGGGCCGCTCTGGCAAGTCTACAGGCGTTGCCGGATCCATTCTAAAAATGATGAGGTCTCAATGGCGGGGAAGATAATTTTTATGGAGGGGCTGCGATGCTTCTTATCAGTCCCCATTCGCTTATCGGGCCGATGAAACCCCGGATGAGTCATATATATACTTCGAAGATAAACATTCCAACTACGATTATTTCCAACATTGATAGATCATATAACATATAGGACAGGCCATGATTTAAGGATGTGGCAAGGACTCGCTACGATGATAAGTCAGATTTGGGACACATAAAACGTATCGTGTATCACCGGTAATGCATATAATGTACATATAGAGAAAATGTAAGTACAATGATGGTACAAAAAAGTATAGATAAATAAGAGATCAATCAGAATGTCACCCATTACCATAGTGCCGGATCTTGTGGCCAGCTGAGATACGATCGGAGAGACCGATATCAGACCACAAATCACGGCGCATAGTATAGACAAAAGAAGAAAAGGCCGACATGATTGTACATGAACAGTCGAGCCACCGGTCATGCTCATTAAACCAGAAACGCCAGATGCCACTAGCCTGGAGGGTAGTATGTGCGATGTAAAGAGAGTAAGAAAAGAAGAGATGAAACTATAATCACAGAAAGAAATCGACCGAATGCGGGGTATATGGCGTGGGAATCGAGATAGAAGACAAAGAGAGGATAAAGGTATGTTTAAAAGAGTTGAAGGGCGTTGATGAGCTCGGAATTTCCCGGCCGATCGCGTTCCATGTGGAACCACCATTCCCTGCCCGTCTTGTGGTTCCAGGATCCAGTGCAAGAATCCTTTTCCCAAGGTAGGGCAGAGTTGAATCCACTGCTCATGGTGGTAGGAGTTGTAGGAGTTGCAGGGGTGCCCGTTGACCGGCCACTCAAGCTTCCCCATCCGAATCGCGAGGTAGTGGTTGATGAGGGAGATGTCAATTCCTCCACGGGCAAAGGCAGAGGCACTGTGCTGCGACTGTCGAAACAATGAACACCCATGCCAGCAGCATATGATAATGATTGGTTAGATGCAAGCAGCTGCTTCCATCCAATTAAACCACCTTCTGATTCCTGACCAGGGATATCAGGACGTAATAGGAAGTGAGGAATAGATGCACCCGTCAGAGGGTCTTTCATGCCGATTCGGCCCATGTAGGCTGGCATTCGGAACTGGTAGACCGTCTTGGGCCCTTCGTCCTCATCATCAGGGTCGGATGATCGGTTTTTATATCGCTCGGCAGCAGCCCAGATGCCGTAGTCGTCCATTTCCGGTTCCGGATCGTCCTCGAATTGTGCTGCTAGTGCATTGTCCGGTACAAATTTGTCAGAGAAATCTTGGATCAATACCTGCAGGCCAGCTTCAGGGTCTTTGATGGCCATGTCAATGAACGTCTGTGCACGAATTCGGGAGCTCGTCAGATTGTTTCCTGCAGGCAAAGCTAGTGGCCGAGTATTGACAGATCCATGGGAGCTGCGAGGTAGACTGTATCGGTCCGGTCGTAACAGAGCTTGGCCTTTAGTTATGGGTCGACAGACGGCCTGCAGAATACCGGGAGGTTCCACATCATTCGGCGCACGAAGGGTTTCGAGGTTTGGGAAGCCGGCAGACAGAATGCTCTGCGCGAGGTGAGAGTTCGGGGTGTCCGACTCTTTGGTAAGACTTTGGAAAGGAAGGCAGTCAAGTTGAGTGAGGGCTGTGCCGGGATCTGGACAAGCCACATCCCAGTGTAGGTATTTCAAGGTCGAGGAAGCCAAGATTGGCTGGAACACCATACCTTCGTTAGGCATAATGGGGCATTTCGCAGTTTGTACAAACTTGAAGCGCTCGAGCTGCGTGAGTGAGGAGAGGATCTTGGAGATAACGAGCAGAGACTCGATGTTCTGCTCCACCAAGACAAACGACTTGAGAGAAAGGGATTCAGGGCGAGATGTATATTGGGTCAGACCGCCCTCAGTGACTCCAGGCAGGCTCTCCAATCGCAAGGATTCTAGCGCAGGCAAACACAACAATGTGCTATCGGCGAAAGCGTCCTCGTTGAAGGAAGAGATGCAAAGATTCTTCAAAGATGGAAGGAGATCGAACATGCGCAGAAAGAGACTGGGTTCTAGTGCACCATTTCCATTCAATCCATAGAGCATCAAGGTCTCCAAATTCGACCACGAAACATGGTAATCTAAGAACTCGAACATCTGGGAGGGGCCCAAGCTGCCAGGGCAGGAGTCACCCCGCGGAGACATTTCAGTTACTTCAGCCGCTTCACCCAATACCCAGATATGCTCCTTCAACTTCTTGCGTGTAGACAAGGCGTGCGTTAAACGGTCAAACTCATGGTGATAAGGGATCGTCAAGCCGAGCAAGCGCTCTAGGTTCGGACAAACCATGACGACCGACGCGACCAGATCGCGATACTCTTGCCATTGGGAACTTTGCTTTGTTGTTGTGAAGAGCAGGTCCATCTGGGGAACGCGTAATTCGTGAACCTGATTTGCCAGCGACTTCCGTTCACGCAGGGTGCGTCTCAACAGCTTCAAGCGGCTGCCTCTTTTAAGGCGATATTTCTTCAATTGGGCGGGTGAGTCATTGCCAACGATGTGAATTTTGGTGTATCTACGAGGCATGGTATTAGTATCTCCATTTGACTCGCCGGTATATAGCAGTCCCACTTACAGTCGTGCGCGAACAGCCTTTTCCCATGACCTGCAGGTCAAGGACAAGGCATGCAGGTCACGCTGAAAGCATGTTGTGCAACCTGTCTGATGAGAGGCTGTGTGTAGGTTTTCGAGATTATCGATGATGACATCGTATACCTCATGGGGTACTCGTCTTTGAACGGGCTCAATCGTCTTCGCGATCGACCCGACGGAATCACTTTGACGAGAGGAAGGAGTTGGGGATGTGGGCGGGTTGGAGGTTGGCGCGGTCGAGGTAGTATAATTAGACCTGTAGGAGGAGACGGAGGAAGTTCGCGACGATACCGGCTGAACGGTCACCGTCCAATCTTTACAATCCTGCGGGATGGCGTACGGCACAGCAGGGCTATCCGGTCTACTGACGACAACACTCATTCTGAATTGACTCGCCTGGCATCTGAGGCGTCAAGAGCGCGTAAGTAGAGCCAACACGGAGACTGCAGCCACGAGAAAAAAGACCGAAAAAGATTAAGGTGCTCGGAGAACGGGAGGCGGGGGAAGCGCAGGAATGTAGGAGGTTTCTCAACCGGGAGTGTCGTAATTCCGAGAGATCGACGAATTCCGGGGAATAAACAAACAACACGTCGAGTTGATGTTCAAGTTCACGTTCGTCAAGTTGAAGAGTGTATAGAGTATCTGTCGAGTGTAAGAAAGGATATCAATGTCTGCATGCCCGTCAAGGCATTGGTCGATCACCCCCCACATCAGGCATGTTCTGCTCGTGCTGAGCGGAGAAGTGACAGGGGCCGGTTCAGGGGTTGGACTAACCAAATCCGCCTTCTAAACCCGAACAGTTAAGGATCCGCTGACACTAAAGAACTGAGGGATTTTGGAAATTATATGACCGTGAAGTCAACTCCATATTCCCAACTCTCCTGAATTATCCCTAGGTCAAACCTGGCTACGCGTTCAATGTACCATGGAACTATTCCCTATATATTTGTGGACAGGTCAAGTTCTCCGTGCATAAGGCTATCTTCGCACAAAAGGTTCACTAAACATCCTTCGGGGACACGGTTCGTGAACTACAGCGCTAGTCTACACTGAGTATCGTACGGTGGAGACCAGTGGGTCACTGCCCCTTTTCACTGGTTTTTTTTCTCTCCTGCCCCTTCACTTTGGATACACTAATGCGCCCTGCTAATTGTAGTACTCCGGGCATACTGTTGCGTTGCATGATTTCAAGCTGCACTAGTATGTTTCAGAGAGGGAATAAGAGATGAGACAGGACTCTCCAACGTCCGTGATAAAACATTCTACACCAGATGCGAACGTCAAAGCGCGTGCAACCTCCCAAGAGCTCGTTCAATCAAGAAATTGATAATCGGTGGCGCAGGAACTAGCATGGGCAGAAGTCTAAAAAATAAAAAAAATCCAAAAAGTATGCTCCATCGACAAACCCACGTTTTTCTCATTCCACTCCCCGACCATTTGCCACCAACTCAAAACCATAATGTACTAGCGCAAGACACATTTCATGGTAGACTAATGATAATAGCAATAAAAGAGCAATAAATTTTCCAGCGATCAATGAGGATCTGCGTTCGAGGTTTGGTTCAACCCCAGTATCAGCCAAGCAACAGGCCACATCATCCTGCATCGAGGATATGCACATAAAACAGCCACAACTCGGAACTGCCGGCTGGAAAGCTCGGCTTAATTTACTCAACTTGCAACGCTGGCCAGTCATCAGATAATAAATTTTGTGGACAAAACGCCCCCAACTGAAACCCGATCTGGTGGGGTATGAACCTGCCTGGGCAACCAATTGCACCATGCGATCTGGCTCTCGCGGCTCCTAGATCGAGTTCCTGCTCCATCGCAGGCAAACGCGATTTGGAATTTCCACGAGGCGGTTCCACTCATTCGTGGCGGACTCGAGTTTCTGCTTGAGGGTCTCGATCTCGGTACGAGGTATACGTACCTATTTCCTGAAATGGGGGTAGGGTCCACTATAATGTCTTATCCTGAGGGTTTGCAGCCAATGCAAGACACGGTACTTGTTTTTGAGTCTTTCAAGGTTCACTTTCTTCCTTGTGTATGTACATTTTGCATGCATGGGGTATCCGCAGGGAGCATATCCGACCAATGAGTGTTGAGACTGTATCTGAATTTCCAGATCTAATTAAATCTCCATGACAACATCGGCGATATCTCAGAAAACACGTGTTTCATTGCGCTTATCGGTGAAACGAGAACTAGCTTGGAAAGCTTCCATGGTTCCGTTGCAGAGTCCGCTGACTATTGTTTCCAGAATAATCAATGCCGTCCCGATGAAACTGCGATAAGAAGTCTATATCCATTTATAGAGCACTATAACTGAAAACCCCACCATTTCATATAGTCTCAGACTCGTCATCATGAAGAAGCTCCTGGAGATATACCCTGGTGAACTGGCCGAACAGGTCGTGATACACTAAGCTCAGCCATACTATAAAGATGCAGCGAATAAGACTAAGCCACATCATGCATGGTAATATAGATGCAGACCAGATAACCCGGTGGCACAAATGCGCCCCACTTAAGCTCTTCGAGGTTGAACTTCTGCAACATTCACCTGCTCTGATTAATCTGAATGATCTTTGCTGCAAATCCATCCGAGCAAAAAACCGTGACTGAACCCGGGAGAATGCTTCCAAGGCTCCGAGCCATGCAATTTATTTCAATATGTACATTTTCATCATCTAAAGCCATATATATGCATGTTTATTAAATCCGACACTCGGGGTCCTCAAGCAACCGAGATGCTTCTCCTGTAAGTGTATCGTACACAATTCCATGTAGCTGCAAGCTACCCGACTTTGCCGCATCGACAACCTCGGGGAATTGTCGCAAAGAGCGCAACTGATCCAAAACATTCAACTTGACAAACGCGCGATCGGATTCTGCTTCGGGCAGTCGGTCGATGGTGTCTTTGTGGGTGGAGTGTAGGGAATCAAGCTTGCTGTTTCGCTGTTAGTTCCGTCTGATGTCTGCCAAGTGGAGGTTGCTTACCTCTGCCATGGTCCCTGCAACCCATCCCTTGACGCAGCCTTCACTATTTGGCACCCATAATGTCCACACACGACTATATGCCTCACCTAGAAACGGTTAGTACATTGCTCGGGTGGTGAGTACCGGGTTCAATCAATATGATTTACTCACCCCAAGAACAGAAACGGCATATTTCACTGCGGTCTCCGAAGACAAATCACCCTCGATAATCATGTTGCCAATATTCCGGTGTACCATCATCTCATCAGGCAGGAGATCGAGAATAGTCGTCTCTTGAAACCCACTGTCCGAGCATCCAATCCAGAGAATCTGTTGAGTCGGCTGTTGCAAACTAGGAATGAAGTCCGCCTGCAAAGGCGCAGCCTCAAACTTTCCAAATCGAGTACTTCCCATCGCGAGAGTCGAGCAAGGCGCAGCGTGAACCAGTCGGGCAGGAATCGGTTTCGCACGGAAAGAAGAAAGAAGAGATCGAGATGCCCGAGCAAGCGGAGATGTCATGAAGAGTTTGATTTGAAGCGTCCGTATATCGTCACGAGGAATTCTCAAGACAAAATGGAAACCGAAGCCTGGGACAGTAAATTTAGAGCTGAAAGAACTCTCGGTCAGCGGGAACGGTGCAGTCGCCTTTTATAAGTACGTTTGCAAGTGGATCACCAAACGCCGATTCTCGCTGGGTCTTGTGCGTGTTGGATCCTCCACAACGTCCTTAGTCTGATTGAAGAGATGATGAGCGAATCATAAAGTAAGGGCGAAGCCCGATGTAGAAGTGCGCTGGAAACCCCGAACTTCAACGGCTCCGAGTGTTCACCGATGCTTCGGCCGAGTCCCACTTTCGCCCCCGGAGCCCTAAATCGAGATAAGATCCACTATAGCTACATCGACATGAACTCTTTTAGTGTGTGGGTCGGCCGCAGTCAGGCATATTTTCATGCCAGTGTGTGGTGAATGGTCCGGGATGAAGTCCGAGTTCGGTGTGGATCCATGCACTCTTCAGGGTTCATCCCGGATATAGTGTGATAAATATCAATTGATCATGCTATGCTGTGAGTCAAACAAGTTTGGTGATGTTCCGAAAGGTGTAGTCCTAACAGCTGACCGCCAGTTGCTGTTCATATTTTCATGGCTCAGGTTTGCTATCTCTTTTGGGTTTGCTACCAGGTTTGTGAAAAAGCATCATGTTTCGTCCAGCAGAACTTGAATCTACCATTGGAAGTCCATGATGATACAAGCAATTCATGCAGCAGGGACTTGTACCATACAAATACTACGTTCAAATTCTTTCCCTTCTTCGATCCTTCCACCACGCCTGTCTGGCGCCTTTCGGCATCCAGAAATCAGCCTAAATGCGCTGGAAAAGCTGGGAGAGAAAACCCTTGAATTAGAAGAATCTGGACAATTCACGCCTTGAGAAGTCACATGAAGCACGGCGATAAAAGTTCTCTCAATATTCTATAGGCCTGAGTGACCCATAGCCAAAATAGTAGAAGAGTGAGGCTCAGTCAAAGACTGTTTCGGTTGAGAAAAGAAGCATCAAGCTCAAGCTGAGTCATAGCCCTCATGTTGACCTTCAATTTGCTCGAGATTCAAGTCTTTCTTAGTTTGCATCAGAAAGTAACCTGCAGATTCTTAGAATTCTCTAATACCTCAATATTCGGTGAAATGTGTGTTCCTGGTTCTAATCTTTCACCTTATACTGTACTTCCAAAGTTTGGATGTTAGCGGGAATTCCTGAAGTCTGTCCTCATGCTTTAGGCTCAGGGCTCCGATTAGTCACATAGACCACGGTATGTGTGGACAATCATCTTCCCCAGTCATTCTCTTTAATCCGATTTCCCTCTTCTCACAAGTGCCGAGTACTCAAGGTATATGTTTCAGCATTACTTGATGTATATTGAAGGGCAATGAAGAGGAAGAGGCTGTTCATAAAGCATCACAATATGAGTTGAAAAGTAGAAAGTAGGAAGTATATACTAAAAGTGCTCCACGATATCTACCGAAGGCTGGATAATCCTTTTCTCATCCCCGTGATCTTTCTCATGCACAGAGAACGGATCCACAAATGCCGAGCTAAATTCGCGTGCCGAAACCTTACGTTCAAACAACAAATCCAGCTCGGCATACGTTCGACCCTTCGGCTCAGGCAAACGGAAAAAGACCCACACAAGACAAAGAAAAGATGTACCCGCCCAAAAGAAACCAGACTTAGCACCCCAATCCCAAGCTGAAGGATTAAGCATGCGCGGGGTAATAATGTTGACAATGACACCGGTGACATTGTAGGAGATCCGCGCAAGGACGATAGATTTCGCTCTCAGGCGTGTTGAGCTCAGCTCTGAAACAAGCGAGTAACAAACGGGGCCAACGCTCGCATCATAACAGAATGTGTACACGAGTAGGAGACTGCCGATAGCCCACTGAGCAGCCACATTACCCTTGTGAATGATACCCAGACACCCAATGATAAAACACAACGTCATCTGGGCACCAAGTCCATAGGCATATAGTGTTCGGCGTCCAACCTTGCCCATGAACACCCAAGATAGTAACGTACCGATAGCACCAATGATATACTGCACCATACTCAACGTGAATGCATTACTGGTAGCCAGCCCAGCCTGTTCATAGAAATAAGTCGAGTACCCCATGAAAGCTGACCCGGAAACCTGCTGTGCGGCCCATGTCAGACAGACAATCTCGGTGCGACGGAGATCGACGCCCGTGAAACAATCGAGATAAGAAGTTCCCGCAGAAATCTCCTTTTCAAGCTCATTGGTGCTACGTATCATGGATATAGTTTCGTCAACGTTAAAGTTCGGATCTTGTCCGGGTACTGTTAGACGTTCTAGGGCGTGACGGGCTTCTTCGATCCGTCCCTTGCGAACTAGCCACCATGGTGACTCGGGAGCGAAGGCTACACCGATCATGATTGGGACGGGCCACATCCATTGTAGTGCGAATGGGACCTTGTATCCCCAGTCATCAGTACGGCTGGTCATTGCTTTGAGAACACCCTGTAAGTCATGTCAGCAGATGTCATCCAAAGAATGATAAAATAATGTAAGTGGACATACCGAGGCAATGATTTGACCAATAACCCAACAAAGATTGACATAGGTCGTCAGGTATGGTCGTAGCACAACCGGACATACTTCAGACGCATATGTAGTAGTAATAGTCTGGAAAAGACCCCAAGGAATTCCAATGAGAATTTCCCCAATAAGTAAGACGGTCAAGGTCTTCGCAAAGAAGAAGATAAATACAAAAGCGACACAGGCAATCAAAGAGCCAATGATGCTCTTTTTGTAGCCAAAGCGCTCGGCAATAACGCCGTTGATGAGCAAACCTATGAGCTCTCCGACCAGGGCGCCATTGGTAAGGCCCGATTGCCATGCAGCAGTGATTTGGTAGGTCCCATCAGTCAGCTTGTCGCCAAAGTCCTTCTGGAACGGCCCATACGCAAATAGACTTGCAATCAGCGCATTATCGTATCCCTCCATGATGAGTGCGGATGAAAATAGAACCGACCAGCCCACAGCATGTGGGTAGGTACGAATACCCTGCCATAGGCCCATCTTGTGTTCTGTTTGCGTGGCCCGATTGGCCTCGGCAGCCATAGTGGCTACCGGGGTAGACGGAGTAATCTTCTCGGCATCTTGCTCCGGAGAAACCGTCGGCATTGTGTTGGTGCTGCAAAGCGATAGACGAGAATGGATGAGATTTCACTGCTCTAACATTCTCATTCTGCACGGAACAGACACTCCTTTTATACCGGCGCCCGACGCTATCGTTGCCCCATTCCCGAGCCAGCGGGCACTAACTGCTTGCGTATAGTGTACGAAACCAGTACCCCGGATTTCCGTTAGATCGGGTTGGGCGATCCGGGGCAGTCCGGGGTAATTTCAACGGGATCAGAGCTCAATTGAACGAATTAGCGCCCGAGAAAAGGAGAATAATAAAGACAAGCCTGCACCGGTAGCCTTATGGGGAAACATAATTCTCCATGGGGAAAACATGGGGAAAGTATCCCAGGTGAAGAATCAAGAAGCGAGTTTCTTGGCTTGCGGGAAGTAAACAAAGGCACTAGCAGCAAACATGTCTCGGCCCGGCAACGCACCAATCAGCAATCACCACCATGCATGATCCCAGTCGCACGGGGACTGGAGGGGTAAGCATGTCGGACCGAGGAAAGGCCAATAAATGAATTGCTGTGAGGGGCGAGGACGAGATAAAAGAAGAGGAATACTCAACAGAATGATTTCTATCCCGGATCCAAAATTCCCATTCCTCCACAGCCTTTGCTGTACCATCGCAAGCAGAATCCCATCCGTCGGCTATTAAGTACAAAGTTCAATATAATTTAACTTTCCTTGTCATGTCTCCACCAACGCCCTGGTGGAAAAACGCCACAATTTACCAAATATACCCTGCCAGTTACAAGGACTCCAACGGCGATGGCATTGGTGATTTGCCCGGCATTCTTGGCCAGCTGGACTACATCCAGTCATTGGGCGTTGATGCAATCTGGATATGTCCAATGTACAAATCCCCCCAAGTCGACATGGGCTATGATGTGGCGGATTATGAAGATGTACATGGCCCGTACGGGACAGTCGCCGACGTGGAGGCGATTATCGCAGCCTGCCACAAGCGAGGACTGCGCATCTTGCTTGATCTCGTGATTAACCATACATCCGACCAACATGCTTGGTTCAAGGAATCAAGAGCTGATAAGGCTAGCGCCAAGCGTGATTGGTATATCTGGCGACCAGCTAAATATGATGCTGATGGTGTGCGGCGACCGCCTAATAACTGGCGCAGCATATTTGGTGGGAGTGCATGGGAATGGGATGAGGTATCTGAGGAGTATTATTTGCATCTGTTCGCTGTCGAGCAGCCGGATCTTAATTGGGAGAATGCCGAGATGAGAGCAGCTGTTTATGAGTCCGCGATGGAGTTTTGGTTGCGAAAAGGTATTGATGGGTTCCGAGTTGATACGGTGAATATGTATAGCAAAGATCAATCGTATTGCGACGCACCCATTATTGATCCTAATCATGAGCACCAACTGGACGCTTCGCTATTTTGCAACGGACCCCGGATCCACGAGTTTCTCCGTGAAATGGGTCAGATCCTGCTTAAGTACAACGCTGTCACAGTTGGAGAGCTCCCAGCTACCCCGGAAGTCGCCGATGTACTGAAGTACGTCTCAGAGAAAGAGCAGCAGCTGAGCATGGTCTTTCAATTCGATATCGTCGATGTGGGCAAGGGCAAAGATTTCCCCCTCCAGACCACACCACGAAACTGGACACTCCCCGAGCTACGCGCGAGTGTCAAGCGTACACAGACGCTCATGGACGGCACAACAGACGGGTGGAGTACAACATTTCTAGAAAACCACGACCAGGCCCGGTCAATCTCGCGATGGGGTAGTGAAGAGACTCCAGAGTTATGGGCTACCAGTGCAAAGATGCTCGCTATGCTCATTGCCAGCCTCTCAGGAACGCTTTATATCTACCAAGGCCAGGAAATTGGCATGGTCAACGCACCGCTAGAATGGGATATGTCTGAGTACAAAGATTTGGACAGTCTTAATTATTACAATTATGTGAAGAAGATATCTGGGAATGATCTCGTTACATTGGAAGCGACCAAGGTTGCTATCGCTCATCTTGCGCGTGACCATGCTCGACTACCTATGCAATGGGACAGCACGCCCAACGCCGGATTTTCCAGCGAGGAGGCTAAGACTTGGATGCGAGTGCATGATAATTATCCCACATTGAATGTAGAGCGACAGAGTTCAGATCCAAACTCTGTGCTTTCCTTCTGGAAGGATCTACTGCGTGTGCGTCGTGCCAATCCGAAGGTCTTTGCACAAGGAGTGTTTGAAGATACCGATCCATCTAACGGGGCTGTTTTTGTGTTCGAAAAGCACTCTGACAGCGAGAAACTGGTAGTGGCCCTCAACTTCTCTGGCGAGAAACAGTCAGTTGATCTGGTTGGTCAACTTGGTAATGCGAAGCGAAAGGTTCTGGCGAAGAATTATGAGGAGGATGTGTTGGATGCACTGCAACCTTATGAAGGCCGCATTTACCTTGTTGGGAAATAAGGTCCTTCGAGCCTCTCAGGCGCCAGCCTAGTTTGATCTGGCAAAATCCAGACGTTTTAATATGCAGGTGCTACTTGTTACCTCGTAGATTGGGGGTCATTACTACGCGATCAAATTGACACCATAATAAATCTAATCTACTTATAATTTTTATCATGCAGGACTATCATCCTAAGCTAGCCAAACCCTTTAGTTCAAGGTAACACTTCTAGGGCTGAAATTACACGTGATCCATTTATCAGATTATTTAACTTTCTGGATCCGAGTACTGAGCCGTGTTCTCGTCAATTTAACCTTTTATGTAGAGCGAGCGCGAGCCTAGGATTTGCACGGACAAGTCTCACATACTGAACATGAAATTCAACCTAGAGAAAACAAAGCTCTTCTAGTCATAGGATGTACACGACTAGGATAGATGTACAATATTCCGATAAATCTCATCCACTTTATCACTGTCCCTTTTAATCATCATACAAGAAGCTCCATCTCTTTGATTTCCGGGTACTTATCCCGAATCATCTCAAATTTCTGTGACAAAAGCTCCGGCCACAAGCTCTGCAGCCCAGCAAAAGAGAAAACAAACTTCTTGAGGAAGAGGATATCATGAATACGCTGCACCGTATCATCACCAGGTGTATATGGCATATGAAGCACAACGTCAGCGATAGTACTAGCAATCTCAAAAAGCTTTTTGAGAATGCCAGAGCCATGAATACCAACAAGATCACGCGGGATGGTAATCAAGAATTGACGAAGCTCATTCGACAGCCGCAGCGGAAAAGAGAGAGAAAGCAAGATCGAAGAACCAGGCGACGAGGAGAGCAGTGTATTAGACAAACCCATCTGCCAGGTAAGCGTACGTAACCAGTGCCTCGTAATAATGAGATCCGCCTGCTGCATCTTCGGTAGCCGCGAGACCTCGCAATGCCAATCAATGTCTTCTAGCTGGTGCTGCTTCTCCTCGACCCATCCAGCCGTGACTCCTGATCGATCGCCTAGCCAAAGATCAAGAAATTTTCTGTCGATAAGACAGAAGTTTTTGATACAGTAGTTGAAGCCTACCTCGACGTCTGCAGGTAGCGAAGCATCGTGGTCTGGCAATGCGGATAATGGATCTAAGGATGTCGGGCGGTGGTATGTCAAGGCAGTAAATCTCTCATGTATAAAACACTCCCAATATGCTCGTTGGAGACGAGCACGTTGTGGAACATCAAGTCTGGCCAGGTCGTCTTCCGAGTGTGCGTTGAGCATGTACAGTAGCGAAATCGCCTCGCGAAGGTACATGTGGCCCAATTCAGGACGGCGCAGCGTCATGCAGCTCATCTCTGTAAAGACGTCTCTCATGACATGTACAACAGTAGGTTGAGAGTCGAGACCGAATGGACGACGCAGCTCAAGTGAGCGGGTGAGCAGCATTGCGATCTGGTCGCGAGTCGCGGTCGCATCCTGAACGGGTTCGCTTCTCGCCAAGCTCAATGTCACTGCAGCGAATATGTAGACATACGATGCGGCATCGGTGTTGTCAGTCATGTGTGTAATCATGTCCTGAACCATATCCGCTGGAATAACTGGGCTCATCGGGTACACATACTGTTCGTAGTCGCTCAAGAGCTCGAGGAAGAACGACGGGTTTTGATTTGACGAGATTGGTTGGGGTATCTGAACGGGTAAGGCCTGGGGCGATAGGGACGAGCTTGTATGGGGTGGCTTGAGCATCAATGTGCGGCATTCGGCAATTACAGTACCCCGTCGTACGGCTTTCTTCCGTTGCTGGTCTGATACGCTGGTCGCGTATGTACACGGTAGACCGGCATGCGTGCACTGCTGACATCGGGCTTGACCATTGCACTTGACCTTCCGTCGTTTGCAGGGATCACATGCCTTTAAGGTGCGTCTGTGCTCAGAGTTTGGCATTATAAGGCTTGGAACATGGTTTGGAATCTGATGTTGAGTCGGGGATGCATTTCCGAGGCCGAAAGTGGGGTAAGCGGGGATGTGGGGAAAAGGAACGTCCATATGTTTACCAGATCAAGTATGGTCATGGTTCAAATTATCTATTCCTGTGAGAATAGCAAAGTCAGTAAAAAGGTATCCAAAAAGAAAATTGCCAAGAACAAAGCTTGCATGTACGGGAATGACAACGCGATTACTCTACATAGGGGTCGACAGTCTGGACGCCTCTTGGTTGTTTTATACATCGGACCTCCACGAATGCTTTTCATAGTATTCTAAGAATAGTTCAAAGTAAATATCGTATCCTTAATGTTAAACCTCATCAAAAGTGATTGTTATACTAAATAAGTCCATCAAAACTAAAGAAGACTTCTTAAATGCATGTCAAAAAATGATATGAACTTGATCTCATCTTGTATTGCTCCTAGGGAAAACCGAAATTTGACAATACTCTCGAAATTATGTTTTAGAGCGGAATACCTTAGCAACTTGCGTCTTAGGGCATATTAATTCCACAACTCCGAGTAATTTACCGTAGTCAACAAAGAGGCCTAGTCGTCCCTAACTGTTACGATAGATAATTGGATACTGTATCTACATTCACAAGACCCGTGTGTATGAATTAAAATACATTCAAGCAGTCTTTATACATCTGCAATAGTGTGCAAGCAAGCACATGCCACTTGTCAAGGCAGTAAGGCCTGTACAGACAATGAGAAGTCCAAACCCAGTACCGTATGCTCCAGTCGCATGTCCCTGCCAGTTATCAACACGGAGCAGAAACTCGCTAAATGGCCCACTGACAACATTCCCAATTCCTCGTCCAAATGCAATGACTGAGAACACGATAGTTGCGTCAGATCTAGTGTCCACTTTTTGGACCTCACGTATCATCCCCGACCAAGTCGCCGAGAAACTCCCAGCGAAAATTCCATATGCAACAGAGAACACTAACAAGACTGCGATGTTGGTGGAGAACCCCCACAGTAAAAAGATCGAAATCACAGTCCCAATTGTCGAAATCATGATGCAAATCAAAGCATGACAACGATCAGACAAATGTCCCATTGATATACTCCCAAAGACAGACGCCAGATTGTACGCCGTTACAGTCAAAGAAGCAAGTAACTCCGAAGCACCAATCGAACGCGCGAAAGTCGGCAGATAAATAGCCGGTAAAAAGAATCCAAAAGCCTCAAGCACATTGCAAGCTTGATACATAATAAAGACAGGATTACGCAAGAATTTCACGTTGAAACGGTGGTGGGCAATGTTTTTCGAAATCGGAAGCCGTGGTCTGTGAAAGTATAAGAACGGAGCGGCAAGTACAAACAGCAGGACCGAGCAGATCCTCAACGTTGTCGCGAATCCGAAGCGGTCCAATAGTTTTCCTAGCACGAGTGGAAATAATATGCCGGAAATGCCTGATCCTGCCCAGACCATACCGAAAGCAAGGCCTCTGCGCTTGTCGAACCATTCTGACATGAACATGATTGATGGACTGTAAGCAATACAGCCACCGATTCCGAAACCGACTCCTTGCGAGAGGACGAGGTGTGTGATGTTTGTGGAAAATGAACCCATGGCTAGTGATAAACACATTATTATACAGCCTGCCGTGGAGAACCATCTAGCGTATCGAGGGAGAAGAATCATGGTGACGATTACCACAGGACAGCTCAAATATGCGACACCCTGTTATCTATTAGAATTCATTTCTTTCCTAATTGTGTGAAGCCTGAAAAGTAAGAAGAAAAACACTCACCGTGGCACAGGTTCCAATAACGGCAACCATGTTCGAACCCTTCAGCAAGTCACTATCCCGATAATAGCTCTCGAAAACACCAAATGAGAACGCAAATCCCCAAACCAGGGCTTCGATCATGGTGGACGCTGCCAAGAACATCCACGCGTGGAAACCGCCATCAATAGGCGGCAAGTCATTTTCGAGAGTCTTTTCGGCGTCTGATTTGGAGCTACATGGTAGTAGTTCTCGGTTTCGGGAAGAGCTTGAATTGGTTGATGAGGATCGTTCAGTATCCATTGAAGTGGATATGTGAACGGAGATTTTATGAAAGCGTGGAAGTGTGTGGTGAATGTTGAAAACCTACTTTATAACTCAGAAATTACTCCGACGTGCATAGTCACATTGCGTAATGCCCCTGGACTTATCCCCTTCATGGCACAACGGGAGGAAGGGGTAAAAGCCTAATGTTTATCAAATGACGGAAGGTATTTCCTTTCCCTGTTGCACTTGCACACTCATTGGTTCGGCTCCTCGGGTACATCATTGAGGATGATATAGCTAACGTCGGGGACATCCTCAGCTACCCTCCGCTGGCGTCATGTATTGGATTGTTCAAATCGTGCAATCGGAACGGGAATTTGATGATTAATCTCACAAGACCGTGTTGGATGATATGATTACGGAATCGAATCAAGCATTTACTCCTTGTATTTGATTTGGAGACAGGGCACAGATGTGAAAGGCCAGGTTTGACGTGCTTTTCATGGGGCATAGGATCATACGAAGGGCTACCAGCCTGTTTAAACCGTCTATAGCCGGCTAAGGACAAGGATTTAAGGACTGGTATGTCACGAAGAATGCAAAGCACAACTATCCGGGAAATATTCTGGCCGATAGGCCCACCCTTGAAGCTATGCTTATAGAATTGTGGGGCTACTAACCCCTTGCATAGAACAGCCTTGGGGCTGACCATGCCGTGCTCGTGACTCTGCCGAACATGCGACGCGCAAGACAGTGGACACCAATGTATGTCTACTATCTAGACGAGCTGGGAATCATTTAGGTTAAGATCCCCAGCATTCCGATCCACGGCTTTGAAACAAAACCAGGTAATCAGTAATCCACCTCGGTGTCATCCGAAGAGTCGAAGTTGATCGAGGAAACCTTAATCCAGTCTGCGTGCCAGGTGATGCCTCCGTCAGTGCTCTTGAAGTTCTTGTCCGTGACACTGTCCAGGGACATGACGTCGGCGAACCCGGTGTCAGCCTCGCTTAGGGTGACGGTCAGGTTGGTGATGCCTGAAAAGGTCAGTAAGCCGTTTTGATGGAATATGTTTGATACATGGATACATACTGTAGCCGGCGAGGGTGCCACAGCTTCCAGATCCGGTGTAGCACTCGTTGCTGGAGTAAAGGTATTGGAGGGCAGCATCGAGGGCTAAGAATTAATCAGCGGGGGATTCTTATCTGGATAGTATAAGTGGTTTCTTACTATCGCTCTGCTTGGATACGACCTCTCCGTCAATCGTGACGGTCTGGATAACCTTCTTGTCCTCGACGGCGACTTAAGATGTCATTGTCAGTTTCAACTTGTATATAACATCGATCATCATAGCTCTGGAAAGGGAGTACATACTTTCAAAATCCACGGTAGTGTTCTGGGGAACGGCAACGTAGTTCTGACCAATCTGGCCATCTAATCACGAGGAATATCAGCTTTGGCTCTCCATATACAGCAGAAGTATACCACTTACCAGGAGTATAAGTACTCGCGGCAACACACCACTCCTCAACGGAAGCAGAACATCCTCTATAATTTCAAAACAATCAGTGAACTGAATTATTACACTCATATAAACCATTCAATACTTACTGCGATTCCTGGTCAAGAGACCAGTTGAAAAGGGGTTGGTAGAGATCATAATCCTCGCTACCAGCACTCGACGATGCACCAACCCAAACAGAGACCCAGACTTCGTCATTGGTACTGGAAACCTTGGCCCCGGAAGGAACAGCGGGGGGCATAATCGAATAAGTAGCCTTGGTGATCCGAGAATTTCCCGAGGGGGGCCCAAGGTAGAAGAGACTGTCGCCAAACACCCATGAATCAGTGGGCTGGGATGCGACCGCACCGATGGCGCCGATCAGAGGAACGAAAGCATGAATAGGACGCATTTTGGGATTATCTCAAACGAACGAGAACCAGCCTCGTGGGAAATTAAAAATGTACCGGAAAAAGTGTATATACAAGGCTCAGGGGAAAACTCAAACAGAATGCAATGTCGGATTGCGCTTTTATACTGTTAGTATTGAAGCAAGCTACGGAGAAAATGAGGGTCTCACCCATAACAAGCGTTATTAGCATGAAATTAAAAGTGGTTCCGCGGGTTCTGGGGTCGTTTCAACCCGAGCTTCAAAAAGAAGTTGAAACACAAAGTCTCGGATTTGTACTTCCCCAAATGATCGGTTTTCTCTGTCAATATCACCCAGCAACTCTCGAAGAATTAGTGGAATAGTTGGAACTTTTTGGTAGAAAGACTTATTTTTCACAAGCTGCTAAATCTACACAGTCCTGTGGTTGAAGAACCCCCATCAGCACTTGAAACTTCGATGGCTCTGTGCTTCGAGACAGGGGCTCGGATGATTCCCATATAGGGCTGCATAGTGGATTTTCCCGCCGGAGCTTTCCTATCTCAGCCACCACCATTTTAAGGGTCGAGCACATCATGAATCCCTGCTCGGCCTCGAACTTGGTAGGATACCCACCATGGACTATACTCCTCCCACTTCCCGTCTGCCTGTTAGTGGGGCTTGAAAAGTCCCTTGACTGGTGCGATCATGACTCATCAAACAAAACTTCCGGTGATAAAATGCACATAAGGGAGGGTTTTTGGTGCTGCCATGAACTTGACAGGAACGTTTGCTGTCTCTCCCGCTGTGACATCACATAGGGGTTGGTCATACCCATGGCGCAACGAGAGACGGATGGATGATCCACTGAAGCGGTAACCGGTGGACACACATTCAAATCCGGATGCAATGGTTGTAATCGAGAACTGGCCCGTAGTGAAGGGGGCAATCAATCCGTTAGCATCGTCTTCATTTTGTGTAAGCACAGAGATTTTGGCTTGGACAATGTCCTCAAGTGTGAATTCTAGCGGCAGACATTCCATCGAGCCAACCTGCCATTCCTCGATGATAAGATTGAGCTCCCAGCAGCGACGCTGAATTCGCCATTGAGTCATGTCGGCTTTGAATTGGACTAACTGAATGTTGATCGCAGCCCACTTTTGCTTGAGGAGCATTATACAATGCTCCATCCTATCGATTTCTTCCTTGAACTGGTCTGCAAACAGGTGCCACTCTTTACGTGATATTATTGAGAATGCATTGAATACGATTTGACAATGAGAATGCCCAGAGGCAATGGAAAATTAGGGACCTAGGGGTGTTATAAATTCACTCGTGTGATATCTTCAAAGGAATGTTATATGGATTTGGCTAGGTAGAATCCTGCGAGGTCGATTCCTGGTAAATTCACTACCCCGCCGATTCAAACATTAGAATGGTTGATGAACAAAACAAAGGATTACTACATAATAGGGAGAGCCACACTCTATGAAACACTGGGCCCCGATTCTCTGAGCATTGCCGTGACCAGATTACTCTTACCGGCAACCAAAGTGCCAATATCATCAAAGGTTGCGTTCCCCAGGAGTTCAAAAACCGCCACCTCTGCCTCCAGCTTCCACTTGAACCAATTCCGCAACTCAACCGCTACCAAGGAATCTACCCCGAATGCATGCATCGGCTTCAAAGGGTCCAGATTCTCCAGAGGCACACCTAATGCCTTGCTGAGCCTTTGCATCAGGGACTGCGCGATGACCACCCCCGCCTCCTCTTTCGACCGCACACCAAGCAGATCTTTAACCACGTCTGCCATAACATCCTCGTGCACAGTCTCATTAGTGTCGGTGATGTTCCACACCCCACGAAAAAGCGGGCGGGTCATAATTATGGGAATCTCTGCGCCGCGAGCCTTAATACTCGAGGGGACGTCAAGCCCAACGAGTACTTGAGATCGTAGTGGTGTATCATGGACTGGGAGGGCTGGGTCACAGTGATATTCCAGTAGGGCAAACATCTCCCGCTGGGTGATACCCAGCAAATAGCCCGTCCCTATGAGTGCGGTCCGCACTGTGTCATTGTCTCTCAGAACGCCATCATCAACCATGACGCCAAGGTTGAATGTTATTGCCTTTTCGCCCTGGGCATTACGGTAATGCATCAGTGCATCCTGATAGGCACAGGCGGCAGAATAATTAAATGAGGCGGTCCCTCCGACTCCTCCAGCAATGGAGGAGTAGGTGATGAAGAAGTCCATACCGCTTGGTAGTAACTGGTGAAGGTTCCACGTGCCCGGGACTTTACAGGCAAAAGTGTCTGTCCAGTCCTGATAGGCCATGTTTTCAAACACTTTGTTCTATTCAAGGGGCTTTTGGTTAGTATATAGACTTGAGTAGGAGAGATAGAGGGAAGAACTGACTCGGAGAACCATTGCCGACTGAATGCACCCCTTAATCGGAGGCATTCGACTTTCAAGGCCGTTCAAGGTATGCTTCAGTTTGTTAAAATCTGCAATATCGCACCGGGGAGCTTCGACTGTGACACCCTGCTTGTACAAACTGTCCACTAGATCCCGTCCTTCGTCATTCGATACGCCCGACCGAGAAAGGAAGATCAAGTATTTCGCTCCTCGTTGGGCCATCCACCTGGCTGTGCTGCGACCAATACCACCCAATCCCCCGGCAATTACATAGCTGGAGTGGCCATCAAAGTCCCAGGTCCGTTTTACTTTGAGATTCGTCTGTGAAAGTTAGAATTCCTCACGTACAACGAAGAAATGAGTCTTCGTACCTTGATCGAATCGTGACGCCGCATCTCAACCACAGTTTTGCCAGTATTCTTGCCACTCTGGAGATACCGGAATGCTTGCTCGATCTCTCCAACTCCAAACAAGTGAATTGGTTGCGGAGGAGATATCCGGCCTTCGACTAGCAAAGTGCTGATATCGTTGCGTAGCTGTTCCAGAATCCTGGGTTGATACTTCCGAGCCTCATTTAGATCAATTGCATGGAAAGATGCGTTCTTGGCGAATGGCAGCATTGGCAAAGAGCTGTTAGAGAGGACATCCTTCTTACCCAGCTCTAGGAACCGACCAAACGGGGCGATGCATCGCCAACTTTCGGTCAAGAAATCGCCACTCAATGAGTTAAGGATGACATCCACCCCGCCGTTTTTCGCTCCAAGGATACCATTGACAAAGGATGTGTTGCGACTGTCGAATATATGATCCTCTGCAATATAATAGGTCTCCATCAAAAGTGCCCTCTTCTCTGGTGACCCGACGGTGACGAATATCTCAGCACCGCGCATCTGAGCAACTTGTATAGCTGCCTGTCCTGTTCCTCCCGCTGCAGAATGGATAAGAATGGACTCTCCTTTTTGAATATTCGCCACGCGAGTCAAAGCATAGAAGGCGGTGGTGAACACCACGGGAAGAGCTGCGCCTGTGACGAACGACATAGAGTCAGGAAGTAGAATAGCATCAGTGGCGTTACATCTCGTGTACGTTTGGTAAGTTCCCAAGGCACTAGCACAGACCCGATCCCCAATCTCCAGGTTTTGTACATCTCTTCCTTTACGAGACACTGTACCGGCACATTCAAAGCCAAAGCTGTTTCCTGGAAGTCGACCAAGTGCGATAAGACAATCTCGAAAGTTGACTCCGCTAGCCTCAACCTCAATCTCGATCTCCTCTGGGGCGAGGTCCACTTTCGCGGTCTCGTCCTCGATAAACTCTAAGCTGTCTATTAGACCAGGAGAGGCGATAGTGAGTAATAATGCAGGGTGGTCGCTGAACCTGCACTCGCCTGGCTGCGTGTCTGCCATCAGTCTGGGAAGGCTTTGGTTGATGTAATTGGCCTCAATGAAGCGATCGACACATAGGTGACCATTCCGCTCAACATACTCTTGCTCACAGTCGTTGACTGGTCGGGTAGCAACAGTCTTAAAAACCTGGTTGATTCGATTCGCTGCATGGCGCGCGTCGCTCACGTGAGTAACGTCTAGCGAAAGGGAGATGAATTTTGAATGTCGCTCTTCCATACGCAGTCCCCGGAATGCGCCTTGAACCAGAGCATGTTCAGGTCGCTCAGGTCGAATTCCGCCTCCAATGTTCACCCATAATATACCCCCGTCGGCTCGCAACAAGATTTTAATCTGTTGATACTCGGCTGGGTTCATCTTTGCTAAAATGGATGTTTCTTGCAGATCAAGTATCATGATGCAGAACCATTCTTTCAAATTCGGGATTTGGGCAGCCCCCTCAAGAGAAAGGCTCATTGTTTCGGGGATTCCTACATTCTGTAAATATTCTGCCACCTGCTTTGCGACAACAATCTGTATCGAGGATTTGGGGTCCAAGACAATCAAAGTCCTGGGAAATGGGTGTGAAATTTCTTCAGCTTCAAGCGTTGCAGTTGTGATTAAAGCACTATGCTCATGACAAACAGGATCATCATAATCTTGAAGATCGAGATCGATACCTGAGAACCCAGTGTTTCTCAGAAGTTCATCCCAAACCGCATCGGAGACACCGGCACTGAAAGTACGGTACCTATCTTGATACCGCCACCAACCTGGCAGTAACCCAAAAGCAAAGTTAGTGCGAACATTCTCAGGATCGGTAAGCTCGAAGAGTGCGAGCCTACCACCTGGCTTGAGTAATTTTCTAGCATTTCGCAAAGTGGTCTCGAGGTTTTGGGTGGCATGGAAGACATTGTCAGCGATGATCAGATCATATGCTGACTCCCCGAAGCCTTGTTTTACCGGGTCGTTCTCGATGTTCAGGACGGAAAAAGTCACTTTGTCTGAGAACTCCGCAAACAAAGATGCGGCATCAGAGAAGAAGCCTGCTGAGATGTCGGTGTAGGTGTAGTGGGAAAACCGCGGAGTGCCAGCCCCGGCTTCCCGGGAGCCATTTTGGGTCAATGTATCCAAGACGTAGCGCGTCATAGACCCAGTCCCTGCCCCGATCTCCAGAATTTTCATGTCTGGATGTTTATGGGCATATATATCAATGAACGACAGGGCTTTGCTTAGCCCATTGGTCGCCTTGTATAACTCCTGGTAGTAGTTTTTGACCAGGGGAGTCTGAAACATGACCTGAAGGGCATCCTTCTTTCCCGTCAGGATCTCGAAGAGATTGCGGGCTAATACAGCAAAGAACTTCCCCCGGCAATTAGTACCCTCCAGACGATCTATCATATTGTTGTAAAGCTGTTCATCATCCAAGACCGCTCTAAATTCGATACCTCTAGTAGCGGGAGAGTTCGAGTATAACTTTTCCTTTTCACGTTCCATCCACACGAGGTACTTCCGATGGTGAGGGGCGAGCTTGTCTCTATCCCCGATTGTAAGGTATTTCAACGTCCGTAAGATACAGAGATAGAGTAACAACTTAACGTCATGGTCTAATTCCCGAGGTGCCTGCTGTAAGGGGAAGCCAGTCGTGACTTGAGTCAAAAGTTCAGCCTTGTTTAACATCTCAATGTCGGGACGGTAGTCAAAGTTCCAGCAGAGACGACGAGTCTTGCCTCTGTCCTCCTTCTCGGTCAGAAACTTGCCATCCAGACCATCAACAACCACGACTGATCGTTGACCTGTTGGGTCCAGTGCGACGACATTTGAAGAAGTATTTCCGAGGCCGAGGAAGATAGATTTATTCCATACCAACATGTGAGGAGAATGTTTCTGATCCTGGAAGGCTGGAATACCGCCCTCTGCAATCCACAAATGGCGAATCCCAGCAACCACACTGGGGGATATGCTGGTACCACCTTCTGTCATGGCAACCAAGCCCATTTGGAACAATCCATCCAAAAAAGTTGGATGGACGGTAAAGTCAGTCTGATCGAATTTCCGGGCTTTGATTCGCCATTGATGAGGATTGACCTCCCCAAAGCATTCCATATTATCATTGTACGCACATGATTTGATAGCTTGGTGAGCAGGACCGAAGCAGATACCCTTTTCCGATAGTAACTTGTAGATGCGCCCCATGTTGACGGTTCGCGGACAAGAGCTGCGTATGCGGGAGAGCTCTGCGGCGTGTCGCCCCCTTTCCAGTTGAGCCTGTCTGCCTTGATCGACTAGTCCCTCATCAACGTGAGAAATTTGAATACGGCCGCGACATGCCTCTACCCAGGTGTCATTCTCAATACAATAGAGAGAAAATTCTGACCAAGAGTTCACGCGGTCTGCCGATTGCCCACTGGATCGGAGGTAGAATTCCACTTCAGTGCCATCTGGGTCCTGGGAGATAGCTAGAGCTCGAGAAAAAGAGACATCCCTTAAGGTATATCCCACAATCTCGTGACTCTTTTGTGATCGAGAAACGTCCTTGGCAGCTTCTATCGCCATGACTAGCATGGCTGCCCCGGGAAGAATGTTCACCCGCGCGATGGTGTGGTCCCCGATCCAGGGTTCTTCTGACAGCTTGATTCGCTTCCTCCATTTTGCTTCATGTGGATTCCAGTCTGGCACTCGCATTCCCAGGAAATCATTGCGCGGAGCCCCCCGAAAACGATGACCCTTGCTTACCCGTGATTCTCTCCAGTATGAGTGACTGTGGTCGAAGGGATACTTGGGTAGGTTGTTCAGTAGCGTTGGTAAAGGGGATGTTGGCATGTTGAGCCGGTTAACCGCCCGCATGTTGACTTGATGTCCACGGCAATAGAGATAGCCGAGAGCATCAAATAGGCTCTGAACTGCATTGACATTCCGAATAAGTACAGACTTATACCCAATTCCTGCGTTTTGACTGATAGCATTCAGTGTTTCCTTGATAGCCCGTTGCAAGGCGGAGTGAGGGCCCACTTCCAGAATGTCCTCAATCTGCAATCGAGTTGTCTCACGAACAGGGTTCCCATTCTTTTGGGCTTTTAACGAGACAGCAACCATCAAAGCAGAGGAAAATAAAACTGGTGAGACCATGTTTTGCACCCAATATTCCTTGCGCACAAGTTGCTCGGATGTTACAGCCTCGCCTGTCACCGAGGATATCATGACATCAGCCAGGGCTCGACGACGGGAAGAGAGCTTGCCAATAGCCTTGAGATAGTCCCGAGCAACTGCATGCATATGAGTAGAGTGATAGGCTACTGGTACCGCAACTTTACGTGCAAATACCCCGATCTGGTCCAGAACTTCTTTGAGAATGTTGATTTGAGGCGCGTCTCCCGTGATGGTAACATTTCCCGGACTATTGACACAGCCAATTGAGATCCCTAGATGCCCATGTTGGGCTTGAAGAGCCTCGAAGTAAGGTTCAATTTCATCTTTGGACAAGTTGACTGACATCATCGCGCCAACTTTAGCGCTACTATTCGCTAGTCGAGAGGACAAGAGTCCTCGATAGTAGGCGATGCTGATTGCAGATCGTTGGTCCAAAGCCCCAATAGAATACCTGTTCAATTGATCAGATTCCAATTAGGCTTTATTAGCAGTGTAGAAGAAGGGAACTTACGCAGCGGCAATTTCGCCTGATGAGTGACCGACTACTACCGTCGAATGGAGATCCATACTTTCCATCAGATCTACGAGAGCAATCTGAACAACGGTGGTCAAAGTCTGGCTGAACTCAGGCTCATCAATCCGGGTATTCTTCTCATCTCGCGATAGCTCCTCTGGACAGTCTATCAGCAAGCGCAAGAAATGAGCCGATCAAGCACTTACCTTCTAGATTCCAAGGACAACCCATGCTTTTTAAGATAACAGAAGCATCAGAGATACTTTGATTGTATATCCTGAATTGTCTTAATTCATCACCCATGGTAGCCCACTGCCCTCCTTGACCGGTAAAACAAAGTGCTAAGCGAGGGCTCGAAAGTGCTCGAACAGGTCGAGATGTCTTGATTCCGTCTGCCAACTGTCCCGAAGTGTAGCAAATGGCAAATGACCGCCAGAGTAATAAACTCCGACGTTCATTTAAGGTGTACACTAGACGCGACATATAGTCGTCATGAATGGAGTGTTCCGAAGCGGCAAAATGTTGACTGTATGTAAGTGCCAGACGACCAATACCCTTTTCATCCTGTGCAGAAAAGATAAGCATCTGCGGATATGGATTCTCTGAAGCGAAGAGATGGTTATTTTGGTATTCCGATATTCCAGCGTGTTTCAGATGGTTCTGAGCATCGTCCATAATGACATGGGCATTGGAACCCCCAAAACCAAAAGAGTTGATAGACAAGCGGCGTAGACCTTCTGACGGCCAGTGACAAAGCCTTTGTGGAAACTTATTCAGTGTTAGTCCGAAATTAGTGAAATGAAGTTTGGAAAGAAATAGAAATACCAGCAGGCTAGGATGTCTTTTCGCAATGGTGGCATTGACAGCCTCAAGGCCAGCAATACTCGGAATCATTCCTTGCTCGAGCATAAGCACGCACTTGATGAGGCCCGCAATACCACTGGTCCCCTCCAAATGGCCGATGTTAGATTTGACAGACCCCACGTATAGAGGAAATGCTGGAGAAATGCAGTGTTCAAATGCATCTGCAATTGCCCCTGCCTCAATTGGATCTGATCGTAATAGCGTTAAGAGTATTCAAATGCATTAATGAGATAGACACTCACCACCAACCGGTGTCCCGGTTCCATGGGCCTCCACATATCGCGTCAGATGCATGTCTAAGCCTGCCTTTTGATACGTTTCCCTAATAAGCTCTGCCTGCGCCTGCCGACTAGGCTGCACGATCCCCGGTGTACGTCCATCCTGGTTCGTCCCCGTGGCGCGAACCACGGCACGAATTGAATCGTTGTTTATCAAGGCATCATCAACACGCTTCAGGATTAGAGCTCCAAAACCCTCACCACGTCCGTAACCATTTGCTTTCTCGTCAAAGCTCCAGCATCGGCCGTCTGGTGATATGAAACCCTGGTTGTTTAGAGACATAGCCATGTCCGGACTTAAGAAAAGGTTTGCACCCGCTACGATTGCCTATTTATTTTCAGTAAAAGTTCTTTGATAAATTAAAAAAATTTGAGAGGTAGCTTACCATCTCTGCATTTCCATCACGTAATCCTTGACATGCTGTGTGGAAGGCAATCAGCGTGCTGGAACAGGCAGTGTCCATGTTGATTGATTCTCCACGAAGATTGAAAAACCAGCTGATGCGATTAGCGAGCATATTGGGGGAAACAGAGCTCGCTGAATATTGACCACCGAATTGTGGATCGCGAGTGGAGAATGCCTTATAATCATCACCAAAACTGCCCGTATGAACAGAGGTTTTGGAATTGAACACCCTCTCCATTGGAATTCCCGCTTTGAAAGCGATCAATAAAATGCCCACAAGTTGAAATAAGAGGCTCACGTACCATTTTCCAATGCATGATATGTGGTCTCAAGTAGGATTCGTGACTGTGGATCGATCTCAGCAGCCTCCCCGGGCCCAATGGTGAAAAAGGGCGCATCGAAGGCAGCCACGTCGCCGTCCACAAAATGGGCACCTTTCACTGGGAACTATAATGACAAAGACACATGAGTGACTGCATTTTATATAAGACCAAATCGTCAGATGAATCTCCGCCACTTACCCCATTTAATCGCTCCTCGTCAGGATCATAGACACCATCGAAATGAAGACGACTCTCGGGAAAGGAAGACCATGCCGAACGGCCCTCGGTCAGTGCTTCCCAGAAGGATTCTGCCGACTCCAACCCCCGTGGGAAGCGAAATGACATTCCAATCACCGCAATGGGCACATTGTTGATTTTTTCTTCGGTGTGGTGCTTCATTGGTGCTAAGAGCGAGCTGTGTGAATTACTTAGAGCAATGTGCCCATTCGCATTCGGTGCAGCCGCAGCCAAAAGCTGGTCTTTGGCGCGCCCGGTGGCCTGTATGGGTTTGTTATTTGCTGGGCCCAATTCACTGGTGAACCAGTCGAGCGCAAGCCAGCGCTGCACGGTCTCAGATAACATGGTGATGTCAATCTAAACGGGGGTTTGATCTATATTGGCGATGGAATTTTGAAGATAGGGGGACACCATAGGGTTGAGAAGATAACAAGTCAATTGAAGCAGCAAGAGAATACCGAAATGCGAGTATCAAGACATAAAAATACTTCAAAAAGCCTTTGTCTATGTATATTATATATACGCGCCCGCTTCTAGTAGATTAGGCCCCCCTATCCACCTGGGCAAGTCTTCTTAATGATTGCCATCTTGGGACGACCTCGGAATCAATTGCAGAAAGTACCTGCAGTCAAACTACGGAGTGCCCGAAGCCCTGGAGACAGTGGCTGGAGTAAGTGGGTGACAAGTAAATCGGTTTTCGATACTGACTTTGCTCTTATCATACGTTGTTCAAAACCATTACAGCGGTATTTAAACGAGTGCGCGTGGCATTATCGGTAGCCCCAGAGGCTCACGTAAGATCACTCAATCCACCCCCGATGCTATATTTTGGATTATTTGTCTACTTCATATAAAGTTTTCATTTTGTTGAATATCTCATTCCAATCACTTCTGATATAGAAAATATCTAATTTCCATCGGAAGCGAATGGAGCTTCAAGAGAGTCGTATGGAATGCTGTCTTTCACGCAATGAAGGGGTAGAGTGTAAAAAGGCAAGTGACCTAAAGTCTACGTAGTTCTTGTATCCTTTCATTTGGAAAGTAGGCATAAGTGTATAATATGATGGAAACTAGGCTAACCGACGCATTGGCCACTCCCACATCAGCACTAACGCGATGTACTCAGCTGCACAAAATCCCAGGATCATCGCGAGCTGTTTATGATAGCCCGCTGCAAAGGCAGCATGTATTATCGACTGATCTGCCAACGATAGCGTTTTAACCGACGAGATATCTCTCAAAATACGAGCTAATTCCTCGGTAGGCAAATATATTGCTAGTTTCTCTCTAGCAGTGTTGTTCAGAAGATTTGTTGCGGCAGAGACTCCGATTGCACCTCCCAGGACTCGCAATTGGGTAACTCCACCCAGAGCAACGGCTAACGTGATCATAAATCGTTAGAATAGTCCATTCGAGGGTGTTTAAAATAGAACAACCATACCTAAAGCGTGTCTTTTCACTAGAAAAGGTGTAACGCTCAAGAGGGTAGTAAGACTGAGGCCAGTGCCCAGACCAGCAAGGATTTCATATCCATAAATGCGCGCAGGGATTGTTGTGTCAATGGGGACTGAGAAAAGAAGACCAACCCCGAGGACCTGTAGAGTAGTAGCAAAAAGTAAGACCACGAAGGGTGGAACGCGACCTTTTGCGGTGAGACCGCCACTTAAAGCAGATCCAAATGCAATCATAAGTGTAAATGGTAAGATATCGATACCGGCGGTAAGGCCAGAACGACCATTCACGCTCATAAAGCGAAGTGGTAATTCAAGCACAAGGGTCACCATTGGGACACCGGATAATAGCGCGTTTCTATAATGAGTATAATCAGTATGAGCTTCGGGCTTCAGGATTCAGATACTTCTGTGAAAGTAGCAATGTAAAGTATACTAACAGATATATTCCCATGAGTATCCGGTTTTGAATGAACGCCCAAGGGAAGATTGGTTCCCTTTTAGAATTTGTATGATATAGATACCATTCCCATGAGAGAAATAGAATTAGGAGAACGCCTGACACAACCAAGAAGGCAATCACCAGAGCTGAAGACCATGAGAAGGAGATTCCAGCTTCCTCGATAGCCACAATCAGCATTATAGACGCAGCCAGAAGTATAACGAAGCCCGGATAGTCGATAGAGCCACGGGTAGGGACATCTCGCTTAGTTGGACTGATTGAGAGCGTAAATTTACTGCCATTCTCGGAATGCGCAGGAAACTCAGCTGGCATGGCAAAAAGGACCAGAAGCAATCCGATGAACCCCACAGGGAGGTTGATCCAAAAGATCCAGCGCCAGGTGGTACCATCAGAAATGGCACCACCAAGCAATGGCCCCAGCAGAAAGCTAAATGCAATAGCAAGAGAGATTATCGCATTATATTTAGCGTATCTAGCAGGCTCTACCATCTCTGCCACGATGATGGGGACCATGCTGAAGATTCCTGCACCGCCAATTCCTTGGAAGGCACGACATATAATCCTACCACAGATTAATGATGCTATCGCTCATAACAAGAGAAGCGTAGCTTACAGTTGGACTGGGGTTTGGGATCCTCCACAGCCCCCTGAAAAGCCAAGAAAGAGTAGCACAGCGGCGACAAGCATTAACTTGCGACCAAAGAAGTCGCTTAATTTAGCCCATATTATAAGAAAGCCTGCTTAAGAATTAGTAGTGGATCAGAATGTTAGCATGGAATGTCTGAAAGAGCCTCACTGAAGTAACAAGTCAGGTAGCTAGAAACAACCCAGCTACTTTGTTCGAAGGCGTGCAGGTCATTGGCAATCGCAGTCAACGAGGTGCTGACAATGGTGATATCCAGGGCAGAAAGGAAGACGCAATGACAAAGTCTGACCCGAGTTAGCTGCACTGTCATTGTCCTACCTTGGGTAATTACTTTGGGTAACCAAAGGGGAATTCGCACCCAATTGTGAGAAGTCTTAGCCTCCAGTCTCGTAAGGACGGTACAGGCGAAGACTCGTCATTCTCACCAGCAGCCGCGCTGCCCGCAGTTTTGACATCCGAAAACCCCCCATCCGGATGACTGGAGTGAGAGGTGCCAGTATCGGGGATATATTTGAGGTGATTCTGATCGGCCATTCCGCCAGTTGACTCAGAAAACGCGTATTTTTCGAAGGCTGAATTTCGTATTCATTTGCGATCTCTGGTATTAGTAGATTTGCTGGAAGCTTAAGGGTTGTATTCTGCAGGCCATGGCAGAGCATTGATTTTGTAAGGAAAAGGTCCAATCTCATGCCGCCAAGGTGCTGCATGGAGAGTGCAGGTCGATGCAACCATGGCAGGGATAGGAATCCTTTCAGATTCAATGTAGTTTTTGTCTCCTAAAATGTCCGGTCCTTTTTTTATGGTGGATCTGCGAAACTTAATACTCCACATAAGGTATTTACAACTCAGTTATTGTGAATTATCGGTCTTCTCCGTTTGCTGGGTTATCCTTTCTCGATGACGATGTTTCCCAGTAACATGTTTTTATAGCAAGCTATCAAGGCGATTCATTGAATATTTCTGTCTGCCATTCAGGTCACACGGGTGTATTTGAAGCATGGATCTTTTGCTGCAGCGCTCGCTTCATACTTGCGGGATTTTGAACAAACAAGACTAGATCGTTCCGTCCAATTAGCCTCATGCGAGTCTGTCACGTACTACTGTACCCCGTGTTTAGGGGCTAATTTGAGATGCAATGGGTGGCTGTAAGGAATTCGCCACTAGTAACATTCGCGCGGTCGCGTCCGTGGGCTGAGGCAGGGTATGTACTAAGGTGCTCAGGTGCATTCAAGATAAGATGGCAATAACCCAATAGAGAGCTAAATGATTTGCTAAATCGAGATTCTTTCGGCGGAACTTATCTTCAGGGCAAAGGATCAACATGCTTTGTCGGGTAATCTTTCTTTAGGTTTACTTGGAAAGATATCGACTAGCGTAACTTTGCACGGCTGAAGCGAGTTGAGAAAGCCACCCGGGGAAGGGCAGCAGGGCTAGACCGAAAAAGAATTATTTTGGGGGCAGGTGGCTTTGCAGTACTGGTAGTACTATACAGTCACTTTTGACTTTGACAATCTTCGAAGCCCCACAAATCTCCATACATACCGAGTGACATGTCGCCCAGTATCCGTGATATGTCATATCTACTAGCCAGTGATAACCTTCGATTATACATTGGTCTACCATTCTAATCCCGCCCCCGTGGGTGGCCTATCGCCCCTTTTAAGGTTATTGTGCTTATTGTCCTGGGCCAACCCTCACATCAGGTATGCCTTGGGCGTTCTCATCTGCAATAGATAACGCGGGTCAGCCACGTAGTCACACAAATGAACCACACTTATTGGTCTTCCTTAAATAGAGTTTGCCACTTGTATCCTCTGACTCATTTGGTTTTCGTACTTTTGGTATCAGTATAACAGCTCATCCCTGCTTGCAGTAGTGCATTGCCAAGAGAGACCCACGGTTATGATTTCCCCTCAAGCCGTCCAAAAGCCTCCAAGACATAACGCTACTACATTATTCAGCTTCTTACTTAAGATAGGTAAGCGTAACTTAGCAATATCTAAATCAATCTCAAAAAGTGTGGTGTTTAAGAGAGAGGGAGAGCTATTTCTGAAAACCATTTACTATGAGGCGATCTGTCCCAATGTGCTGAGTATCTATTCGAGGCCAAACTCAATCATATTCGATTCTTGAACCCAATAGGTCCGCTTTGCGGCAAGTAGAATTTACGAGTCAGAGCATTTGGCGTCCTTTGCACAAAATATCGCGTTTATAGACCTATAGCATCAATCAAAGACCATCGTAGGCAGCCTCAATGGACTAGATTCCCCTTTATAAAGATTCTCTGACGTGTTGAGCCACCCATATCTGACTCCTCTTTGCTGTTTCGGCGATGAAATCAAGTGCGCATATTGCTAGAATAGCCACTCCACTTATAAGTCCATTGTCAATCCCAGATATCCAACCTTGCTGATAGAATAATATGGTACAAGCCAGTGTCCCCATTGCCACCGCTATCGTGGCTCGACGTAAAGACAGTCGTCGGCGGCCTTGAGGTGTTAGGACTCGGTTCCAGTCAGACAGCCTCGGAAATCGGCATCGCATATAGAAGTCTAGCTGCGAGCGGCTGCCTGGTGTTAGTGTCATCTCATCAAAATAGCTATGGGAGGATATCCAGGGACACATACGGATACATCACGGCGTTATATTTCCCTCCCCCATTATACCAACTTTGGCATCCAGCAAATACCGTAGTGTTCATATCACGCCGAATATTCGCCAGCCAGGTCTCAACTGCAATGGTAGTTGGCTCGACAGTCTCAATATCCCCATTCAAGATTGGTGTGATTAAACGTATCGCATGATCAACACTGTTTTCAATGGCCATCATGACTGATGTGTGTCCTGAAAATGTGTTCGGCCCTAATATAAGAAAGAAATTGGGGAATCCGTCTACTGCCGTTCCGAGATAAGCATGAGGGCCGCCGCGAGTTGCCCACAGACCATGTAGCGAAAGACCCGATCGACCTAAGACGGTAATTGGATGCAGAAACTCAGTTGCATTGAAGCCCGTTGCAAGGATAAGCGCATCAGCAGGGTAGGTTCTGGTATTGCTCTTGTCGCCCACGGTGATGGCAGCCTCGGATACACTGCACCAGGGCCGTGACTCGAGAGAGAAGCGAGGATCATGCATGCTCGCAAGCCAGTCATTGTCGTATATTCGACGTTTGCATCCCAGCTTATATTTCGGTGTCAGTTGGTCGTGAAATGCGGGGGGTGCCAGGGCACGCATATGGGCGAGAGACGATGCCTCCTCTCGTTTTCTTAGAGACGCATTCGGTCGCTGAATTACTGTATACCACAGTAACTCGGATACGCCGCAGAGTAGCATCCGAACCACATAGCCCAATCCTGGTATGGTACCATATAAGCGCGGGGCCCATCTAGCATAAGCCTCTTTCCCACCGGGCTCCTCCACGCGGGCCACAATCCATGGTGGTGTTCGCATGATCTGAGTCAATGATTTGATTTTGGTTTTGAGAAGGGCGGGTATTATCTGTGCAGCGCTGCAGCCAGATCCGATTATGACAACATCTTTACCATCCAATTTTGTCTCATCTGGCCAGCGTGCAGGACTTATGAGCTCTCCCTGAAAAGTATCGCGTCCCGAAACATTGGAGGGCCAATCAGTCGGCTCGACAAGGATTCCCACGGCACTAATCACCACCTTGGCTCGGATTCTTTCGAATATCCGCACGACAGCAGAATCTGCGTCCTGTTGCTCTTGTCTGCAGGTCCTATAGACCTGCACCTCCCATTCTGCGTCTTCGTCAATCCACTCCACAGACGTGACGTCAGTGTCAAGCTGGATTTTATCCGCAATTCCAGCCTGTTCGACCACGTGGTATAGGTAGTCAACGTAATCGTGCCCCGTGGGGAAAATAGTCTTTGACGTAACGTTTGGCGCAAATGAGAAGGAATAGAACAATGTAGGTCTGCACAGCGTCAACGGGTAGTCTTCTCCACGTGGCTAAGATCAAGGCACTTACACGTCGCAAGCCTGTGAATGAGGAAAACAGGTTTTAGCACTAGACAGAGTCAATCCGACTGGAAATGAAGCTTACCACGCCTGGATATCGATTGCTCCACCATGTGCCTGGTTCAATGCTATTAGTTGAGACTTTCTGCTGTCATATGCGTTGTAAACCTACCACCAATACCAGACTGACGATCGAAGATTCGGAACTGGTCGCAACCCCCTTTTTGCTTGAGCCGACAGCCCGCTGCAATGCCTGAAGGCCCCGCCCCGATGACAACAACGGGATAGAACGTGCTTGATGCACCACCGTAGGCATTCTGAGACCGAATTTTCAGTGGCAAAGCCATAACAGTGGAGGAAATTATTTATCACGTGTGACGACGAAGTGACTTGTGAGCGCTGCTGTGGAAATCTGAAGGAGTTGTTGCGAGTGCTATATTTCCCATGTCCGCCAATCGCACTTTGGAGAATATTCAATCCCAAGCTAGGCACTGTGTAAGATCAGCAGATTACACATGGAATTCGCTTGCACATATCCTTGTCATCGCCCTGTCAATTGACCCATGTATCCCGCCTTACCCCGGTCATGCAAAACTGACACTAATGCATAGCAACTCAGAAAACAGCCCCAAAATACAGGCTGCATTATCCAAGCGAATCATTGACGTGTATTCCGCTGGAGCCTTTAGTGGCCTAGAGCCCTACCCAATCTTGCAAGTTTGTGGGCCTTACTACATGAGCGGCAGGATTTCTTAGGTGGGCACGTTGCATCAGGCCAAGCAATCTGTGATCCCTGTAACGTGTATGTAATAGACGAGTGTCTTGGCCTGCCAACGGGAGCCAACTTGCAAAAACACGCGCAAACCGCCCCCTAAAGTAAGTTTAACGAATCTCACTCCACTGTACTTCTGGCCTGAAGCTAGAGGGCATTACGTAAGAGAAATTCACATGCTTTGACCATTACAGTCGCCTGCAGTAGATTGAAGTGGCGTTTGCATCTCATTAAAGTGATTACATGGTATTGCACTAGGATCACGTTCTTGAATACACTGGGGTGAAAGTGCCAACTATGGATCAACTTCGAGTCTGTTCTCCACGTTCCCACCCGGGCCGATCCGATGAGACAGCTCGACGTTTAAATCCCAAAGGTACGTTCAAATAGAACATCCAATGAGGGTAGGTAGATGAAGGGAAATAAGTCTCTCTAAACATTTTGCCTCTTCGCATATTCCACAATCTAGGAAATGAGAAAGATTAGGGGACTCGTCGCATAAACTAAGCAATCATCGCTGCAAATCTACACTTAGACTTGCCCTAGACTTTCCGGATTGGCATTCAATATGCGATTTTCTTCACATTTAAAGACCTTTCTTACATTCAGCTCACGTATAAGCGCCAGGGCACTTTAATCCCCGTTCGTCAGAAATGAAAGCATCTACATTACATGTTTACAGCTATGGTCGCACTCGCTGTAGTCCAGTATCCCCGAGCGACCGGTGTGTTATCACTTTAAACAACCTCCACCTCTCGTTGCACTCGAATGCCTTGGAGATCCCTCTCGAAACTCCGATGATCACCCACTGCGATATTGGTTAAAGGTAGAGCGTCACTTTGACTATCATTCATCTTGTAATAGTTGGCGGAACGAGACTCGTAGCTGTTCATGTTTGACCTTTCCGAGTTGGTAGAAGGCAAGTGGCTGCCATCGCCCTTCGAAGGCTTATCGTAGTAACTGCGTACAAGGCTTCCGAGTTGGCCAAATTTGGGGAGCAAAGGGCGATAGATGGGCAGACAGGCACAGAGAATGGCGACACCAAGATTTATTACCGACCAGAGAGAGGCTTGACCTAGTGATACTGAAGCGGGTTAGCGATTTAGGCCACCTGGTTGTACTTTGACAAACTCACGAAGGTCATCACCCGGTCGGTAGACGTAGGCGATGCGAACAGCACCCGTCACAATGACACTATATGAATTAGAAAGTGTCTGGGTCGCCACGCTTGTCCGGTTAACTCACAAAGATCCGAGCAAAAAGACACCTAGCAAAGCTACCTTCTTTCGAAAAGAGAGTTGCAGGCTTGAAATAGTCCTGAGAGGAAGAACAATGATAGTCACGTCTAGCAGGATATCTATGAGCTCCATTGCTAGAAAATAACTCGGGAAGTTAAAGCAATGGCCAGCCACAGTGGGATCCCAGAAGTGCCGGATGGGGATGCAGTATAGTAAGTCCCCAATGAAGGCGGCCACAAACCACACAAGACAGAAGATACCTACACCGTAGTTGATGCGGCGGAAACTGGCGACAGAGAAGATGCGATGGTAGAAACATAGAATCGATATCTTCACCAAGGTCACGTTCACGGCGTAGAGTGGTGGAACGGCGTACTCGGATTTCATATACTGTGTAAGCTTCTTTTGGGCTTCTAGCTCATTGGTATAGACTTGTCCACCCCCGTAGGTGTAAACTCCTACCAAAGAATTGCTGCAAAAGCCCAAAAAGACGAAGACACTAGCAATGACCAGCCAGTCGTCCATTCCCAATCTGTTGCCCATCATCCGCCGAGTGGCAATTCGTAGACCGACTGCTGCAATAGACAGCACAACGAAGAAGATGCAAACCACCAATGTCGCATAGCCGATCTGATTGAGCCCCAGCTTGTAGGAATGTGAAGCTGCTGCCTCCGCCATTCTGATCTCCCTTGCTTTCCAAGATTCAGTCTCTCCGGGCCCCTTTATTGTCTAAATGAATGTCCACTCTGGTACAGAAGCGGTCATCAGGTCTGTACCAGACTAGTACCGGCATGCTGGCAGCAGTGGGGCTACTAATATATATCCCTGCATGGAAAAAAATCTGCGGGTGCGGGAGCATTGGCCCCAACTTGGATCCTGGCTGACGGAGACCTCCCCGCAAGGCGTATTTTGGCCATTTCAGTGTTTATCATACCGGAGAGTATGGTATTGCAGTTGAAAGGAAAGGGCGTGGAAGTAACAGAGAGTGAACCCTTGTCTGGCTCTTCCAAATCCATGCGAGTAAGCATCGTTACAATACCAATACTGTATGTCAGCCGATCGTTGATACATTGCCATGAAAACGACGGAAATGTGACAGTCTTGGACCTTTTGCCATGTTTGGGGGCAGTGGGTCAGTAATCTCCTGATCTGCGCACCTTGAGCTATTTGCAGATCCTTCCACGGTTCCGACAAACCTTGGGAGGCGGGGTAGACAAAGGGAGATTTCCGTTAGGCAACAGGCCTCCGTCCCTCACAGCTTTTGTCGTAGTAACACAAGTTTCAGCTCGGTAATAATAAAGAATTCAATCCTGTGACCGAGGTTAGCTCCCAGGTGTGATTGACATCGCCTTAATTGGGCCTGTTCTTTACTTCATACATCTATCCACCATTGAGGTCGGGGATAGTCTGGAACCATTCTTCCTTCCCTTTCCTGTTTCATCATCACTTATGCTCGAAGATTGATCTCGTTTTCAACCATCATGGATTTTCAGAATTCCAAGCATCTGCTGGCCGCAGTACAGAAGATGCGAACGGAATACCTCAAGACCGCTCGTACCACTGCTATCTCAGTTCAGCAAAACGCTACCTGCCGTGATGACCCCGTCAAGGGTCCTCTCTGGGTCAGCAAGTTCTCTATTCCCAGCCCGACAGAAGATACATCTCGCGACCTTCTCCTGCAACTGGTCGACGAGGCCAACGAACACTCTGTCCGCTACGACCGCCCGTCATCTGCTCCACTTGACTTTGAGTGGGTGGGTTTCAGAAATCAGGTTCAAAAGGATACACCAGAGCCAGCTATTGGGGAGAATGAAAAGTTTCTGGAATTGTCGAAGGAGACCAAGAGCCCATTGACTATTCTCTATGTTTATGGAGGCTCTTTTGTGTAAGTTGACGGGATTTTGCTTTGTTCACCCATTACTGATAAGTCGATATCATCTACCAGCTTGAACTCTCCTTCTAGTTATCGAAAGACAGCTGCCGCCTTGTCCCAGACTACAGGTGCTAAGGTACTACTTGTCCGACAACGACTAGCACCTCAGAATCCCTTCCCAGCAGCTCTATTAGATATATTCCAAGCATACTTGACCCTTCTCATCCCTCCCACGGGCAGTCCGCATAAGCCCATTCCCCCTTCCTCAATTGTGATTGCTGGTGATAGTTCAGGCGCTACTCTTGCCCTAGGCCTTCTCCAGGTCTTACTCCGATTACAGCGTCGGGGAGCAAGTATCACCTTTCATGGTGCTGCGGTACCAGCGAAAGGTAGCATTCCTGCTGGGATATCCCTACTCAGCCCAGCAGCGGACTTGAGCAATGCCTTTCCATCGTTTGAAAGCAATGCCAAAAGTGACATATTCCCTGTCCCCATTGAGAAGCTTCCTTATCTGGAGAAAAGCTTTCCCACGTGTTCAGTTTGGCCAACACGACCACCCCGCGCTAATCTCTACTGTGACGCCGGCATGCTTGCCCATCCACTAGCGAGTCCCGCCGCCGCTAGTGCAGACGACTGGGCGGGCATGTGTCCGATCTGGATGGGTTCGGGTCAAGAGCAGACTGTTGACGCATCACGGTTAGTGGCGCGGGAGATCCACCGGGCCGGCGGGTCAGTTACATTGCAGGAATACGAAGGCATGCCCCACACTTTTTTCTGGGTCTTTCGGTCGGCCCCGCAGACGAAGAAAATCCTGAAAGACTGGGCGCAAGCGATCGTTGATTTCGGGCAGGGCGGCAAGCGACCGCTGTCAAGTGCACAATTCATCAAGGCAAAGGGTCTAGTAGCAGAGCCACTGCAGATTGATAGCCTAGTGCCTTTTACAGTGAAGGAAGCGCGGGAGATGATGTACAAGAAGACAGCAGGCTATAAGGTGCCAGCGTTTCACCGGGAGGGATACGTATCCAATTTGTAGTAGACAGTTGCAATTGTGCTACACTAGGTACTCGACTAGAGCTCAATTAAATCTTGAGACATTACTTTTTTCCAATAATACTTGTATTCATTGGAAGCCCTACAGCTCTTTCACCCTCACCAAAATACCTGGCGTATCACGCGATTGGGCCCCTAAAATATAGTCCCGGCTCACGTCGATATCACGATCGCGTTGCACAGCCGATACGTCAAAATCGAATTGCCGGAAGACAGCTGCGAGAATCAAAACCAACTCAGCTCGCGCTAGATTCAATCCCAAACAAGACCGTGTGCCACGATTAAAGGGTACAAGGTAGCGTTCCAGTCGCTTAACTCCGTCAGGGTCTAGTAACCAACGCTCAGGCCTGAAAACACGAGGCTCCGGGAAGATAGTCTCGTTGAGATGGGTCAGCATGGCTGTCATACCAACAGTCGTATTGGCAGGTATGAAGATCCCACGGCATTCAAACGATCGTTCGGGAAATTGCCGGCTGATGCGATGTGTGACCGGATCCGATAAACGTAGACCCTCTTGAATGACCGCCGTTAAATATGGAAGTTTCTCGAGAGTTGCTAATGGTGGGAACTGTTGAGGATCGGGAATAGCAGCCACAAGCTCGCTATAAAGTCTCTCGCGCACAGCTGGATTAGCAGCAATGTGAAATGCTGTACCACGTAGTACATATGCTCTAAAATGCGACTTGTTAGCATGTTATCCTAACAGGTTATGACTACATAAGTGCTGAAGACTTACGTCGTGCCAGAGCCTGCTGTTACCAGACTAAAGGCTTCGTCGCGTAATCTATCCCTCTGTAGCTCTTCCTCTGGAAGATCGCTATCCAGCAGCTCATGAAAGACAGTCCGGTGGTCTGCCTTTTTATAGGCCGTATTTTCACCATGTCGGATTGCTTCAACCTGCTGAGATAGACTCTGTCGATATTATACCGCATTAGATAATCTAACAATCATTTACTGCAACGATTGTTTGACATACCTGACGAAAGTCCAAAATATCCGCCATTGCTGGGGCAAGGATCTTATTGATACCATCCTAAATATAAAAGGTGGGTTAGATATCTTCAATCCACGTAGTAGGAAGATAGTGTGGTCGTACCGGCAATGAATATGTCAAGCGCATCACCCACGGAATATGAATATTCAGTAGGCTCACTTTTAGGAAGCTGTCCACATCGTCGAACCCTTTACGACCAAAGTCAGGCTGTCGCACATTAGAGGGCTCATGGGCAAAGCAGTAAGCATTGATGATATCCAGGGTGACAGCCGCATAGAAGTACTTCATATTCAGTACCTCTCCTGTTTCAGCTGCGTGATGCAGACGCTCTCGCAGAATCTCGATAGGGCGCCACATTACTGGGACCAGATCTGCGACGGACTTTTTTGAAAAGAACGGGTTGAGCGCACTTCTTCGAAAACGGTGTAAGGAATGCGACTGGGTGCCGATAGTCTAGTTCCATTAGTAATGTTTGCGATTTCCAGAACCAGAGAGGAACTCCTACCGCGGGGTATGGCCCGAAGACCTCTGCAACACGCAAAGGCTTCTCCGCCCGGCCGTTTGTCTGGTCAAACACTTGGTCGAAAAAATCAGGATCATCGATGTGGACTTCGTCCGGGTTGATGCGAATAACAGGGCCTAGATAGATCAAGAGATTAATATTAGCTAAGGGGGGACGTCCGATCCAGAAAGACAAGGCCTGGAGTTGGTACCATATTTGTGATGCAGAGCTCGAAGTTGAAATGTAAATTGGCCACTTTGGTACAGATCATAGTACCATTCGTAAAGATACGTGATGCTGCCCAATAGAGGCCCTGGTATATGGGCGAGAGGATGAAAGTAAATTCGGTATGCAAGGAGCGAAATCAAGGCCACAAAGGCCAGCGACAGCAGGAGTAGGATATCCATTTTGGTAATCCACGTCGATCCCAAGTCATTCCACGTCCTGGAGAGCAATCATGAAAGCCTGCCTATACAGAGGCGGCAAAGAGGAAAAAAAATCAAATGGGCGAACCAACCATCTATGTGAGAAAGAGTGTGTCAACTTCGAAGCCAATAGCTTCTTTCTCAAACGATAGATGACTTGGGGGCACATGCGATTCAGAAAAACAAATCCTCGGGGGATCATCAATAGTGCAGTATTTTGAAAAATTGACTAATTGCCATTTGATGATTTGTAGTCCAGATGCTGTCTAGGCAGCGTTACAACGTGGAGTTTAGTGGCGTCCTGTTAGAGTTCGATTAATTACGCAATATCCGTGGTAATAACGGTATTTACCACGTTTCTTTGTAAAGTATATCGGGCCACGACATCGCCCCGAAACAGCCCGCAGCCTCGACACGCTAATTCGTCGAGGTCATTGCAAGCACATTTATCTCGTGGAAATGGTCTAGGCAATTTACATGGGCCTTACAGCAGACGTAGCGGCTTACATGGACTGCTCGCTCAAGGGACAACCCTGACTTAGCCACAGCTGCAGGGTAATTCTCTTCCAAAGGTAAGTCCTGACCGCTGTTTGCGTTGGTATCACCAACGAGATTATTGAGATTTCGGTGAAGAATAAGAAGAGGAACAGAACAATAGGGGTTCACCTAAGCCGAGCCCAGATTGCCTACGAAGCCGATATTGGGAAATGGAAAGGTTCAACAATGTGGTCTTTTCACACGATGCAAATGGCTTTAATGCTACTTTGCCTTTCTTTGAAGATCATACGCTCGGGAATCTGCCTCGCATGAATATCCAATTTCTTAAAGTCTGCGAACTACCAAATAAAATAGGTCTTTCTCATTCTTCAAATTTCTACACAAGATGCCTCTTTCAGTGCTTGTCTCTTGCTTCTTTTTTCCCCTTCTTTTTTCTTCTCTTCTCTCTAGAACCACGATAAAACTGCTTTTTGTTCGCTTGGCTCTTTACCCACCAGGATTAATCTGCTTCTTTTTTTTTTTTTTTCTTTTCGCTTCTTGCGAGCCTTAACTGATCTTTTCCCAGCGTTCTACACTGATAGTAGCATAACTATCACTCTCAAAATTACATTACCTAACTGCATTAAAAAGAGGATATTATACTTCAGTATGAATATTGCGTTCAAGAAAGCCGCTCCTCTTCATTGTCAGTGTTCAAACTCTCAGCTTCCCATTGTAGCAAGGCTGTGGACATTGATAAGGTTTGGTGATGGTTGAGCCCCAATATTTGCTTATGCTTGACTAGACAATCTCGAAGTAGACTAAGGGCTCGCGATTCATAACCCAAGGATCTCCAGATAAAAGCAAGGTTGCCCATGCTCGTCAGCGGTATCGGGGTGGTTCACTCCGAGCTTCATCCTGCGAGTCTCCACAACCTGCACCTCGAGATGCTCCGCCTCCTTCCATCGGCCTTGGCTCATGTATGCCACTGCTAGGTTGGCCATGCTTGAAAGAGTGTCTGGGTGCTGCATACCGAGCTTCGTCTTTCGAGTCTCGATGACTTGTACCTCGAGTTCCTCTGCCTTCTTCCACTGGCCTTGGCTTTTATATGTCGACGCTAGATCGGCCATGCTAGTGAGTGTATAGGGATGATCCTCGCCGAGCTTCACCTTGCGAGCTTTAGTGACCTGTATGAAAAGCTGCTCCGCCTCCTTCCATCGGCCCTGACCCCAGAGGGCTGATGCTAAGTTGCTCATATTTTGTTGCGTATCAGGATGATCCTTGCCGAGCTTTGTCTTGTAAGTCTCCATAATTCGCACCGTAAGCTGCTCTGCCTCTTTCCATCGGTCTAGGCTTCTATAAGTTAAAGCTAGAATAGCTATGCTATTTAGCGTGTCAAAATGATCTTCGCCAAACTTCGTCTTATAAGTCTCCGTAACCTGCAAAGCAAGCTGCTCTGCCTCTTTGAATGAGCCCTCAAGGAAATAAGCTTTTGCTAGTAAGGCAGTACTCGCAAGCGCTTCTTCATTGTCGACACCTAGAATTTTTCTTTTCTGCTCACTTGACTTTGATGCCATGTCTCTCACATCTGCGATATTACCACATTCTGAAGCATACCACGCGCCCCTATAAAGGAGCGTTGCCCATCTTAATAATCTCTCATGAGACTTTGGTTTCTGAAGAAATGCCGATTGGACGTGAGGAAAAAGCGAGCGGCAAATCTCCCAATTCTCATACTCTCCAGTTGGAAACTTCTGATATAGAATATGGATGAACTTTTCCTTCCACTGGTCGATTTGCTTATGAGATTTCAGCCAGGCGTGCGTGGTTAGTTATACCAGCCGGTGCATAGTGAAGGAAGTTTCAGCTGTGATGCTAAGAGATATAAAAGAATAGTCCCTTAACATTAACACAATCGTCCTCAAAATCGAGTCTTATATCAAAGATAGATGTTTCCTCATCACTAGAGTCATCGTGGACTTTCAAAGTAGGAGTTTGGCTAGCCTTAGTGTGGAGTCGGATAAGATCCACTGGAATACCTTCCCGATCGAAAAAGCTCATTAGAGAAAGTAAGCTTGCTGCAGATGGCTTTGTTCGCCGAATATACTCAAATGATATCTGCCATGTCTTCATGATAGAGTTCTTTGCTTCCCAGTCCCGGTCAAAAAAGCTTGCTTCCTTTTGAAGAAGTTTTGTCGCTTCTTGATCACTTTTTTGAAAGTCGGCTAGGTACTGAAATACTGAATAGCGAGGCGCTCGGTTTCGAATGTAGCTTGCAGCCTATACGATTGCAAGTGGCATACAATTGAGCTCTTCCACTAACTGTTGACTCTCAACAACTTCAATTTTCTTTGTCGCACTAAGCTTTCGTTGGAGAAGTTCTAGCGCCTCGGGCTTGTCCATCGGCTTGACTTCAATCAGATCATCGTCATCGACTAGCTTCAACGCAACCTCCTTCGTCTGACTCGTGATGATGATAATTCCATTTTGGCTCCTGGGGATGTATTCTAACAAAGGCTTTATCGGGGCGTTCGGCTGGTTATTCAAGCCGATTTGACATCTATATATTGGCTTGCCAATAGATTCATAGTCGTCAACGTTATCAAGGATGATAATCCATTTCCCAATATTCTCGTTCCAAAGCCAATCTTCAACCAAAGAGAATATATTAGCTGTGGGATCTTGACGACCTGTGATATTGACCCTATCCGCAATACTCCGAAAGCTTTGCTCAAAACGGGTCTCATTACTCGCATGGAGACAAAAGACCCATGTTGAAGGCATTTTGGATCGAACTCGGTAGGAATATTCGATAGCCAGTTGCGATTTCCTACTATTTATGAGCGAGAAGACATGGAAACGGAAAGTTCGGGTCACACCTACCCAACACCACCAAAACCCACAAGCGCTATCCTCGATCCTGACACTGAGTTTTTCTTTACGAATCTGGTCAAGCAATTTGTCGCGACAGACGAAGTCCGGATCACGCCTAAATGGGACCGTAGATTATGGGCCAGGTGGATTTTTCGGTCGCTCTGACGTTGGAAATGGCATGAGTCAGTAAATGCTCAATCTTCTCCAGCTCTTCTGGTTTACCCGGGGGCAGATAGAATTCTGCATTGATCGTGCCTCGATTATCTCCAATCTGAAGCCCAGAATTAGAGCTTAGGTTGCCAAATCTTATCGATGACATGGTCAAATGAACGTGCCGCCTTTTGTGGTTATGAGAAGCCCAGCATCTGCCTCTCAGCTGAAGGAGGGGCGCGTCCGCTGTTAGGTGATCTAATGGCACTAAGCCAGGGCAGTAAGTCGACGCCAATCCACGGAAATAGAGCTTTCAACTGGTTCTAAGCCGGGTCCTATTAGCGCCCAAGCCAGGAGAGTCAATTTCAGCGCAACTTGGCTCGTAATACCTCCTTGTAGAAGCATTTTTTCATAGCACCGTAAGGATCATTTCAAGATTTTGCTACCGTCAGCTATTTTCAATTTGCACTGTGAGCTCCTTAGATTCCGTGTCAAATATTCCTGCGTACACGTCAAACACTGAGATTCCAATCTGACTGGCAGATTCATTCCACATTCATCTTTTCAACATCGATATCATAAACAGACAGCCCCAGGGACTTGTGGAGCTGTGACAAATTTCTTCTCCTAAAGCCATACGTATAGCTGATATTGATTTTTATGTACATCAATAAAGAGGATATATTTCCATGACATAACAATCAGAATACAATTGAAAATCCTCAACCTCCTCACTAGTCACATTCCAACGCTCTTTCCCACGCGGCCCCAAAGTGAGACACATGATGCCTTTTGATCAATAAAAGCCACCTTCAGGCACAGCTGCCCCTGGAATGCATTGATTGGCTAGATAATTGAACAATCAGAGTGCGTTTGGACTGTGCCTGCCTCAGTATCTCGTTTTCCAAAGTAGCCCCTACAGTTCCCACAATAAATAACGCAGCCACGGACACAAAAGCCAGTATAACAAGCGCAGCAATGACAAATGAGACAACCGATACAATTTATGAACAAGTTGGTCGAGACACCGGCCTCAGAATATTCAGTAGCGATAAAGTCCCTGGCACAGCCTACTCTCAAAGGCAGCTCGCCACTTTTCACACCAAATGTATGGCATTTCTATTGCTACAGGCTCTCTTGTGAGACTTCCTGGCGTCCGCGGCTTTCGGCATTTGACGTAAACCACTCAACAGCGAGATCATTGTTTTTGAAGCCACACGCTCGCCGGGTTCACACACCTGCCTGTAACATCCACTATCTCCTACACAATTTCACCAAAGTACTGAGTTCATCCGAAAGCCCTTGGCCTACAGGCATTTGGGAAGCCTACGTCGTCTGCTGGTGCCTGTTCCTTAGCAAGGGGAATCAAAACATGACGCGTCATGAATAAAATTGGAAAATCGCTAATATAATCGCTCCCAGTCCTACATGTACCGGTCCCAAACAAGTGCTGCGCTAGCTGCTATTGCCATTGAGACTTCAAAAATGGCAGGTTGGACCCAATTTCCGCCAGCTCGATACATCACAAAAGCAGCCACGAGACGAGATGGCACTGAAGAAGCCATAATGACGGTGTTACGCTGGTAGGTCGAAATCAGATAGTACGTCCCCAGAGCAAGGGAGGTCAAACTGGAAGATTGGTGCTATTAGTGACCAGCATCTCACCAGGAATAATGATTAAATCCTTACCCGATGCATTGGACCGTCCCATTGGGAGTTCCGCTGAGCGACGAGCCTGGGAAGTTGGCTGCGGAGGAGGGATAGAGGATGGTGTAGAAGGCATTTCCCAGGAGAAAAACGCCTTGGGCGGCAAATACAGCACTTGACACGCCGCCCATGCGGAGACCAATGTTGTGTAGGGACATTTTGTATTTGTGTACGTAGAATCACTAAGGCTTTGAGTTTTGAGATTGTGAAAATTTGTTTTTAATCCGATTAACTGTCTCAGTTATGGTTATCTGGAATTTTTGAAAGTACCAGTCTCACGTAATATGCCGTATTTATGTAATAGCATCGTATTGTTTACACACTAAATCAAATACAGGTCTACAGAGCGAGACATTTAGATGTTGATCTTGAACCTCGGGTGCTTAAATGTTGATGTACCGTATCATACCTCTTTGTCCAGTCTATTCTTCAAAATAAAATCAATTGAAAAATCACGACGCTCTAACGGACTTATTTCGGTAACGAGGCCAGGGAGCAACCAGTCCCTCTACTCTGTCCATAGTAAATTCCCGATTTTCTCTCGTCGACCACGCCAATGGAGTATAAATCCGTGTAAGAACAGAAAAAGCTGATACCGTCATGGCGAACCAATAGCTCATAAACGCCTATGCTCCAAGGACTGTAGGCCCTTTGTATACAAGCTTAGCCTAGCTGTACCGGAGAATCTTCGGGGTTGCATTGTTATTTTCACCAAAAGCAATACGGACCATCTGCGCTCCTTGCAAATACCCTTTCACCGTGATTGATTTCTGATGTCGATTAAACGACAATCGCCTATAGGGCTTGCTTAGGAATATGAGGCTGGGTCAAGAAAAAAGAAATGACAAGAGTGGGATTTGAACCCACGCCCCGAAAACGAGATACGGAAATCTGGATCAGGTGAACCTGAACCGTACGCCTTGGACCAACTCGGCCATCTTGCCGATTAATAAGCAACACAGTGATTGTTTCGATCAAGTCGTAAGACAGGTCTCGTATTTGGGGCTAAAGGGGCTAAAGGGTGGGGAATTGTGGGGCGGTAGTTTCGTTCAGGATATTGAGTGGAGTTGGGATCAGATTAGAAAGAACGGTCTGGATGTGCACAAAACCCATGAATTGCAAGGATAGTATATGCAGCTGGATAGATAGATGCAGTTAGGAATTAGTGATTAGAGGTTGTGTATACAATCTGCATGATGCAAGGAGATGATAGAGATATCAGGCAGAGTGACAGGTCTGAGAAAGCTTAGAGTAAAGTTCTAAAAATGAATCACTAGTCATCCACTGCCGCCCATCCTGGCTTGCATAGACAGAACTCAATTCCCACCTCTCGACAGATTTCTTGAAGCAGCGCAAAGGTCTGTTTGTAATGTGTAGGAACTTCAAGCCTCCATCCTCGTGGAATTTGGGGAATGTGTTCCAGTTCGGACGACTGGAGACGGATTTTCGTGAGATTTGAGAACTTCTTTGTTCGCTGCGTGACCACGTCTTTCAGATTTGCCACTATCACGTCGGAGTCTTCCTTGTGGTAATCAGCCAAGTGGAGATATTCCAGGTTCGGTGGGAGAACGTCAAGGAGAGGAACTGTTGGACGATCACCATGCCCAAATTGAAGGATTGTCCGCACTGGGATGCGGAGCTCTGTGAGCTGGTGAAACTCGGCTAGTGATCCAAACTGATTGAAGCAGTCATCAGAGTCATCAGAGTCGTTGTCACAGTTCTCAGTCGTGTTTTCTCCGTTGTCATTCAGCTTAAGACCGCGCAGGCTGTGTTTCTGAGTCAGGAGCGCGGTGTAGAATGCACCGGATTGAAAACTTCCGGAGTATTGACTCCAGATAGCCACGTTGTCATGCTGATATTCCAGGATTTCTAGATTAGCACAAGCTGTTATGTAGTTGGCAAAGCCTTTGCTGCCATTGCATCGTGTTATGGTACCGCCCAGACGGAGCTCCCTGATCCCCGATGTTCCGGGGTTCGGATAGACCGCAAAGGACTCGTAAGCATCGGTCAGCGCATGGGCCGAGAACACCCGCATCTCGGGCAGCTGGAACAGCGGGAGAAAATTCGACGCGTCGAAAGCCGTTTTGTTGTCTTCAGTCTTTAAGGTTATGCATTTAAGACGCTGCAGTACCGGCTTCGTGTCGAATGGTGGATCGCGAGTGGCCGCTCTCCCCAGCATGGGAATGAAATAAGACGACCTTATGGAGAAATCCAAGCATAGGACAGTCACCGCTTCAAGTGACTGTACCAGCACAGCTAACCATGCATCCGAGTTCCCCTGCCGCAGCCGGTCTATCCACTTTTTGCAGTCTGCTGGCGAGTCGCAGGCTCGTTGGACCGCGTCCTTGACCATTTCCACATCATACTCAATCTTCGGCCCTTTTAAGACCCACCAGAGATTCAGTTCCTGGATCGCAGCGCCAATTTTGGAATTGCTGTAGATGCAACAAACAAGAGGGTATATTTGATCCTCGCTCACTGAGATACGTCTGTAGGCTCTCAGGAAAAGCAACTCATGCCAACGACGACACACGCGCAGCAGCCGGAAGTAGTCTTCTTGATGAGCGATATTGTCTGCGACGAGAAGCAGGATCTCGTTACTGATAAAGGACATGGTTGATAGCAGTTTTGGTGATCAGCAAATGCCAAGAGTCGACAAGACCAGTCAGCAAAGAGGTGGGAATTGGCTGTTTCCAAACTTGGTTAGCTCGCCCACTAAACCAGCACACTACTATCAACGAGGTCGAAGGACATTGAGAAGAATTGAGTGAGAAGAATGGCGTTGACCAACAAATTGCTTATGGGTCCCTGTTCTCCAAATGTGTCTTTTTGGTGGGTTCTCCAGGCAACGAACCTAATGTTCAACCGCATTGCCCCAACAGCTACAGACCGTGATGAGTGTCAGAAATGAGAGCGTATCCATCTATCATGAGTTAACAGCCAAAGAGTATTTGTTGATGAGTCACCAGGAGGATTAAATGGAGCTGGAGAAGATGGCAAGGAGAAATAAAAAAGGGTGGCGAAGACAGGTAAAGGACCTTGAAAAGGGAAATAACACAATACCCTTGAACCAGATACATACTTGTCTCGTATCTGGCCAGGCGATCTCGGTCGGTTGGTCTATCAATTTCGCGTACCACTCTATGTACATTTTCACAAGTAAGTCCAGCCACCAATACGGGGTATTTGGGCACCCTACATTTTGCAGCTTCATCCAGTGACCGCCGCAGACTGAAGCTCTAGTCGGTCAGTGCTAGTGATGATTATGGATATTACGGAGCGATTCATTGATGTGCCATATGAGAAGTTGAATGCTGGAAAGGCTCAGCACAGGTCGTTATATTGTTGGTTGCATTGCCTGGATGAAGCCAGTCAGCTTCATGCTCAAAGCTGAACTAGAAAAGAAAATGTTTTACGTAAGACTAAGGTTCTGTTTTCGTTCTCTCCCTTCAACGACTGGTGTTGGTTTTTTTTTTTTTTTTTTCAATTTTGAAGTATGGTTCTTGTTATGCTTATTGCATATCGGATCTGTGCACGGCCTTTGGTCTGGACTCTGTCATACCAACGTGACTGGGGTCGGCTGTGACTAATTGAGAAGCTGCGTATTGACAAATTTCTATCATTAATTCAATATCTCATAAACGTAAACAACATCTATACTAATTGCTGTCAAGCACAATAACCTCCGCCTCAACCTCTCCGACACTTTCAACTTGAAGCCAGTCTCCAGCATTCACCATTGTGACAAATGCACCATCTCCCTCCTCCAGCACAGCATCCTCACGACCATCAATCTTGACCTTCGCTTTGCCCTGCTTGGTCATGGGCACATGAATATAAACATTCCGCTTCTTCTTGGACTCAACAACTTCACCCGCGCCGATGTTCCATTTAAAGGTCTTAGAAGGAGCAATGATACCAGCTCCCATGACGAAGTCCGCATGAATGGGAATTGTGTCAGGAATCTTAGGCACAGCAGCCTCCTCCTGTGCAGGTGTAGCCTCGGGACCAGCGGCGAGCGGTGACAAGATAGGAACAAAGCCCTTCTTCTTCGCCTCCTCGCTAAAGCTCATAGTGTGGTATTGAGGCTTGAGGCCATTCTTCCAAGGCAAAGCCCAGATCTGAAGAAAGTGCACAGGCTTATTAGACTCATTTTGCTCAGAGTGCGCAATTCCTGTTATATTGTCAGTAGTTGTGCAAACACATGCCGAAAATGAATGGATTGATGCTTACCAGTTCCACCAGTAGTGAATTGAACGTCACCCCGATGCATGCGGTAGAAAGACTTTCCCTGTTCACCTTCGGCACCCTTCTTAATCATACTATCGCGATGCGTAAGCTCGCCATTGAGAATATAGCTGAAGATCTCCGCATCGCGATGAGGGTGGGTAGGGAAACCATTCCGGGCAGCGACGCGATCTTCATTGAGAACGCGAAGAGATCCAAAATTGATGAAGCGGTGGTCCATGTACCCAGCGAAGCTGAATGTGTGATAGGATTTGAGCCAGCCGCCGTGCTCAGCATATCCGCGCTCGCTAGAGCGGCGGAGGGCGATCTTTGCGTGGGCAAGTGGATTTGTCATGATTATTATGTTGATGTTGGTCTTATAAGTCCTGTAAATTGATCTGTGATTTTTGTGTGAACTTTTTGAGAAAAGCTCGGGAATCTGGCCTTATATAGGATTGTGATTGAAGTATCCAGATGGCCGTAGAAATTGTCGTCTGGGATTATCCAAGCATTATCGATCATCAATAATGTGGAGTGGGCTGAAAGCGGCTTAGTGGACCCACTGTTGCTGATGGATTGCTGACATTTCTGTTCATGTCCAATGCATCGGAGTATGTAAGCAGGAAAAGCCGAGCTTCTGATTGGCTCTGGACTCCAGCAATGCTAACGCATTATACACAGTAGGGAGGTTTGCAGTCGTTGCATGGGTTGTGCAGACAATGATTGATCATGCTTGCTGCTGATGAATTAAGTAACTTATCGTCTCCGCGTTTCGTTGCATAACACTTAGAGAATTTTTAGCCAAAGTCACATATTTACCATCTTTGGATCTTATTACTTCAGACATGAGTGAATGGCGCAGCATTCTGAACAAGCACTTGGAAAATATGAAATTATCAATGAACATGGAAATTGAGCAGGTGGGAGATCTCAAAACACAATAATTGCCAGGATTTGGGACCATGACTAATAATCAATTAGCTAGAGTTTGACGAGCCTGCCAGCCTCACCTCTTCCACTATTGATTACTATACATATCTGTACAGTTTTTGACCAGGGCCCCCAATAACGTTCCATTGTAGCAGGCCTTCCTGGACGAAAGAACAAAACGCTTCATGGGGGCCAATTCCGCAGCCTTGCCAATGATCCTAATCGCCGTTGCCTGCCGAACCGCTTCTAGCCGCCAATATTACATTAATTTAATTCAGTGTTATCAATGATTCATCACACATGTACGCGCGTGTGCAAGATCGACATTTGCGGGGACAAACCTGGAGAAAGAGACGCGCTTCAACAAATCGCCACGTGGGGAAAAATAAACATTTCTAGATAGATGTCAATTACTGTACAACCCTAGCGCTCTGGAATGGGCAACATGGTTATGGCGAACAGAAAACATGGTCAGGGTGGATCTGAGGCGTCCTACGTGTGAGATGGAACGATCGACCAATTAGGAAGGTGGCGAGCGAGCCAATGCACGACTTTGCAATTCAACTTTGCTGTGCTTGTCATCCTGCTGTTCTTTTGCGTGATATTCAGCTTGGCAGTCCGATTCGACGTCGATCTTGCCCCTTTACTGTGCATATCATCTTCAATCAGAAGCTATAACCTTCTTTTTTAGATTAAGGTGAAGAATTTCTCACACCTCGATTTCGCGTGCCCCGTAATGAACCCTGAATCGAGGGTCTGCGGCGTCTCCCGCGCATGCTGACTGGTCACGACCATTATATGGCAGATGTAACGAGGGTCCACATTCTCCACGCCACTCACACACCACCAATAACTGTGACTGTTGCCGAGGCCAGCCATGAAGGCTTAAGCTCACTTGGCTTCCTTGGATGTTCTTTCATTTCGGGCTCTTCCGCGCCATTTACTACAATGAGTGGATGACCCCTACTCAGACGATCAGTAGCCATACATGATTGGTTCCATTCGGGTCCGTTTCCGGCTACCGGCAACCTCTCTGCGCCCTTCGCGTCGACTCGGTCATGGCGACTGAGATTGAAATGCTATCGCCTTCTCCGATAGCCCGAGTGAAAGGTTCCACATGATCCTTATAAAATAAATGGAAGGCTCGGTCGCATGCTTCTTTCCCCCACTGGGTATTTTGTGCTTTTGACTCATCTCCCCTCCCTTTCCCACCCTCCCCTGAACTGGTGGAAATGTCTCAACTAGCAAATCTTGCCGTTGAGGGTGACCCTCGCCTTCACGAGAAAGAACGCGAGATTATTGAAAATCTCACAGTCCAAAGTCCCGGTACTGGAACTATTCGACCTCAGCATCGGAAGCTGCATGATACTAGCGTTACCTTTGAGGAGTATCACCACTATGCGCAGCTTACTCGAGCTGAGGAGGAGGAGCTGACAACACCTGAGACTGGTGTTCTCTCGATTATTTTCCCCTCTAAAAGTGGTGGTGGAGTCGAGCAATCCTCAGGAAATGACCAGAAGGATGCTGGTGCCTTGAACACTAGTGACCCAGCGACTCGCATGACTATTACTGATCAAGAGTGGACCAATGCATCTCGCGCACTTCGGACTGCGACCCGTGGTGCGATTTTCTATCTGATTACCACTGATATCCTGGGTCCATTTGGTCTTCCGTACGCGTTTGCGACCATGGGTTGGGGGTAAGCTTCAAACTTAGCTTTTTCTGATACGACCATCACTGACGTTTGACAGTCCCGGTATCGCTTTATACACTGTTTTTGCCTCTTTGGCCGGATACTCCGGATATTTGCTTTGGGATACTTTTCTTGGTCTTGACTCGTACCAATTCCCCCTGCGCAGCTTTGGTGATATGGGATTTCGTCTCTATGGCCCTTGGATGCGGCACCTCTTCAACATCCTGCAGAGTATTCAGCTGCTGCTGAACGTCGGTCTTATTGTTATTTCTAATGGAGAAGCTCTGTCCCAAGCTGCCAAGTTCAAGCTCTGCTATATCATCTGTTGTTTGATTTGGGCCCTAGTCGGTTTCTTCCTTGGCCAGATTCGCACCCTGCAGAAGTTCGGATGGCTGGCCAATGTCGCTGTGTGGCTCAATCTTCTCTGCATGTTTGTTACCATGGGTGGTGCTGCTCACTCGCCCCCCAACTACACCGCTTACACTCAGGCCGCGGGCTACTCTGTTGGTGATGGCTCGTCTGTCACGCCTGTCAATGGTGTTTTCCCTCCCGTCAAGACCACTGGTGGACTCCCCGACCCTGCCGACTTTGCAGCCTCGGTCACCGGTGCCATGCAGGCTGTATTCGCCTATGGCGGTGCCATGGTGTTCCCCGAGTTTATGGCTGAGATGAAGCGTCCCAAGGATTTCCTAACTGGCATGTGGGCCGCCCAGGCTTTCATTTACTTCTGCTACATGCTCTATGGCCTATTCATGTACGGCTACCAGGGCCAGTACTCCATCAACCCCACCTACCTGGGCATCAGCAAGTATAGCATTCAGACCGCCGGTAATGTGTTTGCCATGTTGTCGGGTGTCATTGCCGCTGGTCTGTACGGAAACATTGGTGTGAAGGTCATCTACAACAACATTTTTGTCGAGTTCTTCCGCTGCCCCCCTCTGACCGCCCGAGCTGGCAAGTTCATGTGGGTCGCTCTGATCCCAATTTACTGGGCCATCGCTTTCGTCCTCGCCGCCGGTATCCCCAGTTTCTCAGGCTTGACCTCTGTTGTCGCTGCTTTCTGTATCCTGCAATTCACCTACACCTTTCCCCCGATGTTGGCTACTCTCTTCTGGATTCGGAAGTATGCTCTGACGGATGGGGAAGGATTCGATCCCTCCACTGGCGCGACCGTGCGCCACGACCGGGGCCTTAAGCGCTTCACTCGTGGGTTCAAGAGCATGGGCACCAAGCGGATCATTTTCAGTTCCTTCAACCTGTTCTACTTCTTGGGTGCATTGGCTCTTGCTGGTCTTGGCGCCTACTCTGCTATCACCGGCTTAATCTCCGCTTATAGCTCGAGTGTGACCACTTCGTTCACCTGCAAGAGTCCTCTGGACAGTTAGAGTGCGTGACCTTGATTGACCATTCTAAGTTTATTGTACATTCTGTGATGTATAGTAGCCCGGGTAGACGGTTCTATTTATATGATTTTCAAACATGATTACCTTCCTCCATACCCGCGGTAACTTTTCGCAACGGAAACACATTTCATAGCATCTACAATTGATGACAGCCCTGCCAATTCTTGGCCCGGAGCTGAATGCCAGATGGCATGTTTCCCGTCAACTTACCAATCAAGTATGCAACACAAGCCATGTTATGACCTCTTCCATGATGTCTCGTATCTTTCGACGCACGATAACGTAAACCGGGACGCCTGTTTAAAGCGAGCGGGTGATCAACGTCAGCAGTGAACAACGCATCGAGTTACATTCAAGATACACATTACGGAAAACGGTCTAAGAAGAGAAGGCAATGCCATATCTGTCCTTCCGGACAAGTGGTGAGATTTGTTTGCCAGAATCTTTCCAGTGGAGCCAGCGGAAAACAACCCCGCTTCGTCAGCCACGATTTGTCGTTGTCTGGCTTCAATATACAAGATGCCAAGCTAGCCCAGCCATGCATGAGACGGTATGATCCATTATTGATTTTTAATGATAATACCAACTCTCGGGGACGCTAATTGCCGACACCCCGAGTGTCTTACATTTCTTTTTGCCTAGAAGAGAAGCCAAAACTGCAGATCAATCAACGGCCCCGGTCAAAATCCGTATGGCGTACATTTTCTACTCCACTGCCTCGCTCTGAAAGGCCGTCAAAATCCGAGGGACCCAATCGTAGCGAAAAGAGGGATCAGAAGAAACGGAGTGTGCCCATGCGGTCCAGCAAACATCCGTTGCAGGAAAGTCCACGAGTAATCTTTTTCAGCCCAGATATTGATAGTCAGACTCAAAGTAAACATATAATCACGCCATCCGCCCTCGAAATGTAGCCATTTTTCTGGGCTCTCATTGCTCTACCAAATTAAGCTTATTTACCCCAAAACCTATCATTTGGATTTTCCTTGAAAGATGGCCGGTCCCGAACCCACCAGCACCGTCCCCGCTACGCCCCGCCGGCTCCTCCTAGTCAGCATCCCTCGAACAGCCTCAAATCTTCTCCTGAAAATCCTCAATATCCCCAAGCAGCCCAATCTCCTCACCAGCCAAAAAGGCGGCTACTTTTTCTACCCAGCATTCTCCCGAGTTGCCGCCTCAGACAAGAATTACTTAAACAAAACGAGCATTGAGGAATGGACCGACGATGATAAACTTGAAATAAAGAACTCCTTCCAGGAGTGTTTCAACACACTGGAGGAGTTCTCCACGCAAGCCGACAATGCCAATAAAATGATGTTCGCAAAGGAGCACGCATACTGGCTCTACCCTCCCGCCGCCCTCCTCAAGGCCCAAACAGGCATCCACGACGAAGAATTCTTCCAGGCTTTCCGCCTAGACATGCCAGAGAAATACGGTCCCCAGACATACTCCCGGTTCAACGAGACGCTTCTTTCGGACGAGTACCTGCGCTCGTGGCAGATGGCTTTCATCATCAGACACCCAGCACTGGCCTGGCCATCCCTATACAGGGCCATGGTAAAAGTCGCTCAAACCGGTATGCTGGACGAAGACGGTATAAAGGGTGCTTCGTTTTCGAACATGGATATGCATTGGACGCGGTTGATGTATGATTGGTGTATGGAGCAGCCTGATACACCTGTCCAACCACCCGTTATCGACGCCCATGATTTAATCCATAACCCCGAGGTTGTGTTGAAGTTGTGTGAGCGGACTGGATTAGACAAGAGCGTTGTGCAATTTGAGTGGGCGGGTAAGGATGAAGTCAAGAAGTCGGCTCAGTGGGATAATGGTGATCCGAATGCTAGTGCTCAGGAATTTGAGATGAATGTGGGTGCTGCTAAAATTATGCTTGCTACGTTGGAGAATTCTTCGGGTATTGTTAAGGATAAGGCGCCGGAGGTTATTGATATCGACGCTGAGGCGATCAAGTGGAAGGAGGAGTTTGGGGAGGAGACTGGGGGGCTTTTAGAAGTATATGTTCGGAAGTCGATGCCTGATTATGAGTATCTGAAGGCGAGACGGATTACTGTTTGATTCTCAGGTTTGCATGCGCACGTGGAGAGTGAAGGGATGGTTTGGGTAAATTGTACATAGATCTGTGTTAGATTATTGTGTGGAATCTTGCATTATGATGGAGAAAAATGCTGTTTGACAGGTACGATGAAGCTCCAGCTTTGTAAGTATTGCCCTTCAGACCTGGGCCCACGTAATCTAGGATCCTTTGTAAATAAGTTAGCTAACTGACTATACGAATCCTAAGAAGTACTCCTATGGGACCGTACGAGTCCTCTTCTTTCTGTAACATCTTCAGTCCCATCTACCGTTCCTGGAATTCTCCCAGTCTATCGTCATCAAGCATCTTAGTCATTGTTCATGTGAATATTTGTGCCGTCGCGAACGAATGAAAACAAATTGACGCAACTAACAAGGATCGGGTCTTGTAGGGAGACAAAGACCTCAAGTCTAGTCCCTGCAGGGCTGAAATTCGCCACTTCGATCCAGAATATTTCCGCTTGGTTGACATGATCGTCGGACCGAAACAGCAAGTGTTGCGACCCCGCACAGCCCTTTGAATCAATGCTGCCTAGTCCGTGGGGGCCTTGACATAGCACAGCCACACGAGATTGTAAGCTATATACGCGACCGTACTGTATACCCGAAATAGATCTTGTCATTGAACTAATTACAGCCCTTTTGTTTAATCAACCTTAATCCCACTTCAATGATGGAAATTAGACCCGCGACCTGCGTGATGCGATGAATACAGCTCTATCTTTTATGCATATCAATGTTGAACGATCAACCTCTCAGTTTCCATGTCCAGCCCAGGACAATGCTCACTCTGGACCTCTGTTACCCGATTATAGGGGTGTGGAATAGTCCACATAATGTCATAACTATCCAGACATCAGTGCTGTCTCGTAACTCGCGTAAGAAATCCGACCTACCGCTTCTTAGGATACTTAACATGATGTTTCACTCCCAACAACTTTGCAATCGTCGCCATACTTTTATGTCGCCAAACAAGAAGAACATTACCAGGCCCATCGTAAGACCGAGCGGCATCCGCAACGCATTGCAGCTCGAATGCGCCCATTTGCTTCCCGCAATGCACGTCCACTTCTAGACCGAGATCTTTTGCAAGGGGAAGGGCAGTCTTCAAAGCGCGACCATGCTCGCCATCTACCACCAGACAATCAATAAGCGCCACATTGTACGGGCCCGGTCCTCTGCTACTTACTTTTTTCCATCGCCGGCGCCATGATATAGCTAATATTATATCCGGAGTCGGCACCGAAGAAATCACGTAAACATTCGGCGCGCATGATCCCCTCATAGGTTAACTCATGATCGTTCGGGTCGCCGGACTTTTCGCCATGACGGATGAGGTATATTATTGGGCGATGGGTATTGCCTGCTACTTCAGATGCTACTCCTGCTGCGAGAGAGAAGAGGCAGAAGGATACCTGACATGCTGACCGCCAAAGCATTTTGAAGAGAAAAGGAGTGATTACAGTGAAATGGGGATTTTGACTGCTAATATGAGCAAAAAGCGTCGGTCGCCCAATCGGACCAGCCTCCCCCTTGCCTAACACTGGTTTTTGGGTGGTCGGCCCATTTCGGGTGACCAGGCGTACAGATCGACATGGAAGAAGTAAACATGGAGTCAGATGCATCAGACAAACCCGTATCCGGGAATGACGACCGAGGGTCTTAAATCCCTTTGCATCGTGCATCATTGTTCCAGGTTTTTTCTCTTTGTCAGTAGTTGTGATAGGGTAAGGCGTTCCACATGCTTTAATCAGCGTCCAGGGTTTAGACCTACATGGAGTTGCAAATTTACAGGACTTCTTAGCAGATAGCGCAGAAGAAAAAGCAAATATCTTGCACCTAATCTATTTGCCAATAGAACGAGCAGGACTACATACTTAAGGTTTCCAGACTTGGAATTGCTAGGTCATTTTCTGCAGTCATCGGACCGGGGTGAATGATCTCGTAGAGGAAATTCAAAAAGGAAAGAGTTGAGTGACTTATGCATGGTCCCGTCGGATGTGGGGTACGTATTTTGCTTATGCTCGGGATATGCGGATACTCGGATTGTGGGCTGGACGTGCGAAAAGCCTCACCACCCATACCAGAGTCATATCGGCAGATCCAGGGCAAGGAGAAAGGTTTGACCGTAACGATACCGTGACACAGCCAAGCTGGGTAGTGGCTTAGCGCGCTAGGCAACCGGAATCTGCGCGGATGTGAAAGAAAAATGACGCGAACCGGATCGTCTTGGCGCTTTGTAACGATGGAACTTTCATCGAACAATTTCGAAGATCCGAGCCGAAGTTCCGAAGGGACCGAATTTCCTCTATTTTTGGAGGGCCACGTAGTATTACTGGTATTTCGAGAACTCAGCCCTGTGGACTGCATAGCATTATGCACGCAAAGATGGCGACATGTGGCGGTGCCTGGCTGTGTAAAGTGACAAACCACTGCGCCTCCAAGTGATTTCTCGGCGTTGGGTAAATTTGCGTGGCCATGTGGGGTTCTTTTGGCCCCGTCAGCCCTGTGGTCACTTGTTATAAAAAGGTGTCTCTTTGCCCCTCATTCCCATCTTATCATCCACACCTTTTCCATCCTTCCAACTCTTCATTCTCAACTTCCTCACAACTTCACATCACATTTCATCATGTCCGGTTACTACAACAACGACCAGTACAACCAGGGCTACGGCCAGCAGGGTGGTTACTCTCAGCAGCAGGGCTACGGCCAGCAGGGCTATGGCCAGCAAGGCTACCCTCAGCAGGGTGGCTCCAACGATTACTACAACCAGCAGTCTCAGCAGCCCCAGCAGCACTACGGCGGCGAGCAGCAGCAGGGCTACGGTCAGCAGAGTGGTGCCAATGACTACTACAACCAGCAGTCTCAGCAGCCCCAGCAGCACTACGGTGGCGAGCAGCAGCAGCAGTACGGCCAGGACGCCTCCCGACAGGGGTATGTTTCACCTCCACCTTTCTCTGGCATAACTCCGACATGAGACTAACTTCATTCTTAGTTACTACAACGAGCAGCAGTCTGCTCCCGGTGAGGCCCAGGACGGCGAGCGTGGTCTAGCCGGTGCCCTCGCCGGTGGTGCCGCTGGTGGTTTCGCTGGCCACAAGGCCAACCACGGCTTCCTCGGAACGATCGGTGGAGCCATTATTGGCAGCATTGCCGAGGATGCTATCAAGAAGCACCGCAAGCACGATGAGGGTCCCCAGGGTCCCGGTGGCCCCTACGGTGGTCCCCCCGGCCCTCCTTCCCACAACGGTAGTGGTATGATGGACCAGCTCGGTGGCTACTTCAAGCGCTAAGGGGGAATGTTCTATCGTCTTGATACCCCTGACCGGCCGCGGTCTTTTTCATTTTCTTTCGCTTTGCTTTTAGTCCATTAGTTTACTCATCGTGATGACCTTGCAACGCTCATGAATTTCCTTTTTATTTGCTACCTTGGCGAGAACGGGCTAGCATGAGTGCTTTTGCCAAATCGCCTTTTTGATCGTTTCACATGGGCTTAATTTCATAGCCTTACATGTACCATCTTTGCATCGATATCAAGAATCCACGAGAATCAGAATTAGAATTTTTCAAGAACCTAAATTAAAGATCGACGTTTTGCATTAAGATAATGTTGGGAACTTTGCCACCGCGCGGGGGAATTGCCGATCGAGAGATCAGCCCAGCCCGCGGCTATATCGGGACTAGCGTAGGTGGCCTGAATGCCTTATTTCTGGAATGATACCACTTGGTGCCTCAGGTGGAAATTTGTAGTTTCTGCCTTAGGCCACAGAAAGTCCGACAAAAGTTGCGCGGAGAACTCAAGTCCTCAACACGCTTTTGCTCCGATTCAAATGTCTATACCCAACATGATTGTACGACAACTTGGTGTGCGGCAAAGTCAGTCATTCTCAATACTCCTCAATAAACCATTGAGAATTGCTTAACTGACAAATATTCCTCTAGGCCGCCAATTGCTGGCTTTGAGTCGCCGCGCTCCGGTCTACAGCCGTTCTCTCTCCTCCGATGCACCAGTCGACACAGCAGTCCAGACCTCATCTTCAACCCCTATCCCCGAACCCACTAAGGCGCCACGCCCACCCACCAAACGCCAGGCATGGAAGGGCTTACTAGAGTCAAGTGAGGAACTCCGATTCCCCTAACAACGCCCAAACATCAATGATTATGTTTCAGTAAAAAAAAAAGTCACCATAGAAACTAACCTTCTCCTTCACCTCTCCAGAAGCGAAGTTTAACTCCCTTGGCTCCACCGTGAAAGAAGACCACACTCCGGATATCCTCCAAACCCACATCTCCGCATCAGATGTCACCCTCGAGCTCCTTCTCGCAGCAGGTACACACATGGGCCACAGCACCTCCCGCTGGAACCCCCAGAACAGTCGCTACATCTTCGGTATCCGTGAGGGCATCCACATCATCTCGCTCGACATAACAGCCGCCTACCTCCGCCGTGCCGCAAAGGTCGTCGAAGAAGTCGCCGCCCGCGGCGGTATCATTCTCTTCGTCGGAACCCGCAAGGGCCAGAAGCCAGCCGTCGTCCGCGCTGCCGAGCTCGCGCGCGGATACCACATCTTCGAGCGATGGATTCCCGGATCCCTGACGAACGGACAGCAGATTCTCGGCCACTGCGAGACCAAGGTTGTGAATGCGGTGGACGAGACCTTACCCGAGTTCAAGATTGATCTTGCGGACAGACCGTCCGTGAAGCCGGATTTGGTTGTTTGCTTAAACCCGCTGGAGAATGTCGTGTTGTTGCATGAGTGTGGTTTGAATAATGTGCCTACGGTCGGCATTGTGGATACCGATGCTGATCCTACTCGCCTGACATATCCTATTCCTGCGAACGATGATAGCTTGCAGTCTGTGGCGCTTATTGCTAGCGTTCTGGGTAGTGCGGGTGGGGCTGGTCAGAAGAGGAGGCTTGGGTTGGCTGAGCAGGGCGAGTTGACCTACAAGCCTATTACTTCGAAGCAGTTGAAGTTGGATCCGTTTACTGGTGAGCTTCTGGGTGCCGAGAACCAGAAGTAGGGTGTAATTTCGTCTTTCTTGCTGTCACACGTCTTGATAGGCTTCAGCATCATATTCGTCTGACATTGCATTCGAGCGTCGGACTTTGTACTGTATAGATGATTCCTTGTTTGTTGGTGTTATAACATCTTCGTGTATTAACAAGTCTTTTTTCATAAATGCATTTGGATTTATTTGACACTCCAACATAATGGTATACTACGAAGGCGCAGTCAGTTAAGCCGAAGTAATCCTTGGTTCAGTCCTTCTTAAGGTTGGCCTTACTTATAGCTGCAACCTTGGATTATTCCAAGGTGAAAAACTAAGCAAAATCAGTGCGAAAAACCTGAGTGTTCATTAAAAACCCATTCTCTACGTTCATGCAAAATCATGTCCAGGCAGCTGTCACGTGCTGACCAATATATATAGCCCAGTCGATACAATCCAAGACATCATTTTCCAAAATAATCCCACCTCAAGCCTTAATAGTGTACACCAACCGACCACGTGCATCAACACCCTTAGCCACGATCTCCTGACCAGAAGAAGAGACCACAGCACGCTGATCCCCATAGTGCAAAACCACATCGACCTCTTTCCAAGCGGGCACAAACCCACTACTCTCATCACGTTGGAAGTGCACAAGCACCTTCTCAACAGTAGAGCTATAACTGAGTGTATAGTTCGAGATCTTAGGCACCTGCGCAATACCATCATCCTCAAACCAGGTATTCTCAAACACAGTTCCATGCGAAGAGCCCTTTGGCGGAAAGACTTCAACACCACGGTAATCATCCAGCTCCTTGACACCCATCGAAGCAGCGGTATCATCGCCTGGCACACGAGTGTGAACGCTCTTGCCAACGGGAATAGCACCTCCGATCTTTGCGATCAGAGGGATACTCTCGCGCCACTCAGAGGGGATCTCAACCCACTGGCCGGAGGGGAAGTAGGTGTACGGCGCATTCATGTTGACATAGCCGTAGTCGAAGTCAGGTCCGGATTTCCGGGGGAGATACATCTTTGCGACGTTGACGCCTGGTTCATAGACGCCACCGACGAGCATGGAGTCTCCGAACCAGAACTGAGTATCACCGGCCTTGAGGGCCTTTGTCCAGACCTCCGGGTCAGACTCGTAGCCCCAACCGACCCAGCGCTGGGGTGGCGTAGCAGACTGGTGACTCGACAGACCCTGGGAGTAAATGTACGGCAGAATCTCGTAGCGACGCTTAATAGCATCACGGACTAAAGGTGTGATCTCGGGATACATGTAAGGCTCAATAACCTCGCCGACAGAGTTATTGTCAGGCGAAGTCTTGAAACAGTTGATCGTGAAGCGGGTGGAGTTACATCCGAGCTGGATCCATCGAAGAAGCAGCTCAGGGGAGGGCTGGGGACCTTCGAAACCGCCAATATCATGGCCTTCGTATTGCATCAATGACATGCCTGAGTTCAGGGAGAGCGCGTTGGATCCCTTCATGCTTTCCCAGCTTGTGACGTTGTCACCGGACCAGGTACTTGAGGCATACCGCATTGTTCCAGCTGTGGCGCTGCGTGTCAGGACGAAAGGTCTGTATTTTGGTTCCATGTCGAGGAGGGCGTCGTGGGAGGATTTGCCCATTAGTTCAGTGTGGAGGGCGCGGCCCCATTGGCCGACGTTGTTAGGGGTTGTCTTCTTTGCTTCGCCGTTGACCATTGACTCGTCGAGGGCAAGAGTCCAGTCGTCGGTTGGGAGGGTGTATTCGTTGTTATCGTTCCACATTCCGTCGATGCCGACCTTCTTCAGCTTTTGGACTCCATCGTACCACCACTTGAAAGCGGCTTCGGATGTGAAATCGATGTGGCAGCCTTCGCCACCAGTTGCACCTCCGGCACTCCACAGCTGCATGTATCCAGGCTCCTTGGCGTCATCTTGGAAGAAACCGCGGGAATCGATCAGGTGCTTGAAATCAGGGTGGGACTCGAGCAGGAAGGGCTTGATGTTACTGATCAGACGAATACCGTGCTCATGCATCTTCTTGATCCACGCCTCTGGGTCGGGGAAGCGGTAGTAGTTCCAGGTAAAGACAGTTCGAACCTTAGGCTCGTGCTCCGAGATCGAATATCCAGAACTCATCTGGTGGCCTGAGCAAGGAATGCCGTGCTTCTCCAGGGTCTCGGCAAAGTCAATCAATGCATCAGAGGCACGAGGTTCATCAAGCATTGTGTACTTGTATCCACCAGAGACGTATCCGTAGGCCCAACGAGGAACGAGCAAGGGCATTCCCACGAGTTCTGCATATGACCGAACGACCTCCTGAAGGTTCTTGCCGACAATCATGTACTGTTCCAAGCCACCGTAGTCCTGGCGGTAGATCTTGAAGTGGCCCCAGAGACCGTCAATCTCTGCGCCAACGGACCAGGATCCACGACCATGGGTTGTGGAGAAGAGAGCAACGCAGCCTTCCGGAGTAGCCTTGATCAAGAGCGGAATGTGCTTGTATAGAGGATCGGAGTTGTAGGCGTCGTATCCGAAGCAGTCGGTTGCGGAGAGTTGGAAGTTGCGGCCGCTCAGATCCATGGGCGCAGCCTTCTCGCCCAGACCAACATGCAACGCCTCCCGGTCATGAACCGAGTAGTGTGCAACACCCTCTCCATCAGCAACATATGAGCGCAGAGGCAAATCGCGATGAAGAAGCTTATCCGACCCAGTCCACGCCAAAGAAACGACAGGAGTCGATTCCCACTCAACGGTAGCAGTAACACCCCCAACATCGATGGTCTTGGAGGTTTCGGAGGACTTTGCGGAAACGTTCACGTTCTGGAGGTCGGTTTGCGGCTTGGTAACGCTGGGGTAGGGAGGAACGACATGCTCCGGCGAGGTAAAAGTCACCCGGAAAAGGTTCTTGCGAATAGCTTCAAAAGAGAAATCGAAAGCATTCTTGCTCTTGGAGCTACTCCGGATCAACACCGAAGCATCTTGCTGAGTGCTCGAGGGCACTTGTTGATACCCGCGCGGGCAGCTTTCTCTCTGAGGCATTGTGATTGAAATGTGGACTCTTCACGGGGAACAATCGCATATGAAAGCTTGGAGCACCCTGGCAGACAGCTGTATTTGTAGCATTCTGCTGAAATGCTTGCCCCGCGTTGCAATGGAACCATTATGTATGACGTGGGGCAGTATACATCGGAGATCGGGGATCATCTCCGAATTGTCCTTTGTAGGACGCGATCGGCTATTGACCCACAACCCCGGATGTTGAGAAGCCGGAGATGCGAGCAAATGCCGATTGAAGGTTACTATGTGGGGCTATTAGTATGCAGCTAGCAAAAAGGATTAAGAATTATGTTACGAAAGGCCGAAATGTCTAGCCGGGAATGGAGTCTATGGGCATGTCGTACGTATACTGGAAGCCGGTAGATCCGTAGGAGACTAGTCCATGGGAAGTTATCAAATGTCTCATCAAATGTTACGGAATCAGTGGTGCACAGAGCCCAATCAAGCGCCTAGAAAACTGCTTGTAAATACATTAATTACGTATGCTCATCACATAACCTGAAGATTCATGTTGTCAAAATATCCGACCAGCAGTCTAGAATGGCCGTCTCCATTCTTTAGCATTGAACATTATTCGCATTGACCATATGTAAAAACAGAGCTCTGAAGTCTCATTATTCCGTTCGAAATACTGCATATAAATAACTATTCCCAATTCGCCATCAACACTAACCGAGTGTCAGTACCTGCGCCTAATAGACATAAACGAAGTCCTCGTTCTGCCAGTCCGTCAGATCTTTGAAGGCGTTGTCATTAGCGACCTGTTGGACCGGCATGCCATCCTTGTCGATTGGTACAGTCCCAACCGCAAACATGGAGTGATCAACAATCTTTGCATCTTTTCCAAGAGCAACGCGCTTCTTCTCGTGCTTCTTATTGAGGAAGGACAAGTAGGCCATATTCATCATAATGAGAAACCACAGAACGCAGAACAGAGAGAGGTTTGAAAGAAGTCCACGGTGGTACAGCGGGGCTTCTTCAGTGGTGTAAAGATTTGGTCCAATGATGTTGCCTACACATTGTCCAACAAGAAGAATACCAGTCGTAACCTTCTTCTTTGTCTCTCCAGCAGTGTTGGCCGCCGACCAAGAGTAGATCAAGGGCGTGATTCCTGGGTAGACGGAGATGATGTAGTAACCCACAAGAAGAGGACCTTTATGAGCATCATCGTGGGGAATCTTCAACAGCATGACACAGCCCGCAATTGGGGGAAGGCACAATAGCGCGAGCACGGGACCTTTCTTTCTCCATGCTGTAGCCAGCCAAGCACCTCCCATTGTAGCGATAAGTTGGACTGCCCCAAACGGGACATTGAGAAGGATCGTGTTAAGGCTGTCGAAGCCAAATGATTCGATGATCAAGGGACCAAATGTGGTGATTCCACCGCTCGGGATTCTGCAGAAGTCAGTAAAGGAAGAATATGGCAAGACCGGTTTTCTTACGAGATAGAGACCATCAGGGAAAACCAGAACCAGGACTTGAGATCCAAGCATGCCTCCTTGACATGCTCCCATTTCCATTCGTGGCTTTCAATACCTTGTTGATTCATTCGCAATCTACAATATGTTAGACTGGAGAAGATCTCAGAAGGTTCTCAAGAGCAGGTACCTTTCAACAGCCACCATTTTATCGTCTTCGGACAAGAATTTGGCCTTGACAGGAGAGTCGGGCATGAAGAAGCTATAGAACAAAGCATCAGTGTGCTGTTTTTTGAAGATGGGCTGAGGAGGGTGTTCCACTTACAACACAACCGACGAAAATGCAACTGTAATCAAGCCAAAGAAGAGAAAAATGACCTGAAAAGATTAGAGCTTTGTTATCAACAGAAGAAGCAATAATTGACCCACCTGGTAAGGAGCAAAGACTGAAGAATTGATGTGTCCCAGCCCATACGTGATCAAGCTTCCAACCTAAATAGCGAACGCTTAGCTAAGGCTCGAAACGAGTATCCCAAACACCTTACCATGTTGACCACACCATTCATTGCATACCACGAGCCCAATCTAACAGGCTGCTCACGTCGTCGATACCACATCTGGGTCACTGCAATAAAAGCCGGAGCTTTTTGACGATAATTAGAAGCGTGACCCTGAAAATCGGACAATATGAAGCGACTTACCAAGACCAGCCTCAAAGACACCAAGCAACAGCCGGCAGACCATCAAAGTAGCGAAGGTGTTGGCAGCAGCCATACAAGACAATGCAATACCCCAGCAAAGAGTCGACGCCGCCAGAAATTTGCCCATTGGGACTTTTACCAAGAGATATGAAACCAGGGGCTGGAACACCAACTGAGCCACATAGACGACCGCACCCAGCCAGGAGTACTGCTGCCCATGGAGGTGAGCATTCTCCTTGAGTCCAAAAACTGATGCGTAAGAAAGAGTTGACTTGTCAAGCTGCTGGAGGAAGTAGATGACTAGCATAATAGGAAGTAGACGAAGATCAATCTTCCTAAGGACATGCTTGTTGTTCTCCGGGGTCAGGATAGTCGAGTATCCTACCTCCTCGATCAACTGCAGCGCTTGATCCTGTTGACCCTTTTTCACCTGTGGTGCATCCTGGGTTGTGTGATGAGGTCGTTCCTCATGCTCGATGGACTCGACAAACTCCTCTTGCTGGTGCTTGGGTTGCGAAGATTCTCCTATATGGGACATCGCTAACCAGGAGTTGAACAACGAATAAGTAAAGATGAAGACTAGCAACCGTGAAAGGTAGAAAGGATGTTGTAAAGGGGAAAATGCAGAAATCAGCCAAATCAGCCAAAGAGCCACGGTAGATAGAGACAATGGAGTTGGGGGAGATAGGGTATATGCAAACCCCGTGGGGAAGCGAAGTTTATGATCTCTCGGGTCTAGCGCCGTCCAACTCCAAGTCTGAACAAGGCCAAGCCAATGATTTTTTCCGGTTCATCCTCGTCAACCTTCTCATGCAGCTACTCATGCCACCTTACGCCTCAAGGTCATCCGATACGGCCCAGAGGACTGAATTCCTGAAATTGCGGACAACTTCCGGTCAAGTGGGCCAATCACCCCGAGTTCTTGGGCAAGCCGCGTTGCGTGTTGGAAGGTTGAGGAGACGGGATTTCTAGATCGGGGATAGTTGTCGGCGTTCGGATGGAAAAACCGATGACAATGGGAATATTGGGTTTGACGTCCCGTGATCGGCATTTTGTGTGATCTGGGGTTCTGGGGAAAAGTGGAGAGCCACGAGTTTCCTCCGTTCGCCGGAGGAATACCCGAGCCCCGCGTTTTTGCTTCTTGAGATCTGTCTCCGAATACTCCTAGCAGAGTGCAAGAAAGGGCCCATATTATTCCGAAAATGCAGGATGATGATTCTTTGCATGTCTTACCGGTGCCAATCGGCAAAAAGCGTATCCCTGTACGTGACCCCCGGGCCTCGGCTTCGTTCTCCGGAACAGTTCTAACGTCCATGCTCCCTTGCTTAGAAAGCGTGTACTTCCTGCCGACAGTCCAAGGTTCGTCTACTATTGAAGCTAATATATTGAGGAGCTCACTAAATCTATTATAGGTTAGGTGCGATGGGGATCGGCCGTGTGGGAGGTATGCAACACTGCTGCAGGGTCATGCATGATCAGCCTCTAAACATCACGCCTGTAGGTGTCAAAAGATCGATAAACAATGCGTTTTCTTTGAAATACCCAAAGACCCTGTCTCAGAGTAGGTGCATGGATATCATAATACAACCCGAAGCATATCGGTTGACATATCTCCAGGCGACTCGAGGGAGTCGAGTCTGAGGTCCACTATTTGCGAAGTCAACTTGATGAGATGCAAGCATTGGTCAATCAAAACCACATAAATTCAAGTCCAAGGTTCCAAGAGCAGGGACTCCATTCTCCACAGCAATCGCATGGCCAAGTTGACGAACCACGCCGTGGAAGTGCCTGCACTTCGTCATGTTCTCAATTTGCTCATACTCACCAACAAGAGGGCCGTGGAGCTCTAACAGTCCATGCAGGCTCAGCTAATCATATGAATACCTCAAATTCCTACCAAAGATCGATTCCAGATGTCTCTCCAAATGGAGCCACGACAGTAGCTCCAATGTATACGCCTTCGAACGAAGACAATTTCCGACCCAAGAAGCGAAAACGCTCCTGTTTTGAGATTCGAGAGGAGTCCATTGCGGATTTTATTGATAAGGGCCTTATTACACCGGAGAGTGCAGTATCATGCTTTAATACGTACGTTCAACCCCACTCCCACTTCCACGACGGACCTTTGCTTACGTTTCTGTTTTAGGTTCTTTCAAGGCTGTGTAAGTTCTGACTCAAGGCTCTGTTGAATGAAGATCGCGCAGTATTGATTTTTTTCAACTATAACAGGACAGATATATCCCAATTTTCGACCCACAATATGATACCTTCACTTCTGTTCGAGCCCGAAGCAGTATTCTATTGAACGCGATTTGCACCATTGGCTGCATGGTTGAAACAAGTATAGGACCAGTGTTGATAAACTTTGAATGTGACACAACTAATTCTATTTCCAGGGACCGGTGGTCCAACATCGGATATGCTTCACGCGGAACTCAAGAAATGGATCAACGTGATCATCCAAAACAAAGGACTGAATTGCCTCGAGTCAGTCCAAGCGATGCTTATAGTGGCATGCTACTCTGCCGATCGCCTACTCATTCTATCATTTGCTACGCGCATGGCACTTGATTTGGAGCTTCATGATGCATTTGAGGAGCTGACTGAGCGATTGGCGTTTAAAAATGATGAGGACGCAGCAGGAATCCCGGACCATGACTTTGACCGGGAAAGAGATTTAATGCGGAAGTCGAGAACTTGGTTTGGACTCTTGGTTTTAGAGCATATGTGAGTACCCTTTGGCTTTACTTTGATGACTCTGCTAAATATACCCTGGTAAGATTCCGAGTGGATGGAGGAAAGCCTCCTGGGATTAGGTTGCTAGGGAATTCGAGAAGAAGTCGAATCCTTCTCAGCCATCCATCAACAACGGTCCTTGATTTAAGATTGTTCTCTCAAGTGGAGGTACGCTCAACCTACATATCAAATAGATTTGAACACTTGCTGACGGTTTCTGTAATAGCTTAATATTTTAAGAGGTATGGAAAGATCTTGTGGTGAGAACATGGCCACTAATTGCTTCCCAGCCACGATCAATGATAGCCTGGGACCAGGAACGCAACTTGATGGCCCCGGAATCTCTGATTTTGTTCATGAAATGAAAGTAGATTTGGACATTTGGTTCGAGTATGGCACCTGCGAAGATTTTGAGCGAGCCCGTGCTGACTTTTATAAGTGATTGGATAAGAATTATCGGTGAACAACTAGAAAATCCCACACTAAATAATCTTCTAACGCCACGACAGAGACCTCAATTACCACAAACGAAGAAAAGCCATACCTCCTAGCAGCTCTACGAGTGCAAAAATGCTGGGCCGAGATGATGCTAAACTGCAAAGCTCTTCGAGCAATGGGTGTCGAAAATGTTGCGTGTGTACTGACTTTCCTGTTTATGATACAATTTAAACTGACAGTCAATGGAGTACAATGTCCCCAACGGAACGCAACATTCTGCTCACAGCAAAAGCCAGCGCTCGACGACATCTCCGCCTAATGGTAGTCGAGCCAGACTTTTACCTCGCAAAACTAAAATACGCCATGGATTTCGTCTGGGCAAAGTGTGCATTCGCCTTCCTCTTACTCTTGAAACTCTCTCGACTCCTGCCTGAGCGTGACGAAGAACACGAGGAGCTTCTTGAACATGGAACTCGACTCGTTCACGAGCTGAGCAAGGCAGGCTCAAATACTAACCAAACCGGAGCTGGGAATATTTACCTTCAAATTCTCAAGGTCAGTATTGAGAAATACGGTCGTGCTCTACGAGAATCACAACAGCCGAGTACTGGTGGCACAACAGCTACGTCGCCATTTTGGGAACTATTTGATGCACAGGCAGATCTACAGTGGTTTGTCCCGGAGCAATTTGTCTCGGAGTGGGATTTCCCGGGGCTGAATCTGTTTTATTTCCCTACTGCCTGGCAGGATTTCTTCGGGGATTTCTCGCTTGCTATGTAAACTACATACGTGATCCATATATTTCTAAACGGCGGTCCTCGGGGCTTTTGAGTTACAACATCCATGGATGTGATTAGCTTTGTTGATACGTGTTCGAACTACGAGTAGGTATGGTTTATGGGGAAATAACACTCTGGGGACCTTTGCAGTGTGATTGGGCTAATGCTCTTGGTAATCTTTATAGGTAGGTCAGGAGAAATATCAGAAGTGACTATGATTACATATGAACCCAAATGTATATCACCTATTATCAGTTTGTTCTGGTCTTCAAGATCCTCAAACCTCGCACGAATGCACAAAGTGGAGTCAAGATCATATTGCGACTAGGCGATAGGAAAGTTGCCTAGCTAGGAACATAGGCTGGGGCAGGGATCATTGCTAACCTACGTGCCACTTCAGGCATTCCAGCGCTCCGCCAGACCTGATATACCACGTAGTCACCACGTTGACCCTCTAGCCGGGAAGGATCGCTTTTCATTGTCTGGTCTGTGATTTCGTTTCCATCAGTCATAAAAAAAAATGACCCCAGGCCCTGTGAGAAAATCTGGCCGGTCGAGGATAACAAAAAAGGCACGGTAAGGCTCCCTTATGTTTGGAATGTAATCCTCACTTCGATGTTGCGGAATGCTCCGACTGCCTTGGTTAATGGCGCCTATGGCTAACTCAGGTCGAGAATTTGTGAGATTCCGGTGCGACGCTAGTATAGCGCCTAGGGACTGAGTTGCTGAAAAGAATTTGAAGTTGATTGTTTTTCCATTGGGAATAGTATCCATGATCGCAAGAGTAAAAGGCCTTTGCAATGAGCATAAGCTCTATCCCAAATTGTCGATGGGGAAAGGCGACATGAAAAATGTACTGAAGGTCTGGTCCTGGTGCTGTGATTGGAGAATTTGATGTAATAACGACGAGCGTCTCAGAAGGCGATCGTATTTTGAAATTCTCAAGATGGAATGAATCGGTCTTGCTTCGTAACAACTCAACTACCTCTGGCGCTGGAGGTTGATCGGCTAAGAATGGGTCTCCCTCATCTTCCTCGAAGCCGTAGTCGTACTCCTCAACAAAATCCATTGTAGGGCGGTAGCTTCGCCTCCATAGAGACCCTATCTCCGGAAAATTTTCCCATATGTTTCGGCATTTCCTTACCACAAGCTCTTCTCTTTCTGACTCGGCTTCATATTTCGGTCGACCTTTAGCGCGGAAGCTATAGGAGGTGATTACCTGCAGAAACCCTTGCAATAGTTGATCTTGATTATTTATAGCCACTTTAGAGATGCCAGGGAAGAAACCATCTGCCGGGAGATTGTTCTTTCGATGAATATCTCACGTCTTTGATGCTCCACGCAAGCGAATATATCAGGCTGAGGAGTAGCATAGATCTCAAATGACACATTGGGACCGTGATCAATGCCTGAAGCAAGATAGTGACAGAGAGTGATAAGTTCATGATCAGAGTCCGAGTCAAGGGGAACAGTGGTGTAGATCTGGATGGCAATCAAAGGAAGAGGACCTATCAAGGCCTCAGGGTTGGTCGGACTGTATACTATCATGATAGCAGGCTGGTTTTCATGGTCGCGGTATCGTTGCGCGTTCCATTTGCAAATCGGGATTCGATGTGCGTTTTTAGTTCTAGCCATCGCTTTTTTTTCCCCACGCGATGAGAAGGGGTAATAGAAGCAGGCCGTATCTCCCTTTTTTGATATGAAACGCTGTGTTACATAGTCAGCCCTAGGCGGTATGCAATGTCAATGTTAATTAGTTAACCTAAGTTTGTTAACTTAGCCAGGTCAACCATAGGTATTCGTGTCACTGGTCGTGTACGATGAGCCGCATGTTGCCCCGATGCTGCCGCCAGCTCAATGAGTATGTCTTAGGCCTAACTTATGTAACGGCTCTATAATGATGATAAAAAAAAAAAAAAAAAAAAAAGAACCGAGAACGCAGCAATTGCAATAATATAAGCCCTGCACATTAACATCCGTTTCAACCAATCATATTGGTTGAGTTTGCTGGAAACTTACATAAGCGGCCGCAATCAGTTCTGCATTTGACAGTTGCTAAACAGTAGAGCAGTCAAGACCAGCAATGCATAGGCGAGCGGTTACAAGGGTGGGTTACTCTGGAAAAATACAGAAACAAATTCAGGAACTAACATTCAATACAGTTTTCACGCCGCGTCGAGCTTTCTTCGACCAGCGTAACGGCCTCAACCCCGACCTTCTCCTCTCAGCGGAGCTTTCGAACCTCTGCATCCCACCGAAACTCGGAATCCGGTGATAATAAAAATGACGGAAGTTCTCCGGCCGCTCCGAAGCCTGCAGCTTTTACACCCAAGTTTGGTGCATCCAAGCCTGTTTCCGCAAAGTTAGGCGCTCCGAAGTTTGGAAGCAAATGGGGTCCTGGAACATCGCAGCCGACGGGCCTGAGTGCGGCGGAGCAAGCATTGCGCGACTCGCTGGTTGCTAGAAGCAAGCCGCCACCTCCACCATCACCGCGCGCGCCGGAGCGTGAGCGCTCATCGCAGCCTCTACGGAATCAAAGATGGGCTAATCGCTCCCATACGGATTCTCCCGCTAGAGAAGAGAACCCTCGCGGTCTACAGCACCGACAGCGGCGCAATGACAACCAGGAACCCTCAGGACATCGGAATAACTGGAATAAGGAATCTCCAAGGCATCGAAACGACCGGGAGAGGAGACCACGACAAGGGAACACAGTGACGCGGAGCCCGACCGATTGGGATTGTCCAAGTTGTCAACGCATCGTCTTTCAAAAATACTCGAGTTGTCCTTTCTGTCAAACACCGCGGCCGCGTTTGCCATCAGAGCAAGCACGGCCGTCGCGCGACAATGCGGAGTCTGCCAAGTTCCGGAACCTGGGTCGCTCACTGCTGGCGGAATCTGAAGAGGCCGCACCGAAAAAGAAGACAGCAGATATTAAATCTAAGGAACCTTCGGCCAAGGCTGAGAAGAAAATTGACCAATGGTCTTGGGATATGTCTGCCCTGGAGAACCTAGAAGTGGGTGGCGTGGAAGAAGATGTACCGCAAGATGTGAAAAAGTCCAAACGTCGGGATGGAGGGAAGCTGCGGGGATCAGAGTCCGCAGAATTCGAGGCCGAGGAACGTGAACAGCGGCGCGAGGCACGCAAGCGCAAGAAGGCAAAGGAAGCGAAGAAAGCAGAGGCGCGCGCCGCTCCTCAGCCTTTGTACCTCCCTGAATTCATTAGCGTTAACAACTTGGCCGATGTCATTGGCGTCCGGCCTGGTCAGTTCATTGCCCGCATGGAGGAGATGGGCTTTGAAGATGTCGAATACAACCATGTGCTGGATGCTGAGACTGCTGGTCTGGTCGCTGCTGAGTACAACTACGAGGCTATTTTCGATACTGGAGCCGATAACATTGAGGCTGCACCGGTGCCAGAGGATATTTCTCACTGGCCATCCCGGCCTCCTGTGGTCACCATTATGGGCCACGTCGACCATGGAAAAACTACCATCCTGGACTGGCTGCGCAATTCATCGATTGCTGCGACCGAGCACGGTGGTATCACACAGCACATCGGTGCCTTCTCTGTGCCAATGCCTTCTGGGAAACTGATTACTTTCTTGGATACCCCTGGACACTCGGCATTCTTGGAAATGCGTCGTCGTGGTGCCGACGTCACTGACATTGTGGTTCTAGTAGTGGCTGCTGATGACAGTGTGAAGCCGCAGACCATTGAAGCCATCAAGCATGCAACCCAGGCCAACGTGCCTATTATTGTTGCCATGAGCAAGATCGACAAAGAGGGCCGCAACCCCGACCGAGTGAAGCAGGATTTGTCGGTCCATGGTGTTCATGTGGAAGATTATGGCGGTGATGTTCAAGCTATCGGCGTCAGTGGTAAGACCGGTGAGGGTATGCTTGAGCTCGAGGAGGCAATTGGCGCTCTTTCAGAGATGCTTGATCATCGGGCTGAAAAGACCGGCAACGTCGAGGGATGGGTTCTCGAGGCTTCGACCAAGAGTTACGGCCGAGTTGCATCGGCTCTTATCCGCCGTGGTACGCTGCGGCCGGGCGATGTCATCGTTGCCGGCAACACGTGGGCTCGAGTGCGCACTTTGCGTAACGAGGCTGGCTTGACCGTCGATGAAGCTACGCCAGGAATGCCCATCGAGATTGACGGCTGGAGAGACCAGCCCGCTGCTGGCGCTGAGATTCTGCAGACACCCACCGAGCAGAAGGCGAAGGATGTTGTTGAGTATCGCCTGGACCAGGTTGACACTGAAAAGCTTGGCCAGGATATGATTGCCATCAATGAGGCACGACGAGAGCTCTCTGAGAAGCGTAGACTTGAAGAGAAGGCCGAATCGGATGACGTGACCAAAGCTGCTGCTGCACCGACTGGCCCGAAGGCGATCAACTTCATTATCAAAGCTGATGTCGACGGTTCTGCAGAGGCAGTAATGAACTCTCTGGCTGCCATTGGCAACAACGAAGTTTATGCTAATATCCTTCGCTCGGCAGTCGGTCCTGTGACAGAATTCGATATCGAGCACGCTGCTGCCGCCAAAGGAAGAGTCATCTCTTTCAACATGCCCATTGATCCCAACATGATGCGCATGGCAGAGCAAGAAGGCGTACGGGTGATGGACCACAACATCATTTATAAACTCATCGACGACGTCAAGGCTGACCTCAGTCAACACCTGGCACCCAATATCACCCAACGTGTTACTGGTGAAGCTGAAGTTGGTCAAATTTTCGAAATCACCATAAAGGGACGTGAGAAGATGTCTATTGCGGGTTGTCGTGTGCGTAACGGTACAGTCAACAAGACCCGCAAGGTCAGAGTCCTCCGTGGTGATGAGACTATCTACGATGGTAAGAACATACTTATCACTTTTACGCTTTTTCCAAGTTCAAATTTGCTAACCTGCACTAGGCACCATGACCTCGCTCAAGAACGTCAAGAAGGACGTTACCGAGATGCGCAAAGACACCGAATGTGGTATCGGATTCGAAGGCTGGTCTGATTTTGCCGTTGGCGATCACATCCAGTGTTACGAGGAGATCCACGAAAAGCGCTACCTATAAGATCACCTGTGATCTGTATGCATATGTATTTCTAGATTTCATTTTGTCACACTTGGGGCCTCTTCAACCCCGTGGCATGTACCATACCTTTTTTTTCGATATGGCTTGCATCTCAGGCGTTTTACCTTTGGATATAACCTGACAATGCAGATAATGTCGACGCATGTATCATAACCCAATCCCCAAACCATATCCCGGCCTAGCAATCAAAGATACAGTTTCTCTTCAAGATTGAGTCTAGATCTGGGCATCCTAATCATGTCGCCTTCCACCTCACCCTCCCAACCCAATTCGCCCAATCCCTCACATCCTCTCTCTCCATAATCCTCTCGACAGTAAACCACTCTCTTGCTAACTCCTCGTTGCTTGCCATCCGATGCACAAAGCTATGGCAGGCTCTACAAAGCCACGCAACACTATTCAACATCCACTCATCATGCCATCCTTTCTTTATAACTTTCGCATGCACACCCCGCGGTATCAAATGATGATACGATAACGGGATCCAGTCCCGCTCGCAGATTTCACATGCATCTGTCTTCGTCGTCGACCACGCCGGCGGTCCAGTCGTCACGCTACTAATATATTCTGACAGAACCGGGGATATGAAATCCGGGAAATCGGCCGAGTCAGGGATGAGTCCGTAGACGGATAACGAGTCTGTTACATCGACGGGAGTTACTGTGCATATCGAGTCAAGGACCGCGCGGTCGAGGGGCGTGTCTTTATCGAGTGGAATATATTTTTTCGAAAGATCGGTATCGTGCTGTATCCCGGCGTAGGAAAGTGTCTTCAGATCTTCAGGGAAGGAGTCAAAGGTTTCGGAGGCGATGAACTAAATGTGCAAGATTAGCTTTCTCGTGCTTCATTCCCGCAGGTTGCGTTGTATTTCGCAGACTCATACATCGATGAATTCAGCCAGTTCCTCTGGGTTTGCTCGTTCGGATACGGCCTCGGTCTTGGTGACGGTCACCTCTTTTCGTCCATTGCGCTTAACTTTCGTCCTGCGTTTAGACGTCGGTTTTTCGGAGCGCGCGACAATAGCGCTCGAGAGACATTCTCGGAAGATTTTATAGTTTTCATGCGATGTCATTGGTATATTGAGCTCATGGTCTTGAGTCCTCCGGGTTTGGCGGGGAGTTGCAGAAGCTTGAACCCCGCGAACCCGTGCCAACGGAAGATTGACATCATCCAGATTCCACGCGCTCCACTTCACACAAGCATATCTCTGCTAATCAACCAAGGTTTACACTCAAGCATTCCTTTCGTCGTTAATAACTTCGCATACTCGCCATGTCGGACAAAATCATCATCGCATTCGATATGTACGGCACATTGTTGTCTACAGATTCTATTGTTAAACAGCTGGATACACATGTTGGTTCTACTCAAGCATCGTCAATCTCCACGCTTTGGCGCCGATATCAGCTGGAATATACATGGAGACTCAATAGCATGCGTAAGAAGCAGCGACTCGCGACCATCTACTAATTACTTATCTAACAGCTGTACAGATCAATACGAGGATTTCTCAACAGTCACCCGAAACTCGCTACGACAAGCATTAGCTGAGCATGATCAACAGCTACCAGAATCCGGCATTGACACTTTGTTGGAAGCATATGACAGCCTACATACGTTTCCGGATGTAGGCCCGGCACTAAATCGAATCGCGAATGATCCAAACCTTCAGGCTGTGATATTCTCCAATGGCACGAAGAATATGATCTCAAATTCAGTGCTACACTCCCCAGACTTGTCCCAGCACGCCAATGTATTCCAAGACCTGGTTACTGTGGACGATGCTAGGGTGTATAAGCCTGCACCTGCTAGCTATCAGCATTGTGCTCGAACGATCGGCAAGCAGCCTTCTCAGATGAATGAGATTTGGTTGATCAGCTGCAACGCGTGGGATATCGTCGGAGCGCGCAATGCTGGATTGAATGCCATTTGGATCGATCGGGCTGGCAAAGGTTGGCAGGATGCTGCTGTTCCGGAACTAAAGCCGACGGCGATTGTACGTAGTCTGGAACAGATCATTAAGGAGATCAAAAGTCGACAGACATAGGATGGCTACTTTTGCATCACTTAGGGTCAGCTACACGCATTGACTGCGCTAGCTACCAGAGGCGGCGACGGGTCTGCCTCGATCTTATTTTTTCTCATACGGAGGTCACGTTCAAAGTCATAATTTTTTTCATTCGAATTTCATATCAACACCAAGAAAACTTGGAAGGGGATGTACCGCTGAAATGTATTTCCAGATGCTCCACGTAGAAAGAAGCATACGGGGTAAGCCAGCAGAGTCAGTCTTTCCTCCCATTTCCCCTCGAAGAACCCATTGCAAGGTGGATTCCAGAGTGAATAGGGAGGATTGTAGTTTTATGTGAGGAGGAAAAGGAAAAGCGCCCAGAGAAAAAATTCTTGCCTAAAATAGTCTGCGCTGACTCAGCATGCACGTGATGGCTTATCGATAACAGAAAACTGGAGAACTGAAGCTGTCGCCTTTCGAGTCTCCATAAGCAACAGCATCATTATTTCCATCCGATCTTGGGCCATGTCGACACGAACGTGGGATCCAACTCGGGCAGCGTGGCTGTACCCACTTCGGGTAAGAAGGTGTAATTTCTCTGCAATAGCCTCCCTACTTACTTACCTTGCTTCATCACTAGGGCATCCACTACTTTGCGACACACCGCTTCCTCTGGCCCTTATTCAAGGCACGACTTGTGCCTATCGTGCTCCTTTCGAGCTTTGTCTACTTCCTGCTCTTTTTCTTCACCTACCTACCGCAGGTCGTCTTCTTAGCTATCTTCCAAGGAGCCGGAGCATGGGTGAGCGGTGCATTCCTGGTGCTGGGCGAAGGGGCTGCAATTGTGGCTGCATTGTTCGAGGCGTTCTTTGTCGATGAAACACTGGTGGATGTATTCGATTCTGTCCTGGTGAATGAGGGCCAGGAGCAGCTCGTGCTCGCTTCGCGGGTGATTTATCCCGAGGCTGGTGACCCGACTAGCCGTCTCGGCACACCGACAACCAGCGCAATTTATGCGCCATTCTCTTTGCGGCAGATCCTCGAATTCATCATTTTGTTGCCGCTAAATTTTATCCCGGTGGCTGGAACACCCATGTTCCTAATACTCACTGGATATCGCGCTGGACCGTTCCACCATTGGCGGTATTTCCAGCTCCTGGATTTCACTAAGCAGGAGCGGAAAGCCAGTGTGAGTAGGCGGCAGCTGCAATATACTACGTATGTTTCTTCCTTTTCTCCTAGCTTTGCTATTGTCGCTAAACTAACCATTCTTAGCTTCGGAACTGTTGCGTTGATCCTACAGCTGATTCCTCCCTTCTCCATGTTCTTTTTGATAACCACCGCTGCTGGTGCTGCGCTGTGGGCATCTGAGCTGGAACAGAAACGGCAGCTTGCTAGCCAGCGGCCCACAAGGTTGGGTGATGCGTACCAAGATGATTTCATGGTTTAATAATGTGGCATGAACTGTGGGCCCCACGACCTCTTCAATAATGGCCTGCTTCCCATACTCCTTAACGCGTACTGAATGTGGACCCACCCCGAATACTTCACGACCCAATAGAAGATTAGTTATGCCACCTACATACAGTGTCTCATTAATGGATAATTGTTACCATGTACATGTACATGTGATCCCATAGTCGCGTACTGTTTAAGCTTTCCCCGGATTACAAGCACGTGACTATCCCCATCCGAGGCCCGGTCAGCCGGGCATCTCTTCCGCCATTCACTGCCGAACGGGTTTGCGCCGATGCGCTTAGCACTACTTCAAAAGAGGAGGCTCTCGCGTTAAGATCACCCCACCTGCAGGCAAATTCTACCCAGCCAGGGTGCTCATCCCTGGATACCTGAGACCTTGGGCACGTGCGATTCAATTCGGTCCTTGCTGCGGGAGTGAGGTGTTCACCGAAGCGCCATATTAATCGCTTGTGGTACGGCCAAGAGTCCCGGTCCAGCTCACGGAGTGGCACAGCGCGACTTCGCTCAATTGCTCCACGCGACCTGCTCCAAGAAGTGGGTCCTTCAAGGGTTTTCCCCCGCAGTGCATGTACCGGATATTTGTGTCGACAAAGCTTATGCAACTTCGCATATGATCATGATCTAAATCCTGCTGTATGGTGGTTGGCTTCAGCCAGTTACTTACAGATGGACCCCAAAACCAGGCTGCGCAAGGCCTGCGATGCCTGTAGCATCCGCAAGGTGAAAGTCTGTCTTGTCCCTCACTAAGATATGCCTGCAAGTATACTGATTTTGTCAAGTGTGATGCCAGCGGCCCTCCTTGTCGGAGCTGTGCTAGCTTAGAAATACCATGTACGTATGAGCGGCCGAGTAGGCGCCGTGGACCTCCAAATCGTCATGCGGAGGCTTTAAAGAAGCAGAAACTAGAGGTCCCACCTGATGCTTCGCCGGCTAGTCTGAGCGACGTTCCGCTTGTAACCACTCCGCAAGCTTCAACATATCGGCAGACACCGCCGTCGTCTGTGCCTACGTCGGCGGAGGCTATCTGTTCACTGCACACTGTGCAGCTACTTCTTGATGATTTTTTTACGTACATCCATCCGCTGGTTCCAATCCCGCATGAACCTACTTTTCGAGCTGCTTTTGAACGCCGAGAAGACATGGCCAATAGTACGTTCTTGGCTCTTCTCGCTTCCATGATTGGATTCCTTGTCGCTTCCTTCCCCCGGCGGCCCAAATTAAGGCTCAATACTGAAGCTGAGCGCTTCGCATTCCCGAACTCGATCGCTCTGGTCAAACGATGCCATGATGTTGCCATCCAAGCTCGAGGTACAGGATATCTTGACCGAACTGCAACAGTTTACGACGCAGCCATCAGTTATTTTTTGGGTGTTTGTGCCGGTTACGTATACAGCATGCGCCGGTGTCGCATCTACTTGGCTGAATGCCGCACTATGCTACAGGTCTATGACCTCTGCCGCTCTCCCACCAATGTCCCTCCTGTCTCTAATAATATTGCATCTACATCGGCAAAGAGCGCACCAAGTCCACTGTCGGCTGCATCAGGGATGTCTCCACAGATGTCTCACGACCATTCTCCACCAAGTCTCACGGATAACAAAACCGTCGATCTAATCACGCAAGAGCTTGGTCGTCGTCTCTTCTACGTCACCTTGGTTGGATATCAATCTCTGCATCAGCTTGGCTCCTCCGATATTAAGATGCATGTACCTCCAGAAACTCCCACGGAACGCTATCCCCCATTTCCACTCGAAGTCGATGATGAGTTCATTTTCCCAGATCATGTCAATCCTCAACCCACAGGCCGGATTTCTCGTCTAGCTGGCTTCAACGCAAATGTCCGGGTATACAGTTCATATAATGCCCTGCTGGCGTGGGAGACTGCTTTTGGTAGTGGGCAGATTTTCAATTGGGAGCACCAGCGCTCAAGTCTCTGGGACTGTCTTCAGAAAGCCAAGTCTGCGCTATCAGACGTCCCCGTTGAACTATCAGTATTCCATCCAAAACCAACTTCTATGTTTGCTGGAATGGGCCAAGATGGCTCAGTGTTCAATTACCCCGATGACCACATCAACCAAGAACGACGGGCAATTCAATATGAAATCCAGAAAGCCAACATCTACGCCAGTCAACTCTCCACTCGCTCGTGGTTGGTGGAAAAATACTGGAATCTGTTCGAGACGTATACCAAGTTTGGAAACCCAGCCAAGTCCGTGATTTTCAACACTCCGCAAATCAAGACCGAAAACTTTGTGGATACACAATCCGAATATACCACGGGAAACCCCCGGAAGCCACATCCCGCACCGTCGGGAATGCACAGACAGATTATATTGGCCGCATGATGGCCCAAGAGCGCAATCTAGTGATCAAGGACCTATTCGTCCTTTTGCGAACCGTCAATGAAGTTAACATGGAGCCAAACGGTGCAAGTATCGTGTGTACCCTCTACTTCTTCTACATTTAACTGTGGCTACCACTAACACCTAACAGACTGGCAAAATTCGTCAAGTAGCATCAACCCTCCTCAACATACCTTTCTACTCAAAATCCAATTCATCGACTAGTACCATCTCCACCGCAGACCCATCTCCACAGTCATCAGTGGACACATCATCGGCTCTCCACGGTCTCACGGCCGCAGAAGCAGAATCCTATCTACACGCTTTTATCGATACCCTCATCCGTCTTGAAGGCCATTCCACTGCAACGACGGACCCCGGCAGTACCGCCGAGGATGTCAGTCCGCGAGCGAACGGCCGTGCGATGAGCTATCTGAGTGATTATGAAAGAGATCAAGAAGAATTAAGCCAGTGGGCTAGTTTAAAGGAGTATCAGCAGAAATTCGCTGAGGCTGGGGGTCTTCTATCTGAGTTATAGCTAGATGAGGTGTATGAATGGATTTGTTCACTGTATCTTACATATCTACAATATTTCGAAGTTATAATTTTCAACCGTTGATTATAAGTAGTAGTGATGACCCTGGGGCAAGTACAGACCTATGAACCATGACTGCAGTATGCCACCAACCTGCATCTGTGGGTTTCGTTTCAAATTGAGGTTATATTAAGACAAAATCCCACAACCAATACATAGTCAAAGACACATATTAAAGCGAAGAAAACATATCCTTGGTCTCCGGGTACATATTTCCAATGCCATACCTGCATTGTCTTTAACAATGTACTCCCACAAAACTCCGGGCTCTTCTTCTCTATGTATCTGTCACTGTGGTAGTCACCGTAGCAGTGGCCTCAGTCACGGTCACGGTCTTCGTTGTGGTGATCACCAATGGTGTCACGGGGACAATAGCCAAGCCGCTACCTGCGCTGGATTTTGTCTGGGTCTCGATTTTGGTTTCGGTCTTGGTGGTTATTGCTGTAGCCGTTGTTGTTACCACGGATGTAGAGGTGTGTGTGGTTGTTGTTATAAGCACGCTTGTCGATGTCACCACTTGTGTGGAAATTTGTATAGTCGCGGAGGTATGCTCAACCGCAGAAGTATGTACAGACACGGTATCCGCGGGCATGGTAGCTGCGAAACGTAAATATGTATGGTTAGGGATAGCCATAGGAGTAGACATACTTTTATCAGGTAGAGCAATTATTGTCGTCGGAGTCTCACCCAGAGCCATCTCAGATGCAACTGTTGAAGAAGTAGAGCTCTCCCCAACTGTCGACGTCTGCAAAGGCAGTATTGTTTCCATGATAACGACAGTTATAGGAGACGCGGTGACCGTGCTAGGGAACTCAGTATCAATGACTGTGCCCGGGGCCTCGGTCTCAGTAACTGTACGCCCAGGCTCTGTTATGGTGACCTTTGCAGTTTTAGTTGCGTGTATTGTGATGGTTGTCTCCGGTTCTTCGGGTGTAGACAATGTAGTCTTCGCTGCTGGCGAAGATACTTCAGCCTCGATTGGCGTTGTAGATACTCCCGTGGTCTCTGAAGCTTCGCTCGGGGATACCGTGGAAGAGCGACTAGCTAACTCTGTGGAGTATGGTGTTGTTTGACCATAGGAGACCCATTCGATCATGTTATTCGTTATGTAGTACACAGAGGCGGCTGAGCTCCATATTTCAGTTTGCGACGAGGTTGGTATCTTGGCAGACGGGGATTCTGTGGACAGAGTCTCTGTTTTGGATTGTAGTGGGATTTCGAATGAGGTCTGTGTGTTGGTCGCTGTGGGACTTTCGGACGACGTTGCTGATTTGAAAGGTGTGGGTGGTTTAGACGATACCGATGCTTTCGTCGAGGTTGGCGTCTCAGAAGAGGTCAGTACTTTAGTGACCGTTACTGTATTGGAATTTTTTGATAAGTCAAGTGGTGTTGATGTTTTGGAAGGTGTCAATATTGTAGTCAATTCGGATTTTTTGGATGGCATAGTTGTGGCAGTAGTAGCCTTCCACCAGATAGTAGTCGTGGTGGTCCAGCAGCCCTCGCAATCCTCAGCAGCTGCCGTGGAGGCCTTGGCTTTGACTGAAGCTTTGCGAGTGACCACGCTGAAAGACAGCCCCTCCGGCGAGTTATTTGTTGCTCTTTGTGATGTTACAGTTGAAGTAGGTGATTTTGTAGCTGATGATGTTTCACTGGTCTTGCTGTCTGAAGTTGGTGAAGATGTCTTCTTCGAGAAAAAGGTTGAAGAATGCGATGAGATAGAAGATGAAGTAGACGGCGTAACAACTTTGAGCACCGGAGAGAGCTTTTTGGATGTACTCTTGCTGATACTCGATGGAGATTGAGTACTCGCTGTACCATGAACTGGGCGTATTGTCTCAGCAGGAGTCGAACTGCTCCTGGACGTTGTTGGGTAAACGATAACCGGGCCCATCATCTGATCAGTATTGGCCGGTATTGTTGACGATAATATAGCAGTAGACACGGTATTCCCAATCGATAACAAGGGGGAGGTAGAAGGTAAGGTTACCGAATTGGAGGCAGATTTGATCGTGAGCAGAGGCGTTGTAGACGGCGCCACAGGTCCACTTGTAGTCTCAATATTCTGCTCCTTGATGGGCTTTTGAGAGGCAGAGGTCAAGGTAAAAGTTGTCCTTGTCTTCTCCGAGGAAACTACCGAAGACGGTGTAACAGGAATGATGGTTAAATCCACCTCGTCGCGAGCAGCCAGGTTCTTGATCCCCACTGCCAAAGTCGTCTCAGCGCGAGATACATTGAACAAATGGTATTCATGAACAGCAGAACGAGTGATCGGACCAGCCGAAGAAGTCCAAGCCATAAGTAATAAGAAAAATAGGCGAATGAACATCATGTTGCCGTTGACCTGCACTTGACCGAACAGTAAGCTCAGATTAACAAGAGATGAGAGTTGATTCCCAGAAACAAGATTCGAGTGCGATACCGTAGAAGTAGGCACAGAGTGGATATCGAAGCGGATATAAAGACAGTGTCAGGCAAACAAAAAGCTCGAGTTTGCTGCAATGAGGGGCATGGCACATCGAGGGTCTTTCCGGGTTCAATGATAGCAGCGCATGACTGCCAAACTATTACAATGAACGAGTGGCTTGGTACAAGTCATACCAGCATATACAATCGAGAGAATTTCCAATCAGAAGAACAAAAGAGTGAGTTCAAATCAGACTGAAAGAGTGCGCAAAGGAAAAAACAGAATAAAGACACGTTCAAGGCATTGGGCTAGTATGCATATTAATCCGGTTTCGTTGGGGTTATGGTGCAGTCCCCATTGTTTGAAGTCCTCAAGCTAGTGGACCTGGTCAAAAGCCCCGATTACCAGGGGGCACTTAATAAGATGGGCCTAGTTTCACTCGAAATAGGTGTAGCCCAAAGCGCGCGACAAAGCGGTTTTGTTGCAAGAACCGCCCTGTATGCAGCTCCGGGCGCTGTGATTGGTTGCTAGTGAGATCCACATTTGGACAGTGACTGATGACGGGCGCTTTCATTGGTAGACGAGAACTAAATAAAGTCATGCAGGAGATTAAATGCAAGACTAGGTCATCGATACAAATAAGGCTAGAAGATTAATCGGCCCTTATGGACCTCGTTTCATGTACGCCACAGGGTATACGGTTGATCCGGTGATAGTCATCTTACGAAGACGCCACAGTAAAGGATCCCCCAATGCCCTCAAAGGGTGAAATATTCCCAAGGGCATCCTTTGAGTCTCCGTAATAGTGCATGCGATAGGTTCCAGCCTGCAGCGCATTCGGGCTATCGACGCTGTAATAGCTGTCCTCGATTGTCCATTGAATTGTGACATCGCTGTATCCGAGAATACTATTGGTTCGTTCCCACAAGAAGAGAAGGTTCCAGTCACGGTCGTCTCGCACCACTTCCCAGTCGCCAGAATTCGAGTTATGTATTTCAACTGCTGCATATGTGGATTCCTGGTGAAGATTATTCCGAGGATTGGCGCCAACAAAGGTCGTGTTAACAATATCACCCGCTGCATAAGTACTGCTGCTGGGATTCGAAATCACATCCCCGAAGGACTTTCCAAGAGGAGCGTTGTCGTAAACCACACCGGTAATGAAGCTCAGGGAGTTGTTGGTATTGACAGGTGGGCTAGGGCCTGCGCCGATGGCCGGGAGACTCGCAAGGTCGTCAGCGCTACCGAGGTACGGCAGGTATGTCAGAGTGAGGTTAATGTAGGCTGCAAGCTCATTCGGACCATACAATGTCGATGCTCCTTCGTATCGCTGTACACTGTATTCTTCTTCTGTGGTAACGTAATGAGCATAGCTGTTAGACGGGGCCCCTAGCACGACCTGAGGGTCAGAGATACCCAGCGTGTCCTGGGCACCCTTGGAAATAGCGTCCTTCCAGCGACGGCCCGACATAGTCGTCACTTCACTGGCCGAAATGATGAGGAACAGCTGCCCCAATCGGAGAACCTGAATGTCCACAATGTCTGGGGCCCAAGCGTACGGTAATGTAAGAGTTCCGACATCCAGGAGAATGTCCTTGGCCCCCTGGCATTTGACCTGTTCCGCGCTGGGCTGATGAATGAACGCCCGAGCGACGAGCCACAGTGGGTTTCCAGTGGCTGGGCTACTCGAATTTTGAGTGAAATCGAAGGCTCCTGGGCCATCGGTGGTTCCAGCAGCAAATGAATACCCCAGAGCCGCAGGACATGTCGTTAAAGTGCTGCCATTAAACGGAGACGGGAAGGTGTAACCATTCAGATCCTTAAATACGTGGAATGACCTGATACCTGAGCTACCGGTGATGCTGGTCGCATTGGTAGTCATCTGCTCGTAAAGTGATTTAGCCGCCGAGTACTGGCGCCGGCCGATTTCGAAACAACTCTTCGCGCCGTTATCCTTGACTCGGAAGAAAGGGCCCCTGCCATGGCATGCCTCATTTGTGCCACCGCAGGTACTGTCTGCATATGTGCACATCTTCCCAGAGCCATCCTCGCACCAGGCACCCAAGACGTTGGGGCTGGTATCTCCGACGTTGGACTGGGAAAATCCAATAACCGCATTGTCTGCGAACCTGGTATCCCCGTCTATGCTGCGCTCGAAGAGATAGGCTGCCACACCTTTGTTGTCCCCAGTAACCAAAGTGTTATTGTTGTACATGGATGTTCCGTGGACTGGGAACCATGTCAAAACAGCAGTAGTCTTGTTATCAGAGTCTCGGTCAAAACGAAGGAGGGTCATTGTCTTGTCCACATTGGCTGAGTAGCGAGCCTTTTCTTCCTCGGGGTTTTGATCATATGAGTATGGACTACGGTTGATATTGGCATCTTCAAGGTCAATGGACCCAAAGGATAGGCGCCCTGTGGTAAGATTTGCATGCGCACGTTGAATGGACAGGATTGTGCCATCGACAATCGCCTGGTAACTTTGCTTATCAAATCCCTTGGTCGGAATTTGAGGTAGTAAATAGTTCATCCATGCTCCAGGTCCAGAATGAGAGTGTGTGCCCGTCAGTGCAATGTTGTGTGCGCCATAGCGTGCATAGTCGCTCCCCAGCGCTGCAAGTCCCCGCAAGACTCCATCTCGCACAGCAGTGTCACCTGCAAGAGTGTCCAGAACCAAGTAGATGAAAGTATCCTCAGGAGTATTTGGGTCTGCGAATATAAAAGCACGTGAATATATTCTCTGGCGAAGACCCGTGCCCAGTTGATCTAGGCTAGCATAACCGTTGAAATCAACCTCGACTACCGGACTGGCTGTCTGTTAATCCTCAGAGAATTATGGAGGTAGAGAGATGCCATACCCTGTCACATCAGCCTTTCCGGCACCCACCAGAAATAGATTATCGGCTGCTGCTGCAGCACTCGCTCTGCTCTTCCACTTGTTGAAGTTTCGAGTAAAGCTGGATTCGGGAATTTGCTCGGTCTGTTGCACCATTGCCAACAGTTGCAGAAAGACCAGAAGAATCAACGTCACCGCAGCAAAGGCTGCGCTTAGTCGAAGATTCATCATATTGCGGATGAGTTGAGCGAAAAGTATGCCGGGATGCACCCTGGACGAGTACAGGGCAGGGAACCGCGCGAATATTTAAGCAGACAGTTCGCAGCAGGAGGGAAATTTGTAGCTAGGGATATCAGTGACGATCTTTCAGCTTGGCGTGGTAAGCATTTGACAAGGGTCGCATCCAGTTAAGCGATGTGTGATAGACAAGGAACCTGCAGCTGCAGGACTGTGATCGTCATGTAGCATCTCCGACCCCAAATTGGAAACGACATTCCTTCCCCGCACGGAGATAGGTATGAACCCGATTTCTTGTATGTTCACATGTTCACGATTAAAAGTCATTCAATAAATCAAAGTTCAGCCTAGGCAGGTTTTCGGGGACCTGGATCAGCGGTGACTCGTCAGGATAGTCTTGCAGCTGTCCCAGAATAGGATCATCAGGGTTACACCGTGATGCATTTGGGATGCAAACTATGATTCGCTAGATAGATCGGACCTTTGACTGTACATATCGTAGCTTTAGTCGAGACTTAGCTCTAGCTGATGCGCCAATAACAAGATCAAAAGAGATCGTGATGCTGATTCGTCAACATTCCAATATCACCTGATCGTGTCCCCACACCGCTTTCCGCTGCAATTGCTTTATCACAGATCTTGAAAAGTAATCTCCAAGTCTCCACTGCCAACCACTTCAAAATGCCTTTCATTAACGAATCTCACGACTCTTTACCTTGTATGTGTCAAATCCACGAAAGATTCATTCACGCTGAAACTAATTGACCTTACAGACGTCGACGCCGAGCCATCGGCCACCGCGTACCAAGGAGCCCAGCAGCTCATCAACGCCGAATTATCCCCAGAACACTCCTCAACGACCCACCCCTTAATCCCATCAGCTCCCGAACCAAAATTTTCTTCTCTTATTCAAAAAGAACTCGAGCGCAAGGCGACCGGTGCGCCTCTCACGGGTGGAATCGACCTGACCCGCTATGAAGCGCCCGAGCCCCCAGTTCGCGCCGCAGCCGGCGAGAGCCCCAAGCTAGACGAATGGCGGCAGGCGCTGCAAAGCGCGTACAAATCAAGCTCGCACCTTTCCAAGCGTCATGAGAACTTGACTTTGCTCGATGAAAATGGCAAGAACGCGTGGTTGATCGGCAATTCACAGCTCGAATATATTCTTGGCGGTCTGGAGAAGGAGCTTGCTGAGACGAAGGAGAGCTCGGAGGAGGTTAATAAGCAGCGCAAACTTGCTCAGGAGGCGCGGTATGGAGAGCTGTCAAGTTTGGAGGAGACTTGGAAGCGGGGCGTTGGAGCTATTCTCGATGTGGAGTTGGCGTCTGAGGGCATTCGACAGCAGATTTTGGAGCATCGAAGACAGGCGGCGCAGCAGCAGTCGCGCTAAAAAATCCGTCTCTCAGCTTTGTGCAACTACCACTCTGAGAGACCCCTTCATCCTTGGGATTGCAGGTGCAAGAATTCCTTTGGACTTTCCTCCTCGGTTGCGCCGAGAAATTTTTTCCGAAGTGTTGGCAGACTATACTTGATGGTGTGCAGCCTTGACAGCTAGGGTCAGAGCCTTGATGTAATAGCCTTGCTTCCTCCCTGCCTACAGGGAATGCTAGGCCAGTCTGCTGCCAGCCGTTTTTCATTTTGCGAATGTCGCAGGTACGACATTATCTCGCGAATACCAGGCATCATATTTGCCTCCGTCGGATACATTCAAACTCGCGTTTTGACGGCCTAAATAGGCCAGGGAGCCTTGGAAGGAAGTGGTGCAAGATAATGTTCTTGACTAAACCAAGATCAAACCCAGGTTGCATTACGTTCTAGATCTTAAATCAAGCTCTATGGGCCATTAGCACCAATGTGCTTCTATTAATCAAAATACCAGATCCCTTTAAATCTTTTCCATATCACATAGCTCATCCTTGACCTGATTATCATGGAACAAAATCAATGACAACCAAAATGCATACCATGTCCTACGCTAACTTATGCGATATGTTATTAAAGACAGCATATTAATCCCCAGGCTCCCCATGAAACCATTAAACAATTAAACCTTCCCCGGCGTGACAAGATTGACATCAACCCCATTCTCTGTAACCCTGACCGGTCCAATCTTCTCATCAACAACAACCCCATTAGCAACAGCATTCTTATTCCAATGCAAAACCTCCTTGCACATGCCATCCAACGTAGTCAGCGGTGGGTTATAGCCCAGTCCACCCTCCTCAGGCGACTTCTTCGCCCGCGAATCATCGGCAACAGCAAAAGTATCCGAAATGGCAAACAGCGAAGGCTGAATCTGCGCCAGATCACCCGTGATCTTCGGCAAAAGCCAAGACAGATACTTGAACTGCACGAACGAGTATGCTTCGATGACATAAGAAAGAAGGAATAGGAAGATAGGCTGAACGATCGGGAAAGCGATTGGCGTCTTGGCAAGCGTACACAGCAATGTGTATAGATCGCTGAACGAGATAGCGGGGTTAGGATCCGTCACGACGAAAGCCTGGCCACCGATGTTGGGCAGGGTAGAGCCGGGCTTGCTTTGTTCGATTAGACGTTGCTCGTACAGTAGATGGGCGATTGAGACGTTTTCGGCATTGACGAAACTTTGGATGATGTGGGATAACCAGCTAAAGTATGTCAGTATGCATATCCACGGTATTTCGATCTTACAGACTCGAAGGCGTGAATGAATCAGTTGATACTTACGTAGGACTTCCACCAGTACGCAGGTAAACACCAGTAATAGTCATCGCAACATCACTTCCAATGCCGTAAATGCCGTTCGCAGGCCGAATACATCCAGTCCGGAAATTAGAGGACAAGTCATCTTCAGCTCGAACAAGTCGTTCCGCCTCGATCTTGGTGACAGCGTAATTTCCAAAGAACTCATCATGGCGTTGCGGTAAGGGTCCATCGTCGCTCATGATCTGCGTCACACGCTTCGGGAGCGTTTCCCAAGGCGCGATCCAGAAATCCGGTCGGTGGAGGCCCACTGAGCCAGAGGATGTGGAGATAAAGCATGTTGCACCGTTTGCCTTCGCGGCGTCAACGACATTGCGGGTTCCTTCGACGTTGACTTTGCTGCATAGCGGTAGGAAAGCTTCAAGACGGTCTTGGGGACGGATGATTGCTGCCGTGTGGAAGACGGTCAGAGGCAGCTCAGCGACGGATTCAGGCCATGGCTGCTCAAAGGCTGTGCTGACGACTAGTTTGTCGGTGATGTTTGTTTCGACGAATGCCAGTCCTAGGTCTAGAACTTCCTTTGTCGGAGTGTGGAGGTCTAGAATGCGGATTGCGGATGGGTTCTCGCCGCGGGAGAGTAGGTGTTGCACGATCCAGCCTCCGACAAGACCTAATTGGAGGTTAGTATGGACGCTGTGAATTTGAGTTTTGGGGTTCCTTTGCTTTTCTCCACGTTCTTGGTAAAAAGCATAAATAACCCAAAAATTCGCCGAGCTTGCGTCATTTGGAGAAACTTACCGGATCCACCCACGATAATGTAACGGCGAGTCTGTTTTGGTGGGAGGCTTTTGGTCACATCGACAGGGGTCTCACGGGCCTTTTGATAGGCAGACTTGACTTCTTCAACAGTCCAGCGGTGGGGAGAAAGGTTGAGAGCTTCTTCTGGTGTTGTCTTCATGGCGGTGTTGACATGGCGTAAGTATAGACCCGCCAAGCCCAGTGCAGCGGGCAGGAGTATGTAAGTCATCGTGAGACTGTAGGTCGGAGCTGGTATGAAGTGGGAGTATTCCCCTGGCAACATATGCTATTACAACGTGAGATTTAGGTAGGAGCTCAGGCCGTCTAGAACTCAAAGTTGTGTAATTTGTCAATCTATTCTCCGTGGCTTTGTTGCCGGCGTTTGCAGAAAGGGTCTCTGCAGCAGAAAGAGTATGGAAGGATGGAAAACGACATTAGGGAGAGAGCATATGAATATACTGAAATTCTACTTCAAATTTTTAGCTATAAGGCCCAAATTAGGAACAATCACCGTCGTAATCTGTTCTTTTTGGCAGGTCGCTTAGAGCTTGGACGGCTCGGTTAGAGTTAAACGAGAGCCACCACATGGGCACGCGCCATGGTTGGGTCGAGCGCCGTGTCTCTGCATCGAATCAGGAAGGGCATGGCGAGGTTGGCTTCCCAGTTTCTGAGGCATCCAAAGAAATCCCCCGATTTCCCCGAAGTTTCAGAATGCTCTTCTCGCTTCGCTTCCGGGTAGGCCCACCTTTTTAAACCACTGCTGCGCCCCTCTTAAGGAGTACGGTCTCACTGCAAATTCCGTTCTTCTGCGGAATTATTTCCGTCCAACGAGCACGTTTTGACTTTCACATCAGGATGCGCAACTATTGTCGGCATCGATCGTCTCGGGCCTAGACATCGGCATCTGTTGCCCCGTTTGGAGTTGTTCGGGATGTTCACTTATCCGAGACTCTTATTCCCGATCGCGATTGACTTGCCAGAGACCATGACAAGGTATATATTGTCGAATCGACTGGGGTGTATATCAATTGAGGTTCGCAGAGAACTCCGGTCTCCACCAATACTTAATATGATCTGTCAACCAAAACGACAACGTTTTGTTGGTTTAGACGTGCAGCCTGGGATTGCGTATCTCGGCAAACCGGCACGCTAGACAAATCCCGACACTTTGTCCACAGAGCAGATAGGGGGCATCAGCACTTCATGAAGGCGTTGTTTACCCACGGGGAAGGCTTCTTTCTGGAGTGGAACTAAAGCCGTATTTCGGATTTATTATCGGAATCTACAAGAGCCTCCACTTATCATGCCACCCTTAGACCTTGAATATATATGCATGAGGTGATCGTGGCCCCAATACCCTTTCCGAGATCCGTGCTTTTAATCACCGACATGTTGGGCCCTCGTCACAGATATTAGGCTTATCACTGGCGCTGGCCCCACCTGGTCAACGCTCTCATAAGAAAATTTCTAATTGAGATTGACATACGGGACTTACCGTTTCTACCCGCTCTTTATCTTCGTTGGAGTTCCTGACTCAGTAAACCCCATTTTGCTATACATAGCACTGGTAATCCCCATATTCAACCCTGGGACCGGCCTTCCTTCCCAATTTTGGACTCGCCGTTTCTTCTTGAAAATCAATATCCCCTGCAGGTGGGATTTCCGTAAGGAAATAGAAACGCTTGTCACGAAGTCGGTCTACATCTACGTATCGCATTGTCATTACAACTCAATTCAGCCATCTCAGAACCTTATCGCACGTTGAACTCTATTCATACACCGGCACATCTCTAAGAGATGTCATCGCAACACTCTTCTGCGGATCCCCATGAAAAATGGCCGAGGAATAATGATCATGACACGGACTCTATCGCGGAGACTGTGTCTTCGGTAGAAACCCGGGCCGACCAGGATGTGCTGGGCAGGGCATTGACCGCGCATGTCTCACGAACCTCTCATATGTCGCTATCAGAGCGCGTGACTACAATTCCCACAAACGCCACCGCTGATCCCAACTTTGAAGTGGATTGGGATTCAGAGGATGATCCCGCGAATCCCAAGAACTGGACGATGGGTTACACGGCCATGGGGATTCTGTTTTTGTCATGGAACACTCTTATTGTGTAGGTTGAGAAAATTGTCCCAAAAAAAGACCTTTGTTTACCCTAACTGATGTATACAGTGTGCTATACTCAACATCTTATACCTCAGCCACGACGCAGATCGAAGAAGAGTTTGGCCAGTCTGAAACTATCGTTACTCTGGGACTGACATTCTATCTGATCGGCCTGGCAATCGGGTCTATGTTCATGGCTCCATTGAGTGAAGTATACGGCCGGAAACCCGTTTGCGTGACTTGCATGGTTGTGTTCACCGCTATGATCATTCCCTGTGCTCTCGCCAAATCGATAACGACATTGATCGTCGTGCGATTCATCGGTGCGCTCTTCGGCAGTGTCATGATCTCCACGGCACCGGGTATGGTAGCCGATATAGTAGACGATGAGCATCGCGCACTGGCAATCTCAATCTGGAGTATCGGTCCTCTTAACGGCCCAGTTGTGGGACCCGTAATCGGAGGATTCGTGACCCAGTATCTCGGCTGGCGATGGATGTGCTGGATCGTATTGATCCTCTCAGGCGTGGGTTTAGCCTTCGCTCTCATCCTGAAGGAGACCTACGGACCGACTCTGCTACAGGAAAAGGCCGCTCGACTGCGCAAAGAAACTGGTGATTCTCGCTGGTGGTCCCGCTATGACCGCAAGGATAGTCTATACGAAATCCTGAAGCTGGCCCTCAGTCGCCCATTCGTCATGGCTGTTACTGAGCCAATCTGTATATTTTGGGATCTCTATGTCGCAATCGTTTATGGTATCCTCTACCTCTGTTTTGTTGCCTACCCTATCGTTTTCCAGGAAATCCGTGGCTGGTCCCTCGGTCTATCTGGCCTTGCTTTCCTCGGTATCGGTATCGGAGTTGTACTCACCATTGCCTCTGAGCCTCTTGTTCGCCGACTGATCAACAGGCATGAAAAGGATCCGGACACTGGCAAGGTTTACCCCGAGGCCATGGTCTCTTTCATCTGTATCTGCTCCATCCTCATCCCCATTGGCGAGCTTTGGTTCGCTTGGACCTGTGCCCCAGCCTCCATTCACTGGATCGTGCCTTTGCTTGCTGGAATCCCCTTCGGAGCTGGTAACACCGGTGTCTTCATCTACGCTTCAAACTATCTCACCGGTAGCTATGGCATGTATGCTGCGTCCGCGCTGGCGGGTAACTCGGTTGTCCGGAGTATCCTTGGTGCAGTGCTGCCGCTCGCTGGCACAGCTATGTACAACAGCCTTGGTCCGAATTGGGCGGGCACTTTGCTCGGATTGCTGGAAGTGGTTATTATCCCGATTCCGTTTGTGTTCTACAAGTATGGACACAAGATTCGACAAAAGAGCACTATGATTATGCGCATGCAGGAGGAGAAGAAGAATGTGGAAGGCAAGAGGGCGAGAAGAGTGGCTCAGCTGGCTGCTGTTGCTGAGGAGAAGAAAGCCGAGGAAGTCTGAGATAGCGGTGATGTTCTGATTTCAATCGTGATTTGTTTAGTTTCCGTTGGCATCGATACCCCATTGATATTCGAGGTTACATTGGTGTTCAAAAGTTTATAGCTGTAAGGCTCTATTAGAGGCTTGCAATAGTTCAATAGGACTTTCATGAAGAATATATTAATATAAAAATTCATCGCATTGTGGCTTCACTGAGTACACCATCACGTACGTAATAGATACCTATAGCCCTCAGATTTCCCGAGATAGGCCTCCGTTTCCGTTTTGATTCAGTCAAATAGAGTATGCTTAGTCACGTTTCATGGTTCCCCAAACTATACTGGAACTATACCGAGAGAAGTTAAGAGTGGTTATAAGTCTTGTTCACCCGTTGGGGGCTAAAATGGACAACCCACCAGACTTGAAGCGAGGCCGTACGACTCAATCCACGACAAACGAGATCACACGTCGGGAAAGCACGTAGCCCAATATAAGGTCTACATGACGCGATAAAAGCAAACTATCGACGCTAGACCTCATAGCGTAATCAGGAGGCAGGAACAGCAACTCAAGCCTCTTCCGCTTCCTGCCGCCCCCCTCGGCCCCACAAATTGGCAATCAACATGGGTGGAATCCCTTGGACGTCAGCCGCATGCAAGAACTGTAAGAAGAGCAAAGTCAGAGTATGTAAGCGTGCCGATTCGGAATTGACCATTACTAATACCCAATGTTAGTGTGACTTGAAAGAGCCAGAATGTACAAGATGCATCAGGCGCCGCACACCTTGTCCCGGGTACGAAGGGCGGATCTTTGTCCAGCAAACCTTTCCCCAGTCGACTTCCCGAAATCCAAGTGAAAAGAGGAGATCAGTCCAAATTCAAAGCCGAGCAGACCCCTGGAGACTACCCCAAGCTGTGAACAGCGGCGGCCAAGAATGCATGCAGATATCCGCATGTTATCTCAATTCCGCCTTCTCCCTCAACCCTACAGATGGATGTGGAAGCTCCCCCTGGTATGGACATGAGACCTGGCGCTCTGTGGTAGTCACCTGCGTGCAACTGCCCGAGACAAACCAGCGGATGCTGGAGAAGGCTGTCACTGCGATTTCTTGTGTTTATCTTGGCAAGATGAATAAGGATGAATTAATTCTTCGGCGTGGAACTCAGTTATACAACCAGGCGATTCGACTTCTGGCTGATAGGATCCGAAAAAATGTTTTCGATGATCGGTTTTTGTATGCGACTGTCATCTTTCAGATGATCGAGGTAATGACCATCGTAAAAGCTTTCCTTATATCTGCTGATGGATCTTGGTTTCCAGGTAATAGATTGTCCGCAGGGTATTGAGACCTGGATAGCGCATAGGAGCGCGGCAAATTTCTATTTCAAGAAACATCTCCGATTGGGGTTTGATGACAATATCCTGAAAAGGAGTATATTTGGAAGTCATCAAAGAGCCGCAATTGTATGTTGCTGAAGCCAATGAGCGATTCTCCTACTGACCCTCGTCTCTGTAGGTATACTTTAATGCAAGAGCACAGCCAATTAATGAGGAGTTCCGCTATCTTATGAACTTTCATTCTGAAAACATCCTTGACGAAGTTTTCAAATTTTATATTTCTATTGCATCTCTTCAGGGAACAGTCAATGAGATGACAGAGTCAGACTTTACGACAGGACAAGCAACGTTGGACGCGTGTCTGTCCCTCAAGAAGAGAATGACCACATGGTATACCGAGAACCTCAGTGAGATTGGAGGGCCACCACATTGCTCGTCCCTTGGTAAATCACCCCAAAGCTCAATATCTCCGGCGGATCATCTATTCGGCCCCCATTATCATTTCTCAAGCCTCCATAATGGAGTTCTGCACGTTTACTACTGGGCAGGTCTGGTCAGAATTGAAAGTTTGGTTCGTCAAGCCCACGCCGCTCTCATATCCACGTCCGATTTCCGAGATGTCCTTGTCCATTCCCCAGATTGTCGTCCAGACGAGAACTATGCTATTGCAGAACACTACGGCGACGAAATTTGTCGAGCTATACCATTCTGTCTGCAGGGGAAAATGAATTTATGGGGTGTGCAAACCGGAATGACGTCGTGCATAATACATGCTATTCAGCCTTACATCCACCTTCGACGGCAAGAAAAGTTCAAGTGGTGTCAAAGCGTTTTGCAGGTTTCTATAGATCATGGCATGGCCCTGACCCTACATTTTCAGAAAGCTTTCTCGCAAATGTGGGAGGCTATAAACGGTCCGTCCACGGGTGAAAAGACTACTCTACCAGTGCGATATGTTGATCCAGATATCCATGTACCTTTTCCCCCGGAGAGCCACCCGAGGATTACAGATGTGACCAATATGTGAAATATCCAAGCTAATAGATACCCGGGCACATCCTACATAAACGAATCCAGGATTTTATTTCTCAAAACTGAATTACATCAGTGCCCTCAAATGGCCTGTCTGTCAACATTCACTCCGCATGATAAATCCGGCTTTCCACGTCGTTGACATGTCGAAGGATGCGCTCATATTCTCCCAGTGCAATCGCTCCAGCAGGGAAAACCATGACGGCCTCAATGAAGACTGGACGAGATGCAACTTTCGTGGGAATGGCACTTGTGAGAGATTGACTGCTGGGTTGTTGCAAATCCGCTTGGCTCGATGAAAACGAAGATTCTGGAGTGGCTGAATCTCGCACGTAGCCCAGTACATTCAGCCAGGTGCCAACACGCAAATACTCGGCCTTCAAACTCTCCAGAACAGCATTGATATCCACAGAAACCGTACTCGGCTCGGACCTGCTGCGCGGATAATTGTGTTCTAGAACCAGATGGCCCATTGTGACATTATACAGTTTAACACTAAACGCAGATAATGTAAGCATCGATCTCTTTCAGTGGGTACGCTAGATATATATCGTCGTGGACGGGACGTGCCAGAAGAGACGCACCAGCCCAAGAACCGGATCTTCGAGTCCGCAGCAAGACATGGCAGATCGCATAAGAACGCACGAGTCGAGGGACGCGGCCCATTCATCCCTGGGATGAAGACGAGAGATAAGCGAAGCGAAACCGTTGATCAATTGGTAGATTTCATAGACGGCCACGTGACTGCTCGTATGTCATAGGTGCAGCGAGGGGAAAGTCCGCTCCCCTCCATTTCTCGGACTTCATCACAAGACTACGATCACCGAATCTCCCGATCCTCAATCTGACTGCATTCTCGAAACACCTAGACGTCCACTGCGGACTGCCAAATCGCCTCCTTCTTTCTTCGTTTTCTCCGGCAATTTTACTGTTTGCCTGGTGCCTATCTCGCCCGCCTCCGTCTGACTAGGTATTTCGCTCTAGACTCACGGGCACACTTGCATACCGCCGCCACGGGACCAACCAGTGCTGCCTGATTCTTCTCAAATAACAAATCATCAATCCCCCTCCAAACCGACCCTCAAATCCACCCCCCATCAAAGCAACATGTGGTCATGGTTCGGCGGCGCATCCGCCCAGAAGCGCAAGGAGGCGCCTAAGAACGCTATCCTAATGTTGCGCGGACAGCTGGATATGCTCCAGAAGCGGGAGAAGCATCTTGAGAACCAGATTGCGGAGCAAGATGCCGCAGCACGAAAGCATGTCAACACTAATAAGAATGGTACAGTTTCCTGCCCCTCCCTTATTATCCTCACAATAAAAAGAGCGATAAGGTGATTAACCTCAAATAACATTGTCACTAACCTCGTTCGCTCTGAATAGCCGCCAAAGCCGCCCTCCGACGGAAAAAGGCCCACGAGAAGACACTCGAGCAGACATCAGCACAGATAATGCAGCTCGAGCAACAAGTATACTCGATCGAAGCGGCGAACATCAATTATGAGACTTTGCAGGCGATGAAGCAGGCTGGTACAGCGATGGAGCAGATCCATGGAGGAATGAATATTGAACAGGTTGATGAGACAATGTACGTGGGCTGGATTCTTCCCATCCTCTCTCACTTGACTTTCCGACCGCTTTCGTTTCGTTTCATTATGACTGACGATAGATTTACGTGCAGGGCCAAGCTTCAGGAACAACACGCACTGGCCGACGAGGTCAACCAAGCGATTACCTCTCCCGCATTGGGAGATCAGGTCGACGAGGACGAGCTGGAGGCCGAGCTGGAGGGACTGGAGCAGGAGGCTATGGACGAGCGGATGCTCAATACCGGCCCTGTACCGGTCAACTCACAGCTGGACCGGTTACCGGCTGCTGGAACTTCCGATTGTAAGTCTACCTACACTGCATATACCCGATCTGCCTTCCGGGTATATCAAAATATACATTGCAGATGCTGACAACCGCCACAGTAAGCAAAAACAAGGCGACAGCCGAGGTAGACGACGAGGAGGCGGAATTGGCCAAGCTGCGCGAGGAAATGGCTATGTAGTATCAAACCTTTACAACTTTTATTTCATGCGCATTCCTGATTTCCCTTGGGCTCTCTTGTTCTCACCTTCTCATGCATTGGATGTTTTTGTTGTTCACTTGCAAGCAAGCCTTTTGATGTACCCGGCGCCAGTTCTCTTCTATACACCATGAATATTGCTACTCATATCTTATTCTTTTGCTTCTTAGGTTTAGTTATCCTTTTGCTTTTTTTGTCCATGGACAATGAATTCTGCTAGACCATCTGATCTTCGCCCGTTTCAAATTAAAATGTATGTTCGATTTATCAGACTTGGAATATTCAAGTGAAATTACCGTTCATTAAGATGGAAGACCTACATCGGTTCTGCAAGTTTATCACAATGATTATTAAATCAGTTGGAACTATCACGATTTATAGATCATGGAACTAAAAGCAGAACCACAAGGTAAATCGGAAAATTGACAAATACATAACTCCCATGGCTTGACCCGCCATGACCGGCCGCCCATATCCATGCTAAACCACATTCGCCGAAATAAAAGATAAAAGGAAAGCCCCTCCAGGATGTGAAAACTCCTTGGCGATTGAAAAACACCCAAAAACCCATCGCATCGTCGTTAGCAAACAAGATAGCTAGCAGGCCTCCAAGCTGACTCTAGGGCTAGGGATACCATGCGTAGCTCTTAGTTGGCGTGGCTCGCGCCCCATTGTCAGCTTCGGTCGACCATCTAGACTTCCACTCTTGCTCGCGAGCTGCATGGTCCATAAGTCCCACTTTGCATTCCTCGGGGAGCATGGCGATGATCTCAGGACTCATGAACTCAGGGTGCAGTGAGCCAGCCATAGTGGTCACACCGTTCGGGCTCAGGGTGTGCATATCTCCGTCCGGGCCTGGGATACCCATGTTGGAGTAGGGAGGTGTTTCATACGAGATGTCCTGAATGACGTAGTGGTCGGAGATGGACTTGCAGACGCGGGGGAAGAGGACTGAGGGTTTCTGTTCGGTGGACTCCTGCTCTGCGCCGGAGGTCGAAGTGGGTTTGGGAGAGGTTGAGGATGGTTCTTCGGTAGCAGTTTGTGGGCGATTGCTGGGTTGCCTATTGCCTCCGATACTTAGCGTGGACAGGTCGGACATCAGCTCTGCTGCGGAAAGCGCCTTCGATGGCGGTACGCGTTCGTATCGAACATGAGTGGGCTGGGTGATCTGGGGGTATTGCATGTTGTTTGTGTGAACATCATACACGCCTCCCATGGTGCTACGGCGCATTTCGGCAAGCTTGGAATTGAATGTGCTAAATAGATTGTTAGAGGGGTGGAAATACTTGGTGAGTATATAGAGAAACGTACCTTGCTGCACGGGCGTGCTCGAGCATCCAGTTATCATCCGTGATGGGGACCCGACGCTTCTTGGAATCCACCGGTTTACCTCCCGCCAGAGGTACGGACGGCGCACCAGTGTGATATACACTACTGGCACCATGCCAAGCGACATACTGGTTGCGATTGTAGGACTCTCCAGGGCCAGGCAGCTTGTCGTCAGGGACAGCCAGCTCACCCTCCACATCGCCACGTTCACGAGCAGCATCCTCGTAGTAGTCATCAAGAACCTTCTTACCGCCAACAACAATCTTGGAGCCAAATTCGCGGAACACTGAGCGCGCAGTGACCACACCAATGGCTCTACCTTTATAAGAATGCGGGATAAGGTCGCGTTCAATCAAGTCGCGCTTAGCGTCGTCATCGATGATTATCTTGTAGAGCATTTTGTGTTTTTGGAAGAAGAGATACGAGTCACGGAAACCAATGCATCGTGCCGGTTCAGTCGACAGCATGTACAGGCGGTCATCGCGGTTAAGAATGGTGAAAGTGCGAACTCGGTACTCGCGTCCACCCTGAAGATGTCCATTGTCATCAACCTTGGTAGCACCCTTGGGGTCCGGAGGAACAGCCACTTCATCGTTGATCACATCCATCATGTTTCCCTCCTTGTCGACTGGGACCTGGGTCAGGTGAGATGGACCCCTGTTTCGCGCCCATCGTCCACCGCTGGCAGCAGGGCGACCTCTGCGACGCTTGACGGGAGTGGTGACTCGAAGAGGGGTGTCTGGACCGTCTGGCGCATCCCAGTCTGGAGGACGGTTCTTGGGTGGGCGACCAATGCGACGTTTGCGGGGAATGGCAGATTGACGGCCACCAGTGAAAGTTGGGGTATCCTCTGCGCCGGCAATCTGAGTCGTGTCTTCAGCAGCAGGTGTCGCTACACTCGCTCCTTCATCACCCTTGGATTCAGCAGGAGTTTCGGCCTCAGCCTCAGCCCCGGCTTCAGGTTCAGGTGCAGGCTCAGCCTCAGGCTCCGCGGGCTCAACGGACCCGGCTTCGGGTTCAGCATCGCTTTCGGCATCAATTTGTACATCGGGGTCGTTCTCAGGGGAATCATTGTAATCTGGGACAGGCGATGATGGTTCTGATGGAGGAGCATCTATCATCTCATCATCAGAGGCATCAGGATGCTGAGGCGCATCTCCTGGAGGGGGGTGTTCATGTTAGTCGCGAACGCGCTCACAGACGAGGATCATCGCGAGGGATGATGGGACGGTAGACACGATCAATTACTCACTCATGGACTTCGCTGCTGCTTGAGCAGCAGCCCTCAGCTTTCGAGGCATAGCAGCGAGATAAAGAGTGATCAAAAAGGCGAGATGCAATGTCCGAAGAGCAAGCCATCCTGAAGCTGTTTTGCTATATCGGATTAACCATTTCGCCGATAGTTGGTGCACGTGACATAAAACACGTGATGTGGTTGAAATGAATCTTCAGCCTCAGGCTTACATACTCCAGCCCTATACCCTATATTCCCCTTTGGATGCTTACCCCCTCCATAAGCATCTGACGTCACAGGTCGATCGTTCGCCATCAGTTGGTCAATTTCAAAGATGGCAATCATTGACCACTCATTTTTCTCATACCCAACACCCTTTTAATTTACAATCAATCTAGACTCCTGACCGCCTTCTATTACCATCTCCTTGAATCATTGTTGCAGGCCCACGACGCATGTCGGAAGTGACAGAAGCCGTTTAGACGGTGCGGAGAATGCGCCATGAGCTCATGCACCCTAAATGCTCACCGGATCGGGTTGCTCACCGTTCTTTCCCGATGGCCTAAGTGTCCAACATAGAGCCCCCGGTGGCTAATATCTGTGCGACCGCTCCTTTCCACCGGTGAGGAGTGTGGTTATTTTCCCGGTTTCTAATTGTAGCCTGGTATGTATCACATGTGCTGAATTGGTGAAGCTGGGGGCGAAACCTGCTTTTTAATTGTATAAATGTAAGCCGTGAAGCTGCTCAGCACCGCTTTGACCAGGATGGCTAGCCAGCCATAACATATTGGATTTGATGATTTGGGTTGATTTCCGACCCGGCCAATAATAATGCAGCAATTTGCCCATCTTTCCAGAATAGTCTGTGTTCCATTCTTTATGCTGATCATGCCAGGCCTCGGGACGGCGAGTCGGCTGCATGGCGGATCGTGGCACAGCTTCACCGCAGCTTGCAGATGACCGACGAATGTGATCAACGTGGCTTTGGGGAGAACTTTGCCTGCCAAATCATGCAGCCCTAGGGAGCTTTATGCAAAAAATGTCATACTGTACAAAAAAAAGAAAGATAAGAAAATGGTAATGGGGACGCATGGAGGTTGTACATATGTGCCACCAGGCTCGGGACCAGATATCCATGTGTCAATCCATAGGGTGTTCTTCTAAAGTCTACAGACCCTGGTCTTCCATGAACGGCTTCGAGGATCTCTTTTCCAGTGCTCTGCTTATTCGCTGTTCTCAATAATCGGAGCAGAGTGAGGGGTGTGTGCAGATCCTCCCCGCCCTCGGATTCGGGATTCGGGATGCTGCGTAGAAGGGGACTGCAATGTTGTACAAAGTGGAGAGAGCTTGAGCAGTGTTACTTCAGTGATCTTCACCTGCACTGTCAATACGTTGCGTCCGCTCATACCTCCGGGGCTCTGATCCATCAAACCAACATCTAGAGCAGAAGCGTGGGATTCTGCTGGTGGACGCCCCATGACGCAGATAGTGGAGAATTTGTAGCATACCGCTAGAGCTGGGTGGTGGGGGAGCACAGTGGTACAAGCACCTCGAGCTTCCCTAGGTATGTGGACGCAAGGGGAGGGCACAGTTGGGTCGGGCCATTTTCAAAGCTGATGCACGATCGCGATCGCGTTGGAATTGCCGATCGGACTCGATCTATGTTGCACAGAATGGAAATGACCGTGATGGCGTTGATGGCTGATATCGTGAGCCTTATTGAGTGTATAGGAAACCCGGTATAGTTCTCTCTGCATGCATAGGAGGCATGTACTCCGATCCTATGTACCCCGCCTATTCTCAGCGGAGATGGCGGAGACTTGTGCATATGGTGCGTCAGACCCTGATAAGAACCCAAGGGAAGGCGCGCTATCAGGCGCATCGACTAAGAAAATAAGGCGACATTTCCCGGTATCGGTATCGAGTATGCGACATAGTACACCCACATGTTACGTCGATCCTGTGTGATTTGGCGCGTTCTCCGATACATAACCAAAAATTAATGCGCCCTTTACAATGGTTTTATATCCCCGTAGAGGTAGTAAGATGATCTAACTATTGGATGAGATTACTAAATCAATAATTCCAAACCCAAACCATCGGCCATTCACGGATCAAGGCAAACGGACTCCACCGGGCGGTTTGCCTATTGAACGATAAACTGAGGGATTTCAGTCGGTCTGACTCCGTCGAATTCAAAGAGAGGTACGATATTTGAGTCATTCAGGTCAGTAGTAAAATCGACTCTGCATACCTAAGTACCGGAAGAAAGAGAAAGATCCAGTTCCAATCTGAATGCACCCAAGATCTAGCCTTTCGAGTGCTACCAACAGTAAAAATCTCCAGTAAAAGATGAAGAATTCCCGATACAAGTATGATCTCAGCGGGTCTTTTGACTTATGATCTCACCCTATATGAATTTGGGTCCCCCCTCCTTTAATTTTCCATTGCTTTCCCTTGGTTAGGGAAAGTGGAAAACCCGAAGCCGATCCGGGTTCACCATCCCGCAATCTCCCTTAGCTCATCATCCGTCAAAGTTTCTTTTCCTTTTTCTTAGTTAATCCTTTTCCACGTTTTTCATCTCCTCGACTCCTTCAACAATCGACCCGCCACAAAACCCCCGCCCCACACCCCACTTCGATTTTTCAGTCCCGAAATTCTACGTTTGAGCGGAGGGCGAATCAGTCCTGGATGGAAACACAATGGCCGCTGCGCAGAACGGAACCGTGTTGCACGGAGAGGCAGACATGAAGCCTAACAAGTGAGTACCGTCTCGGTTTCCTTACTTTATGCCCCTCCATAAGTCGATCCCGGGTCATAGCCGAAAAAATGTGATTTTTGCCCCTCACCGTACTCGGCGATGGAGGTCCTGCATGGCTTATCTTGTGAGACAATCTGCGGCAAAGAGCCTGTACAAAGAACAAAGAGAGAGAGAAGAGAGAGAGAGAGAGAGAAAGAGAGAGATTTCAGCCATCCCGTGCGCCAGGTTACTGGAGTTTTCCCGCTATCTGCATGATGACCCGGTCGCACTGCAATTGCCACCACCCATCAGACACATATATACCGCCAACTTCTCCGGAGGGGTTGAAATAACTGACATGGTTGATCCCTTAGCTCTGTGCCCGAAGACGAAACCCAAGATCAGATCGGCTCAAACGGGTCCACTCCCACTGGAATCGCTACCCCTCAGCCAGATCCCGCAGACAAGCGTCTGCCCTCCATCATGCACAACTACTTCCAGGTTGGTTCCTTCTCCGGTGATCGATTAAGCCTACCGCGTCTATGGCCATGTCTTGCGAAACCCTTTTCGGAGCACCCAGACCCGGGTGCTTCTTCTGAGTCCTTTGTCGTTTTGCATCGAGAGGAGGGGTCTGATAAGATCGAGGCAAATTTGCCTACACCCCCTCATTCTCTATTACAGTCAGATGAGATGGATCTCAGCTCGAGTCCAGACATGACTGCGGGGTCGATTTTTAATACCCTCAAGAAATACCTCATTCCCCATGAACATGAACATGAATCTCCTTCCCGCCGTCAAACTTCCCTGCCAGTCTCTAGCGTTTCAGACGACCCCGTTCTTGCCACACACTTCTCCAATCCTTCTCTCCCTGCACAAGACGCCTGTTCCCTCACCGAAACATCGTTACTCGACCACGGGAAACCGCATGTCTCAGTATCTTCCGAGAACCTTACCAAGCTGACTGGAACCGCACCCGATGCGGTGCGTCTAAAGAATACCCCGCCGCTTACCCCCCGTACGATGTCCAACGAGGAGGAGAAAAAGACGCCAGTGACCTCGGCGCCCCGTAAATCTGAATCCGAAACCGATCCCGAGAATGAGGAAACCAAGGCCGAGACCCGGGACACCTCCACCGATGAAATTACGATGAAACTTGATGAGGCATTCCCCCGCCAACCCTCGCCCCAGAATGGACCGCCCGTGCTCCCGCTGAAGGGTAAACTTACCGTGAAAATCTCCGAAGGCCGCGGCCTGCGTCCCAGTGTGGATCCGTATGTGGTGTGTGTCTTTGAGTGGAACGAATATATTTCCAAGGGTACCAAGGATGGAGAGGAGGAAGACGAGAAGAAGCGGCGCCAGATCGAGTCGGATGCGGAAGCTGGTCGGCCAATGGCCATTCCGATGCGCAGCCGTCAAAGCAGTAACAACAGTGCTTTTGAAGGGGCTGAGAAGGGCAAGTCGCCCATCACTGATCCCCACTGGGATCACGCAGCTGTTTTGTATGTGTTGTCTATCCTTGGAAATTTTCTTTCTGTTTTTTTTTTTTTTTTTTTTTTTTTTTTTTTTTTTTGCTAACCTGTAATAGTGATGTTCTCGGTGATCAATCCGAAGTTGATGTCACCGTGTATGATCGTCACAACCAAGAAGCGTTCCTCGGCCATGTTCGACTGAGCATTAATCTGAAAGAGGATCACAGCCGACTGGAGGGCTGGTTCCCCTTGGTCGCTCGTGGCGCTGGAGACAGCCTGGTGTCGGGTGAAATTTATCTTACCATGACCTTTGAAATGACCGAGCGGAAACAAGTTGGCCCAAATGATTTCCAGATCTTGAAGCTTATCGGCAAAGGAACGTTCGGTCAGGTGTACCAAGCCAAGAAGAAGGATACCGAGCGCGTTTACGCGATGAAGGTTCTGTCGAAGAAGGTGATCATCCAGAAGAAAGAGGTGGTCCACACTCTGGGAGAGCGGAATATCTTGGTTCGCACCGCGATGGCTTCATCTCCATTTATCGTGGGCCTCAAGTTTTCTTTCCAGACACCTACAGACCTTTACCTCGTGACGGACTACATGTCCGGTGGTGAATTGTTCTGGCATCTTCAGCGCGAGGGCCGCTTCCAGGAGGCTCGGGCCAAGTTCTACATTGCGGAACTGATTTTGGCCCTGCAGCACCTTCACGATTATGATATCGTTTACCGTGATCTTAAGCCGGAGAACATCCTGTTGGACGCTAATGGCCACATCGCTTTGTGCGATTTTGGTCTGTCCAAGGCTAATTTGACACAAAATGATACCACCAACACCTTCTGCGGCACCACCGAGTATCTCGCCCCTGAGGTCTTGTTGGATGAGCAAGGATATACCAAGATGGTTGATTTCTGGTCATTGGGTGTTTTGGTATTCGAGATGTGCTGTGGCTGGAGTCCGTTCTACGCCGAGGATACCCAGCAAATGTACAAGAACATTGCCTTCGGCAAAGTGCGATTCCCCAGAGATGCTCTCAGTACCGAGGGACGAAACTTTGTCAAGGGTCTGCTGAACCGGAACCCAAAGCACCGTTTGGGAGCCAATGGCGATGCGGCCGAGCTCAAGGCGCACCCATTCTTCAATGATGTTGACTGGGAGGCACTGGGCAAGAAGCAGGTGATCCCGCCTTTCAAGCCTAAGCTCAAGTCTGATCTGGACACCTCCAATTTCGACCCGGAGTTCACAAATGCCCTTGAGAACAACAACTCCTTGAATGACCGCGCTGCCGCTCTCGCCAACGGGCTGATGCCTGCCGGTACACCGCTTTCCCCTGGCATGCAGGCCAACTTCAAGGGTTTCACATTTGTGAACGAAAGCTCAATCGATCACCATGTGAAGGATGTCCCAGAGGACGAGGACGAGGATGATATGGTGGATGAAGACACCATCCTTGCCGGGTCGTGGCGATCCCACCGACCGACCAACTCGTCAGATCTTCGCATGAGCGGTGCCAAGACATCCGACGGTGCCGATCCCGGAATTTTTAACGTTGATGAGAACTTTTGATGTGACTACGCTTTCCCTTGGTTTATCCCACATTGCATGATCATGGAGTCTTGATCTTGTCTTGTACATGTCTTTAGGTGCATCCCTTTATCCACTCAGATCTGGTTCATTGTTCATGGTTCATTTGGTTTGAAGGTATTCATCTTGTTGCGTGCTTGCTATTTTCAGTCTTTGCCGAGGAGGGATCCCTATCACCTTTTGTTTTCTCGTCCTATCTATCATGTCATGATTTGTTTTGGCTGTTATCAGCTACATACCCCGTCTCCCCTGGGGATTTTACCATCCGTCCCCAGGGAGACCTGCATCTCCAATGGAACTGGCCAGGGTTCTACTTTTCCAACACCTTTCTGTTTCCTCTGGGAAAGAAAGTGGACAGTGTACCTGGGTTTGAGTTTTTATTTCTGAGGCATTCCTTCCTCCTTTCTTATCTGGGATTGTATTTGGGTTTTTATGCCAGCGATCTTCCTCTATTTCATCCAGTCTCATCAAGTCAAACCTTTCTTTTTCCTTTCGACCTTTTTCATATATTTCCTCGATAAATCTCTTTAGCATCTAGACTAGCGGGTACATACTATTTTGACAGTTAAGTTGATAATGGAGTTCGGACGAAGGGCAAGGGCAGCATAGCATCAGATGTGACTTAGTTGATGGTTGTTTATGGTACTCCATTTACCTCTCTTAGTACATTAATTACCATATTGGATTTTAGAATTTTTGAATAGATGATATTGTTTTTCACTGCTATGTTGTTAAGTAGGGCAATTTTATCTGGTCTATCAGAACAAATCTTCCGAAACTTTGCCTGATCTGCCAACGGCATTCCGTTCTACCGAGACGTCATTCTGACCATCAAATAACCCCTATGGCCCTTTCCTACCTCGGGCAAGAATCAAACCAAAAGTTTTGACGTGCGTTTTAGGACTAGTGCCTTCCGTTCCGTACTTAGGCTTCCTCTTCGTAGTGCGTCTTCTTCGCCGCTCGCCACAATACTACTACGTGCTACGTTCTCTTGTGCTTCAGTACCATTGATTGCCTCGCACACAAAATTAAGAGCTCGTTTCACGGAGATATTTTCCTAGTCTTGCAACAATTTATTGTCGCTCCTCCTTCAATCATATCTATCACACAGAAAGTCAGACACACCAAGATGTTACATGTAGGACATAGCCACGCTGTGGCCCTACAGCACCTTCTCGAAAATTTTAATGGTCTCGAATATCAACAGAAGGGAAAGCAGGTCGCAGGAAAATATACCGATCTGGACGTTACCATTGATTGCATGAGGCAAGACATTTTGACGACGCAGGTCACCGTTCAAGACAGAATACTGGAGATTAGCACGAGCACTGCAGTTGCTACAGACCAAACTATCCTCGCTTCTATCAGACACGAGGAGAAAATTGCAGAACAAGATCGCCAATATGCTCTTGCTTTAAGCAATGGAGTCTCCTTGTGCAAGATAAGCCAACGCAACATAAATCGACACTGGCACAGGTTAACAATGCCGCTATTGGTATGAACGACTTGTCGGGTCGCAAAACAATAAGCGACGACACAAATAATGGTGAAAACTCATTGCAATCAATCCTTATGTCTCGATATTCGAGGGTTGTAAAGGAATGTGTCTGTTGTCTTGAAAGGTTCCATGATACAACTGTTCACAAGCTCATCTGGTCATGACTGTTGCCTTGAATGTATAAAGCAAATATTCATCGTATCAATCAAAGACGAAGAGTTGTACCCTCCTCGTTGCTGCGGCAAGGTGATACCTCCTGGGATTGCCCTCAAGGTCCTGGATGATGAAGAGCTCAAGGCCTTCCGTGAAAGGGCGATGGAACGGACTGTCAAAGATAGACTATACTGCGCGGATCCGACATGTTCGACGTTCATCCCCCCCTCTGCGATTCAAAACGAGGTTGGCACTTGTCCAAGCTGTCATCAAAGAACCCATTCAACTTGCCATTCCTTCGAACATCCCCGGGTTGACTGCCCAATGGACAAGGCTCTTCAAAGCGTCTTGGAGATTGCTGAAGGTTAAAAGTGGAAGCGATGTTCCGACTGTCGGACTATGGTAGAGCTTAAGCATGGTTGTAACCATATCACATGCCGTTAAGCATATCATCCAGTTTCACGGACGTTCAGTGGCATGTATGTGATTCTAATGATGATAGTTGTGGGCGGGAATTCTGTTATATTTGCGGGCAGGAGTGGAAAACGTGCAGTGGCCTCCGCTGGCACGAGCACAGAGTCACTTATGCGAATCAAGCTACCAATGAGGAGATGCGTCAGCAGGCGAACAGGCTTAATCAGATTGCCCTCATTAATAGGCAGCGTCATTGGAATGATATCGAGACAGCTCGTCGGAATGCATTCAATCTCATGGTGCAGCGACTTCCACAGCATTTACGGGTTGGATGTCAGTATCTAGGAGAGTTTCAATGGGCTTTGCGAAGATGGGATCAAGGGCGCTTGCAGTGCCAGTTCTGCGACCGGTTCTATTTGAAGTTTATATTTACTTGTAAAAATTGCGGAGTTAGGGCTTGTACTAGCTGCTGGAGACAACATGAATTGTAGTAGCTCAATAGAGCTGTGCTGATGGATGCGACTTCATAAATCGGCTTTTGCGGCTTCAATGTTAAGGACAAGCAGTGATTGTGTTTTGACAAGCTGGAATGATAGCCACAATGCAGAATCCATCATCCCTATTATCATTGAAGTATATTTAGTTGGTGCACAGGTAACACAACGTGGGTCCACAGTATTCAATATAGGTCATAAAGCTTTGCGCAACAGAACTCGATTACTTAGATCCACTTCAAGGTAAATGGTGATTGTATAATCGTTATAACCCAGACCCGATCTGATTACGGGTGTCGTCCCTCTGAACTACAGCTCAACAGCATACTCAAAATCATTTCCATCTTGAGCAGGACAGTGAACTTCATTTCCATCTGGATGTCAAATTTCCACAAAGAACATGGAAATAATCAAACACGCCCGTCATCTGTAGGATTATGTGAGGTTTGTGTGCCGATACAAGGAGGACTAAATGTCTTACCGTTGATCTGAATACCATCGTCCTGATTTAGATCCTGGGATACTGCCTCATACGGTGGTGGAGGCGGATCTTTGGGCCGTTCACGAGTGTCTTCATGAATTTTGCCATCCATTATTTTTGCGTCCACGGTTGAATCCGAGGCAAGATAGTGAAAACGGCAGGGATTCAGTGAGCAGTCCATAATGCGATATAAAAAGATTGCAATGATGATTTGCTCGTCCCGAATACGCGTATAGATTTGCACAGGGATCACCAATCCACTAGTGAACCACTTGGCGCCCCAAAAAGGGATAGGGAAGTCTAAATCAGGCCCCACATCCCTAGATCTCTGGTAAGCCAGAGGCACGTCTGTCGCTTGTCCCGGGTGGCTGTAGTAATGGGTATGGGAGATGAAAAACATGATGTCACAGACACGCTGGGAGAGGTTGGGGGCTGACGAAGACAGATCAAGGTAAAACCCTAGCAAAGATAGAGCATGAGCTCGACCCATGGGCCATGGCTAGGTTGGATATTACTTGAGAATCTAAGGTGAAATTATAGCAGCCTATCAAAAAATGATCTACCTACAGGTCCACTGCCGTCTCCACTGTTCTTCTGTACGTGTCTCACTGTCTCGCGGTTTTGATGTTCTCTATCCACACTAGTTGGTGACTGGCTCTGATCATCATAGTCTTCGCTCCCGTGAAATGGCCTGATACTGTTCTTAGGTAATATTTGTATGCAGAGTACGTCTCTGCTCATCTAGAGCACTTATCAACCTCTAACATGATATTTGTATATCTCATGGCCACTGTATAGGGTGATACCATGTGATACATAGGATACATAGCTCATGACGCAATGTAGACATCCAGGCATCCTTCACAACCTCCCCAGTGTAATGGTCGTAGCTGCCAATCCTACTGCCAGGCACAAAATACGCACATGAGAAGTGGGGGTATACGTCTAAATATAACCATGGACCGACATCCCGAAACAGGAAATCCTACCCCTCTCAGAATGACTCTACGTGGGGTAAGTAGAACGTCATCAGAAGTAGCCATGTGGAGAAGATACGGACAACCTTGGAACAGGATATTAGTATTAAAAGCCCAATGCCCCTGGGATTGTATCATCAACTGCTATGATTCAAAATGTCAGACTCCAAATCCAATCCCGTTCCGGTCATCCTCCCTCCAAACTACACCTCAATAACAGCTTCAGAATCGTTTCCATCCCCGGACTATGGAACAGTGACATGGCATACCCTCTTCTCTGCCCCGAAAACCAACACCTCGGACATGAGCGCCGGGATAGCAGTCTGCTCACCGCGGACCGGACATCTGTGCCCACACAGACACAAACAAGCAGAGATTTATTATATTATTGAAGGGCAGGGGGAGGTCACAATTGATGGAGTGAAAAGCCCGGTCAGCAAGGGAAGCACGGTGTTCATTCCCGGTGATGCCGAGCACGGGATTGTGAACAGCGGAGAGGAGGAGCTGAAGTGGTTCTACGTGTTTCCCACCGGATCGTTCGAGGATGTCATTTATCGGTTTTCGAAAGATGAGAGGAGGGGTAAGGCGAAACTTTGACGACGCGGTTTATCAAGGGTTCAATTTTCGTCGAGTCAGATATCTACCTACTTTTGACGTTCAATAAAAGAGGTCCCGTCGTGAAATGATGCTTTAGTAGTTAATACTCGCTGGTCTGATTGGTCCGTTGTCTTGGCGAATTGACTTCCGCCTGCACTGACCGAACCCCATACTTTCCCATCTACAACATGGCACAGGCTAACCATCCATTACGCGCTGAGCTCTCAACTCAAGCATGTGATATATGTCGAAAGCGCAAAGTAAAATGCCACTTTCCAGGAGCGCAGTCCAGCTCTACTCTATCCCGATGTCGGCGATGCGAGAGACTCAATCTGGCTTGCACTTTTCTGTCACCATCGAAGATCCGAGGGCCTAAGAAACGGTAAGATAGTAACCTGAATATTCCAAGCAGAATGTCCTAACCATGGAAAGAGCAAATTCCGCCGAACAAGTTGATCGTCATACGCCCCGTACACAGTACTGGACGGACGATATTTGCGACCGAGATCTATTCGAGACCATCATGCAGGATTATCTAACATACCTGTATCCGATGGTTCCAATAGTTCATCGCCCATCATTCAAAAAAGCCCTCCAGGAAGAGCACTATGATGAAGGCTTCTCCGCGCTAACAGCCACCATCGCCGCGCTGGTCGTGGCGACCATGCCGGGAAGATTTCAGGCCTACCAAGCACACGACCCACCGCTCAGGTTTTCGTCTCGAAAAGAGATGGTGCATTTTTGCTATCAGAAGGCTATGGCTCTACGAAGACCGTCCTATTACGATCATCTTAATTTCCAAAAGTTTTCTATCTCCTACCTTTTGTTCGCTGCGTTCTTGCAACTCGGAGATCATAATTGGGGACGGATGGTGAGTGTCGAGGCGTTTCAACTTGCTCGATTATTGAATCTGCACTGTATATCCGAATATCAAGGTCTGAATTGTATCGAAACACAACTTCGGAAAAAAGGCTTTTGGTTACTTTTCTACTCTCATGTGTGAGTGACTTGTTGTTCATCGTTAAGTGTCTCATGCTAACGTGAGACCCATACAAGGCACGGAACATCACAAAGTGTTCTAGGCGAACGTTTGTCCTACTTGGACAATGTCACCATGCAATCGATCAACCCAGAAGACCTGATGCCCTTAGAGGTACCAGACGAATCCATTCTCGAGAATGAAGTGTTCATGCCCGCCGACCCAGCGCCATGTCTGGAAACCGGCTTCGTCCTCCACTCCCGAGTATTCTGGGCCGCAATCCGGGCCACATGTCCGAAGACGGCTGCCGAAGATCCATGCCCGTGTATCCGAGCACACCACCCCCAGCTTCAAATATCATATCTCCAAGAACGGCTAGCAAGCCTCAAGCATATACTGGATGATATCCCCGTCGACTTCCAGGTTTGGCAATCTGAAGGGCGGAACAAAGATCTATCCACAACAACAGACTCCCAATACTCGTCTTTGCGGGTAAATATTCATGTTACACATCTGTGGCTACAGAGCCTTATTATGGACCAGCTGGAAGCTACGCATGCACATCAACAGGAACGTGGTTTGTCTTTGCACACGATCGATCAAAGGGCGATTTGGGGAGACAGAGAAGAACTCTGTCGTCGATTGTTCTTCATCATTTATAATTTTCCTCCGCTCAGCTTGGAGACTAACGGACTGCATCTTGCGAATAAAGTGCGAGATATTTCGGCTAGTCTACTCGCTTGCCCGTTTGGCCCTGATGACCCTATCTCTAAACGGGTGGGTGAGTATGTGCAACAGTCTACTGAGGTATTATCATGCTTGGATCGAAGCGAGAGTATGAATACTATGCATCTGCAGACGTGGGTGGATACGGATCGTATTCGAGAATGATCATTATATCATATCAACATCTAAGTCCTGTATATTTGGCTCCCTTTCATTCCTGAAGTCTATTCCAATTGTACAACGCCACACGTGCACTTCATGCAATGAAATGATATATCTATTTCTGGCCTCACCAGCTACCAGACCAGTATGTCGTCTCACTCACGTTCACGACACTTTCCAAAAATTCTCCACTGCTGCTAGTTCCAACCATAATCTTGTAGGCTCCTTCATAACTGCACCAGCTGTTACTCTTCTCATCCCAGAAGCTAGTCGCGCGGACAATTTCAAGAGGAATGGTGACTGTTTTCTCAACGCCGCTGTCGAGGAAGACCTTCTTGAATTCCTTGAGCTCCTTCAATGGGCGTCTGATCGGGGGTGATACTGGTGCGATGTACAACTGGATGACTTCTGCGCCCTTTCTTGAGCCGTTGTTTATCACTTTGCAGCTGACGTGCAGAACTTCCTCTGAGGTGTTGATATTCAACTCTGAGACCTGGAAGGTTGTGTAGGAGAGACCGTGACCAAATGGGAACAGAGGTTCGAGTTCTAGTCCTTCGTAGTATCGGTATCCCACGTATACGTCTTCCCCGTATAGGACTCGGCCGCCCTCGGAACGGTAATTGAAATATGTAGGATTATCCTTTAGTCGGCGAGGGAATGTGAGAGGAAGTTTGCCAGACTGAAAATGATGTTAGTATGTCTGTTCCTTCAAGCTTAATTTGGATTAAAGAAAATGAAGAACTTACCGGGTTCACATCGCCAAAGACCACATCAGCGAGACCGTTACCAGTTTCATTCCCTCCGTACCAGGCATGCAAGACAGCCTTTGCTTCATTGATCCAAGGCATCTCAACCGGAGTGCCACTTTGGATCACAACAACAGTGTTAGGATTGGCTTGTAAGACCCTCGAAATGAGCTCATCTGTGTTCGGGGGCAAGCTCATGTTGGCACGATCTTCACCCTCAGATTCCCACTCGCCATTCAAACCTGCAACCAAGACAACTTGATCAACGCTTGCAGCGACCTTAACTGCTTGCTCTATACCAGCCTGAGGACAAAGCTGCTTGCATGCGCCGAAGCGGAAGCCACCGTGACCGAAATCAACCACACCAGGGACCTTGAAAGTACTGGTCTTTCCACAAGCCCACTGGATCAGGACTTTGTACTTTTTGCCAGCCTCGAGCTCCAGTGAAGAAGTCTCCTCCACTGTTCCACTCCCGAAGAAGCTTGTGCCAGGCCGCTGGTTCACAGTATTGTCGATAACTAGCTTCCCATCCACGTAGAGCTTCGCGGTTCCATTGACCGTGAGACCAAAGTCATAGACTCCGGACTCCTCGGGAATGAAATAGCCTTCGGCATCAGCGTACCAAATGGTCTGCAGATCAGGGTGATCATAATCCATGAAGATGATCATCGAATCTGTTTCGTGGCGCTCTTCGAGTGGTGTGCGTGCTGCTACATTCGGTGCATCATTGAAGATACTGAGTTTGAAGCCGGTCTGGCCATCCTCAAGGCGGAGCTGCTTGCCCAGAAGAGGTAGCATTTGGTGTGCATAGACGCCTTGAGAGAAATTCACTTCTGCTGTCGCGGAATTGGAAATTCCTTCTAATGGTGTGACCGTGTAGTAAGGGTTCAAAGCTGCGCTACCGCCACCACAGTAGGCAGCAACCTTCGCGTTGGGGCCGATGACGGCAATGGGTTTATTCTTATTCAACGGAAGTATGTTTTCTTCGTTTTTCAACAAAACGATGGCTTCTGAGGCAATTCTGCGCAGCAGAGCTCTGTCCTCTGCACGGTTCAACTGTGTCTCTGGAGCTTTTTCGGGAATTCCTGACTTGCTTGCCTTTTGGACCAGCTTCAGAACTGCACGAACCCGCGCATTTAATGAAGCAACCGGAATCTTGTTGGCTGTGATCGCGTGTGATAGGGCCCCACCGCGCCATCTCGGTGGACCGGGCATTTCGAGATCGAGGCCTGCGTTCACAGCTTCGGAGGTACTGTATGTTCCGAACCTAAAAAACAAATATCAAGATCAGCTTTACGGATTTCCACCTGTAATCTCTGAGTATCCATGAAATTACCAGTCGCTCATCACTAATCCATCCCAACCCCATTCTTCGTGCAGAATACCTTGTAGAAGCTCCCGGTTCTCGGATGCATGCAACCCATTGACTTTGTTATACGCAGTCATAACAGCGTCGGGCTCACCGAGCGCAATAGCAATCATGAAAGGAAGCAGATAGATTTCTCTCATCGCACGATCAGTCACAATCGAATTTACTGCCATCCGCTCGTGCTCTTGGTCATTGCAAACGAAATGCTTGAGAGTCGCACTGACGTTTCTCTCCTTCAATCCCTTACAATAATGACCTGCAAGAATTCCGGACAAGAACGGGTCTTCAGAGTACGATTCGAATCCTCGTCCACCCAGAGGGCCACGTGCGATGTTGATTGTTGGTCCCAAGACCACATGCGCGCCTTTCGCCTTCGCTTCAGCAGCGAGAAGATGACCAACTTTGAGCGCGAGGTCGCGGTCAAACGTGGCTCCGATTGCGGTTCCGCATGGGAGACAGGCGGCTGGGACACTGCTGAAGAAGTGTGTTCCACGCACACCATTGGGCCCATCGGAGAGTCGTATTGAGGGGATGTTGAGTCGAGGAATTGGGACCGTATGCCAGAAGTCCTCGCCTGGAGTAGTTGTCAACTGAGTTCTCTATTCTGGCGATTATAAGATCTTACCACTCAATAGCGACACCTTCTCATCTTGAGTTAGCTGTTTGATGATCTTTTCAATGTCTGCACTTGCGATCTGCGCAAATGCGCTGTCCACAATGTCCTTGACAGTCATCTTGCTCCTGTGTATGTCAAGAGACAAAATGGGGAGACTGGATTTTTCCGTGTGTGGAGGGAGCCATCCTTTGTACCCCTCCGAGAGACATTGCCGCTACTCCCCGCACGTGAAACAGTCTCCCCCAATCTCGCGTACCTTGTCTCCAACAACCAGCGTGGTGACAACATTTATGTGGAACGAGTTGGTATCCACTGCGGTTTCTCCGTTTCTCCTTTTCTCCGTTTCTCCGCTCCCCGGCAATCTAGAAGCCGACCCCGGCCCCCATGTCTCCCCACAAAATCATCCCATGAGTTACCGACCGGCTGGTGAACCGGGGAAGATGAGACTCAAAGATGGCCAGGTGACGCGGTTCCGAAAGAATTGGACACTCCATTGGCCCAATTGAAGACCGTCGTCTCCCTTGCCCCAATCCCTTGGACTCAACTCACCTTAACGAGTATAACCCGGCATGAGAAAACCAAGCCGAAAACTTGCACCCGGAAAATGGCGCCGAAATCTATCGGCGCATAAAACCTTGCTGATCCCCTGAGTAATTGACTCGGTCCTTCCCCTTTACTGCCATTATCCTTTCCTGTTTTTCTGCCCGCCATGGGGTTCAGCAAGCGTGATACTGCGATTGTGCCTGTGCCTGTTCCTGAAGATCCTCTTATGGCAGCTCTTCCCGCTAACGCTGCACCATGGTATAAGCAGCGTCACCTCCTGCGTCTCAACTTCATCATCATCTCGTTGGTGATGTACTCATCAGCCAACGGATACGATGGATCTTTGATGAATGGTCTAGAAGCCCTTGATCAATGGAAAGAGTTTATGAATCACCCGTCAGGCGCCTGGCTGGGATGGATCAATGCCATCTACTGGCTAGGCTGTGGTATTGGCTATCCCTCCGCTTCCTGGATTGCCAACAAGTACGGCCGTAAGCCCGGTGTGTACGTCGGCTTCGGTCTTTTGGCCCTTGGAGTCGCTCTACAAACCGCTGCCCCGAATAGCCCAGCATTTTTGATGGCCAGATTCTTCTTGGGAGGTGCTTCTGCTTTGTTCGGTAATTCCGTTCCTCTGCTTATCAACGAGATCGCCTACCCTACCCACCGTGGCATCCTAAACTCCCTTTTCATGTCGGGTTGGTACGTTGGTGGAACCGTGGCTGCCTTCGTGGTGTTCGCTTCTCGGACATACGGCTCTTCTTGGGCCTGGAGATTGCCTTCCGTTCTCCAGTCTTTAGTCCCCCTCATCGGACTACCAGGCTTTCTCCTTGCGCCAGAAAGCCCTCGGTGGCTCGTCTCAGTCGGACGAGAGAGCGAGGCCCGCGCCATTCTCATCAAGTACCATGCCGATGGTGATTCAAACTCATCGTTAGTCAACTATGAGTTCCTAGAGATTACTTCCACCATCCACGCAGAGCAAGCAGCCAATAGCAACGGCAGTTATCTCGAGATGATCAAAACGCCCGGTAACCGTCGCCGTCTCATGATCTCTGTCACTCTTGGTCTCTTTGCTCAGTGGGTTGGAAACGGTGTCATCTCCTATTATCTGTCTTTAATTCTTACCTCCGTTGGTGTCACAGAGGTCAAGGACCAAACCCTCATCTCAGCTTGTCTCCAAGTGTGGGACCTGATCTTCGCCGGTCTGGGTGCATTCCTGATCGATCGGTTGGGACGACGACCCCTTTTCATGGCATCGGCCGGCATCATGTTCGTGAGTTATGTGCTCGTAACTGCTCTTTCGGGCGCATACAAAGTGCATGGGAATCCCGCCACTGGAGCTGCAGTCATTCCGTTTCTGTTTATCTTCTTCGCTGGATACTGTATCGCATTGTGAGTCTACCGTCATGCCTCCATTGTCTATATCCTTGACACTGTGTACTAATACCCGTTTCTTTGTCTCTAGAACCCCTTTCCTCACCTCTTATCCTTGCGAAATCTGGCCCTTCCGCCTCAGATCCCGAGGTCTGACCGTGACATGGGTAGCCTCAATTGTGGGCATGTTTTTCAATACCTTCGTCAATCCCATTGCACTAGACGCCATTGCATGGAAATACTACTTTGTGTTTGTAGCTGTTCTGCTGGCGTTTGGCATAACGGCCTTCTTCTATTACCCCGAAACCAAGGGGTACTCTCTAGAGCAAATTGCCGTGATTTTCGACGGCGAGGATGCTCTAGTGAGTCATCCGGCTGATATCGCTAAGAGTGCCAAGGCTGGAGAGTCCGTGGCTGTTCATGAAGAGTCAGTTTAATGTCTACACTTGTTTTCTCAAATCTGTAAATAGATTCCATTTACGAATACATGAAACGTCGCTTTATTCTCTCACGGCACTTTCCTTGTATATGCGTATAGCCATTATAAATACGCCCGACTTTATAGAGCTTATTAGTCCCTGTCCATGTGATTCGGCATGCTTTGACATTGAAATAAGTTGAATCTCCAATCAATATTAGATCCTAGCACCGTCACGGAAGGCATGAGAAGATCCGTGAACTGACACAGCCTCCGGAAGTACTTCCGGATAGCAATACTCATTTTGCAGTAAAGACAACCTTGAACGAAATTCATATCATAGCCTCGTGTATTGATCCAAGTTCTACGTTCTGTTGAAGCGATCTACTTACCCACATTTGACCCGCTCAAAGCCTCCTAGATGTCTTGCTCGGTATAGAAATGGTTACAAAAGTATTGAAAATATTTATTCTCTGGAAGACAAGCTTTAAAACGTAGAAGTGTCCGAATATATGGGCGCCAGCTTACCTAGTGAACAGATTGCGTCTGGAATTAAAGCTCAGGATCTCAAGAAATTCTTTATAGCTACACCCTTTAATATGGACTCAAGTGATTCGGATACGATGATAGTTTAATCAAGATGATAGTACAAATTACATTAACTTTTTACTACAAGGACTCCATCGGATACAGACTATCAAACACCCACACCTCTGGATCGCCGAAAAAATCATTCATATCGGTTTGATCAAAAAGGGCCTGTAACGGTCAGCTAGCTCTAACAAGGCAAAATGGAGAAGTAAGATAAGAACACGTACGTTTAGTGCATTAGAATCAGGAAAAGGGGATCCCAATGGATCTAGCAATTCATTCGGAAGTTTCGAACGCTCATAACTGGTATTAATCTAACGAGTGTTAGCTAACTTGTCAAACAAAAAGATTTAATCAGTTTTTCTTACTCTATTTTCGGGAAGTGTGATGTTTTTCTCTTTCGCGATTTCAATTTCGACCTGCGAAGACATCACTCTGTAATACTGCCTTGCAACCCGGTCAACAGCCTGTCCACTTTCGTGTATGGACTGGTCCATGGAAGGAGTTAATCGTAGCAGAGCACGTCCGGCTGAAATATACCAATGGTGGGTGTATCCTGTGCCGATTTGAACAATGCGTTCTTCAAGCAGTGATAGTGCCTTTTCGATGTAATTTATGAACACTGAGGTGTTGGAGCTGAGAAGAATATCATCTGGTTGACGTTAGTAACGGTTATAGATTAGCGAGACAAGGCTCTGTTGTACTTACTTTGAAGAGTCATGGAAATGTATGAATTTTGACATATCACTAATGCTGATCGGAAATAATCGTGTCGGAGTAACAAGAGCATCAGGTTGTTGGAATCACTGAGTCTGGCATATTGATCAATGATGTTTGACGCGGCATCAAAGCAGATCATTCTGGAGAAAGAATGTCTAGATGTGCCTTCAGCTTGTCGAGCGAAGGGCGCATGTATCATAATCAAGAATTGCCGAAGTTGTACATCAAGAAGCGTTCTTGCTACCAGAGAGAGCCCGGGTTCGTTCGGGTGGGACCGGACTGAGCTCCACGGAGGAAGCCTTTGAAGTTCTTTTGTGATGAGTTCTTCATAGTGCATAACCTCCTCATATCGCAACGGTGAGCTCATATCATTCACAACAGAGTTCAAAGACACACGCAACGAGAAACTGAGATTGGAAAAATAGAGGAATGAACTCGCGGTGTATTCAGTCATAGGTCGTTGTGTATCGAGTGCATCAGGCTCATCGGTAAGATCCTTGTCTTCGAGATTCAGAAGACTCTTTGTATCGGCCAATGCACCTGCTGATGTTGAAGTCATTCCACGGTCAATCGAAGTCTGAAGTTCTAGCTCCGTCATTGTAGCCCATAATCGTCTTCTCATCTCTCGGTCGAATGCGGAGACTTTTTCTCCCAGCAGACCCGGATCACGGTGCATTCCTGCCGCCATTGCTTCTCTCACGAGAGTACCGGTTTCGGTCCAGTGTCGCTTTTTCTTCACTGTATTCACCAATTTTGCTAGAACCAGGAGGCAGCGGATTTGCCAGACGGCCAGGTATACATTCTTCTGGCTATGAGATCTGAGCCAGGATTCCGAGGCTTCGATCCACATGACAGCACGCTCTCGGCCTAGCGAACTATCTCCGATGTAACGAGTTTGTTCATTACGCGAGATACAGCTCGCAGTAGCCATTATCAGTAATATCAGGACCACAAAAGCAGATGATGTTGATAGATGGTCAGCCAAAAATCTTTCATATTCTTCCCAGAAGCTTGGTCCATGCACGACCCTGTACACAGATTCAAAGGTTTCAAAGTAGCGGTGCACAAGTTCATCAATCGTTCCTCGGTCGGGGAGAAGGTAACTGAAATCGAGTTGGGGTGTGGATAGCGTATTCACTTTTTCCACTTTCCATTTCTTATGTCGAGTCTTCAAATCATGTTGCACTTTGTAAAGCGATTTTTGATGTTTGATAGCTTCTTTCATAAATGACCGAAGCTCCGGAAACTATAGAATATGTTAAATTGAAATCACCCAATTTGTGGTCTTGGGCTTCTTACATGACCGATCAAACTAGCTGGATTACTCCCACCATAGTACTGAGTCCTGAAATTCTCTCCACGAAAGATGACATTCCGTATAGCATCATGCGCTCGACCTGGAAATGGCGGCTCCTCATTATCAGCCTTAACAGCAGGCCGTTGATTCTGAAACTCGGCCTGCGAAGCCGCTCTTTCACTAAGCAACTGCCAAGTTCCAGTATTCTGGTCCGCCTCCAGGCTGGACAACGATGTTCCCACTAATACAGGATGTCGAGCATCATCATAGTTAGCCCTAGCAATAGGTTCCGGGGCCACTCTGAGTTGTTTTGGGCCTGTAGCTTTCCCTGGGGGTGGAGCTGCAAGGGGCTCAACAGATGTGGAGGGCGGGGGCCCATCATAGAAACAAGAGCTGCCTTGACCAGCTTTTTGACATCGACTGCATGTGGGATAATTCCGATCACAGCGCAATTTTCGTCGTCGACATTCGTAGCACGAGTACACTTTCCGCTTCCTCTTGGCTCCATTGCTCGGGCCCGGCGGTGATCCGGCGTTGTGTGACTGTGCACTCGGGGATATCATGCTGAGCTCCGAAATGCCTTCAGGTCCAGTGGTCATAAGGCGGAGTGGAATTTCGAAATGCGTTTTGGAGGGGACAAGACTGCGAGTATGCCAGTGCTTCTTCGGAGATCCTGATCTCCGATGATAATTCCGACAAAGCCGAGCGGAGTTCATTCTCAAGTCCGACATAACGCCGCACCAATAAGAAGGCGTCTATTTGGTGGGGTATAACGGTGAATACATGAGGCTCTTTGAGGTACTGCTAGTTGTCTATTTGAAAGCTGCTTGGCTTGCCATGTGCTGGCCCTCACCTATTGGTCAATCTGCACGCATCATGGCTCAGTTGCATTGACCCACCAGACAGTCGACTGCCAGGGTCTTGATCTCTGAAACCAAAATGACTAGGTCTGCTATACTTTTGAAAGCTGGTTGGCTTACAACTATCAGCTCGCTCTTACGCATTTTTTGATTTGTGCACATCATGGCTCAGCTGCATGGACCCACTGGAAATTCAACAGCCTAGTGGGTTTCGACATTTGAAATCAAAATTCTGTAGACCAGTTCTCAGTTGACAGCCGATTGGCTTAGGATTGGCTCCGTCTTAACTATTGGATAATCCGCGCGTATCATGGCTTAGTTGCATAGACCCACTAGTCATTCGACTGCCCAGTGGGTCTAGGATTTTGAAACCAAAATGCCTAAGCTAACCCTCCATTTGAAAAACGATTGGTCAGCTATTGGCCATTAATTAACCTGCATGCATCAAAGCTCATCTATATAGCGTTACTGGTCATTCGACTATTTAGTGGGACTTGACGCCTGACACTTGGCAACAAAAATGCTTAGAATGTAGCTCGAAATAACATACATTATTTTATGAAGACAACTGGTTTGAGGATTTTGTCAAATTAAATATTCTTTGAACCAAGCATCATCCAAAAACAACTCTTCTAACCGTGTATTATTCTCAGAATTGCCACCGCCGACAGTTTCTGACGCAACTTCGCCAACCTCCTTCCGGCGCAGTCTTGAAGAGCACCACGATCTGACTGATCCAAATATTTTGAAAGCTTTCTCCAAATATCCATCTTTGGCCTGATCACCAGTCGCCGTTTTCGCTTCGTCGATATTGTTCAATAATCGATCCATCACTTGTAGTGTGTCGATTTCTCCACTCACATTTGTCGAATCCCAAAATGCATCCGTCGAAGTCGAGAGCTTTATCAATACGACAATGGTTCTCGCAAGTTGAGTGAAGAATGGAAATGGCATTCCGGAATACTCAGAGACAGGTATTCTAAAGAAGTTTTCTAGTGCCGATTTGATGGTGTTGATGCATTGATAAAGGGTTTCAAGCTCTTGGGCATCTGTGAAGTTTTTATTGCAAAGAACGAGTCCAGATATGCTCAACTCTGTGTAATAAATTGAGGAAAGCATGATTTCTGTTCAATGTTAGGTGTTCATTCTCCAGGATAAACTGGGGTTCACTAACTTACCATCCTTGAGTAGTTGTGGTGACGTGTGCTTTTTGATATCATTCACTCTGTGGCGAAGACCCGCAGTGAAAAAGGCTACCGGCACTTTATTCGTCGCTTTTATATTCTCAATGTCTTCCGCGACGCGCTGTAGCCTGACTTGCTGTATAAGCATCTCATCGTACATGGACTCGTTGTGTTCAGTTAGAACGTCGATAGACTCATCCATGTATGGCGTCCACTGCATCGTGTCGATCTGGGCGAAGTATGAAGACACAATCGAGCTCATGATAAAGCATCCCAGAACAGCTCGTCTTTCTTCTAGAGTCCTTGCTGGGCAGTCTGTGTCAGAGGAACTTTTATCCATGGGAAGCATATTTGATTCCAGTGGTGGCGGCTTGTTTAGGCGGAGGCTGAAAACCAATGTCATGGCTAGATGGGAGAACCGGGACACTCTAGCAGGTGTACCATGGAGGAGATTTTCATGGCCCCATGCAATGAATGTCAAAAGCCCGAGAAGTAGGTCGAGGTTAACGGAGTGCTCATTGTTGTCGAAATAGACGCGCTGGATCAAAGTTTGTTTGATTTTCTCTCCCAATTCAAGTTTGACCTTCGTTGATTGGGTTGATCCTGCCATTATGCACGTGAGCAAAAAAGGTCGATGTGTAGCCATCCATTGTGCATCGTGAGGAAGATGCATGAATGGGAAATACTTCAGCATTCTCACTCGGAATGCCGCCAGACATTCCTCTGGTGACGGGTCAACCGTCGACTCGGCTGGAGCCGGTGGAGGCTGACTACCAGTAATCGGATAGACCGAGTCAGGTGGACTGGTATAAGCCTTAGGTATAGATGGTGAATCCGCCACAGGTTTGATCACCCGACTACTCTCTAGCTGAGAGACAAGGCTATCGATCTTGTCTTCAAGCTGGGCGATGCGATGAATAGGGTTGTTGCTTTCGGCTTTACGTGATCTGACTGCTTTTCCGGGCATGCAATGTTTCTTCAGACGGCGACATCTCTCGCAGCCATGCCCCCCGGGCCGGGAAACACACTTGCATTTCGACTTTGAGCAATTTAAGCAAGCCTGTGGACGGTTGTTGGTCGTTAGAATATGGAAATTTAAGTAGGACATGAGTACGTGCCTTCCCATACAATTGAATGGGTTCAAAGTGCCGGTCCCGCGGCATTTTAGATGTTCCACTTAATGGGTTGTTGAGGGGAAGAAGGCTTATCGAGGTGGGTGACGGCGTTCCGAACAGCGATCGGGATTCGGCCGGCCGAACGCCGACGAGGTCAAGTCAGGCTATTTCAATGTTGAGCTCCTTCTTATGCAATGTTGTTTCTTTGTGATTAAACATCGTCACACTGAGCTGAAGGACATAAGCAACAAATATTCCAATAATATTCCACTCATATCGCCTATCACACAGACGGCCATGAAACTCATAGTATCTGGAGCTACCGGTTTGGTAGGGAGTGAGATTATCAGGCAAGCCTTACGGAACAGCAGTGTGACCGAGGTGGTTGCACTGGCTCGTAAGCCTGTTGCAATAGATGATAGCAACGCCTCAAAATTGAAAAATGTAGTCATCCGTGACTACGCCGAGTATCCTGATGAGGTCAAGGCCCAGCTGGCCGGAGCAGACGCATGTATCTGGTATGACAACCCTGATCAATCATTTGAACAACTGCACTAAGTACATCTCCAGGACTGTCGCGGTTACACCTTTCCGCAGTGGGGGTTTTGATTTCGCCGAAGTTAAGCGAGTATGCCAGGACTGCACGTCAGCTGGATTCAAGGCAGTCTATGAAGCTGGACCTGCACGACCATTTCGTTTTCTTTATTTCAGTGCTGAGGGGACCCCACAAGACCCATCACAAAGACCATATTTCCTGGGTGACTATCAAGTCATGCGTGTTAGTTTCCCCCCTCCTTATCAGGTTTTGTTGCACGGCTAACATTGGGTCATTAATCTACAGTGTGAGACGGAAAACATGGTGCGGAAGTTTCAGACCCAGTATGAAGAAACTAAGGTCTGCATTGCTCACCCAGGAGTGGTGACAAGCTCAACTACATGGACGAGGACTGTACTAGGTTCCATCTTTGGTGTGGTGAATCTATTCACAAGGGCTTTTCCGAATGTGAGCCAAAGTGAGCTTGCAGCTGCGGTGCTGGATCAGGCTATTGATGGATTTGACAAGGAAACTTTGTCGAACAATGACTTGGTTCGTATTGGTCAATCTGTGCTTCAAAAGAAGTAATGTGGGGATTTGGATCGCTGTACAAGTAGAAACATGGATCTATAGACCCGTCCTTGCCTGGGATAAATTCTGCCTTTCAGAGCATGTCATGTCAATCTCATCTCTATTTAGTTAAGCAGGTTTCACTTCAGCTTCATGAGTTGTGGAGGAGGCTTTCGGGCAGGGAACGTAGCTTCCCAGGCACTCATGACCTTAACCAAGAGATGCTCTTGGTGCTTTCCTGTGATAGCTGCAACTCCAAATGGGCGGCCATTGTAATCCAAGTATGATAGCGGCATTGCACAGAGGGGGTAACCTGGGAGAGTTGGTAATTTAGTAACACACTTGTCTAATTCCGATGGAAACTCTGATGTTGTCTTACCCGAAGCCGTTGCCAAGGATGTGAGGCCACTGTCAATGGGACCCAGTATAACATCCACGCCATATGTTTTCAGTGCCAAGTCTATGCCTTTCTCTCCTCCCATGTGTCTCAAGTATGATAGGTGTCGATCATACTCTTCTGTAGTGAGTTTTTGGTTTTCGGCATTGATGAAGTTGTCTTGTCTAGGATGATCTTAGGGGCTGTCAGCGAATCACATTTCAAATACAGAGCGGTTGTTGTTCATACGCGGAGGGAGCTCCAAGTCGGCGTGCTTCTCGTTAAAAGCAATCACCTCTGCGAGGGATCGAACCTCGCTCTCTGCAAGGCCTTCAAAATAAGCATTGAGTTGAGGCTTCATATCCGCCTCTGAGGACCGTTAGTGTGAACAATACTGAGCTGTCACAGAAACATACGAATAATTGTCCATTCGCTACCCTCTCTGTCGATTCTGAATGTATCCGGCGATACTAGATCGATATTCTCGACAAATTTCTTTGCCTTTGGTTTGATCGCCTCATATGCTTGGCGGATCTCACGGGTCTGTTGCAGTCAAATATGTGAGAAATGATTCCGATTTGAAGACTGAGAGACAAAACGCATACCATCTGAGCCTCTGCATCATCAACGGGCTTAACATCTTCCTCGGAATTTTTCCATGCATTGGGGTCGAGAGCCGCAACGGAAATATCAGACCATGAGCAGGTCAAGTGCGTTGTGAAAGACTCCGAGGCAGGCTTCCCAGCAAGAACATCCAATAAAGCGGCCAAGTCGTATGATGACTTTGTCATGGGTCCGGCTGCATCAAAGTTGCTGGAGATTGGTATAATACCATCTTGGGAAACCAGTCCAATCGTGGGTTTTATGGTGTACAGCGCGGCTCGACCAGAAGGACTCACGAGTGACCCGTCTGTCTCTGTTCCGATGGCAAACGGGGCATAGCCAGCTGAGACGCTCACAGCGGAACCTGTGGAAGATCCTGAGGGGTTCTGTAATACACACGGTCAATAATCAAATAATTTCATCCCGGGAATGCAGAAGTGGTGAAGTACCGAGTGGCCTTCCGGTGAGTCGTCTGGATCAATTCCATCACGAATATAAGCTGATTGTGTCTGGCCACCCACGGCGGACCAACCATTGGGCATGTTTGAACCCCTGTTCTTTATCAATTTTATGACCTATATCAGTCACCTTGGTAATCAAACTTTCATACCTAGCATTTGCGAATTCCTGAATATTCCATTAATCATATGATCTCATTCAAAGGCAGACCACAAATTCCGGGTGATGCTTACAGCAAGATTAGCCTTTCCAAGAATAATAAGACCGGCATCAAGGATCTACGCTTTGGTGAGTAAACCCATTCAGTTTGAAACATCTCTGGTCAATACTAACCTGATCAATGATTTCAGCATTTTTCTTGGGCTTCGAGCTTAAGAGTGCAAGGCTTCCGCAGGTGGTGGGAAGACCAAGGCTCGGGTGAGTAGCGATGTTATCCTGAGAAGTGTCAACAAACTCAGATCTTCAACGCTTGTTGACCACAACAAACCTTGATAATGATCGGGATGCCATGCAAAGGCCCGCGCGTCTTTCCGGCAGCTCGTTCTTGATCCAGTGATTTGGCAGCCTCCTCAAGCAGGTCATTAGGGGTTATCCGAATCATGGCATGAAGCTTCTCATCATGATCGTTTATCTGAGCTACATATTGCCTAACAAGACCCAGGCTTGTGACCTCGCCCGCGCTCAGAAGTGCCTGTAACGCTTTGGCGTCGATTGTCAGGAGATCCACATTATTTCCAAGGGAGCCTTGGGGATGTTGGGCCGCCATTGTGCCAATTGGAATAGAGAAGATGATCTCTTTTTCCCAGACGGACTTATCTGAAAAACAGAAAGCTTCCAAAATTCAAGTTCGTGAATGGAACAGGGGTCTCGTGCTTGGGTGGGGAGATTGGTCCGTGCAGAAGTGGAGATTCTTCGGAGAAAGTCATACTCCCCTAGAAAGATTATAGATGGATCTTAGAGAACAACTAGTTAGGTGGTGTTGAAAATCGACTCATGAACTATAGATTTGTAGCACTTTTATACGTGGATTCAGGATTTCATGAGGATTGTAAATCTAGACTAGTTGGGTTTCTTGGCAATCACACGCATCAGCTTCACTGGCGGGGAATTTCCACTTGCACAAATCTCGCGATGCTGCTTGACTAAATCTGCAGTCTTGGCAATCGCCGCCTCTTCATCATCCACCTGCCCAGATCGCACCAGAAGACCAGCATACAGCGTTTCGATGATTGCGACTAGCCGTTCATCCGTCTCGTGACGGATACTACGATCCCAGTCAGAGTTATACGCTAACCGCACAACATCCAAGAAGCCAGCTGCCATGCATTCCTCGAAAACCTTAGCTGAAGCCTGGAAACATTTTCCTTCAGCCGTAAGTGAGGTGTCGAAGCATCGTCGAATCTCTTGAATGACAGGGTTGTTGTCGGATATGTATGTTTCTTCATCGATCTCCTCCCACTGAAGATAGCCACCAGGCTCTGGATAAATCAGAAAGAAGACAGGTTATCAAGCTAGACTGGGCAGGACATACTCAAAATGGCATTTATGTTTGCGATTGCCAATCTGTAATCGGACTCGTCGATTGCGGCAACCAGGAGTCGTACATGAACAAGATCATACCGGCCCAGGTGTTCCTCGGGAAATGGTTTCGTGATGTCGTGAACAGAGAATTGAATAACCTCTTGCTTCTTGGGAAACTGTTGCGACGATATATCAAATCCATGGTAGTAGACTGGCTTTTGAGAATCAGGATCTAAGACTTCCGCAACATCCTTTAGCCAGATACTAGTCACAATGCGACCCATTAGCCTTGGTCACTGAAATTGAGAACAAGGTGAGACCTTGGAGACACTCACCCAGTTCCAGTCGCTATGTCTGCAACGGAAAGTAAGTTTTCTTTAGGAATTGACGGATGAATCAAGGTGTTTTCAGTCACTATTGTGAGCAATCTATGCTGCTCATTCAGTCTAGATGTTGCATTTCCTTTGAATCAGTAATATGTTCCTCGCCAGTGCTTTCTATAGCTTTTTCTACCTTTGAGATTCCTTTGTATCTCTACCAAAGACGTATTTCTCGTGGGTATGTAGACCGGGCATGTTGAAAGAGAGGGCAATGGATAGTAAAATATAAAATAGGCAGTTGTAGCTGCGCAAATTTGACTGTCTGGCCAAGAAGTGAATCCTACCTGAGAGTCACAACCTACTTATAGGCATGCTCGGGATTTGGATCCCAATATTCTCGTGTGTACCGCATGCCCGGGCCTATTGATTTCCAGACCTTGGAACTTCACTGCGTTGTGCAGCAAGATGGCTCTGCAGCTTCTCGGCTATCATGCCAAAATCCCTCAGTCCTAAAGGTCTCACACACCTGACGGTGTAGCTCCACATTCACATTCTCTGTGTCATTTGTTGGGGCGCCATGTCAGCCAGCCACCATCGCGTACATCACGCCGTGTGGGGATATCAAGCTAGCCATCATTCAGCCTGCCAACATCATTCACATACGTGCTTTAGGTCCACCTAGGTATCCACTGGAGTGGTCATGCTCTTCAATACATGAGGATGCATTCTTTATAGATTTGAAGAGGGGAAAGAGGGGCGTATGTGCGTTTGTGGATCCTACATCCACAACAGCCAGCTGTACAAAGTTGGCATCCACTTGGGCTTAGAGAATACTTCGGCAATTATTCCCACCAGCCTCGGAAATATACCGTTGACTTAGGAATGATGCAAAAATGATTTCAGGTGGCTTCGTGGCATTGTCGGCATCTGCTGCACCAATCTCGACCTCTTCCTTGCCTTATCGTTCTTCATTCCTTATCCCACCACTCACTGCGCTTCTTTAGAGCTGCATTAATTGATTCAGGTTTCATTTTGTCTTCTATAAGATGAGCACATGCCCTTCATGCTCGTCTTTCCCCTTTCTGGTATCTTTACTCATCTAGAGTTGTCGCTGCTGTTTACATGCCGCCAAACCGGTTGTATTCTCTCTCGTGACGTAGGAGATAACAATATGATTGGGTATACCTATATTGGCATCTTTTTGGTTTTGAAGAATTTCTAATTCGCATCCCTGGGCTTTACATCGTGCCTGGTCTATCGCGTAAGAATCCTAATATTCTGCTGGACTCCGCGATCAGATTACTAATCCGATTAGGCTTTTAGCCAAATGAAGTGAATAATTTCCCATGAGCGTCTTTGTCAGTTCAACCGTAATAACTTGCTAGGGACTGAGCTAGGTGCTATTCAATGAGCAGGTGCCTGAGGTAAAGTAAGGCAAATCGTTGAAGACTCGATATGCTATATACTGCGCACAGACCAAGTCTCCAGCGATTTTTTTGTGCGCGGGCGGTGAAGGGGAGCGGAGATTTCCTCATCCCAAATTTTTCTACGACCCACGCCTTCTACCAGCACGGATCCCACCCGGCAGCATGGATGATATCGAGGTATGTGAGATTGAAAATGACTCTCAGACCAGAATATTAACTTGCTCCAGGATCGGTTGCGCAGCCATGCGCAAGCATTCGATGGTTTGCTGTCTTTGATCCCCGCCAAGTACTACTACGGTGAAGACACTAGTGTACGTGCGCTCTCAGCTCCCTCACTTCGAATTCTCTTCCCTGCTGGTCTTTTTCTTTCTAATTGGTATCTCTCTTTCTCGAACCCTTCTCTGACAATTTTCTTCTGCCTGTAGGACCAGTGGCAACGCAAGAAACAGACCAAAGAGCAGGCTCGTGAGGCAAAGCGTGCAAAGCTGGATCCTGAAGCCGCCAAAACCGCCAAGGACATCATGGATGAGAACGCTCGTAAGCGTAAGCGCAAGGAGGATGGCACTGCTGAGAGTGATTCTTCCGACGGCGAACTTGGCTCCGAAATCCCCAGGGAGGGCCTGATCCGCGGCGACAAGGCCAAGAAGCAAAAGCAGGTCGAGAAGCCGAACCCCGCCAAAGCCGAGGAAGCCGAAGCCCGCAAGAAGGAGCGTGAACAGAAGAAGGCCGAGAAGAAGGCCGCTCAAAAAGAGAAGAAGAAGGCCAAGGACACTTCCCGGAAAGAGAAGTCAAAGGACGACAAGCCCAACAACATTGCGACTGAGACCTCTAAGAAGGATACTCCCAAATCAAAGGGTGACGAAGAAGACCCCGAGGCATCAGACAACGAAGATGCTGATGACTTGGACGATGGTGTTGCCGAGGAAGGCTTTTCCATCGAGTTTGATGCCGGACCCGAAGAACCATCCTCAGCCTCCTCCACTCGCAATTCTCCCGACGTCTCAAACACCCAGTCGGGTAGCTCCTCTATCTCCTCTATCGTACCCCCCACTTCTAATGATACCAAATCCACCGAGCCCAAGGCCCTCAAGGCCACACCAGAAGACCTCAAGCAGCGTCTACAAAAGCGCCTGGATGAACTTCGGGCTAGGCGCCATGCCGATGGTCTAAATGGTAAGCCCGCTCGCAACCGTCAAGAACTTATCGAGGCCCGGCGGCAAAAGGCCGAGCAACGCAAAGCACACAAGAAAGAGCTTCGCGCCAAGGCAAAGGAAGAGGAACAGCGCAAGGATGATGAGGCTATGGCTCGCCGCTTCTCTCCCGGCGGCTCTGGATCTCTCTTGGCCTCTCCTCGCTCTCCTGCTGAGTCGGTTGGCTCAGGCAGCAACAACTTCTCTTTCGGCCGTGTTGTCCTCGCTGACGGTCAGCATGCCGACGCTTCTCTGTCAAACTTCCGCGATGCGCACAAGGCCCACGGTCCCCGAGACGCCGCTGCCCAGCTCCAGGCTGCAGAGGCCAAGAAGGCTCGTATGGCCGAGATGGACCCCGAGAAGCGTGCCGACGTTGAAGAGAAGGATCGTTGGCTCAACGCCAAGAAGCGTGCCCACGGTGAACGGGTTCGCGATGACACATCCCTTCTGAAGAAGGCTCTCAAGCGCAAGGAGACTGCTAAGAGGAAGTCCGCGCGTGAGTGGAACGACCGCATTGAGACCGTCGCCAAGATGAAGGACCAGCGCGCAACCAAGCGTGAGGAGAACCTTCGCAAGCGGAGAGAGGAGAAGGGCACCAAGGGCAAGGGCAAGAAGAAGTCCAGCGGTGGTGCCAAGAAGTCCAGACCTGGATTTGAGGGCAGCTTCAAGTCCAAGACTGGTGGCGGCAACAAGAAGAAATAAGCCATTTCCCATTGTTGACAGCTTAGTCTAGAACCTTTTTATTTCTGTTTCTCCCCCTCCCTTCTTGTCTATGGTTGCAAGATCTGGGTTCCCCCCCCAAAAAAAGAAGAAAAGTGTTTTTTCAAACATCGAACTGGGAAATATCCATCCGGGGTTTGCGGTGTTCGGTGTTCGCGCTGTTTCGGCGGCATGTTTCCTCCGTTATGTCCTATACGTCTCTGCATGGGTAGCGATTTTGTCTCGTTTTGTGAATACAAATATCATTCTGTTCCAAAGCGGTTGTTCTGTTGTCCATCACTTAGCTAGGATGATTGATGCCATAGGCATTAAGCACGAAATTTGTACAGTCTTAACAAACAGCAAGTATAGGCGAAATATATTGGTTTGATATCATTTGTTTTATTGATTGAAGCCGTAAAGAAGTAAGAGACCTGCTAGATTCCAACAACAAAGGAAAAATAAAAAGGACAAAGAAGTCATGTTCCACTCGAAACGAAAAGAAACTTCGGTTGGGAATCGACTAGTACAGCGAAAACACAAGATGGGTAAATATGTACAAGGTTGTGTGTGTGTGTGATTGGGGGAAGTAGAGGGTGTCATAAACCCTGCTCTAGTTTTTCATGCGCGCCAATTGGGGATGGCGCACTATAGGCATGATCCTCCTCACTAGACCAGCTTTTCTGTTCTGAATTCCAGATGATATATGTCGCGAAAATCACCAGAAATGGAGACAGTGAATCGATTATCGGTAAGGAGCATCAGCGCGAGCAGCAGCCGCGATCTCGGGCTCCCACTTGTCACCATTGGAGAGCAGCTTCTCCTTGTTGTAGAGGAGCTCCTCACGGGTCTCGGTGGCGTACTCGGCATTGGAAGCTGTAAGAAGGGAGAATAGTTAGCCAGGCACAAGAACATTGGCATATTTGGAGCTATAGTAAACTCCGGGTCAAAGCTCACTCTCAACAATAGCGTCAACGGGGCAGCTCTCCTGGCAGTAGCCACAGTAGATGCACTTGGTCATGTCGATATCGTAACGGGTCGTCCGGCGGGATCCGTCCTCACGCTCCTCAGCCTCAATGGTGATAGCCTGCGCCGGGCAAATGGCCTCGCAGAGCTTGCAGGCGATACAGCGCTCCTCACCGGTGGGATAACGGCGCAGGGCATGCTCACCACGGAAACGGGGAGAGATAGGACCCTTCTCGAAGGGGTAGAAGATAGTGTAGCTGTGGGTAGAGGTCAGAACCAATTGATGTTGTTGGTAGCGCCGGTTGCCGGTGAGGTCAAAGACTTACGGAGGGCGGAAGTACTGCTCCAGCACGACGTACATGCCACGGACCATCTCGGAGAGGAGGAAGTACTTGGTGGCCTTGTCAATGGCGGACTCGGAGCCCTGATCCCAGCGCTTAGGCGGGGCCAAGCGGAAACCGGGCTGAGGGGGGCCCGCTGGGGTTGCTGCGCGGGACACCGAGGAAGAGAAGTTTGCCGTCGAGCCGATGGGCGTGAAGGGGGAGCGACGGACGGCGACCAGCCTTGCGACCTGTCGTGTAGTGGCCATTGCGAAGGAGGTATGAGCGGAGAGGATGATTAAGGAGAAAGGAGGAGGGTGGGGGAGTCGAGTTGGAGGTTTTCGAGGTAGGGGAGAAGGTCGCTGGATGAGGTTGAGTGGTGTTTGCAGGTTTGGGCTTAGGTCATTTCTTTCTGCCGGGCGTTGATTGGTTGGCGGGCAGGATTTTGCGTCGGTGCAGCACTTCCGACCATCTTCTTCCTCTCTCCCGTCGACCTTACCCATCCTCTTCTCCAACCTTCCCCCACTTCCTTTCTTCTCTTATCTGCTAGATCTGAAGCCGTTGCGCTCTTTTTGATCTACCTCTTTTCCACCATGTTCCGCTCCGCCATTGTTCGCTCCTTGCGGGCTTCCGCCCCCCGTGTCGCTGTCAAGACCCCGGCTCCCTTCCAGATCCGCAGCTCCCCCATTGCTGTGCGCGCCTCCCAATTCACTCCCTGCTTCATCAACCAGGGTGTTCGCTGCTACTCCGCCCCTGCCGGTCTGAACAAGAGCGAGGTTGAGGGCCGGATAGTCAACCTGCTTAAGAACTTCGACAAGGTGCGTCGAGATTGTTTTTCATCCTCAATGGAGAATCATTGAATCCACCACCCCCTTGGATTCAACTTTGCTGACACTTTTCTCTGAATGCAGGTTTCCGACGTCAACAAGGTCAGTTTGACGCGAGCTTCCTTTCGGCATTCCTCGGCTTAGATATGAGCTACCGGTAGCCAGTCAGCATAGATCATTCATTAACACTTTTCGATATCTAGATCAACGGTGTTTCCCACTTCTCCAACGACCTCGGTCTGGACAGCTTGGATACCGTCGAGGTTGTCATGGCCATTGAGGAGGTACGCGCTCAACTTGTTTCCCTCGGAAAAGATAAGTAACCAAGATTCTAACTATCGCGACAACAGGAGTTCAGCATTGAGATCCCCGACAAGGAGGCCGACCAGATCCACAGCGGTAAGTCTGGATTACTTGAGGATCGCAATAGGATAGACTAACGCGTTTGTGCGAATAGTTGAGAAGGCTGTCGAGTACATCCTGGCTCAGCCCGATGGTATGTCCCTCTCCACTCCTCATCTTTAACTCATTCAATACTGACCATCTCTACAGCCCACTAAATACTTTAATTGAAAATTTCTGGGACCGGTGTGTTTGAAAGGTCGGATAGAAAAGGATAGGGATATTGGCGTCCGTTGGGGCTTTGTGCGAGGATATATCTCGATGACTCCTGACGCTGCTTTGTATTCTGAATTCCATATCAGTGGATTTTTTTGCCCTTGTCCTTCTATATCGTGTATATCATCTTGAATGCAGTTTTGACGCAGTGTTTGGTTGGAGTAATGGCTCCATTTCACCACTCTTAAACCTTGCAGAGCTTTTTGAAGTAGCCCGTGGTCATACCCATATAGAGAGGTAGATACCCAGGTATCCAACTCATACAGCTCGATATATATAAGAATTGGAAAATGCTGCGAAACTAAGCATGTGGCAAACCTATCAGGGCTGGTGTTCGACAGATTTTCCAAGGTTCACCAGCGGCCCCAAGCGTCAAGCCCAATTGTAAGACGTAACCAGTGAGTCGCATAGTCCAGATACATATATGCGACATATGGGCACAGCAGAGAATCATGGACCAAGGTTGAGATTAAAATGTAAAAGAACATTGAAAATAAGGTATTAACCCGAGGTGTGGAGGTGTATTTCCTAGAGTTCCCACCTGGCAGGTTTGATAAGATGGAAGATGATATATATGTTGCCCACTATCGGGCGCACCACGAGTCACCTTTTGCCGACCAAACTAACTTCGACCCATCCTTTTTCTCTAGTGCTTCTTCCGCCTCTTTGCTTCATCCGTTTTAGACAGTAACATTGAAGACAGACAAAGCATTGATTTATCTATTCTCTTTGAACTATCTCGATTGCTTGACAACCCACCCGGTCCCTGGTTTCCCCTGACGCCGAGACAGAGGTCCCACTTAGAAGCGGCAACGGCAGACTTTCGGTCTACACCACGCGCGACCTCTAACATCTCCCTACACCGCGGTCAATTCATGCCCCCTGCGACCGGCACGCAGATCGGCTTTTAAAATCGAAAGCCCGCCGTTGGCCCTTCCCACCAGGGTCTCTATCCACCCCTCCCCAAACCCGCTACCCTCATCCCATCCTCATGTCCGCAGCCGGGGGCTTGACTCGCCGACGAGGTGGCGGTCGAGCTGCTGGCCCAGACGAACAAGATGACAGCCGTGTGTCATCGCCCGTGTCAAGAAACGGTTCTGCAATGGATAACCGCGGCCCGGAGACCTCGTTCACGGCCGGAGAGAACGGGCACAAGATCGCATTCGACCCCCGCGACCTCAGCGAAACCGAAGAGCGGAGCAAGCAGCCTAAGCTGACTTTGATGGAGGAGGTGCTGCTGTTGGGTCTGAAGGACAAGCAGGTTAGTGAACCCCTGATTGACGACCGGCGACTCTCCCCGTCGTACTGTCTTCAAGGTGGCGGACTCGAAATGCTGACTTGTCGTCTGCCTTGATAGGGCTACCTGTCCTTTTGGAACGAGAACATTTCCTACGCCCTGCGAGGGTGTATCGTTATCGAGCTGGCGCTCCGCGGCCGGATCAGCATGCAGAAGGATTCCTCCCGGCGACGCTTTCCCCTGGCCGACCGCGTGATCGAGGTCGTCGACGATACTTTGACCGGCGAAGTCTTGCTGGACGAGACGCTGAAGATGATGAAGTCGAGTGAGAAGATGAGTGTGAACTCTTGGATTGATTTGCTGAGCGGTATGGATTCGAGTCCTTGATTTAGTTTGACAGGAGGGGTTGTCATTGCGTGACAAGGCTGGCTAACTTGGTTCTTTCCGTCACAGGTGAGACCTGGAATTTGATGAAGATCGGATACCAATTGAAACAAGTGCGCGAGCGATTGGCCAAGGGCCTTGTGGATAAGGGCATTCTGCGAACCGAGAAACGAAACTTCCTCCTCTTTGACATGGCAACGCACCCCGTCGCCGATGGTGGCGCTAAAGATGACCTCCACCGACGAGTTCGCAACATCTGTAGCAACCGCACCGTGATCATTCCTTCTTCCCAATGGCTTCCCGAGGATTCAGAGTATCGATACCTTCGCACGGTTACAATGGTCTGTGCTGCTTACGCGGCCAACGTGCTGGAGAATGCTCTAGTCACTATGAGCCACGAGGCCCGGGAAAGAGCGTTTGCCCAGGTTGATGAGCTGCTGGCGGAGTACTCGCAGTATCCATTCGCTCGCCGGCCCGGTGGTTCGCAGGCGATTGGCGCCAATCTGGCGCAGGCGATCAATGACGAAGTCAACAAGTCTCCAGACCGAGAACTCCAATTGGAGGTATGTTTCCCTGATAACCTCATCATAAGTGCGAATATTAACATTAGACTAGATCGTTGCCGCTTGCTTGAGCGTTTTCACCAGACTTGATTCCTTACTTTAAGCGGATGTACCGTGCTTGATTCTAATACAATGTCCTTTTCTTCTTCAACTTCCGCCTTTTCTTCTCTACTCGTCTCTTCGCGCTTTCACCCGGTTCCTTTTTTTCGTGGGTCGGGTTCCTTTCTTCTTATCTTCTTCTCCAGTCATGTAGTTTGTCATCAGGTTGGAAATTGGCAAAGCGTCTGTGGTCTTATACGACTCAAAATTCATTTCTTGTATGGGATATCTTTTTGATTGATTCATCCCTGGTTTTTGCGATTGTTCTTTGCCTGTTCACTATCTAATCTCGGTGAGCAGAGCTACCTTCAAGCTAGGGCTTCGCATAGCATATCTTGATACATTCAGACCGGCTGGGCCGCTCGATCCCCCCGGGTATGAAGCTGATATTCATACGTGGTCATTCATTGGTAGCTACAAGATGTGCTGATTTGAATGCAAATCATGGCTATGCGATACAAGCGCAGTTTTCAATACCAAAAAAAAACAATCCATTTTTTGACTATACAATGCCCAAATAAATGACAATGGCCTCCACATTAACAAAAAAGGTTAACACGAACAACCATCATTTCCCCACGACGACTCCCTGCCGCACCAGCAGCTTTGCCTTCGAGCAATCGCGCCGCATTGATCAAATCAACTTGAACTTCGTCTCGTCCTTTCAGCACCCGATCCTCCACCAACTCATTCATCCGCCTTAGCGCCGCTCCATCAGGGTTCACAGGAACAAACCGACTCTTGAGTCCCCGCTTCCGCTGCTTAATTATCTCCTGTTCATGAGATGAATCCTTTATAGGCTTAGGATCCACAGCCGTCAAGACAGCCCCACCGTCTCTCACCACATCCTTCGAATGAGCTTGTCGAAACACCTCTCCACCCGTACAATCGAGCACAATATCGACAGGCTCCCATTTGCAAGACCGGAACATAGCCCCAAGATCACATTCTTCTTTCGTAGGAAGGTGCGGGATCACAAGCGACTCATCCACCATCCAGTCATCACGAATCGCGATCTGTTCGGCTACCGTGCAGGTCACACAAATCCAGGGCCGGACCTTAGGCGAAAATATCTTATCCGTTCGTAGCAGTTGCACTGCTACACGACCAACTTCGCTGTCTCGGGCGTTGGTCACAAGTACACGCAGTGGTTTTTTCTTCTTGAGCGCGTCACCGATCCCATTGCCACCACCCGTGGCATTGATCATACTTAATCTGCGTCCGCTGGCGGCGGCCATGCTGCCGATACTCGCCATGCTGAGTTTGCGTCCTCCACCAACACTGCCGCTGCCACTGCTACTAGAACTGCCCCTACCAGTAAGGCTGGCAAGACTGAATTTGCGTCCGCCCTCACCACTGCCGAAGCCAGTGAGGCTTGAAAGGCTGAACTTGCGTCCTTCACTTTCACTATCCCTATTGGGGCTCCTGAGACTCGGTATCATCTCCCTTGACTCAAAGTTCCCACCATTTCCATACCCTATAGCCTGACCACTTCCCTTCCTACCACTGGCGCCACTGATCTTCCTATTCATGTTCTCAGTACCACTTTGTCCATTCTCATCAACAGGCGTATCGGGATCTATCCCCGCAACCAAGAAAAGCGCCTGCCAAGCTGTCAAAGACGGCAAAGCCAACGCAGCCGCTTGGGCGGACGTAATATTCCGCGGTCGCGGCGCCAATTCAGCTTCCTCCGCGACGGCATATTCCGCAGCTGCGCCATCGCGTGCATAGCTCAGAAGACCCCAGACCACGTCGCCAATTCTATACTTCGGCCCAAGGGGCCGGTCAGGGTCTTGCGGGGGCGTCGTGACAACTGTACCACAACAACTATGCAAAGGAATCTGCGGCGTTGTCTTCGGAGGGTTGAGCTCCGTAGCGAGACGAAGTTCATCCTGGCAGAAAGCTGCCGTATGCACTTTCAGTAGGTACTGATGCGTTGCAGGCTGCGGAGTTGGAAAGGACTTATCAAAAATAAGTTCTCCCGCTGGACCAGGCTTGGTACTTGGGAGTGGGCTTGCAGTTGCCTTTGGATTCGTGACCGAGGCGGCTCTTGTGTCGGGACTCATTCCGGGGCTGAGGCTGCGCTTCTCTTCCGTAAACGGATTCGATTCGGCTCTGGGATTGAATGCTAGATATTGGGATCTTGGGCTGATGGGGGTGTTATCTTCTCTGAATCGTGGAGAGTCGGTTGTTGGGTATGTGTTGTTGTTGAGTGCTGCTGCGGGCGAGTAGTATAGGGCTTGCATTGTGGCGGGGATGGTGCTCTCGTCTGTCGCCGAGGAGAACTTTCTTCCGGCTTTCATTGATGGCCCGTAGGAGGTTGAGGGGTTTATTATATCCGCTAAAATGTTGCTTGACAGCATGGGTGGTTCGACGCTCATTTTGACGAGTTGGTAAGTAGTAATGCAAATGGGGGAATATGCTGGTGGTCTAGTTGGGGAATGGTGTGCTTTTCATCTTATTTCTAGTGAGTGAAATTGCGGCTTTGCCATTATTTTATATGAACCGGGCGTTTCTTCTGACAATTTCCTAACGTTGACGTATACTCTGCCTTAGGTCAGCATGACTTTTGGCATCATCCATGGTGCGTTATCAAATCGAGAGGCAAATTGTGCTCTCGTAGAATCAAAAGACTTGCGTTTCTCTTGCCATCGGACAGAAGGCACGAAGAGTAAGAGACATTCATATTGCTTTTCCACCGTTTCTTCCAGCTAGGAATTCAGGGAGCAAGGTCCGCCGCCGATTTAGTTGAACGTTATTGACAAATATTTCAAGGTTGGAAATCTATATACTATAGCCCAATCACGTGCAGAATCATCAATCATTCATCCTTGAGCGTGAATGCTGCTTATAAATTCAGAATCGAATGAAGTTATGTCCTTTTAGAATGTATTAGTGCAGAAGGACCAGAGTATGCTTGATCTCAACATCGTTCACAGATTCACTCAACAAATACACACTCGGTGGTTATCAGAAAGGTACGATATAGTTCGGTAATCCCACACGCGCTTATTGCCACGGCTGCTAAATACCACAATCACATGACTTATGTCAAACCGTCTTCTATTTATACGCTCGTATCTCCACGCCTCACCTTACTGTGACGATATTGCATTCCAGGCCTGAAGTCTATTAACTAATGTCTTTTGCTTTCGCAGCATGGGCTTAACAGGACTTAATACAGACGTCTTTATTAATCAGAATTTATTCATACCAATGAATGAGCGTTGGAAGACTCCATTACAGCCTCATCCTGAAGCTACCACCACGTGCTGGAGAAAACACAGGACGTTTCCGCAGCCAAATCATTCGAAGAATTTATTTCATGACATAACTTAGCATGATATAGCATTGTGGATGCGCTCTGAAGTTAGTTGTTAATTTTGAATCTTACAGGGATCAGTAAGGATGCCCAGTGCTCCACCCTACCGGCCCTGGGCGCATACGCAGGGTCATCAGCCCTATAGCAGAATAGTAAATAGTCAACTTCACGGAAACTTATACATAAAACGTCAGTCCAAGACTTCGGACTTTAAAAAATTCATTCAATACAAGGAACTTGACACTTTCAGCAACCTCCCGAATAAGATGGGCATTATGTCTACTCCGCCACATGACATTGCCGAATGACGTGCCCTGGTGCCCCGGGTGCAAGGGCAGGTGCCTCGAGGAACAGGCGCTCAGCGCCCAGCTCACAGCCTCAAACCCGTGTGTTGGGATCAGGCGGGGTGGGAGAGAACAGGGTAGGTTACAGCCGAGCACGCTAAAGGGGTTGATCGTTCGTTATATGATCACCGTGCTTGCCCCTATTCATTCCGTTCTCCTGAGAACAGCACCAACAACCAAGAGTGATTTAGATCGGTCGATCTTTCAATATCTAAAAGATCTGATACTATTCCCTCAGATATTGAATATTCGCAGCCGAATAATTACTTTCGAAAAAGCGAAATACAAATAACGGCCGGGAAGCGAGCATCATGGCCGACGCCAATCCGTGCGACTCTTCGACCCCGAACAATGAAACCGAGGCCCCAAAGCCAACGGCCCCGGCTCAGCCATCTGAGGAACGACCAGCCCCCATTGAAAGGCGTGGTTCATCTTTTATGAAATTCGTTGCTTCAATCCTAGGCTCCAAAAATCCGATCGCGCATCGGGCGGACCCACACACCAACACCGTTTGGCTGCTGGATAACACCGCATACCAGCTTGTGCCTGAACCAGGAGAAGCAGGGCGGACTGACCAACCAGCAGCATGGCACGCCGAGTTCGTAGCTTGCATCCTTGAGACAGAGGGCCGCAAGGATGTAGGGAAGCTAGTCGCCTCGATAGCAGACCACATCGGGCTAGACGGTGAAACAGGCATAGCCGACGAAGCAACACATCAACGTATCGTGGATCGCATTCAACCGTTCCTGGATACCGTTTCCCCTGGTAGAACTGTCAAGTTACAGCTTGACATAAGTGGCGAAGAACAATTGCACGAACTGGGGCCCTCTGACCGGGGTGGGATAATCAGCCAGACCGTCGAGCTCGGAGCACCATCCATCCCAGACGGGACAGTCATACGACCTCGCCTAGCCAACTTTGGAAATAGCATTGCAGTAATGGAAACGCGTTTCGCTGCGCCGGAAGGCTGGCTGATTGTTTCCGATATCGACGACACGATCAAACGGACCATGACTGTCGATCCAACTGGTATCCTCCGGACCACTTTCACGGAAGAACCGGTCCCGATCGTCGGCATGCCGGAATTTTACCGTCATGTTCACGAGGAGTTAAACCCGACTTGGTTTTATCTCTCCGCCTCGCCCTACAATCTTTATCCGTTCCTGCACAGCTTCTTACATGAGTACTACATCCCCGGTACGCTTGTGCTGCGCGAGTATTCCTTCTTTGATGTTAATGGCTTGATTAAGTCATTGACGGAGCGGACACAGGAGTACAAAACCGATCGGATGGAGAAGATCAGACTCTGGTTCCCAGCGCGGAGGGTACTTTGTATTGGGGATTCAACGCAGAGTGATCCTGAGGCGTATGCGGAGATGTATCGAAGGTATCCGACGTGGATTCATGCGATTGCTATCCGAAAAGTCACGGGTGTGGCGCATATGGAGGAGAAGAATAAGGATGAAAGGTTTGAGGAGGCATTCAAGGATATTCCAGTTTCGGTGTGGACGGTTTTTGAGGATCCTGTTGAGCTTTATGGGTTCGTCGATGGATTGGGGATGGAAGATCTGGTGTTGTAGGTTGATAATTTCACTTTCAATGTATATATTTGTGTGGCAAATCTACGATTTATCTCTTCTACAGGTGATTCATATATTTTTTCAAACCTTGTACATAATATTCGGGACTAGGTAGATGGCTACTTTGAAGGTTAGAGACTGAAATTTCCCCCTAGGCCATTGAAGGGATCGCTACTAGCCCCCTTGGACCAATACTACCACTGATGTTGGCCTGATGCATGGACCTAGGGCCCATGCTGATCGGATAATCGATGGCCGAATGGAACAGTCCGTAATTGTCCCAAATAGCCACGTCTCCTTCCTCCACAGGAGCCAGCAGGATGTATTCGGGCTTCAGAATTCGGTTTTGGATACCTAGGATGAACTTGCGAATCTCGGCCACATCTTCTATAATATGAGGCTGCTCCTCCTTTGAGCGACGTAGGTAAAGCTTTTTGGCGCATATGCCATGGACCTGGAAGGCCTTTTCACCCGTAAGGGGGTTCACCCAGACCATTGGATACTAGTCGCCAAATTAGCCAATGAATGGCATGAATGGGAGAAAGTTCAACCTCATACCTTCTTCACCGCAGTCGGATCATACTCGCCGAGCTCTTCATCTGTGAGGCGCTCACCTCCTTCTGCTAAGCCCAGACCATTGGTGTTGCCCTTGCACTTCTCAATCCACTTATACGGATAAGGCGCATATTCAACCCAACTATGATCAACCAAGACTTGCTCATCAGGAGATAACATCGAATAAAGCTGCGATGTACTGAAGTACGCGGTCTTCCCTGGTGGGGATTTCATACTTTGGCCAGAGCCGTCTGCCCACTTAACGGTGAGATCAGGCCCTTTGGGAAGAGTCACGCATCGCAGGGTCGTGAACCACGCAGGATCCTTCCCATATAGTGGAGCATCGATGTGCCAGCGCTGAAAACGGGTGATGCCTTGCTCAAACTCCTCCATGGATGGTGGCACGGCATGGAAATCATTGCTGAGTCCGCGATCGATGGTGTGATTTTCAACTCCAAAGTGATTTCCACCTTGGAAACCCTTGCCAATTAGGCGAACGTTTTCAGCGCCTGGAATTCCCACAACTTCTCTCCCTTGCTGAACCAATACCGTCAGATTCTTGTTCGATGAGGAAATGTACCAAGTAGAGAAACATACTGCAAGAAGCCCGCCTTTAGCACGGAATGTGGTAAGGTTGCCGTGACTGTGGCCATCACGGGCATTTGGATCCAGTCTGGTCACCAGCTCCCATTGCTTCTTCGGATCTAAGTCATGTTGTGCCTTCACAACAATGACCTTGTGGCGCCAAATAGCGGCTTTGAGACGATCGACATCCTCATCTATTCGTCCTTGTTAGATCGAGCCTTCCGATATGAAGGGAGATGGGGACCCACCTGAGAGGTTGTTCAAGTCCACCCCAGTTATGCAAGCCCCGAACTATCAAGTTGTGAGTTTAGTATCATTATTATGCGGAGCCACTACTCACATTGAACTTTTGTTCGGCTGTCCGCTCCAGTGGTGTCACAGTGAAGGAAGTGCGGTTTTCCATTGTACCAGTTGTTCCAGTGCAAGGATTCTATTGATAGATGATGATGTTGTTCAATTGATAGACTTTTACTAGATAATTGAACAGAGCTTGGGAGTAATTGAGGGGTCTTTTATCAAATGCGTTGTTGTCTTATTGGCCTGGATTAGTTGTCTGCGGCCGAACTCGCCCCAACCCGTGCAACGTACATCACATGCATGATTCATCCATTCACAGGGCTCGGATTAGCATTGATATACGTGCTGCATGGAAAGATAAACCAAAGGTCTAGTCCCATACTGCGGCACGGACCACCGAGCGGGGTGCAAGCCATGGCAAGCTCTTCCGGCCGATCTTTACGGCCGTCTTTATCATTCATCCGATGGTATCCGTATTGCAAACCCGGAGGTCCTTTGCTGACTTGACCAATTGAAACAACATTTCTAAGCAGCATAATTCGATAGGTAACGGAAGTATCAGCCAAATTCTCGCCAGCAGCGTATGGAACCAGGGACCGAGAAGGCATATTATTGAAAACAAGAAAACGCCCTGGAAGATTTGCAATCACTTTCCTTATCACTACGTTGATAATATGCGACAGAGAAAACATTCGATACAATATTCGAGGAAAGAGATCCGCCTGGGGTTGGCTATAAATTTCAAGAGTGTTTGCTCGTAGCCATCGATACAACATTTATTCATCTAATCTTTCGACAAAAACTTTGATCGCCTCAGTAGAGCCCTCAAAATTATGGAGAATCATCTGATGTCCAACACCCTCAAGAACCTTCACCGTTGAATTTTTTCCAATCAACTGCTGTAGTCCCCCAGCTGAGTCTGGGGTAGATATGATATCGCCACCTCCTACCAAGAATAAGGTCGGAGCGCAGATGGAGTTGTAATCTGGATCTAGATGATCAAGGCCTGCGATTGCCTCACATGCTCTAGCGTAGGCTTCAGCATCACAGCTAGCCACCGTTTCCCTCACGATTTGGCGGACCTCGGGTGGAACCATGCCTTCAAGCGGAAAGTTGGATATAGCTGCCATATCTGCCACAGTTTGAATACCTTCTGTCCGCGCTTTTGCCGCTAAGCCTAGCATTCGCTCTCTTGCGGCGGGAACATGGGCAATTGAGCGGCCTGGTCCAAGCAAGACGAGACCACGAATTCGATTTGGGTGCCTTGAAGCGTAGTGCATTGAGATGATAGATCCGAGGCTGTGACCGATGAATAACAACTTCCCGGACGAGACCCCAGGAGAGCTTTGCAGAGATGCCACGAGATGTTCCAGGTCGTCGACATATCGAGGGACAGAGAGGATCGTGTCAGGCGAGGACAAAGCTGTTTGGCCAAATCCTTCCAAATCAACACAGATCAAGCGATTGATCTGTGGCGAGAGACACTGGAGAATTGGCTCGAATGTTTTGGTCGATCCACCCAGTCCGTGAAGCAGGATAACGAGAGGACCTGACGGATTACCCGTTTGTGTAAAATGCAACTTTGTGCCGTTCGGCGTCTTGTGATAGAATGATGTAGAGGGTGTATTCATCTTGTCAGATGCAATTCGAAGTAAGTTTGTAATTGAAGGGAACTGTGTTAAGATTCCTGAAAGGCATAGGAGCGAAATAGTTCAATCGGGATGCTTAGTCCTCTTACTCAGGTCCATCCGATCAGCGGATCCGTCGACGGCCGAGGTCTGCCCGTCTATATACCGCAATTCGGCCGTCATAGTGTCACCTAAATCATGTCAAATGATAGATGTCAAGACAGATGTTGTTATAAAGAACCAATAAATCAATGTTAGCTGGGCATAATACTTTGTATCACTCATCTTCACCATGGTGTTTGCCGTCTCTACCACTGCCACCGAGATTGATGCGCCTAAGGTCCTGACGGTGCGAGAAGCCTACCAGCCCCCATCGGCAGCCACTAGCAATGGACGCGTGGTGCCTATCAAACACGAGAACAATGTAGATTTTGGAGCCGAGATCTACGGCATCGATCTCAACAACTTCACCTCGGCCGATTTTGCTCTCATTTCTGATGCCCTCCATCACCATAAGCTGCTTGTTTTCAAGGAACAGCCGCAAATGTTAACACCACAACAACAATATCGCCTGACTGCATGGTATTTCACCCACATATCGTCCTATCATCTCTGTTTTGTTACTGATACTCAACCGTCATGATCATGAAGCTTTGACCCCGACGAAAAGACAGGAGGTTTCGCTCACGGTGCCGACCCTGTACTTCTCTCCGAGAATGGTGTGACCATATATGGCTTGCCCAATCGACCGGCCATCAATGCTCAACCTCAGGTGCATATTCTGGGCCGTGGCGAAGTTCCTCAAGACCATTTCGATTTCCCTCCAGGATTCAAAGTAAAGGGCATCGACCATGTCGACTTCCACTTGCCACCACACATCCCTCGAGAGGAAAGAGATGCAGGCGCGAGTCGCTTTTATCAGTGGCACTGGGATGGTTCCTTGTACAAGATCCCTCCACCGCGGGTAGGTTGCCTGCTGGCCGTGCGAACGCCGAAGGGCCCCGATGTTACCGTTCACTGGGGCGATGGTACCGGAAGAACAATGAATATTGCACCCGGCGCAACTGCGATGGTAGCCGGATCGCGAGCACTGCAGCTCCTAAGCCCAGAGCTGCGTGAAATAGTTTTGCACAGTCGTATAGAGTACGCGCCGCACGCATTCCAGTGGATGTCCACTGCCCGCAGCACCAGACTTGGTCATCTTATCGAAACGGAGGGTCGCGAGATGCCACTTAATAAGCTGTCGCCTTGGACAGAGGAGAATATTTGCATTTATCCCATGGTCTGGACTAATCCGATCACGGGGGAGAAGTCTCTCCAGGTTCATGGCCAGGGAGCTTTCAAGTTGTATCTTAAGAACAAGGCAGACGGGGAAGAGACAGTAATCACTGATCTAAAGGAGGTCCGCGCTTTTATGGACAAGTAAGTTGGCCTCTTCTAGGCTGTGGATTGACGGTGAGCTGACCAGCGTGATGCAGGATCATGAGCCCAGTCTTATCGCCGGAGAATATTTATGCGCATCCCCACCAGGAGCAAGATGTTATTCTCTGGTACAACCGAGCATTGTGGCATAGTATCGTGAGTAATTCCACATTTGAGGTACTGCAAGTCCTAACTTGTCACAGACCGAGTTTCCTGAGTCATACGGCCCGCGAATCATGCATCAGTGCAATATCGCAGCCTCGGACCACCCTTCAATGTAGAAGTGTGGCTCACCATGCCCCTATTTAGATAATGACACTATTTGCTGAATGCATCGCTTCGCAGCTCAACTCTCACTTTTACATTTGGTCGTAAAGACTTTGTAGTATGAGGTGGCAATTCCATCGACTTAAGCACTCATCCACACTAGCCGTGGAGGTTCTTGACCTCTACACTTACCAGCTATAGTACTGCCTGTCGGTCATACACCGTGACTAGTACATTCTCAATAGAAGCAAAAATTATGTTTAATCTTCACATCTAGGTTGCATGGCCAATAGCTACTATTCAGCCGAAAGTTTTCATTAGATTATCGGTACATGTTAGGTGTAGGTTACCATTAAAGTCCATGTGAATATACAAAAATCCAAGTTATTATCCATTACTAAGATAAAAATTGCATCACTGCTTTCTTGCTAGTGTTTCAATTTATCAGCAGATTCCACCATCCTGTCCACATTGAATTCTGCCTCCAAATCCGAATCAACGGCATTTAGAGGGCGAACCACCCCCGGAACGACTGCTGGGATCAGCGTCGCTTGATCGGGCCAGAAATGATTCAACACAAAGTAAAGTGTAAAGGAAAGGCAGAAGCCATAAAGGTAGTTGATAGCATAAAGATGTTGCAGCCCGGTGTCGATGCTGACATTATCAGGTGTCACCGAGTGTGCCAATCCCGGGAGAAGCGGCACAATAACCGCCAAATTACAAACCAAGGCACGCCAATTTGTGCCAAGCTGTCATGAAACCAAAACAGTTAGCGATTTTATTGTCTGAGACACATAAATCAGTCTGAACACACCTTGTAGTAGTATATTCCTCGTGGATCGTACAACGCTGGTACGTCGTATTTGCGTCGCTTAACGATCCAATAATCGCAGCAAAGAATGCCTGCAAAGGGTGCCATGAATATGGAATAGGCTCCCATAAAGCTGAGGAATGTCTTTCCACTCTCAATGATAATCCAGGGACAGAGTGCCCATCCTCCTAAAATCATGCACAGGATCATTCCACGTTTTATATTGAACCATTTTGGACACATGGTTGTCATATCTGGAAACATATTAGAAGCTGCTTAGTACGAAGTGTAGTATGTACCTACCATTTGCGAAAGATATCGAATTAGCGGAGACATTAGTGCAAATTTGCGCCAACAACCATAGCGATGCACAGAAAAAGGCTGCGGCTCGTCCCCCTGAAGAGCCCTGCCACTCATCGATAATCTCCAATGGGCTCCATAGAATGGTACCATACACTCTCTTCGACGCACTGGCGGCAATGATACCAAAAAGACCGGTGAGAACTTTGAAGAGAGGAATCATCGGCAGTTGCCAGACTGGACTGCCAGGCCTCTTGCTAAAGCGCGAGAAGTCAGAAATGTTGACCGCGAGTGTTGAAAAGCCGCCTGGATATCATTAGAGCCACATTTTCTAAGCTTAGAGATTGGTATCAACCAACCGGTGATTGAAGTCATATTGGTAAGCCATAGCCATGCTCGCTCGGCGCCATGAACAGTAGGTGGTTCATGGAATATCGCACTTCCTCCTCCAGCCTTGACAGATATCCAGATGACCATAGCTAGTGCCATGGGTGGTACAAGAGTGGACTTGAAAATAAACATATATTGTAACTTATGGGTGGGGATGAAGAGGAACGGCGTTTGAATGACATGGTATATGACATAGGATACCATGCCCTGCGTCGTGATGGCTGCCGATGCTGGTAAATGATTAGGGAGATTGGCGTAGCTTGGCCAAATAGCGGTGATGATCTTTCACATTGTTAGCCACACAAGAATTGAATCGGGGACAGGCAGCTCTCACCGGAGTTACACATTGCCCTCCATAAGAGCTCTGGATACCAAACCAGAACATTGCCAGCGCAGCACGCGAGGCAACACAGAAGTACCCGAAGTACGTGCCATAGCTTGCCCGAATAGCCACAGGAAACGGAATGTGAAGGTCAGCGCCAACGGCACCATTGAGGACTGTGGGTATAGCATTGCACAGTGCTGCGACCAGTGTCAACAACACTGTGTCGGTTGCAGAGAGGCCAGATGCATACGCCGAACTGGCCGCAGACCACGTTGAAACAGTGACCAAGTCCGACAGCCAATACTGCGTAAAGGTCCATCCAGTCCAGGTCCATTTTTCTGGTGGAACCGGATCTTGATCGGCATTGCTCCACACATGTGGTGGGGCGATGCTGCTGTCTTGCTTGGGAAGGGCCCAGCGCTTGCGTTGGATCAGACGCATCGCCATTGTTGATAATGCCCCAACATCTTGGGCGGGACTGGTCTTTTGAGGTTCGCGTCTCCTCAAATTCTTGCTGCACGGTCTTGCGTGTGATGGGGTAAAAACTTGGCATCTTCGTGCCGATACCTTTAGGCTTTCACTATCTGCATACCCCTGTCATTGTCCTTATCGCTGACCAGCCACACGGCTCAAGCTCCACCCTAGCGTCGGCCGAGTTGATAGAGCAAGATTGCTATATAGGCACGGATCATCACCACCAGACCCGTCCGTCACCCGTCACTGAATCTATCTACAAAGTATCTCACTGGTGTCAATAGCCAGCATGATGAATCCGTCAGCGAGGAGAAAGCGGTTAGCGTGTGCAGAGTGTACGCGGCGAAAGATCAAGTGTGATAAGATTTTGCCATGTCGAAATTGTCGCAATAGGTTAGATCCTACTCAGTGATGCTCGGCTATGAGCCTATGACCTTCGGATACTTACGTGTTTGGAAGTCCAGAGGCAGCACTTGCTACCGCTCACCACATGTATCGTCGTACTCTCGGGCAACGGCGGCATTTCCACAAGCTCCCCAGCACAGTGGATTCCACGCAACGGAATTGACTGGGACCCTCGCTGCCTGTCTCAATGAGCTACAAGCTACACTACAAGCAGTTAGAGCACACGAGAGCACGAATACCAATTTTAATGAAAATTCAGTACCGTTATCTGCAGCCCAGGAAGAGAGCTCGACCAGAGCGCCGTCGGAGATAGAGGATGCCAGTCCCAGTCGCGAGGCTGACGAGGTGGAAGATGCCGCGACAATATTGGAGTTTCTAGCTTGGGGTCGACGGAAAGTTCCCGACTTTGACGACTTAGTTGGGAATCCAAACAGTGATCTTGCTCAGTCCCCCGGGGATGTATCCCTATTAAATAGTCCCGCGGATCCACCTCAGTTACGCTTTACTGATGATGCCTCTTCACTTCCGCTTCTACAACTTTTGCTTCCCGAGCCGCCCACCTTACTTCGGATGGTCAACTATCATTGCGAGTGTCTTTTGTGGTACCACTCCGCATTCCACGGACGCATATTTCTGGAAGAGGTCGATCGTTTTCTTAAACAACATCATGGTTGCATTGACAACCAGCAGATTGATCTTCAATGGGTTGCTCTTTTATTTGCCGTGCTAGCAGGAACTATGACATGTGCACCTCGGCCGGTATCTACTTCCTGGGGATTCGAACATCTCGAGCGTACGAACTTAGCACATCGGTTCTTTAAAGCTGCACTGGTCTGCCTGAATCTGGCGGATTTTACTGCTCGCCATTCTCTGTACGGGATTGAATGTATCGCGACCATGACCATAAGCGCCCACTTACTAGGCCATTCTAACAGCCACTCCGTCAAGCTTGCGTCTGCTGTCCGGATTTCTCAGAGCTTGGGAATGCATCGACTGGGCGAAGAAATTGATGGCCATCCAAAGAGTCTAGTACGAAGGGAGATTGGTCGACGATTATGGACAGAGCTATGTATTCAAGACTGGTTCTCGATACCATTTTCGGAAAGCTACTTGATTCACCGGCGAGACTTCAATACAGGAAAGCCTCGCAATTGCATGGATGATATTGAAATGACTACTCTTTCAGACAATGTGCCCACTCCGGTGACCTACCATCGTTTCTTATACGAAATTGCAGCGCTCATGCCACAGCTTCAAGACGACCTTTCTGCATCACATACATTGTTTGCGAAATATGAACATGTCATCCGATATGACACAAAAATGCGTACGCTGGTTAGCAAGCATGTTCCTTCTTGCCTACGAAACACTGCTCTTGAGCCATCGTGGCCGCGCTACGTGCCTTGGGCACGTCATTGCCTCACTATTAGCTCCGCTCACAAAATAATCATGATTCATCGCAAATTCCTATGGTCTAGCTTTACTAATCCGGCTTTTACATTCACACGTAAAACTTGCATTGCGGCAGCCAAAACTATCACCCGAGAGCAGAAGCAGTTAGTCAAGGAAGACGGGCCCGTGCTGTGGATTTATCACGCATTTAGCGTCGCAGCAAGTGTAAGTTGCCGGTAATCACTGGTTCATTTATTGTATCGACACTTACCTGGTTTCAGATAATATTGTGCTTGGATCTATTCTTCGACCCACTTCCTGATTGTGACCAGGAGGAGAATCGCGAATTAGTCAAGGACATGATTGGAATTCTGTCCCAGAGCGATGCTAGTATGATTGCCACGAGAGGCGTGAAAATATTGCGATTGCTGCTTAATCTTGAGCAGGATCATGGAAAAGGACTCTCAGGTGGCTTGAATATTCGTGGCCTCGTCAAATATATTTGTGAGAATGAGGCATTGGTTAGCCGTTCAGATGAATGGCAACATGATGCACCTCCTGTGAACGGGCCGCCTTCGCCAATGTCTACCATGCAGATGCCGGGGTTTATACCTCGGGAGTCCCACACAGAGGAGCTATATGGCAACGTTACGCTACCAAATTCTAGGTTTGGCATGCCTGATTCGCTAGAAGACATCCTACTGCTCGTGCAGAATGGAGGAGAATAATTTAGCAATGAATTTGAGCATGCTATTTATCATATCGCACGAGAAATCTCTCTACACAACCCGGACACCTACATACAAAGCATTGCATTGTTGATCTGTCACTATTTCTAAATCTTATAATCTAAAGTGAAGTTCGGTACAAAATCCGTTGAAATGGTTTCACTTCGAGGAAGCCTCGCAACTTGTCCCATCACTGGTACGCGAACAACCATGAGGGCACGGATAGGTCGGATCATACTGCCACAGGAAGTAAGGGTCGGTCTCGTTGATGAGGATGTTTCCCATTAGACGTGACTGTGTCGGAAGATCAAAAGAGGCTTCAAATATTTGAATTGAAGGCATGCGGATCTGACCCCAACCTTTCTGAATCAGTGTATCAATCGAAGTCCCATAGACGTATTCTCGGAATCCTGCCCATCGAATTGCGGAGGCGCACTTCTTCTCCGTTAGCTTACTATTAAGAGTCCCACAGATTACAGACACCATACCATCGGGCAGCTTTCGGCATTTGTATATAGCGTGAGGTCGGCGAACGCATCCTCTGCCTCGGACGCAGTCATGCGATATTTGCCGTGGGGATCGGTTAGAATCGCCGTACAATTCTTAATAGCTGCCATTTCCCCTAAAATGTGAAATGAATGTCAGCCAATCCATAGCTATTAGCTAGGCTAGTTGACTAACCGTGCAGAGAAGGATTTCCGGTCTTCGAATTCTCATTGACGCCCATGCAAATGAGTTCGCCTGCGTCAGAGGCCGTATGATTAACAATGACTGTCCCGAAAGCCGCAAAGGGGCAAGGGGAGCCGCTAATTTCGTTCAATGCCTCATTTGCTAAGCGCATCCAGTGTGCTCTGGTTGGAAAAGTGATTCCATTGATCATCAGGTTCGGATTCGCAAGGATGGCTGCCAGTGTCCCAGCAAAAAGTTCGGCAAGCAAAACAAAGACGTAGATAGAAGAACGCATTTTTGAGTTTTTTGTCAGCGCTGAAGGAGATTTCTCTACCGCTGCACGATAGCAGAGAGCTAAATCATTCTGCATCTCTGGGAACTCTCCATTTCTATTTGGCGTGTCCGAGGCCACGGCCGCGATCGGCCGAGCAACCTCAGATTTCCCCTTCTTGACCGATAAGTATCTCAGACCTACCTCCACACGCTCAGTTGACTTCCAAACCCTAATCTGACCAAGTGGTCCGAGCGATTCGAGATTATCAAAGTAGTTTGGATGGTCAAGAGAGGCAGCTTCTGACGTTGTAAATTCTATTTCACAAAGGAAAGACACTCAGGGTGAGAATTTGCGTCAAATTGAGGAATATTCTTGGTTCGCGGAGAATAGAAGTAAAATTTTATCACGAGAAGCATGCCGGACAAATAATAAACAGGACGCACGGCTCTATGCAGAGGAAGGTGCACCTTGTAAGATTCCAATTTGAGCGTCAGTCCTCATAGAAAATTTCAGTACACGTTGTCACATCGACCAGATCATCAGTAACCATGGACCATCAGTTATTGTTCCTAAAGGTCGTCCAGCCACTTGGACTATAGAACCGCTAGCATGCATATTTCAATATCTGACGACATATTATGCAAGCTGCTGTGAAGACCATCCCTTGTATCTCCGGATAATTAATGTCACGCTATCTCGCTGCTTGGTGGTTGCTTGACTTTTGCAACCCAAATCTTTCTACCCTCTATTCATCCACATCTTGTCTCCCATTAAGCACCGAACAAATGAAGTGCACCACTATCTTCACGTTTTACCTCTTCGTAAATACAACAACCCAATGAACGGCGAACTCCAGTCTTATTGATAAGGATTGACCGAAAAACCCACTAGTTCGTGGGGAGATGCTATCCACTTGTATCCACCTACGACCATTACTGGCAAAACCTCGATATTCGAGTGTCTCATTTGAACTCGGCAGTGGAAATTTTCCATGAACACCCGTTAATCCATACCATGATGGATCTAAGACAGATCTAATTTATATGGATCCAGAGCCCTGAAATCTTGGAAATACAATGGATTTTCACAAATTCCGAGATAACGACAGTCAGCTGATGATGGCATTTACTAGTTCCTCGATGAGAGTATCCTAGCTAAATTGGCATATCTGGAAACGCCAGTGGCTCATCCTCGTTCTGCAATGGCACAGGATATGAAAGCCAGCCACTATCCAAACAAGTCTCGACTCACCTCTAGAAGAACATCGGGATAGGATCCAAATGTCCGCCGGTGAATTGGATCATCTATAGATAGAAAGAGGATTGGTATGATGTCCGATTTAATGGCCTGAGGGGGGGAAGGCCAAATGTTACTCAAGCCTCGGGCTAAACAGCGGGCACCTTCCAAAAGAAGCACGAAGTGAATTTGATTTTCTCACTCCTAGCATAGATCAGATCTTATCACTTTCTAAAACGGTATGAAATCTGAAACATTGCCAAGTGTCAGGCTCAGTATCCGGCTCCTCCTTGCATCTGTTTCAGCGTAGCCTGGATATTAGACTTGAAACCCTCGCAGACCCCGCCGTTATGACGCACGGTGGCCATGGAAAGTATCCCTTCTTTCATTTACAAGTTGGTATAAATACTTTACTACCTTGGCAGGTGCCCGCTTGCGTTATACTCCACGCGTGGGATTAATACATAAGGTTCATGCCGGCATTTCAAATCGTCACGTACCCTAAATCCTTTTTGCACATTCTTAAATTATCTCGAGTCTTTGACCAAACATACGCCCATGTTGCTTTCATCTCTACAACAGTCATATCAACGCTTATCAAGGAGCCGCAGAGGAAAAAGACGACCCCGCGGACCTCCTGTGCTTCCTTGCTATAACGAAACCAATCCTTTAATATACGATTCGACGGCACACTCCTTGACACACACATTGCCCAGACATACGCTGGTGGATTGTCCACGGTGTAGACGGTTTCCTTGTGCTAAGGCTCCAGCGGATAGTACAGTACATGCAGTACAATCGAGGTACAGAGACGGGAGAAGTTTCAATACATAGATACAGTCAGAAGAGTATCATATTATGAGGCCCTTTGCCATGAAAGGCTTACTGTCGATCTCAAGTCCCGGCGGTGTAATTGTGCAATATCTCTATCCTGTTATGTCGAGAGCGTTTAAGATGATATGCCACAAGATTTGGTGAGTAATTCACCTCAGAAGGATTATGCTGATCACCGTACTGATGTTATCAAGGGATCAGGTAATACGGTTGAAGGTGACGAGATTTGGGATGATGGCACAGTGCCTTGGGGATATTGGGTTCCGGGCAAAATAGTACCGTGGGGATTAAATGCCCATTGAGGGTTCCTTTTGAGATGCCCGCGTGGGGAAATGTCATGTAATTCCTTTCATCAAGTCATAAATCGAAGACTCGTTCAATTCATTGATCACTGCCTTTCGCATTACCATCGCTTCGGCGCAGATATCTCAGCCCGAGAAAATGAAGCACTGACGGTCTCCTGTCCTCTTCGGCGCTGAATTTCCTTAATACCAGTACGGTCTGTCACGGTGGTGGCGTTGATGATGTTGTCAAAATCCCCGTCCTCGCTTCCCGCCGAGCCAGATTCGGCATCAGAGTCGATGTATGTAGGCTCTGGCTTTGCGATTCTCTCCGGTTGTTCTTTGTCTGACGTTGACGGGTTCTTGAAAGATTTTGACTCGAGAATCTTGCGCCGGATTTCCGCCATCTGTTCTTCATCCTCAGAGTCGTCGGAGATGGCAAACGGATCCTTATCTTCCTCGTCCTCACTTTCTTCCTCGGCACCACTGCCTTCTTCACCACTCTCATCATCATCATCGTCGTCATCTTCATCGTCGTCCGAGCCTCTGTTCGCTGGCATGCGATTGGTATTTCCGACGGTCCAGATATCCTCTCCCTCAACCCGACTATCCTCGTACTCTTTTTCAATCTTAGCCAACCACTCCTCCTCGGTCCTTTTGATGTCCTCTTCGGTACTGCAAGCAGCATATAGCTTAAATAGCTCGGCATTGATTTCCAAGAAGGCCTCTCCGTATCTGAAATTCTTCAAGATCTGTTCCGCCCATTCCTGATGTCCGCAAATGCAGAAGCACGCCGCGAGCGCTTCGACGCAGTTCAATCTCCAAGGTTTGCCGTAGTTGACCGTATTCGCAGCGATGAGGTAAGGCACTAGGCGCAAAAAAAAGTTAGTATTTGTGCGCGTACTCCCTATTGTGTGTGGCACACATACAAAGTCGTTCGCATTTTCCTCCAATTCGCGACCAAGGTACTTCCTTGACTCGTACCCAAGAACACTCCACTACTGCCGCACCATGTTGTTCCATGAGCTCTTTATCCGCCGGGGAGATCACTTTCTTCGCATTAGGCCTGTTCCAATGGTTAGTAGGTATGTTTCGACCAAGGTGGGATGTTACGTACGAGACGATCACACCAGGGAAGCGTTGGCCAATATGAAGCTCTCGCATTAATCCTAACTTCATCAGGCGTTTTCCAGAGCATCGCTTAGGGTCACAGTGGCCCATATCCCAGCAAGCAGCCTTGAACGCAGGGCGCGACGAAGCGGCGCCGGCCTCATCTCCATCATCGCGGGGCACCGGTCGCGGGCGGGGGTGAGAGGATTTCTTGCCTCCTCGAGAGAAATTGTCTTTCTTATGACGAACCATAGTGAAGGCTGCGAGTGATTGAAATGTAGAGGGAATGTAAGCCAAATTCCACGTTGATTGCGTGCAGCGCGACGTCGAAAGAAATAAAAAATTCCAGTGGAGGCATCAGCGCCACACGTGCTTCTCCGCCCGCCTAGTCCGCTCTCCAATCTACAACAAACCATCGCGGCCTTCCCGCTTCGACCCCCAACTCCTGGCTCTTCCATTATACCCCTGTTCTTTTTTTTTCTTTTCTTTTTTCTCTTCGCTCTCCAAACCGCCACCCTGGAGGCTGCTTCAGCACGCATGGCGGCTAGGGACCGCTTCGGTGCCTATGCTGAGCCGGGGCAATCACCGCTACAGCGGGCGATTCGTGAGCTTAACCCCATCACTTATATTGGAAACAATAAGGAAACACAATTGCTAATGAGCTGGGGTATCTAGGCAATGCATGCGATCCGCAGAACTACGAGCCCAATCTGGCCCTGAACCTCGAAGTGGCCGATCTGATTAACTCTAAGAAGGGCAATGCGTGAGTCGAACACCGCCGACCCCAAGCATCGCGCATACTGATATTCTTCCTAGTCCTCGCGAATCGGCCATCGAGATTGTCCATCTCATCAACTCTCGGAACCAGAATGTTGCGTTGTTGGCATTGGCGGTATGTTCAGAATTGAGGACAACCTGGCGCGGGGTTACTGACCATGCTCCGCCACACCCCATTAGCTTCTCGATATGTGCGTGAAGAACTGCGGATACAAGTTTCACCTCCAGATCAGCACAAAAGAGTTCCTCAATGAATTGGTCCGAAGGTTCCCCGAACGTCCAGCTATGCGACCCTCGAGGGTCCAACAACGCATCTTGGAGTCGATCGAGGAGTGGCGCCAAACAATCTGCCAGACATCACGATACAAGGAGGACCTGGGCTTCATCCGGGATATGCATCGGCTGTTGCTCTACAAAGGTTATGCATTCCCTGAGGTTCGTCGCGAGGATGCGGCCGTATTGAACCCGAGTGACGTAGGTACCCTGGTGGTCATGATATATGGGAAAGCTACTAACGTTGCTTAGAATCTTCGGTCAGCCGAAGAAATGGAGGAGGAGGAGAAAGAAGCTCAGTCTGCCAAGCTTCAGGAGCTTATTCGGAGAGGCACACCAGCCGACCTACAGGAAGCGAATCGGTTGATGAAAGTCATGGCGGGATACGACAACCGACACAAGACAGATTATCGGGCCAAGGCTGCAGAGGAAGTGTCAAAGGTACAACAGAAGGCCAAAATCCTGGAGGAAATGCTACAGAATGGACAAGGAATTCCCGAAGGTGATGTTTTTGAGGTAGGTCGCCTGCAATCTCTTTACCCGGTTCGGCTTACTGATTAGTTTAACAGGAACTTGCAAATGCACTGCAAAGTGCTCACCCCAAGATCCAAAAGATGTGCGAAGAGGAATCCGATGATCCCGAGGCTGTTCACAAGTTGTTGGAGATTAACGACAGCATACACCGCACTATTGAACGATACAAGTTGGTGAAGCAGGGTGATCTGGATGCTGCCTCGAGAATCCCTAAGGGAACCCTTGGCACAACAACCGGCGTGTCAAAGAATGCGAACAATGAGCTTTCATTGATTGACTTTGACCCGGAGCCAAGCTCCAATGGTAACACCGCTCAGGCCTCGTCAAGTGCTTCAGGCAATACTCTGGAGAACGACTTGCTTGGACTCTCTCTTGGTGACGAGAGTCCCCAGCCAGGTGGTGGAATTTCACTGGGGGGCAGTAAGTTTCTATGCGCTTTATTTTGAAATCAATAGCTAACCTGACCCAGTGGGCTTTCCTTCGATGCCTTCTGGCCCATCCCCGCCTGTAGCAGCACCACAGCAAGCACCAGGGTTCAAGGCAAATTACGACATTCTTTCATCGATGAACACATCTAAGCCTGCCTCTCAGGCTTCCACCCCAGCTCGCACGCAGTCACCTCAGGTTCGCCAGACCGCGACTCCACCTGCGGCTGATCCCTTTGCGTCGTTGGTTTCTGCTAGCCCTCGACCGTCAAGCAGTGCTTTCCATTCCCCCGTGCACAATCAATCTGCTCCGGCTTCCTCATCCCTGCTTGACCTTGTTGGAGGCCCCAACCCACCTTCGCAGCCCGCAGGACAGGCTGCTCCCGAGGATGATGAATGGAACTTTGCCTCTTCCCTTCCACAGAGCAACACCCTGCCTTCGACAAATCAAGTGCAGGTTTTGAACGCACAGCTTCGAGTCGAATTCCACGCCCGTCGTGTGCCCAGTGCGCCGCGCCAGATCTACCTCCGAGCTGTCTTCTCCAACACTACCAGTCAACCAATTGGAGAGCTTCACTTCCAGGTTGCAGTAGAGAAGGTAAGCAGAAAATCCGTCATACCTCGGTATAACCGCGAATACTAACACATGTCTAGTCCTACACCCTTCAGCTCCGCCCACAGTCTGGCCGAGAAATTGCACCCCTTCAGCAGAATGGAGTGCAACAAGACATGCTCCTGGACGGCGTTGACTCCGGTAAAGGCAACTCGGTGAAAATTCGGTTTAAGGTTTCCTACAAACTCGGGTCCGAAGCTCGCGAGGAGCAAGGCATGGTGCCATCTCTAGGGATTTACTAAACCTCAACTCCGTTGGGTTCAATGCCAAGCTCTAGGCTTGGATGCGAGACTTCCTAGTCTTCCCGTTGTCTCGGGCGTTCGGAACCCCATTTCTGCATAAATCGGGTTCCACCGGGAAGAGCATTAGGCCCTGCATAGGTGGACCAACTCCTAGCCTTTACCCCTTGAAGTGTCTTCGATTGAAAATTTAGCGCGTCTTCTATGCTGTTTATAAAGATTTCGATTCCATTGCGTGCATCATTCCGGATCCAAGTCCAGTGAACCTCAATTAAGCACTTCCTCAACGAGATCACAATGTCTCAGCCAAATCGCTATGTAGATTGTAACTCTCCATGTCCGATCAAACCTCAATAAACCTAATCACAATACAAATAGACATCCCATGCAGGTACATTAAGTTCACAACTTCATTTCAATCCCACGACGATCATTTCAGTTCGGCCTATCCCCGCAGAGAGCCCTCCCTCATGCCACAGCCACCAACGTCCCTTGGCACTCGCTAGCAGGGACGTCTTGCCGATTCAAGTATGATGTACTGCCGATCGCACACGCAAACATGGGCCCGTTCGATGGGTGTCGGGGAGCCCGAACAGCATGATGTCGTTGCGGACGGAATGATCGCGGAATCGAACCAGATTTTGTTCGCACCAAGATACCAGATCGGGGTGCTCGTTATTCCTACCTCTGTTTTGTCATAGATTTGTCAGGAGCCATATACCCCATAATCATAGAGACAGATGTTCGTAAGTATCCTGTACTTGGTTCTGGTGCCGATGATTCTCCGATAATCATCTATTGTCGTCATGAAGATGAATTTTAATCCTTATCTCAGGGACGGCATGACGGAGGGGAATTGTTTGAGAATTGTTTGTGTGTAGAAGTTGACGTTGCTGAGCATTTGTTTCGCTGTCTTTTCGTTGCGAACACTTGTACATGTACTCCGCTTAGATCGATCGTCGTAGATGATCGGCAATCTCTCCACTCTGTATAAGCAGAGTATAATTTAGTCAAAATGGACTAAGCTTGCGTCTAACTGATTTAATTTGCGAGGTAATTTCCGATTGACCGATTAATGATCCACGTACATCAGACAGGACCACTCTCATCGCCGTGCCATCGGTAGATCGACTATGCGTATGACGATCTACCCAAACGCCACTACTCGCAACGTCTGCTTGATTCAGTGAAAATCTCATCACGGCATAAGTCTCTACCATAGTACACATCTCAAAAGACGTTATTGACAACCATGTACTCCAAACCCCATGTTCCACGTCCAATTCACACGACTCCAAATCGCCAGGACCTTCCCACGACCAGACTCATCTCACAGAACAACCAATCACGGTAGCTGAAAAGGACAAGGGAAGCTAAGTCATCAGCCTTTGGTGGCGGGATAACCCCAAACCCCCACCAATCCAGCCCATTTGAAAGAGGAAAAGGTTTCGGCCGGATGATAAGGGAGGAACAACGCATCTAGACCATGGACGGGATCGAAGTGGCAAACCCCAGGACACGCTGCCAGCCATGCCAGGGCGTACAGGAGAATAGATTTGGGTGCAGTCGTTTAAGTAGTCTAGATTGGGCGCTTGGAGAAATTAAGGAGATGCGGCTTACGGGGCTGAGGTGTCTGGGCTTGATCTGTGAGCTAAGACCCAATCATGAGGCTGTCCTTGTTCAAGATACCATGCACAAGGTCAAGGGGATGGTCTAGTCCCAGGGACTTGACACATGCCGAGCATATGAAGCTTGGATGCTCTGAGGGGCAACGCTCGCATCGTCTTCCCAGTAAAGAAGGTCATTCGTAAGACGTGGGATGACACTGGTACTTAAATTGGGACCGGGGTTGGGGGGTTAGAAGTGGGATTCCAGTGGGATTCAAAAGTCCTAATTCCTATTCCTATTTCCCCGAGTGGCGGTGCCTTAGTTCTCGTCTGAGAGTGTGGCTCGAGGGAACTTTCGGAGCGGTTTGAGATCGAATGTGAGCTCATTTTTGATCTCTATCGTGCCAATGGTCGATCCCCGTTGGGGCCCGTCTGGAGGTGTTCGGGGATCGACAGTCGAACTGCTAAGAAAAGGAAGGAAGGAAAACTTCTCCAGGGTTGCTGCAAGAACCCAATTGAAAATTTCTACCTCTACTCAGTAATAAAAGGTTCCATCAGATAGACAAAAAAAAAATAAGAAGGTGAAGAAAGGAACCAGAGAATCCGGTTTGGGAGCGGATCTGCAAGGTGAACAGTCGCATCGCGGGGGAGCAATCGCTCGTCTCCACTCGGTCTAGGCCTCCACCTCCATCAAAGCACCAAAGTAGCAAAGGGCAAGGGAATTAAAAATCAATTAATGGAAAGGATTAGACGGTCTAAGCGGGAGTTATAGGAAAAGGTCTCCGGGATGAGCAAAACCCCCCATCTTCGTATTGGCGCGTGTGGCGTTATCGAACGGACTGGCCGTAAGACCGGACGTGAAATCAGATCCATGGCTCATGCCGAACGAGACTTTTCTCGGCGTCCAAACTGCGATCGCCTTGGATCCATGGATACTTCCTGCAAGCTTCGAAGGGTACGCTCGGGGCCTGACAGGTTGCCCCTCCCTTACTACTTAAACTTACTTCCTTCCCTCGATGTGATTTGGGATATCTTGCTCCTTACTATTCACAATAACTACATACACGATGTCGGATCTAGATCAGGATATCGCGCCCATTCCCCGTTCGCGGGAAGAGAACCAGGAACGGTACGTTGGTATACAGTATGTATTTGCAAATCAAATCTAATTCTCGTGCAGTGCATTCATCGCCGCCTCAAGGCGAAAGGATCGTAGTCTTGATGCCCGCTTGGAATCTGCCAACCGCGCTTCCATGCTCCACAGGAAACGTACGGGCAAGGCTTTCCACATCACCAAGGAGATTGTTGAGAAAGAAGCCATGTACGAAGAAGTCGATGAGCGTTACCAAGAAAAGCGTATTCGCATGCTGCAAGCCCAGAACATGCAGATTGAAGAGCAATTCCACCGTCATCTCTTGGCAGCTTTCGCCGCCCGAGCCAACAGCTCAGGGTCAGCAGCCTCGTCCATTGCAAGCCGTCGAGCTAGTCTTGCACCCCGAGCATCTGTCGATGGGGCTTCCTCATCCCGAAAGATGAGCCTGGACCTCACAAACCTGCGCTCGCCATTCCCGCATGCCATGGACTCCAACTCCCTCACTAGCCCAGCCATGACATCCGATGGATACGTGATGTCCCCCTCAACCACCAGCTTCGAAGGCGCTCAGTCTTACATGCCCTTCGAAAGCTCAGAAAGCAGCCCCTACTCCAACATGATGACCACCAGCGCCTCATCCGGCCCCGTGCCCGCTTATGTCACTCAGACGCCCACGCCAGCTTGGAATCAGCAAATGACACCCTCATGGGCAATGCAACAGCACGTCCCAACGCCCAATCACACCCCCACGGATGCCCACTCCGTGCATATGTGGCAGCAGCAAATGATGCAGCAAGCCCAAATGCCCACCGACGCTGCCTCAACCATGCATATGCGCCAATTCAGAGACCGGCTAGCATCTGCGCCGGAATTCCCTGTTACCCACGCTATCCCCCAACCACCAGCTTCGCACCCGCACCCCACTGCTTCCATCTCCGGACCCAGTGGGCACTCTCGGGGCCATTCCCAGCCCAGTAACCATTTCCATAACCTGCATCTCCTGACGCAGGGAACGCATCTTGCGCAGACGCCCATGGCTCCGTCGAGCAATAGTTCGCCGAAGATCGAGTCGCTGTCAGCGGAAACGCAGTCTACGGTTGATTTCTGTCCAACGCCAAACACCCCTCTCTCGCCTACAGCTGTTTCTGCTCAGCCGGTGAAGAACGAAGAGGGAGTGATGGTTTCTCATGAGGATTTGGATCCGGATTTCAACGAGTTTAGTCAGTTTGCGTTGGGATTGGATGGGAACTCGTCTCTTCAGGATCGGGAGCCATTCGGGTTCGAGGACTTCGTTACCCTGGATGAGTTTGCTACCGTCTCCTGTTGATTGCTCCTATCCCTTCTTTTCTCTTTCATTTCTTCTTGATTCCCGTGTTTATCTATTCCCTTATGTACATTGACGCGTTGGCTTGTACATTGCTTCTGTACAATACCTTTTCATTTTCATTTCTATTCCTTTCTTGTTCCATTCTATCTTCGTCATTTCATGTCTGATGATCTCAGCCCAAAATAAGGGAGGTTTTTTTCCAGTTGGGAATTTGAATTTCGACTTGCTAGTACTGGTACATTGGAATTTCAGAATCAGAAATCAAATCGAACTTCAAAATGAAACCGAATCCACTGCACAAGCCTTTCCTCGCAATCCTTGGTAGAACTACCGAACCAATCCATTATCCCAGATTAACACCTTTCTCCACCACGTACCTTATGTTAGTGTTGTATCGCGAGCGGATCCCATTCCCAATCCGGCCACATCACACCATCAATTCTTCGCTCCACTGCTCCACTGATCCCATTCTCTCCTGTCCACGGGCCGTGCCAGCTACAGCTTTGAAGCTAGATACCCCACCATGCGACTTTTGTCGCACAAGCACAAAGTAAGAATCGTCCAACCGGGTGGATTTCTCATGTAAGACGATGGATTCCCTTGGGATCCGGTGGAGCGGGCCTGTGCTACTTGAACCCTACTCTATCTTTATGTTGGCTCATCGCATGAAAATCACGCATGCAATCCGGAAAAAAATTCGTGCTTTTGTCGTACTCAGGCCTACCCTTTCATCCACATTTCCATGAACCGAAACGAAAGGGTTCCAGGAATGAAACCAAGTCAAGTTCATAGTCGTGTTCAACAAATGAACACAATTCTCGCTACACTTAGTAACAAGCCCTACAAGTTCGTGCATCGTGGGCCATCAATCGCGCTTTTCTTCTTCGGGGTATACAAGCGCTTGGCGGGCGCGGGGTTTCGTATTCTTATCTGCCTACTTCAAACTTCAAGGTCAATTTCAGTTTTCTAATACATTATGGAAGTTTGGATGCTGGTTCACGTAGCTAGATTGAGGTGGGGAATGGATGGACCCGGCTGTCCTGAAGCGATCAGTCCAAACCCCGAAAGCTAGAGCTATTTTAAATACCTTTCGAGCTTGCGATAGGTTCGTTTGGAGGTGGATGGGGCTCTTTGTCGGGTTTTAGGAGGTATGAGGTCAGGGCGTTAATGGGAGCCAGGGTTTGTTGGAGCTGCCAATCGGATTCGTGGATGGATGTGGTGATCCCGGTGCAGGGTTGATTGTAAGGATCTGCAGGGTGGGGGTTCAAGGTAGCTTACCTCCACAATACCTTTTTCTGTATAGCGTAGCTCATATATTGCCATCCGGTATACAGTGTATACTCATACATTTCATGCTTGATCCCTGAGACCTCTCTTTAATCAAGAGTATAGGAGATGTGAAGAAAAGCAGATTGCGGGGTTAAGGTTGCAGCTTCCGCACAGACCACATCCCGCATCGGGACAAGCGCCATCGCCATCCGGCCACGGTCACGTCCACCGCTTCCATGGTTCACCTTCACCTGCAGGGAATCTCCTCTTCCCCGTAAACCGGATCCCTGGATGGGTCTAGGCACTAGAGACTGGCCCCCGTGCACGCATCCGGCCGATCGATTGGACTAATCCACTTGGGGTGTCCCGATGTGCTTGCCTCGTTAGTCTCGGAGCAGATGAGAAATCCTGAAATGAAGTTCTGGGTGTGCGAGTGTTATTTGCAATTGATGTCAAATTCGAATTTTATTCCAAGGGCTGAGGATATGACGTGGCGGCTAACGATAAGCCTAGACCCGTTATTCGGAATGCAAGTATCCGCGAGCTTGTTTCTTAGGACTAATCAATGGCTTGTTCTGGAGACCTCGTGGACAAGGACCATGCATAGGTATAGGTTATTGTAGGCAAAGTCTATATACGGCAACAACTCCCCGGAGTAATCGGATTCATTCCAGAGCTGGGGAGGAGGTCTTATCGCCTCGTTTCTGATAGATAGGTCCAATCTAGGTTACTTTCGAGGACCCTCTTGGAATAATTTCCGCCCTAGTAAAGTCTCTGAGAAGTATGTATTATGCTATCGCACAGACACGGCGCTACTTGCTAGCGGCAAACTGTATCAAAATACCGACATACCCGTTTCTTTAGCACGAGGTGGGGACTTCGCGACATCAAGCCCATATCATATCGATCCATCCCTGCAGAGTTTCAGGACGATCATCCAATGAACATGGATCTGGACAGGGGATAAAGTTACATACTAATTCTCCCTGCCATTGGAACGAGCTGGGTCGACCCACTTTGCCCGGTGGCAACTTACCGGAGAGACCGGGCTGGACTGGAAATCCACTGACGACGGTGCCAAGGATTGGCATATCATTTGAGTGTCGGGGAGCGAGTATTCTCCAGATTTTGTCTATTTGTCGTATCTGTGGTTCGTGGTTGGCATTTCCGCTGCGAAAGGCCTACCCAAGTAGACAGGACATGTTCTTTATTTGCCGGCTGAATAGTTACGCTAACGACTGGTCTATTAAATATAGGGTCTAGGTTAACTGTTCATTTGGGCACTCGGCTATAGTTGAATATCCGGTAACGATAAAGAAATTGATAGCACTGTACCAAGCTTCACATCGTATAGCATCGGCTAACCCAGCTACTCAGTGAACTTGAATTGAAATCAGACCCCTCATCTCCCTAGCAACCTACGACCTCCACATGTTCCAGTGACAAAGCTAGTATCTTCAGCTACCAAAGCCCAACCAGGCACGCCGCCACCGTCAGCCCAGCAGAACCAGCAGAATCAATTCAAACCCAGCACCGCATCCGGTGACACGTTCCAGCCAAACAGGAAAGTGGGAACATGCAAAGGAAGAATAAGCTCAGACCCGGTCCAGCCAGTGCAAACTTGGGACCCGCTGCAGAAGTCTATCCAGCCTCATACGGGCCTTGTGGCAGATGACCAATTTCCCCGGGACTACATATGCAGGGGCGACTGATCGACGGTTGCGAGTCAGGATCCTGTGAACCAGGAATGAGTAGTCGGTTCTGACCGCTGGGTTGTGATTGGGCTGGTTGTTGCTTGCTAGGCCAATAGGCTATCGAAGGGAGTTGACAGATGATTTGATTTATTTGAGTTTCTAAAGTTTAGGTCTAGTGAATGATAACTACCTCGGGAATGGTTCGTGTGTCTATCTTGATAGAAGGAATTGAACCCTTGCCTATCACATATCCAGCCACGATTTGTGATTCAAAGGGTCTAGATTGTGTCAAACAGGTTTAGATCCATGTGGTGTTGCTGACACGGACTTATTACCTAGCAGTGCGATCGATGATTTACAGGCCCCACGATCTCCCGGGTGTCATCCTTCTTTTGGCATGGTTCCCGCGCATACATCGTCACAGGTTGATACTAGCACGTTATCATGTTTATGGATTCAAACGTCAATTTATCTCCGAGCCCAGACGCGAGTCAGGAGCGGGGTATCTTGACCAGTCATGTTGGCAGAGTGTGCTCGCCCGATTCAGATTGACAAGTAATCGTCGCCGTTGGAGCGGATCGTACAATCTAATCGGCTACTGCCCTGTCTTGGCCGTTGGCTGGCCAGGGCCATTCGCCTTATGGGGCAGTAAATCATGGCTCGGCTTACTTCAAAATCTGGTTCAAATTTGAGAAAGTTTGTGTATTCATTGTTATGATGATATGGTTCATGAGAATGATATATTTGCGGCATCAAGGGTTATGTCATACGGTAGACGCATGTGAAAGAACAAAATGGAGGTGCTCATTCAGGACGGCAGTTCTCCGTAAAGGCATAGTCAATAATAGACATTGCCACCTATCCCCACGGATACGAGACGGTACTTGCGCCGGCAGTTCGAGCAGCTTTGCATCCGGGAATGATAGTGTAAGAAACGTGCAATAAAGAGGGGAAAAAGAGGGGATTTAAATCTGCGTTAAGAAACCGGGGCTGCACCGACTCCAATGACTCAATTGTAATAATGATATACCCGGTGTATGCTTATTGCCGTACTGTTTACAGTCCACCGCGGCTGAAAAGCTCCCGGCCAATGTCCGGGCTTTGGCGGACGTTCATGCTTGATGTTGAACTGCTGCGTCGGCGGCGTCGGGAGTCATCCGGGTCGGCAGGGCTAAGGCCACTGGCGCGAGCGTGTAGGTTTAAGATATCAGTGAGACTGACTACACCCACCAAACGTCCAGACAGTCGTGCCCCAGGTAGTGAAGATGCCGGAATAGAGGGAGCCAATGGTGGAGTGGCTGTAGGAGAGTGAGAAAATGGAGGCTGTGGTGCTGGGAGGTGGGGAGCAGGGACGTTAGGTGGCGGGGCCACTGCCGACTGAGGCAAAGGTGAAGCTGGAGGGGATATGACCGGCAGAGAAGCTGGACCAGCTCCTAGTGGCGGTGTCGGAAGAGGCATATGGACTCCGGAGTGAGAAGGTGTTGGAGGCCCTGATGACGATGGAGATGCTGGGTCGGTTACCCAGAGCCTGTCACATATTAGTTTTGGTTCATTTTATCGCTCTCTGGCATGAATGACTTACCGATGTGATCGAGTCGCAACAATTTTTGCAACTGTATGAGCCAGAGTTGAACACGGGTTCACATGGAACACAGGGAAGGAGTCTTTGCCTTCAATCAATCCCCGAGTCGACAAAATGACCGAGATAAAATGAATGCAGGTGTTTTGAAGGAGAGGTAGCGAAGAAGAACGTGTTAAGAGCTAGATTCGTTAGCAAGATGCCTTTTCAGACCATGAATGATGCTTACCTTAACATCTGTTGTAGAGATATTGCCGATGACATTGAAATGATTATCTACCACGACAAGTGAGGAGACACCCTCGTTGTTCATGACTTGAAGAGCTTCACTGAGAGGCTTGTCCCCACTGGAAACATCCATCGTTAGTACATGATATAGACTTGTTCGCAAATGACTTACTTTATGGAAATCACGTTCTGCGAGCCAATTCGCAATTCACGCAGAGCCTGGGGATAAAGCTGTTCAATAACGGGGAAGCTGCGACCGTTTTCCCAGAGGAATTTTACGAGTCTAAATTGACTGAAAATGCCAACCACCTCGTTATCATCGGACTTCTTGGTAATTACCACGCGATGAACACCACCACCAAAGGTCTCGACGGCTGTCAACACATTCGCTGAAGCTGGCAGCGTGACCAGTGGCTCTTTCTCCACTCCTAGGCGCTTTACATCCCTTATCGGGATCTTCTGGCCTTCACGAGCTTTCCTGGCAATCTCATCATACGATGCGCGGTGCTCCTCTGGTGGGAATGACAATCCAGCAGCCAGGAGCAGGTATGTATTCAGATCCGAATAGTCAAAGGTAGCGACTGCAGATTTGTCTTCTGGAGTTTCTCGAATTAATAACACGGCGGCGCCAGAGTCAATCAACAGCTGAGAAAGAGATATGTTAGCTTCCATTATTCCTCGGTAAACAGCAAAGACACTTGCTATTCCTCACATTTGTAGCCTCTTCAATGCCTGTATCCATCTCAACGAATCGCAGATCATCTGGGCTGATAAGCTCCTCAATGGAGATCTCTCGCCAGTCACGATCAACAAAGGCCGGGTCGGCATTTCTTGGTGGCGGGGGGTTATCAATGAGACTCTGAAGGGCAGACTGGTTCAAAGAAGGCTGGCGGCGAGTGCGAGGAGAGCCTGGCGGCCCCCGCAGGGTCTCGCTCAAGCTCTGGCGGTGTTGGTGATTGGCAGGAGGCATGTGCGCCACGCGGAGGGAATTGCGGTTGGAGGAACGTGAATCGGTGCTGGTTCGAGGAGAAGTGAAGTTTGAGCCATTGTTGGAATTGACAGAAGCATTGAGGGAGGTATCTGAACCTTCCCGGTGAATCTGCTGGTCGGCCATGACAATTTGGGGGCAAACAATGTAGGTGAAGTCGTAGAGGCAAGAAGCGGTGATGGCGCGGGGTTGACATGCGTAAGCCAATCACGGGGCGCAGGTTACTGACATCATTTGATTATGTCATAACTTTGTGGGGAGGGAGCAAGTATATCCACCAACACGAATGCATCCAAGTGCGCTCAGTTGAGCATGAATTTTCTCTCCAAAGGTTTGATTTAATTGATATTGCTTGTAAAAATTTCATTTAGTCTTCAAATTTTCAGGAGTAGAATCATCATGAACTGGTTGAAAAGATTTAATATTTCATTGTTGATTATACAGCCCTAATGCCATTAGCTACGAGAATAGCTGGAGACTCTGGCATTCAGATTGTTAAAATTCAATCTGCCTTTCGATATCATCTGAGCAAGCTATTTATTTCGTAGTTAAGCCCCGACATCGTTGCTATAATTAAGAATGGGGCGGATGTGGATCTAGGATCGTTGACCTTACGCAGCAATCTCTACTGGCGTCCGTTAGCGCCTACAGTACAGTAAGATGATCACATCCCAAATAGAGGGAATTACACCATCTTATTAGCTCACTGCTTCCGCGCACACTTAACCTGTAGTAAATTTTATTCATTCCATTCCTGCTTTCTTTTCATCATCATGACACAAGGACAAAATCCAGGTCTGGGCCGAAGAAGGCCTATGGTTTTGTGCTACTTACCACTCTGTGGAAAGTCTTTCTGAGGAGCGCAGGAGTATTTCCATAAGTCACATAACGAATGAACTGTATTTATCCAATTTCTGAAAACGGTTCTACTCTAGACGGTAGACCTATAGCACGTGATAATTTATTTATGAAATACCAGAAGACTCCCATCGTCTCTAATAATACTGGTTCTGAGAAGGATCAGGACACCTTGACCCGCAAGCTCATTAGGACAGTTCAGCTTCTATACATTCCCAAAAATCGGCCAGCAATCTAGGCCTGAAATTGAGCGTTCTTCTTGGGAGCGTCGGTGTTTTGGGGGGGGAGGAGGAACGTCGGTGCTCTGGGGAGGAGGGGGAACATCGGTGCCCTTGGGAAGAGGAGCACCGGTGCTCTGAGGAGGAGGGGGAAGATCGCTAGACTGAGCAGGAGGAGCATCTCCACGCTTGTTGTTGTCATTCTGACCTTCCTTAGGAGGGGGCACATCGGTGCCCTTGGGAGGAGGGGGGACGCCGGTGCTCTGAGGCGGAGGAGGGACATCTGTGCTCAGAGGAGGGGGAGCATCCCCGCGCTTGTTGTTGTCGCTCTGTCCATTCTTAGGGGGAGGAACATCAGTGCCCTTAGGCGGAGGAGGAATGTCGGTGCTTTGAGGAGGCGGCGGGATATCGCTGGATTGAGGAAGAGGAGCATCTCCACGCTTATCGTTGTCATTCTCCTGCTTCTGAGGAGGGAAAGGGGGAATTCCGGTTCCAGTGGGTGGCGGTAGCTGCTCAGAGACCTCAGTAGGACCTGATTCAGATCGTTAGCTTTGGCTCAAAAGGTCGGCGTTGAAGGTTAAACATACGCTCAGCTGGAGGAGCACCAGCAACCAGGCCGGCGGCCATCAGCGTACCGATAACAGCGGAAATCTTCATTATGACGATATAGAGATTGTTGTAGAACGATTGTTTGTTTGAAAGCTTGTTCTGTTGATGATACAAACAAATGGATGGCATTCATCGAGCTCTTTATACCTTTCCAGCCGCCCTAAAGGATCTTCATCTCATCAGGTCATTACAAGATGTACAGTGGTGTGGCTCGTCCAGCCCGCCGCCGTTGTCGTCAGCCAGTGACCCATTGGGACACCAGAAGGGTCATCACTGGAGACAAAAATGTAGTCGAGATGTGATGGGGCCACAGGAGGTTCTCCACGATGCGTTTTAATTGTCCCGATCTACATCATTCAACCTTGAGGGTAGTACTGTAGATACGCATATATAGACAGGATAAAGTCTGTTGGGTGGGCCCTTTCTATCTGGGCTGCCGCCGCTTTTACGAGAGCGCTGGGGTTCAGGATCACTAAGTGGACTTGAGCACGGGTTCAGACCTCGCTCAGTCCCGTCATGTCTTCAGTGACTAACACTCAGTACACTACTCAGTGGTTGAAAAGCGGGAAGGGGAAGCCAAGAGAAGGTTGCCAGACATCATCCGGTGCATATGCAGATGATGACATTCTCAAAGCTGGGGCGGACTAGCGCTTGGCGCCTGGAGCCCTAAGTGGAGCCTGGATGATGCATACAGTACATGTGCCGGGTCCAGGCTTACGAGTCTTGTTTACTAAAGTGGGGTATGAATGAGGCAATCATAATGATCGACAAGCTAATCCGGTACTTGATACTTACATAGTGGTTCCCGGCATATCGATTCAATGTCTACATTGGTTTGGGTTTTGACGCACACGCGGCCCTGTCGATCATCCAGCCTACGCCCCACTCCTAGGCAACTGCAAGGCTTCGCGCCTGTGATATAGTAAATCCTCGTGCAGATGAAGTACATCCGTAATAGCATACTTCAGCTATGACAGATAGAATACTAGTATTTAGGAAGTAAGCAACCAGAAATCGAATTTATGCACAGTCCACCAGCTAGTTGCCTACGGAAGGATGGACATTCAGCAGCGGAAATAGTGATGGCGTATCTACACGCAAAGATGGCCGTGGGGGTCTCTGCTGCACCTCAATGTGGGCAATCACGGCCCTGTAGGGTGTACAGTATGTATGTATCAAAGGGGAACAAACCATGGTCCTCGGCTCTTCTCAAGGGCAGACCATGGCATCTGGTTCTCTCGCATAAAGATCGTCAGAATAAGTAAAGCTAATAGGCTGTATCTACCTTGAGGACCTTACCGAGCCATGAACCGTGCAAATGGCGAAATGCCTCATATGTAGCGTTTCCACCTGTGAAACACAGCTCTAGCCCTACTCCCGTGCATGTCTTGTTTCATTCTGAATGCCGTGCTTGCAGCTCACCATTATCCATTATATGATATCACGAATAATCTCACGCGTGCTATGGTTCTGTATATTAATTGGTCTAAGCGTATTGTGTATAGAGTCTTCTTAACAGGTGTTGGTTCACCCATTTCCTCAGCCCGGAATTGCACGGCATTGAAGGATGGTTTGTCTGTGTCCGGCCAATACCTAAGGTAATATTTTTTTTTCTCAATCCATGATTGAGATCATCTTTTGCCACCGTCCGAGCAGGAATTTCTCTCCTCATATCAAGATTTACGTAATTGTACATTTAGCCCTGTAATACGTAAAGAACATTCTCCTCTAAAAGGCAATCCTTTACACCCGGTCACGCCATAATTCAAGGTCACAAGTAGAAGTAGATCAACGGAAACATTGCCTATTGATTTGGCATGGCCATTCACACAGTTTATACGTCATTCCATGCCCCAGTTTGAGGATTCACGGATTCAGAACACGCGGCTCATCTCCTGTTTATCATGATCACATTTAAATCCCATGTACAGATCATAGCTGATGTCCACCAAATATCAAATTAGACCAATGTATGAGAATGTGAATGGCAATCTAGAAACTGGCCCAGGTCCTTTCACAATTCTCAGGTGATCTTCCTTGGTAAGCAGTCGGGTTAAAACCCATGTTGAGCTATAGGAAATCATATTTGAACTCAGGTTACCAACCTCACAATGAATTAAATTATGTAGTGAGTAATGCGAAGAATACAAGGGGAAGGTTTACAATTGAAAAAGTCATTTTAGGGGGTCAAGATAAAGAAAGAGAGATCTCGGGAAGGAGACATTTGAATTGACACGACCCGGAGTTAATACGGCGCTCTCAGCTCGACCAATCCATAAATAAAATGTATGTGCAATGGTCGGTCCAGCCGAGCCTAGACTACCAACTATACGCATCTAAATATACAGTCAGTATGTCTTGAAATTTATTGATAACCGAGCTATCTACGCTATATCTGCCAGAGTCATTCATATGGAGTTTATAGGCCATCAGGCGACCAGGGGAAGGCTATCCCTGACCACCTGATGAACTTTTCGCCCTTTTTTACTAAAAGTTCCCGGTAATTCTCACTTTTTGAGAAGTCGCATCTACTTGATGACCTTGAATAATAGTGGGAATAACTGGGAATTAGATAAGGAGATAGTGGTAAGAGCCTAAAATTACTTAGGAAGTTATAGGAATTCCTAGTATGTCCTAGACTATAGAAATACTAAGATTTTATAGACTAGTCCTTCCTAGGAATTACTAGGAAAGGACTAAAATTATCTTATTATTCTAGCTTTATCTAGACATTCCTAGGAAGGGAGTATAAAAAGCTTTCTTAGAAATTACTGAGAAATCCCAGTAATATAAAATTAGATTTAGATTAAGGAGAAAAAGATTTCTTAAATAGACTAGGAAAAGCCTAAAATTCTTAGTTTCTCCCTCCAATTTCTATTAAATCTAGTCTATCTACTATTCACTATTTCTACAATCTAGACTCTACTAGGAATTCCCATAACTTCCTTAGGAATTCTAGGCCCTTAACACTACCTCCTTATCTAATTCCCAGTTATTCCCACTATTATTCTAAGGACATCAGGTAGATGCGACTTCTCAAAAAGCGAAAATTACCGGGAATTTCTAGTGAAAAAGGGCGAAAAGTTCATCAGGTAGTCAGGGGAAAGACTTTAGATCAGACACGCCTTATCTAATCTCTATATGATATTTAATATGACATGTAATTCCCTTAAACGACGTAGAATTACCGGGAATTACTGAGGATTCCAATTTAAAGGTCATCGGGTGGTCAGGGATAGCCTTCCCCTGGTCGCCTGGTGGCCTACATTCCTATTCAGATGCTCAGGCAAGCTACTCGTGGCTACGTTTCTGTTCTGAATAAATGGTCAATGAAATATCATACCACATCCCCATCATGCAAACGTTGAGATATCCAGCAAACTTCAAGTTGTATTACTGCTAATGAATTTACATGAACTGATCCAGCAATCCTGCTAAATCCTGTCCTCGATCCTTCATAACTCGTTTCCGTGGCCCTGTTCCTTCAATTTTTTCTGACAATCTCTTCTTTGCGCCTGTCCGCTCACAAGCGCCCCTCACGAGGACAAAAAGCTGTGTCGGATTTTCCACAAACGACAAGTCATACCTCCGCGAGATGTCGAGATCCATTACCGGGGTGTCCAGACTCAACGAGTACGGCGTGAGTGGTTCCATGCCTACGAAATACTGATAATCCACAGAGCCACCACCTTTGTACATTTCCCGGATGGCTTCTGCCTGCTTGGCTTTCTCGGGCCCTTCTTTTTCCACGATCCAATCCTGGCGCCGCACAATCCATCCATCAACCTCAATCGCGTCCTGCCCCTTGAGTCGTGGGATTCGGTTGAGTTTCTTCGTAAAGAGATCGCACTTGCTTATGACGATGTGTTGTAATTGTGGAAGCTTTCTCAGCAATGTCAGCACATGAGGAGTCAGCTGGTTCTGCCCCTCCATCCTCAGATATCGCATATGCTGGAATGATCCATGGGTTTCAGCCATTTCAAGCCAGCCCCGGACCACTCCATCTTGAATGCCATTGGTATTAGTCATTGTTCTGTGACCAGTCCAGGCCGGGTTCTCAACCTCATAGGTTGGGTTAATTTGGAGGGCCACCAGGTTCTTGACGTTAGCGATTGCGACAAAATCGGCGACTTCGGCGAGATTGGATGGGAAAGAGAGGACTCCACGCCAGATGCAGTCCTCGCTGTTCATTATGTCAAAGTAGTGCCTCCGCAGTGGCTGCTTGCAGGTCACAGTTTCCATATGGTAGCAGGGGTGTAGTCTTCTGAATTCTGGGTACGCTCTTGTCATGATTTTCCACATGTGCAGAGTTTGTTTCATACTTTAGTAAGGTTAGCGCTGAAAGCTGAAATTAAAGATAAGATATTAAAAGACGCATTAAAAGAAGATAAGTTGGACATACCACTTGCCCAGGTTATCCCATAGATAAGCCGCGATCAGCCAGGGGACGTGCTCAAACATCTCGGCTTTGAGCGCGGATTGGTCGCTCAACACGCGCTTCATGGCGGCATGTTTGAGAGACGGAGCACCCCGTTCCTGGGTTGTTTCCCAGTCTACCGGCAAGAATGGCGATTCATGATTCCAGTGCGGGCCACGTGAAAAGTCAGTCTGGGAAAACAACGAAGAATGCCCCACTGAACGCATGTTGGTTCTTTATCATGAGTCACTCTGTTCCTCAGTTAGTGGGTGGATAATGAAAGTAGAGGCGAGCAATAAATTGGTGATGGTGCGTGGACTGAGTGGTAGGTGCGTGAAGTAAGGATAAGAGAAAGAGAAAGACTTACTGAATCCCTGGAGTACGTGGGAAGTTATGAACGCGCATTCAGCGATCTTGGGCCTCAACTTTCTGGTTCTCAGATATAGGAACAAATCAATGACTGATAGATACAATCTGTTATAGACGCGATGTGACGCGAAAGATGATTTCCCGATCGGGAAGGCGCAAGGCTGTCACGTGTATACCCATGAACTAGGGATGAACAATATTTTCTTTACACCGGGCGACTGACCTAGCTCTACCCATCTGTACAGGTGGGGTCACGGCGTATACATATCCTTCATAAAAAAATAAGCAGATGTGGCGCACGAGGGCTGCGAGCTCAGTACTTATCCAAGTGAACAGATTGCCATGGGAGTGACAATCATAAGTTAAAGAGAAAGACATAAACTTACCAGAGGAGGGGACTCATATAGTCAAGAAGGCTGTATACAGGAGCTAGATAGTGCCAGTGTGCTGTGAATCAAACAGGAGGTTCGCGCCGGACCTTATTTTCAACCTTGGATATGTGGATCTGGGCGTGGATGTTGTGACATGGATGATTGGCAAGTTCACGGAGAAGGCATTGATTCGGCACATTTCAACCAAATTCAGTGCCTCAAAGCTTCCCAGTTTGAATAATTCAAAAACGAATTGAACTTATTGTGACACTCGTGTAGTTTCTAGGGTTTGATTAATCTGTATACATGTCTATCATCGCGGGATGAATTCCAAATATATAACCACGAGGCCATACGTTTGCACCCCTAGACTCACCCCTCACTACTCGACAGATACTTGCTCTATTACTGAATATGCATATTGAGACCGAATATGCCGGAGCCGAAGCAGCCTGACAGGTCTGTGGCGAAGCTCTGGGAAATGTCCAGCTCCCATATCGAGGAGCATGAACACCGGAAGACAGAATAAATAGACGGGGTTGCGTCCGACGAGCTCAGAGATTTCTTAGCCGCTAGAGAAAAAGCGTTGGCCTGAGGATTAGATGACACGCTTTGTCTTTCTCTTTGTCAATAGATAAATGTACCTGCGAGGACGGTCTCAAACTCGAATATGTATGGAAGAGCCGCCTCATAGAAATCAAAGCAGCGGCATCAATGACAGATGCGAACGAGAATAGTAGCACCCAAAAGCGAACCAAGCATCGTGCAGAGCCCACCGAGCCTTTAATGACCAATAATGCAAATCTGTACGGCCCTAGTCTCCCTCGTAAGTAACAACGACAATATTCTCTTCGTTCTCGTCAGCCAGATTATCCGTCACGGCCCCATCCTGGACATTGATACTTCGTCTCGGCCGTGACTCTTCCACACCTGAACCTAGTGTATCCCTGGTATTTATAGTAAAATGATCAATATTCAAGGCTGGAGGGAGTTTAGAACTGGAAACGCTATTTTGGCTAGTAGCGAGCTGGGCTGGTGGTCAGTGGGAAAGTTTTCCGACATTCAGCCCGTTTTCCGATATTTTAGTTTACAGTGAGGTCAGGGTGGGGATTTTCACTCCGACGTATAATTCCATATCCCATTTTGAAATAAGAACAGGTCAGAAAGATAAATCACAATTTATGGAAATTGGGTTATCCATAGCAAGTGACAACGGACACCAGAGGATGAAATTAGATACAGGGAGAATCGTTAGTACTAGAAAAGCAAAAGTCCACAGCTCAGGGCCATCACTTCTTGATTATTCTCTATGATTTTACATCACATAGAGAAGGTTCGTGTCTGCAGGATAATCAGCCAGGGGGTTCATAGGGCTTCGAAGAGTTGACAGAGGGAGGCTTACCTAAGGGGTGGCTGCAACTCAACTGTGGCTTTTGGGTATACTTATCAGCCAATTCATCACGAATGCTGTTTAGCAACTGCACATAGCTTTGCTGAGGATTCTTCCGGAGCGCGGCAATGAAAGCCCATGACATGGCACCAGTAGCCTGTCCAGCGATTTGGGCATCTTGACTGGTTTGATCATCCTTGCTGCCAGACCACATGATGACATCCGCAGGGCTAGTCTTGGTCTGCTTATTGCGCTCATACACCTCGTCACCCTTGGTGGCCTTCTTGATGAAGCCCATAGCTGTGGACATCATGCTGCCCATATCACCACGTGCGTATGCAGACACAACGCCCAGCAAGCCCTGACCAGCCTCCTTGGCCAGGTTGGGCTCCTTGAGGATACCAGAAGTGGAGTAGATGTAAGGAAGGTCCAGCGCGGAGCCGGAGTGGCAGGAATCGAAAATAGCAGTGAGACGCACACCAGGGCGCAGTGACTGCACCATGATTCGGTGCATCTCATCGTCGACAATGTGTCCAGCAACTCTGAAGTCGACAGGGTAGACCACCTCATCGGATCCGTCCTCCTCGTCACCATCAAGGTCGGGTGTTTGACCACCGTGGCCTAGATCGAAGGTATCAGTCTCAAAATCGACACTTTTCATGGACTCGAGGTGGAAACTCACCGGAGTAATGGAAGAAGAGCGAATCGTTCGGCTGTGCGTCCTTCACCAGCCAGTGCATTGCACGAAGGATGTTAGCCTTGGTAGGCTGGCTCATCGGGTTCTGCTGGTCATCGGTCAAGATAACCATGTCTTCGCGGGCATATCCGAAGTTTTGGTTCAGGTAGGTTGACATATTCTTCACATCGTTGATACATCCACGCAGCTGACCCTTTTGACCGAAATAGTTGATTCCGATTAACAATGCCTTTCTCTTCCCAGTGCAGCGCGAGTACTGAAAGCTATAACCTTGTGGAGCACCGTTTCCGAACGCAACCGCGCCAGTGGGTGGAGCGGCAGGACCTCCATGGGGATGACCGTAAGAGTTTCCTCCTATATATGAGCAGAATCGTATTAGTTTCGCTGTTCAAATAAAGTTGTGTTTGGAATGCGGCAGGAGGGGAATGGGGTATGCGAACCGACTGGGCGGGGTTGACCCTGGTACACGGCTTGGCCAGTGGGGGGCTGTGCTTGATGCTGATATCCGGAAGGAGCTCCCTGTTAAACAAACAATATCAATGTCCATGCTCCAATCGGGGTTTGTCCTAGCCAGTGACGTACATGGTATCCGGGTTGCGGGGCAGGCGAACCGTACTGTTGCTGGGGTGGCTGTGGCGAGTGACTATATCCGTAAGGGTTCTGGGGCGGGGGAGCCTGCTGGTGGTAGGACTGTCCAGGATATCCGCCGTAGGACTGTTGTTGGTGGTGGTGTTGGTTATTCATCGGACTGTCATACGGTCAAGTCAGCTTTAGCGCCTAACACGCGTGATCGGGGAGACAAAGCATACGGGTAGCCTTGCTGCGGGGGGTATTGCTGGGGTGGAGGATATCCAGGGGCACCGCCATATGGCGGATAGTAAGACATGGCTGAAGACTGAAAGATGGGGGAATGCGCGGAGATGTCAGAGAAGGAGAGGTTGGGTGGGGACGATCCGCAAAGCAAAACAGATCGGAAGTGCGGGAGATGCCAAGCCTCGTTCCAAACCACGATTCTCGGGGATTTAAATCAGATATGATGAGAAAGAACAAAGGAGAGGATATTTCAGTGGTTTTTTGATGGAAAAAATCATGCAGGAACCGGAGGGGTGAAAGTAAAAATTGTTCATACACGAAAAGTGATGGGCGCTGATGCACATGAACTGCGATCGACAAAACCTTGCCACTTACAAGTTTTACTCCCTAGTATATATAGGGCTTTATTTGTCAAAGGAGGAAAAGTAAAGAAGTCATCGAATTCAAAACCTGTTCCCTCCCACCTTATATCTGACATTCAGCCCCAGCTCGGCAGCCCCGAGACCACGTACTATCCCTGCAACTTAGACCGAGACCCCGCTATTGGAGGCAATTCTGATCCTTTATTCGTCCATATTTGAACCCTCTTTGTCAAGGTTCGGTTACACAGATCGAACTAGTTAAATAAGAAAGATCACAAATCTATCGGATCCACTTCTCCCTTAGTGGATGCAAAGAATCAATAACCCTCGCTGGTCGGCTACAAGACTCAGGGGCTGACAACCCACCAATGATAATAGACAGAAAGCAAGATAAGTGGAGAGAAGGATGTGAACTCTATCAATCTGTGCTGTGCAGTAGTTCGTGGGCAGCAAGCACGCTGATTGATCGTCATTGCCGAACGAATTCGATCCATCATACGGTTTCTACACGCAGATAATGATACACAAGCAATGCAGTGAGAATATCTTATGTACCCTATGTACTTTGGAGGAAAGTGTCTACAACCTCTTCTATTCCCTGTGTCATAGATCTTCAAGTCACGGAAAGCAGAGTCCCATATTGCTGGAACTAAGCTTGATTCATTAGAAAATACAAATTCTCCAATCTTTTTGGGTTGGTATGAACCATCATCTCGTGGCATTAACTCGTTTATCCGCGACGGGGCATTCCGCGGCCACGACCCCGAAGGGCACGCTGTGCGGCACCAGGAGGAAGACCACCTCTTGGGGCTCCAGGCTGGGCAGATTCCTCGTTCTCTGCAAATTTCCGTTAGTCAGGTACAACATGACCTCTCTCCGAGGGGGGAGGAATGACAGGTCACTTACTGATCGTCTCATCTACACTCAAAATCAGGCAAGCGGCCTCCACAGCGGCCTGAATGGCATTGACCTTGACCAGACTAGGCTCCCACACGAAAGCAAGCATGTTGTCACGAACACCCTCATTGTCAAAGTCCACACCGGCCCATGTGTTACCCTTGCGGTGCTCCACACGGAGACGGTTTAGGATGTCGGTGGCGTCGAAGCCGGCGTTATCGCAAAGCTGGCGGGGAATAACCTCCAGGGCCTTGGCGAACGCCTTGACCACCGCCTGCTGCTTGTGTGGGACGTTTCGGTCCGCGAAGCCGTGCAAGTGACCTGACAGCTCCATCTCAGTGGCACCACCACCGGCAACAATGGTGGTGTTGCGCAAAGCGCGCTTGACAATCATAATGGCATCGTGCAGACTGCGCTCGACCTCTGCAATGAACTGCTCAGCACCACCACGAAGGACCAAGGTGCAAGTCTTGGCTGCAGGGCACTCCGAGAAAAGGTTGAAGCGCTCTCCACCAATCTGGCGCTCCTCGAAAGAACCGCAGGTACCGAGGTGACGCTCCTGGATGTCAGTGCAAGTGGACTGGGTGGCGGCAGCAGTAGCCTGGCACACCCGATTCATATCGTCGGATGCGACACGACCGGCACAGAAGATGTCTCGGTCAGCGAAGTACCTACATAGTGTTAGTATATTTACCCCCCATATTTCCAAAAATCATAAACACCGAAAGACGTACTGGGTAGCAAGATCACCGATAGGCAGCTTGCTGAGCACAACCTTGGCACCAGTGTTGTAGATGGCCTCGAGCTTGTTGTAAATGATCTGCCATTCGGCATCGACAATGGCCTGGTACTCGGAGACTTGCTCCACACGGACCTCAGCGTTATCCTTCTCACTCTTCAACTCCAGCTCGACGTTCAGACACAGGATCTTGGGGTTCTTGAAAGACTTGGGCTGCTGCTCAAAACCGGCGTAGGCGAAGGTCTTCTTGAAAGCGACACCGTCGACGAAAAGGGACTCCTGAAGACCACCACCGGTAATCTTCTTAATACCGATCAACTTCTCGTTCAAATCGTCCTGGTCCAGGGTAAGCACCGCATCGACAACCACTGAAGGGGAAGAATTTCGTCAGCTATCTCAACCCCTAAATCAACATTTCCGGCCCACGGCTTACTCTTTGTGAAGAACTCCTGGTTCCGCTTGATAAGCTTGCTGTTCATGGCTGTTCCGGCTAGTCGTCGGAGGGTCTCAATCTTCTTCTCCTCGCTCTCAGCGGAATTGATCATTTCCACCGCAATCTCCTTAACCTTGTTGACCGCCATAGCGCTAGCCCTCCGCAGACCCTTGATGATAGTCTGCGAGCTGACACCCTGCTCAACGAGGTCTCGCACCTCCTTAAGAATCTCACCAGCGAGGACAACGACCGAGGTGGTTCCGTCACCGACTTCGGCATCTTGGGATCGGGCAATGTCCGTGAGGATGCGGGCGGCGGGGTGCACAATATCGAGAAGCTATATCAAAAATCTAAATCAGCATATGCGGCCTTTCTGCAATCCGCGTATTGGATGAAGAATTTGAGCTCATCGAGTCCGCACCTTCATTACGGTAGCTCCGTCATTTGTAATTGTCTGCTTGCCATTGCTGTCCACAAGCAGGAGGTCACCACCGTAAGGACCCAAAGTGCTCTTCACAGTCGCCTGCACGGCAACACATGCGTTGATGTTGGAGATAATCTGACCCTTGCCCTGAGAAGCATCGGTGCCTGTTGAGAAGAGACGAATGGTTAGCATGGATGCATCCCACTACACGGTACCTCCGACGGGGGGTAAATGATCACGAACCCTCCTTCAGCACCACAATCGTGGGTGTTTGACCGTTAAAGGCCATGATGAAAAATCGAGATAGATCGAAACCGTAACTCGATGAGAATGTAAAAGCAAGAGAAAAGGAGAGGTCACGGAAGTCGGAGGGGTTTCGCTGATCTTCGACCGCCAAAATTTCCCAGAGCTTCTGTTTCCCCCCAATTCTCCTGTTCTGCCAAGGCGGTGAACACTCCGGGGTTCGATATAAAGTCCCCCTTTTAACTCACCCCGTGGTCGCTTTAGAATGCTTCTAGCTCTTCATATCTTATTTTGCGCACTCGGAAAGACCTAGAAATCCCAAGATCTTGCACTCAATATTGATTTTCTCCGTGGACTTTTTAACCTTGACACTTGTGGATGAATATCAAAAATAGTTCATAGTACTACAATATACAAGAAGAGTACCATATCACAATCCGAGCCTAAGCAACGGTATAGGGCTCAGCGCCCTTCCCAAAGATCAAATGAGGCCTCTCAGCAGCAACCTTCAGAATGGTCTGACCAAACACAGAGTTAGCCCATGAGAACCACGGGCGAGTGTAGTCTTTAATATTAGTAACATTTATAGACTCGTGGATGAGACCAAGCAAGCTCGAGTCCCGAACGAGGTTAATACATTCCATGATCTCAGTCTCGTTGTCAGAAGTCTGAGCCTGGATGAGCAGCGACATGGGCCAGGCGTTTGTGAGACCAACTATGAGCAATGTGAGTACTTGTATCAATACAAGGGATGTATCCACGTATAAAGAACTTACTATGGGGACCACCGATGCCATGGAAAGCGGGCCCCTCCAGATAGTACGGGTTGCCGAGTTTATCGGTAATCATTTTGCGAGTATTTTGGTAGACTTCGTCAGTCTGGTCGAGGAAGCCCAGGTAAGGCAAGGACAGAAGAGAAGGAACATTGGCATCATCCATGATGGTCCGCGATCCGTAGCCATCAACCTCGAAGGCATAAACCTCCCCATACTTGCCATTGGTGACTATACCGTGCTCACGGACAGCTGCCGCCAACTTCTCGCCACGGTCTTTTAGCTCTGAGGCTAGGCTGTCATGACCACCTGCCGCCTGAAGAACCTTGGCAATACCCTGCAGCTCAACAGACATCATGGCATTCGGAGGAATAAAATATCCAAAAATACTGGCGTCGTCACTGGGCCGGAAGGCGCTGCGGATGAGACCAGTTGCACTGTTGAGTGGGTTACCAACACCCGACAATGTCAAGGTCTCGGTTCCAAGAGTAGTCAGTCGCTGGAAGGTATACTGGTTCTGAACAAACTGGTTATTCGAGTTGAAAGTAGGTTGAGACTCTGCGTCAATCACGCTGAGGACAGTCTGCAGCGCCTTGAACCAACGATCCGTCAGGAACTCAGTCGAGCCGGTGTTCTCATGGAACTCTCTACCCATCTTGAGAAAGTGAGCTAAGGAGTCAAGCTCATACTTGCACTCATAGACAAACGACTTCTCGTATGCCGGGTGTACAGTGTCGACTTGGGTATTATTCTCGGGCTTGATGCCGCTAACGGATGGTGCCTGGTACGCGTTGCAGAAGGGCGATCGGATGACGAATTCGGCCTGAGTGCGAATTGCGCCAAGAATCAAGTCATGTAGGCCCTTATCATGCGACGCAAGCTTCTGGTAATTCATGACCTGATTCGTAGAATCACGGAGCCACTCTGCATTAATGTCGCCTGTCACGATGAAGGTCTGCAGGCCAGTCCAATCCGAAGTATCGCGCTTGTCAAGATTTCGACGTGTTGCAGTTGAACTGCTGCCATTCACATGCCATCGGATGGTGGTGTCAAGCGTGTTGGGGTAGGCATTGCGGAAGAGCTGCGCAAGGTCCTTGTCCACCAGACGCGAGGTCACATCCTCAATGACCTGCTCGACAGAATCAGACGAGAATGTGCGACATGCCTCCGCGGGACGTTGGTATGGAAGATTCAAAGGGCCTCCACTATAAGGACCACTATGCGATCTGAGATCAGTGCCCTGAACTTGCACGGCTAGGATGTGGGGAACTTACTGTTGCGTCGAGGCGTAGGTAGTGTAGTCGGGACACGCGCGACGCAGTATCGAAGGGGTATCCCGCTCGGGCAATGCATTTACCTGAAAAGCAAGAAGACCAGCCGTAAGAAAGATTGAGATAGGCATGACGGGCAAATTGATCTGGTCAAACTCTTGGGGCCTGGGATTTCGGGTGACGATGAGGGGATGTCATGGGCTTTTTGTAAGGCTAAATGTCGATCCCAACCAGACCGGGATACTTGCATTCCTCCGCATGGCATGAGATCGACTCCTGGTAAATGGAAATGAGATTGGAATCGGGGAAATTCTGGGCGAGGTGACATCGGCCAAGGGCATGGTTGCACTGTCTCCACCATAAATGCGGAGAAAGTGTACAGTGATCGGCGTTTGTTTACTTTATCCTACTACCACTTCTTCCAAGGTTCCGAGCTTTTGGTGTATGACTTATATTAGTACTATCGGCTATTCGATTTCTACTTCTTTCCAAAGAATGACATGATGTTTCCTTGCCCCGGTTTAGCCCCCTTTGCTTTGGGCACATTGACAGCAGGTTTCTTCTTGGGCGCCGGCTCATCTTCGGAAAATGACTCCCATGTCGCTTCCTCCCGAGTCACTGTGTTTGAATTAGATACTAGCAGGATCAGACCATAGAATAAAAAGAAGCTTACCTAGATAGCCTTCTTCGTCCTTCAGCGTGCGCTTTTTCATCACTTGTCGCTTGCCTCGCCGGCGTCCCCCTTGCACGGTGGCCTCTTCCTTTAGCTGCGTGGGCTTGGGCGGCGGCGGTTGCTCTACAGGGGTCTGCTCTCGTTCCGGTTCCGGTTCTTCATCGGCATCCGGCATCTCTTCATCTATAGTTGTGTGAGTAAGTTGCCCGTGAGTATGCCATATGAAACAGTGACAAACCATCGGCATCATCAATTTCCATCATCTGTTTGAGCTTTTCCTCGCGCTCTCTCTTGTTCTCACGGATTGCGGCAGCCGATCTTTCAGCTTTATCGCCCGTATCAGGGAACAGCTCTTCTTGCTCATCCTCCGAAGCATCGTCCAGGACAACTGGAATTTGTGAGTCATGATTTCGCGTTGTACGAAGAATTTGTGACTTACCATCTGGAGTCTCACTAGCTGCCTGAAGAGAAGTCAAATTAATGCCCGTTAAAAACAACAACAGGGATATAAACCTACTGGCTCTACAGGTGCTGGGGCTTTCTTCGGTTTGGCCTTCGCAAAGGAGCTAAAAAGATTACTCTTCTCACGCTTAGGTACCAAGACCGCAGACTTGGTAGACGATTGAGAATTACTGACTGAGGAAGGCTGAGGCTTGGAATCTTCAGTCTCGACTTCTTCTTTGGTAATAGTTTCGCTCTGTAGGGGTCGCTTGGCGGGGATAGTTGATTCGGGTTTAACCTTCGGCGCCAGCGCACTGGCCTTGGATGCTGGTGCAGCGATAGGTGGACGAGCCCCGGTCCTTCGCTGTAATAGATGTTAGTCCCCAAGTTGCAGAATAATGGGCCGTAGTTGAGGATACCTTGACTTGGCGGTTCTGTATCATACCCCACTGCTTTCCACACTCGAGCGGGTCATCCTGCAATCCCGCAGTCGCAACCTCCCGAGCCACATCGGCCAAGACATTCAGATCTTGAAGGATTGTCGATTGAACACTGTACACATGCATTGTAGATATCGATCGGAAAGTAGCCTTCGCATCTGCGCTCAATTCGTAATTAATAATTGCCGTGGTGGTGAATTGAGTGGGATAGCTTACTTTCCAGGTCCTCCTCGCGGGCTAGTATGATGGATGTAATGCGTGAGGCATAAGGGACTGGTTCTTGATTCGGCATCGAACTCGGCATATAGGGACTGCTCTGCATAACTTCATCTTCATCGATCGCATGGCCGTTGGTCGTGGTAGGTTCTGGGTTCTGAATACCAGAGATGACGTAGGTCGCGTGGACACTCTGGGGTTTCTTTGCATTTTCGTTGCGATGGAATTCGTATAGGACTCTATGTCAAAGGATGAGTTTAAGGTCTTGCTTCGAAATTCCGGAGGTAGAACGCCATACTGTTTGGCGCGGTTGGCATGGATTTTGAGAGCGCGGCTCAAAGAGCGATACGTCACCTGAATAAAAATGAGTTAATGGTGGAAACTACCCTCCTTGAACAAAGCTCACCGTGTTTCGCTCATTGAGCACATTCTCTGCCAGGAAAATCTTAGGATCCATTGTGATTGTAGCTTGCAGACAAGCAGCTTGGTGATGTTCGAGACGCGAAACCACTTTACGCGTATCAGTCAGCGGTCTTGGCGTGAATTTGCTCCACTCTCTGCTGCTTCGGGCTCTTCCACTTGCTTGGCCCTCCAAACACCAAGCAACTCTTGGTTGCTCTTGACCTGAAGGAACTAGCATACAACTGCAGGGCTGTACCTACGCTTCAATGGAGAACTCTCTCGAAATCACCGACTCCACCGACTGGCTCGGCACCCCTCTCCAGCTACTTGCGCCGCTTGAGTCCGCCCTCAGATGTCAAGTTTGCAAGGACTTTTTTGACACCCCAATGATCACCTCGTGCTCCCACAGCTTCTGTTCACTATGCATTCGTCGTTGCCTTACTGCCGACAACAAGTGTCCTATCTGCCGCGAAGGGGATCAAGTACTTAAGCTACGTCGCAATTGGGCAGTGCAAGAACTCTTGGATACGTTTAAGACAGCGCGACCTGCTGTGATGGAAGTTGCCCAGAAGTTCAAGGCGCTCAAGGAACAGGAAGAAAACCAGACCCTAGAGCCACAGCCCAAAAAGCGCAAGGCGAATCACACAGAGCAGTCCGGGGAATCTTCCCTGGTGGAGGCTAGTCCACCACGACTGCGGACAAGGTCAAGAGGCGCCAAAGCAGTGCCACATGAGCCAGAAGTTGTCCCGGAAGTCATTGAGGACAGCCAAGGCGAAGAAGAATATATACCAGGTTGGTGACACTGCAATTTCACATGCTCTGGATTGGATCTAATCTAGCTACAGAGGGCATGGCTGTCTGTCCTGTATGTGAACGGTCTATGAAGATAGAAGCAGTCAGCCGCCATATCGACAATTGCCTTGCCGAACAAGAAGCAGCGGAAACTGCAGCGAGACAGAAGCACACGGCTTTCGGGTAAGACATGCCATCTACAAAGTCCACGGTATGGGTCTAATTTAATGCTATCCTAGACTTCTCCAACGCCAACAAAATTCACCCTCAAAACAATTAGATAGGCTTCCCACCTTGAACTACGACCTTATGAACCCGAGCCAGCTGCGAAAAAAGTTCAAAGAGCTCGGAATTCCAACAGAGGGGGCCAAGGACCTCATGAAAAGACGGCACACAGAATGGGTGAACCTGTGGAATGCAAATTGTGACTCCCAAAATCCTAAGTCGAGAATGCAGCTTCTCCGCGAGTTGAGAGTTTGGGAAGATACGCAAGGCGGGGGCTCAGTGATGACAGTTCCTGATAGAAACGCGGTGACCGGCAAGGAATTTGATGCGGCTGGTTGGTCTGCAAATCATAACGATGACTTTAGACGCCTCATCGCAAGCGCTCGCAGGAAGACTGATGCCCAAGTAAGATCCACAATTCCTGGATCATCGGGATCAAACCAACCACCATCGACACCACCAAGTGGATTGCAGGGCCAGGTTGCTGAGGATCTGGGTGATCGATGAGGGACTGCAGGGAGGCTAAAAGTGACTTGATCGAGAAAACTCATGGAGAATTTTGCTTGTTTTCAGGATGCTGCCTTTATTTAGCCGGCAACGGGGAATCTTCAACTGACATGTTAGAGAGCCTACCAATACTCTCTGCCAGCTCAGAGTCCACGTCCTTCGTCTTTTGTGCGCGGCGGGTTGCTTCGTCCGAAGCTTGCTTGATGCTGTCCAGCTCCGCGAGCCTTTGCCGTGTTCCCTCTGCTTCCCTCTCTTCTTTCGCCTCCTGGTCGCTCTTCTCCATGGCTTCCAGTTCATCATCGATCTCGCCTTCATCAATGACCGGGCCAGCTTCATTAATAATACTACCAACCTCATCCACCTTGGCCATTTCCTCACGCAGTGTCTCGACCACATCTTCAACCCGCTCGGCACCACCAATTTGAGCGTGTAGCCCTCGCAGAACGCCAGTGCTCGCCTCCATGACTTGGACGATCTCAACTTGACCAGCAGCGCCCTCGATCTTGAAATATACCTCTTCCAATTGCGCGAGGGTACTGAGCCGCTGAGAAAGGTTATGCTCAACCAGCTTCTTTGAGCGGATTGCCGAAAGAGCAGAAATCTTATTCTTGTTGGTCAATGCCATCTTTGCAGACTGAGTGAGCTCCGCCATCTTTGACTCCATGTCCGAAACCTGCTTTGAGATCGTCGATATAAGCGTTTTAATGGAGGCAATGGTCGTGTCTTGCTGTGTGATCTCAACTGGTTCGTCTGATGACTTGAACTTGATAGTCTGCTATCTCGGTCAGCATCCATAAATGATTTTATATTAATATATATAGCCCCACATACCCTGCCATCATACGCAATGGCCCCGCAGTCGCGGGAAAGATAGAGCAAAAGAACGTCAAAATCAGAGTCTGAGAGTTCTGTGGCATCATGCAATACTGTAGAGTATTCTTCAACAAAGCTTTCTTTTGACCATATCAGATCCAATTTGGAAGGTCTTCCGCCAGTGGCCTTCTTGACCACCAAATCCCCCGCCTCCTGTCAAAATATAAGCTTTAGCCCCTCAAAATCCAAATAATGCAAATATTTCCTTACCTCCAAGTTCTCCACAAGCACTAACTCCTGCACCTGTATCTTCGGCGCAGATTCTCCCTCACCAATCACAAATCCCTTTAACTGACGAACGCCCCAGCTCATAACATTCCACGGACTCAAAGCTGCAGGATCTATTAACCGCCACTGGTTCTTCCGCAAACACCCCGGAGTAGTTTTGTACACCGACAAGGGAATCATAGTGCGGTTGCGCATTGCCTCGTCCTGGAAGAAAAAAGATTAGTAACGGTAACGGATATCACAATATCAATCCAAATATTACGACTGATATATCCAACATACAAAGACTGCGCCAAGCGCGACAGGTCTCCCCCACTCTGGAAGTTCCAAATCTCTCGCCAATGACTCGTCCGTACGTAGAAGAAGGTGATCCGTCTTCTTCCGCTGCGTCGAGGCATTGTTCTGCGATGTGGTTGAGCCGGAGCGCACACGCACACCACGCGATGAGGTAAACCCGCGCTTTGCGGCGTGGTTCAGTGCTGATTGCCATGCGGCGACATTCACAGCGTAGCCGTCGGGGTTCGTCTTCTTTTGAGTTGTGAAGTCGGAATAAAGTGATGGAAGGCGGTTTCTGGGATTCAACAGGTGGAAAGTCAGCTATGTTTGATTCTTCATTTCCTCTCGTGTTTTCATTTGGGCATGTCGCAGCTACCGCCGGGATCTGTACCTTCGGAATGCATCCTCATTATTGAGGATGTAGTTCAGGAGATCGCTCATTTTTGGACGATATGAAAGGCTCTTCTAAAATATGAGTGACTTAGCTAAGGAAAGGTTATTGCAAGGCCCAAACAGGGACGTGGCCAGGAGAGAAAATGCCTTGCGTTGGACTGAATTGTGGGTTTCGACCTACAGTCGATGTCAACATCATGCGCTCCACAGCTTTATCGATAAGGCACACGTGACTTTGGCTATATGTTATGACATATGAGAGACATTGAAGCGAGATGAATTGGAAAATGACCAGAAATGTATTCTATGCTTATATGCTATAATGAGTTATTAAATTCATGCTTCAGGCTCGTTCAAAGTCATCATTTGGCGGGTTTCCAGGGTCCCTGGCCCCTGAAGTCATGGTGAGATTCCCCACGTCCAGCTGCCCAGGCAGCCCAATCAAAGAGCGGCGATGATTTCGCTTGTCAATCTTCTCAAGTTTCTCGCTAGTCTCATCGGTAGGGACTGGGTCCTCTGAGACTGGCTCATCCTGTACGTCAAATCCTCTTGCCCCGAGGTATTCAACCTTTACGGAATGCCGGAGGTTGTCGACAAAGGTCTGCATCTCTGGAATTGGAAAGACACCGTCCGTCTCGAGCACATCACCGTAGAGACGTTCTCCTTCTTCTAGACAAGCAGCAGCCAAAGTAGGATTTCCGGCCTTCAGCCATTGATTCGCAGCGAAAATGCTCCACATACCGGCTTTTCGACGACGCCCGCCCCATTTAGCTCCACCCATAGAGATCTTCGATGCATAGCATGCTGAAATCCTCTCCGTGAACAATATTTGACCGATAGGGCCAACCAAGCCAAAATCCATGACCCGCATGGCCCATCTGGCTGCGCTCTCGGTGGCAGATCCACCCCGAGACTTGAGAAGTTCGACGCCGAGAGACAGGGCACGCAGTGCATGTGGCACGTCGGAACAACGTGTGAGATAAGAATAGCAAGCGTTCTCGAACATTTGGTCAACACTCTCAAGCTTGATCTTGGCAGACATAGCAAGTGGGTTGAGAAGCATGCTCACTGCACACATTTCATGAGCTCCGGCATGGTATTTCCATGCTTTGTCATTCTTGAAGTCCGACTGGATCATTTCATATGTTGAAGCGGACAACTTCCAATCACGAAGCATAAAAGCAAAATCCGCCATCTTACGCAAAATGGCTTCCGGCGAGTCTGGCCCATAAAAGTTGTTTGTTGGATCATAATTGCCGCTTCCACCCGAGGAGCCAGTGGTCCCAGATCTTGCGCCAGAACCAAATGTCATGAATCTTCGGCCGACGGACATGAATCTTCCACTGATTCCACGTCTCCGAGAAGCAATCTGGTCGTTCCAGACAGCAACACGATTTTCCATGAAGGGAATCACGGACTGTACCATGAGTTCTCGAATGAATGTCCGAATGGCAGTGGCATCAGAGTCAAACAGGTACGGTGTACCATCTGTGCCGAGATCCACTAATGTCTCTGCTATGATGTTAGTTTCCAGTTGTTGGGTGAATACAAAAAAAAAACTTGCCTGCTTCTCCCACGCCTGACAAACGCTCCTGTGGGGACAGCCATTCGCACGAAGGTACTTGGACACTGTCATCGTCCGTCACGATGCACTGACTACTGCGAAGCCGCAACAAGTGACAATGTAACCCAAAGTGTCGCTTCATCTGGTCATATAGTTTTGTTGACTCTGTAATATCGTCGCGTTCCTCATCATGGACCAAGACATAGTATCGAAGATACTCAGAATTAACCCAATCTGGTAACCGCTGGTCACCAGAACTGCTTTCACCATACAATTGTCTGAGTGTCTCCAACGGGGCCATGTTGCGGGAGCTAATAGCAATTACACTGGCAACAGGGTGACCAAATGTTTCGTGGGGTGCCGCAGAGGTAGCGGATAGTATTTGTCGTAGTAACAACTTCCACAGCGGGCTTGCCGCTGGAACCCCCAGTGCGTCCTTTGAGGGTATGGATCCTCCAAGAGGCCCTTCTGCCGACTCCAGCTGCTGCTCCAGTATTTCTTCCATCTGCGTCAGAGACGACTCCTGTCCGGACTCTCGACCTGCGGGGGCCCGGCCAAACCCTTTCAAATTCACGAACCGCACTCCATAATCCTCCCAGGCACGACTTGATCCAACACTGTCCCGGATGACAACTTTTCCAGAGACGGTATCGCCAAAAGGTCTAACCAATTCCCAGAACCCTCCTTTGAACCCCTTATTCCTCACCAGTTCATCGGTGTCATCGGAGGCGTAGATGGCAACGGTTGGCGAGAAGGCGCGGATTATTAAGGACCTGATATCTTCTGAGCCATCAAATCTTCCATCAAATGGCGAGCCAAGTGATGAGCGAGCTAATTGCGGAGTGGACGACCTGATTGACCGGGCGTGCGGTGATGAAGACCGGATGGGCAACTCCGCAGTGGTAGCCGACAGAGGCGTCGGAGAGGACCCCGAGCGGGCCTCTGCCAGCTCGGCATCTATAGAATGTGTGGACTCGGCCTCGTCCGCGTATCTTGATTTGGAGGTGCCTCGCGCAACGCCGGGGGAGAAGGACGGCGGTGGTTTGACCGGAGCAGCATCTTCGGGCGATGTCATGGACTCCAACTGCTCACTGCGAAACTGGCTTAATAGAAGGAATGGACAGACCCCATGGACTAGGGTGTCAAGGCGAAAAAGGAATGCGAGCGATAGTGTTCGGCGACAGGGTCAACGGTCCGGGAAGTTGTTGTTGATGGGGAAAGCCAAGTCGCTCGATTCGGGCCCGATAGGGTCAGGTAAGACTCTAGTGGCGGCTGAGAGTACCACACGAGATTGAGTGTACAATAATCTTTCAAAGTATGACCTGAGTTAGGTTAGTCAACAATGCAGGTCAGGCGCAGAAATATGTAGATCGTCCGGGATTCGGGCGCATTACGAATGGAAGACAATCGCGGGTAATGATGCAACCACGTGAGAGCGAAGCTTTATCAGTGATTAGCACTGAGTCACTGATGCGCTTTCCTCCACTCAATTCATTTGACTCACTTATGGCTTTCAATGTACAGGTTGCATTGCCTTGAGTCATCTTTCAGCGCCCTTCGACTGAAAACCCCACCATTCGCCCGCCCTCGAGTGACCCAAACATACTCTCAGACACATCCGCGGAACTTTTTAAACTTCACGAATCGTACCTACTCAACCAACTGGCAATATTCCATGCGCGCCCGCGAACTTGCTTCGCACTCTCCAGAGCCAGCAAGCAAAAGACGACGTATTTCAACCTCCCCCGTGCGGGGTGGTTCTTTCGAAAAAATGGCTTGCGATCACCCCACCCTTCAACTCACCCCGATCGAGTATACCTTACAAACCCTTCTGCTTGATGTCGCGCAATACATACATGATAAGAGATCAATCGACGGAAATAGCGATGAGAGTAATCGCGCCGAAACTGTCCTACGATTCACGGGCGGCTGGGTGAGAGACAAGCTGCTCGGGGTGGAGAGCCACGATATCGATGTGGGAATTAGCAATATGACCGGTTACCAATTCGGCATGCAGTTGAAGGAGTACCTGGACGATCCGCAAAACCTTGAAAAATACAAGAAGACTTTACCAAACGGGGAAATGCATGATGCAATTGTGAGCCTACACAAAATCGAAGCCAATCCCGAAAAGTCAAAACATTTGGAGACGGTCACTACCCGAATTTTTGGGCTGGATATCGATTTGGTTAATCTGCGGAAAGAGACATACTCGGAAGATAGTCGAAACCCACAGATGGAGTTTGGCACAGCAGTGGAAGATGCTTTGCGAAGAGACGCCACCATCAATGCTCTGTTCTACAACTTGAACGAATCGAAGCTGGAAGATCTTACCAAGCAAGGGCTGGATGATATGAAAAAGCGCTTGATTCGTACTCCACTCGAGCCATACCAGACATTCAAGGATGACCCGCTCCGCGTACTTCGTTTGATTCGATTTGCCAGCCGACTGGGCTACGCAATTGACCGCGAAGCAGAGGATGCAATGCAGAACGAAGACATCAGAGTTGCACTAAAGCTGAAAATCAGCAAGGAGCGCGTTGCAACTGAGCTGGAAAAAATGTTAAAAGGTACGTTCTTGAGCTACAGGGTAAGTGTTCGGTGATCTGGCTCTAATGCATATTCTATCAGGACCCGACCCTCGAGGCGCTTTGGAGTTCATTGACAAACTCAATCTTTACCCAACAATCTTCGCCAACCACCAGGATGAAGTAACGACCGACACTTCTACCTGGCCTCTTGCCTACAATGCGCTACCAAGACTATTGCAGCTAGGCCCGGATGATGCGGTGGAGCTCCTGGTACGCGACAAGGCCAGTGTCTACTATGCCTGGATGATCGCTGCTTTTGCTCCATGGACGTCCATTCCGCCTCGCGCTTCATCCGGCCCCAAACATAAACCTCTCCCGACTCGCGCTGTCGAGGTTGGTAGAGACAGTCTTCGCACCGATAACAAAACCCTTCAAATCCTTCGTGATGCAACCTCAAATTACAAAGACATCACTGCTTGTAAATCTGCCTTGAGGTCAAAGTCTCTCAGTGGTACTCCGGCCGAGATCAGGCAGCAGGTTGGACTGCGTATTCGGTCCTGGGGCAAGGATTGGAAACTGTGTGTGGTCTTGGCCATACTTCAAGAAGTCATGCAGGGACGTGACTTCAGCGAGGGTATGATTGCTTCTAACCACCTCTTTTGCTTAGTACTGACTCATTTCCAGTGGTCCCGGAGTACAATGACTTTATCGCATATATCGTAGGAAATGATCTGGAGCATGTAAATTCTCTCGTTCCAGTTGTCAATGGTGGTGAAATCATACAGCATCTAGGAGGCAAAAAGGGACCGTGGATGACCAAAGCGACCACAATGGTAGTAGAGTGGCAACTTCTGCATCCCGACACTGATAAGAACGCGACTCTGGAAGAGATCGCGAGACGTCGTGGAGAGTTAGGGCTGTGAAGGGTCAAAGAAACATAGATAAATGCATCAATAAGATTTGATCAAGTGACGCGGGATCACAAACCCAATTTCAAATTCCAAATTCCCCACTTCTTCAAGTAAACAGCGCTACGCTTCAACAGCTTCAAGCTGCAAAATGGATCAATTCCGAAAAGAGGCCCGTACGGTCTTACAGCAGGATCCTTGGACCCTGAGCCAGTCAGAGCTACCTCGACTCCCATCTGGGAGAAGGAGAATCAAGGGTGACCTGCCCGAGCTGTGGCAGAATGTTTCAACCTACGACCACAGCACCTGCATGGATGTAAATTATATGACTAGGTTCGAAATGCCACGCTAACATACATTTAGGTCTGTGAAAGCTTGTATGCTGCACTTGCTTTCATTGAGGCGATCCCTGACCGGCTCTTGCCCGATGATTCGGGTTGCCGAGAACTTGAAGGTGACGAAATCACGGCGGCGTCCAACCTATTTGAATGGGCCAATAAAGCAGCACTACCGTCGTCGGAATTTGCAGGATCTTTTGACGACAATGTCGAGGTGACTACAGGTGCTTATTCACGAGGTCAAAATGTCACCCACCGCCGCTAACGCAAATTTGCAGGGATCAAAAAAGCTCAGAATGAGAGTCTTTTGAAAGCGAAATTGGCCTTGGAGTTCCTTTGTCTTTTCAAGGCACAGACAAGTGTAACTTTGCCAAATCGCCGAACACCAACTGCGCCGGATACTTTGCCGGATTCTCTGATTACCATGGCCACTTTCATGTCCGGGCAAGATCCATGGTGCACAAGCGATACCCAGATGATAGCCGAAATGTATTTTTGCGGGGGCTGGACTCATCTATGGGACACCATTGAAATGGTGCTCAAAGACAAGCTCCGACCTCTTTTCATGAAGCAGAGGAATCCTAATATCACAAACGAGGGCCGCAAGGACTTCCACCCGGTGCCTTTGCCTCGTTTTGACGGAAGCTCACTCGACGATTCAGCAAAGCCATGGAAGAATACGGATATCTATGCTACCAGTGTCCTATCCTGGATTGTGTCTCAGTACAAGGTAAGTGTTCTAGCCTTTGGTTTTCTTGCAACCTTACGTATCATTATACTGACACCCCCTCTAGGCTGCCGATAAGAAGCATCTGGAAGCGCACTTCCCGCTTCTGGTCCCTGCTATCCTAGCTTTAATAGACGATAGCTCTATCTTTTTCAAGATCAAGGGCTGTCAGCTCCTCTGTCAGCTCCTTAAGACGATCCAAGAAAGTGGCTCCGATATCCTCCTTCGAACAAATCTTATCCCCGTCTTCGAAGAGGCCATTAAACCGTGCCTTCTTTCCTTACCAACCATCACCCCGGAAGACAAGTCCCTTCAAATGCTGCGCGCTGCCTACCCAGTCCTGATTGCTCTTTTCAAAGCTGCCTCCAAAAACCCTTCAAAGGCACAAAGGAATACAGAGACGTACAACGCGAGTCTCGTTAAGATCCTTCGGTCAAACTTGATCTCGTCGTATAATCATATCAGCTCACCAACTCCAACCTATGAGTCCTCGGCCTCCTTCCCGCACCCCAAGTTATCTACTTTCCTAATGGATGAGATCTCTATTGTTGTCAACGAGCTTGGTATTGAAACTACCAAGTACCTCCAGGACATCGTCCCACTACTACACATGACCCTCGCGAATCCTTTCGGGTCTGCATATCCTCCACTTCTCTCCGCTGCCGTGTCAACAACAAAATCAGTAGTTCTGAACGCTCACCCTCGTGTTTGGAGATGGCGCGGTGAGATATTGGCTGGGTTATGTGCGTGCTGGCTACATGTTATTGCAGAAAACAAGGAGAGGGCGGGAGAAAGTGCCCTCGCGAAACAGCTTGTCAATCTGACTAAAGAGCTACAGAGCGCTGTTTTCGTGCTGAAGCATGCTTTGCAAAATCCTGTCTCGCCTGATGCGGACCAGCTTCATGCTAAAGAGGAGATGAGTGCAGAGCTACAGAAGCTCGTTGATGCTGATTCCGAATTATCGGGTCTGTTGTTTACTGATGTAAAGTCATAACGTGAGATAAGATTAAAATATCTATATCCATAATTTCTCCAATAGAAGATTCATAAGATCATTACGACTTACAGTCACGTATCAACACGTTGCTTGAAAAGACTCTTTCCTCGCAACCACTGTCTGTACCTCTTGTACCTCTTCTTCTCATAGTCCTCGCTGACAACCGTAAGTCCCTCCGGGTCCTCTGAAACATTGAGAAACTCCTCATAATCAGCCATGTTTCCCGCTGCACTAGCTTCAAGGACTGCGTCCTCGACGTTGCACTTATTCGCATATTCCAGAAGATCGAGGTTCGGCGAGGCAGCTGTCACTTCATCTTCGGAAGTCACGACCAGGGGGACTTTGAGAGGGTGGTTGATGTATCGTTGGTATTCCTCTGCCTCCGTTGCGGTGACAGATGGGTTCAAGGAGTCGGTGACTAATTGTCCAAGTGTCCATTGAGCAATCTCTGCTTTGCTCGGAGTGTTTGAGGTTTTCGATATGGGCGGGATGCGGTTTCCCTGATATAACTCAAAGGCCGGTTCTTTGATGATGCCGACCGAGGGCGGTTGTTTAGACGAGGAGGGTGGTTGGACACTTTGTGGAGCCGATACTGGAGAGTGGCTGTTTGTTGGTTCTTGGATCTTTACTGTTCGCTGTGGACGGTCGCGTTCGCGCTGGACCTGGTCTTGAGGTATGCGTGGGACGAATGGACTGAGATCTGGAGTAACATTGCCCCCACGAATGTGCGGCAGATAGCGGAGAGTAGAGTTCATCTTGTAGGCGTAGATCTTGGAGAGCGTGGATAGTGCGAGTGGACGGTAGTATTCCAGCCAGTAATCATCAAAACGGGAGAGAGGCTCTTTGGGCTGAGCTGGGGCCGGAGGAATCTCTCGCTCTTTCAAATTTTCGGGCGTGTACCAGGAGATATAATTTGGTCGCTTTTTTTGTAATCTGGGGTTTCCATGATGAAGGTAGTAATCGGTGGAAAGATCCCAAAGCATTGGGGCATCGTGTGAGAAGATGTAGTTGCCGAGGAAAAGATTGTAAGCCTCTTGTCGCTGGGCATCGAGGAAAGAGTTATTGTAGTATCGCTTAAAGCTTTCCACCATATCGCGCGAATGGCTACTCCACTGATTAATTTTACGGTATGTAGCCATGGTGTTAACCAAATGGGATCCTCCATATTGAATGGCAATCGTATCGCCATGATCGTGCCACATGTTCGTGAACAGGTTGACGGCATCCGTATCATACTCAACTGTTGTCTTATCGATGACACCAAGAGCGTGAAGCTGATGCCCGAGGGCTCGTTTTCCAATGACAAATTGCGCTGCATTTGTTCGATCCAGGCAGTCGATACAGTTAGTTCGCGCTACGCCATTCTGAAGTTGTAGGCCTGATTCAACACCCCCGTTTTTGAAAAATCCTGTCTTGGGAATGATGTCTCCAGCAATCCCCTCGAGAGTCTGTATGACATCTTGATCTCGACTTTTCGCTGCGCGACTCATATCCCACGCTTTATATATTAGCTTTTTGTCCGCAGGCAAAAACTAGTTCAGAGAGTTAGTAGGTGATTAGATGATCTGGTGGAAGGCCGACCTAGTTAGGGGAGATTCTTACCTGGTTGAGATATTCTACTGCATTAGTGAACTCTTTGAGAAGTTTTGACTCTCTTGGTGTCCTTTCACGAGCCTTGACGAGGTTTAGAATGTAAATCGGTGCTCCATATCTCTCAAATAGATTATCAAAATGCAACGCTGCTGCAGAGTAGAATGGATCGATGAGACTGAGTTCGATGTCAGGCTTTGGCGAGACGCCCTCTTGTGTCCAATGAAGGGGAATACTCCCACGATGCTGGACATATGAGGTGTAATGAGGATTCGCATAAAGTGTCGGGCCTGCAGAGTGGAAGGATGTTGTGGTTTGCTCAGAAACAATTTGCTCAGTTTCCACGTCATTGGCCACATATCCCAGATCATTAGCACCACGCTTCAAAAAACGTGCACCAGCAAAGAGTCTAGACCGTCGAGCAATGATCGAAATGTATACCACTCTTCCAAACACGCTCATTTTACTCTGGTCGACATATCCATGAATAATTGGGAGGCACCATTGAAATGGATTTTTTAGAGCCGCGATTGCTGGAGCAAGGAGATGGTTGTTCCAAACAAACATGATGTTGTAGTCCTGTGGGTAGTCCTGTGGTAAAAATCGAGGTTGCCCATTCTGATAGGCTTTGCGTTCGCGGCAAATATTGTGCTGCAATGACCGTGTAATGTCGTAGGAGTAGCTGAAATAGAATGACCGGGTGAGATCAAGATTATTTAAAATAGCCTTATACCTTTCCTCATCTGGCTGGTTCTCTGGTTTGAGGCGTGATGATGTTGTCAATGAGATGAGTTCTGTCTCATCGATCTGGTAGACATTATGACCACCTAGCATGGCTACCTGGCTTCTCTTTGTGACAAGAAGCATGTAATATGCGCCCGTGAATTGAATAAAGCCGAGCAATGCCCATGCACTACATTTCTGATTCAGACCACCGGTGCTCTTGTTGCCATCATCGATAGCGTCAAGTAGCTGGACCATTTCTCTTTTTGTGTAAATCACATCATCCTCAATGATGCTCAACTCCTCCGTGGTGCGATCAATTTTCAAAATTCGGAAACGCGTCTCGGATAGGTTGATGCCGACCATGTAGAATCTCGTCGCAGTCTCGTAGAGGGTGAACTTATGCAATCGATTAATCTCATCTTCGCCCTCCAGTCCCAATCGGTGCTTTTGCGCAGAAGTAGGTGACTCGCGCTCAAAGGAGGTCGCAACATGAGGCTCTTCATCGCCTTCTTCTGGAGGAAACTCAGTCGATATTGTTGGTGCCTCTATCTCGGGACCAGCTCCCTCGATTGGGGCATTCACCGACTGACTAGAGGTGGGGGTGCCACCCGATTCCACGTCTGGTTTCCTTGTAGTTGTTTCATTATTGGAGGGAATATGTTCGTCGTGTATTGCGGGGTCTGATACTGGGCCGATCAGGGTCACGTCGTCGAAGCTCTCCATCGGGGCGCGTAGATGAGGAGTTGGAAGCTTTCCCCACAGAAGCCGGTGACGTCGCCTGACCGTGGCTGCCTGAGGAATCAATATTCTTGTTTATTCACTTTTAGGATTGTCACAGAGTCACGGACAAATCGAATTTCAGGGGTTTTCCTTTGAAATTTAAGCTCTCAGTACTTTGATCACTGGGCGAAATTGAGCATGCCAGTCGGATGCTCAACAAAGAGGTCACGGGAGAGACTAAGCAGATGACGCTGGTTGGGTTGCAGAACATATTGCGGCACATCGAATACTTACAAGATACTCAAGACATTTACTGGAGAGAAACCCGAGAAATCTGAGTCTAGCAAAAAAAAGCTAACGCTCGCTTAGCGCTCAAAATTCTTGTCGCCTCAAACCTCAGACTGCTACGTGAATTGTCAAACATATTTGCGAGGGTCGCCAAGGAGTCATATATACAATCAACGCATTTTTCCAAAACCTCTGGAATCAGAACCACCCAGGCTAGAACCCAAAAGATACATGATTAGGTATATCACTACCATTCAAAGCTTCAAACATGATATGTTATGTAAAGCCTTCACACTTGAAAGCTGGATGCATCTTCTCTAGAGATCTCCCCAGGTGAGTGCTATATGAACAGTTTAGTACAGGGTAGCGATCTACTGTTGGAGATTTTAGCTTCCTTAAGCGGAATTGTGAAGGGAAGAAGAGATAGTGAAATGAACAATCAGTGTGTCGCAATCTACAATGAAGAAGTCCAAAAGTTCAGAAGGAAACGAGAGAGAGAGAGAGAGAGAGAGAGAGAGAGCAAAAGGCTCAGAAGCTATCTGTTAACAAGGAGAGGAATCATACAAGTGACGCAGGATGGCAGGAATTAGTTGGGCTGCCGAGCCTGATCAAAGATTAGTTTCATCCGAAAGAGTGAAGAGAGGGTAGCGTACATCCATTGCCAACAACAATAACATCCTTCTGGCGAAGAGAGATTCTGCGCAAAGTGATAGTTCTGTAATTCAACATAGTTTGCATATGCTGGGGGGGCGGAAATGGCTTTATGTATCAGGACTGCTGAGATAGAATGGCTAGTAGTGGAAACAAAATAAATTATGACCAAGCGAGATGGCCCTTCAGCCATGTCCGTAGGTTATTCTACGTCGTTTCGGATGTTATGAACTGGAATCAAATCATTTCAGTTACTATCATCTAGAGATCCTTATGTAACATGAATATTGGGGTTTGAATCGCGTATCAGACGTTATAGACGGGCCTTGCCTTCCTCTCGGTTGACAAGGTTGGGATGGGGAGCTCTGATGGGACGAGTAACAGCGTAGAAGGCAAGACCAGCAGACTTAGTCGAGAACTATATACAAGCAAAGAATTGTTAACCAAAGGGCCGTGGTGACATGACAGAATAAGGTTTGGGATAGGAGGGTTGAACAGAAAAACCTTGTTATGACAAACCTTGACCTTAGATCCAACATGAAAGAAAGCAAAATCTCCTGAGACTAGATGATGGATGATCCCAGTGGCCTCATCCTAGTCGATGCGCAACCGAAACATTAGAGACCTGATTTTGTTTGCATTGAATGTTGAGGGGAACATACTAAAATATCGATCTGACCACTAAGAACATACTTGGTCTCCTCAAAGGTGTAGTGAGCGGGTCTTTGGGGTCCAGCCTCAATCTTGTAGAAGCCCGAGGTGAAGTAAGCAGGAGACTCGGTCTGCGTGCGAATAGAGTGGAAATCAGCCGTAGTTGCGTTCTCGCCCTGCGGGAGTGGAATGAACTCGTGGCCGGCGCCTTTGATGACAGTGAGAGGGACGAGATTTGCAGACACTATGTCAAGTAAACTTTAGCAACTTGGACGATATTTGGTCTGAAAAGTTCGAGAGCTAAATGCTAACGTACTTGTAATTCTCCTTTGCTGTTTAATTTGGAATCAAGCGACATTCAAACTGTATTCTCTTTGGCTATATAAGCCCATAGTTCGGGCCCCATCCCGGGATAAAAAAGAGGTACCGTGTGCTTGAACCCGATGAGGGGGAGCGGGTGAGGAGAACACGGCCCTATCTGCCGGCTGCCGGTGCGGGGAACCTTGGTAGGTGTCGGACGAAGGCCAGGTATCTATTATCAACCATGAACTATGAACCACTTCCATCACTCTAAACGCTGAAATGTTCACTACAAAGCTTAGTAACTTTTATTGAGAATAATCAGAATGATCACATTTTTGGTTAAACTAATCCTTCCCGCTACATGCTTAGCTTGTAGTGTTTTGTCGTGATTTTGAGAAATGGATTCTTTCGCTTTTAAAGGATCAAGGGCGGGCTTCCATTTGATTTCCATAGCGAGATTACAGTTCAAATCGTTGGTGTCCAGGTTTCAAGGGCTTAATGATTATCCAGAAACATAGGCTTATATAATATGTACGATATGTACCGAATTCACATCCATTTAATATCAAAGACATTTCCAACCCCACAAAGCGTGATATCTCCGTGGATCCGGGCCATTGACTAGACCCAAGAAGTTACTAGACCTACTTTGGACAGAGATAAAGCTGAATTGTTGTTTGTGCAAGTCAATAAGTGTGAATGTATTCTTGCAGTCCATCTATGCGTGATATCTTCTGGTTTCGTTCACTATCATACTAGATTGAACTTTGCTCATATTTGTCTCTGCTCACATTCTTTCATTATTAGACATATGATAGAGACGGCGACATTTTAGCTTCCAGGGAAGACATTCAACGCGCTCTAGTACTCGAAACTTGCCTATTTAAAGCCGGCTAAGCTTCTGAAAGAGGAATTTTATAGAATAGAGTATTATGTTATTTACTGAGTCAAAGGTACAGATAACCGCGTTTTACAAAGACACGTGGCCAAGGTGTTAATGGCGAAAATTAAAAACGTGATGCTAGCAGAATGTTAAATCCAGAAGACCAAGATTTGCAGAGCAGCACTGAACATCAAAGCTCCCATACCCAGGCCTGCTTCAGTGCGTGTAGCGGCTGAATGCTTCGTCGTCTCAGACGCACCACTCGTCGTCGAAGACACCCCACTTGTCGTCGAAGTCACACCACTCGTCGTGCCGGGCACACCATTCTTCCCCGATGTGATTTCGACAATATCGTCTGGAGCGTTGCGCCAGTTGGGTAGGGCCAATGAAACCTCGTCATTTTCCAGATCAAAAACAGCATAAGTTTTGCTGATGAAGTTGGAGCCCAAAATGATGCTTCCCTCATTTTGGTAATGCATGTTTTCACAGATCGTGAAATAGCACGTGTCTTCATCAGGACTCCACCCATATTTCGCGGCAGTTTCACTTTCTTGGGTAATGAAATCGCTGAGATAAAATTGAAACTCCAATTCTCCGAATTTAAACTCTATTGTCGAGTTCTCGCCCACTGCACTGCAAGAGAGATTGACTTGCCCCCACCTATCCGGAGCAGAGGCGGTGCCGATTTGGGCATTCAGAGCCTGAGCCACAGATTTAGGCACGTAGGTCATATCAAACACAGTATCGAAGACAGCGTCCAGCGGAAAGTCGTTGGTCACTGCGGATGTTTCGTTGATCGAGATGTCAGTCATGTTGATACGGAAAGCTTTTACAAGGTCTGATCCGTTGACTATGGGGAATGTGTAGAGAGGACCAGTATACTTGGCCCTGTTAACGCCGCCGAACAGAGCCGTCTGGCGCCAAAGACTAAAAGCTGGAGAGTTGATGGCACCGGCATCGGCTAATGCCTGGGTCAGAGAGGTGGAAGATGCATCTCCGTATCCGAGTCCGAAAGTGTCTAAACAAGCTCATGTTAGTGATTATATCGGGTAGGTTCCATATAGGCTGGACATACTGGCAGTTATCACATCATCCTCCACGATCCCCATTTTCATAGTGTCCACTGTGACATTGCCAATTCTGAAAACGTCGGTCACATAGTCCCCAGATGTGATAGTGCCAGAGTCATTGTATGAGAATCTCTCATCGAGCATTTTGGCAGTGGTCGAGGCAGTGAAATTGTAGCCTCCATATCCACCACAAGAGGAGCGATCCCCGTAGAGATAGCAATCAGAGTCATCCACCCCTTCAAGCCAACATCCATTGCCCCAGGTATCGAAGTAAGCTAGGAAATTCTGAGGCGGAGTGCCAAAAGTCACGTTTGCGACATAGGATATATACTGGAAAGCGCGGTTAGCTTTTAATAAAATCAAACTTTTCAGGTCTATACCAGGTGCGCTAGACCTACATATACTCGCTCGTTGTTAAGACCGACACCGATGGTCCCCGATCGCCTGGAAAGCTGACGCGAAGTGTCGCGAACCATTGGCACCGCAAGAACCGCCGGGTTATCTCTCTTTTCCAGACTCAATGCATTAGTCAAGGCAACACCAGCCAAGCCTAGTAGGCAGGCCCATCCACTGCGCATGGTGATATATGCAGGATGGATAGAGCTCGGGAAAAAATTCGCAGGTTTGAGAATGGATACCAATCAAGAATACAACGAAAAAGGAATCAAATTTTGAGGATGGGAAGCCTTTGGTTTATCAATTACCCAGGGAACTCCACCTGCAGTAGTCCGGCCACAGAGGCGCTGAAATCGCCTAGCAGGGGCTTTTCTAGCGGAGAAAAGGGTTACATCACGCTAAGAAAGTGGCGCCTCATATCTATTGACTGTCGCTTCCTCCGTTCATGTTTTTAAGCCTCAGAGTATGTACCGGTACGTTTTACTTCGACCGAACATGATGCACAATAGGAAGTGATCGGCATGTGGAAATTTCAGATCTTCCAAAAGAACCACCCCGTTGCATTCCGTAGGGGAAAAGGGTCTTTGTAAGTATTGGCCCCCGGGGCCCTTAGTGTTGGATGGTCTTGGCAGGGTCCGAAGCGAGATAGATTGTGGGGACCATGGGAAAAGGGACTGAATCACGCGCTGGAGGGCTAGTCCAGAAGTAGAACGAATCGCGGAGCACCACAAAACCCCCCCCCCATTGCACTCCCACGCTCGAGTTCATCGCAATGTAAGACTAACGCCAATGGTCCCCGGGAGACAGCGTAGTTGCTTGCCCGGGCTATATAAGTATCCTAATGTTGGGGAGACTACTTGGAATGACTAATCCGTTAACTCCGTGGATGTGGCGGCTGTACCCCTAAGGCATGGGCGCTCATTGCCTACATTTCTTCTAAATGAGACTTCCGACCTGCATATACGTGGTTTGATAGACCTCTGAATGTTGACGAGGTTGCTTATTTCACCGCCTCAATGCAATCACCGAGACTTTAGCCGACACCCAACTCATCAAGCTTCCAGGGTTCACTCCCCGGCCATGTCGCCTAGCTCTCACGTAACGGCGTGCGCGACTTGCGGCGCTATTCAGGCCGGATCGAGGAGAGAAGATGCATGGCTGCCATACTTGTGGTAAGTATGCTAGACTGAGGCACATGTGATTTTGGCTACCACGCCATTTACTTGGTGACGAAGCTCGAATCTTATGATAAGCCCCTGTGGAGCAAAATAAAGTGGGAAATAAATTCTCTGACTCATTTGTTGAAAGATTGCGATGATTGAAACATGATAAGAATCAATAGAACACCGCCCTCACGGTATTAGGCAAGGCGCAGGATTTGAAGTTCGGAGCAGCAAAGCCATCGAGTAACTTCGCAGGGGAACTGAGGTCGGTCACATTGAATGCGAAGGAAATTAAATGCAACCCAGACGCTAGTTTAGGAAAAAGCCAATCTCTTCATTCTCCGCAATAAGTCGGCTGATTAATTCCATCACGCTGAACACGCGATATCACCCAAAATATGATCACACCACCGACAGTGAGTGGGCCTTTCTCCTAACGACCTCTCATAAATCATGGAATGTTAGCTTAAAGAAAGAAAGCGATGACTTGGCGGTTTGGGGCAGGGGACAGGTTCTCACTGCTGAGAAATACGGAATGTACCAGCGACAGGCTGAATTACTACTATCTAGTAGACACCGGGAATGAGGGCGGCTCTGACCGCCGTGTTTGGTAAACGTTCTTTTAATGAATAGTTGAAACACAATTAGATCTTTCTACAGCTGGCTTTAGCCAAGAGACTATTTGCCGCGATAAGAAGCGATCAGACTTTAGTCATGGATCTGAATTGAACAAGTATTTATGCGCCTTCGACGGTCATATTTAAAAGACTTTTATGGTACCAATATCATCAATTTGCTTTTGCAAACCGGTATACCATCACCAAACACCCTTTGAAGAATGCGAAGACACGATCAACAGCCCCAAGAGATGACGGGCTCAGTCATTACTAGATATGTCTCTGCATCAAAAAGAAGAAGACTCCGAACAAAAACGTCATCATAGAAATGATAAACACACTCACAGCCAGCATCAGGAGGCTTTTGATGCCTTTACACCCTGACTTAGCCTACAGCACTCCAAAAAATGGAAATTTTGCGTGAAATCGTAACATGTCTGGATTGGGTCCTGGGGCCCGGCTCATCAACCGATAAGGCTGATCCGCAATTGAGAACAGACGAATGGCCATTGCCAGAAATAGTTAGCGTCTTGCATCAAATACCACAAAACGTCGTTTGGTCAATTCTAACAATGTATGGTGCCATATAGTAGTTTTAGTTCGGGCAGCATTCCACTTTATTTGATTTTCCAGATTTTAATACACATGTAATCTCGCTTGATTCAAGCCAACCTAACGCGCCGCTTGTGTGTAAGTCTACCTCTGACGTGCAACAAATAATGGCACTCTAGTTGTGGAAATTTCAGTAAGAAATTTTGACAAACAAGCCATTGGCGAATCAAATTTCAAATCATCTAGCATCAAACACTCTTGTCGTTCACACTAACCCTTGTTGCCTCCTGCATTCCCGCATACATTATGCGCTCTTGCGAGCCATTGGGGCTAGATTCCACGTCTGTATGAACGTGGCGAGTTATTGACTTCAGATTGAGACTGTTATTTGCCTCGACTGAAAAACTATTGTAGACTCGACGGCTCGAACTACCGTATGTCTTTGACTTGCCTGTCCCGTCACGCTTGTTGCTCGGAAGACCCAATAACTGTTGTAACCTTGGGAAGCGAAAGATGATCAAGGTGTTGAAAGAGGGAATGCACGCGATAAAAAGGGCGACGGCGACTTCCACGCAGGACCAGTTCATGGCATTGACCATTGACCCTAAGCGTTTTAAAAGGATTCGTCAGTCATGATTCAATCTCCAGGATTCAAAGAGAAGAAACGGTTGACTTTGACCTACAAGTATGATCCACTTCGAAGGTATTCAGATAACTGATTCGGATGATGCTCGTGATGCATACGCTAATTAGGTAAGTTTTATAGAGCCCTTTGGTGCCGAAAGTGGCGCAAAATAGAGACTTACAGAAGACCCAAGCTAAACATCACCACCAAGCCTGCCCGCTTGCCTACCGACATCTTCAATTTGACTAGCTTTGGAATTGGCATAGTGAATAAGGCTAGGTCACTGGCAAGCTTGACCGCAAAGTTGGCGTAGTAGAATGCGTTCATATTGACACAGGTACCTTCCACAAGACCCGTGGCGTCCCAAGCCTTGTGAATAGGCGTGCATTGGAAAAGCACAACCAGAGTCTCCGCGGTGCTTTGTGCCACAATGATTGCGAGAACCCACCAGCAGACAGTGCGGAATTTGTCCCCTGGGAAAATATGAAGATATAGGAGGCAAAAAGACATCTTTATCGTACCGAGGGCGAGAACGTAGGCGAGCATCGAAACAAAATCGAGCTATAACAAGAATCAATCAGTCAGAAATATTCCGATTTGAATTTCTGCGCCTGGGAATCTTCACAGTCATACCTTGAGGAACATAGCTCGATCATCGAAGTTTGACACAGTTCCGATATGTTTACCGAACCCATATTTGGTCACTGAGTGAAATTTAGCATCACGCTGATAGGCTCGCTGCACTGCCGTATTGCGGACTTACTTAGCATTGCAGTGAAGCATAGAACAAAAGTAAATACCTAGAGCATGGATAAGTAGACAATCCGGAAGGGTTATGAAAAGATAGCTTACCCAGCTAGTCATACAAACCAAATCATCTAGATTTATCCCAGTGAGATAGCGAACTCTGACAAATAGTCGGATCAGCAAACCACCGGTTGCGAACACAAGCAAAATAACATTGCAAGCGATAATATCAGGAATCCGGGATTGCGCCAAGTATGCTATGCGCTCAGCCGAAAGATGCCTTGCCAAAATAGATCCCATTATACCCTCCATGGCGCCATACAAGAAAAATGTGGAAGGAAGTTTGGAAAAAGAAAGAAATATACTGATTCAAGAAATCTTTACGTTTACGAGGCTGTCAGGGGAGACATGGCGGAGTCCAAACGGTGAAAATGTCTATATGCAGAAGTTGCGCCGCTCTTTGACTTGCCAGACACTGGATTTGTTTCATCTAGCAGTAAAGGATTACGGAGACATCGGCTTTTGCTGGCTTGGCTAAGCTTCCTGAAACTCACCTTGACCTTAATGGCTGGAGATTACGGTGATCAATAGTGGGCATGGGGTCATAGGCCTTTTTTGGCAGATTTGTCCGACATTTGGCGGGCAGAATTTTAACAATCCCGGAATTACCCATGCAGAAAGACAGTCAAAACCACCAATCACAAGGCTTATATAAGCAATGATACCCACCAGTATGACAGCTTATGCTCAGGGTGCTGGAGCCTAACTAATTAATCATTGTCACAGGGCTTATGATTACAGCCTAGCATACAGTACAGGACCATGTAAAGGCGGTGAATCGAACGGTCAACCTCACAGAAATGGGGGGCATAATCGGAAAAAATTGCTAATCAGACATGCGACCCCACAGCTAATACATATCAGCCAATTACCGCTATGTGAATAGGGATAGCGCGCCCCACGCATGCGGCCCACCTCAGTAGCGGTTAGAAATAAATTATATCAGCACAACAAGCTGAGGGTCAGAGGAGACTCGCATTCGAGAAGGAAAGAAAAAAAAAAAACAACAACAAAAAAGAGAAAAGAGGACGGGCTCACTTCTACTGTAGTCAGACTTGTGGGCAGGAATGAACGAAGCGAATAGCAAAAGATTATATTGCGTGGGTGGAGAGAAGCAGAGCAAGGAAATAAAGACGAAGCACCGATCCCAAGACAAACGGAGAGCAGCAACTAACCTCTCTCTCAAGTTTTCCCTGTTATAATGGGGAACGCTTTCGAACCAGACGATCGAGGCAACCGATTTCGATTAATGCTTAGTATCATGTCCTCCGAGATGCTATATTTGGGCTTCTAATTTACCCAAGGCGAGAGGACTCCACCTTCGGTAACCCGGCAGCTCACTAGGAGAGGATACATGATTATTATGCTTAAGATAATAGATGTAATGGGTCCACACGCACACGTGATTTAGGCTGCGACGCTGTCTACTTGAACACAAAACTCTAACCTTAAAATGGCCTCTTACAAGTACTCAGTGGTCTATGAATTCAAAGTATCAAGTATACAGTACGAGCCTACTCAGTCCAGGACACTATGCATCACACTGACCTCGTCCGCCTGTTGAAGATGAAGATGAAATACGTCGCCACAACAGCCATTATGTAATTGAACAGGGAGGAACCCAATGAAGATCCCCACATTCCGGCTTCTCTGCGAATAGCTAAAACCATATTGTTTGACCTAAGTGGGGTTTTCCTTAGCGAGATCTGAATTCAAAGGGGTATTTCCGGAAGAGATGACCCAAAATATAAAAACAAAGACTGGAGACGGGAAAGACGCAACTCACATATTGATCTACATTGATGTACCTGCAATAATCGCACTGGCCCGTCGCACTGGCATCCACCAGGTACCCTGTCAAATTGGACTGGCCGAAGAACGTGGCGGCGTAGGAGCCGCAGGTTTCCGATGATGGGGCATTAAATGCACTTAGCTCTGAGTCTTTACCAATGATGTCCAGTGCGCGCATGGCGTTGGTACTGATACCTTCGATGAAATAATACAGTGGGGAGATGTTGTAGAATCAGCGCCAACCGCGCAGGGTCAAAGGCGGCGGCGGCGAGAAGACCGTTGAAGGTATTCACTACCAGCCACACAAAGCCGGTGTTGACCTGTGCAGCCTGGGTGGTGGGAATATGGAAGCTGTAAATTGGGCCAGACTGGCCACGAAGAGGGAATAGAGCTCATACATGAAAAATGCATAGCCCGCACGCGTCGAGATGGTGAAATATCCCACCAACTGGTACCATAAAAGCCAGTATATCAGGCCTCCGAATAGCGTGAATGTGAGCTCCACTAGCAAGGCGCTAATTGTGAACACGCTCCAATGATAGACGCGGGACTCGGTCTTGCGAGCTAGGAATTGGTCCGATCTGAAGACTGAGAATAGGCCCGGTTATGACACCCACGAAGATGGAGAACATGCGGCCACGAGAGTCTGTCAGGTCTCTGGATAGTTAGAGGAAGGTCAATCCGTTCATCAGCCCCCATCCAAATGTTAAGCTGAATCCTCCCCAGCACCTAGTTCGAGTCGCGCCAGTAATTGGTGAAGGCGCATTGAGTGATCACTCTGAGCTGCTCGACATAAGAGGCGGCATAAGCTCGATCTGATCCTGCAGAGATTGCAATTACTTTCTTTATTAGCAGGCTTTGAAGATCCTGTTGTGTAGCTACGAACTCGGGGGAGTCTTGCCATATCTGCTCGGGAAGATAAGGATGGGAATGAGGGAATGAACATACTCGAAACCAGTCTTCCTGGGAGTCTGCGCTGACATCCAGCAGATACTCAGCCGGATTCTCTGTATCGTTGCAGCGGCGTATATAGTGAGCGAAGTAATTGAGAATTGTTTTGCATTGAGGGCCAATGGGGCCAAAGTACGCCGTCTCCCCCAGGGATCAAAAGTAAAAATGAGTCAAATTGCTCAATCATCTGGAAAGATGGCTGGTGGATCGTGCACAAAATCGTTTGTCCGACATGCGTGGACAGCTTCCTCGTGAGTTGGACAGTTGAAAGAGCCGAATTGCCATCTAAAACCGAAGTGGCTCATCCAGGAACAGAAGAATATTCGGCTTAGCCGCCAGCTCAACTCCGATACTGAGACGCTTACGCCTCTCCAAATCTAGTCCCGCGCCTGGAACACCGATGATGGCATCAGCATTATCTTCTATTTCTAAAAGCTTGATGACCATATAAACATGCCCCGTTTTATTTTCCAGAGGAACCTCTTCCGAGCGGCGAAGTCGCGCACTCAGCTGGAGTGCTTCTCGTACCGTTGTCGAATCGAGATGTGAATCATTTTGGTGAAAGAAGCCAGCGTGACGACCCATTGATGCCGGGAGTTGAACCCCCATTGAGATAAAGCTCTCCAGACAATAATTTGGTTTCTCTGCGCAAGACCGTCAAGGAGATTGGTCTTACATACATCCAAATTAGTTCTATTCTCCTTATTTTGAAGTCGGCGGGATACCGACGAAAGCAATTTAATCGAATTTGTTCTTCCTCGCTGCCGCTGCATCAAAGGAAACATACCTGGCATTGCCCTCTATAGCAAAGTACTCTTCCCGCATGTCGGCCAGGGCCCTGAGAAAATTTGTACAACCACTGCCAGGTTGCCCAACAACCATGAGCATCTCTCCTTGGCAAATCGAGCCAGTCAACTTGTGGAGCAGGACCAAAGTTGGAACAGATTTGCTGGACCACCAGCTAGCTGGATTAGCAAGTTTCAGGAGTCGATGCCTCGAAGGCACTATTGAGGAGCTAGTGCTGTATGGAATCATGAGTGGTCAGTGATTCAAAACAAGAAAAGTTCAAACACAGAGCGAACAAAATTCAACGCCTGCTCCAATCACGGAAAGGTTCTCAAAAATAATGTCGCCGTGGCTCTGCGACGCGCCAATCTGACGAGCTAGGAAATTGTCCACAAATTGACCAATTTCCTCGGCCTCATCGTTTATTTTATCGATCATGTTTTGATCCTGGGGCTCCGTTAGTACCGTTGGGTTGGCCGTAACTGCTGGGCAGACTCAAATTAGGATAGCTAGTCATGAGGCATTTTCATGTGAGTTGAATTGCTATATGAATCCAAAAATCATTCCCTGTACCCTTCCCTGTCACCCGGAATGAAACAGTGTGGAATGCATTATCCAAAGGAGTAACAATTACTCCCTTTGGTTAGCGCGTGTCGAGCAGTGTCACCCAGTGGAGCAAGTGAAGACCCAAGTGGAGAAATCTCATCTAGCGTCATCTAGCGCTATGCAACATTGAGATTTGTAAGAATTGAATAATTTGGCGATAACCCAGAATACAAAGAGACGGGCTAGGGCCTATATAGACAGGAGGGGTTCTACCTTCCACTCTCATCATTCTAGCATCTGTTCAATTCATACCCCGCCATGTCTGACTCTCCCATTGACCCTGATCAATTCACCCGAGAGGGTTCGATCACCAAGACCTACTACCGAGATGTTTATTCAGCCATTGAGCCATCGAAACCGCGATTCTCCCAGGAAGACAGAGTGACTATTATCACGGGCGCGGGAAAGGGAATTGGCAGGGTGGGTGGCTATCCAGAAAGAGAATCCTCAATTCTGAGTCTAACAGTTTTATGTCATAGGCAATCGCAAGAAGCCACGCCCAATCCGGCGTGAAGGGACTAGTGCTGATCACCTTATCCATGTCATCTGCAGAGGAAACCAAAAAGGTCGTCCAAGCGGAGTTCCCTTCTGTTGAGATCCTTACGCTTCCCACTGATATAGTCGATGAAAAAGCGGTGGCCCGCACCTTCGACGTCATCAAAGATAAGTTTGGGACTGCCCACACCCTAGTAAACAACGCTGGAGTCTTCGCACCTGGTGCCCCCATTGTGGAGTCCGATTCCGTCACCTGGTGGAATGACTTTGAGATCAACGTGCGTGGTACATACCATGTCACGGCAGCATTTTTGCGTTTGACCACTCAGACGCCACAGGTCAAGCCCACAGTAGTAAACTTGATCAGCTCAATCGCGTTGACACCGCCGACACTAAGCAGTTACTTCATTAGCAAACTGGGTGTGGCCAAGTTTACTGAGTTTGTCACCGCCGAGAACCCTCATGTCACAGCCTATAGTCTATCGCCGGGCATTGTCCTTACGAGCATGACGTTGGAATCGTTTAAGCCATTCGCGAGAGATAGTGGTATGTCATAATATGCCTTGATTTCTTGGTGGTTTGTCATCGTTAACCTTTACTTGTCGTATAGCCGAATTGACCGGAGCCGTGACGGTATACCTGGCGACTAAGCGTCCAACCTATCTCAATGGCCGTCACCTATCCGTTAACTGGGATTTGGAAGAGCTGGAGACTCGACAATCTGAGTTTGCTTCTTCGGATAAGTTGCAGATTGGACAATTTGTCTGAAAAAAGCTCCAAACCAGTGGAGACCATGGAGGTGACGGGAACTGAATGCGCAATGAAATATTTATATGTACAGAATCATAGGAATGGAACAAAGAGAAAGAGAAACAACAAAGTATGTTAGCCAAAGAAATTCTGCCGTTACAGAGAGAAATGATTCATCCCCTGAGGAATCTCAGGAATATCTATTAGCATATCATTGATTTCATGACAGTAGCCCGACCAAGCCTTGGGATCTACCGTGTCAGCCCAGGACCATAGAGCATCTGGTTCGGAATCAGGCAAAGAAGGACCAGATGGTTGTTCCAGGTCCACTCGATTCCAATTCTCCGCAATTTGCTCATCAACTGCCGATTGGACACACACATGGGATGAAGAAGCCTGCGCATTGAGGACTTCCATGAGTGCATCGACGCGACCTAAGAGATAACGAGTCAGGGTAACAGCCCGAGATGCAATGGGATTTGACGTCTTTGCTGTTTCAAAAACCCGAAAGGATAACTCGACATGTTGTCGGGCGACGGGGAACCAGTAGCACAAAGGATAGGCTAATAGAAAGCCTACTAGAGTCACGACTGCATTCCAGACGTATTGATAGACATCAGAGCATCCATAAAGAGCATCGTGATTTAGCATGCGCCGGTGCACGATCTCTGTAGCCTTCAAAGCGTGTTGAAGAGCTGTTGTCGCATGGATGTCAGCTCTTGGGCTGCGTTGAGGAACCAGGTCACAACTCGGAAACTGTATAAATGGGCGGTGAAACCAAATAACAAGGTCATGAAATTGGAGTTCGAGAAGAGTGTGTTGCAAGATGCGAGTGGGGGATTGTTGATACATCCATGCATCGTCATCACGTTTCGAATCTTTCCCGGCTGCGTGAATCTGAGATTGATTGGCGCTACCGACAAGCACTAGGTTTTTGAATGGCTCCATTTTCTTTATATGGTCTTTCCATTCATACAAGCGACAAATTTCGTGAGTGAGATGCTCAGCAGACAGTTCGATACGTCTGATGAAATCGTTCGTGTTGAGTGTCTCGTGGCGGGCCGCCAAGGACTCGGTAACATTTTTACCAACCATTGTTAGGTTGATAGTCGCTGAGTGAAAGGCCAGCTCCGATATGGCTGGGTCAGTGGATGGATTACAACTTGGCATAGCAATTTTAGTGTCTCTAATTGTGACAACCATGGGTTTGCCCAGGTATCTCGAGCAGCGAAAATCGAGGTGAACCAACATCCACCACACGCGACCATATATATCGGCCTCTTCCGCATTAATGTGAGATGCTGGTGGGTTTTGCAAGTCAAGTGACTGCGCAAGTCGAATGGCCGCCCCCGTGATGTTGTAGGCGGCCAGAGCCTCTCCACAATTCAACAAAAACAGGGCCATCAGAATGTGGCGTTTTATGTCCGACACAGATGGTTTCGCATAAAGGAGATAGTGACTGTTTATCGCCAAGGCTTTCTGGAAGTAAAAAGCGAACAAAATCACGAGGGGGCTCTGCTGTTTGTTGGAAAAAGATTCTTGGGCCTCAATTGCTTCTGTCCTGGCGCCTAGTAGACGGTGATGAAGTCCGCAATGATAGACTGCTTGCAAACAGTACGCCATCAGAGCATTCCGTAAAGGCTCGCACTTTGGTTCTGGCTCAAGATCTGCTTGCGTCACAATTGGTACCAAGCACTGGTAGCGTGTCCAGAATATATCTAGAATTCTTTCTTGGAGGTTTCGCAAGTCAGCCGGACTCGGCTGCGTCAGAATCTGCTCTGCATCTTGAATTAATTCTGGAGTCGAATATGAGGTCTCCGGAGACAATGGTTCACTAGACTCTGGAGATGATTGTGCTGACATCTGCGATACTACGGAACAAAATGTATGGATCCGCGAAATAAACCCAGTGAAGCAATCCGGTTGGCGGACGACTTCATGAGTCGGGACCCTTGGCAAGTCAATGGGGCCTAACGAGTTTACTAACTGGGGAGACTGAGCGCAGGAGGCGACAGATGGGCGGATATTCTGGGCTCTAACGCGGCGAGGTGGCGATAAAACAGTAGGTTTCACGCACTTGGTTTTGTTTGACACACACTGTGAGCATGGTAACATGCCATCGCAGCGAACACGATGCTCGCGACAGAAATCGCATGCTCGTCGCACTCTCCTTCTCTTCGTCAACAGAGCTGATCGCGGAGGTTTAAAATTGTAGAACATGACGAAGGAGTAACTTGGCCTAAGTTCGGCCGTCAGTGGAGGTTTCGCATTACCGGAAGGAATTGTAGTGAGGGGTCAAATGTTGATGCCATTGCTGATCGTGGATACCAAGGTGGGTTTGGAGGAGTGGCTTTTTTTGATTCCCGTCCAATCGTTAACAGAGGAACCACAACCAATAGGAAAGAAAGAAGCTGCAGCTCCACACTTTGCAATTCTTTATCACTATTGTTGTAAGCTCTATTGCACGTTCTTGGAATATGCTTTGACGCATTTCAATAAGGAGAAGCTCAAAGAATAAAACCTACGATAGAGCAGTATACGTTGATTTGATCCATACCACTATGCTTTATTTGCAAATCGATCGCAACTTAGAGGAGAATATAACTAGCCAATGCTCACTAGTGCTTGTTAGTTATTGGGATTTCGAAATACAGAAACACCGCCTGCGCTTTATTCAGCCCTCTTCAGGGTAATCCGGGCACATGTTCACCCACTTGAATATTCTTCACCTGAACATCCAGGCCGTGCAGGAAAAGGCGCCGTTGCAAATTCCAAGGGGATTTACCATAGCATAGGTGAATTAGCTTGAGGCGGCAGGGCTCAAGGCAGGACGCCAAGAACGGTTGTGTTACTGTGACACAAGAGCCAACCTTGATACTAATTTGTTGCACAGGCCCGTCTGCCTAGCGCCTCTGTCCTTGGACAATAAAATGGTTAATATCAGAACTGCCGGATACACGATGCTTTCCTTGCCTCCTGCTCTGCTTCTTTTTTTTGCTCCGCTCATCCATCAGAATCCTTTGGCCAATGATGATATGACTTCTGATAAACTCAACATAGGTCGCCACATCAGGGTTGAAATCCACGGTCCTTCAATCCTCACCTACTCGGACCCTACAGATCCCCTTACTCATTTCACATTCGCCCTTATCAACAGCGCCACTCCTGTTACTCTCGCTCGACAACATACACCACTGACGATATCTGGGTTCGTAGACTCCTTACCAACGGTTGATGCATATTACAAAGGGCCCCTGGGTACAACGCCCAAACAGATATAGGTCGATTGGTCACATTGCGCAATGCCTGGCATGGCTCCAGATGGGACGTGACTTATACTAGTGTGGGGGGTGGGGGATTGTCCAATTTTCTTTCGAGCGTCCCTCGGCAAAACATCTCTCTATTATGTGAAGCATCGTGTCCTTGCATCGGCAGAGACTGATTGAGCTTGAAAGCACATGTTCGTGACCTTCAGACTCAGATCCAATTATTGGTAAATGACACTTTCACATAACATCGAGCTTCGGTCTGAGCCAGGAAAGCAGCGTAGGTGAGACAAATTACTTCCTTGAATTATTAACTATTGAAACAAGGGCGTTACGGCCCCAGAATTGAACGGGATCCAAGCACCACGCCGCCAAGGAAAATGCGAAGTTGGGCCCCCACTTTCTAGTCCAACATGTCATTATGGCAGCCTTGACATATGCTTCTCATCGTCATTCATCACTGAATATCATCGCCTGGCCACTGTATCATATATAATGGACACGCTAGACCACGAACACAGAGACGCGTTCCAGTCCTCTACATTGGGAGAAACACTGAATTTGTGAGGCTGACTTCTCTGAGGTCACTTCGGAATACTGACTGACTCCACTAGCCTCCTTGTCGTGTTGATTCTTCTATCCTATGCCCCTCAGGCTTGGCGCATCAAAAGTCGCCGCAACATAGATGGCATATCTCCTATATTTGTTTTCATTGGCTCGGTTTACTCCTCAAGCTGTCTCGCCAACATCCTAGTGCTTCCCTCATCATGGCGGATGCAACAGTCTTGTCGAGAACGCAAAGTAACTGGTAAATGTCTCATGGAAATGATGGATATCTGGTCATTTGCAGCTGACTATACCGGCTCGCACGCCATGTAAGACCCCCTCTCTAAGCGCCATAACAAGTACTAAAAGGAGCTTTACAGACTCATACTCTACTGGTACTATTACTCAGACCGATCTGTCGATCCAGAACAGCAACAGGAGGAAGAACAGGAGCAGGAACGGGAGGAAAACGACAATGGCCAACAGAATCAATCACAGCACCAGGATCAGTCACAGGAACATGGACAACGCTATCGGCGTCTAATGTCTCCCTCTTGGCGGCTGAAAATAGTCCTTGGAGTTTGTCTCGACGTCGTACCGCTTATTCCCTCGATATTTTTTGCCATCAATCCACGAATCCTGTCCCCAGGTTACTACATCTTGATTCAATGCTGGTCCTTCGGAACCGTAGGACTCTCAACGGTTCTCACTCTCGTTTACAGCCTGCCGCAGCTGTACTACACCTGGAAGCTGGGAAGCGTGGGAAGCCTTAGTTTTCTTACGATGGCAATTCGAATTCCAACTTACTTCTTAGTGGCGGCGTCACTAGCGGTACGGTATGGAATATTAGACGAAATCACGCAACCGGTCGGCTGGTTTGCTGGATGGAATCCATGCATCAACCTAATCATCAAAGGATGCCAGGATGGCATTATTTTGGCTTTATGCTTTTACGTACGTAAAACTTCCGCTACTCACGAAACCAATCCTGTCTTGAGCGAGGATACGCCACTATTATCTAACATACCGGATGATGATACGACGTGATTTGAGAACTACCAATTTTCTTACTCGTGGCTTGCGGTATCAGCTCGTTGGCTCCGATTCTATTTATTTTACATCGGTTGAAAAGCTTTACTCAAATTCCATGGAAAGGGGCTTGAGCTTTTTGAAGAGCCGAACTGCCCATTTTAGATCTCCATACAAGTACTGGCAGAGCGATTGCAGTTGACTAGCTGGAGCTATATCTGACACCTGTTTTGTAATACTTTACTGAAGCTCGTTCCGAATTTTCAGTCTCTCATAAGAGTCCGATCTGAAGGAATAGAACCCGAAGAAGAAAGCAAATCTAATCTTATTGTCTTGGATCACTCGTGCGCGGTAACAATATTAATTCAGTAGCAGACTCCGTCAACCCTTCGGATATTGGGAGGTTGAGTGGATGGCGTCATGAATGGTGGTCGATCGAAACGTGGTGGTGGATTAGCACAACAGATCTACTCCAAACACACTGCCGACCTCACAAACATCTAACGTGCCTTTGCACGCTTGCTACTATCATCATGGCTCCTACTACCTGGTTTTCAGAGCGAATCGTCGCGCCCGGCGTAAAGGTTTCTCTTGGTGAGGAAGAATGGACAATCCTTGACAAGGTCAATGAGCATGACTTCCAAACAAATAAGGAAGACCTGCTTGATGGCGAAACCATCTCATACGGCTGAGAGAAACTTACCTGCCGGTCCCCAAAGCTTAAAACTCGCGCTTTCATAAGGATCTATAGTATATATCTCCAACATATACTCTCTATGGCTATTTGATTGTGTATATACACGTACCAAGGCCCACCTGGACCTAAGGACCGCTAACTATTAGCCACTCTTATATTCTCCGCTATTGACATATAACCGCTTAGTAAGTATATGGACCGCAAAGGCTTAGCAGGAACCTAAATTACCCTCCTACGTAAATCACTCCTGTCTTCTAGTTTCAATAGCCAACTAAGCATAATGCTTTAATCGATCCTCTTAATTACCCTAGTACACTTTTTAGTATAATGTGTGAATTTACGCCACGTAGCCCTTCGCCGATACGAAAGTAAATAGAGTCTAAAAATAAGACATCTCGCTTTCCATCCGTTAAGATTCTCACTATGTCCTTTTGGAAAAAACGTGGCCGAAAGTGTGATTAAATAACGCACCTATAAGGAAGTAGTTATTATAGGAGGGGAAGCCACGTTAGTGCCTCGGGGCTATATAGGATACTTAGGTGTAAAATAGTGGTATTTAGGGCATTTAGGTTTATAGGTTAAATATAAGGGCGGTAAGGGAACTTTCCTCGATGAATTTAAAAGATTAAAAAACAAAAACATATAATAGTTAGGGTCTATATATAGTTACCCACTATACTACTAACTAACTAGCGTAAGAGTTAGAGGTATAGATTAGAATTATATATATTATTAGGTATAAGCGTAGGCTTATGAAATACTATCTATATATTCTATTTTTCCCGCCTAAACTTTCTATAGCCCTTTTAGAACATAATCGAATAAGACTCTAACTAACTTAGACTCCTTATCTTAGTAGCATTCTAGTATTAACGTTAATTATATTACGTATATTTTTTTAGATTCTTTGTTTTTTTTTTTTTTTTTTTTTTTTTTTTTTTTTTTGCCTCGTTGGAAAAGGTAATCTTATCACCTTACCATCTTAGTCTTTTTAGGCCCCCTTAACTAGATAGTAACCCTTAGACTAGCAGCTCCTCTAAAGGATCTAGATAAACTAGATTTAGCGACTCTTCAGCTAATAAAAATCCATAAATTACATTATATATTATGCTTATTAACGGAGTTAATTATTCCGTAACGGTAAATGCTATATTTAATCAAGTATTTAAATCAAAGTTTACCTTTTAGATCTCCTATTTCTACTCATCTAAGGCGATGGTCTGGTCACCCCACGGTACCATATTCTTTAGCAACGAGTCTAACCAGCCTCCCTCCCATCCGGGAACCCTCACAAAATCATGATCTAGATGACAGACGTTCTATTTCAATTGACCCTTCTTGAGATCTGTTAGATAGTCATCATCCAGAAACACATTTACGTAGTGCTTGCAGATCCACATCTCGCTCGGAGGATTCCAACACTAACCGCAGCCGCTGGTGCATAGTAAAACCTGTCCAAATTGAGTTTCACGCGTCTCCATGGCTAGGGCAGTCAATGCGTTTTTGTCATTACCGAGAGATGTAAAAACCGAGTGAGCTTTTTTAAACGCGTACTTATCGTTCCATTCTTCTTCATCAGATAGAAGCTCGATGACTACCTGAAGGGAACTTTGCACCGTCTATCGAGCCTTTGCATCATCACCATATAGATGGTAATATCGAGCCAGCCAGAGATGGAGTGGGAAATCAAGCTGAGACGCAGCCACCCTTTCCGGCAACTTTTTTGAAAGTCTGGAAAGATAGTTTGCCACGGTGTTTGACTCCGAGTTTGCCTTGGCGACAAGGGCTCTTTGTAGATAGAGAAGGGCCAACTTGGCAATTAATTCGTTCAACATGTAAAACCGATTATCCGAGTCAGATGTTGCGAGATAGTTCGAAAAGGAAGTCTCTAACAGCTCGATCACTTTTCTCTTCACGTCTATTGTGTTCATAATAAAGACCTTCTCCATACAAATATCTCACCTAGCACAAGGCTTCCTGGTTGTCTATCTTCTCACCCTTTCGGATTGCAGGCTCGTATAGTGTATCAAAAACACTAAATTGCTTTGTTATGATGGCAGCATCGCGAACCTTCGAATGAAGCATTTCAAGTTTAGAAAAGCGCTCGATTTCCATCACCAGGTCGGCAAAATATTTTCTACTCTCGATCGCTGAGGTCTCCTCGATAAGAGAAATAAGCGCAGCCTCTTGAATCTTTTCTAGGTAGCTTTTGAAGAGTAGGTAAACTCCGCTCCTGCGTTGTGGGGCTTGTTTTAAGGACGCAGCATAAATTGGGATGGCAAGATCGAACTGCTCATTTCCCCAACATTTCTCTGCCAACTCATATTTTAAATCACCAAGAACTTTCACGTGGGATGGATCCTTCATCCAACCCATATCCTTGCTTTGATGACTGAGTACTGTTTGCAATATCTCAATCGCTTCCTTTAGTGGAGCAAGTTTTGCAACGCAAACGGATGCTCTCTAAATGTTAGGATCCATATTCAAAGCTAGCTTAGAGCGTTCGATGGCATCTTTCGTGCACTTCTGCTGCGTATAAACAATGGCCATCTGTGTGTGCCATAACGTGTCTTTTTCTGGAAGCTGGAGTGCCTCGTAAGCCCACTGCTCAAACCTGCCAATGCACACAGTCTCATCTTCATCCTTGTCGGGTCCACTCGAGATCTATTGTTCATTATTAGTCATTTATTAAGAAACCGATAAACCATATTGGAAGGCTAATCATGTGTAGAAATTCTTGAAAATACCAATAGATTCGTCGGATATCCAACTCTGAACTTGGTTCTCCCGAACAAAGATGAGCCAGTCTGATCGCCGCTGGCTTGAACAGGACGTTGGCTGTGTGATCTGAAACGACGCTCTGAATCCAACATCGGTCAGACTCGTCAGTGACTCTTGATACCACCGCTGTATCTCGAAGCCATCTAGTCAATTCGTCGATCATTTCCTTTTCTCTGAGCCAAAAGATTTTGCTGGCATGACTTCCAGCCTTCGGCATCATAAGAGGGTCGAGGCTTTCATTTCTCGTGAACCAATACTCCCCAACTTGGCTCTTTTGGTCCCGATCAACCATAGCTAAATCCACTGAGGACAAATGCCATATGAAATTGTCTATGGCGTATAGCTGAAGTGGCATTAGACTCTCGTTGTAACCATAGGAGAAAGAACGTATACAATCAAATGCCATTTGCAGATGCCCTATATCCTCGTCCTCTTGTTGGATCTGATCTTGCTTTTGGGTCGACTTCTTCTGCAGATATTCGCGTAATCCGAGTTTTTGATACAGCGCAGGCGGGCACACGTTGTCAAGAAAGTGCAGAACTATATCGACCGTATTAGGAGCGATACGCCTCGTATTGGATGGCGGTGGACTATATTCGTAAATCGATTAATAAATGATCTTTTCAATCCAGGTACTCTGGACTTGAATTGATATCACCATCTAGTTTCGTGCTAATAGAGAATATTAGTTTTCTTCTTTTCTTTATTTGCGAAAGTAGATTTTCCATTCCTAATAGTTCAGTCTGGCGACATAGTAGTTTGACTAATTTCTACTCTGATCATCCTCCAGCACATAGTGGTTAACATTATACACACAGCTAGAAGCTACGCCTTATACCCAGCATAGCTAAACGACACTAACGTTAAGCTCCCCATATCGGACATAACCAGAACCCCCTCCGCCGCTTCATTCGGATAAATGAGCGCAGATAGCGCAGCCACACCGTCATCCACGAACACCTCCACCGAGTTCGAATCCACATATATTTCCAGCTTGACCGTGCTGCCTCCTGAAGGATTCGGCGCCGTAGGTACAGCGTCGTATGCATTCTTCGCATCCGATGGCATGGAATCTGTCGCGGAACCGTCGGAATCTCTCACCAAAAACGCTTGGGACTGGTTAAAGCTATAACCAATGGTTGTGCTAAAAGCACCGTCGGACTTGATGCGAAAGCGGACTTTGTTGCCATCGTCACTGTCTGCCTTAGAGACCGTTGCGCGGATGACGTATGCCTCGTCGGTTAAGCCGCTGGGCAGAGATGCAGATTTCGGATCCGTTGTAATAGTCTTATTACTCACAGATTTGGCAGAGCCAAAAATTCCTTCATACCCTGCTATTGGACTGCTTACCAGGATAGGAGAATTAATGATGGTCTTGAGCTTAAACTTGCGGACCATACTGAGCTGACCAGCAAAGTCCCCGTAATAAGGTAGCGAATTTGCGTACTCCCAGTTATTCATCCAGGCAATTGCATAGCGACTGCCGTATGTATCTTCTGGGTTATCCCAGCTGACTGTGGCGTAGAAGTCAGGCCCATTATCCATCAATTGCGGATTCGCGTCTGTGGCTGTGAAGCCATTGCCGTCCCATTTCCCGACCCAATACACGGTACTTCCTTTCGCGCCTGCGGCCAGGATTCAGGTGCGCTCCGTAGAATTCCCGTCTAGGTCGATCTGATATAGGTCTGGGCACTCGAGGGGGGTTCAGATTGGCACCCGTGTTTGGAGTGAACGAGGATGTCTGCTTCCAGGTCTTGAGGTCTGGAGACGTATAGAATGCAATATGATCACCCTCCGAGAGTGCCATAGCCCAATTGCTTGCTCCGCCATCCCAAAAGATCTTGGGGTCTCGAAATGCGGGTTTTGCGTCCGGGTCTGGGCTTGGCAGTACTGGATTGCCGTTGTAAGGGGTGAAGCTGTAGCCATTGTCGGTTGAATAATAGAGAGCCTGTTGTTGCACCCCATTCTCCATCTGCGTGACAATGGCCACTACGGCATTTTTACCAAAACCAGCTGTGTTGTTTTCATCCACTACGGCGCCGCCAGTTTCGATGTCACCCAGGTTCACGCCGTTGGGAGGATTGGGTTTGTATTTCTCGATCGCTACACCCTGGCGAGTCCAGTTTACCATGTCGGTGCTCGTGACATGATACCATTCTGTCCCGCCTGAACCGGGGTCTGAACTGACAAAGTCGGAATTGTAAAGGTAATATAAATGCCACTCATCCCCGAGGAAGAACGGACGTTGGGGGTCATTCATCCATTTCGTTTCGGGGGTGATGTGATAGCTAGGCCGGGCTTGGCAGGCAGCAAGTGGGACTGTACTGGCAAACAAGGCGAGTGATAGCAATGAAAAGCCATGGAACGCCAGCATCGTTGCGAAAGGTGCAACGAAGTACAGCAGCGTGGTAATGAAAGATGAATCTCAAGTACAAACGATCGTGAACGAAGGTTGAGAAGATTCAGGAGTGATGAGAAAATAAGAGGGTATAAATACTCCTGCTCCCAAACGGCGCGGGGAAACGCAGCCAAACAATATTGTCATCTTTTTGGCAAGACGTCTGAGCATGCCCATGTACCGAATGCACGGGATAGCTGAAACTGCACATAATTGTGCGCGAAAAAAAGGCTTTTCTCATTATAGCTTCGGGATGTGATCTCGGCGGGCGTGTGGGTGGGTGGGTCCAGGGCGTGGTGGGTGTAGCATGCTCCTTCTCATCTCCCTGGGTGCTTTTGGCGATGTCATCCGTTTCACTAGCCCTTTGTGCTAGCCGATGACCTTATCCCGCCACCGCCAACCTTATTCGGTCGTCCGGTCTAGAGAAGCCTTGGAAGTATGCCTGGCTTATTTTTCCCCTTCTTCAGGTTGAGTTTAACTAATTTACATTCTCGTTTCATCTAATCAAAGGTCATTATAGGTCTCTGAATATGGCGTAGGAGGAATTCTATAAATCTCTGAATATTAAACATCAAGTTTGGATGGAAGTGAACTAACCACTATATGGAAAACATTCTCTCCAGCTTTAATTTACATGACAGAATTGATATGTTGCATTGCAACTCCCTTCCACTTAAGCTTAAAGCAAATATTCACCTCCTTTTCCCTCAAATTTATTCAAATGTATCATGGAAGTAGTGGCCTTTCCTTTGCATCACCACACTATTGTGGTGCGTCGGGCGTATTGCTGCTTGTGGCTAAAAGTTGCAGCACATCCTAAACCCATCACCTGCCGATCAGAATCCTGCAATGTTGGGCGAAAATGCCGCGAACACCGATGGATTCTGCTCAGCGATCTTCGGGTACCGTCCTCTGTCCGTTCCAACGCCTATATTGTACCCCGTTTGAGAGGTTTTCGGGGGAAATTCGGAAACCCCGTTTCCAAGGATGAAAAGCCAATGGTCTCATTAAAGTTTAATTGAGGCTGCTTACCTCCGCATGCCAGAAATTCGGATGAATATCGGTGTAACTACAACCAATCAGAGATATAGGAAACCCCCGCATTTCGTGTTAGCCCTTCAGACTAACTCCTCAGTCGGGCTGTACCCCATAGTCCACCAAAAGTCCAATTTGAAAAGCAGTAATGTGGAGGGCTTACAGTATAGAGGCGGGCGATAACATGCTAGGATATAGATCCTTGTGGTTATTCTAGTTTTGCCTACTTTCGACCTGCCATGGCCTCAGAGAAATACGAACGCGCGGTATTTTGGCCTGCTTACTTTTTTCCTCTATCCTTATTTGTCTCCTCGAACGTGAGATTGCCCTTGCGACTCTTGTAGAGAAAATACTCTCAGGCAATCTTATAGAACTAGTGTGTTGAACAGTATACTCCTCCATTTTGACCTAAGCCCGAATCCAACATGGGGACTTGCGAGAAGCCACGCGATTTCATGCTTCGGACAGCAGAGGTCCGGAGACGTATCGTCCTTTCGTTAGCTTTGAAGGTGGCCGGAATTTCAATAGTGGCTCCTTGGCAGGCATCAGACCCCTGTTAGGGCGCCGATTTTACTCTCGGTTTGGAGAACTTCCGCTATCCGTGATAACTTTAGACTTTCAGAGACCGGGGTAGCCACTCCTACCTACTACTCTAGGTGAGCAGTAGCGAAACTTAAAGAATCAGTGGCAGTTATAGGCTACTATGTGCGACACTCTCTTGACGTTGAGGGAGTACCAGGCCGTGAAGAAAGCTGTCTGATAAATGGGACCCTTCTGTACCCTGTGCAGGGGTAGTCCACACGGGATCATTGGATACGTGACTGATAGAGCTCAGTGTCAGGTTCCGGACTCCATCTACCCGGCTCGGTCTGACTATTTTATAATAAAGACTTTAATTCTCTGTGCTCTAAGAATCGCTTCTTTACAAATAACCCGGTATTCCAGCAGTATGATAGTAGCATCACTCTATATGTACCGCACTGGCCGAAGGTTTCAGTGGCAGGTTATCTCGATTGCTAGGCAAAGGACGCTCCTAAAAAGAGGTCGGGCGGCTTCTAAAGTCTACGAATGCCCATTTGTCAGACGAGTTGTCGATCAAAGTACGTAGCAAGGCCAAAAAGCCCAGGAGAGAGTACTAACCCAGAGAATGAACTACCTGTATACCCTGTCGCATCATCCATTGAGCTCTAAGCTTGTCCAGCGAAGTCTTGAAGTCGTCTAAGATAATAGTGTCACAGAGGCACTTGAACATAAAGCACAGCTAGAAAATACTCTTTCGTTAGTTAGTGTGCTTGTAGAGTTGTCTAAACGTTGCCTGTCGGCGAGCTTACCTTGCAGAACGGGCTGATGCCCAGGGGCATGGCAGCCGAAAGAATTCCAGTCACGCTGAGGATGTCGGCAACAATAAAGAAAATCGAGAGGCACATTGATCCCAGCATTAGACCGAAACGGGGACATTCGCGCACCAGCCCGATTATTCCAAAGTTATAGTGCTTTTTGATCACCCAAAAGAGATTACAGGTCGTGTAAATCCACCAGGGATCGCTAGATGCAGCACTTGTTAGTCGACGGTAGAGGCCAACACAGCCACGGGTAGAGGACGCTCTACCGAAACATTGCCTCCCAAGGCCTAATCCTTTCATAGACAGTGAGATTAATATTGTTGAAGTAGGCGAAGTTGGCGTATATCTCGGTCGCCCAGTATGGCTGCGCCAGGATGATAGTACCGATATAGAAAAGTGACAGCTTGCGGCTCATAAAGGGTCTGTTTTTCATCCATGAAATCACATTATGCAAAGACCAGGAGAAAATCAATCCTATCGCGGTGGAGGCTAGATACCATCCGTATACTGGATCTGGGGCGAAGATAAACGTTCCATGGGGTGTCGCCAGAATCAACTATCGGATCTCAGTGATTTTAGCAGCGGGTTATGCAGTGTACTGCCAATTGCCCAGGGGAATGGTATAATATCTCCAAAAGAATCAATTTATGCAGTAGGACGCCAGGTCGCATATTTGCAATTGTGACAGCGGCCATGATTACAAGGGAGCCCGCCATCAGCCCCTGAGACCATGCCTCTAGAACCAGGGCGGCGGGATCATCAACAGGGCGTTGGGTAGTTCTCTTTACATGGTTGGGATGGACGTTAGGGAAAGCGTTGATGTTGATACTCGAATGTGAGATCATGCTGGACGCTCGTGGTCACATTCTCACTGGTTGACAACGCTTGTGGAGGGAGAGAATAACAAGAAAATTTCGGACCGCTGGGCGTCGTACTTATTCATTGTTTTCCTGTAATTTTAAATTCTAATAGAGTTTGGAAAGAGTCAATTCCTCGAGGTCAGTGCCTTCCCCACAAACCCCGAGTCATGCGTTCCTGGCGGGTTACCCATAGGGGGTTCCCCAACAAGCAATATGGCAAGGCCTAGGCACCAATACCGGTAGCTCCCGGAGAAATTTCGGTACTTTGCCCAACTTCCTCTCGCGGAGCAGGGCGAAGTAGGGCAGGGGTTTTATGCTTCGATGCTCAACAACACGGAGACGCCGTACGAAATAGACTAGACCCCCACAAATCTCCCATTAGCCACTGTCCTCTATGGATATGATCAGATAGCAGGCTGAAAAGCATGTGTGGAGGAGTATGACTGCGTGGGAAGGTGTGCAAAGTACAGAATGCCAACTCTTGGTTGTACGCGGACGTGGGGAAAGCCTTCTCCGCGATCGGTTTAGGATGATCTCGGACCGACCTCGGCAAGGCACTCGGTGCACGAATGATCATAGGAAATTGGTGGGCTTTGGGTTGAGAAACTTTCGGAGTTAACCGGTCTTGTCGCTTATTTCGCTTGAGTCGAGCGCAAGAACGAGACACGAGCCATGCAACCATCGCCGGGGTACCCATGGCAATGGTTGGCCACTTACTCTCCACTACAAGACTAAGTTTACTGGTTGCTGTTGAGGGATTGGGCGCCTCCGAAAGCTAAATGACAAGGGCGTCAGAGTTTCCATGGAGTATCATGAGCAATGCCTTCATCAAGGTGCTTGTCGGGGGAACATTGGAGAATTTTATTTAGCTCGAGGTCCATACTCTCTGGTGGGCCCCAGATGCTACCGTCTAATGTTATTTATAAAATCTAAGCCTTTCAGTGGTCGAAATATTCTTCTGGGCTGAATAATTAAGTGCAGCGGGGTAACGACGCACTTACCAACGAGAGTGTCTTTACTAGAGTAGTGTCCTGGTGACTAAAGCGACTTCATTTTTACCGAGAGATATACTCTACTGTAAGGAACACAAATACGATCTCAATATTAAACTATGTTATCTCACCGAAAGACCACGGGTAGGCCACGGTGACTGTGCTTCCAGAGGACTATCTACGGATTCATGGATCGACAGCGCACTGAAAACCGGGCCTCCTCCGTCAATTTTGATATGACAAATATTGATCCTCGATTGATGAGACCCTGTCCTATTAATGTCGTGAAGTAATCAACCTGCCCGCCGAGGACTGACACTTGACTGACACTTCCTTTTCTAGATTTCCATGGACGAGCACCGATACAAACTTGGCGGGAAATTCTGCACGGTGAGTGACGAGGGGAACAGGATAGGACGGGCGAGGAATCTTTCGAAAGAAGCAAATACATTTCTCATGAGGTGCGAGTACGTAAGATATATACAGATATAAACTATATTTCAGAAAGCTTCCAAAAGCAGATGGGCCATGAATTGGTCCAAATGCTTTCATTATATTCAATTTGAGTAGCTTTCTCGCCCTTCGTACCATAAATGACAGTCAGGTACGTGGAGAACATCTCAGGCATTGAGGGTGTCGATCCGCTCTGGCTGTCGCCGGCGGAACCGCTTGGCCAGATTGCTCATGTTCAGCGCAACGAGCTTGCTCGTCGGCATCATGAACAGCTCGTCGATTTCCTCCAGCGTTTTGTCTTTGGTCTCGGGCATGAAGAACAGCTGGTAAAAGAAGCCCAACGCGGCCAAGCCGCCGAAGAACCCGATCGTCAGACCGGTGTAGGTCATCGCCTTCTGCATCCCCTCGAAGTTGTATGTTACGATGAATGACCATAGATAAAGGAATGTAGAGCAGATCGCCATGCCCTGGCTGCGAGTGTTGAAATCAAAGCTCTCCGCTGGTACTACCCAGGTCAGGCACGAATACGCACCGAAGAACGCCATGTACAGCACCAGGCCGGAGAAAAACAACCCCAAGGCAATTGACTTGTGCTCATTGAAGTAATCGACACCGTTGTTTGTGTATAGATAACCGACGCCCACCAGCGCAAGTCCCACAATGAACATCAGAATGTTCTGTGCCCACACGCGTCGTCCAAACTTGTCCATGGTAAAAACAGCAGGAACCGTTCCCAAGAACAGCGCGCCACCGCCCACCATCGACATCAGCACTGACTCGCGGTCACTGAAATTCATCTTGGCCATCAAGTTCGACATGTTGTACATCACCGCATTGATACCGGTCATCTGTCCGAAGAAGATCATTGCCGTAGCATAGACAAGTGCCCGTCGGTTGCGCGGCTTCCTGCACACTTCCAGATATCTGTTGTACCATGCCTCGTTCGCGGTTGTCTCGACATCATGTTTGACTGTAATCTCCATCGCGACGTACTCGTCCAAGCTTTTCGTGTCCGCCAAGTCGCGCAGCGACTTCCACACCTGCCACGCGCGGCCATCCTTGCCCTTGGATACCAGCCAGCGAGGCGATTCGGGTAGGAAGCACATTCCGACCAGGAGAATTGTCGAAAACAAGAGAGATGAGCCCAGCATCCAGCGCCAGCTACCAGACTTGACGTCGAAGAATACGCCACCGGCGGCGTATCCGATGATCTCTCCGAATGCGATCATCAACTGGTACACCGATACCAGATTGCCACGTACCTCTGGCGGTACACATTCAGAGATGTAGATACCGACACAGCCGCCTTCAATTCCGATACCGATACCTAGAATGAATCGGCCCGCAAACAGCATTGGAACACTGCGGGCGCCCGCGCAAAGTCCTCCTCCAAGTGTGTACCACAAACACGAGATGATAATCGAGTTACGACGTCCAAAGTAGAAATTCAGCGGCGTCATGATGAGCGCGCCGGCCATTGCGCCTAGAGGCATCAGCGAGGAGATCAGCGAGATATCGTTCGACAATTTCGGATCGTCCATGCTCGCCCACTCGCCTGACGCGATGAAATGCTTGCGGATACCAGGCAGTGCGCCTGAGATCACCGACTGGTCTAAACCACTCAGCATGCCGCTAAACGCTGCAAAGACACCCAGCGTGACAACTAGCATGCGAGGGCTCTTTATGTACACTGGTATTTGCGCGAACGCCATCCGGTCGTAGAATGATTCGTTGTCCAGATACTCACGGGCCTGTTGGTCGCGTGACTCGATCTCGTGCTCGCGCTCTTCGGGTGTGAGTTCATCGCTGAACTCTTTGCCGATGGCATCGGGCTTTTCGTCGCAATTGTCGCTCATTTCTTGTCGATCGTATCAATCATGTGAGAAGGCTTGTTGGGGGAGGGTTAGATGAGAAGAGGGAGGAAAGGTTGACGGGGCCCTAATGTCCTCTATATAACTAAGGGCTGTTTCACCGAAAAGCCTGTCTGCGGGATGGTGTACTCCGTACCTCTCTCCAATTCCCCGAACTTCGTTCCCCAGACCCCACAAGTCCCCAGCGTACCCGCCAATGAGTTAATTCCCTGCATTTTTTAATTTTCTTGAAAAAGTTTGTTGCATGTATCAAACTTGTATTGTTGTGGGGTTATGTGAGTGTGTAAATACGTTTAGGGAATGCTGCGTGTCATGTCCAATATTTCCAAGCGCTGGAGTAGCTGCCCCAGCATCTACACAACAGCACCATGTCTAACGTCTAAAAAGCCCAACTCAGACCTTCGCGCCAGAATTTTTCGATCATAGCGAGAGCGAAAGACTGGGAGTTGGGGCTTCTCGAAAGGCCACTAGAAGTTGGGTCGGTCAAAAAAAATACTTGACCCTATGTCCTTCCCATGCCATTTGTCGGTATGGCCGGAACCTCAGCAAGGATGCGTAGCCCGATCAACTAATGGATGAACGACGCCTCAAAACTTTGAGTCACATCAACAAGAAACCTTCCCAGTCGGAAGGAACCGGCACGGGCGAAGTTTACGGGCTTGTACCCAATTGCCGAGTCGGACGGCTCAGCGAGACCGGGGTGGGCTGGGGCCCCGAGGGGCTTCCCCGATTATTTCCCCCGAAAACTGCCCGGTCGGCACGCAAAACCTGGGGAAATCGAAGCCAGGCTAAACGAAATACCGAAACAGAATCTGAGCCGATCCGTTACAAGCCACCGTAAAATTCCCGCACGCCAAGATTTTCAACAACTTCGGCCCCTCAGGGCCAGAACAGGATCATATGGAAGATCAAGATGCTAAAGCGCCATAATAGCTGCTGCCTCTGACCAATATGTTCCCATTTAATATGGAAGTATACGTCGGCATCGTGGATGATCATCCACAGACATATTAGACTCGTTGGATCCTGAAGCTTACAAGAAAATCCAATGTACAAGACAGCCAGGCTATTACATACGCTGAAACATAGTTTCGCCGATGATGTTCCGCGCCCCACGCTAAGGATTGTGATTTTGCGTGGCTTGGCATCACTAATGCTGGGGCGAACGGACTCTGGCCGAAATTGATCACTAGGAATACAACACGGACGTCATGCCATCCGTACATACTAGGTTTCGTCCACGGCCAGCCTACACCTTGGCGGCGGGACAACGCAAATCCGTCAGGTCATGTCGCCTGTAGCGAGGCAAGCCCCACTCCACAAGAATACTGTAAGACTCCATCATGTTCAACATCTAAAGTACGTACTGTATTACGCTAACTCAATACAACAGCATTATATTCTTGTACATTTCCGAGAAATATATCTGACCAAGAAGCTCAACAGTTCACAGCGTATCCAAAGTCAGCCCTACTTCAGTTTTCTTTTTTTTTATCGTCTCCCCAGTGTCCCTGAAGCACAATAACCTGCATTCGACTATGTCGCGCCCACGTTGGGTACATCACGAGGTTACCTTTTCAGGGCTATTGTTATAGGATCCTCGTAGGAATCTCTAGATATAGATACTCAATTAATGATACATCCCATGTACAAGGACTCGTTGAAATAAAAAAAAGGGGAAGCATACTCGGATACAAGTCATTATATACGAAGTGTTAAGGCATAGGCCTTATGCGGTTGGATTGGATACGAGTGATGACACGAGCTACAGCACACACAGTGCTGTTGTCATATTGATAATATAATCACTGGAGAGCTCTCCTGGATCTCTCCCGTGAGCCTACTTCTGTTGTGCGGCTTATCTAATCAGTTACCCGAATATATCGGAATAACCTTTCTCCAGCATCTCTAGCTGGTAGTAGCAATCAGAAGTGTTCTCATGCGTTTATACGCCTGTTCTCTGCCTCTTGCATGGCTCTTCTATGGACGTGTCGTAACAAAGAAATAATTTTTATTTAAAAGAAAGTGCATTTAAACTAAAGATAACTAATAGGGTAGAATTATAAACCCTAGAGGTTAAGAAAGCCCCTTCTGAAGGGGTTTTCTTCTATCATTTAGAGGGTTATAGTAGTAGATTATCCTTATTAGAGAGATTAGGCTAATATATATCGCGATGGTAGGCCTTTTTAAGGGCTAGCTTAGATGCATACTCAGACTATAATGGAGTGAAGAGGCATTTCAAGGACTCACACTTGATGGACCGAAGATGTAATTTTTGTAAGCTATCTATCCTGCACGGGATGCACTTGCGGAGGCATGCTTCGGAAGCTCATGGCCTTCGAACATGAGCGTTGGAGTCTACTTCTCGGATCTTTGAGGCCACTGGGGCGGCTCTTCTTTTTCTTCATTCGGGTTCGATAGCGAACTTATGGCTCGTTTGATGACTGTTTCATTATAGCGTACCTCATTTGTGGTAATTATTCAGAAATACCGGAGCAGGATTGTTCACATTGGAGAAATTAGCTGATGGATGCGCTTCTACTTCTGAATTCTAAGATTAGCCTAGACATAAGCTATGAAGACCACAAACGACATTACAAACCTACCCCTTCTGCTCGTTAAATGACTTGGCACTGCAACTTTAAGCGTAGAGAAACCATGATCTATCCGCGGATATTTTGGAAGCATTTCAATGGTAAGATGCGTAGTCCGTCCCACGAAGGACTGTATCAGACTATCACAGGATGTCGGCTGGCTATAAGCTGAACGAAGATTGGTCCTTGTCCGACATGATTCTGGGAACGGCAATATCCCTAGGACATCAAGATCCTTCCCAGGAGCTCTTGGAGCGCTCCTGGGAGCAGCAGATTTTGTTCCTGGGAGTCATCATCAAGTTCCTGAGAGCGGCTTGACGATTTCTAGGATCCGTCAAGCTCCTGGGATCACCTATTTCTCTTGATCGGGTTGCCCTTATAGGATGTGGATCCCAGGCCGCAGGCGCAACAGGTACTAGGTCTACATGTGCAGGTTCCGATGGATTTATCTATTACATTTGGTATCAACATGTCAAGGTGCGCTTTCGCGAAAAGATTGCTTGTCTAAATTTCCTAGCGAGCCTTGCATCGGCTGAGCGCACAATGGTGCGGGAGCGTTATCTTATAGGAGAGCAAGCCCAGAAGATGCGAACCAGCTTCTTCGTAAACGAGAACTATTCCTTAATGATGTCCATGACCGTGTCGGCGCAAATGCTCTCCATAATGTTTTCTCCACGAAGCGGATGCAGACAGATCCACGTCACTTTCACCCTCCGACTCTGGAATGGCCTGTCCTTGGGCTCGGGTGGCCAATGTGGAAGATTGGACAGGCTGGTCATTCTCATCAAGCAGGTGCAGAGCATGCGAATCCGTATCATCCCACTTCAAACCATCTGACGCACCGCTTCCATGGGCCAAGCCGCGGGCAAAACTCTCCGAGTCACCCCGACGCGTGAGAACCACATGATTCTGCCAGTTCTTGGGGACTCGAAGCTCTGCTAATGGTTAGAGAAAAACTTTGATGAGATGGAAGAAAGGGAAGGAAAATATGAAACATACCTTGCACCTGCCAGAATCGAGAGTGCATCTCCGGACGACCTGTGTAATCGTCATCATCTTCCCCATCTCGCTTCTTGAGATCTGTACCTAGCGAGTCACCGTACACGACGTTGCACACGATTAGCTTGATATATTGGACTCCCATGGCAGTGCTTCTCAGATTAAAGCCGTCGTCAATGTGGCAAAGGGCGTTGTGCGAGGTCGCGGTCAAATAGTAGATGCTGTTGGTGCCAAAAGTGTTGACGCCACCTGCGATGCGCGCTCGAATGAGGTTCTGATTACCCGCGAGGTAGCCTCCATAGGTTCCAAGGAATGTGCCAGTAGGGTTTGAGGTTGAGTCAAAAAGGTTGACCGTATACTGGCGTGGGAGCTGACCTGTCCAAGGCTCGGTACTCCAAGGCAAATTATTGTTTGTCTAAAATCAATTCAAAGGAAATGAGAGTGAGCTCAAGCCTACCAGCATGGGACAAAGGAAGATAGTGTTAAGGGGAACTCACCCTGTCATGAAGAATCGGGATCATACTAGTAATGGAGCTCTGGTACTGTTGCTGTTCCCATGGCGTGCAAGAGGTGCTCTAAAAGTTCATGATCAGCCCGAGTTATTTGGGGAAAGCTTGACCTCGGGAGTACTCACAGCACCAGTGCCACCTTCTGCGGCACTATCATTCATTCATTGTCAGTATAAAGCGATTCCATCATGTGAGGGCATCTTGTAGACACTTACGAATTGACTAAATTATTTACAAGTTAGCAAAGGTTCAGGGGTGCTGGAAGGAAAGTACTTACAAGGGAATTCATCACAGGACATGGATTCACTCCAACCCTGCATTCCACCTGCGTTTTTCCCTGCTTGCTGAATCGCTTGAGGCCAGAGAGACCTTTTGACTTGGGCACAGTGGGCAGCCATATTGCCGGTCTTTTTCTTTGGATCTCCACAAGCCTGGTTCCGGTTGGTGTTGGAAGGATCGGGTTTGTATGTTAGACGCATCCAGGTGTCCCCCATATAGCTTGGCGCCCACAGGCTGGCATGGCGATCGAGATAGTTCTGGATATTGGTGCAAATCCCTGTTACTGGCTGTCAGAATGTGCATCGCGCACGAAGCCACGAGGGAAGGTGGACGAAAATCTTACCCAATGACGAGTAGTATCGCATGTTTCCATTGGTGGACGTGTCCAGATTGGGAATATCCTTGTTTGGGAACCATTCGCAGTTGTAGAACATGGCTGGATAGTGCATGCATTGACCTGTTACTGCCTGCCGTCTGCTGAGAGAACTGCTTGTGTCCAATATCGTGCAGGATGTTCCTTCGCATGCATAAGGACAAGTCATATTTCCAGATGAATCTGTGTCATCATTGACGGTGTTACAGGCAATGAGACCTCCGAAACAACCTGATCCGGTACTGTTTGCCACTAAGGCTTCGACGTTGTCTCTTTTGGTGAGCGGATCACTGCTCGCATACTTGATACAAGTTTCTTCCACGAGAGGCAGAGGATCACTAGGGGAAACAACATCATATTTATCACCCCAGTATGCTGCCCCGTCAATGAATCTGCAAAAGAGATGAAAATCAACTTGGTTAGCCCACAGTCCAGATCCCTGCATTAGAGGAGAGAACAGAGAGAATATCACTCACGAGGCATTCGCCTGGATAAAGATGGAATAGACAAAGTCTGCCCAGTAGCAGAATCCAGCGCTAGTCGAGCCATCGACTGAAACACTTGCAGTGGCATTTACACCCAGCTTGATGGTGTTGGTAATTCCCGCTGTCACATATCCTGACATCAGGTCGCCTCCAAGAACCGAAATGCCGAAGCGGACCTCAGGAGTAAGAGACACTAACAAAATCATGTTCAGTCAATCCAATGTTCATTCTTGCGAGTTTTGAAACAAATTGAGACGTTTGACTTACATGCCAGATTTCCCTGCGCAGTGAGTGATGCGTCGAACGTAGGCTCAAACGAATAAACCTGATTGTCGTCGCTTTGCAAGTCCTTAGGCGCAATACTTGCCTTCTCACCTGCTGCGTCCTGAGGGGAGTACACCTCGGTGCGATCCCATTCGAGACTGACGCCTGCATTCAGCTCACCTGATACTTGGAGGGAGGCCGATAGCTGACCCGTCAAAGCCAACTCAGGACCAATGCTGATAAACCCTTCACTGAAAGACCAGGGAATCCTGCACTGAAGAGTTCCATGACACCTGAGTCGGACTGCATAACGGCCTCTGCCCTGAGAGTAATGAGAATCTAAAAGATCAGGATGTTAGCATGTGAGATCCACTGTCATTGTGGTTAGAAAAGGTGTCTGGGTAACTTACCGCGGCCACCGGTTCGATGGAGAAATATCCATACGCCGAAATCAGCGTAGGAGTAGGCAGGATAGATCCCTCAAAGTAATAGCCGTACTGACCATTCAGCGCCAGCTTGATATTGGCATCAATGTCGAATATTGCATCGATGTTGGTCTTGGGACAATTAGCATGAGCGTGGAATAGTTTGATCTTCTCCTCGTAATCCAGGGGTAGGTAGCTCCTCTCGTCTTTCACAATCGTGGTCATCTTCTTCAGCCAATCATCATAAGCCCCGAACCATCTCTTGCGTTTGGAGCCTGGGCTATCTGTGATCTCATTCCAATATTCTAGGAGATTGGTGTAATCGACGCGGAAGTTCACGTCGCCCTTGGCTTCGGTCGCGGCACTGGCCAGATCGTAATCCACGGTGAGCTCATACACCTCGCTAGTTGATCTGGCCTTGATGATTGAAGACGTGCTCTGAGATCCAAGAGGGACCAAACTGATCACACGGGCATATGGACCGGCTCCCAAGTCCTTTGGCATTTTGACAATGGTGTTTGACGCACCACCTTCGAACAAAGAATTGCAGTTTGATACGTTGACGTAGAGATTGGTGCACTGGATGTGATATGTCTCGACCACGTTGTCAAAGGTGTCATTGTTGTTCGAGAACATACTCTCTCGCTTGTGATGTTTCAGATCTCGCTTGGAAAGTTCTTGTTCATCGGTCAGGAAAGTCCATTGGTCAACCAACGATTCATCGTAGGCACTTGTATCGCCGTCGATCATCACGAATGCGAAAGGATCCTTGCTATCATCACTAATGGCTGGCGAGTACTGTAGCCGTGTTCTCCAAACCGCCAGCAGCAATGGGCTGAATCTGACCTGCAACGATTGTGCTCTGGACCACATGACAAACATTGTCAATTCTCCTTGGGGTCAGCAACTCCTCAGTCCAGCTGCCGTGAGCAGTCGTATCTCCCGCTGTTCAGCGACCGCTTCCTACAGCGTGACGTACACTGCAAGCTCAACGCCAACATCCACATCAACCGCCATTGCTACTGCGGGGGATAATGTGCGGTGCAATGTCACGGACCCCAGTTGGAACACCTATGTCGTTCCCTCAGCCAACACAACATGCGTGGATATTTCGACTATCGCCAACGTATCTACTCCGGCCTTGGAGAGCATTAATGCCCTTGGGTCGGATTGTAGCTATCTGACCAAGGGTCAGACGCTATGTCTGCCTGATGTCTGTGACATCTACAAGGTCTCCTCCAATGATACCTGCACGTCCATTCTTGGGAAATTGCGACAACAGATCTCAACCCCCACCTTTCGGTCGTGGAACCCATCCATCAATTCCGCCTGCTCAAATCTGCAAGCTTTGGAGGGAGAGTATATCTGTCTGAGGTAAGAGCCTCAAGCTTCAGTCAAATCTGACTTTTCCTTGATAATTGAACTGTTGCGCTAACCATTACTAGCCCTCCTGGTACCACAGTCATCCCTAACAGTTTTGCTCTGAAAGCCGTCACGACCGCTGCGTAAGTAAAATATCCACGATACGTGCTTTTTCCCTTGAACCAACTAACAAAATCCAGGCTTGTTCCAGATAATGCGGTTACGACCTCCAATACTGACTGTGGATTCTGGTACACTATCCAAGATGGCGATATGTGTGACACTGTCGCGTCCATGTTTTCTATCTCGGAAAAGGACTTCTATTTCCTGAATACTCAACTCAACAACACTTGTGACTCCTTGTGGTTAAACAATAGCTACGTAAGGCATATCAGGAAAGACTCCGGTGACTTATTTACTAACTTTTGGTTCAGTGCGTGCAAGCGGTCGGAAGCATTCATACTCTGGGTATGCCTCAACCACCAGTAACTCGCTATCAGCTCTGACGTCCACCATCAATGTCAATGCCACGGTGACAGCAAACCGCACCACGACGTAAGTCAATCCCAAAGAAAGAGCATGCAAATTAGTGTGAGTACAAATACTAAGAGCTCGGGGTACATTATAGTTGGCTTCTTCCCACAGGACTGTCGATCTCGACCACTACCGGGACATATAACGATACTGCATATGAAATGACTAAGGGCTACACGCTCTGCCTAAATGCGATATCTTACTACAGTCTCGATCTCGACGACCTCGCATTTAGTGATCTCATGACCAACACCGCCTGGTATAGCGAATGGGATCGTGTTTGTGACTTGGACTTGAGCCAGCCTACTCCTACTATACCTTTCAATACCAGCATTCCCCTGACCACCGCTAGTCAGACGAGTGCGGCTTCCAGTCAGGCCGCGGCAGGATCTACCTCTACCATTGTCTCGGCATCCAGCACGAAATCATCTACCAGCAGCACTACCACTTCCACCACCTCCACTTCTGCGGCTACATCCACGGCCACCGGTTTGGTTATTTCCCCGGACGGTACTTGTGGTGGGACAACCGGGTACACGTGTGAGCAGTCCGGCTTTGGTGATTGTTGTAGCATTTACGGCGACTGGTATGTTTGGCCGAGTACTCTTAACCCCCTGATTGAATCATGTTCTGACTTGCTTTTACCAGTGGTTCCACCAGCGATTATTGTGCTACATCCAGCTGTGATGACTCCGCGGGAGTCTGCGCAGGCGGTGTTTCCCCCAATGGTCTCTGCGGAGCGAGCAACAACGACTGGACCTGTTTCAATTCGGGCTATGGAGACTGCTGCGACACTTATGGTTACTGGTATGAGCACACCCCCCTCGCACTCACGGATTTTTCATACTAACCCACCTGGTCTGTAGTGGATCAACCGATGATTACTGTGGAGCCAACTGCGATTCCAGCTACGGCCCCTGCACCGGAACCACTTCGACCAACGGTCTCTGCGGCGCTGATAATAGTGATTATACTTGCTTCGGCTCCGAGTTTGGGTCTTGTTGCAGCATCTATGGATACTGGTAAGTGAATGATCGGGTTAATGACTATTCGAGGCTATACTCCGTACTGACCGAGATGACAGTGGATCCATCGACGAGTACTGTGCATCGGCTATCTGTGATAGTTCTTATGGAGGATGTAATTGAGGGTAAACAAACACTGGAATTGACCCACTGGAGTAGCCTCAAGAGTTCGAACTTCCAAGGTTCAAAAGCTGGTGGCACTGGTGGAGGCCCACTTGAGCACAAAATTACCAGGGTCTTGTAATGTATGGTAATATTAGCTCCACTCCAGGGCTGGATGGTGGATGCCCAGGTGCTTAGTGCTAACCTTGGGATGCTTAGCGACAGGGCCCTGCGGAACAAGCAAGGGTCACACTATTTGGCGAATTTCGCTTAGACAATGATTCTTTACTCTACTCCATAGCGGTTCCCCTTTTTTCAGAGCGCCAAGCTATTTAGGTGCCGGAGTTTCCGCATGAAATCCCGAATATTGAACTAAGCAAAGACTAAATCCACTTGTTTCACCTTGTAAACCTTTTTTTTTCATCAGTTCGACGCGCATTCAGTTGGAAGGCTCCTCATTCATCTGCGCCTCTAGTCTCTTCCTTTGACTTTCTTTTACTACCCAAATTGGATTTCAAAATGGCACAGTCGGCATCAGACGCGTCTTGGCCAGCGGGCATTCCCGAGATCCACCTTCATCCGGAAGATTTACCCTCAGATGAGCTCCCGGGAGAAGTCAAGGGATGGCTGCTATTCGTAAAGGTAGGGAGTCTTTGGAATGCTCTCGTATAAGCATTTGTAATATTAACTGGTGCATAACTGCAGGAAGAATACCAACCAGTCTCAACCCCAGAAGAGGGGCTGCGTCAACGGCGAGCCCTAATTGAGAAATGGGCTACCGCCAATCAGGAATTCCGCGAGGTGCGTACAGCCAATGCTGAATTCACCTTTCTTCAGGTCTAATTATTATTTGCAGTCTTACCATAGCCGTGCCCCAGCATGTACCTCAGCTCGCGACTACCCGGCTTCATTGCTCACGCAGCAAGCCCCACGACCTGACAAGAGGTTCCTTTGTCTACCACCAGTAGACTCACAGACTCACCCCCGGAACTACATTCATCTTGTAAAGCTCCTGATTATGATGTATATCCATCAAGATGAATGGAACGGGCAGCATCCCTTTGACCAGGCGGGGCCGGGCCATGCACCGCGCAGCCATATCCCAGAATTTCTCAACCTCGCGACACCTATCGCGCTTAGCGATATCCTCTCTGAGCTGTACCTTTCCTCAGCGGATTTCCACGCTCTCTCGATGACCCGGAGTGGCACGGTAGTGTTCGCCGATGGGCCAGACTACACGTGGTATGTGATCGAAAAGCCGGAGCTTGCCACAGGGCGAATGACGATAGCCGAATTTGGCTCTGACGGCAGTGTCCGCGATTCGATTGTTCGTCGAGCCTGGAATATGGGTCAGGTAATGGCCTTTGGTCAGAGTTTGGGCCGGCGTGTCGCGGATTTGGAAGAGTCGTGTATTGGGGGCCCGCCGCAGTATAACGAGCCGTAAGTTCTTTTCCATGTGCAGTTTCCAACGTGAATTTTCTAATGGGAATAGATTGAACATGGACCGTCCTATTTTTGAGCTTTTGGAGGCAACGAGAATGGACAGCAAGTTTCTCTATGAGGGATTCGGTTGTATGGACCTGTGGGTGCGCCTTATTGAGCAGAATGCACCTGGGTATCTGGACCTTGAGGCTCAGGGGCGGGAGGTGGAATTTAAGCTTGACAATCTGCGTAATGTTGGCATTGATACTCTCTAAGGTATGTCCTGCGGTAGTTGGTCCTGACAAGTATTGTATCTGACCATTCCATCTTCGAGCATTTTATCGAAACAAATACTCCTACCTGCATCCATGTATTAAGGCTCGAGAATTGGCTTGGAGAGCACTGATGAAGAGGACGAGTATGAGGATGCAGAATCAAATATAGGCAAACGCCACAGTCAGAGCAATTTGAATGCTGAATCGAGGATATAGATATCCGGGTACATGTAGCTAATACTACCTAGTATCTATCCCCGACTCTCTAAACTATACCCAAGTGAAAGAAAAGGCCTGTTCGTGGTCCTCGATGGAAGACATGACAATTATGTAGCCTCGCTCTGGTTATGAAAGCGACCTAGCACTAGTAGTACCTAGTAGCAAAATACAGTGATTGTACGGAGAAATAGCACTTGAGAAGGTCAACTGGTATCGCAAGCATTTATCACGCATTTATCCAGATGTCCATAAGCCCGTTACACTGCTTAATTCAGGGATTCTCTCTAATGTCAGGTTCTCGGTTTAGCCATCGACTCTCTTTGAATATACCTCCCAAGTCATTTCTGCCACCCTCATCTATAGGGAAGATATTGAAGAAAGATAGACGAGATAGAGTAGTAAGATGTAAGTTGAAAAGAATAATTGATTAAAGCAGCATTCAATGTCTTAAAAGAAATGAAAAGAAATCACCAGACTCCCTCCCATGATATCAGAAAAGTCCATCACCAAAATACTCCCTAGATAGCCTCAAATGCAAACTTCCAAACCAAGACAAAAAATACACATATCGAAATCAACCTAGATCCCAAATAAACCCCACTAGAAAATGGCAGATCCAAACCAAACCAACCTAAACAGAAACATCCTTCCCAAGCACACACTGCGGACAAAACCCCAAAGCACAACAACCCTCATCCCCAACCATTCGCGGCTTATCCGGAATAAGCCCAAAATACTTATAAGGATTCATCTTCTCAAACCGAACAAAAGACTTAGTCGACAACGCAACCCCAACATGCTCAATAGGCTCGAACAGACCAATAGGATCGGAACCAACAACCTTATCCTGGTACTCTGGATGCTCAGAGGGAATGCATTTCCTCTTTTTGATAGAGTTCCTGCAGCCCCTGGGTAAGGGGCCGTGAAGACCTCGAAGCCAGTCCCGGTATTGGGATTGGTTTGGATCTGGGGCTCGTAGGAATGGGTTGGTCTCGAATTTTTCGAAGTAGGCGTCTAACGCTAGTTCGTCGTCTTCGATGGACCAGGGCCAGGGTGTTGTGTCGGTGGGGGTTTGGGGATCATTGGATTCTGGTTCGGAGATGGATAGTTCGAGGTAGGTCGGGGTGCTTATTGTGCTTGGGGTGCCGTTGGGATTGGAGAGGTTGGAGAGGCTGATGTGGTGCTCGGATTCGGGAGGGCTTGGAGGGCTTGGAGGGCTCTCGTGATGAGAACCTCTGTCTTGATCGTCGTCTTGGGGTAGAGGATCGACTTTGTCGCCTTGGGTTTCAGCTTCACTCGGACGTTCCCTGAAAATACTATATGTAAGTGTTGTTCAAGATGGTTTTAGGTGCAGACTTACTTGCGAAAGGACATTGCTCTCTTGACACACTTCATGGAGCGGCCCATTTTTTTCTTGGCCATGATGATATTATTTGACGCGTGAAAGAGAGTGGAAGAGATGTCAGTGTAAACGGAGTGGTTTGTAGGTGATTGCGTTCATGTTTGTCCTTCACCTTATTATATACTGACGAGCGTATCACTTTCGCTGATCTACAGGAAATCTATTGAGCAGAACGCATTACGAACGCTGGAGCTATGAACGACGAAATGGCAGCGCGAGAAGCAAACAGCCTCCAGTTTGAGCTCCGTGATAAGTATATGAGCTGCCCAAATGAAAGTCAAAGAGAATGGTGGCAAAGGACCGGTCCTTTATTGGCCCGTTTGATGAGTTCGGCAGGCTACTCGAGCCAATCCCAATGCCAATATCTCATGTTTTTTTACACAACCATCGTCCCGTTCCTAGGACCATGCCCTCAGACGTTCCCCAGTGCCATGACGCACAATGAACTGCCTTTGGAGCTTAGCACCAATTTCCAAAAGCGAGGTGGCGGCATGCCAGTTGTCTGAGTCGCGATGGAACCTGTTACCTCTGTCTCTGGAACGAAAGAGGACCCACGAAAGAGGACCCATACAATATCAGCCCTATCCGTGAGTTTCTTGATCGCCTAGAAAAGATCAATCCCGAAGGATATGACAGTCGGCTTTTTGAGCATTTTTATCCCAAACATACTTTGAACAAAAGTGAGTGTGGAGAACTGCAAGCGAAGAATGATGCAACACGTGAGCTTTCTCAAGTCTCATTGGCTTTGATCTAAAGCCGGATTCCATCTCTGTGAAGGGATACACATTCCCACCCTTGAAGTGCCTTGTGACAGAAAAGGACCTCTGTTCGGTTGTCATTGGATCTGTTCAAGAGTATCTTGGAGATGCAGATTGCTACAACACACTGGAAATGATTAAGGAATACATCGAAACGACTGATTCAAGACCCAACTTCGGGTTTGTCTACTCAAATGACTGTGTCTCTCCGGGAAAAATCCCGGCACAAGCTTTATGGTCGTGTGAAAGACATGTCCTGGAGCAAGGTTGAGGAAGTCTGGACTCTGGGCGGGCGTATTGATTCTCCCGAGTCCAACAGGGGCTTTGAGTACCTTCAGAAACTGTGGACTCTGTTACAGATTGGTAATGGTCCACATCCGCTTGGTATACATTTGGTGTGGAACTACGAGACAAAGGCCGGTCTCAAAGTGCCAGCAACCAAGATTTACTTGCCAGTCTATGGTCTCAATGACCAGGATAATGTGCGAGCCATCGCTCAATATCTCACGCAAATTGGACTTGATGCTCATGGCAGTGCCTATGAGCAAACTGTAGGAGACTTTTTGTAAGTTTCTCCGGCATCCAAGTGAGCGAACTCGTAAACTAACTAAATAAGCCCCGATTTAAATCTAAACCAAACAGACCGTCTCATTTGCTGGGTGTCATTCGCCTATACAGAGAAAACGGGAGTGTATCAAGTGTTTACTATCACTCTTGTTTGACTACCCCTCTATGATTGGACTTGACTCGAAAAGACCTGAGCTTAAGCATCTTTCAGAACAGATTCATGTCTAATATTACTATGGAAGTTCTCTTAATACGCCAATGGAGCACCATAGAGGGGGATCTACAAATATGAACTGGCAAGGCTTTCGTTCTTGTTTTTGACGATTGTAAGCTTCTGATTGATGTGAATTTTGTAATCAGATAGGCCTCGGAATACTTATGACAATAAAAAAAGCGAATGAAGTATGTTCATACATAGTGTAATGAGGACGTACAGACTCAGTATGCCTTGTTTAGGTGCCTGGTTAATCAGCTATCTGTGAGTCAATAAGCAAGGGGTTGATGGAAAGCTCTAGGTTGATCTAACGGTAGAACCAAATTTTACTGGCTAGATTCTCGCTTACCGCGTGAGCTGCGTGACCGCGACTTTCTTCAAACATCCATATCGGACATAATGCGGATTGCCTAGGAGGCGGTGATGAAGGCGGTGAAGGTGATTTCGATGACTCATCCTGTTCGACGGAGCCTCAGGAGGAATAAGCCTTCAGAGGCGACTCAACCTTCAGATTTCTTTTTTAAGCAAACACTATTGAATATTTGTCTTGTGGACAAAGCCGTTGCTGTTGTTTGTCTTGTGTGCATCGTGGCTGTTCACCAAAGGAGATAACACGACACCAGCATCACCCGCACGACACGCCCTTCCAGAGACAATTAGAATCCGATGGAAGCTTGAGTGAATCATTGCCCTGACGGGCTTCAGAGCTTGTTTACGTGTTCATTTGCACCACAGGCTCCCTGGTAATTTAAAGCTAAGAGCGGACCCTGTCGTTTGCATCTGGCGTTTTGAGTTGAAGGCGGCTCTTGACACTATACCCCGCCAAAGCCATACAGTTTCCCAGCCTTGACAGAGGGCAATATCAACAAACCTCAAGCCCTGAAAATTCTTCACATCTGAACTCGGGGCTTTTTTTCTTTTCATTTTTCAAAGAACTGATGGCGGGAGTATAATTCTGACCCGGGTTTATCTCATTTCTGGCTCTCCTGGGGTCCTGGACTAACGCCAATATGTCGATGTTCAGACCAGCTGGAGAGATATCATCCTCGGAGTCTGAATTTGAATCTGAAACAGATTCAACCCCCGGCAATGGGAGAGAAGATGAGAGGAGTAGATCAAGTGAACAATCGAGAAAAAAACTAGACTCGGAAGGATGGGACCCGTCAAATTCACTTGAGGATGTCTCGGCGCTATCCCAAGGTGCGATGGACACCAATATAGATCACCACGCAAATGTCATGACAGCCGCATTACTTGAATTTTACTGTCAGAGTCGAGCTGTCGATATCCTCAATGCTCAGCAAGGCTCCAGTCGAAATTTCACCCGTCATAGCCCTGAGGTCCAGTACCTGGGAAGGCAGTTGTACAAATTTAAATCGCAGTTTTTGGCATCGCACGGTGTCATGCCAGAAGGTATTGAAAATGAAGAATTGGGTCCAACGAGACAGCGCTACCGGGACAATCTTGATTTGCTCGGTATTACAGCCCTTGAGAAGATCGATTTGAACTCGCCTGTGAAATCACCCATCGAGGGTCGTGATGAGCTCGCGTTGGTCTCAAGACCACCGCTCAATCACCAAGAAGGAGGCGAGAATACCGGTCGATTTTGGCGAAGAGAAGAAGAGAATATGCAGCTTCCGCCTATCGATCGTATTGATGGCCTTCGAGGTATTCCCAGCATTCCAAGAAACCTTTCCACCTCATCAATGCCCCTTTTTGGAAGCTCACCAGTGAGCGTCCCGTTATTTAATGGATCTGCAGGTCCGCCATATAACCACATGTCGCGGTATTCCGTCGAATTCAGCGAACTCAAAATTCTGGGTCGCGGATCATTTGGCGAGGTTTATCAAGTCAAAAACCACATCGATGGCCAGGAATACGCGGTCAAGAAGATTCCGCTCAGTCAGCGAAGGCTTGAGCAGTTACAGTTTGGTGGTCAGAACCAGCTAGAGACCATCATGAAAGAGATTCGAACACTTGCTCGCCTGGAGCATTCGAACATCGTTCGGTACTATGGCGCTTGGGTTGAGCAGGCACATGTTTCGAGCCAAATACCATTCAAACCAAAGCCTCAACCCAGATATGAGCCTTCTCAATTTCATGAACCCAGCTATGGTGGAACCAATGAACCAAGCATGGGGATCGTCTTTGAACACTCCGAGAATTCCACTACGGGATCACATATGAGCTCTGTGCCCGATGAGCACAGCTTCAATGATAGAATTGAACGATTAGACAGCCATGCAACATCATCCTCCCGTCATACTCGAAAGAGTTCAAATGTGGAGTTGGAGGATGAGGATGATATCGAGTCTATACCCCGAAATTTCGACAACCCTTCCTATGGGCAGACATCCTCTTTCGGAGAGACTGATGATATTTTTACGGATGGCTTAAGTCAAGATCACTCGAAGATGGTACAACACCGCTACGGACCCGGTCACCAACCGCCAGCAGTCATTCTACATATCCAGATGTCGCTCCACCCGATCTCTTTGAACGCTTACCTCAATCCTCAGTCACCTGAAAAGAGTAATAGCAAGGCCGGAACCCTGCCCAGGCGTCATTGCTTCCATTTGGTGCCATCCTTACGGCTTATCCTGGATATTGTCTCGGGGGTCGAATATCTTCATTCGAAAGGGATTGTTCACCGCGATCTCAAACCCGCCAACATTTTCCTCTGTGCCCCCGAGACTTATGCTCTAGAAAGCTGCTCAAAATGCTTTTCTGGTGGTGAATCGCCGACACATTACTGCCGTCCTCGAATTGGTGATTTTGGTCTTGTTGCGGATGTTTCGCGTTTGAATGACGGCTCGGCAGATGGTGCGGTGACTCCATTCCGCGAGGGCCCCAAGATCCAGCGTGTTGTTGGGACCGAGTTTTACAGACCTCCTATCAACATAAGTCCCTCCGAGTCACAATCTGAATACTTTGATGAGTACAGGATTGACGAAAAACTCGATGTTTATGCCCTCGGAGTCATTCTATTCGAGCTTCTCTACCAATTAAATACCAAAATGCAGCGACAGATGGTCTTGAACGATCTCACTCGCGGGTCAACTTCCCTGCCTGATGATTTTGCTTGCCGGATCGATCATGGTGAGACGAAGCTGGATACCGGAGAAGCGGTGGCTGACTCCTTGATCACTTGTATTCAAGGAATGTTGACGCCACAATCACAGCTGCGGTGGACTTGTCAGGATGTGAAGGAACACTTGCGTCGGATCTATAAATCCGTCAAGAAACTACAGTAGGTGGGTGGGTAGCTGTTTCCATGCATAGCGACTGTTGATATTGAAATTTGATGATTTGAATTGCATAATGAGCGCGCATGTTCCTGTCTCTTTTTCCAATGGGGAGAATTTAGCTCTCTGATGCAGGTGCAGCCACTCCACTCTGTTCTAGTTGAGAAACACATTCCATTAATGAACACAAGCTTTCGTTCTAAGCATCTTCAGACTTGGAATAGCTGTGATTAATTAGAAAATCTACACCCACATTGCATCATCGTCATTATATCCCTGCACAGTACAGAGAAGCGATCCAGCTGCTTTCTCCTTCAACACACTCTTTTCCTCCCTGAGCACCTCTATCACATGCTTGATGACCAGCTTCTGTGCACATAACATATCGAACACAATATGCTTGATCTGATGGTTCGTGGGCATGGCTCTAAAAGCCAATTTCCATTCGGTCATCAGTTCTGTGATGTTAGGCCCCGAACCCCCAGTCTTCTCATCAGGTGTGATGTTTACACCAGAAAGAGGGTGGATGATGCAAAATCTTAGCTTTTTCGCTCCCTTGATCAGACCATATTCGTTGATGAAAACATGGTGAAAGGTTGAAGGATCTCGGAAGACGAAAGTACAGTGGCCGTTCTCCTCACGGATGGCCTCAACGGATGCGGGGGTTTCTTCGTTTGTGATCGAGTCATAGTGGATAAGTTTAATGGGTTGGTTATCAGGTTTCACCAAAAGTAGTTCGATATCCATTGCTCATGGAGGTATTCAGAAGAACAAGCGGTGATCATTCCAAGATAACACAAGCGAACCAACATTGGAAGAGAGGGGGGCTTTGCTGAATCTATATTATAAAGTACGCAGTGTAAAACATCTATTATTAGTCTCACCCAAAGGATGACATGTAATATAGAGGCTGGAATTTTCCTGGCTTCAAGCGCTTTATCTCCGTCGGTCTCCGTCGTGGCATCAATCCTACCAGATATACTACAAAAAGGGACTAGTCTAGGGCATCGTCCGCTTCCCTATCTTAGTGACAAAGATACGTATACATTCTAGACAATTAATGCCGGTCACATGGGACAATTTCTGCAACTTTTACCACGCATGTATTGAGTAGATGATAATATTTCATCTAGTCGGTCCCATCCTTGTCGAGCCTCGGTTTGAGTGCCGATCTCCCTTGATCACAAGTTTCCCCGCATTAGCCAAACTTTCCAAGCCGCATACAACAGTTGAAAATGTAGCTCCAAAACCCTTTCCCTACGCTATACAACACTCAAATTAATAATCATGGCACATTCGCTCCGCGCCCCAACGGCTCCATACAGCGAGCCCCTTCTCCCACAACTCGACGTCCGCAATCCATACTACACCGATCTACACCACAAGCTTCGCGCCTGGGTTCGCGATTACGTCGAAACATCTATCGCGCCTTACGCACAGGAATGGGAAGCTGCAGGTCAAGTCCCCGAGGAAACACGGCGACGCCATTGCGAACTGGGATTTGGCATCGTGCATCCCTTGACTACTGAGGATCACGCTGCTGGCCTGTCGCTGCCGGGTAATGTACCGCGTGACAAATGGGATACGTGGTGTTCGCTCATCTTGACGGATGAGTTGACGCGTGTGGGGTTCGTTGGGGTTGTCTGGGGGCTAGGTGCGGGCAATGGGATTGGGTGTCCACCTATCGCTAAATTCGGCACGCCTGAGCAGCAGCGACGGTGGCTTCCCGGTGTTGCGAAGGGTGATATTAGGTTTTGTTTGGGAATTACGGAACCAGATGGTGAGCTCATATGCTTCTCAAAGCTAGGGTCGTTCGCGGTATTAATGTTTTCCTTTGTATGGCGCAGCTGGCTCTGACGTTGCCAATATACGTACTACGGCCAAACGCGAGGGTGATCATTATATCGTCAATGGAGCTAAGAAATGGATCACCAACGGTATCTGGGCCGATTACTGCACAGCTGCTGTGAGGACCGGTGGTCCTGGACGATCAGGTATTAGTCTACTAGTCATTCCACTCGCGACCGAGGGGGTGACCTGCAGGAGAATGTCCAACTCTGGTGTTAATGCGAGCGGTATGTGAAAGCATCCAATACCAAGTCTTTATATCTAACTAAGCCTCGTCCGCTAGGGTCTACCTTCATTGGATTGGAGGAGGTTCGTGTACCCGTGGAGAATCGTATCGGAGAGGAGAACAAGGGCTTTTCTCTGATCATGTCAAGTAGGTCTCGCCTTTTCATCAGCATTCCATTCTCTAATCTTGACCAAGACTTCAACCCGGAACGCCTGGCACTGGCCTGCGCCTCTTTGCGATTAGCTCGTGTCTGCGCTGAAGACGCATTTAACTATGCAGTCCAACGCGAAACATTCGGATCCCCTCTAATCCAGAGACAGGCGATCCAATCCAAGATTTTCAAGTTTGGCTTGATGATTGAACCTGCCTATGCCTTTATGGAGCAGCTTGTTAATATCCTAGAGCTGACTAAAGATCGCCCTGTGGACGATGTCAAGATCGGCGGTATGACTGCCTTGTTGAAAGTCATGTCGACAAGAGCTTTAGAAAAGAGTGTACGAGAGGCACAGCAGATCCTTGGGGGTGCAGGGTATAACAAGGCTGGTAAGGGTGCCCGTGTTGAACAAATTAGCCGTGATGCTCGGGTACACGTTGTTGGTGGTGGCAGTGAAGAGATTATGCAGGGACTAGCGCTTCAGGAAGAGACAAAGGCTTTGCAGTCACGACGCAGGGTCCTCGAAAAGACGCGGTCGAAGATCTAAATCAGCTTGTGCAGTCGCAGACTCCCCACATGCAATGTCAATTATGGTCCAGGCTTTTCAAGGGCTCGGCCAGCGTCAATTGCATCAAAGTTCAAGTACCAGAAACTCGAGACCTGTTTCAAAGGGAATACGTTGAAGACATAAAGGATAAAAGAGCAGATAATACATTTTTGTTGTTCTCTTCTTTGTATGCAGCACCACGGAGTACACACGTGATGAGCTTTACCAGTCTTTATCTTATCGGCATGTGATCGAACCGCGTAAAGGGTGTCACGCTTCGACGCGACTACGACACGCTTCGAGTAGTTGCCCGCCCAACCCGTTTTCTTCTTCATACACCTTGGGTCCCTCGGCTTTTGTGCCTCTGCATGTCTCTTTAATCATTTTACATAATGCCAGAAGCTACGATGCCCCATAAGCGGGTGTTGGTCGATACGAACCAAAATGCCCGCAACGGCGCCGCTTCCCCCAATGCGCTAAAAAAGCGAAAGCTGGAAACTCAACCTTCGTCCCAGCTCAAGCCACCCATGGCTTCATTTCAGAGGAAAGGCTTTGGTTCAAGTCAACCACAAAAAAGTCAGTTCGAGGAGGAAGTGCTGGAGAAATTCACACAGGACATCGGAGACTTGAAAGCGAACAACGCGGAAAAGGACCAACAATGGGAACGCCCTCCGCTCCCTGAATGGGATCCAGCGAAGGAGAATGTTTGCTTCCAGCAAATTGACGCTGAAGAAGGGAGACTACCTCGAGGGGATGTCATGGCTGTCCGGCTCTTTGGTGTTACAGAGGTAAGCTTGTCGTGATGCAGAACCTCCTGCTGCGGGGCATCAAATCTAATGAGCGGACTAGGCCGGTCAATCTGTTTTGCTTCACGTCACCGGATTTCAACACTACCTCTACATCGCCGCTCCTGTCGGCTTCACCGAAGCGGATTGTGACCCGTACAGGGCTTTCCTGGAGACGAAGATGGCGCAATCATCAAGGGTCATCGAGAAAGTGCAGGTCACATTGCGAGAGAATATCTATGGCTTCCAAGGGAACAAGAAGAGCTGGTATCTCAAGATCACGGTTGCTGATCCCAAGTTCATTGCCAAAGTGCGCACCTTACTCGAGAGTGGCGGATCTGGCATGAATTACAAGGGGTTGTGGAGCAATATGGACGCGGGGCTTCTGACTTTCGACAACATTCAATACCTTTTGCGATTCATGATTGACACCGGGCTATCCGGAATGGCCTGGGTGGAGGCGAAGGCAGGCAAATACAAGCTTTTGCCCGAGCAGGACAAGTTATCGAACTGCCAAATTGAAGCTATAGTTGACTACCGCGATATGATCGCCCACCCACCAAATGGCGAGTGGGCAAAGATGGCACCGCTCCGTGTTTTGTCATTCGACATTGAGTGTGCTGGTCGACAGGGTATTTTCCCGGAACCGAATGTGGACCCGGTAATCCAGATCGCGAACGTCGTTACCCGATACGGAGAAGAAAAGCCTTTCATTAGAAATGTTTTCTGTCTCGACGAGACAAGTCTCATTGTGAACACCCAAGTGTTGGAGTTCAAAAAGGAGGAGGCGATGCTGATGGCATGGCAAAACTTTGTGGAGAAGGTCGATCCGGATGTGATCATTGGATACAATATTGCAAACTTCGACTTTCCCTATCTTCTTGATCGCGCCAAGCATCTTAAGTGTACACAATTCCCTTACTGGACCCGATTGAAGGCTATGAAAACGGAAGCGAAAGAGTCCAGCTTCTCTAGCAAGCAGATGGGCAACCGAGAAACAAAAGCAACGAACACCAATGGTCGGATTCAACTTGACTTGCTCCAACTAGTGCAACGAGATCACCACTTGCGAAGTTATACCCTCAACTCTGTGTCCTATGAGTTCCTGGGAGAGCAGAAAGAAGATGTCCACCACACTATGATCACGGAATTGTTCAATGGAACTCCGGATTCTCGACGCCGTTTAGCAGTATACTGTTTGAAGGATGCTTATCTACCGCAACGATTGATGGACAAATTAATGTGTCTGATCAACTACACGGAGATGGCGAGAGTTACGGGTGTTCCTTTCAACTTCCTCCTTTCTCGAGGTCAGCAAGTCAAATTCATCAGTCAGCTGTTCCGGAAGGCCCTTGAACAGCAACTCGTCATTCCAAATCAAAAAAGTCAGGATGAACAAGATTATGAAGGTGCCACGGTCATTGAACCGAAGCGTGGATACTATGGCGTGCCTATTGCAACCCTTGATTTTGCGTCGCTGTATCCCTCCATCATCCAAGCGCACAATCTCTGCTACACTACTCTCCTTAACAAGACCGCCGTTGAGAAAATGGGTCTTAAGAAAGATGAAGACTACATTGTCACCCCAAACGGAGACATGTTCTGCACAACAAAGGTTCGCAAGGGTCTTCTGACACAAATTCTCGAGGAGCTGTTAGGTGCACGTAAGCGTGCAAAGAAAGAACTGGCCACTGAGACTGACCCGTTCAAGAAGGCTGTGTTGAACGGTCGACAGCTTGCCTTGAAGATTAGCGCAAACAGTGTGTATGGTCTCACTGGTGCCACAGTTGGCAAGCTTCCTTGTCTGCCCATTGCCAGTAGTACAACCAGTTACGGTCGCCAGATGATTGAGAAAACCAAGCAAGAGGTGGAGGAACGATATACCATTGCCAATGGGTATTCCCATGATGCCCAGGTCATTTATGGTGATACTGATTCTGTCATGGTCAAGTTCGGTGTCACTGAGCTGGCTGACGCGATGAAACTTGGTGAGGAAGCTGCGGACTATGTCTCATCCAAATTCATCAAACCTATCAAGCTGGAGTTCGAGAAGGTGTATTTCCCATACCTTTTGATCAACAAAAAGCGATACGCCGGTCTGTACTGGACCAACACGAAGAAGCACGACAAGATGGATACCAAGGGTATTGAGACGGTACGACGTGACAACTGTCTTCTTGTCCAGAATGTCATTGAAACTGTTTTGAACAAGATTCTCATTGACCGTGATGTCGATGGCGCCCAAGAGTAAGCAATACCATATCTCTTGTCTGCTTGAAGCATGCTAACAATGCGACAGATACGTTAAATCGACCATCTCGGATCTTCTGCAGAACAAGGTCGATATGTCCAAACTGGTCATTACAAAGGCCTATGCGCAGAAGGAGTATACCGCCAAGCAAGCACACGTCGAACTTGCCAAGCGCATGGCCAAGCGCGACGCTGGTTCCGCCCCTGCCCTTGGTGACCGTGTGGCCTATGTAATGATCCGCGGTGCCACGAACTCTAAGAATTACGAGCGAGCCGAGGATCCCATCTATGTGTTGGAAAACAACGTCCCCATCGATACCAAGTATTATCTCGACAATCAACTTGCCAACCCCCTTGGTCGTATTTTCGAGCCCATTCTGGGCGAGAAGAAGGCCAATCAACTCCTGAATGGTGAACACACTCGATCCATTTCTGTTGCTGCACCTAGCTTGGGTGGTCTCATGAAGTTTGCCAAGAAAACCCAAACTTGCATGGGCTGCAAGAAGCCGCTGTCTGGCAAGGAGGAGATGGCTGGCGCCGTTTGCGAGAACTGCAGGCCTCGTCTTGGTGAGCTGTACACCAAAACTCTGACCAAAGTTTCAGACCTGGAGGTGCGATTTGGTCGTTTGTGGACACAGTGCCAGCGATGTCAAGGCAGTCTTCACTGTGAGGTTATCTGTTCATCGCGTGATTGCCCCATTTTCTACATGCGCATGAAGGCAAAGAAGGATGTTGAGGACTCGCAGAAAGAGCTTTCTCGATTCGACTTCGATGCTGGATCATGGTAATGACCGTGTGGGTATTTAATTGTTTACTGCAGCATTTTTCATTTGCGATGGGCCGGGGCGTAACTTTTAGGTTGGCGTTGAGGGATGTACACATGATACTGCATGATAACCAATATCAAAACACCTGGCAAGTTCATTGAATCAAGATTTTGTACTACAACCGAATCCCTGTAGAATCTGTAAATTGTCAGAAGGACATCATGGTGTATCACAGGGCCATGGATGCAATCTGCAATCTGTAGGTCCAAAGTGGATCCTCTTGGCGCGGAGAAGCTTCCATCCCCGCCGATCCCTTCAAGATTTCTGACATCTTCGTCCCTTCCATAATGATACCCCCAGCCTATACCGCCATGAACGCTGCTGGAGATCAAAATGGGAGCAATCAGCACTCTGTCCTGCATGGCCTTTCCATGGATGGCCCTTCGATCCCTTGGGCAGAGGTATGTCGTCATGACTTGTTCTCCGTGCTCCGCATCAAACGAAAAACAGCAACCGCAAAGCAAGCTCCCGTCGCTTGACGCCCACTATGGTCAAGAGACCTCATATACTGACATTTTCTCTCTAATTTGTGCAGATCTTCTCCCGGCATGAGACTGTTCTCTCGTCTCACCTCCAGATGCTCGATGAGGTAAAGGGTCATGTCTCAGACGATGAGGCTCTTCGGACTGTATCCTCGATGCTCAATAAGACGATTCAAGCAATGAGTCAGCTCAAATTTGTCCGCAAATACACAGTATGTCTTTGAAGGTTCAATGAATAGGAGGTGACGTACGGCTAACATTGTCTGCATTAGTTAAACAGTATGTCACCAGAAAATCCTGTCTCGAAGCCCTCGACGCACGTACATCCACACGACAAAACAACACCCCCAGAACCCAGCTACCCTAGTCTGGCATGGAAATGACGGTTATTTTGCAGAGCAAACCTCCGATAATCCCTTTCAATCCACCTCCACAACATCCAAAACACGCGCCGCAGAGTCCCCAACCCCACAATCCACGGACACAGAATATACGGCGCGTCGGAAGCGATCTCGCACCGACAGGGATTTGGAGCCTAGTGCCTCAGTCGACCCGGCCGAAGAGTCTCGTTCCTCTAAGCGCAAGCGCGACACACCTTCCTACCAACTTCCAATCAATCCGCCAGACTCCAACGAGACAGAAGACATATCCGAAGAGGTCCAGCGACGATTACGCATCAAGGAAGAGCAGCGCCGGAAGAAAGAAAATTCACAACCTGAGAAGCGGAAACGGGACAGTATGATTTCGAACGAGAGTACATCGCCCGGCCCATCACGCCATCGAAAGAAGCGACCCAGAGTGGGCGATGAGCTGAGTATGTCAGAATTGGCCGGTGGTTCCGTAAATGACGAGGGAAGAACAAAGAAGATGAAAAAAGTGCGGTAGATGGGGCACATGTCCCTGCACTGAGTTTTGGGCATCAATACTTGGTTTACTCGGAGATTACCCATCCATTGGATTCTTGTATAAATACTTATACCCAATATCATTACGATTCCACGTCACAATCTGGGAAGACCTTGGATATGTGCCTTGAGTGAGACTATATGCATATGTCTCCGATTGGTAGTCATATTTCTTGTCACCTAAAAATTACCCAGCTCTGGATACCTCGGTTGTATAGATATTCAAACATATGCAGAGGTGAGAACTATGACGGAGCTTCCAAGGCTGTCATGCAAAAAAGTGTAGCTCTATAGCAACGCACAGCGATTTCACTGTTGGTATTGTCTTCGAACTTCGTCTCAGTGGCCACACCGAGGGTTCATGGACCAGCAGGAAGACCAATTGCTCCAAGGTCCAGGTTTGCCGACCTCTTGCGGAAGTTCTCGCATCTCAACGCCCCACATCTATGGATCACATGTGGAGCCTGCGATGTTCTCTCGGCCACTCATAACCTGTGATCCACCTGAAAGTAAAAAAAAGTAAAATCTCAATCAGGCAAAAAGGAAAGGCCAGGTTAATCCTGAAGAGAAACCGAACGCGGGGGTCGAACCCGCAACCTTGAGATTAAGAGTCTCACGCTCTACCGATTGAGCTAGCCCGGCTTGCTTGTTGAAGACTCTGTCGATAGTTTTATACAAGTTCCAGCTGACAGCCTCACTCTTGACTTGGTAGTATCATGGAACGGACAGCTTAGGCCTATTATGATTCAAGACTAGGATTGAAGATGCTATGTCACATTTTAGGTCAGTATCAACTCTGGAAGGTTTACTCTCAGGCATATACTTAAATGACCAGGAGTCTTTCAGAAGACATCTATCGAGAGACCTGTATTGTACTTGTGATAATTCGTGAGCACCTCGGCAATCGCCAGTCACATGATAGAAGTGAACAGTGAACAGTGAACAGACGTTCCAAGAAGCTGAAGTGATTTTGATGAGCGCCGCTTCTAAGGATACATATTGTCACCGTGATTCCAATATTTCGAGGAAAATTCAATTCAGTAACGTGCCACGCCCATCAAACAGCCCCAAAAATGTGATCCTTGGCATGCTGAGGTATTGTCGCAGGACGCGCCGGTTACCAACATGAAATTTACGGACAATAACCACCACCAACGCCACGGTTTTCCCCAGATACGGAGCACAGCATAACGAAGTCCCACTCGCAAAATATGCATGTATAAAAGCCTGCACTACTTACACTACATCGGCACAGCCTCAGATTGACGTAGAATCCACTACCGAACCCTGCCCAGCCACAATCGGCAACTCGGATACACTCGTTGCGACTGAGCCACGGGAAGTTGCTAAAAATAATATGAAAGATTTGCACAAATGACAAAGCTTATCCGAAGCTTAGCGCAGGACTGAGTGGGGCCGGAGTTTCCCTTTCATCACCACGTAACGGGGCTGTGGAAATTGGAATCTGAGCCGTGGATGGTCCAGGCACCAGCAAATTGTCTCCGTCCTCCATGGAACAAATCGGTTATCTATTCAACACATTGACTTTTGCAGTATCGAAGGTTCCTCGGTAGCGGAAACGTACTTGAGAAAATGTGGCTGAGATCGACAATCCAACAGCCATTCAAGACGCTTAATGTAGATTACGCATGATCATGACGACGCCAGGGCCTCTGACCCAAATCGAGTGGAGACGCGTATCAGGGTTTTCGAAGGGCCATTACATCGGTGGAGTTGACAGCGTAATTTAGTGGGTTTGACTTTGCCGTATTCCGTAGCGTTAGCGCTGATGTATACCGATCTCTGCACCACGTACATGGGTCTCGGAGTTGGAGTTTGACCTCATAAAGAAACCTGTTCCTCCCGTCTTTTTCCTCTTTCTTCTTCATATCTCCCATTTACATAACCCAAGCAAAAATAAGCTTTTCTTCAAAATCTTCATCGTTCTACTCCAAAATGTTCGGCAACGGTCTCTTTAACTGGTTCTCTTCCTCTAAGCAGGAGGCTGCCCCCGCTACCTGGGATGCCAATACTGCTACTGTGCAGAACCAGCAGCCTACCAGTCCTGATGCTCCCTCCACCGAGCACGTTGTCTCTGAGCAGCCTGTATGCGATCACATTCATCCTTATCCTCCTCGGCATTTTTAACTGATGATTATGATAGAACTCCCAAGAGAACATGAAGCTGCGGGGTGGTGGTGCGGGTGATGTCTGCTGTGGCGTGTGAGTAACCCATCTACTTCTCCAAAACCGAAGTCTATACTAATTCCATGTAGTTGCGCTGGTCTTCTCTGCTTCGAGTGCTGCGAGGACTGCTGCTAAGCATCCATCCATTACACACCAACCAATTTTTTACGATCTAATCACGACGTCAACGCCACTGCAATTGAGAGAGCGCTCCCCATGAATAAATTTCCCCATGGCAGATTGGACCACGTCTGGCCTTAGGGTCATCTAAGAAACTGGATAGGACAGGATTACTCGCCTAGCCGATAGGAACGGTGGGCTGTGGCCATAGAAATCGTTTGGGGGCATTTACTCCTTTCTCAATTTGATATTTATCCTTCTGTGCCATTATGGCCGTCACTGCTTTTTTGCGGGCGTCTTGCAGTCTTTCGTGGACTTTCGTTTGACTGGAGAAGAGCCTGTCAGATCAATACCCTCTTAGCCAACTGAATCTTATCTGCTGTTTCTTGATATCAAAACTCTTATCGGAGGTTTGCTTTTTCCTTATTCACAATTAGTGATATCATCCTAAGAACCGCTAGTCAAAGTAGTATTACCCAAAGTGCTGAGAGGCTGCTTCCCCTTCAGCGCTATGGTCTATTGGTATATTAAAAACCAATGTTTCTCAGTAAAGAGCATCGATCTGGCAGTAAGAAAATCGATATACCAGTAAAGTAGAGACAAATCAACTGCTAAGATACTGAATCGGAGGTTGGAAGTGAACCATTCAATGCGTGGAGATGAGAAAGTTCTATGTCTATGTCCGAAAGATCCTGTCAAATAGCCAGAAAAAGAAAAGAAGTTGATTCAAATGTTAATATGTCACAGCTAAGCAGACAACAGAGCTATGCCTGTAGGTAGTCCGCAGGTAAATGTACCATTAAACCCGAGTTCCTTCGACTGGGCCAGCCAAGCTCAACATTTTAATATCAAAAACGGGAGAATGGTAACCTTAAAACGCATTAGACTTAAATCTTCCACAGTAAGATCTTGAACGTACCATTTTCCGCGTAGAGTTATCACCGCCCAATTGTTGCCGTCAGCATCGGTCTCCTTCTCCACCTTCGTCGAAAACGAGATGGCACTCATGATTCCATCGCCAAACTTCTCGTTCAGCACTGCCTTGTATGCATACCCATAGTTTTGCACAATTTCATACAGCCTATAGATGAGAGGCTCCTTCGGTGGCATTTCAACTGATCGACCGCGGTCCGGGAATCCACTCAGCTGTTCCTCTAGCAAGACTTCGGGAATGTCAAGCACTTCAGACAATTTCGCGATATCCTCCTTCGATGCTTTGGCTTGACCATAGAAGATGGCGGCAACAGCCACTTCATTGCGGCCGATATGCGTTGCGATGGCCTCGAAGCTCAACTGTTTTGCTGCTTTGGCGGAGAAGAGGGTGGCCGCTGAAGCGGGGAGATTGGGGTGTTGCGATGTCTGTTCGTGGTTAGTAGAATTCGAGTCAGGTGGGCTTAGTCCATACATCCAAAGTTGCGAGAGACATGATGATTTATTTTGCAGGTAGGATTGGAAAGCAATGAGGTGGAAAGCAGGAAGTATTAAGGTGTTGGCGGGGTATCACATAAGTGCGGGGATCTGTTCCAAAGTACTGCATGTTCCACCAGTATAACGTAAGTATAACGTAGAAAGGTTCATGACTTCATGACCCGAAAGGGCATAATATGGCATCCAGCCATCGAATCTACCGTGAATTCACGCACAGTCCGGCTTGGTTACAATCTTACAGTAATTGGAATTCCATTTAGTTTTCTCATGTTCGATTCATTCACTGTACATTGCTAACGATCAGATAGGCGATTTCGTGCCTACATGACACCCTCAGCTACTGCACGCAAATAGCGATGCTCGAGATTTCGTGATCAAGGGCTGTAGATGGTAGGAACAATTCTCCGGCTAGTTTTGCCCCCAACAACTGCCTACATTGCTTTACCTTCGCGACATCACCAATCCCTACCTCAACGTAAATTTTTCCTCACTAGTAAAGACCTGAGCTTCTAGTTAAGCGCTAAAGGAAAAATTGTTTCTTGAAACTTATTGCTATGTTGTTACATAATTGAACGTGGATCAGTGGACCAGTGGATCAGTGGAGCCGGGGGAAGGGACCCGAGACGATATCCAGACTCCCAATTCCGACTCTTGTACCATGACGGCAATCATTTTCTCTACGAGAACATCATTGATGAATCCAAGGACTGGGATAAAAACAGCTCCCTCATGCTAAGTCCCTGGGGTGTCCCAAGTTCTATGTTCAGAATGACGGGGAACAAGAATTCAAATGGGTCGAACACGCCAGTTGGGCTTGCAGCTGCTCACGAGCCCAAGTCCAGCGGAGATTGGTGCGATGATGAAGCCAAACTGACAGGAACCTCTGATTTGGGCCCATTGTCTCATTATCCCACGCATTCTCGAGTTCCTGCTGAATCGCGCCCTAGTATAGACCCCTGTTCCTCTGGCGGACCCGAGCAACGCCCATGACCATAGTCGAGAAGAGGTATGCGACGTCAGGTTGAGATGGACTGAATAATCTTGATGTGTCCTGGTCCAGTAGGAGATCCAAGGGCGTGACTGTTATGAGAATTGCCTCTAGTATAGCCCTGCTGTACAAGCGGATAGGATGAAAATAGATATATAATCGTGATCGCGATCAGCGATGATGTAATGTTTAGATCCACGAACCATTGACACTGTTTGTTCGGATGCCAGGAACGCGTCCATGGGGCATATTGTGAAATAACTGAATATAAATTGGATACACAAAGAAAATATAAGGCTGAATTAGAAACTCGAAAATGTAACAGATCATACGCGGAAATAATCTAAGCTGACGCGGGGCACTGCCGATCTCATCACGCACTGTACATGTGGCATGACATCGGCACCTGCACGGATCATGGAATGGTTCACTGGAGACACGTTGAACTAAATTTTGTTACCTAAAGTAGCACACTGGATTTATTGGTGTTTCTTGGCTCACACACGCTATACGTATTACGACACAGCCACGACTCCATCGTGGCTGGGCAGCGGGGCATCGGAGCTTCATAAAACAATCCCCGCCCAGGCACCCTAGTTCCTCATTTCTTTCTCACCATCCTCCCCTCACGCAGTTATGTCGCAGCAGAATGATGATTTGGCCTATGGCCACTACAACGACTCTTCCAGGGGTCTAGGTGACACCTTCAAGAAGTTCTACAAGAGCCACGGGAGCTCATCGCAGCCGGGTCAACCGGCTCAGCCCTATAACCAACCATACAACCAGTCGGGATCGCAAGGAGTATGGTCATCTCAACTTCATCTGAAATACATATCTAACAATAGTTTTCATCCGCAGACACACCAGGACCAAAACCAGCCCCCACAATATGGATATAGCAGTCAGACGCCTAATCCGCAATACCAACAACATCACCAGGGACAGCCACAGAAGCAGGACAAACTTTCTGGTTTCCTGGGTAAGATTCAAGGTACTGTCACCGAGTATGGCTCGGAATGGGCTGCCAAAATCGGCAACACCATCGATCCCCAGGCCTACGCCCAGTACGGCCACACCAACCCGACCACCGAGAATCGGTTCGGTAGCTTCGTGCCGCCCCGAGAGCACAACGATGTAAAGTGGTACGTGGACGGTGCGAGCTATTTCTGGGCCGTGTCTTGCGCTCTCGAACATGCGCGGGAGTCCATCTGGATTTTGGATTGTAAGTTCCCAGCACTTCCGACGTAGGTCCCCATCTAACAGGTAAACAGGGTGGCTCTCCCCCGAGCTTTACCTCAGACGCCCTCCGACCAAGAATGAGAACTACCGACTGGATCGTATGCTGCAGGCAGCTGCCCAGCGCGGTGTACGCGTCAACATCATCGTCTACAAGGAGGTGACACAGGCCTTGACACTCTCCTCTTCTCACACCAAAAAGGCTTTGGAGAGTCTACACCCCAATATCGCCATCTTCCGTCATCCTGATCATTTACCGGATGGACACCAGGTGGCATCTGATATCGCAAATGCATTCCAGCACCTGTCGTTGGATTCTGCCAGTCTGACCCGGATGAACAAGGATAATCTGAAGGGCGTGTATGGTGCGACCGACGAGATGATCCTATACTGGGCCCACCATGAGAAGCTCTGCTTGATCGATGGACACATTGCATTTATGGGTGGACTGGACCTGTGTTTTGGTCGCTGGGACACAAACCAGCACGCAATTGCTGATGTTCATCCAGAGGATTTGAACGAGACGGTTTTCCCCGGCCAAGATTACAACAACTCTCGCGTCTTGGATTTCCATAACGTTGCTCAATGGGAGAGCAACCAGCTGGATCGGAGGGTTTCTTCGCGCATGGGGTGGTCTGATATCTCGATCAGTCTGCATGGTGCCGTGGTGGAGGACCTGCGCCGACACTTCGTTGAGCGATGGAATTTCATCTACGATGCCAAGTATCAGTCTCGGAACGATTCACGGTACGCAAGACTTGCTCTGTATGGTCGACCTACCTCTGCGCCTGGTCAGCACCAAGGTGGCCAGCAGCAACCGTCACAGCAGCAGCAAACTCAGGCTGGAGGTGTGCCCACTTTCGCTCCACCCCCAACCAGCCAAGGCCAGCAGAGCCAGCAGAACCAGCCCTCGTGGCAGGCTGGAAGCACTCATCCTTCTGGAGCTCAGCCCTCTGCTAGCCCACAGCCGCAACAGCAATTGCAGCAACAACAGCAACCGCAGCAGGCGCAGACTCCATCTTATCAGCAGTATCAGCCTGCTACATACCCGCCTCCTCCCAGTCAGACACCTCAAACACCCGGGCAGGGCCAGCAACAACAGAATACCTCCCAATCCTGGCAGTCCGGAAAGACCGATTACCTTCCTCAAGGACAGTCCCCATCTCCATCTCACACTCAACACCCTCCTCCTGCATACTCCAGCAATGCCCCCCACGATCATGGGTCGGCTCAGTACTCTTACACTGGAGACTCGTTCCCGCCTCCGCCCCCGGGTCCTGCTCCAAGCCAGTCCCCTGCAAACCCATCCTACCACCATCAGCAGCAGGGACAGACGTCCTACTACCCACCCACCTCCAACCTTTCAGAGCTACCGGCCCAATCCGCTGAAAATTATGCGCCCCATGGTCAGTCTCAGAGCCAACAGTCCTACTACCCAACCCAGAACCAGGCGTCGGGTACGCAAAGCCAGGCACAGGCTCAGGCACCTTACTATCCGCCTCCACCGGGCCAAGAATCTCATTCTGCCACTCGTGGATTGGATGACCAGCATCACGACAGCGAGCGTGGCTTTGTGCCACAGCGCTACCAGGATAAGTTCTCTCAGTATGCGAACCCGCAGCACTCTGACGGGGAGCGTGGGTTCGTGCCGAAGCGGTACGAGGAAAAGTTTAACAAATACGTCAACCCACTTCGTGGACAGCTAGCTGGCCAGATTCATCAGTACCAAGATCGCCTGACCGGCTACGGACGTCCAGCATCACAGAGCCAAGGGCATATGTCTTGCCAGGTTGTGCGAAGCTGTACAAAATGGAGTAATGGTAGCCCTCTGGAGCATTCCATTGCCAACGCTTACGCCGCTGTCATCAAGAACAGTTTGCATTTTGTCTACATCGAAAACCAGTTCTTCATCACTGCCACTGGTGATAAGCAGCACCCGGTGAAGAATACGATCGGTGCTGCTATCGTGGAGCGCATTCTGCGTGCTGCTCGCGCTGGTGAGAAGTACAAGATCATTGTGGTGATTCCTTCGATCCCCTCCTTCGCAGGAGATCTCCACGACGATGAAACCCTTGGCACGCGAGCCATCATGGAGTTCCAGTACAACTCGATCAACCGTGGAGGGAACAGTATCATGGAGTTGATTGCCAAAGAAGGCTACAACCCCATGGAGTACATTCGATTCTACAACCTCCGCAACTATGACCGAATTAACAACGGAAATGTCATGGCTGCAGCGGAACAGCAAAGTGGTGTGAACTATGGTGATGCCAGTCATCAATACGACTTGAATGCTTCTGCTCCTATCAACTACAGCCAGCAGAATTCCCCTGCTCCTGCCTCTACTAACTATGGCCAATCCCCTGCCCCTGCCACTTATGGCCAACAGGGTACTCCTGCTCCTGCAAATTATAGTCAACAGGGTGCTCCTGCTCCTGCTTCTGCCAACTATGGCCAACAAAGCTCCCCTGCTCCTGCCAATTATGGCCAACAGAGTACTCCTGCTCCTGCCTCCGCCAATTATAGTCAACAAAGTTCCCCTGCTGCTGCCAACTATGGCCAACAGAGTGCCCCTGCTACTTCTGCTCATCGGAGTGTTTTCGACCCCACTGCTCCATTCCAGCAATACCAACACGCTGCCCAGCAGGCTCCTGGGAACAAAACGCCTGGTGCTGGACGTTGGGACAGCGTCAGCTCGTGCTACATGCTGGGCGGAGAAGACATTCGCAACGTGCCCTGGAACGGTCACCCCGATGCAGAGATTGATGCATTCGTGAGCGAGGAGCTCTATGTGCACTCCAAGGTAAGTAACCCCAAGGATAGCCACCGAAAACCAGTCTAATTCAAACAGGTCATGATTGCCGACGACCGCGTGGTCATCTGTGGATCGGCGAATTTGAACGACCGCTCGCAGCTGGGAGAACATGATTCGGAGATCGCACTTGTCATCGAAGATTTTACCCCAATCCAGTCGACAATGAACGGCCGGCCCTGGACTGCTAGTCGTTTTGCCTCATCTCTCCGTCGCCAGCTAATGCGGAAGCACCTGGGACTTCTACCCCCACAAGACTACCAGCGACCGGATGCTAATTTCGAGCCTGTCGGCGTCCCCAATCAGTTTGACTTTGACTGTCCAGAAAGCAAGATTGTGTCCGATCCTCTCTCTGACACTCTGCAAAGTCTGTGGAATTCGCGTGCCCACACCAACACGGATGTCTTCCGCAAGGTCTTCCACGCAGTTCCCGATGACAACGTGCGTAACTGGAACACATACAAAGAGTTCTATGAGTACTACTTCCATGGAGCTGATAGGGAGGCCGAGGGCAAGGGCGAATTCGGCCGACCGGCACGGTTCCAGTGGGGCCACGTTGTTCGCGACAACTTCCCCCTGGTCCCGATGGCGCAAAGCAGGTCAAAGAACTGCTTAGCCAGGTCAAGGGTACTCTGGTGGAGATGCCTTTGATGTTCCTTGGCGAAGAGGATATTGCGAAGACTGGACTGACTCTGAACGAGCTGACCGAGCCAATCTACACTTGAGATGGATGTTGGATTTATCATGTTGACACGACTCACGAACATGCGTTTTCGAGATCTGTAATTTGCATCTAAATTGAAATAGTGAGGTTTGCAAATCTCCGATCCATTGCAATCGTAAAGAAGTCAACCGAACTCAGAAGTTAAGCATAATCACATGTCCGCCGAGTCTTCCTTGGTATTGTTCTCGAACACAATACTAAGCCGTAAGCGCAGTGGATTCTGCTTTGTTCTTTAATCACTCATTTCTCCTGATACCCATCTTGTGGTTGCTCAACGTAGGCTTCTTTCAGTCTCTTAGTATTGTTTCTCCTACTAATCTCGCTAACCTGGCCTACCCTTTGAATTGCCCGTAGCCACGGCGTTTCGAGAGAACGGATACGACCATTTGCTCCCCGCGCCTCATCGGTTGGACTAATATTGTTTTTTGGAGAACAATCCTGAAGATCACTACTTCACTCCATTGGAGTTGCCAGCATGGAGGATGAGTCCCTCGAATCAACTCGCTGGTTCCTATCAGCCTCCCCAGCTTAGAGCGACGCCCCCTGATCGCGGATGGAGAACAATACTAAAAAAAACCAACCCACCAGCGAGAACAATCCTAAGAAACCCTTCACTCTAACACCTCGAACGTATTGTCCACCATTGTTCAATGGCATGATGCCCTACAGGAGCAGAGCTTCCGACTAGCTTCATGGAATTCACCTCCTACTCCGATACCACGATCAAATATAAATACTTCGAAGATTCCAGCTCAACCAGAACTTTTTCTTCATCATCCACTACACAATCTTCCAACTCACTCATCTTTCATCTTTCAAACAATCTTTCGCTTTTCAAGCAAATCAACCATCTACACAATGGCTGCCACTCAGATCCGCAACTCTGCTATCGTTAAGGGTATGCCATCTCAACTACATCCATCTATCAATCCGAAATCCGAGCATCATACTTACATTCCTTCTACAGCTTCCCCCGGTGGTGGTTGCGTTATCATGTAAATTCCTTATATGAACGCCCACCCAGCCATCCAACCAAACTCCACTGCTTGATCTGTTGCCGTTGATCACCAGCGTGGCGGGCAATGGAACGCTCAAAACATTTTTCTTCTAATCTACACGAATTTTCATGAGGAGATTTATCAATCGACACAAAACGAAACTCCCAACATGACCAACACCCATTTGCTATGACATTATCAGTCCAATTCATTCTTTTCCGGCTCAATCTACCATTGCTTCTCTGTTTTGCAAATTGTGGGGATGGCGTGGTTTCCGATCTCGATTTTCGTGGACTGTCTATGTACAGGGGATGATAGAAACTGGCGGACAATGTTGATTTCCTTTTCCTGTCGACTTCTTAGGTGTTTCAGCAAATGACGAAAACATTCGGTTGATGGTTCTCTTTGTGGATATTGTGCGGATTCGATGGTTTCTTTGCTTTGGTTCGGATGGTTTCGGATTTGCCTCGGTTATTTGATACTTCTTTTCTTGTTGGTCGTGCTAGTTGATAGGAATGCAGCATTATCTACCAAATATTTCCATTTTCCCTTGTAGTGTGTTTCACTGAGTAGTGGAATATTCTTGAAAGTATGTTCTTCTGTGCTTTGGCCCGTTAACCACGCATACCTAACATTTCGGAAAACTTTATAACATTTCAACTTGATCGTACGCAGCACAACTAAGGTTATAATATTGTTATGTATCGAAGATTATGATTGATACAACGAGCTTTGCTCAGGCTCCAAGTTGATATACATCGTAACAATCTCGACAAGGAGGAGGAGACGAAGAGAGTATCAAAAGATGATCACTTGAATTCCTCAAAGTCGATGACTATCAGATACAAGTGGACACATGGGAATGTTTCGTGCATTGCGACTTGCCTAGTTCAAGAACCGTTTTATTGGCGGTCCAAAGCAGTGCGCCTTCCCGCAATGATAGGGTCTTGTTTTGACTTTCTTGAGGTAGCTAAGTGTCTCTTCTTACTATCCCTCTCTTTCTGGCACCGTATGTCAAATACGTACATCTTAAACCAAAACACTTCTATTCCTCTCCTGAGTAGAAACAGCAACATCCAAACCCGGATTTCCCGTAAAGAAATTTACCGGCTTCAATCCAACAACCATCTTCTCTGACGGCATAACAGGCCAATCCTCAATGCGGGGATTATGTGTCGATCCAAAAGTGTGCCAGACGACTATATCCTCATTTCGCACATTGTTTTTACTATCAAGGTCGTCCTTTCTTTGCTGGATAACTGAACTAATTCCTTCACCGCCAAGTGATTGCATAGTGTGCCGCCCAGAAGGAAAAAGCTCATCATCCTTGTAGCTGGTCACCCAAATGGCATGGCTACCAAACTCAGACCGTTTGGCATGATAGGATTTCGGGTGGGCGAGGAGCATCTGGCTATAGCATGGAAGAAGCTTGAATCCTACTGGCGTACCGGTAATTGGGTTGATAGTATTTTCATTGATGATCTTGAAGGTCCGATTCTTGGTCACGTCGAGATCTAGTCCGCCTTCTTCTGTGACGATCTTGGAACTCGTCGTATAGCCTACCCCGAAGGGATTGTGAATTGCCGGGTTGTCGATAGGTAATGGGTGGGACTCTTCAACTTGTAGAGAGTTTAACATTCCATCGATGGAAGGGTCAATCCGAAGAGAAAAAAGGTGTTGATGATAGGGTGCCAGAACACCGGGTGCGACGACGGTGCCATATCCGACGCTATCGCCGATGTTGATGGGGCAGGTGGACAATATGCCCGTAGCTCGTACTTCATAGTGAATAGACGCATCCTGACCGAAGTGAAAGGCAAAGATATACTCATAGTTGCTGACCGTAATGATAGTCTGCAGGACCAGAATCCGCGATCGAGTAACAACGGCGTTCTGCGTCCGGAAATTGGTGTGCTTCCAAAGAATTCCATCATCCTGTTCATGGCAACAAATCACATTGGGAAGTTTGACCGCGTCACCGGTCATGGTATTATGCCAGCCGTCAAAGTACTTAATCACGCCAAGGCAATCGCAGCCCAGGCGGAGGTTATTTGCGTTGATGCCGGCGCCGTCATTCCCGAGGTCGAAGGCTCCTTTGCGGGGGAATGGAGATCGAGGATCGCCGTAGGGTACGAACATCTCCGATAGTGACATACGGTAGAATAAACTGCGGTCATCATAGCGGATATCGTGAAGAGTAAGTCCCTCACGGTAGTTAAACCCCACGCGCATTGTCCACTTCTCCCACGACACAAGATTGCCATCAGTCTTGAAAGATGGACCTTGCGGCTGGACAACTTGATACGGTTTCGTCGATGTGCGTGGTGGCGGTCGGAGACTGGGATGGTATTCACTCAAATCGGGCGAGTGAACCTTGTTATGGTCATAAGGTCGTGCGTCTTCAGAGATTCGATCGTCTTCCGACGATGGCAGGTGATAGATCTTGGTGACTTGCAGTTGCTCGGAAACCTCTGCACATAAATCGAGAGGATACGCATAGTAGTTCGCGTCTGGGTTTTCGGAAAGACGCATATAGAACCAACACTACATCTGTCAACTGACCGGCACAGCATTTTTTGCAGGATCCTTGGCCTCACCATCGATGTGCGCTCGGTCATATCGCTCATCCCATCAGTGGCATATGCCCACGGTTCGATAACAACAGTGCTCCCTTCAGGTAATTTGAGCTTCTGGATTTCGACTTCAATTCTCGGATCGGCCCTGCAAGCACTCTCAACTGCCTGCATATAAGCAGAATCTATATACGGATGTTTCCCTGGTAGATGTTCCTTTTTTAAGACCACACCTTCGTCAAGATTGACAATCAGCTCCACCATCTCGTTTGAGCCCGATTGAGTTTGGGTTATGACCTGAACCCGGGCATTTCGGGTAGGTCGCGACATTTGAGACTGGCCCTGATGCTCCCGCTCCAGAAATTGAAGCATCTCTTTTTTGGGTGGCTCTTGGAGTGTAATGACGCGAAAGTTGGGCAAATCCCCAGCGAATTCATCTCGCACGATTGTAGCGGCCTATGATCAATTTATGAGCGATATCTCGGAAACTGCTAGGTAATGCGCTACCTGAGTGATCTCCACCGGGGTCAAAGGATCGAATGGGTGAGGAATAGGAGTATGCATTCTGAATATATGGGGATTTCCGTGATGTTCTCGGTATTGGTAATTTAGGTATTGGAGGGCCTGACATTAGAGGGAGATTTCGCGAGGACTTGTATCTTCCATAGAGATAAGATAACGTTTCCAATCTCCTGGGAACTTTGTTATCAAAGCGAGTGTCCCCTAAAGTATAAGAATAGCCGGCAATCGACGCTAGAATTGCCCCGCAGATGCGGGATATTCGCTAAGGTTAAGATTAGACGGACCCCGCCATGGCCAGCGACCCCCTAATTTCACTCCTTTTTGCAAGAAGTAAAATATTGTGTAGGCTAAAGAAGACTGCTTTGGTCTATTCTCAGACAGCGACTAGCAATTGCCAAGCTGGATGAAAGGGGTTCCTGCAGCAAAGGTTATGTGGATGATACATAGTTGAAGATTCCCATATGACTCTTCTCTTTTATCCTTCAAATTTACAAGGCAAGACCATTCGAAACAGCATATATTGGATCTGCCCATGCGTGCTTTCCAGAGACATGCGCCTGCGAACAGCAATTACAGATCATAGCCGTCAGCTCAAACGGCCAAGTAATTCTTGAGATACCGAAGGACCATGATACAAGAGGAAAAATACGAATTGGGCATTAGGAATCTCAAACCTCATTTCGCAGGTATTCTGATTGTCTCTGTTCTAGTCCAGCGACCGTACAATCCATCATCACGAGTCTCAAACGCCCTTGTTTGCCACACATAAAGATAGCAGTCAAAGTGGGTCGGATCTCCACTGATCCGTCTTCCAGAAAAGGGATGATCAGGTTGGCTGACACCGGCAACCGGATTACCGTTGATGAATAGCGGGTTGTGTAGGGATTCCCCGTGGTAGGTGATTGCCGGGGTGGGTTGATGGTAGGGATTCCCCGTTGTGGGCCCATGTAGGTAATCCCCAGTAGGGATTCCCCGTGCATAACTTATAAGAACGCTGTTGGTCATTTCTGTTCCTGCATATCACGAGCAAGTCAGCCCCTGCAAGATGGATATTGTTCTAGATATTCTTGATACTTTTGTCTTTGATCGATGCTATGCATCACTCCTACCGGATTCATCATTTGGAAACTCTACCTTGGACTTCAAACCGCCAGTCAACCAACATGTTGGCATGTACTATCCATTGCAAGCATCTGACCTGGCATACGCAAGTCTATGGAAACGAGACGATCTTGTCAGACAATTCGTCTCATTCTTCTTCATTGCATTGTATGCACTCTTCAAACCGAACTCGCCAACATCATTGCCCTAACAAACTATAGAATCTTTGCCTGGGCATTGTACCTCATCGGTAGCTTCGTCCTCTACCACACCATATTCGATAAAAGAATGCTCCAACACCCCCGCTTCCTTCCCAACCAAGTCTCCCAAGAAATCGCCCAAGGTCTCTCCTCTATCCCAGTGATTTCCCTCCTCACAGCTCCCTTCTTCGTCGCCGAAATCAGAGGCTTCTCGAAGCTATATGATTTCAGCAGCGAGTCTCCCTTCTGGGGCTACACGCTTCTGCAGTACCCGCTCTTCATCCTGTTTACCGATAGCGGAATCTATTGGATTCATCGGGGATTGCATCACCCGTGGGTGTATCGGTGGTGCCACAAGCCGCATCACAAATGGGTTGTGCCGACGCCGTATGCTAGTTATGCGTTCCACCCCCTAGATGGGTGGGCACAGAGCTTGCCATATCATGTCTTCCCGCTCCTTTTCCCGTTGCAGAAGTGTGCTTATTTGGGGTTGTTTATGTTTGTTACTTTGTGGACTGTATTGATTCGTGAGTTTTCTTTATCCCGAACCTTTTGCTTTTGTTTGTGGGGACTGTTGCTAACTTGGTGTTCTAGACGACGCGGAGTATCTGTCTACTTCGAAGATCATTAATGGTGCGGCATGCCATACCATGCATCATCTGTACTTCAACTATAATTACGGGCAATATATTACGCTGTGGGATCGTCTTGGAGGGACGTACCGCACACCAGAGGAGGATGCGTTCAAAAAGAAGCAGAATGAGGAGGAGAAGGCCGCGAAGGCTTTGAAGAGTGTCAAAAAAGATAGCTGAAGGAAGAGAAAGTCCCAAGCTGTATATTAGTATCATTAATAATCCATAATATTTCATTCCTGTTGTAATCTAGTTGCGCCGCTCAAATGTTGCATAAAGTCGTTGAGGTTGCCCAGTTCATCAGTTGCCGTGTTATTAAGATAGGCAAGGCCTGCCCCTGGTTGGTTGGCAATATCCAACGTAGCCGTTAGAAGCCACCACAGCTCTTCCGCATGTTTCGGGTAGCCGAGATGGAGGAACTGCTTCTGGTCTATTGAAACCATCACAGAGTCCCATATTCGTTTCCAGTTCTTTGCGCCACGGCTTATTGTGCCGAGTGGGAGGAATTTCAAGAGACCTGTCCTAATCTGAAAGGCAAGGGAGCTCATTGCTGGTAAACTAGATTAGTATTAAGCTTTGGAAGCGTTGTAAATGAACTTACCATAGATGAGAATCAAAAGATTCTCGGCAGATAGGGAAAGACTCCACGGAATCGGGATCCCTGGTTCAGGAGTTTCCAACAGCTGAGTAACCACGTCTCTTAGAGGTGGTATGGGATGTTCTGTGGATTTTCCAGCCGCAATCCGAGCAAAAGACTCGGCATCTTCAGCTTCCCATAGCTCGGCACACCATGGCAAATGACAATCCATTTCAAATACGGATAACGCCGGATGGTTCTTAAAACAGACAGTAAGGAATCCATCTGCTAAGAACACCCAGCAAGCGATTCTGTCCAGAATGAGAAAAAGGAATCCAATGGATGATATGTAACTGATCGACATACCGTATGCACACTTCCTCGGCGACTAGAATCCTCCACGTCCGATCATCATGGACTTTAGGTGCCGTACGCCGCTTCAGCTGAAAAATCCCCAGCGACCGAATAGTGGACACCAAGCAGGGATGTCGCATTATACGAATGCGACGCCTCGTCTGCATATCATCACGACCAAACTGGAGCATTTCCATGATAAGAGCGGCTTGCACTAGATGAACCGTCGGTAGAATATGCGTAGGGTCCTTCGATGATGGCGTCGTCGTCAGATTTAGAATCTTGCGGAAAATATACTCTTCCGCCACATCGAAGATCCAAGGGGATAAAGTTGCACCATCCAATGGTGTTGTATATGTTGCGCCAGACAAGAATATGGCGAGCAAAAGCGGATTTGAGATGTTTCCGGGATCAAAGGTTGGGAAATGGATAACAGGTAAATGCCAGTGAAGTGATTGAAAAAAGGCCGAGATGAAAGCCGAAATATTGGATATTTCGAATAACGTGGTGAGTTGCATCATATCAAGCGGTCGATCTCCACCACCACTAGTTGTCATAGACTTTGAAGTTTCCACTAGCTCAGTCATTAACTCCGTTAATTGATTGGAAAGCTTTGAAGGGAAAAGCGCGTCGGATGGGTATTGGTAAAGAAGGGAGTCTTCTGTGGCAGATGGAAGCAAAAATGGAAATTCAGCCCCCCTGAAATCATCGGCAAAGGTTGCTAGTGGATCAGATGGTACAAGTGCATCTTCTAGATGAGAATAAAGTGATTCGAGGTTCCTGCGAATTGAGAATTTCGCAGTTTCTCCTATTGCAAGCCTGTCCTTTTTCACGGCAGGATTGGCAAAATGTCGGAGGAAGAAGAATGGATTGTTGCCGTTTACTGCTGCACGAGGTGTAGCATTAGATAGTGACGCTGGCAGCTTTGGCACGCAGGGGCCAACGGTGAGCGCTGAAGATTGGGCTCCAAAGGTACACTGTCGACCGATGGCACCGCAGCGAGTGCAGGGTGACTTTCTGTCGCATGCTGCTTTTGCCGAGAAACACTCGTCGCATGATTGCCTCTTTCTTCCTGGTTTTGCCGCGGGGGGAAGTGGCTGATCATGCTTTTTTGCGCATGTCTTGCTATGTCTTCGGGTGACCTCGCTAGTGGCAGATTAGCAACTGAGTCCTGCAAATGAAAATATCACTCACGGCTTTAGAAAAGACTTTTTGCAAAATGGACAGCTTGAACCAGCCTGCTGCATATCTAGTCATCGATCAGTTTGAGAAGTGTTCATGGCCAGTGATGAACCGGGACTCACGGGTAGTCTCATGACGGTGTAGGTGTGTCTTCCTGTGGTATGATTTGTCGCATTGTGAGCACCTGAACATGATTTAATTGAGGTTTAGCCCCTATATTGACACCATTGTTTGGAAAGCCGGCATAGTTGATGTCTGGTGCAACTCGGGAATTGACGATGCCGAAGCGCAAGAGGTCGGAGATAGCGCTAAACCCAAACAGGTAATCCCGTCAGCCTTCTAAAGTATGGAGTGCTCACTTAGAAGAACAAAATAATATTCACGGCGCTATAGATCTAAAAGCAAAGTCTTTGTACTTATTGCTAGTTTCAAAACTCGCTTTCTTGACGGATTTTTACTGCCTTGGCTTCCTCCGCTTCAGAATAGCTTGTCAAATCCGCATCGTCTGTCCCATAAGCTTCACTAATCGCATCTTCAATCTGATCAAGCGTGAGCCCAATCAAACCCAGGGACCGAGCAAGGCCAGCCTGACACATCTCTTCTCCAACTGCTGACTCGACGATTCCATCGCCACCCTTGGCAGGAAGATCCGCCTCAAACGTGCGGAACAGGGTCCGGAGAGGGGCAAGCACCTCACTACGGAAGAAAAGAATAGTCTTTTCAAGATGAAGCTGATCCCGGAGAGGAGAGGAAAGAAGTAAAAAGTAAAGGTTCAGTGCGGAGTGGAGAGCTGGGCCGTCCGTCTGAGTTAGGCTGATCCAGCCATCGATGAGCTTAGAAGATGCAGCAACTCTGACCGTCTTAAAGAGGAGTGGGAAAAGGGACCAGAAGTAGACTGGATCGTGAAATATTGTGTCAGATGAGGCTGCACCAATGATCTCGTCTTTCAGCCACGAAACAGCGCTTTCCCGAGCGGACTGCAGGCGATCATCTTCCAAAATTGTTTGAATGAGCTTGAATCGTGCGGTCGTGGATGGGTAGCTGTGTACAATTGCCGCTGGGATTTGGCGCACGATACCATACTCCTTGTTAGAGGTACATCCGGTTAGGGTGATGACAAAGTTTTTGAACTCAGTGTGGCTGGATGGTGTGGTAAGTGGTTCTTGTGAAGAAGAGACGGTCAAGGCTAAGAGCGAGTCGATAAGAGCTTGCGGCTGTCCATAGGCAACTTCGTCCAAGCTTTCGGTATTTCCCAGAAAATTCTTGTAGACCAAAGCTAGGTCGGGGAAGATGGGTATGCTCGGTACAGGTTGACCAGATCTGAATAAGGTTGCACCTGCGGTGCGGGCTGCAAGAAGTAACAAAGAGCCATGGCGCTCGAGTGAGATCTCATTTGCGGAGATGGGGGGCTCATCAAAGTCGAGGGGTTGAGGCTGACTATCGGGAGAGCTGGATATTATAGATACGAGATCGGTGGATTCGATTCCAACGTCCCTTGATAGAGCCTAGAGACTGAGGTCAGTATCCCGCTATCATTTGGTTGCCGAGACAGCTCGTTATCTTCCACGTACCACTATCTTTCCCATGATCATATCGCGTTCCTTCAACTCCTTGGTGGCAGCATACGCCTCTGTCTGGGACTGTTCAGGTAATTTCAACGCTGGGTTGAAGTGCTCCTGCATCCGAACCGTCCACGACATTCCTGGATCCATTGGACTCGGGTGACTCAGCAGATAAACTTTGAGTACTTCGATTAGACCGAACTGGATGAACTTTTCAACCAAAATGGTCTCATTGGCTACAGCCGGAGCCCCCTCTGCTTCTGGGTCTGGAGCGGAAGAAATCGAGTTCACACGCAAAACGGTCGACTGACTGTCGGACCTTGGGGGCGGGGCTGGTCGCTTGTTGGGGGAAATGTCTCGCAGGAACTCGAGGAAGGCTAAGGTCGTCTCGTCGCTCGGCATGGACGTGTAGGCTTCTAAGGCCGCTTGAAGCGAGGTCGCGATGAAACGGCTCGGAGATTTGGTCTTAAGGCGAGAATGAAGCTCTGACAGCATCGCCAACAAACAATTGAATTGGAGGACATGTGCAGGGAGAGGCTTCTCCTCAGATTCATCGTCTGCGACGTCCTCATCATCCTCGTCGTCGGGCTGTAGCTGCATCAGAGCCTCAGATACCCGCAGAATAACCTCTCGGGGGTTCCCTAATCTTGCAACGTCATGAAGGCAGTCTGTGGATGCTGGCAGCATTGGGAGAAGGAGCTTGACAAGATCCCAACCGATGTTGGTAGTAAGCTTCTCATCTTGAAGTAGCCGGTGCAGCAGTGGCAGGCGATCGGGTGTAAGTTGATATTCAAGGAGTGTCAGGTAGGTCAGGTAGTCGGTAGCCGGAGGCAGGGCTTTAACGAGCGGATTCTCAGCGTCGGCATCCATGATGTGTTGAGATTGTATGGTCGGTTCAAGTTGTTGAGGCTTAGACGTCCCGCGCGGGGAAGAAAGTAAAGAAAGTGACATCACTTAACTCAGCCACAAGTGGCGTGTGGCTTAACGCTGTTTCGGATTAGTAAAAACGGACATGCCCAGGAGGCGTGGGTGAGTCTAGAGCGAAAATGAAATTGGTTAGTCTAAAAAACCAACTGAAAATGCAATGTCAGATGATATGCAATGCTTAAATCACCCCGTGATCATAGACAGTGTCCCATCATGAATTGAGATCATTCTACGCTCCCGTTGCGTCGGCATCCGGATAACTTCACGTTGTTTCCCTATTGTTCTTCTCTCATCCGCAATGATCGTTGGTAGATGTCAAATACATGCCGTAAATCTAAAGATTGAGAAGCACCAAGTTTGACATCGTCATAGGTACAGTCCCGCTGGCAGAATTGCTTTTATGGTAATGGCGGGAACTATACTGCTGATTTCGAGATCTAAATACACCCCTTTGCTTCCGCCCTTTGGTCAGAGAAAGGGTATCCATGCTTAAAGGGAGTAAGCGTGCAAATATTTTACCGAAGGTGGCCATTTGCATATAATTGATCAACACTACAGTGCACTACTACCATATCAACGGATCCTCACATGCCCATGGTGTTGATCTGTTGATCCTTGCACGTTCTGTATGTATATGAAAAGATGCATACTGATTATGGATCAACCAGCCATTTTATCAAGAACGACTACCTGGCAGTGCTTCAAAAATTATCTTGCAGTCTGCAGGGATACATACCTGTGGCTTTATGTTAGACAGTCAGGTGTGAATACAGAAAACGAGATCACCGGCACATGTTGGCCAGGGGATACAGTAATTTTTGTTTCAAGACCAAACCGAACCTTATCTGAGACATTGAAAAGGGGTTGGAAGGTGAAACGGGAGTTTTCGAGGTGCGTTAAAAGGGTGTTTCTTTTCAAAGATAAGTCGCCACGTCATGCGCAAAAAAGACTACCCCTTGCTGAATCGACAGGGTACCGTTGGTGATGGATAACATTCCAAAGAAAATCGGTAAGTCAATTAGTACTCCTGTACCAAGCAGCAATGAGGAATCGATAAGAAAACCAAGTGCGTCTAGGGCTCAAATGTACGGTGACATTATTTGACTGTATGTGCGGTGAAGTGTGGATCCTTCACAACTTCTGTTTACAGGGAGGCTTGGAGCTTTGGAAATCGAGACATGATCAGAAACTTTGAAATCAAGCCGAGCATGGATTCGCTATAGACGTAAAACGGTTGCGCTTTTGCCCTGTGGACTGTTTATTGCCAAGGCATCGGTCCACCTTAGTAAAGCAGCCAAAGAGTCATGAATAACGACGTAAAGGCAGAAATTTCAATGATTCTCCAAACGTAATGGCTCAAATGATACACTTTTCTTGCCATGAATATTTAGTTGAACATTTTAGAGTCGTTGACATTGAACATTAGCTGCTCGGGGATTGGGACGTCTAGGAACTTGCAAAGAGGTCCCCATCCTTCTTGAACATGGTAAAGAAGCAGTTTTTCTGGCGGCACCATGCCTAATACAAACCACGTCGTATCCACCATATCCGCGTACAAATCATCCATAGACCATCTATATGTGGGGTAACGTCATACCTAGTACGCGTTTAAATCATCCATAGACTAGGTGTCTGTGAGGTGCACAAAAAACATCTACCAAATCAATCTTAACCACAATATCACCCCCCTAAACCATAGGGAGACGGTCGCCTTGCCGAACGGATTTCTTTCGATAGTTGTGAACGTAGGGATTGTTGCATAAAATGCCGAATAAGGTACGGAACGGTCCGTTTGGCGGGGTAAAAACAGCAAAAGCAGAAGGTAAACACATTTTTTATATTCACCAAGAAAGGAGGGGGAATCACGCGTCAAAAGGGAAGTCGTGAGCCCTCGAAAATGGTAAGGTACTGTATCACGTCTGTAGACTATGATCCTTTATAAAGATAAGGTAATGCTCTGGCCTAACTCTTCGAAAGGAAAGAGGGTAGGGGGACGGGGTAAGAACAGAAACCAGGCGTTAAAAGGAAAGCAGCAGGTAAGGTTCGCTTTGTCTCATATTATGATTATTCTCCTCGTTATATCCTATCCTTGTGGGCCGCATTATATCAGGCTCATCTATTGATATAACTCGATCAACTATGCACTACTTGTGAAGCTTTGGAAAATGCCCTTCATCCCCGTTTGATAGTTGGAGGGAAGCATTAGGCACATGCTATCCAGCTCATATCTAAAAAACATGTCCGTAGAGCCTTCAAGCAGTATGCTTGGACAGACATACATTCAAACCAGGGATCATCAAGAAAAGTCGCGAGAATAGGGGATACCTTCTCAATTAATCCATATCAAACGATGATTGGTACATTGGTAAAATTCGTGCAACACCCAACTGTAGCAGAACCCTTCAAACCAAGACTGTAGCGCAAAAAAAATTAAACGAAAAAGGCATGGCTCTCAGCAGGCTTTGTTAGATCTCCATGTGGAATGAACCGTATTTGTGGCACAGGTACGGTGAATCCTGGGTTCAGTTTCTTCAGTCCTCCAAAGATCGCGAGAGACTAACTACCTTTTCATCCATATTTGTAGCGATAAGAGGCAGGAAGCATCCAATTGGAAAGGGAAATCAATAATTGCCATTGTACATACAGTTTCATTCTTTTTGCTGGATACGTCATAGATGTACCTGGCAAGGTACCAGGTACCAGGAACTAGTATTAGTATTAGTAAGTGGGGGCAGTTCTACATAAGGCTCTGCAGCCTTGGAACATCCATGACACTCACAAACCTAATATTCTTTTAAGCCACCGCCTCTCCTGATGATCCTATGATTTGCTCTTAAATAACCTTTTCTTGTGCCGGAGTATACATGCACATAAGTTCATTGCGTACCGGCCATCTTTGCGCCGACCGGGGCGCGATCCGCTTTGATCCTATCATTCGGCCTGTATCAGAACTTAACCAGATTGTCAATTGTCGACGAGAAAGTTTTCCATTGCCATGATGAAATTAATATGGCAATAATGTATCTTCGGTCCCATTAATAGGGCTGAAAAACCTGAAATTTGGGGTGGTTACGTAAACCTATGCCGGTCCTTCCGATGCATACTTGCACCTGCTTTCCATGTTCCTAGACTTCTTGAGATCTTTTTGTACCTGCTCTTGAAACCGTCCTCTCTTTTCTCCATAAGATTGACCGGTTTCTTCTGCACGTTGTCTTCATCCTCCAGCATCTACCCTTTCGCCGTGGCTAGTCAGACCACCTCGTTCCTTGTACTGTGCATCAATCCAGCCCCTTCCTTATCCAACCAAGCTTCTTTTGCCTGGGCTTTTGAGGTTTTGAAGGGACAAGACGACAGGGAAAACATCAAATACCAAGAAGAAACCTATATCAAAAAAAAATCCATATATATCCCTTTGGCTTCGAGACTCCCTGCGATTTCTGTGATCGGCGAAGATCATCAGTATTCCAACAATCATGGCGACCGAGACGCAAACCGTATATACCACGTCGATGCCTACGCACATCCCTCATAGCTTGGCGATGCAAAAGCTGTTTAACAGCAAGCCAAATGTTCTACATAAACGGCGACGTAACCCCTTCCAGCGCTTGATCGACTGCGTTCGACTCGAATACTACCGATACGAGGTGACTTTCGGTCTTTACGTGATGACACGGAGTGAGAAGTGTGTGGCCAACTTCATTGTGTTGACCGTCTTGGGGCTCCTGCTATGGGCTCTAGCTTTCTATTTCCCGTCAATACTGTACCACAAGCTCAGCCGCCTGGTGTGGCTACTGACCGGGCACAGCGACGCAGGAGTCAGGGCAACAGAGATCCTTGACAAGCCTGGCATTTATGTCTCCCCTTCAGTTGCCTAGCCATATCCTTGCGACAGGTCTTTGCTCACCAAGGGCCCAAGGGGTATCACCTCCCTTGTACAAGTAACTGTGGCGCCTGTCTGTCTCACTTGCTTGGGGCTTCGATCGTTCACAGGCAGGACTACTCCATCAGCACATTTTCAGTGATCTGCACCACACCTGAATGAATGTGGTGGACTTCGCTTTGCTTCTTTACTTTCGATTTGGCGGTTTGATTCTTTCTTTTGCCCCCCTGAGGAGGGCATCCATTGCTTTCCAGCTTGGTCTTTTTTCCCTGGCGATTGGGGCATATACCACGTTGTCACACGACCTTCGGCCTATAGATATGGTGTGCTCCCTTGTTTTTAGCGGCGATCGACAATACCCGAGCACTATCAGTACACGCTCAACCCTTTCCTTTTTGCAGGGATGCACACAGATGGGCCATTCTAAGATGGCCCACATATCCTATTGCTATCCAGCTTAATATTTAATGTCAAACGTTGAAAGCCATTTTTGCCAATCCGTAATCTTTATTCGAGTCTTGTGGCGCAAGGCTTACATAGCGCGCGCTTGGCACTGCGGCTCAGATTGCGTAACGGTAACGGACAACACATCTTCAAAAAGTAGAGTAACGGTCTAAAGCCAAAACAGACCTAGATCCCGTTGCCATGGGCAAAATTACATTGATGGGTCTCCGTAACAAATCAGATCCTGTCTTTGTGCCAAGTGAACAGTCCGCGATACGGAGATGACGATACGCGCGGCTGTGTTGATCGCCCAAAAATAACTTTTTGACCTGATTAATGTGACTGCCTTCGCTCTTTCAACATTCATACTCACCTATGGCCTTTGGAAGTTCATCTTCCCCAACTTTCCTTTAATCGCCCTTTCACATCTAGACTTTCGATCATTCTCTCTGAGCTCTCCCGTCAGCGTTGTCACACCACTTACGACTAGGGTCCCCGATCGCTTGAACCCGCCAAACCTCGGCAATTGGCTAGCCCACCATGGCTGCCAACGAATACTACCACTCCAATATCCCCAGTCCACCTAGCTACGAGCAGGTCAATCCGGGAAAACAAGACCATGCGACTTCCTCTGCGCCCGGATATGGCTACGCCCCCAACCTCTCTAACCGTGACGACCCTTCCGCCCCTTATCACAGCCGCGAGAGTCAACAATCTTTTGCATCAGACAGTGGCGCTTACCATACTGCCGGACGAGTCGGAGAAGGCGATCACTACGCGGAAAATATTCCATTGAAAGCCCAAACACAGTTCGGGAATAATCCAGATTGGATGCATCAACAAACTCAATACCCGCCCGCATCACCAGGGGCCCTGGAAGACTCCCGGCGGGGACAGAACAGACGGAAGAAGGGCTTCTTCCAGAAGAAACCTGCATATGTGACGTGGACTTTAACGTTAATTCAAATTATCGTGTTTATTGTGGAACTAGTCAAGGCCGGTGAGTGACCATGACTTGTCTGAAACTGCGCTCAGTGGCTGATTTGTCTCTAGCCCAATTTACTGGCTCGCCTATCGAAACCAAACCTTCGTTCAATCCGATGATTGGCCCCTCATCATATGTTCAGATCTGGATGGGTGCCCGCTACGACCCATGCATGAAGAATATCCCCGGAATTCAAAACGCCAACGTAACGGTCATGTTCCCGTGTCCGAACGCCACGACCAGTTCATCTGATTGCACCCTTTCCGAGGCCTGCGGCTTCAATGGAGTCCCCAATAATCAAGCATATGGCTCTCTTGACGACACGCCTGCTCCGAATCAGTGGTGGCGTTTCATCGTCCCCATGTTCATCCACGCTGGATTCATTCATATTGGATGTAATCTGCTAGTCCAGATGACCATGGGTGCAGAAATGGAGCGTATGATTGGAATATGGAGATACACCCTAATCTACTTTGCCAGTGGTATTTTCGGGTTTGTACTGGGTGGGAATTACGCCGCCCAGTTAGAGGCTAGTGACGGTTGCTCAGGTGCCCTGTTTGGTATCCTTGCTCTCCAGTTACTCGACTTGCTGTACGATTGGCCCAACCGCCCATCTCCCTGGGTGGAACTCCTCATCATGATTCTGGGTGTAGCCATTTCATTTGTGCTTGGTCTTCTCCCCGGTCTCGACAATTTCTCCCACATAGGTGGTTTTATTATGGGTCTCGCGCTGGGCTTGACCATCTTGCGATCTCCCAATGCTCTCCGGGAGCGTATTGGGCTAGCGCGCCAGCCGTATGTTGCTATGTCTGGCGGAGCTGGCCCGGAAGCTGTGGAAGGCAGGAAGACCACCTCGTTTGCGGACTTCTTCAAGAACAAGGGCAAGAAGGTCGCACCGAGTGGTGATATCAATACCGGTGAACTCAAGGGCCCCTTGGCGTTTTTCAAGAGCCGGAAGCCTCTCTGGTGGGCATGGTGGCTAGTTCGCGCGGGCGCTCTTGTCGCTGTGCTGGTTGGATTTATTCTGCTTATTATTGACTTCTACAAATACCCCTCTTCGAATTGTTCTTGGTGCTACCGTTTGAGCTGTCTGGTAAGTGATCTCATTTTCCATTGGTTTATATATATGCTAATTGTGTTTCTACAGCCTGTTCATGGTTGGTGCAAGGAGGGCACCCTACAGCTTACAACCACCTCCGGTAGCTCATAGATGCCTACATTTTTATGTCTATTGCATTAGGTGTTTATTCATGTATTTATTTCAAACATGAGAACTGTAAATAAAGAATTTGAACAAAATATGCAGATCCATGACGATAGTACTTGGGTGGTTGTTTTGAGCATTCTATAGATATCGAACACATGGCATCCACCAGTCAAGATGCCAACTGTCACCAACATCATATAACCGAATGTTTTGCAAATTCAAGTTTCACAGCTCGCATACTGTACACTCCCGGGAACTATTATCCACTTCCGCCCTACGGGACTCCGCATAACCTAAAAATACAGGTGGCTGAGTTCAACGTGGCTGAGTCAGGGCCGCTTACGCAGTCGTCACTCCAAGTAGCCATCCGGTACGCCCGAACTTCACACATCCAACCTACAGGTCGTTCAGTCGGCCATGCAGGTCTGTTATTGACAGCGAAATTGAATCTCTATCGACACAAATGCACACCTTTTCCCCTTAGCGTCTGCGCCATCCAGCATTAGTCATGGCCACCCTGGCCTCGTCCCCTCCGACCTCGCCTTCATGGCCGAAACGGCGCTCCCGAGCTTGGATGCTCCGCTGTGAGCGATACTGCTGTGCAGCTGCCAGCTGCTTCCCACTTGCATTTGTATATGGAATTACGACCTGGGCGGTTTATGTGGAGGCTAGTCTTGGGTTCAAGGGTTCGCAGAGTAAATGGATTGGTACATGACCCTTGAGACTAAGCTCGGATATACCGAGCTTTTTGGGTGGAGTTCTCGGACGAATGTAGCTGACGGTTTCGCATCTTGCAGGTTTACCGAGTAGTTTCCTCGGGCTTCTCTTATACATCGCTCTCAACTCGTCGTATACGATTGCCGTCTTCACCGATCCTGGGTCTCCCTTATCAACACGCCGAGGGAATGATCGACACAATTACAGTGCGCTACCTGTCACCGAATCTGTATACCCCGAGTTCACGTCATATACTGTCAGTTCTACGGGAGGATCGCGATACTGCAAGAAATGCCAGTGTCCTAAACCTGACCGCGCACATCATTGCTCAACATGCAAGCGGTGTGTGCTCAAGATGGACCACCACTGTCCCTGGCTAGCAACCTGCGTCGGTCTACACAATTACAAAGCGTTTCTCCTTTTTCTCATCTACACCTCGCTGTTCTGCTGGGTGTGTTTCGGTGTGGCGGGCACGTGGACCTGGCAGGAAGTCCTCAACGATACAGTGTACATGGACAACTTCCTGCCAGTCAACGTGGTTCTACTAGCCATTCTGGGTGGAATAATCGGTCTGGTGTTGACTGGATTTACCGCGTGGCATATTAGTCTCGCAGTGCGCGGGACTACTACTATTGAATGTTTGGAGAAGACGCGATATGTCTCACCGCTGCGCAAAGCATTGGAGCGACAGCGATTCGACAATGAGTCTGGACCCGGCGGCTTCAATGGTGATGCGTCCCAGGAAAGCCTCGCTCACCGGCTTCAGGGATACGGAAACCAGATCATTGACGCTCACGCCAATGCCATTCCGGGTGTGACCCGTGCGGAGGAGGGCGAAGAGCGTCTCTCACCCGCGCCCTATGCTCCAGGCCAGGGACCGAACTTCCATCATGCAGACCTTCAAAACAACCCCAACAACCTCTCTCCAGCTCAACAAGCCCTCTCCCGCTCATACGCGGACATGGAGCGTCAGCGCGAACACGACCGGTATCAACAATATCTCAACGAAGAGGACAGTGAGAAGACCCCTAGTGCATTCGACCACGGCTGGCGCCGAAACCTATTACACCTCTTCGGTGACCGTCCCCTCCTCTGGCCCATTCCCGTCTGCACAACCACCGGCGACGGCTGGCGCTGGGAACCTAGTCCCCGTTTCCTCGAAGCCCGCGAACGCCTCCGTCTCCGCCGAGCACAGGAAGCGTATGACGAACAGCAGTATTACCGCGATCTATACCAACGAAACATGGATAATAGCCACGCCTGGATTGGCGGAGCTGGCGCTGGCGCTGGCACCGGCAATTTGAATGCCAACGGTACTGGCACCAGCATGTCCCCAGCCCAACCTAGCTGGATCGCCAACCGTAATCGCCAAGAGACACACGAGCGTCCACCAACCAGCGTCTCGATGCAAACTCTCGCGCCCGCATCCCCTCGCCCTCGGCCGGGCGATAGCGACTTCGAAGATGAGCCGGATGTCGAGAGCAATGGACTTTTAGATCCGGAGGCTGCGGCTCATCCTGCGCGTCCGCGAGATACGGATGAGTGGCGTGACTGGGAATGATTTTTGTCTCATTTTGTACTTGGAAGGAACCTATATCCCATGCTTTACGGTTGATAGCATTATTCTGGCGTTTCAGCGATAAAACGACTCGGGGAGCCAATGGCATTCCCATGGTCTATCGTGTATTAACAGCGCATGTGCGGTACTTGCGATATGTTACAGAGCTTTGTGTACATTTCTGGAGTCGATTTTATGTTCTATGACTTGATCTTTTTCTGTTCCTGGTTTCAGCACTGGTTTCACTTGCCCAGGATGGTTAGGTAGATGTAGCATCGGACACGCCAGTGCTATTAATCTGAGCTTCGCATGTGGAGTTTTGAATAACTCTATGGCATGGGATTGCATGATTATTTTGCTGCATATTCGGGCCTCTTTGAATGCGACTGTTTACTTTAGTTCAAGGTCTGGCCTATTGTCACGTGGCCTATAAAGGATCGCCAACTCAATCTAATCAACTATCACTATCGTCTTGTCTTATCATACCCAGCTTCTCCGCAACATCATAATCCACAGAGACAAAGACAACGGAAAGACAATGACCAGCCCCTCGACAAAACGTCTCCTCAAAGAATCAACAGACCTCCACAAAAACCCAAGCCCTTACTTCACTGCCGCTCCTATCAGCGACACCAACCTCCACGACTGGCACTTCACCCTCGCCGGTCCCCCCGCGCCAGCTCCCTACGCAGGTGGCCTCTATCATGGCCGCATAACCTTCCCACCCACATACCCACTCCGGCCACCCTCGTTCCGCTTTTTGACCCCATCCGGACGTTTCGAGGTTAACCGCGAGATCTGTCTCAGTATCTCCGGCCACCATGAGGAAACGTGGCAGCCAGCCTGGGGGGTGAGGACAGCATTGCTAGCGATTCGATCCGAGATATTCGGCAGCGAAAGTAAAGGGCAGGTGGGTGGCGTTGAGGGAAGTGCGGATTTGCGCCGGGAATATGCGAGGGTCAGTCGGCAGTGGGCTTGTCGGGAGTGTGGAGTTAGTAACAGGGATGTTATGAAGGATTGGTGGAGTATCTGTGTGGAGAAGGGGGTTGAGGTGGATGTTGAGGGGTTTGAGGGTAATGGCCCATCTGGAGATGGGGCGCAACAGCAGGCTGGAACTGCTGATGCGACTCTGGATGGTGAGAGGCAGGCTGAGCCTGTGCCGACAACGGCTTCTACATCATTACAATCGGAACCACGAAGCCAACCACAGGTGACTGCGCCGGCTGAAGCTATACAAGCCAGAGCTGCTGCTGTTGCTTCGTCGACAGTGCCATCTCAATCATCAACGCCGCAAACTACAGCTCTTCAACCTCGGCCTGTACCTGCATCTGCAGCTATCACACAAGCCTCAGAACCGGCGAACAGTCCATGGCTAGACCGAGCCATTGTAGTTGTTGTGTTCGCCTTGATCATCTTGATCCTACGTCAGACTTTGGACGTAGAGGATTTGTAGTGGCAGATCCGCGCTTCTTTCTTTATTACATACATACAGCTCGGCGTTTTCGGGATGGGGATAGCAATCGGTGTTCAGAAGGCACATAGTTACATTCACCTGTTTGACAATTACTCTGTTCAGTGTGCAGATGATTAGACAAATCCATTCATTTGACATGAAGATCAACATGCTTCTATTGCACAGCATCCCAGCTAGGGAATGTTGATGTACCACGGTATCCTATCTTGGTAAGAGCGTATATTCAAATCCTCCCACCGCCTGCTCAAAGTGGCTCCTCGTATTCCGGTCTAACAAAATGCCAAGATTTGGTGGCGTTTCTGTCTCCTTGAAACATCACATCTACACTAGGAAATGTATAGACAGAGGCAATTCATCGTCAGATGCACGGAATAGGGAACTTCCACCATAGAAGATAGATCACCAGAAGCATAAATAGCTCTTGATTCTCTCTAAAATGAAGCAACATCCATCAACTCAAATCAATCCAATCCGATCCAATACAATACAATCTCCAATCAACCGATCTCCCGATCAACCAACTTCAATCATCATGCAGTTCACTACTATCATCATTGCTACCCTGGCCGCCGTTGCCGCCGCCTCCCCCTACCCCGATGCCTTTGAGAAGCGCACCTGTGTTGGCAGTTAGTATAATTAGTAATAACATAACCGGGCTTTGGATAGCTGACTTCTCTTAGACTACAAGGTCGCTTGCCAGAACGGCGGTGTTGCTTGCTGCGACGGATGGCAATGCGTTGGCGCCACCGAGTGGAACGACGGTGTTTGCATCCCCAACTACTAAAGAGATTTGCATCTCTAAGAGCTTTGGAGCGGGCTCCGGAGCGTGGAATTGGTGCTAGATGTTTCTTTCTGTTTTTGTTTTTATAGATTGCTTATGCATTGAGCAAGTTATGAAATATATCATTTGATTGCTTCCAATCTGTCAACACCTTCTACCATTACTGTAGATGCGTACCAGGTTATAGAGTAAATTTGATAAGACTGAATCATATTGGAAATGATGTATCAGAACTATTCAATGTGAATTGCAGATGATAATACATTTGAAGAAAGCACCTTTTCTTCGTTTTATTTACATCATTGAGTCGCCCTGCGGAACTGACAAGGCGCTTTTAACCCCCCAAAGCCATCCACCACCACTCCTTCACACTCCAGCAAGGTCGAGTCGGAGTCCCTGACTTCTCCACAAGACCCACCTTAAGCAACCATTCTTCCAGTAAGAGCTCAATCTCCCACTTCATCAAACCAGGTTTGATCATGATGGCAATACTCTCAATCGACACACCGGGTCGAATAATGAGACAACCCATAACCGCTGCAATGGACTTATGCCACCAATCCTGCATCAAACACCCATGGATATCGAACCAGAGCGGCAAATGGCGCGAAGCAGGCGGGAGCGGAGGCGGCGTACCATGCACAACGTCGTGGATAGGGTTCCCATACACGTACTCCGGAAGCGCGCGCACTTCCATTTCGAAGCGCAGACGGCTTTTGTCCATTTGTCGGGTGAGGTATGCACCATCTATGAGACCGAATTTCTCGCGGGGTAGATTGAGTGGGATCAATTCGACTTGGCCATGTGCAAAGAGTTCGTCAACGGCTAGAGCGTCGCCGTCGCCGGCGTGGTAATTGATTTTGAAGGACCCCTTGGCCTTGAGGGCGGGGTCGAGGACTGTCAATTTGAATTCGGCCGCGCGTGCGAGTTGGTCGCCGTCGATGGCGCGGCGACGTTCCATGGTTTGAAGGAAGACGTCGTGCGGCATGTAGTTGCGGCCTGGAGTGACGCGGCCACGGTTTGCGTTGCAGATGATGCGGTCGGTCATCAGGGATTGTGTAGCAGAGGCGAGAAGGGATTCCCCGATCGGAGCTAGGGTTTCGGTGGCCGCGGCAGCATTGTATCGCTCTGTCGGCGTCATGGTGTTGGCGCGAACCCATGTCTTGGCGATTTCGAGGTTCTGGAGGTCGTGTCTGGGAGGAAGGGGGCTGACGATGCGAGGTTGTTCGACGACAAACGGTATACGGCCCAAGAGACGCTTTTTGTTGGCAACTGTGAGAGATCCTGTCGTGACATGGGCTTCCTCGGCAGTGGTGACTGATTCTTCGCGTAGCTCGAACATGCTGTCAAACTGCTCACGAGTTGCAGGGAGGGTGGGAGCTTTTTCAGATGTGGAAAAATCGAGTTCAATACTCGCCCACTCGACCACGGCCGGCCAATTGTATCCTGCTAGGTTGTTGTAGTCAATTGGAGGCACCTGCTTTTTCTCGTAGGCCTGGAGATATCGCTCCTGGAAATCGCGTTGCATCTTATGGATCTCTGTTCGGTTCCGGCCGAGAATCGATTTACCATGGTGACGTACAAACTCCGGATCGCTGTTGGGGAAAGCAAGAGGAACTAGGTCCCAATCGACGATCTTCCCCTCGAGTCCACCGGCCAGTGTTCGAACAGCAGTAATAGCGACCATGTATCTCCGAATGACTCCTTCGGGAAGTGGTTTGAAAGTCCGGCGACGTGAAGGAAAGTGTCCTTGTCCATTTTTGCCATCCCGATCCATGCTGGACGCATTGGCCTGGCTAAGCTCGTGTTTGCGGCGACGCTGACGACGGGCATAAAATCCCCGGGTCAATATGCGGGCTTTGCGGGATTTGGCAGATCGCACAGGCTGGTCCATCTCGAAACAGATTGGGCCGTTGATTGGGCCTTGGACGAAACCTTTGTCAACAGTGTGCACGATAAATAGAGGCTCGTCAAGTTTTGAATCAGCCATCCCATCGTTTTCAAGCTCCCATTCCAGGATCTTGTCCATTTTGAGTGCGAATCTCCGGGCCTCTGTTGTGCTGGTCCCCATCGGCCCTATCCAATTATTGGACTGGCGTGCCAGGCCGGTAAGTTCTTGGACGGCATCGGCGAAGTTAAAGTGCTTGCTGACACGGGTGTCTGCAAACGTAGCATGTTTTCCTCCTCCCCAGCGGCGTTTGATAGATCCTGTGGCAAAGGTATGTGTAGAATCGTGGAGAATTTGTCCTGGATTCATTAACATCTTCATCGCTTCCATGCTGGAAATGATCCTCGGCAACCGTTTCGTCTTGCCAAATGGGTGCTGTCTGATTTTAAACGTGGACATTGTCGGCACCATGTCACCACCTGTCATGGGGCGATAGAGATATGTCCCATTATTCTCAGAACCTTGCCCCAATTGAGGCGGGAACCTCATGAGTCGGTGAACCTGGAATCTCGGGTCAAAATTGTCCTCATACAATTCCAAGTCATCTTCTGAATCAGTCTCAGAGTCTTCATGAAGCATTCTTCTCATTAGCTTCCTATGCACCGCTACGCGTCGTTTCTTCTCTTGTATGAGAACGGAAGCAGGCTTCGAATGGAGATGAACAGTGGCATCAGATACAGTAGGCAATGAGAACCTGCGGAACTTTTGGCCACCCACACCATTGGGACCAAAACTACCGCCATTTCGTGAGATTTTATGGTTCGTTTCAATGTGAGGTGAAAAGGAATTTTTAGGGTTGCGGTCACGAGCCAGTAGCTGAGCTTGCAAGTCCTTAACCAAAGGATCATCTGGTGACAATTCTGGCTTCCTCAAAATGGTTTTTGTAACCATCGTGCCTCTGCCATCTCTGCCACTGAAGGTCAATTGCTGAAGCTGGCCTGCATCAACCAAATATTTGATCGTTGTCTTCACAGTTCGCATGTCTGGTTTCTCTTTGTGGTTCATTTTCATCCATGCGGTCGTGAATGGATACCAGAGCTCGCCACCACCAGGGTATGCACCACCGGCCTTTTCGACAATGTCCATGACAATTCTTCTGCGTAAGAATGGTATAGATCCACCTCGATGTGCTGAACCGTGTACCTTGAGGCTCTCACTCCTCTTGTCTACGGGCGTGCCGTTCATGGGGATAAGGTGCACAGTGGAGGTCTGTGGCTTCGGTGTGGCTAATCTGGAAGGGGGTGGGCCCATAATGTTCTCCGTAGCATTTCTCTCTAGAGATCGGGTATCGCGCTGGGTTCGGCTTCCGGCTGCCTCGCCATTAGACTGTTCCGTCACATTGGCATCTGCCAGGGTCAAATCAATTCCCGTCTGTCCACTGGCAGGCTCTTGGGACTTAGAGACAATCTGATTAGTTTGACTATCATCTTGGGGCCCACGAATGCGAGCCTGCTTTCTAGGTCTTCCTTTGGGACCTTTGGCCATAGTAGCACTTTCTGATGGGGCTGGCGAGTCAGAGACATCTGTAATCGGATGGGCTCGCTTGCCCTTTCTCGGCCGAGTTGGAGTATCCTCAATTGTCTCGCTTAATTGACGTGAAACAAGTTCTTCAGTCTCCATCCTAGGAGTGGCTGCAGCTGCCGGAGTCATCTCTACCCCGGCACCCGTATCCCCATAGTCTGAGTCATTGTCGTCCTTGCAGAACCAGGGTAAAGTGGAAAGCCTTGAAGATTTGAAAACTGCGATACGACTCGTCTTCGGACGACCCTGCTTCTTCCCAGCAGGTCTGCGTTTTCCATGAGGCGTGACATAAACCCCAGGCGTGGGCTTTTCCATAACAAGTGCGTTATACTCGGTCCACGTCTCATCCCAGCCCATTGCTTCAAATCGCTGTTTCTTGGACATGCCTTGGTATTTTTCTCGCTTCTTCTGACTCTGGCGTTTGTCCCAGTGTAGTGGCACTGGGGAGTTGTCCTCCATGACTATGTCGCTCTCATCAGGTACTGAGACAACCGAAGACTCCCTCTTGATCTTTTTCGATTTAGACTTGCTAGGGCGGCCCCTAGGGCGGCCCTTTCCGTTATTCATCTTGAATCCTGATTGTTGTAGGCCCTGTAGAGGGACTGAGCTGCCGGGTTGAATCCCTGCATGGATTCTCTGTTAGAAAGCGCAAAAAGAATATGAAGAAAGATGGATACTTACGGTATGAACCGTCAGCCTGTATTACACCCATAGGGTCCTTACGTGTAAGGCTGTAATCCGCCGGTTTGCAGCTTGCAAGGCCCTCAAATAAGCTGATATTTCCATTTTTCATCATTCCTACGGGTATGTTGTTGTGGGGAAGTCCATATTGGTCAAGTTCAGCAGGAGCATCAACTCGGGGAAGCTCAGTCTTCAAGGACTTGTGTTTCCTGTCTGGAAATTCGACAGCCTCCCAAAACGCAGTGCCCTCGATGACCTTCGTCGAGAAATTTCTCGCCGAATAATGGACATAGTGAATGATGGTTTTGTGTACATCGGAGTCCCGGACAAGTGCAAGGTGCCGAAGATGAGGAGGCTGGGAAATTTGCCAACAGTCGGTCAGACGATGAACCATGTTTTCGGAGGGTCGCTTGTAATAGACTCCAAAGCATGTTCGATTAATAAGATCATTGGTGATTCCAGACGTGCCCGCTTTGTCAATAATGTCAAATAGCTGATTGCTCAGAGCACGATCGGGTGTCCAGATCGGTACAATACGTCCGGACGCAACAACCCGGTCGTTCTTGATTTGCAAGTCACCCTCTCCAGAATCGGTCACGTTTTGAGCATCAGCCTCCAAGTCCTCGTCCTCATCCATATCTGCTGGATGGTCATCGTTTCTCTTGAACCCATGTCGGCTGAATTCAAAAAACTTTTCGACGTCCGTCGGTGTGGGTTCTCGCATCAGCATTATGCAAGGGTGCATCAGATTGTACTGCGACTTTACCCTCACGCGCTTCAGGACTCCGATTTTTTCATACTTGCGAACAGTTCGGGAGAGAATTCTCGATCTCCATAGATCCTCGAACCCTAAAACTTTCTTGAGATCATTCCGGGTGATAGTGCCATCATTCTCTCTGAGGGCATCAAACAGCTGTTTAGTAAAGACATCGAAATCTATCATCGGTCTTGCCTCAGTTGTGTTTTCATTACTAGGCTGAGCAGTCGGCGCGTTCATGAATCGACGAAGAGTCAACAGACTTGTGCGCGCCGCTTTGACTTGAACAGCTCGCTTCTCAATGTATCCTTTGGCGGCCAACGCGTCTGTCCTTTTGGGCACCGATCGTTTGTCTTGGCCACTGATTTTGACCAATTCCGTCTGTGGAATGCCCTCCGACTTTCGAGTAGCTATGATGGATAATAACAAAAACTCTGAAGTAGGGAGTTTGTTATCATCAGGTTCATGGCCGGCAACTGCATACCAAGTCCTCTCTTTAGAGACGAAGATATGGACTTTTGAAGCAGCAGATGGTGCAGAAGTTTCTCGTTCATTTTCAATTTCCTCTTCAACTTCATTTTGGGAATTGCGGGCAGATTGATCCAGCTCTTCAAGTTCATCCAGGCTGAGATGATTCCACTTATTGCCTAACCCCACGGATACCTCGGGGTTGCGAGTCAGCCATGACCAAACTTTGCGTTGAAAATGACGGTCTACTAGCTGGCGACGCCCAGAACCATTCTGGGATGAGTTGCGATAGAAGATATCAATGCTGTTCAAGACATCCAGTAAGGTCGCGCCTGTAGATGAGTTAGTTCCATGTCATATTGGTAATTGTTTTCCCATATTTATCACGAGACAATGGCAAAACTAAACTGTGATAGATCATCGCAATTGTCACTTAGACCCTGCGAAGACTGTGGGGGGTTCTATTGACCGATGCCAGTCCGGATGGAGGATAGGGTAGTCATGCTGAGTAAAGTGGGTCTGAGAAGCAGAGCTATACGCACCTTGGTTACCGCATAGCGCAACCTCGTTCAGCAAGAAAGCAATCAGCTCTTGTAAGCTGGGTGCCATTATCAATCCATAATAACTTGAAGGATCCTGGATGAAGAAAAGAAGTCTGTATGGGATGCAGTTGTGCAGTCGAGGGTGAAAAGAGGGATGGAATTCGAAGCAGAGACTGCGAATCGAACGTGCGCCACTTGAAATTGCGCTTATCAGAAAAAAAAACTTTCCTATCTCCATGTGACTGGCCGTTTGACACCATATTCTTCAGGCATCAAAACGTTTTGCTTCACATGGACTTGCCATCTTTCATTTCCATGTTTTTGGCTATATGTACTTTGCTTTGCTTTGACGTATTTGGGCATTGTTCCAGCTTTTCTTCAATTCCCAAGTGCCTATTCATAGATACCCCAACTGTTGAAAAGCCTTTTATGGTTTGTTTTTACATTATGACAGTGGCCGTTAGATAGCAGCACTTGAGTATAATCGGAGTGAACCCTGGAATATGCACTCGGGTGTACGGCAGATGTTTACTTTATATTTCCACATCCCGAGGTATGGAAGACTCAGAAACGTAGTTATAGCTTTTGAAATGCGCCTCAAAAGCCGACCCCGGGGCCGCTGAGTCAGATATGCTTGGTTAACTAACTACAGCTACAATGTTGGGTGGCGATCGGGCCATCTATATTGCAGTGCACTGTGTACTGATTTCAATGCTAAGATATAGGAATCTAATGACTTTGAGCCTTTGTAGCTATAGTAGTGTCGAGTAAACAAACTTGGGGAGATCGGTCGGATTGTTTGGCTGGGATCGGCACCCGAACTAACTCGGAGTCAATGTCCCATCCCAATTCCTGTTTTCTCATGCACCTTGCCAAGGGATAACCCACCTCGCATTATGACATAGTTATACACAAACGTTTTCCGTCAACTAGACCGTTTTGATAGGACTAAATAAAAAGCACAGAACTCAACAAGACGGGGCACCACCAAAATCACTGGGGGAGCTAAATATGTGTGGAATGGCAGACCGAGATACTGTGAATCGAAATTGAAAGCCAAGAGAACAGAGAATAATAATAGAAGTATGCAAGTCAGCGAATGCCATATTTTATCGATACATGACATCACGGGCACAACTTACGTCAGGTACCTCCGCCTACACGGTAAGTTGTATGTGCACGGAAGTACCCGTATCACTCCGTCGTTTCCGGCACTGCGCCTTCAAACTAAAAATCTCGTTTTGGCATGATCCTACTTTGTCTTTGTCTTTATCTATTCCTCTCGTTCCCCTGAATCCGGATCCTGCTTGGAATCGCCCCTCGAACCTCACCATGTCCTAAGTCGACCGCAACTTCTACCGATAAGAAATACAACACACCCCCTGGAAAATCAATCCGAGTCCCCCGAGTCGCGCGGTCCGCCACCATCGCCACGCTGATGGATGACCATGACCCAGAGAGGAACACTGTTCCTGTGCATAATGAGCCCCCTCCACTTCCATATTCGTTACATACACGGAAGAAGTCGATCGCTTTCTTCTGGACTATATTTGTGCTCGATACGCTAGGCCAGCCGGTCGGCCTATATTGGGGACTATGGTACGGCACCGACTTGTCGCATAATTTGGGTATGTTTGGAATTGGATATATTGTGGAGATGATCTCCGAGGCCACAATCGCTGATGCTTTGCAGTGTTTTCCATTGTCACCGCTTGTTTGGGAGGTATCTCAGTTTTTGAATACTTCTATCGTCTATACAACCTCTTCCGCAAGAACTCGTGCGCCCGACCGTTAAATTCGCAGAAATCTCGGGTATGTTTGGGTTCCATGAAAGAAATATGGGACGCATGCTAATGCATATTGTTAGCTGGACTTTTTTCACATCAACTTCACGATTGTATGGCTCATCTTGGCCGTCGAGTTGATTGTGTACGTCAACAACACCTATCCGACTCTTGTTCGAACAATGCTAACCAAGAACCAGCGGAACCGTTCCTCAAGAACCATATGGTAAGACTGATTGACAATCAATGGTCTGAAATTTCACCTGCTCACAATCAAAATAGTGCGCCTCGTCGCCATGGTCCTCCCATCCGTCATGTTCTACTTCGGCATCGTCCACCTCTCCCTCGACATCCTTCGCATGGCCGGCCACAAAGCTCCTTTCCGCATATCCTCCACACCTAAAGGCTCCCCCATGCCAACGGCCCTATACGCCCTCATCGAAGATGTCGTCGCAGTCGACGGCGGAGGTGGCCAAATCTACCGCTATGCCCTCCGAACCCGTTACCTATCCAGTCCATATTTCCGACGCATGCTTTTCGAAATGAACTGTTTCTGGAGCGGTGGCTCGATCATTTGCGCAGCCGCCATCACCGCTATCATCTTCACTGTCTCAGAACCCGTGGCATTCACTGTACGTCAACAGACCAGCCCAAACTCAATTTACCCCCTTTCTGAATCATACTGACGTCACAATTAGCTCGGCTGGACCCTTCCATTTGCCTGGGCTTTGGTATGGACTGCCATTACCATCCCCTGGGTCAAGGGCGATCTACGCCGTGAGAAGAAGGCATGGGCCGAGAACAGAGGCCAAGGTAGAGGCCAAGGTGGAATCCCTTGGGTGGACGATATTGATGCGCCTACTCGGACGCGTTTTACTTCTGTCCAGGAACGTCTGCCGAACCTCTTGCCTTGGGTTCGCGAGAAACAAAGCGCGCCGTCAACGCCTTCTGTTGATGGTGCGAAGGATGGTGCTCAGGAGACTGGGCACATTGATGGCGCTCCTGAAGTCCCTCCTAATGGACATGGACCTGAACATATTCTTCTTAGCAGTGAGGCTACCGAGGGTACAACGAATGGCACGACTCACGACGAAAAATCCCAATTGCCCGAAGCAGATACAACTCGTGAGGCAAATACTTCGACTGCTGCTTCCACTGGTGACCAGCCAAATAACCATTGACAAAAGCTAAGTTGTACCAACGCATGACTTGATGATATATATTTGTTTTGGCCTTTAAGTGGTCACATTGGCGATTCTTGATATTTTGGTCACCCAGGTTGATTTGTACATGATGCACGTTGGTCCCGCAACCCTTATAGACCTTGGATGCAAGCGACACTGGCATCGATGCCATGCTTTTCAATTTGTTTTTCGTCTCAGCAGTTTCTGTCCGTTGTATATAGATACCCTTGATACTTGTCCACACTGCGATATTACCCATATGAGAAAATTGAAAGATCTACACATAATCAAACGCTCTATACCAACTGTAGAAAGCGAAAGCTACATTAGAACCTGATTCCTTTCACACCTGGGCAGCAGCATGTCATCCTACTTGGGAAAAAGTCACAAGTTGCAAATAAATGTCAATTGCTCTTCCCAGCCGCTTGTTGCGCAGCAGCAAGCACAAGGTATATAAATTATGGCAACGAAAAAGCCTCCACTCCCTCAATGCATGCTAAAAGGGCCAAATATGACGAACCAAGATACAGTGGGAAGGAGAGAGAGAAAACGCAACGCACAATGATTTCTCCCACCTCCAGACCCAAATGATACCTGTATAGGCAAATACAAACAATCATAAACACCAGAAATCAACGCCTATACACGGCCCCAGTGCACATAGAGGGTATCTAAGAGGAGACACGGGAATAGGAAACAATAAGGGGGGGGGGGGGGGGGAGGCTTTGTATCGGAGTAGGTAGGTCAGTGGCTGGAGGTTGAAAGCCACAGAAGTTGTTGGATTAAAATGGGGGTAGAGCTGCAGAGGATTAAATGAGGTAGATAGATAATATAGGTGAAGGGTGGGCATTGAGAAATTATCCCTTCCGGAATGTGAATTTCCGACTGAGATTGCGAATTGTGTTATTTTTGTGGCTGAGGAAACAGGATCAGTAATACATTCCATGCAATAAGAGGTTGAATGTCAGGCCCTTTCTTACCTGTCGTCGTGCTCGGAGCGGGAGGCTTCAACGGTGGTCACTGTGTGACCGGCAGTCCTAGGTCTGCCAGGTGCATTGACAAAGCGGCGAGATTCCTAAGACACGAGTTAGTCTATAATGCTAGAGAGATTAAGAAGGGCAGTACAAACCTCCCAACGAGAATCCACATCCACCCCACTAGCAGACCGCGAGTCGCTGATCGGAGGATCATAGTTATCGCGGGTATCAGAGCTCAGGGACACGGATCTCGCTAACGGTGAAGCGTTCGACTGCATAGACTTGCGCGATGGAGACTCAGAGTATTCGCTATTGGAGTCATAGCTGGTCAGGCTAGCGGGGTTGCTTCGCGCAGGGTTGTTGATCAGATTACCCGAGTTAGGAAGCAGTTGAGAAGAGGATGCTAGCTCGCGTAACTTTTTCTGCTGCTGTTTGGAAGGTCGGTGATGGGAGAACTTGTTTCCAAGAATTGCGGGAGCATGCGAGATGAGGGCCTTGATGACATCCTTCTTGAGGCGCAAGGCAAGATCTAAATTCGACCATGTCTTGTTTCCGTACTCCAGAACCGGAAGGCGGAACACGAAATCGTGGAGATCTTCGATGTTGTGCTCGCCCTTGCCCTTATAGCTCATGTTAAGAACCACGTCATGCACCTTAACACGTGCAAGAGTCATGTAGTTCGAAGCTCGAGAAATCATTTGGGACAAGTCATCAGTAGGTTCCTTAGGCTTGCTGCCCTTTGGCTTACTGAGGGCGAATTTCTTCCTTTCCTCGCCGGCGCTTTGACTGGACAGCGATCTATCGGTGGAAGACTTTGCCAGCATACGGATGCTTTCAGTTGACTTTTTCTTCGACAAGCCGCCGCTGGTCGTAGGACGACCTGTCTGGCGGGAGGAGTCGGGCACGCTCAACCGAGTATTGCTCCTATGAATAGGAGTCATGGCAAGATGGCTCGGGCGTCGACTGGATTTGCCCTCCTCGGAAAGTGAAAGAGTTGGTTGAAGGCGTAACTCAATAGATGCAGGGCCCTTGGAGGCAGACATGTCGTCCATTGTCAATACACTATCCTCGTCGGCGCTGATCGACTGAGCGAGGGACGGGTTATTGGAGTCGTCAGCGTCCTCATCATCCGATCCATCGAGTGTTTTCATATTCTTGATCATGAAAGGCGAGAAGCCGCCATTCTCGAATGCACCAGAGCCCATGTTGGGGAAGATATAATCAAAAAGCTTTTGACCAAGTTCACGCTCCAACTGAATTTTGAGAGGGAATAGAGAAACTTCAAAGTTATCAACCACAGGGATTCCAGCAACAGCTTCCAACATGTGCCACTTGACTCGAAGCATGTAATCATCCAATGGCCGTGGCTGGTCAAGATAAGGTGCAATAATCTGGGGATAGATCGCATCCGGCAAGAGGTTCAAACCACTCAGCTTTTCAATGGCCACGAGATTGTGATTGGAGCCGTCGGTGTTGTCTGTGCGTTCATATGCAGCGTTTTGGAGTTGGAATTCCACCAATGGTGCAGATGCCTCATTCATCAAATGCCAGACAACTTCACTGGCAGTAATGCTCCAACGTAGCACGCCGTTCGTGACGGATGAGCTAGGCTCAGCGCGTCGTTGAGAGGTGGTAATAGCCTTCATTATGAAGAACAACTCATCCTCACATTGAGATAGATCGCGCTCCAAGGCCAACCGGTCTTCCCATCCCTGTTTGTCCAGATACTTGGCATTTATCTGGAAGTAATCTTTGATCTCTTCCAGTTGGCGGATACGCGACTGCAACTTGAAAACCATCTCTGGGGCACCGCGAAGGTCACTGAAGTCGGACGTAAGCATTATTCTTTCAAGGCGCTCATTCCGGACTTTCTCGAGCGGTTCGCTGTAAAGCATAAGATCCAAGACAATAATGTACATGGAGTAATACTCAGCAGAGTCGCAAATAGCACGGAAGTGGGGGAAGTCGACACTGATTTGGTCCATACGAGCCTCTTCACCGGGTTGGGATCCATGATGACCCTTGGCCACTTCCTCGTTGTACTTCAACCGAAGATTGTTGTACTTGTCATATCGGAGGCTAGCCGATGTCTTTTGCACAATACGAGAGAATCCGAAGGGATTGAGTTCGAAATCAAACATCGCCTCAAGGGTCAACCAAGGTGGCCAAGCAGAGCCCGGCGCATTGCCGTACTTGTTACCCGCATACAATTGCAGGTTGGCCATCAAATTCTTCTGGGTCGCAACGAAGAATTGGGCACCATCCATCTCGAGAGAGAATCGACGTTGAACCAAGCCGCTAACATCGTCTGAAACTCGCTCCTTGTCCATAATTGATACAACCTTGAGTTCCATTCCTTTGGCAGCCACCAGCAGTACCGACTTTTGGTTCTTCTCACTCAAAAGCTGGATCTGGGGAGCGATGAGCCGCAGGTAGTAGCTGTTTTGCGGAGTGAACTCGGGCGCAATGTTTTCGCTAGAATCATCGGAATCTTGTGGTGACTCGGTATTTGACTGAGGCGGGTCACTTTCTTCCGCATTGACGTAGCGCTTGGCGTCGTTCAGAAGCTGTTCGATCCGCTCCTCGACATTTTCATCCTCGTTGTCACTACGAGCCTGCTCTTTGGACATCTTGGAGTTCTTTTTCTTGTTCTTGTTTTGCTCGTCCACGATATCGAGAATGAACTTGACGGCCCGTCTAGACATGTAGTAAACGAACCCTCGGCGCTGGCTCACTTGGTGGCTGTATCGGAGAATGATATTACGAAGCGAGTTATTCCATTTCAATTGCACGTTGTGAATCATGAAGCGATTGTTGAAGTCGCTAGAGAATTCATCGGAGGCAGACGAGTAGATGCCATCAATACCAGAAGCGCGACCATCCGTAGTAGAGTCTGCGTCCTGTCCTGTGCGGAAAGAAGCTTCGCTGGGTGCTGCGTTAACCCCCAGTCTGCTTCGATTGGGCGTGCGTTCATCGCGAGCTAAAAGTTTCTCGAGTCGATTTAGCGTTGATGTCAGGAACTTGCGCCGCCTTGAAAGGGACTCCGCCTGACGAAGAAAAGTTTCATGCTGAGTCTTCAAGTCGGGATCATGATCAACTTCCTTCATCAACTTGAGTTCTTGTTCTCCGATGGTACGATCGTAGTTACGGATCTGAGCTTCAACAGTCGCAAGACGATCCTTAATCAGTTCGATCTGGACACGGCGAGGGTCATTGGTCTCCGACATTACACATTCGTGAGTCGGTTCGTGTCCAAAGGTACTATAACCGGTCTCTTCTGGCCCAACATCACCGTGATCTGTTTGGCGGAAGTAAGTAAATCGTGGAGTGAATGCAAGCGGGAGTATGTGTGTCTTCGGATTGGACTCCTGGGGTAGAATCCAATCTGGTTCCACAAAATCGTCCATGTCGATCCAATCCAGGTTGTGATCTGGGATTGTAAACCGGGATAGATCAACCGAAGCCACAGGTTGCTGGAAGGATGATATAATGTCATCTCTGTTCTTGTCAATGTCCTCTGCTGATGTGCCTTCAATGCTAGCAGAAACAGCACGGAAGTCGGCTGATTGTAGATCGATAAGAGCCTGGTTGATGCGCATTGCACTTGTCTGGGTTTGCTTGGAGCGGCCGCGGGCCTGGGTCTTGATCTGTTCGCGACGTTGATGAACATCGAGCTTGAAGCTGTCAAGGCGGACTTTGAGACCAGTGGCGGTCACAGCATCTTCGCCATAATCCTCTCGGTCCTTGTGCTTATAGATATGGGCTAGAAACAACGGGGCAAGCAGAATCTTGTATTTGACTGTCGAAAGGTGACGGTTGAATTTCTTGCTTGTTTTCGTGATACCCGGGAAGAGGGGACCCTGGCGAACAGGGAGAGACATGACACCAGAGAAAAGCGACCACCAGCTGAAAAAGTGGGTAAAGAAACGGGGAGACAGGTGAGTGGTGTTGTAACTTGAAGATGGCTGGATGCCATCAACAGACCAATTTCTACCTTGTGGTGCAATGATCGATACAGACAGGTGAATATGATCACTCCGGAAGCCACGATAGGCATCGTAGTTGGCGCGCTGCTTTTCATCGATGAACTTAGGGTTTTTGAGAATAACCTCGTAATGCGGTTTGAATGCGAACGATCGTGATTCGTCATCAATGTCACGCTCAAACACCAATCCAGCAGCCCATTTCACATCACCAGAAAGTTTCATGACAACTTTCTTGAAGTAGGCGGCATTCTTCTGCTCACTAGATTGAGAGCTGTTATCCGCTTCTTCCGTTGTCATTTCGTTTGCCCATCGAGCTTCGGCGCTGTAATCTGGGATTGCCAACACATATTCGCCACTTGTCACGCTCATAAACTCCATAGGATCATCATTAGAATGAAGCTCCCACTTGACGTCCCTTCGCCAGCACATAACAAAGCCACTTCCAAATCCTGTCACAACGTAAGGATCTCGAGAACCTTTAAGGCGCAAATGGACATCGCCATCTTCCTTCCAAAGCACTTTGATCCGGGAGTGGAAGCTAAGTCGGATCTTATCCCAGAAGCCAACCCGGTCAGAAGGATCAATTTCAGGTTTGGTGAAACCCTCAATGATCTTCATCATATCTTGAATCACGGGCTGGTAGGAGACTCCCCAGGAAATGCTGGTAGGCAAGCTGGTGTTGATCTCAATGACTGGGTCGGAATAAGTCTTAACCGGAGTCACTGATCGCCAAACCTTGATATGGAACGGATCAGTAGGGGAGCCATCCGCCTCCAAAGCAGAGGGAACAAGCTCCACTTCAACTTGTCTTGCAGAGTCGTGATCACGATACTCTTCAGCGATGACAAAATTTGTTCGCAATGACCAGCTAGGAAGCCTTGGAGACTGCCCAGGGCGCAGGGCTGGGATATGCAGCAGGTCCAGAGGGTAGTCTCGCAAGTTGACGCGTGCTTCACCCATTTCCAGATTGAAGCTCATGGGCACAAGCAAGCCATACTTCATGGACATGGGCATGCCCTTACCAATACGATGGAGAAATTTAGGGTATTCCTCAATCGGGAAGGACGGTTTGTCGATCACCAGATTCACATCACTGATTAGAGCAGACAGTAGGCCCGGTCTGTTGGGAATTGCAAGAATGGTCTCAGTCTCCTTGGCGTCGTCGGGTGGTTCATCTGCGCCACAGAACAAGTTTCGGACTTCCTTGATGGAGGTACCCTGGAACTTCATGGCAGCATCGATCTTCTCTTTCCAAACCTGGGCATTGTGTTGCTGAAGACGGTTCCAAGCAGCATCTGTAGATATCTTCTGTTCGGCTGTCAAACAGGTTTCACCCTCGGTATCATAGCGATATTTTCGGGCTCGGCCACGAGGTGGCTCGTCTTGCTTGGCTCGTGTATCCGCACTCTTGCTTCTGCGGGTGTCTTGGCTGGTTCGTTCGCTGCGCAGGGTCCGATGGCTGGATCTGGTCCGTAGCCTTGACGAAGCACGCCGTTGGTCAGACTCTCTAACCTTCTGCGCTTTCAAGTAGAACGCTTCTTCACGTGCACATCGCTGTACTTGTTCAATCAAACCAGTTCGGTAGATGCAACTCAGCTTCCATTCAAAGGCGTCATCTTCAAGCTCAAAGAGGAGAGCTTTGCTTCGAAGTGACACTCTCGGTACTTTCTTCGGTCCCTCGGGCTCCCGAACAGAGAAGAATTCCTTGCAGCGGGCCTTGAAGCGATGATGTAATTGCTTAAAGGCCTTTGAGGTGTTGATAAGGTTATCGAAGATGCGATGCATCACCATGTGGTGCGGGACACCAATTCGAATGAAATCGGCCCATAAATCAATTGACCTCTCTTCTACCAAACTTGAGCCTTGTTTGAATTTCATCTTGCGGAAATCGAGCCTGACATTATTCATGCTGCCGATTCTCGCCCATACACCCTTGAGCTTGGGGGCCTCTGCGTGGAGGCGGACAAGATTGGCCTTGACATGAGGAGTAGAGAGTCGATGTGAGCCACCCGATAGGCCATAGATCTGGAGCATCATTGGAGGATCGGCTGGCAGATTAGTCTTGAGTTGGATAACAGTCGCTTTTACATCCATGGTGATTAGCTCATTCTTTGATTTTGCTGGTGATGAGGGTGACGACGGAGGTGGTGGCATTGATATGCTTGGGGCTCCTCTCTGTTTCTTTTGAATGGAGTCGGGGTCCCGTGGTAGAGATGTAAGAACGTCTTGGATCACAGAAATCGCAACGCCCACGCAATAAAACCGATAGAGAGAATATTGAAGGTAAATTCCTTTGAACACTGAGTTGATGTGCAGGACAGGCCCCAGTCGATCGCTATGCGTGCTCAAGGCAATTTCAAAGCGAGGAAGAGAGAAGAAAGGCTCTGGTTCAAGATAGTCATCTGACTCGATCACGAACCCGTCAAAGCCTCTCGCATGAAGTGCAAGTCGTCTGCCATCTGTAGCACTACGCTCGGAGAGACCACGCTGAACAATCTTCGGGGGTGATGTTGGCGTAAATCGGAATGGCGATTCATCGCCAATTGATTGACTGGAAGTACGCCGCCTAGCGATGCTGCCAACACTATGTTCAGTTTCTTGCACCTTGTATTCTGCTGTCCACGATTGTAGCTGCAAAGAGACGCCGCGGGAGATACCAGACACAGGCTTGTCCACCCCAGCGATTTCCAGGCTGAGACCTGTAGATTCGAACGTAAATTGAAGAAGCCATGGCGGAATCTTTCTCAGTGGGGTAGTCTTGCGCTCGTTTGGCGGCATTAGAACCCTCTTCTGCGGTTGCAGATGCATCCGGAATTGTTCAAGAACTTCGCGGATTCCACGATTGACTTCCCCATTGATCATATGAACGGAACACTCGTTCAGACTTCCCGAGGCAATGACTTTTACCTCCGGGCTTGCATTAAGGTGAGCTTTAAACTCCAGGCTTTCGGTCGTAAGCAAATTGTGCTTATTCCCAGCAGGAGTCTGGTAGTAAAATTTGTGCGATGCAACGCGGTATATTGCCGAAAGAGAATAATGGGCACCACCCTCGGTCGAATGAGACGACTCAATGTCCATGGATATTGAGGATATGGATGATATGAGGAGATTATAATCGTCCGGAATGCCCGGGGCCTTTTCGATAGGAAGGACGAATCGGATAACGGGTTCATGAACAGACAACTTGATGGTCGCTTTGGGAAGTAGGCGGGTGATCAACTGGTGGTTACTCCGCTTTTTGACTCGAGGAGAAGAGGCTCGCGCTTGTGCCAGTTTCAAGAGTCGAGACACATGTTGTGGTTGCATATCGAGTGATGGTGATGTGATGACCAGGTTAGCGAAGAGAATATTGGAGTTTCGCTCCTCGGGGTTCTCCTCATTGAAGGCGTTTACCGTCTTTGATGGTAGTGTAGTTTTGATGGTTGTCGTAGCCATCGGAACATAGAGAACATTATCGGTTTCGCCCGAGTTGTCATCCAAGCTGACGGAAAGGGAAATGGCAGCAAGTAATGCTTGATGGGCGATGTCAGTTGGCTGGAAATACATGCGATGCTCTGGGCTATTTTGATCCATTCGGTGGAGATCAATTCCCAGCTCGTGGGAGACGACATTCAGGAATACGGGGCTCTGGCCTGCAGAAAGAGATCCCAGGCTGCGTGAGAGCCGGAAGAAACTCAGAGCAACCTGAATCTCCTGGATTCCACGCAGAAGAGAACTTGCAAACTCCTTTGAATCGGCCACCGTCTGCATAATTGAATCATTCCGGCTGCCGGGCTTGTCAAGCTCCTCCACAAAGTCAGCAAAGGAGATCTCGTCATCTGTATCACCACGCATCGGTTCCTTGGGTGATGCTTTCTGGGCGGATCTAATGCGTTGGAGAAGTAAGCTGAGGTCGTCATAAGGAATATGTAGTCGACCGATTTTCAGCGCGATCGACGCATCCCGCAGCCCCTCGAGGTCCTTATAAAGCAGACCATGGAGGTTCACACCGACATTGTCCAAGAGCTCTATTGGCTCCCGACCTTCCACAGCGAGGAGAACATTTTGAACGTTCATGATCCATTCTGCCGGGCGCTGTTCCTTAGACATGTCCTTCTTGCGCCGAAAGAGCTTGCCTCGTTCTACCATCTTACTCCGGGTGTCCACCGCTAGCGACAACGACCCCACCTGTATTTGACCGGCACCGACGAACTGAACGGCCGTGTTCATGGCCGAGATATCAACGAGGGCCAGCCAGTTGATTTGCCGATGCAGCCGCTTTAGGCGCTCCTTCAGTCGACTCAATGTTCTCCATGTTTTACTCCGCTTGGTGGTCGAGTCGGGAGTTGTGTTCTCGGGGATAGGGCTCCCAGGACTCGAGGGTCCTAGAAAATCTCGAGGGGCCTCGGGTTTTCCTTTCGCCAGGGTCGCCGTATCCAATGTCACCTTCAAATCTGTCAACCGAATACTGATCCATGTTGGCTGCGCGAAGGACGGGGGGTGTAACGAGAACCCGAGTCCACGTATTTCAATCTGCAGGCCTTCTCTCGGGATGTATGCGATGCGTCGGAGCGAAAAGTAACCGATCCGTTGGATAGAGATTCCGGTGGCAATGCGGACGATCGCGAAGACGAAAAAGGACGAGAGGTAGAGGAGCAGGAAGCCCACGAGGATCGAGGTCGGGTTGAAGAGGGTCATCGCGAGTCGCGATCAGCAGGGGCTGATCCGTCGAACAGAGACACAGCGCAGCACAAAGAACATCGAGTGGGTTGATGTGATTTTTCAATTGCGTCGATCAATGCTGGATAACTGCCGAAATCCTCCACTTGAAAAAGGTGTCGTGTGTTTTTTTTTTTTTTTCTTTTGTTGGTTGAGGGGTGGAATTGAAGTAAATGTGTAGCGTGTCCAACTTCGCGCCGAGACCAACAGAGTCGGGGAGAAAGCTCCAGAGTGTTTCAGTGACACGAACACCCCCCCATACAGTAGATCATAACGGAGCTTGTAGAAATGACAAGTATGGTTCGGACGCGCCGGAGAAAGCCAGAACCATTAAGCGGAACCGTAATCTGCCAATCTGCCAATCTGCCCAAACCGGCTTTCTCGGCATCTGTTCTGGACCTTCTTTAACTCCGCTGATTTACTTAATTCACGCCCCTCCTATATGTTCCGATACTTTGCCTCCCTGTGTCCAGGTCTTTACTCAAAGAATCATTTTTCTCCTCCAGGCCTTACGGGCCAGAAACTTGCCTCTACTGTACAATGATTTCACTTCGCAGCTGCCGTGGGGCTTTCCTTGACTCGCGATCGGCGTTCCCTGATTCGATCCCCCTTTTCCCCAAATTTGACGGGTTGAAAGTGGATTCAATGGAAGAAAAATAGAAGGAAAAATACAATGGCCTCATCCTTGGAACACACTATAATACAATTATACATACAATTATCTACCCACTAGGCCATTTCTCCTTACGTGACCCGTAACATCAGAGACACATTAGACCTTACAAACTGCGCATGTGCCCCAAAACATCAAGACGGTGCGAGATGTCTGTGCACTGCTAACCTTGAACCCCCCCCTTCACATTGCCTAAATCATCGACGGACAGAAGAGGAGCCGCAGTTTGCAGGATGGAAGGCCTAATTTTCAGCGGCAGAGGTAGCCGGCCGAGTCTTCTCAAGATCCTCGATCTTTTCGTCAAGGAGCGCAATTTCAGCCTCAATACCCAGTAATTTCTCGCTGAGAATTCCACGGTATTCATCATCGGACAAGTTCCGGAGAGGGATCCATTTGCTATCAGCCATACGCTGGAAGAATGGTTTGGAAGGATTCTGTGCCCTGTTCACTTGCCATGCATCAACTTTATTGAAGGCAAATTGACCACAGAAGCCAAGCAATGAGAATGCAACAAGGCCAGGGATTAGCCGGCCGCCTAGACAGACATAATACCGTGGTTAGCGATCGCATTATGCGGCTGAACTTGGGGGATCATAGATACCCATGAGCCTAGTCACAAGTCCGCCAGAAATTCCTCCAGACAGAGCGCTGACATACGCGCGCTCTTGTGAGGATGCTTGGTCTTGGTAGTGAAGCTTAATAATGTTGCTCCGCAACCCTACATAAACAAGATTAGTGGTTGGCCAGATAGTGGAAGGAGCATGAACATACACCAAAAGGTTGAGCCACATGCAAACCAGTGAATACCGCAGGACAGTGAATGGATCACTGGGTTGGGAGATCTGATGACTCCTGCTGCCCCGCCATAGATCAATCCGGCAGTGCCTGGAGAAATAGATAAGCACAAGTACAATAGGAACCGGGTGTTCCTGGATTCCGATGGATCCAATACAGGTCGAGACTAACCGCTCAAGGCGCCTACTTTGGCTGCCGCCAGCAGCGGGTCAGACGCAAAGCTGTCATTTGAACGATTGCCCCCGCTCATGTTGCGAACGGACTGGACAAACGTACAAGCATTCCTGTGCTATTCGGCAAAAGAATCGACATCGTCTCCAGCTGGAAAATACGGTGTCACGTGTGGGTTATGTAATAAGTATGTGGATCTCGGCCATCTGCAACAACTCTCGAATGCGTTGCGATTGTTGTTCTAGTGGGAAATTAGGTTCCGGAGAGAGGCGAAGATCGGTACTTATTTCGCAGTAGATAATCCCCGTTTTGAAGGCTTAGCTTCGTGTGTATATACTTGATTTCTTTGAGATGGTTATGGTTGATTACACCTTGCCCCTGGAAGACGGCTTTTCGGGCTGTTGGGTAACCTTCGAAAAAATATATCTCCGACTGCTTTTTAAATATGTCCACCTACGCATTCTGAAATTCTCCATTCACTGTGAGTGTAAGCAAGGCCTAGAGTCAAATATTGCACCTAGTTCCACTAGAACCCACCATCTACGTAAAAATTCGTCTTGGCCGAGGTTGAAGTCAAGTCAATGGGATAATGATTCGGTCTAAGGCATGAAGAACATGGTTCTCTAATTGGCTTATAGCATTTACTCCACTAGCCCCACAGTCTTTCTCCACAATTTGAATATCCTTCTCGCTCTTGCGATGCCCTACTTATAATATCATTGACCTAATAACACATCATTGAGTCTCAATGACAATTTTGTTGAATCAAAATATCACGTGGTTGGAAAGGGAAAGGGCCGGAACGCCTAAGGAAGGGTATTGGGATTCTTTTTACCTGCTTTTAGCATTAATATCATTTTCGGAAGTGAAGTCGAATATCCACGGCATGAGATATCCTAGCTAGTATGTGCGTAACTTAGGCTAACATATCCACATATTTGATGTGATATAATTAAATGAAAGAGGTGGACAGAGGGGAAATATAAATTGAGATGATTGGAAACTGGCAAAGGCCGGCGATAACTGGTGCCAACTGGACGAGTCTAGTTTGGGATGATGGACTATTGGAATGGACTGTTGGGATAGACTTATGAGTATCGGTAGAGGTAATTCCATGATTTGCTGGAGCCAGGGACTGTAGAGCAAGTGAGAGGCCTCCTTCCAATGCATGGCTTGTTTTCTTTTCTTCTACAGCTAAGGTTGTTCTTTTCAACGACTGCACTCTTCTTTGAACAGCCCTGTTATATATGATAGTATCTGCATTGAGCTCAAACCTAGTATATCCCACCATAGGTCCATAAATGCCAGCCTAAAACTCATCCTCGTCAACGTCAAGTATTGAAGGTATAAGCTCCCTCCAGTCTTTATCCAGTGCTTACCGCCGTGAGCAGAAACATTCCATTGTAGAGGCATTATGGCGAGCTGCACCTTACTACTTGATTTCAGTCATGTCATCACCGTCATAATAGTATTGCCCTGGTATAAAACGCTATACGTCGTCACTTTTCTTTCATCCTGGCCAGTTGATGTAAGAATTCTCTGTCAAGGTGTTACATGTCCTTGCCTTTTTTTTTCAGGTTGATCTAGAGAAAATTGGTATTAAAACAGCCGCTCAAAGCTGCTAAGTGGATATTTCCTTAGATAAAGCATGAGCTTTGTAGAACTTTCGGGGATCGAAGCATTATCAGCAGAGTTGGGGGCGCCTACAGTATCCTATGCTTTCCATGTTTGCCATGTTTGCATCCCTGTTTGTATGACAAAAGAAGTGCGCTTTCTTACTCTCTTGACGGTAATGATGTTCTGTGTATCCTGCGTAATGGGGCTGTAATGGAATCAGACTGGCACAAGCAGTTAGTGCGGCTGTGTCTCCCAGTGATTCCCCGCTGAAATCATTGCTAGCTTCCCAATGATTTCCTAAATTGTCGATCCCGCCATCGGGCGATTTTCTCGCCTGTGGCTATTCGGATTTTTTTTTTTCATGTGTGTGTGATCTGCGCAGTATGTCAAGTGGCTGAGAGATAAAACGATTCTTCAATTCGAAATGGGGTTAATTCGAAATCGATTGATCATTAAAGCTTTCCTCGGAGTTTGTCTTTGTAGAACCGGTTGCCTGGCGGCTCTGATTGGACTAGCGGCACCACTTAAAAATTATCACGGATTAACTAACCCGTCCACTTCCATCTCGATTGCCGACTTCCCCTCTAACCAACTTTTCGTTGAGTGTGTTTCTGCTGACCTAGAAATTCACGACCAACTGTCCTATTTCGCTTCCCTTGATCGGCTCCCAGATTCCCATTCGGGTGTCTTCCAATTTTTTTCTTACCATTTCCCCGCCTCTAACCCTACTGTGTGAAGCGCGCACAAGTCTGCTGGCGCGCTAACCTCTAAACCGCAATCATGGGTATGTAGTGATCGCCCTATAACTCCCACTCACTGCTATTGATTTAAAAGCAAAATGTCTCTGTTAATCGAGGCATCCGTGGTGATCGAAACCCCGCTAACGAATCTTCTCCACTAGCGCCCGCGAAACAGAAGGGTCAGAAGATGACCATCAGCAACTTCTTGGCCGACGAGAGTGAGTGACGGAAGGTCTACAGGAAATGCAAATTCCATACTAACGGACCATAGGCCTTGGCTCTTGGGCTGATGAGATGGAGGACATGCCCCTCCCATGTAAGTGGCTGACCTCCCCGCTATATTGTGTTCACACGGTTGCTAACAATAATTGTAGCCGGTATGCCGCCCGATTTCTACGCTATACGTCTACGATTCCACAAAATGGTATACTGATTTACTATAGGGCCCTCCGCATCCTCTGGCTTCGGCAGCCGCCCCGCTGGTGGCATGGGTTTTGGCGGCAACAGCTATGGTGGTGGCAGTGGTTTCGGTATGCCGCATACAATGAGAAAGCACGATATATCGGAACTGACAAGTACAATGTAGAACGTGAGACCCGTGGAGGATACGCCGTTCGCGAGCCGCTCGCTCTTCCCACCGAGCCCCCTTACACTGCCCACGTTGGCAACCTTTCATTTGAAGCGACCGCCGATGACATCTCCGACCTTTTCGCCGGCTGCAGCGTGACCAACGTCCGCATTGTCGAGGACAAGCTTACCAAGGCCCCCAAGGGCTTTGGATACGTTGAGTTTGAGACCCTGGATGGCCTCCAGAAGGCCTTGGATCTGTCTGGCACCACCTTGCAGGGCCGTACTATCCGCACTAGCGTTGCCGAGCCTCGTAAGTATTTCAGCAATACAAGCTTTATAACACGACTGATGGATGATTATAGCCAAGGAATCTCGTCCTGAAGGCCGTGACCTTGACTGGACCCGCCGTGGACCCCTTCCCGCTGCTCCTGAGCGCCGTATCCCCGAGCGCTCCAGCTTTGGCCGCGGCATGGATGCCGCATCTGATGCCGGCAGCGAGCGCGGTGGCCGTCGTAACAACTTCGAGTCCGATGGAAAGTTCCGTGATTTCGGCAACTGGGAGCGCAAGGGCCCCCTTTCGCCCCCTGCTGGCCCCCGGCCCGTGAAGGTGGCCGCACCCACAGCAATGAAGGACCTGGCTCCGCCTACCGGAGAAGCTCACCTGCATGGGGTGAGGGTCAGGGTCGTTCCCAGGATGATGGCTCGCGCCCCCCTCGTCCCGAGCGGACCCCTACCGCTGCCGATATGGACAACCAGTGGCGCTCCAAGATGCGCCCCGATCAGCCAACCAAGGAAGCTGGCGCTCCCACATCGCCCACTGTTCCTGCCGCTCGCCCTAAGCTGAACCTCGCCAAGCGTACCGTTCCTGACGCTGCCACTGCCGCCGCTTCCTCCACCGGTGACTCCAAGGCCAGCCCCTTCGGTGCGGCCCGCCCCATTGACACTGCCGCTCGTGAGCGTGAGGTAGAGGAGAAGCGCCAGCAGGCTCTGCGCCAGAAGAGGGAAGCCGACGAGAAGGCTCGCGCCGAGAAGGCTGAGAAGCCCAAGCAAGCTAAGGAGAGCCGCGTTGCCGGCACTGATTCCAACAAGGATGATGTGGACACCCCGAAGGGTGGGGCTAACTTTGAGATCCTCCGGCGGGCCGGTGGGGAGGAGAGTGGTATGAACGCTGATGCGGACGCCGAGGAGAAATCTGCTCCTGCTGCGGAGGCCGCTGATGCCAAGCAGTCCACTGCCAATGGCAACTGGAGGACTACTGAGCCCACTGACGAAAATGACGGCTGGAGCACCGTCAGCACAAACAAGCGCAGCAACCGTCGTGGTGGTGGCCGTGGATTCTGATAATTTTATCGATACCCCGAAGTAACTTCCGCTTACCTCCATATTGTCGCCCCGGTTGTGCAAATGAACCCATGACCACATTTTGAGACGATCCTCACCAACGTCTCCTTTAGACCCTTACTGTCTAGAAGGAACCCCCCAAGGCCACTTCGTGGCCTCGATGTCGCTCTGTGAGCAAACTCTTCTTTTGGTCTATTTCATTGCATACCGTGCAGCAAGACGGCAGTTGCTTTGTCCCCCCTTTTCTCTCCACCCGTTCTCTCCTCATTTTGTCCTTGGTTCATGATCTTCCCTTTCTTCTCAGGCTAGATTCTCGATACACATCTAGTCTTCGCTCTGATGATTTGGCAGTCTGAAAAGTTTATTTTCCTACGTTATGTTTACTTGTGTCTCGTATGATGTTCGCTATCTAGCTATTATTCCCATGCGTGTGACTCGTGTGATTTGCCCATGACCATTACAGCCGATGCGAAATGAAGATTACCCGATTTCCTCTTTTATATTGTCTCTCCTCCAAATGACCCCAGGCGGTTCTGTTATGTCCCTTGTCATCTCCGGAATCAGATGATCTGTTTGAATTGGAGTCCATCCTCTACCACACAGTTTCTGTTTCCCAAATTGATGTGCTATGTGATCATGAACGACTCTACGAGAAACGAAGTAGTCGCCGTGAGCATTCCCATAACCTCACCCTTGAGCCTTCGATGACAATGAATATCCGATACTCTTCCCGGTCTTCCTCTCATGTCCACTCTGAGCTTCGACTCATATCCTGTTCCACTTACAAGGCTGCATCTACCGTTCTGGTCATCTCATATATTTGCACGTGCTGACTGTGACTTCAAGTGTCCACTCCGTATAGATTGAAATTCAAGTCTTCATTGACAAGTTCTTCCACCTGTAGAACCCTGTGTGGTAATTACTTGTACACTGCACTCCAGTATGGGGTACCTGTCCTACCGCTTTAAGCGAGTGGAGCCCTAATAGCACTATATCAACCACACAGAACACTTGTTGCCCTGAAGTGTGGACCATCGGTATTATAGAATTAAAATTTCAATTTGTTTCATACTTTGGAATACACTACTGGACCTTAGGACTGTTCTCCCCGCGCCAGCTTTTCCCAGTGGGTATAAGGGGCCTAAGGGATAAAGAACCGATTGGTCCATTTTACCTTCGCAGTAAGGGCGATATAAATAGGATACCACTAGCCTCAGCAGGGATAGTTTTTTTGTCCCCTTTTCTGCAGGGTTAATCGCTAAAGTAGACCGTGTATGTGGAAAGTTACCCTAGCTGACCACGAGGGAGGCCGGTGCATGTGGTGACATGGGGGCGGGGACCGCTCCCCAGTATCCAAGTATGTCATCGGGATCAGGCACACAATAAAAAAAAATAGATCATAGATAACAGATCACAGATCTATCTGCAGGGAAAGATCTATGATTCACTGATTCACTCTAAAGTGCTCCGTATAGAGTAAGAACATTGGCCCTGGAAATGTTAGCTGAGACACGGCCCAATGATTGAAAGATAAAAAGCCGGTGGCGCAGTATGGAGTAAATTGAACCCCTTCAAAGGTTTCCGGACTTTAATTATTTCATCGTTTCATATTTGCTGCCATTTGTCCTTCTAAGGTTCTGGACATTCCAGCTGTACTTATTGTTTACCGTTTCCATTCGGCCCTTCCCCTCATCGCAACTTATTTAGACTCCACTAAGAAAACAAACTTGGGGTAGCATCCCCATGTTGTCATGTCTGCTACGACCACCACGCTCGCGACCGCCACTCTTGTCGGAACCCCCTCTACTATGAAGAATGTCGCTACAGTCGAAGAAAATCACTGTCCAACATGTGGATCTAGCGACTCGTACGATTCCTCCGAGGCCCAGCTCCGGATCCAGGAGTTGGAGGGGCAGATTCAGGACTTGACCCATCGCGTCGCCTTAGATGGTAGGTGGCAGACCAGAGGACTTGAGCATCCTTAGTGCAGGGATATAGGAGCGTCAACTACAAAGCTCTCATACCCAGCATAACTTCTCCATACCCAAAGCCCTGGACCTAAGCGCCCTCCAAACACTCGCTGACCGACTCTTTCTCCTCCCAACAGCAAACAAGCTTGCCGACTATGAAGACGAGATCACACGCCTGCGCAAATACCAAACCCATACGCATACCCGAGGATCCTACGACACACCTCGAAGCAGCGCCTCCCTCCCAACCTCTTCCCACGCCGATAAATTGACACTCTCACCAACCCAAATCCCCGCCACACCGGATACAGCCTCTCAACCAACAACCTACCACAGCCGCCTTGCGACCCTTACCTCACTTCTCCCCTACCGGCGCGGGAGTTCAACAACCAGCGCACCCGCGACCACACCCGCGCCAGCCCTACCAACCACACCAACCTCACTCCCACCCCTTCCCCAATCATCACCCGCCAACAGCGACAACGCCGAGCTTCAAGATGCGCTTACACGCGAACAAGGTCTCCGCAAAGCAGCAGAGTCCCAGCTCTCCCTAGCAAGCAACGAGCTAGAAGAGCTTACAGTACAGCTCTTCAGCCAAGCAAACGAAATGGTCGCGCAAGAGCGGAAAGCGCGCGCAAAGCTCGAAGAACGTGTTGCTATACTTGAGCGCCGGGATATCGAGAAACGGAGCCGGTTGGAGAAGCTAGAGAAATCCATGGCGAGAGTGGAAAGGTTGAAGGCTTTGGTTAATTCGTGAGAATGTCGCAACGCTGTTGCTTATAACGATTACTATGATTTTGGTCTTGGTTTTTACCCTCTTGGGCTTGCGCTTGATTCCAGGGTTACGATGGGTATGAACTACGGCGCTGGGAATGGTTTTTTGGTATTTCTCCTTTTTTGCTTTTCTTACTCCACTTGTGGTGTGATTCGATTCCCATCTTTGCGAGTTTTTTGAGTTTTTTTTTTTTTGCAGCTGGTTAGCGCTGAGTTATAAATGGTTTTTGGCCAGCGTGCCAGGATGTTTTTTTCAGATTACTCTTCCTCTACTATTAGCAATCCGAGGTGAAGTTTCAGTATGCTAGCAATGTTCGAGTCGAGCTTTGTAGACTTTGACGTCTTTTAGTTGCATTAGCTGTACAAATTATTGCGTCATGCATATTCAGTAGAAGCAATAAGCCGTTCATTAGAACAACGGGCAATATCGTCTCTGACGAGCTTCCTAAACCAGCTTACGACGGTAATAACCTAGTCGGCACGCAAAACCGGACCGAATACTGAGTAGAAGGCCGAAGCCAAGCTCCCGGAGGCGAAACAGAGGTTGGACCTTCCCACGTTCGTCGGGTCCCGACTTAACCCCACTTATGCATGCTTCTGCATGACATCTCAGCAAGGATCTTAGACTTGCATTTACTTTTACCTGAGGAGTTCAGATTTTCTTGTCTCATTTTCCTTCTGTTCTTAAGGTTTTCGCAATAGTATTCGAAAAGAGACGACTCAACCTCATCATGGCTATCGGTGTAGCTATCATTGGCAGTGGTAAGAACCAATTCCAACTCTCTTAAGCATGAGTGCATTGAATACAGGACCTCAGGACTAATGTTGAATTTACATATACAGGCAACTTTGCTAAAGAGCAACACTTGGTATGACTTGGAGTCCCGATGTCCAATTTCAACCTTCCAACATTGTACTTGACTTGGACTGATTCATTAACCTCCCGAGTATATATAGCCCGCCGTGGAAGCAGTCAAGGATCTAAACCTCAAGGCTATTTACTCACGATCCCTTAAATCGGCGCAGGATCTCGCTAGTAACACGACAGACATCGATCTCTACTCAGATGATTCCGGCGCAGGACGCTCCTTCGCTGATCTTCTGAATCGCTCAGATATCGGCGCTGTGATCATCGGGTACGTTGATCCAAGCCTAACCGAGCCTCCATAAATAACTTTGGGTATCTAATGGCGATCCATAGTCTTCCTATCCTGGTCCAACCAGACTATATCCGTCAAGCACTCCTGGCAGGCAAACATGTGCTCTCCGAGAAACCCATTGCCAAGGATGTCGCCACCGCACGCGAGCTTTTGTCATGGTACAAGAAAAATATTGATACTAGTAAGGTATTTTGGGCCGTAGGCGAGAACTTTCGATACTTGACCAAAATCTTGTTCGCAGCCGAACAAGTCCGACAGATGGGACAAGTGCGCAATTTCAGAGTGAACGTGCACAGCCTGGTGAAGCAGGATAACAAATATTACTGTACGTCACCTAGCTCACTGTCTTTTGTTCTTGAACCCAGACCCCAGTATCCATATGTTAACTGCATCCATCAGTGACTGCCTGGCGCAAGACACCAGGATATCAGGGTGGCTTCCTCCTAGATGGAGGTGTACATATGATAGCTGGTCTACGACTGATCCTGGGCCCCGAGGAGAAGATCACTACTGTCTCCGCGCACTCACAACTGCAGCAGGAATACCTGCCTCCGGTAGATACCGTAGATGCGGTTTTGAAGACCGAGTCCGGGGCTACCGGTGTCATGTCTCTGTCGTGGGGCTCTGCGTTCAGTGATAACATCTTTGAGTTTTCTTGTGAGAAGGGCGTCGTGAAGATGCACTTTGATGGGGTTACAGTCAATGGACAGGACCATGCTATTGAGTTTGATGGAAAGGGGGTTGTTCCTGAGGTTGCTGATTTTGCGGCGGCTGTTGTTAATGGAAGGCCTGTTGCGAAAGGACAGTCGCCTGAGGAGGCATTGGCTGACCTTGAAGTTTTGGAGCAGATGCTGCGGAGTGGAGAGCAGGAAGGAGAAAAGATGGAGGTCCAGTGGCAATAGGTTGGGTGGTGTAATGTATAGTCCTGGGCTAGAGGTATGGTGCATTTTCCTAGGCATTCCAAGGTTTAGGTACGGGGCATAATTGTGCTGGTTAATACGGTTGAAGTTCAATGAAAATCCCGTGATCCGATTGACATGCCTTTGGAGCGAGTTTGAATACATGCGTCTGAAGATAGATTATGCTCAAATGTTTAAATGTTCCAACTGAAGTAAGTATATTGGAAACCTATATAGCGAGTGGTTTGTTGGTAGGTCATGAGAAAGAGACGGAAAGTCCCCAAAGATTCCTTAGTTTATGATCTCGATTCATATTTTAACGCAGTAACTAGTAAATAACCATGAGTATTTCTCGATTTTGAAAAACAGAACGGTAAAAGGAGAATAAACTGTAGATTCAACGTGAAGATGTATAGATGTTCCCAAAAGGGAAATCTTGGCAGGGCTATGTGTCAGCCAGCCCTACGCTGACATAAGCCCACCTATTTCGCTTAGGTCGCCCAAATCACACTAGTGTGGGTCGCCCACGCCGCTCTGCTTGGAAGTTTTCGAGATTGACTACGTTCCGACTCGACAACTCTCAACGCCCGGCGAGACCCAGCAACACCGACAAAGTGAGTTTTCACGTCCATTCGATCGACCGCTCCAGCATTCTGACCATTTTCTCTTTTTACAGATGGTCGCCGCTAAGAAGCACATCCCTATCGTCAAGAAGCGTATGTTCCCCGATCTTCGACCCCGTGAATACCATTTGTGGCCTGGATAGCATCGCCCTTCGACCACCCTCAGACGACGTGAGACATTGAAATCGTGTTGCATAAGAAAGAGAAGGGCTTTTCTGAAGGACGTGGAGGGGAAATTTTGTGATTTGATTTCGATTTTTTTTTACCGGCACGAATTCGTCATGGTCGAAGAGCGATAATATCCACGGAAACCTACCACCACATTATCAATGGATTCTACGACAACCGATTTCCGAATGGAAGGACTGACAGGATGAAATAGGGACCAACCGCTTCAACCGCCACCAGTCTGACCGGTTCCACCGTGTCGGTGCCTCGTGGCGCAAGCCCAAGGGTATCGATAACTGTGTCCGCCGTCGCTTCAAGGGCACGATTGCCATGCCCTCCGTACGAACCCTTTTACCTTCAACACCCCACCAGAAGCAACGCTAATGCGGTACTACAGATCGGTTACGGATCCAACAAGAAGACCCGTCACATGATGCCCTCCGGCCACAAGGCTTTCCTCGTCCACAACCCCAAGGACGTCGAGCTCCTCCTGATGCACAACCGCACCTTCGCTGCTGAGTATGTCCAACCTTGATGCGATGTTCTGCACATTGGAAATTGCAGAATCTCCTTGAATTGAACATGCACTAACAAAGTTGACAGGATCGGCCACGCCGTCTCTTCCCGCAAGCGTGTCGACATCATCGCCAAGGCTAAGGCTCTCGGTGTCAAGGTCACCAACGCTAAGGGCCGTGTCACCACTGAGGCTTAAATGGATTGAACCCCAAAAAGTTCTTTTTCATTTTGTTTTCGGGGGGTATTCGCAGGAGCATGAGAGGGGTTTTTGTACGGTCGTGATATCTCTCTGGCGATAACGAAATTCAAGGATTGTGCATGCCATGCCATGTGCGGCTCGCGCTTGGTCAGAGTGTCGGGCGGATAGAGCGAGAGAAACTTGTTCTGAAATGACAAACAAAAATTCAAAAATTCTCTGGCCATGGAATGGATCCTACATTTGTAGAACTCCTTCTGGAGCAGTATTATCGATTGTAGCTATACTAATACTTGCAATGCTGGTATACTGGGTGTGTGCCATGCTCCGGGAGCAGAGCAGCTGCATCCGGCATCAGCCAAGAACGTGGCTTAATCTAACCTCGACAATGCCATTCAACCCAACTTTCTCCCAAACGCCATAGATTCGACCTCAAGTGCACAGCCCAGCTCGTCAGGGTTTCCTCGTCCGTGCAGAGGAATTGAGTGATCGCCAGACCCACCTGTTCAGGGGTCCTCGTAGCGGGCCTCTGGTAACACGGCGCCTAGAACAAACAAAAAGCCAGGCTCCGTCACTCCGAGGGAAGCACGACAGTTGCAATTCCGATCTACAGGTCTTTGCTTGCGAAATCGACTAGCTTGTATTCCCAAGGTTGTCAGGCCACCATTCCTTCCATTCAAGGACGAAAAAAAGTGGAACAATCTCGCCGATCTGGCCAATGTCAGCCCCAAACAAGCCTCGGAAACAAAAGCCCCTAAAGTCTAGGCAGTGGTGATACTTAAGACCCATCCTTCCCCTCTGAAACAACTCAGGATTGTTTCTTGCTTCTCCTTGGGACATGGAGGGACAATCTTAGGTACCTCCTTTCCATCCCTTCTCTCGTCATCCCTACAATGCTCACCTTCCCCGCCCGATACTCGCGCTGGCTGCCTTTGGCTGCTGGGGCAGTCCTCGTCTTTCTTTTCCTGCACCTCCGACACCCTGGCTTTGGATTGTACAAACCGCAAGCGATTGGCACCGAACCATCAGTAATAATATCATCAAACCAAACAATCACGACACCCGATGACATCAAACTCGACATCAAACCCGTTGACGCAAACCCCACATCCGCAACGTGCCGCCCACTTCCCGGTATCGAAGATATCCTCGTTATCCTGAAAACAGGCATCACAGAAGCGCAAGAAAAAGTGCCCGTGCATGTCCGCTCAACACTCCGCTGTATCCCGAACAAACTAATCGTCTCGGACTACGAAGAAGAAATCGACGGAATCCATACATACGATGTCTTCCGCAACACAAGCTGGGAAGTCCGAGAAAACATCGACTTCGCACTCTACAATCGCGCCCAGCTTAAAGGCCGCGCCGGCCTCACAAAAGGAGATGTAGCCAAGGTCGCCAACAGCGCATCCGGAATGATGGGCAACCCAGGCTGGAAGCTCGATAAATGGAAGTTCCTACCAATGGCCCTGGAGGCACGGAACTACAAAGCCGATGCGAAGTGGTATGTCATCCTCGAGGCAGACACATACCCGATCTGGCCGACTCTGGTAGCGTGGTTGAATCAACTGGACTCAAGCAAGAAACTCTACCTTGGCAACCAGATGCAGATCGGGGAGGACGTCTTTGCGCATGGTGGATCGGGTGTTGTTCTTTCTCATGCGGCTATGCATGGACTCGCAGATGAGTATCAGAACCATATGGATGATTGGCACGCCCAGACAAGTACGCATTGGGCTGGTGATTGTATCATGGGCATGGCGCTCAAGGCTATCGGTATCCCGCTTACATGGTCTTGGCCGCATGTTACCGGGCAGTCTATCTGGGAGCAGGATGCTATCAATGAGGCATATGGAAGAAAGCAGTGGTGTTATCCGCCTTTTACATTCCACCACATGACGACAACGGACATTGAAACGATGTTCGAGTTTGATGTGAAATGGCATGCGGATGTGAGTATTGTCACCTTGTCGTTATCGTTGCCATATGTCTCAACTGTCCTTGACTTACATTTGCTTAGGAAAAGAATTCCTTTCTACTATACAAAGATTTCTTCCGCCTCCTCGTCCGGCCAAACCTGACAGACACCCGAGAAAATTGGGATAATTTCGCTCCGAAGGTGATAAAGAAAGAAGGCGATGAAAATGCACCCTGGACACACTATGAGTGCGCAGAAGAGTGCGCCAAACGGGTTAATTGTATGCAATACAGTATCGACAAGGCTGGCACCTGTAAGCTCTCCGACCTCGCACTTGGGGGCCGACCCTCAGCAGATGTCACGTCAGGTACGATGATGTGGAGGATCGATGAAAGGATACGTTCTTTGGGTGACTGTGAGAGCCCCGAGTGGGTATCTGCATGAGCAACACCATATTTTCATTTTGCTTTGCTGTTATTTTCCTCTTTGCTTTCCAAGGGTTACTTCTGCTTTCATTTTGCGTTTAGGGTTTGGCAACGAGGCGTATACACGTGGCGATGGGATCGGTGCATTGGGACTGGGCAACTAGCATTTGATTTCGGCTTTGTATAGATATTGGCACAATTGGAGGAGATAAATTCGGACTATAAAATGCCTGCAAGTCAATTAATTTGGTATCTTTAAAATACACGGTTTTACCTACGAGGCAGACCTTTACCAGTTACGAGTGGAGAGATAGTCGCATGGAAATGAGATGAAATTCTATGTAAATCGAAATGCAATGTAAAGAAACACCCACTCTATGCTGTATGTCCAGATGAGACGCAACTGTCACCTCGACTCCAATCAACGGTATGGTATCATAAAACCAAAGACATGATATGCAACGAAGACGAAAGAAATATGACCCATTTTACTGCGCCACAGGAGGTACCAGCTCAGCGGCCCCCTCCGGAGCAGATGCGGCATTCAGGGAGGATATATCCACAAGGCCAACACCCTCAAGCAAAACAGCTCCAGTGGGAAGCTTAGTTCCCTCGGCGACCACCCCGTCGTCATCAACACCAATCTCAGGCGGAACAGTGCCGTGCCCAATAATAACCTCCTCACCCTCAGCAGCAGGAGCCCAATCGGGAACCTCCCGGGGGCCAAGCAGACCAAACGGCGGCATTCCCCAGCTAGGCATGGCACTCCGGTAGGACCAATCTCCCTCGCGATCAGCATAGGCAACAGCATGCAAGAAGATACCAAGCTCATGGGGCCCCGGATCAGAGTACAACTCCGTATCACAGACCTCGCAAAGTGCACCGGACAGACGCTCACCCTTGCGAATAGAATAATCCTCCGCAGCGGCCTTCTGCTCGCGCTCAAGGAGCTGCGCAAGAATAGCCGGGTCAGTGTCCGGGGGCACGTCCGGCGAAGCCATGAAGTGGTGACGGTAAGAAACTGTGTCAGGCAACTCGGTCTTACCCATCCGATTCAGCCGTTCCATAATCTCCTCATCACGCTGGCCGTGCGACTCGTTCTTGGCCAACTCAGGCCCGAAGACACGACGGTTAGAGTAGATGGGGTCGTTGGAGATGGGGTGGCCTAGGAATTGGAGGTGGACTCGGATCTGGTGCGTACGTCCTGTGAGCGGGAAGCAGTGGACGATACTGTAGCCCTCTGTTTCATTCGACAGAGCCGGGGGCGGGGTTGCCGGGCGGAGTACATCGCCGTTCGACTCAGGGGCAGGGGGAGTGGGCTGTTCCGACTCGGGAGGATAGTATGCCAACCGGCGGAACTTGGTCGTAGCCGTTTTACCAGTGGCGCGCACACGGTTCAGTCCCAGCTTGGGACTAACCTGCATAATGGGCTGATCGCAGACCACCACGCCGTCTGGGAACTTGCCCTTGACTCGTGCGACGTACTCCTTCTGCACGGAGCGCTCCTTTAACTTGGTTGCCATTCTCTCTGCGCCCTTGGCGTCCTTGCCGATGAACATCACGCCTGAAGTGAGACGGTCGAGGCGGTTGCAGGGCCGCGGGAGGAAACCATGGCCGCGTTCTGCACGGAGAATCTCGACGACGGAATTGAAGTGGTATCGGCCCGCAGAGTGAACAGGTACACCTGCGGGTTTGTCGATGACGAGGAGGTCGTCGCTTTCGTGGATGATGCCGATCGGTTGCGATGAGACCGGGGGTTCATGACGGTGGCAGGTGTGCGAGATGACCTGGCCATTCTTGATAACTGTGTCGCGGGCCGCGGGTTTGCCATTCACGGCGACGAGACCTTGATCGAGTGCCCATCGCTGGAAGATATGTTAGTATATCACTGTGGATCAATGGGGTCTCGAGGGAACGCATACATAATAGTCTGGTCTCCGGTCTCGAAATTCCGATGTGAAGATATCCTCCAAGTTACGACCGCGCCATCGCTCCTTGCAATGAGTGTTATAGGTGTAGTGGTAGGGCGCGACGCGGCGAAACATACCCTCTAGGTAGTATGGTGCTGGCCATGGATCGCAAGGGGTAATGCAGACAGCGGGAGGCTGTTTGAAGGGTTCGGGTTTAACTTCGACATTGACGAGGGCCATAATGGGTGGCGGGGGCAGAGGAAGTTTCCCTCGCCGGAGCAAATAGGCCGTTATACGCGGAGAGGGAGCCAGGAGGAAGAACGAGCGATGTGCGGCTCTAAAGTCCAAAAGAACGGCGTGGTGGCGGGGAAAGTTTTGGATGAAAAAAATAAAATAGAGATTAACGATAAGACGGTTTCCATTGTGGAGTCTCCCCACGGAACCCAGAACCCAGAACCAGAGCCCAGAACTCAGAATATGTCGACATTCTCATGGTCCCTGGATGGACAATATGAAAAATGAGCGATACTCGCTTAACGCGAATCTAATCATTCAATCTTCTGATTCCAGAATCACCTGAAATGTATGAGCTTACCTAATCCTTTGGACCTCGGTCCATCGACTCCGAGGTAGCGGAGACGACGATCGCATATCACCTCTTGCCTCGCTGGACGGGTTTCAAAATCATCTTTCTTCCAAGTATCATCACAAACGCGCACATACACATACAGATATGGCAACTCCTGATTACTTAGCTAAGAAGCGCCGTGTGCGTAGTGACTATGGCTATCACCAAGTCCACCAAACAAGATGGTAAAGGCAACCGGCATCGGATAATGGGATAATAGAGCAACGAGAGATTGACAGATCAAATTAAACAGGTTCGATAATGACATGTATGCTCATCTCAACAATACAGTCTATACCGCCCTCTTCGACACCATTGCCAACTCTTACCTGATCGAGGCTTGCGGGATGAATCCCTTTAGCGTGAACAATCCCACCCCTAAGAGCCAAAGTGGCCAGCCATCCAATCTATCAGTCGGCGCGGATCAGATTGGTCTGATCGTTTCAACGCATGCGGACTTCTTTGCTTCTGTTGCATTCCCCGATATCCTCGAGGTCGGATTACGGGTTGCTAAGTTGGGGTCATCGAGCGTGACATGGGAGATTGGAGTGTTTCGGAAGGGCGAGGAAGATGTGAAGATGGTGGGAACCTATATCCATGTTTTTGTCTTGCGAGAGACAATGCGGGTGGGCAAGGGTGGTATGGAGGAGAAGGTACGCAATGGGCTACAGAAGTTGCTCAGTAAACCGGATTCGAAGCTGTGATGTGACATGATAAGACGCGTGTATATACGACCTGCAGTCAAGACTCAATGTGGTAATGCGCCACACATGCCCTGTGCCTCTATAATACATGCCAGTAAGCAGGGAAAGAAGCGAGCCAATTACGTGCGTCCCATGTAGGCCAGGTTTCAAGGTGATCCATGGATTACAATTGACACATGAGAGAAGTGGTGATATGTAATACTCCGAGATTTACCGGCTCATGATATTAAAAAAAAGTATATGGAATCTGAGCTGCCCAATGAAACCGCAAAAGCGCACCGTTCAACCCGTGCGCCGTCACATATCATTCCAGCCCGCATAAAACAAAAGTCTAGTCTAATCTATGATGCAAGACTGGAAAAGAAGAATAAAACAAAGGAATCCGAACAAAACACCCATAACCCAGTCATTCCGTAAAGCTCAAGTCAAAACACTTTTTGTAACCGATACCCACGCTTAAACGCTTCCCAAACCGAAACACAAGCGCTAACAAAAGGTGTTGGGAATCATTGCCATGGCGAAAATCAAGATAAAGGAGGTGTAGATAGCACCATAAAAACAAAAACAAAAAGCTGCAGAAGGCTGCAAAGAGCCAGAATACCAATTTACTCAAACTTGCCCGCAATCACACTGTTGCAGCGCGAGACATTGGCACTGGTCGGCGGCGAGACGCCACGACGCATAGTCTCGCCGTCCTCATCCAGCCACCACTTAGGATACGGGCCGGGAATAAAACGGCCCTTGGCATCCCAGCCAGCGACCCAATGAACGCCATCATCAAGAAGGAAGAAGCGCAACTTCTCGGGGCGACCGCCCTTGTGCAGGGGAGCAGTGAAGAAGCGCGAGCGTTGTTCGAGCTCAGACTCGAACATGTAGCGGTGCAGAACGCGGCAGTAGACCAGGGCGGCCGGGACTTTTTCGTCTTGGTCGCATTCGTCGCGACGGACAAGGTGCCAGCCTTGGCCGGGTAGGAACTTGTATGTTCCTGGGACGGGAGTGTCCCAATGTTGTTCGCGGTTGTGGTCGGGTTCGATGCGATCACCACGCTGGAACCAGTAGATAGGGCAGCAGAGGGTGCGCAGACAGAGGAAAAGGTTGGGAGCCATGACTGATGGCTTGAAAAGATTCAAAAATATTGGGATGGTTGCGGATTGGTTGTGTAGATAACAAACCGGCGCGAAAGGAGTATCAAAGCAATATGCGAACACGCAGGGCTGAAATGCGGAAAATGTCGTAAAAAAGGATCCCAGAGGACGGCGTGGTTATAAGTCGACGTCCATGGTGACAATGGTATTCGAGATCAATGGTTCGAAATCGATGAAAAGAGATTGGACAAGGCCTTCAACTTCCACTTAGAAGTTCGGTGAACGACCTTGGAGAGAGAGAGGATGGGCGCTCTCTTTATTCCCACAAAGAAATAGCGAAAGAGCACGGACAGCCACAGACCAACAAAACTGCGGCAAGGGCAGGGGATGTCCAAGGACTCAAGAAACAGGGGAATGTCGTTATCGTTGCGGTGAGACGGAGAACACGTCCCCGGGATTTGCGAAATCAAGTCGGGAAGAGTCGTGATAAGCTTGCAGCTCCTTCCGACGGGCTAGTAGTTAAGCACAGTTTCTAAAAGAAACCCCGGGAAAGATGGGACTAGTCCGGGGCGAATCAGGAGAGTGGCTTGAGGGATATCACAACTTGGCCGGAGCAGGAATCGGCAGCTTGCAGAGACAGTGCGTGAAGGGGGCCGATGTTATTGCTCCTAGGGACCGCATGCAAGCAATGAAGCATTTGACTGGAGGAAGGTCGACATGGCGGTGTTATATAGGGGAAAAAGTAATAAAAGGGAAAAGTGTGTGGGATGTTCACTAGGAGCGGGTCTCCCGTGTTCGGGGATCCATCACCTTAAACCAAGGTCGTCTAGACTCTCTCGAGATCGAAATTTTCCTCGTTTCTGCGGCTCCACCCGAGCCACATTCCACGCGCGATTTTCTTTTTGTTTACCTAAAGCCTGACAGGCCAAGGCTGCTGCCTTCAGGGTTTTCCTTAGCTACATGTTATAGGTCTGATTTCTCTTGTGCGTTTTGGAGCTACTGGAATCCTTTGTCTCACCACCACTTTCTGTGATACATAGCTTGCATGTGAGGATCATCGGTGGCTCCGTCTGCTTACCACGCGGCTCTTGGCGAGTAATTTATACGATAGGATCAGACGTGGCTCAGCGGTTGAGTTTCAGCCTTAAAAATCTTTACAGCTCTGGATTCAGTCTCTGACTACCATCTGACATCACCAGAAAAAAAATGTCACCCTTTGCCTTGTCAAGGTTAGCCTGTTCTCTGCTTTCATGCCTAGTTTAGACAGTGGATTTCGATCCTTGCCACACTTCACCCTGTTGTACGTATTGGGAAATGATCGTCGAAATTATGATGTCGCACTGCCACATGTATCGTACCTTTGACATGTTTACTCCACGTGGATACGTTTGAATGACTCCGACGCCTCATTGAACCAAAAATATGGGGGTTTTTTTTGGATACAGTAGTTTCGAATCTTCCCATTGCCTATGAGCGAAACATTGAGGTCATCCCTGGAACACACTCGAAACTGTGCAAGCAGTCAACTCCCTCCCCCCTTTACTGGAGATAGGGCATGCCCCCACTTTCCTCATGAAAGCTGAATTTCTCACCTGCCATGTGTGGAAGATCGAGAAGACATGCTCTTAGCCTCCGATGGCGCTCTCCGTTATCAACCCGGATTTTTCAATAGTTCTAATACTAGTTTTTAGCTACGACAGCCTAGGCGAGCAACTATAACGTCGTTAGCCTCGGAATTAAGCAACTGAGAAGTGTTCCTGCATTGCTAGCGACCTTATCAATAAGACTAAGCCTTTAGTAGAGTTTGGTTATATGAGCTTGTTCTGGACAGCGATGTTACTTGGTAGACCGGGGCACCCCTTGCTGCAGTGGCTGACAGTGTGTTGGCGCCACTCACTGGAGCGACAATGTTTGCATCCCCAACGAAGAGATAGTGATTTTTGCTATGCTATTATTATAAGAGTCGCTCTACTATCGAGCTGGTCTAGATGGTCCGAAATAATAGCAATGAGTATAGCCCTCGCCTTAACTTGTGTAACAAATTGTTCATGTGCGATCTGCATTGGCGTAGCCATTGCGGACGGCTACCTGCCTTATCGCTTTAAAACCCCACGATGAGCTCACAGAAGAGATTATTGGACGGAGGGTAGATATCAAATTTTCAGGCCAATCTCAAACAAGGCGGTATTCATAGGCTGTCAAAGATAGGGGCTAGATGGTAACTGGGTACAGACCTTGGAGATCTGCAGTACTTTCATCCAATCCCGAAGGTAGTGACCTCTCCTGAGCAGACTCCTTCTGCTTAACTCGGTAAATTAAGATAATTATATCGGCATCAGCCCTCAATTCAAGTACCATGGCCAGACTGTCGTTTATTCCATATTTTGTGGTACAAGTTCAATGGTATAACCATCCTAGAATGCTTTAGCCCCAGACTTGCCGGATGATAGAAAAGAATTTACCGGATCTTTGACAAAAGCAATTTGTTCGAATATTTTCTTGTAAGCCGGATGGACAGCGCCCAGTCCGATACCGCGTTGGGCCTCCCAATGACTCAAGGGGATAGATTCCCGAGTGGCCACCCCCAGATCCTTCTCGATCTCTACGCCATGCGACCTCAAATGTTCCAAAGCTTTTGCAACATCCGGAACCGTGAATCCTAAATGTCCAAGCCCCAGATTTGGAGGTTGATTGCCGGTGTTGTACAGACCAGCGGGCTCATTTTCAGTGCCATGAATATGATAGAGCTCTAGAAGCCCAAGAGTATGCACAAGATTTGCGAGCGTGTCCTCGCCGAATTTTGTCAGATCTTCTTGGTGTTCTGGTTTCTGGGGGTAGCCGAGATAGTAGATTGTGAAGGGACCAGCGTTCATAGTGAATACGGTTCGCATGCCGAGTAAGTCAACATAGAAGCGTAATGAGCGGGCTGGATCTTGGATTCGCATCATCATGTGGTTCATTTTGAAACCGACAGTGGGATCATTTGGAAGGAATGGGGTTTCAGTCTTGTCGCCATTGATTAGGTATTCCCCCTCGGGGTGGGCGGGAGACCTTTGAGAATTGTTACTCATTCTGGCTGTCCTGGATGTTTAAAGGGTTGGGGGAGAGAAATGATAGATTTTTGTTTGAACAGGACTTCTACTGATTGACGCTTATGATCTTAGTCAATAAGCGGGGGTTATGATGTGGGACGAGTGGGGATGGGGGATATCCGGCCCGAGTTTGGTATAGCCTCACACGACATCCTATTCAGTCTTGACTCTCAAATTCCAGAAAGCGCTCAGTAAAACCACAGATATTTCACGAAACTACCAAGGACTAGAAAATGGGAAGTAGATGAGTCTCAATCTAAATGTTCTCTTTGGAGGTTTTTCATACACCATCAGCCCCACATTCAAAACAATCTCCAAGTTTATTAAACCTGAGCCTACGCACCACTGCTAGATCTGAAGGCTTGAAACTTATAAAATCACAAAAGTCTAAGACAAGGCTTACTGCTTTGAGCTATTTAATCCACAGATAGTGATTGAGAGCAGCCCTCGACGTCACCTATAGTCCTAAAGTTGTTTCGAACTTCCGGGCGATGGCCCCTTTGAAGGCTGCCTGGCTAGCTCGATGCCGTATAAAGCTACTGAAAGAATTACGGCGTCCAACACTTCAAGAATTACCTCAGTAGGTCGAAGTAAAGTGATAGTCATTTACACTGAATACAAGTACGTAACAGTCCTGATTGAAGCTTGCCTCTTTGATGAGAACAGGTAACGAGCATGACATACTTTGTTTGATCTTTTGGAAAAGTGAAAGATTTTGAAATCGCCATTCGACCATATGAAAAGTTCTATATAATCCATATTCTGTATACGAAGTTCTTAGATTTCCAGGGTGTTCCCATACGGAGTGGAGTGATGATCGTCGGAACAACTGAAGCTGGTGCTTCTCCGCATTTCGCCCCCCACTTCCCCGGAATTCCACCATACACCTCGCTACTGGTGCTCCTTCACAACCTGCTTTTGGACAATGGAAGACAAAGCGACTATACTCACGAATGCTCCAGTGTCCATGGCTCAAGCAGACCCTGTGAGGCCAAAAAAGAAACGCATTCGGAACTGGACCGCGGAGGATAGAGCCATCCACCGTGAATTTGAAAAGTCCCGCCGGGAGGCCTTTGGTGTGCGTTTGATGGTTAGTAAACCATTTTTGGCTACCAGTCATGTATGTGCTAAGCCATTTCTAGGAGCTAACAAAGTTACTTCCCTTGCTCCGGGAAGAAACACGGCCCTCGAAGCATATTATTGTGGACGCGAGTATATCTCATCACAAGACCCAACAAGCAAGATGCGATCAAGCCACTAGCGCAATTAAAGCACTAATTGCCGAGCGTGATGATCTGCTTAAAGAGGTCAACAGCCTGCGATCTTTGTGTCAACCTGGTACTTCTGTCCCGCGACAAGCTCGGCCAATTGATCCCGCTGTCCTCGACCTTTTGAGAGAGAGTGATGAGCCAGATCCGGATCAAATCTGGCCATCTGCGGTAAATAGCTCTATCGAGGCACAGTCAGACCAGACATCTTCATCTTCTTTCCCGCTAGCACCGTTCTTACCTGTCTCAGGCGAGGGGCCGCCTCAAGTGCCAGCTCATCACGACCCAACCATCCTACTAAGTTCACCAACGGCATATAACTCAACGGAATGGGCTTGGCCTAACTCCCATACAGCTCCTGCTGCCGTGACATTGGGTTCATTCCAGGATCCTGCTTTTATATGGAACCAATCCTCCGGCGTATCCGCAACAACGCGACCGAAAGATGTCGATCCAAGACATAATAATGGGCCCTCCTATCTTGTTAGAGACTCTGCATCGTTCTGGACTCAGCATCCAGGTGTGTTGACAACAACACCTCCTGAAGACCCTCCTCAAGATGGCGATTTCCAATATGACAACAATCCTTCGGTTTTACCCGTTGATGAATCACTGCTATGGCCCCCGAACATTGGGATCACCCCTATGCCAGCAACGGAGAATAGGCATGCAATATCTTCAGGTCAAACATTTTAGATTGCATATTCATTGCTCTTAACTTCGGAAATTCTATATAAATAGAGAGACAGAGAATGAATCTCTCCACGCTCTGCTCAAAAGCAAGCCCAACCAATAACCTACACATTCTTCATGGCCTCTTCGATCTTCGCCTGGCTTCTCTTCTCCGCAGCGATAAATAGTGTAAGAGCTTCTTGCAGCCGCTTCTTCGTTTGCGGATCTTCCTCATTCGCCTTATCCAGCTCAGCACCTCCGTTAGCCAGATAGTCGATATCTGTTCTCGACAACTTTCCATCCCAGTTAGGTCCAATCAGAGGATCTGTCTGCGCAATATTCTTCAGACGCTCCGGGGTTGGGGCTGCATTCTTGTACGGGTGATCCGGCTTAGGCACACCCTCACCGGGCTGCTTCGAGCCATCGTACGGGAGGTTAGCGAGCTGAGTCAGGACCAGGTGAGAGATGGTCGCTGACTGGCATCCCATCTCACCGGCCGCCATAGCTTCCTCTGGAGAGATGAAACTGCAATACACTTGTCAGCAAAAATTAGTTGCATGTGAGTCCACTTAAAATACCTAGCGTTCTTAAGAAATGGTTGCTCCTTTCCGGTCTCCTTATACAAACGCTTGTATGTTTCAAGGATCTGGACGAGACGCGGAGACATTGGGTGCAATAAAGCCGGGTCATTGGACTTAGGCCAAAGCTCCTGCTCGTCGTGTGCGCGAACCTCTGCAGAATGCTGTTAATTGCCATATCATCGGAGGAGAGAAGTCATTGACGCCTCACCATTGTAGTACGGGCTGATATACAAACATCCGGCCTGGCTAGCAGCAATTGCCTGGTGAACACTGAAAAGAGCAGTTCCAAGCGTGCGAATGCCCTCCTGTAACAAAATGGGGCAAGCATTCAAGGCAGGTCCGGTGCTTGGGATCTTGATACAGAAGCGATCCTTGGAAACGCCCACACTCTCGAATTCCCGGGCATATGCACGGGCTTGTTCTAGCGTCTTCTCAGTATCATAGGCATCGGAAGGGAGAGTCTGAAGAAGGACTCGGCCTTGGATGTTATCAATATTGGCCTTGGACATCAAGACGGCCTGAGGTTATGTTAATAAGTGCGTTAATTATGAGATGAACAGAAACAAGATACCATGCGCGTGTAGATCTTCAACCAGCCCTGGTCTTTGTATTCCTTGACGACACTTTTGAACAATTCCTCATTGATTGGGTTGCACATTTGTTCGTGGACCCAACCCTGGTTGCTGGTCATATCATGGGGAACAATAGGCATGCCCAGGGTGTATGAAGGGTCCATCCAGTCAACATCGACATTGACTGTCGAAAGTTAGCTTTGGAGTATTGAGACCAGAAAGTTCACTCACGCTGCTCAGAGAGCTTTTGCAGCCATGACACAGTGCCCGCGCTGCCCATTCTGAAGGTATTCGTGCGAGTTTAATTGTAGAAATTTATCTTTGGAAATTGGTTACTACTACTTGGAGTTAAATTTCAAAAGCATTAAGGAGAGAGAATTATATATTCGCCTGAGGAAATCTGTACGACTCGCAATTCAGTTTGTTACCCCTCTCATGACCATCAGTGGAGTGCATCTTGCGTAGGACGCACACAGGGCCACACAGAGAGCCATCGCACACGCAGGACACCTCAGCATCTTGCTCATATCCAAACCTCAGCAACGATTTATGATACGTCAATCAATTGTAACGTCCTCACACAGGGCATTCCACGGCCCAGCCACATCCCAGCATTCCAAACACACGCAGGCCAAAGACTGGCTAAACGCCTCAAAGCACATACCGAAGCTCCTCATTTGTGGACAGACCACCGGGTCACACGCAGGGCCAAAACTTGGCGAGGATGCTACCCCAACATGCAGTACACACGCAGGGCTGTTAGCTTCATCGGTGAATGGTGAGGGGTACCATTCCCGACGCGATTGGTCAGATCGGTTTCTTTGTTCAACGCTAGCGCACCCCGGATTTCTGGCCGATCACCCCCACGCAAATACGCCAATAATGTTGACGTCTGAGCCGGTGGAGTATATATTCCAGCTCTGGACCCAGTGCTGAGGCCCTTGTGATTGGTATCTCAAGGTGCAGACATTATCTTATCATGGCGAAGCTCAGTGTGGACGACGATTTGAAGCCTACTTCGGTTTTTGTGGAGGATGCTGAGGCTCAGCAAGGGCATTTGGGGAGTTATAACCAAAATTTCAATGCAAGGTAGGCGAATGGGTTTCTTCATGCTTCTTTAGTAGGTAGCATCCATTGACTATCATCATAGAATACTCAATCCTCTCGCTGGGGTCTCCAAGATTGACCTGCACCATCGGGTTCTGAGATTCTGTCAAGAATATGGATTTGAAGATTATATTGAGACTTTCCAGAAGGGCGCTCTAGTAGCGCAGAACCAAAAAAGGTTTGAGAATCTTCCGGAATTGACCGAGGAGGACAAATATCACTTGAACCGGGAGACTACTCGTACGCTTGCTATTTCGCGCTTTTAGCAAATCCAGTCTAACCGGGAATAGACAAGTGGCATTTGCCAAAATACCTGTATTTCAGTATCGCTTTGTGCTCCTTGGGATCTGCAATTCAGTTTGTCTACCATTCCATTCGCTTGAAAGCTGGTGGCTAACTTGGACTGAAGAGGATGGGATAACACCGGTGCAAATGGAGCCAACCTCTCATTCCCACAGGAATTTGGCATTGAAGACAATACATGGTTGACTGGGGTTATCAATTCCGGGTTAGTCTTATACAGAATACAAGACCATGAGCTTATCTAACCTCTCATAGGCCAACGCTTTTTGGGCTTCTCAGGTCGGTAATCAACAGAAAAACAACACATTGTATATCTAACTTCTTCAGTGCATGGGCAGCAGATCCTCTGAACAACTGGCTTGGTCGCCGCGGTACAATCTTTCTCACCGGTCTTTTGTAAGAGATTGACCAGTGTGGTACCTTTGCATCCCCCACTGACTTGGATCATAGCTGTGTGTTCCCTGTGCTAGCACAAGCTTTCACGCAAAACTGGTGGGGGCTCTTGCTCTGCCGCCTATTCATGGGTCTGGGTATGCAATTGCTGGTGCAATTCAAAGGCTTCTGGCTGACAAATTACATCATTCTAGGAATGGGAGTCAAAATCTCTACTATTCCCGTGTTCAGTGCGGAAATTAGTCCCGCTTCAATTCGCGGTGGTTTAGTGACGAGCTTCCAGTTGTGGGTAGCATTTGGTACTCTAGTGTAAGGCCCAACAGACTAAATCTTGATTTATCTCTAATTAGCTCTAGTGGTTTCTGCTCCAACTTGATATTTTATCGTGTGGGGCGCCTTGCCTGGCGATTTCAGCTCGGCGCTGCCTTTGTTCCGGCTGTGCCTGTATTGTTCTTTGTGTGGTTATGCCCTGGTAAGTTAAGCCAATCTAGTTTCTAGAAATATGGCTAAGACTGTATATACAGAATCGCCTAGGTGGCTTATGAAAAAAGGCCGCTACCAAGAAGCGTTCCTTTCTTTCTGCCGATTGCGCAATACCGAGCTTATTGCTGCTAGAGATCTCGTGAGTATGCATTTGTCCTGATATGTACCGAGTCTAACCACCTCTAGTACTATGCACACTGTCAAGTGATGACCGAGCGAGATGCGTTTTCTGGAAAGTCTCTAGGACATCGTGTATGGGAACTATTCTCTATTCCCCGCCTCCGTCGCGCCATGATCTCCAGTGCAATCATCGTTACAGCACAACAGTTCTCGGGAATTAACATCATGAGCTTCTATTCATCAACTATTTTCTCGGAAGCAGGGTATTCCACTAGAGACTGCCTTCTCGCCTCCCTTGGGTTTGGATTGACTACATTCATATTTGCCTTCCCTGCTGTGTGGACGATGGACACATTTGGCCGTCGGAACCTGTTGTTATTCACTTTTCCTAATATGGCCTGGTGCTTGTTAGCAGCAGGGCTTTGCTTCTTAATTCCTAGTGACTCCAGTGCTCGGGTGCCTCTGATAGCCTTGTTCATCTACTTATTCACGGCATTATATGGACCAGGTTCGTTCCTCTCTTTCTCATGATGAATTCTATGCTCACTGGGATAGGTATGGGACCCATTCCGTCAATCTACTTTAGCGAGGCATTCCCACTCTCACATCGTGAGTTGGGTGCAGCCTTCACCATTTGTGTGAACAACGCCGTTGGAAGCGCTCTGACCCTTAGCTTCCCATCACTGCTGGCTAAGATCACCCCTACTGGAGGTGAGTGGCTTCTAAAATGTCAAGGGGCACGCATTTCTGACATATCTGTAGCATTTGGATTCTACGCCGGGTTGAACGTACTTGCCTTTGTGACCATTTTCTTGGTGGTTCCCGAGACCATGTAAGTTGGCATTATTTGGCGTCTAGGTCATTTCTGACAAATTGCAGGCAACGCACACTAGAAGAGCTTGACTACACATTTGGCGTACCGATCTACCGACATGCCAGGTACCAGATTGGCACTTGGCTGCCATGGTTTATCCGTCGCTATGTGTTATTTAGGCGATCTGCCAAACTGGAGCCATTGTACCGTTTGGAGGGGCTCTAAGCGTGTTATATCGAGCAATTTATTTGAAAACAGCAATTCCGATAGTCTATTGAAATCTACGCTTTGTCTTGTTCTGAACAGCTTCTTTTACCTAGTCATCAATCCACGGATTAATCTCCCGGCGAAGGTTAGACCAGAACCACTGACGAAAATTGTCATAACCATGTCATTCTATCCTCCCCCAATAACCCCTGACCATGTCTCAATAGTCCTTTATAATCGCAATCTAGCATCGCCAAATGGCTTTCAAAAGCTCATCAATCTCCCTTCAAGTCAAAAGGCGAAATAACTCAGCCTCTCAACAATACACTACCTCAATTTCAACCCCCAATCTCTTCTTTCGCGGTTTCTGCTTCCACCCTACCCTCCAGAAATACGTTTTCATAGCCTATGACGCTCCAGACTGGGGGATATCTCAAAGCAGCAATCTCTCAATAAATGACGTCTCCTTCCTAGTCGCATGCGTCAAGGCAATCCTCACGCACTTCAAAATAACCATTTTCCACCTAATAGGCCTTTCAATGGGTGGACTTAGCGGACTACTACTCGCATAACGGCACCTTGGCCGCTTCCTCAACTTCATACATAAAAAGGGAATCTGGCACCAGAAGATTGTATCCTAAGTCGGCAGGTCTTCCAATTTCCCTCTGATGACCACACTGCTTTTCTAAATGAGTCCGGCGATCATATGTGGAGTTCTTCGGGAGCTCATTGTGTGCTAGCACGTTGCCGCGCGGGTCAGAGCGAGTGCCATACGGCCGATTTTTAATTTTCATGGTCTAGCTGTCGGACGAGGAAAATCTGGTAGTTATGTTTGTGGCTATTCCGTGTTCAAAAATATTATGTTTAGGGGGAGTAAAAGTGGTTGCCGTATGTGGAAAGGTCGGAGGTGGAGATAACAGGAAGTGGAGCTGGCGAAGATCTCGGAGACGGGGCATTTTTGTATTCGAATCCGGTGGGCATATTTCGTTCAATTTCAGACATTTTGCATCAATAACATAGGTTAAAATAGAGTTAGCTTTGTTAGATTGCTATTGCTCTAGTGTGAGGATTCTGCCGATTTTCTCTGCAGGTTTGTCGCAATTTGGTTAGCGCACGCCCTTCGTATAGATCTTGATGTGTGGAATTCATGAGCTCTAGATGGCTTGGTTTCTAAGAGAAGAGGTTTATCTATCTTGAATTTTATTGCCCATGAGGTCTTGGCCTTAAGTGTCCGTTTCAAGGGGTCGTAAGATACCATCACGCGACTACCGTGCTGCTTCCCTTGTCATCATAAGGTATCATCGGTCTTGATTTCCGCGTTGTTAGGGTCTACATTCCGATCATAGGGCGATCGGGTGAGACCGACGTACCTGGTACCTCACAGTATGCCGTAATGACTAAAACCCCTCTGTCACAGTACAGTTATCACTCAACCCACAATTCACACTGGAACCTAGACCCTACAGATAAAATCCACGTGGGCCGAGAGATAAGGCCCATTTCTACCGGAAGATGAGAAATCCACAGTGGGAACGTGTCTCGGAGTTTCTCCAAATTTCCGATTGGTCAGGATTCTGTGTTCCCTCTGACGCGATGTGAGGCATCGGTGAGTGCTGCCAAGAAGATTCTCAATGCCAAGTCGATGTGACAGGGGATAAGCTTTGTGGGCGTTGCTTGTGCATGAACTGCCAAGCGGAACGGGATTCCTATCTCGGTATGGCAGAAGCTGACCGTTGAACTTGAAATTGAATTAGATTCTTATCACGGACTTGAGAAATATTTGGAGTAAACTGCAGTGATTGGGTGAGCGAATCTCTGGAGAGGAATGATTTTGCGTGGGCCTGGCCTTCCCTATTGGCTCTAGGGCACATTCAAGGGTTTTGATTCGTATATTGTTGCGGGTCATGTTGTTGCCGAGATGCTCTGAACACTGATCCCGGACCCGAATTTCTGGCAGGGCGAGAGATCCTTCTCTGCATAATTCCAGAAAATAAGCAGGAAATTCGAGAAGTAGTATTTATGCGCATTACAGTCAGATGATCGTTCAACACCCTTAAACAGGCTTGGTCAGTGGCACTAGCCCAGCCACTATGCAAGATAACGACGCTTCTGACGTGAGCTTTTACCGAGAAGGTCTCAGTGGTACGATCAGTCGTTCTCCCGTGTATTATTGGGGATCTTTCGGAACGTGGAAGATACTTTAGCAACGCGTCGCAGGTTAAGCGAAATTTTTCATTTCTTTGTGGATCAGGTCCACTTTCTACGGGGAGGTCCGAACCAGAATGCAGCTGCCCTGAAAAAAAAAAACATGTTTGGCCCTCAGATCGCTTGCGCAAAATGCAACCCGCCCATGCAATGATGTGAACAATGCAGGTCATACGCAACCTCGACTTGCATCCCGTCGGTCATCCGCCATGTGCTGTTAGGTGGGATTCAGCGCAGGTACAATGGAGCATGGGGGAAGAAGTACCATCCGCCAACACCCGGTAGCCACGGCTGATTGGCCAGTCTGACAATGCGATTTATCTTGAATGCGGAGAAGACAAGCTTTTGCCGAGTTTCCAAGGGACGATGTGGGCCCTAGTCGTCAGCAACAGCCACCAGTATTAGTTCAACCATCACTAGCGCCATTCAACACCCCGGCTCGTCGCTGAGACAAACACCAAACGCGATCAGGTCTTAGAACCGAGCGATAAGTCCCTCGACAGGCACTGGACGAAACCGAGCCATGCCACTCCTGATAGCGAGCTCCACTTCCTCATCATGCAACCCAATGGCGAACAGATAACGGGAATTAAGTCCGGCCCACAAGTCCCTATCACTCTACAGGCCATGGTTTTTTTTGATGGCTGGGGTACAGTCCGGAAGGATTTTTCGGTGACCGGGCTTTTCTCTTTAAAGGCGACTAAGCCCTCGCATTTCCCCTCGATTTGAGAGACCAGCACGCGACTTTTTACACCTCTGCAATGGCCGGCGTTATTTCCGCTGCCAATATCGGCGGCGTGGCCGATCCTCGTCTTGGGCATGAGGCCGATATCATTGGCACCAAGAAAGAACACGAGGTTGACGTGCACCACGATATTGAACCTCCCAACTTGCACGGTCCCGGTAACATCTACTTGGACTCCAGCATCACCTTTGAGAACTACCACTACTGGGCCAACCGATCCCGTGAAGTCGAAAAGGCCATTCGTACCGACAATGCCGGCTTCTCGGGACTGGGCAAGCTCCTCCTCAACCGCAAGGGGAAACAGGAAGAACCAGCCGTCGAGCCCACTGAACCTGAGCCTGTCCCCGAGGAAGCCCCCACCGACGAGAAGACACCCGATGCCAACGCGCCGAGAAGCGATGAAGGAACGGACAAATGGGGTGTCAGTGAGACGGAATGGGAGACAGCACAGAGAGCTGCCCGTACCGCGACCTGGGGATCAATCTTCTATCTGATCACCACTGATATTTTGGGTCCGACCAACGTCCCTTACGCGATCAGCCGAATGGGATACGGCCCTGGTTTTGCACTTTACACTGTCTTCGGTTTGTTGGCCGCCTACTCTGGTCTGCAGTTGTGGCGGATCTTCGTCGGTCTTGATTCCACTCGTTTCCCCATGCGTAACTACGGTGATGTTGCATTCCGTGTCTTTGGCCCCTGGGCGCGCATCGGTGTCAACATTCTGCAAAGCTTCCAGTTTTTCCTCAACGTTTCGTTGTTGATTGAGAGCAATGGTCAAGGTTTGGCACAGATGGTGGCTGGTGTGAACAACACCGGTGGTTTCCTCTGCTTTATTGCCGCCGAGGTCATCTTCATGGTCATTGGGTTTGTCCTCGGACAGATCCGGACCCTGCAGCGCCTGTCCTGGTTGGCCAACCTCGCCATTTGGGGTAACGTTGTCGTTATCATTATGACTATGGTCGTTGTCTACAAGTTCCCTCCCAACTACTCTGCCGTGTACACGAGCTACGGTATTGAGAAGGGCCCAATCGTCACCAGCGCCAACTGGGCTGCTGGCTACGGCCTCGAGGACCGTATCACAGCCATGATGAATGCGGTCTTCGCCTACGGTGGTGCTACACTCTTCAACGAGCTGATGGCAGAGATGAGACGTCCCATGGACTTCTGGAAGGGCTTCGTCATCGCCGAGGTCTTCATTTACGTTTGCTATCTGGTCAACGGAATGATCGTCTACTCCGCCCAGGGACAATTTACCTACAACCCTGCCTATGAGGGAATTCCCAACACCCCCGGTGCATACCGTTTCCAGACACTGGGCAACGCCCTCTCCTTTATCACCGGTGCCATTGCAGCTCTGCTGTATGGAAACATCGGTATCAAGGTGTTTTACTCCTCCGTGATGCGTGATCTCTTCCATTTCCCCGCACTGGACAGCAAGGTCGGCAAATGGATTTGGGTTGCCGTTGTGCCCATCTACTGGATCCTCGCCTGGATCGTTGCTGCCGCTATTCCCCAGATTAGCAACCTGACCTCATTCGTCGGTGCCGCCTGTATCCTGCAATTTTCCTACACCTTCCCGCCCCTCCTCCTGGTCGGCTACCATGTTCAAAAGGACGCCATGCTTCCCGAAGAGGAGTTCAACCCACGCACTGGAGTGGCCCAACGTGTGGATCACGGTGTGAAGCGCTGGATCCGTGGTTACAAGAAAAAATTCTGGTGGAACACCTTTGACCTGATTTATGCGCTTGCTGCTCTGGCTACGGCTGGTCTTGGAATCTGGGCATCTGTTGTTTCGATGAATTCCACTTTCAAGACTACTAAGCTGACTCCTTTCTCCTGCACTAACCCTGCTGGTTAAGGTAGTTGAATTTAATGTCTGATTTGATAGATGAGGGATGCTGATGACGTCGCTTTGGCGGGGTAACCCCGTGTATCTAGTTATCCGTATAGGATCTGTATGATGTTCGATATAATAAAGAATACCCATGAACTTTTCATTTGATTTTCTTCTTCAGCCTTACAATGGCTTCAAATACGAGCCGCGGAGGTTAGCTTCTCACTAGACAACCATCTCGAGTAGTGATCGTCCCGACCCCGGGGGCCTGACAGGATCAAAGCACTAGGGCAGTAGGTATAAATGAGGAGGTGCCGAAGGCCAGTGTCAGCTTGAACAACAACTATCCTAAGACTTCATGGACTTGAGGAAACCACACACTGAAATAGTCTAAACATATCCAAAAATCCACGAAATGGAGCAATTTCAACCCCATATCACCTTTCCATCCTCCCTAATCTTCGCCCTCATACCAATTCTAATATGCTATCTCTATACACAAATTCTATACTCTCTCGTCCGACCCGATCTCCGCCAAATCCCAGGCCCAATCCTCGCAAAACTCACAAATCTCTACCGACTATCTTTAGTGAATACCGGACCCGCACATACCCACCATATAAACCTTCACAAGCGCCATGGACCCTTCATTCGTTGGGCTGCGCACAGAGATGAGGAAGTCTATGGGGTTGATGCTGATGACTGGAGGCCCGGGCGTTAGATTGATGCAAGTCCAGGGAAGAGGAAAGAGATGGAGCGGTTATTATTCGCGGTTAGCTCTAGAAGCCGACATTTTACTCTGACTAGTACTGATATTGGTTCTGTTAGTTTGGAGGTGGGTCAAGAGTTTGTCTTGGAAGAAACATTTCGTATCTGGAGATGTATAAGGTTATTCCTGAGGTGTTGACAAGGTTCAAGGTATGTCACTGGTCTCTGGTAGTGAATGATTTTGAGAAGCCTCGTGCATTAGGGCTTTTGAAATTGACGGCTCCCTTTAGTTTGAACTGACACACCCACACAAAGAGTGGTCTTTGAAAAATGGATTTTTTACTTACACTAAGGGTGTTGAAGTCAGAATTCAAAAGAGAGAGAGAGGCGAAGGAAAATCTAAGCTGAGGGGATGCTAGACAAAATCATCGCATAGAATTTCTGGGTATCGAAATGGGGTCCTAAAGCAGAAAACATATCTCATTGTTTTCACTGCGCATTGCCGGCGGCCGTACAAAGGAGCCACTAGTTCAGGTTCAGATATTGAGTGAGAGCCTATCATTATAAAAGAAATCGACCGGTCCATCCTCTGGGAAAAAAAAAAAAAAAAAAGAAAAGAAAAAAAAAAAGAAAAGAAAAAAAAAAGAAAAGAAACATCGCCATACTGAACTTTGTCGTTCAAGCTAACAAACTGCATCTAATGGAAACATAATTCGTACATCTGCGGTGTTAAAGCAGCAAGCCGGGCTAGCTCAATCGGTAGAGCGTGAGACTCTTAATCTCAAGGTTGCGGGTTCGACCCCCGCGTTCGGTTCTTTTTTGGAATTTTTTTAGCTTTACTGAGGTCCCGGGACATGATTATATACATTGACCCATGCCCCGAGGCTATAATGGTTTACCCGGTCGTCACAAGCCAATGACTTTGCCTATATCCCATTTGAAAGTGAAGCCTTGCAGGCGCCACTCGTTTTTTTTCCGCCCACCTTATGACCGAAAGGTAAGGCCGAACGGCCAAATTTTTAACAAGGTAGGAAACATTGAAGGAATACTTAGCCTAGCTGGTAAGTGTGCCCAGGCGGCCTACGCTGAAGCCATATTGTTCACCAATCTTCAGTTGGAAATATTCAAGATAGAGCTCCCTAAAAACATCCTTCCATTAACTTCAGACCAATAACGCAAAGCCATGCTATTTCATATCAGCATTCTCCCAAATCGCCTTATCCCCGCCCTTTAGCGCCAACTCAATCATATATTCAGCTAGGACATCGACTTTGACTGATGGCCCTAGCCCAAAAATCAAACTGCGCAGACTCATCTCCCGCGATATAATCATGGCAGGCCGCATAATATACGGCTTGAAATCCCCATGAGCCCCAGCGAAATCCAGGAGTTCAGTCTCAACTTGTCCCTGCGTCAGATTTTAGTAAACTAGTTTATCAAGCTTGGATCTGAAATGAATACTCAATGCGTACCCGAATGCGCCGATAGTCCTGCATGACCCACAGCGACTTGCTCTGATCCCGTTCCGTGCCCGCGCCACTCACATATACGAAGCGGAAGGGCTTCTGACATACTTCTTGGAATACTCGAGCTGCTGCTAACGTGTACTCAATACTGACGCGCTTTGCGGTCCCGTCGTCGGGTTTGGGAACCTTACTGGGTATTAAACCGATTGTCCTATAGCAGTAAGTTATTCAAGGAGTGTACCAGGGGAGATTGTTCTTCTTTTGAAGGACGATTTATTTGTACCAAATACATGCTTCTGCACCTGTGATATCTTTGCGAACGGATTCTGGGTAAGAGAGGAAATCCTCGATCACCGCAACTTTGAGCTTGTCGTGCTGTGGCAGCTCACGTCGACTCAGTGCCACGACTGAGGTTATAGCAGGATGTGCCAGACACTGGTTGAGTATTTCGCGACCGACGAATCCGGTAGAGCCTGTAAGTATGACTTTCATCGTGGGATAGTGTAGACGCCTCCAAAGCTAGCGAGCGTTCAAATGGTGGAAGGTGTGTTGAATGATGACGGGGCCTTCGTGATGCTTATCTCCGGTCACATCGTTATCTCCGGGCTCACTGGGGGTTAGAATTCTTTCTTAGTAAGGAGCTTCTTGAGAAGATTAAAATTCATGATGATAGTAGTTTGTCGAATGAGATATCGAATCATTCGATAACCCATGATATATGGATTACAGGCACGGGACCCCTCGATCCACAAAACTTGTGAGTATCAGACTTTTCTATCCGATTTACCGAAAGGGGTATCATATCAACATGTACTGAAGGCATCTGACTTAGAATAGATGATTAAATCGCAAGACTTAGGACCTAAATGTATGCAATTTGCATTACTAGCGGACGCGTTATCAAGTAGATATGATACATGCGAATGTCCCTCAGTGGATAATTGCCCTGCCGATATCTGCCTTTAGATACACTAAATAACATTCAAAGCGTGATTATCTTGGCGATTTTGGATGGCAAGCGTGGGACCAGGATGGTGTTAGTGGGAAACCAGATTAGAGACCAAGTAGGCCTGAGGATTCGCTAAAAAGATATAAGACATTGACTGACACAGAAGATATCATGCGGCTCGTTAACATGGACTTTAGTGCTCGAGATACGAATTGAATCCCTTAGCCCTTCATTTCCCAAAGTGGAGCACGGTACCCTGACAAGTGCAGTCGGGCATACATCGAAATCCTATAAAAAGGCTGAAAATGGACGTTAGCGTTCACTGTGGGTCGCGCAAAGCCCATTGCCAAGCTGGTGGGTTAGAGATCGCCCAAGCAGGTAGCCGAGCGGGATACACAGCCATTCAGACCAGACGAACGTTGCCAATGGGCCCAGGAGGCTAAGTTACTTTCAGAAAGGATGAGCCCTGCCTCCACTGGATTAAACGTGGTCAGGAAAGGATCATACATAGACGGACCCTTTTACACAACACCCAATCACCAGTTATCTGACTGAATTATTATTGGTCCACTCGCAACTCTCGCGGGATGGATTCATCGTACAGCCTTGCGCTAACAATTTCGGCTCCTTGAAAAGGCAAAAAACCCCCAAGCCCCGGGTGCGCGAAATATTTCGTCCCTCGCCGCCCCAATGCTTTCCCTACAGTCCCTGGCCCTGGTGGCTGCGGCCGCCATAATGATGCTGGCCATGGCTAGCGCGCAGAGCGCGGCGGCATCAACAACGACGATCCACCTGATGGAGAGGCTCCTCACCGAGAACATGACTTTGCTAGAAGGAAGTGTGATCTCGGCCGACGCGACAGCCACCACGCTCGAACTGGACTGTAAAGCTTCAGCGAGCTCAATCTGCACTTCTTCCGGTATGCTCTGGCCGCAGACCGTTACCGTCGGGCCATCTGTCCAAGGAATGAATTTCGATATCACCACTTACTGGGGCTCAACACTGTGGATTGTTTCGGCGAGCGCGTCGTGCGTGGTTACGAACACCTCCATGGGCGCCGAGTGTGTGCTTTCCACAAGTTCATGGCACTCTGCTGGGACTACCATAAACTCATCATCGGTAGACGGGACCACTGTTACCGTCGAGCCGACTCTGGCCTTTGGCACTGTTCCTGTTGTTTCGGGCTTGGACAAACTTGCTACGGCCACCACAACTGATGCTTCACCTGCCAGCGCTGCTACCACGACATCGGCACCAAACACCGGTACTGCGACAGCAACGAATAATCCATCTACCTCTCCATCTTCATCTGACAATGCCTGGATCGCGGGCCCCGTGATGGGCGCTCTAGCTGGAATTGCTTTGGTTGGAGCATTGGCATTTTGGTACTTCCGACGGACTCGCAATAACGCTGCAGATACAGAAGGCGCCAATTTCGCAGGGGCTGGAGCTGCAGGAGCCGCAGATTGGGACAGACGACGAGAACTACAGGGCACATATGAGCCTCCAGAGCTTCAAGGCAATGCACCTCCCTCGGGACTTCATTCAGAAGCTACCAAGGTGGAGCTGCCAGCTACGCAATTGGATTTGGATAAAAAAAGAGAGATGGAGACCCGGCGCAATACTCATGAGCTGCCGTGAATGACCACTGCGGTTGAATAAGCCCAGTACATTGAATATACCCCCAGCCTTGCATTAACTTGTATATAATGACCATTGAAAGCGAAGGATCTTTTTCATGATTTGCATTCTTTCATTTCTTGCATCAATTACCTAATTCTAATAAATGTCTTCATCTATATTCTGTTCAAGAAGCACAAAACATTCGGTATGACATTTGAAGTCAGTCCCTCTTTGGTAGCCACGATGCCATATAAATTTCTGTCTATGCGGTAGTGTTGCTACGTGCTCTTTCACGAGTTTCCGAGCGCATAATCAACCTCAGGGGCCTGGCTCACAATCTAATTAAAGTCGCGGCAGAGATTAGACTCGCCGAACATAAAGTTTTCTACCATCGTCAAACACGCCGATCTCAGCGAAGGAGAACTAGGAAACTGTTATACACGAGGACAAGCAGACACAGAGTCGGGTGCAACATGCCTCTGCAAAGAAACCATCACAGCCTCTGTATCAGGGATAACGACCTTCACTGTGCCGTTAGTAACCTGCAACGTCTCGCTCTGAGGACCAGGAAGGAAATGTCCCTTTCCCCCATCCACACGATAACTCCACTGTTCTCCCGCCCAACTGGTATTCTGGTCGGGGCCTCCGTTGTCAAAGCCAAGTGCATAGGCACCATAATCCGAGCGCATGCGCTGGACCAGCACTGACCGGGTCTCACTGCCCACATTCAAGGTGACGGTAGTGTTTCCTCTAATATTATCCGTTGCGTTCGCATCATAGTGCCATTCTTTCAAATTGACGACGGCGATTCGCGACGCGTGCTCGGTTTTCAAATCATACATCGCATACGCAGTGAGTAGAGGATCACCGAGCAACTGATGGATTTTCCCAAGGGAACCGTCCTTGCCCACAAAGTCGGTAATGAATGCCGCAGCGGGGAACTGTCCTTGGACGGCTGGCCCGGTAGTTTGTGGACCTGAGTTATCGGGTACCCAGAATCCGTGTGTGGCGGTTGGCTCTTGAGTATTGGTAATTTGTTTGATTCCGATGCTCATTGCTTTCAAGTGGATGTCCACGGCCCAGAGCCCTGCACCAAAACCACCAGCGAAGTCGGGTGGGCTGTTTCCGATTGCAGAGCCTATTTCAGATATTACGAGGGGGAAGGATAGGTTCTTGCTTCGCATCCAGGCCGCGTCGCGAGCGTAGCCTTCGAGGACTTGGCTGGTGCGGTTGTGAGCCATGACTTGCCCTATAGATTCCAAAATTGATGGGTTAGTGTGTACCATTTTTGCGTATGGGCGATTGGGGGGGGGGGGGGGGGGGGGCCTCTTTTGTTTACTCACACTGAAGCACGTCTGTTGTGTAGTAATTTGCACCAGGTTGCTCCCCGATGATGTCCATTTGGTATAGGTGGTCCGATGCGTATTTGTTTCGACCATTGAGAGCCGTCGGGTCATTGAGGACATCCTCCCTGGTTCACGTTATTAGCATGAATAGCATTTGCCTATTTGTATCAGAAAGAAATAACTCACATGGTGAACAGGGGGAAGATCCCCTGAATAACCTCACTGGCAATCTCGCCAATCTGGAAAATCCGAGTGTCGTTACCTTCCAGCTGAAATTCCCTAATGAACTCATCCTCAATAGCCAGTCCTTTGTTGACATATTCAGCAGCAGTCCATGACGGAAGATCGTTGGGATAGTAATTCGGCTCGTTGCCCAGTGCAATCGCCTCAACGCGATCCTGGCCAAGTGCATTCCAGGCTAGTCGGAGAAAAGTCATCGAGTTATTCATGGAAGCCGTGTTCATGGGTGCTTGGATAGTCATCGATGCATTCTGAAGACGCTTCATGACATTGAAGTAGCTAGGGCCGATTGTGTATGTGCTGGTACTGTCACAAACTGGAACATTGCAAATATAGGGCTTCGTTAGGCTCTCATTATAGGTGATTTTATCACCACTTGAACCGCCCACTCGGATGACGAGTGGCGCACTCATCCGGGCTGCAATTGCATTGACGATATTCTCAGAGAATGCATTGTCATAGTGGGATAGAAGACCAGACTCGAGGCCGAATCCAAAGAAATTAGCGGGTACAGCCTCAGCATCTTCGGGTGTAGTCTTCGGCACCGCGATATTATAATGGTTCGTTGTATCGAGTGCTTGGATCTGCACCGACAGAAGAGAAACCACTATGAAAGACCAAGAAAGCATGGCGGAAAAGGGAGAATTGCAGGGGTGACTCCTAATGATCCAGCCCTGTGGACGCAGTGACCATTACCCAGGTACATATACAGTCGATCTCTGTTCCTGATCGACTGGCCTCAAAAATTGTACCTGAATATTCCATTGTTACCATGATTGGAAAGAAGTTGAAAATTTAGGCAATTACTTTATTATTCGTAGATCCTCACTAGAACAAGCTGAAGGATCAGGGAGTCAATTCACTGATCCAGTTGAAACAAAGCAGCTCGAAATTTGGAACATTGCCCCAAAATAGGTATGATATACTTGTGCAGAAGATCTTGGCCCCACTTGTCCAGTCTTACTGGATCACGGCTAGGACCGTTTTTAGGACGGAAGCGATGAACCTTGAACATGAGTAGATCAGAGATAAGATAAATGCTGGTTTCACAACCAAAGTGACTCCATCTGATTTACTGGGTATATAACAAAATACCAAAACATGTAGAGAAATGGGCAATACGTCATCTCCGTCCGGCATGAGATTGAGGTCAGAGTACATATGGACTCAAACGAAGGCCATCTTGGCAAATGGTCAATTGCATTTGGAAAAGAATATTTAGAGCGAAAGAAATCTTGATTGTCATGGTGTTCCAACCAGGCTCACACGCATCCCAATTTTAGTTTTTCTTTCCTCCCTGTATCACTTGGATTAACTTTCGTCCACCAACCTGGAATCGAGAGGCTCAACCATGGATACGTCGATTATTGCGAAATCTCCATTTTGCGTATCAAGCCCGATTTTCCGTTTAGTAAGCATTCATGCACGCTTGGCCAAGTGGTAAGGCGTTCGACTTGTACTAATCTTTGCCTCGATGAGGTATCGAAAGATCGCTGGTTCGATTCCGGCAGTGTGCATTTTTGTCTCCCACAATGACATCTGTCTTGTCAGCTTAGGTACTGATTGATGTCTTTCTTTTTCCACCCCCCGAACACTTCAAAGATGTTGAGATCTGGATTCGCAAGGCTATATATACATAAATGACCAGAACTGACACTGGTTGCGCTCATACATGATAACGACCTATGCGGGTGTCGCTGACCCCTAAATGCAGAGAAAAATACAGACTTATCCTACCGCACAAAGTGCATCAACTCAATGATTGAGGTAATAAAGTCACGCACGCACGTAGTAAAGGTAGATAAAATTCGGCTGGAGGTGTTTCAAGCTGTCGTTGATGGCCGCGCGTATACTTTTGGTTCCTGTGCCTCTAGAATGCTCTGTCTGCTACATGGCCCTGCCGAAGATTGGGCTTAGTATGTACTTAATCGTGAGCACGACTTAGAACTTGACCTATCTTCTGCATCCTTTCGCCAATCCACTCCCGGATTCATACATTTCGACGCTATTGGTAGAATTACCTCCAGGAACCCAGTAGTTATCCAAGGCTTGTTCACCTGCCTTTAGGTAAATTCAACCATCAAGTCGTTCCAATTGTCGACCAAGCCTGAAAATATGGGCTGCCTTCTTGAGGATGGTGGATATGGACTTCTGGCTCGTGCTAAATAACGGCATACGAGGACCCAGGTTCACAGGTATATTGAGGAACACCCCCACCTCAATCATTCGCACACAGAATGAGACTTGTCCCGATGCTAAAGCTTTTGGGGGTTACCGATGCGGACACTTTGGCTGGCCTGCGGGTAAATCCAAATCCCGGGCAAGATGAGGTTTATAGCGTGGCGTCAAACTCGCAATGTTTTTTTTTTGGTCCTGTGCCTTGGTTTTTCTCCATGTCAATATAATTATACCGGTGGCTCACACGGTGTACACTGACGAGATAGAAGAATTTATCTGGGGGAATAGGACATGAAATCTAGCATAGATTTCTAGAGCGAATATCCCTGGCTAAATGTACTTAGGCGGTGTCAAGTATGAACTTTCTCCTGTTTAGGCTTGAGCCTTCGATTGATATCAAAAGTCATATCGGGATCGCTTGTCTGTAAATAATGCCAGTCACTGCTCTCTCCTGACTACGAAAGCGCTTGGCTTTTTTCATCTTCTCTTCTTCCATTTCCTCGCCCAACGCTCATTGGCTCCCCTCTTATCCCTCTTCCTGAAAATGATGATTCTTTGACAAACAGAACTGATTCAGGCTTCCTCTCATCTTAATCTTCCATGTTCACCCCTCATCTGACTTGTATTCTCATTCCAATCCTTTTCCTTATCCTCATTTTTGTGTTCACTCGCATCCTTATTCCTATTCTTATTTCCTTCTCAATCCTATCTCATCTCTATCTTTACTTGCATTATCTTTCTATCCTTGTTACCATTCATGACTTGCATCTCATCCATATTCTTATTCCCATCCTTACTTGCATTTTTCATTGTATCCTCATTCGCATCTTGATTTGACATCTCATCTCTATCTTTTTGTATCTTTGTTTTCACTCTTGTTTTTATTCCTACAATTCCTATTGTGCTTCCACTCCCTTGAAAATGACGATTCTTAGTTCAAACTGAGCTAAGACCGCCAGGCAATCCCTGGTTTCACCCAAGGCAATTCGGTTTCTGTCAAAACCCTGCCAAATTGTAAATCAAGAGAAGGGCATCGGGTTTTTGCTGAGTTGAAGCTTTTGCCCCCGCCAGTATGGGTATCGATCGTTACTCTCGACCAAGTCGGCATTACCGACTCCATCCCGCTGATCAAATGCACGCGTTGGAGAAGGGATCCGCACCTTCCCCTGTCAGATCCGCCGCTTCCTCCCTCTAACTCCAAAGCTCATCCCGTGAGCATCCATAGACTATGACATCGGCATCGACGAATGACGGTATAATATCTTTGACACCAGAACAGCTCGAGGGGATGCTCACTAAAATTCACATGCGCCCTAAGATCATCTCGCCTTACTATGATCTAGTTAATGTCAATGGCACAAAGATTGACAAGAAGGTCGTTTTATTCGCCGATCTATTCAAGCGCAAGATTAGTAGGATGGAACACTGTATCACTATCATGGGTCACAAATGCACAAGTTTGGAGCTCGGTTCAGGCAGATGACAGTGAACCCATCGAGAACGCCATGCAGCTGGCAGAAGCATTAAAGGTCACGAAGGAGGTGCACAATGATATGCAGTCGGGTCAGCTTGACGACGCGGTTGGCGAGATTATGCGGGACATCAAGGGCGACTGGGGGCACATTGAGCTGTGAGGGTCGCTGCAATCTATGGTTATTTGCTGTTACTTGAACTTTTCTTGCGTTGCATTTCTTTGCTATGGGCATTTACAGACATAGGTGTTTCTTGTCTGACAGGAGTTGGATCACTAAGCCTTGCTACCAAATTTTATTCGCTTCTTATAGCAGCGACTGCAGGTATGGTTCTTCAATCAGTACCCTCACCCACTGCCCTGAGATGGAGTTTGTACAGATTTCCTGCGAATCTCTGAACATTATATTGTAAATTCATGATGTTGGAACAAAGATGAGATGTTGATGATAACTTCAGCCAGTCAATTCCTCAACTTGAACCTAGTCATAGATCACTCCCATGCGCATTACGCCGAACCTTCAACATCACGCTCGCACGGATGGTGACCAGCCGCCGCGCGCGACCCGCGAGCGGCCCGTCCCGTACCCGATGCCACTGACGACCTCCATCAACTCAAGGCAATGCTTAGAGTCAGCCCGGGTTCTTCATTTCGATAAAGATATTCAGGCCCGAATGCAGTTGCGTTTCGACCCGAACTTTGCATGGGGGCCAGAGAAGATATTGAATATGGAACAGAACTCCATTGCAGCAAGTGCAAGAAGGAACGAACACTAGACTCGAATCTGGTGTGCGAATGCGCGAATTTGCATCGGCAAGAACATCAGTCTCTTGGAGATTTCAGAGGTCATACTGCAGCTCTATCAGAAGTTTGACTTCCACTTTGTCTATCCTGAACAGCCATGGCACACTTCATGGTTCGTGAAGCCCAAGCTTTGAGTACATCATAAAGGCAAGGAAGTCTGCGAGTTCCTTGAATTCAAAACAGGTGCTCGATTAGTTTGATTGTTCAGGTTCAATAGGGGCTTAATTCTCACAGATTCAAGATATTGCAAAAGCACTTTCCCCAGCGTCATCGTTATACAATAAGCATTACGGAAGTGCAATGTTGTGCTTGGCTTCGGACTTGTTTAAAGATAGTAGAGCAGCGACGCGCATGCCCATTGTACAAAAATTTTACATTATTAGAGGTTGAAAGCCTCAAGTATATACTGCAATGAAGCAAATTCAATATGAAGGAGTTTGATAAAAATGTCTAAACACTGTACTCGTCATTATCATAGAAGGGAGATTTTCATATCCCGGGAACTCAAAAGCCACAGTGAGAGAAAGAAAGAAAAGGAAATGCAAACTCCGGACGCCTTCTATGCCAGAATCGCAGAAATGTTCCCATTTTATTGAGGTGCGCACTGCACAGGCTCATCATCCTCTTCTTCATCGTCTTGCCAGGCCGAGCCACCATTGGTATCGCGAGCGCCAAACTCCTCCATTTTACCATGAGGGTCGAAATCGACTTCATCCACCGGGGCAGCCTCAATGGGCGCTTCAGGTTGAGGAAGCACTTCCTGCAACTTCTTTAGAACCTCAGGAGATGGCTTCCACGAACTCTCGGGGAACACCACATTCACCACCAGGTATAGGTCACCGCGTGAATCACTGCGCTTGATCGGCATTCCTTCGCCGCGGACTGTAAGAACCTGACCAGGTTGGAGAACAGTACCGGCAGCGTGCTTGATCTCGATTCCACGGCCATCAAGGTGCTTCAGGACAACACGGTGGAAACCGGTCAAAGCCTCGGCCAAGGTGATATTGATCTCAGCACGGAGATCGGCACCACCGCGCTCGAACACTGGGTGCTCATCCTGGACTAGGCGGAAAATAATGTCGCCATGCTCCTGGCCTGGTACTTGGTCGGCCTCGCCCTCGAGAACAATCTTTTCGCCGTCACTAAAGAAAACAATTAGCTTCTTGGCCCCACTCATGGTTCCGAAGAGTTCTTACCGTGAGCCGGGTGCGATATACAACTCCAGCATCTTCTTTGCCTCGACAACCTTCTTGCCCTTGCACTTCTTGCATTTGTCCTTGGGGCTGAAGAACTGACCCTCACCACTGCAAGTGGTACACGGCTGAGTAGCCCGAGTGATGAACTGACCCATGTTCTGGAGAACTTCCCGTTGTCCCAGACCGTCACAAGTTGAGCACTTCTTAGCCTTTGCTTTCTCCTTGCCACCCTTGCCGTCGCAAAGGCTGCAAATGACATTCTTGACGCTGGTAAACTTGACTGTCTTGCCCTTGTACAAGTCCTCCAGGCTGATTTCATAGTCTTGCTCTTCGTTCGGGCTTGTGCGAGGCTTGCCACCAGGCATACCACCCATGCCGCCCATGCCGGGCATACCTCCCATGCCTCCCATACCGGGCATACCGCCCATGCCGCCCATGCCGCCGAACATCTGTGCCAGGAGATCATCTAGATCCGGGCCACCGCCCATTCCACCCATACCGGGCTCACCAGAGCCGTTAAAAGCGGACATGCCATGTGTGTCATATATGTGGCGCTTGTCTTCATCGTAAAGGATCTCGTATGCCTCCTGGACAGCCTTGAACTTGATTTCGGCGGCGGGGCGCTCTTCTTCGGCGACCTTGTCAGGGTGGTTGGACAGCGCAGCCTAAATATCATACAGTCAGTCTTACAATTTCCAAGGTCTTCGGGGGGGAATCAGTACCTTGCGATAAGCCTGTCGAACTTCCTCCTTGCTCGCGCCGCGCTGGATTTCGAGGACCTCTGTAGCCAGAAAGACTAAGTTAATTTCCCACCCAATCATATCAACTGACAAATACTGTCATACATACCATAGAGGTCAACTTCAACGCCAGACACTGCAGAATTCATTAGCAAAAGACAACCCAAAAACACGAAAATTGGCAAAACAGAAGCAGCGCGACTCTGGGGGACGTACTATTTGTATACTTTTCTTAAACAAAAATAATGACAAGAAATGTCTTCAGAAAACCGCTCCAAAGCACTGATAAAAGCACTTCACCGTAAAGCGAAAGTAAAGGCCAAACGAGATAGACGAAGAAGTGTTGATCAAGCGGAGTCTGCGGGCGAAATTTTGTCGAGGCAGCTTCGGTGCGGAGCCGCCCAACCTTCTCCGCAGAAAGACCGAGAAATCGTCCGAGTCGTCTCTGACCCCGAAACAGCGCAACTTCCTCAGATCAATCCTCTATGCCACGTCCTTACACCAGGCTATTCGCTCGGCGATCATGGATCTGCATTCAATGTAGAGCCCATTCATCCGTTGGCGCGCAAGCTCGTAAGGGCAAGACCAACCTCCCAGATGCACCTGCGCGCACGCGTTTTGCGCCCTCACCGACCGGTTACCTCCACCTTGGATCCTTGCGGACCGCTTTATTCAATTACCTGCTCGCGAAACGAACCGGTGGCCAATTTCTGCTACGGATTGAAGATACCGACCAGGTTCGTCTACAAGGGGTGGGCATGCATGGAGTGGTGAATGGCAACTGATTGGCGTAGAAACGAACAATTCCTGGAGCGGAACAAAGATTGTATGATGACTTACGGTGGGCAGGACTTCACTGGGATGAGGGTACAACCATATCATGCACCACCGCGTTGACCTGAACTAATGAGATAACAGGACCTGTTGTCGGTGGCCCATACGGACCTTATAGACAAGTAAGGCATTACCTTAGCGCACTATCACCGAGCCAGAGCTAATATTTATTTCACATAGTCTGAGCGAACCGCCTTGTACCGATCTCACGCCGACGATCTGATCTCTAATGGCCATGCCTACCGATGTTTCTGTTCCTCCGAAAGACTCGATTCCCATGCCCGCCACCGAAGCTCTGCAGGTTTACCTCCAGGCTACGATCGTAAATGCGCTGATATTTCCTCGGAAGAGTCGCACGATCGGGCCCATAAGGGCGAGGCACATGTCATTCGGTTGAAGGTCGAGGGATACCCCATGTTTAACGATCTGGTTTACGGCAAGACGGGTCAGAATAAGCCCAACAACAACAAAATGGATTTCATTGATCGCGTATATGATGATCCGATCTTGATCAAGTCGGATGGCCACCCAACATATCATTTGGCAAATGTGGTGGATGACCATTGCATGGAGATTACACATGTTATTCGGGGCACTGTAGGTTTCTATACTTACACTTATACATCAATGGTTTCTAACCCAGAGTCAGGAATGGATGCCCTCTACCCCTATGCATATGGCATTGTATAATGCATTCAAGTGGACTCCACCGCGTTTCGGCCATGTTCCTCTTCTAGTGGACAAGTCTGGACAGAAACTGAGCAAGCGAAACGCAGACATTGACCTCTCTTCATTCAAGGATCAGCAGGGTATCTTCGCAGCTACATTGGTCAACTTTGCTTCTCTTCTGGGCTGGTCTCATCTACAAAAGTCCGACATTTTCGACTTGAGCGAACTTGAGCAGATTGTAAGTTTTCTATTTACCTTCTTATACAAATGTCTGCTAACGTGATTTCAGTTCAATCTGAAAATCACCCGAGGCAATACAATTGTTGCTTTTGAGAAACTCTGGTTCCTTCAAAAAGCGCATGCCCAGCGGTTCGCAGCAACTGGAGGTCCCGATTTCGACGAGATGGTCAACAGAGTATGCAACGACGTCAAAGAAAGCCACTCTGAAGAAACCCTGTAAGCATGCCTTTGGTTTGAACCCATTTTCTATCAAAATCTAACAGACTCCAGTGCTCCCCTCCTCAAGGGTCGCACTCTTGCCGAGTATGTCGCTCCCCTGCTCTGCGCCGACGCCAAATCCTATACGACTGCGCCGGAATTCAAGGAGCGCAACTCGACATTCTTCACCACCAAGATCGATCGGGCTCCTTACGAACCAACATCAAGTTCTAAGGCCCCCTCACCACCTTCAGTTCCGATGCAAGCCCTGCATACCGCTGCTGCTGCTTTAACCCTCGTCCCACCCAGTCATTGGACGATTGAAACTCACCGTTTCAACGTCAACTCCTATGATGGCTCTGATGCTGTCATCCTCTCATCTGAGACAACCGGTTCAACGGATAAGATCTTCAAGAAGGAACTCTACCACTACCTTCGTTGGGCCTTGTCTGCCTCCGCGCCCGGTCCAGGTATCCCAGAGACGATGACTATCCTCGGAAGGGATGAGACTGTTCGCAGAATCCAGGATGCTAAGGCTTTGACACAAGATCTTGTTCCTTTTGTGGGTAGACGGGTACCCAAGGGTAAGCAGAGCATGGGTGATGATAGAAGCTGGATGGGTACTCTTGCTGGTGGGCAATAGAAAGCTCTTTGTATGAATTGATTTCTGTATTATATCATCTTTGCTGGCTAGGATGTACTTTTATTAGTATGTATAGATAAGTTGAAATTTATGTATCATCATCAATCCCAGTATCTTGGACAAAGCAAAACCGTCACTGTCGTCAGGGTTACACTTGGCTCGGGTCTTTTGAATACTGGTCGGGCTGTTCACTTCTGGTATCGAGTTTCTCGCCTGCTCGTACAGATTTTTGGAGATTCTACCATTGAGAAATCATCTGAAACACCTCAGTGGTATTTATTCTGTGTACAAAAACTTTCTTCTACTAGAAATATTTTGTATACTGTACATTCTATTCCAAGGGGATAGATCGCTAAAATGGTATGTAGGAAATATCTTCCATTTATGCATTTAAACAATTCGCTCTTTTTCCGGCATCCCATCTACTTCTCTTTTTCACTATGTTACAAAAGTGAGCACATCACAATATTCTAATGCCGTTTTTTATATTCCTCATATACCCCGATTAGGACGACTTGGTCGCCGCCTTCTTAACCTCGTCCTTGACCCAAGCCTCGAGTCCACCAGCCGCAATAATGGCCTGCACATTGGCGGGTAGCTCGCCGACCTGCTCAGTCCAGCTCTCTCCATTCTCTCCCTCGCGCACCTCAACGGAGCTACGCTTCACGTCCCAGGTCAGGGTCCAACCAGTCCGGCGGGTCGATTGGCGCTCAGAGTCAGCAAAGGTAGCACGTAGACGCTCAACAAGACGCGGGACTTCCAGCCCCATAAGCGCGTTGTTGATACTGTTTCGGGAGAAGATGTTGCCGAAGCTACCAGCCACGACAAGGGGAATCTTCTTAGCCAGGATGGCGGTGGCGGCCTGCTCTCGGGAGGAGCCACAGCCGAAGTTGAAACCGGAGACAAGGATGTCGTTGGGCTTGGCGATCTCTTTGAAGTTAGGGTCGTAGTTCATCATGCAGGCGAGCGCCATATCCTCCTTCGAGACGTTGTCTTGGTATGTCAACTTTCCAGGGTAGATGTTATCGGTGTCGAGATTGTCCATGTCGCAGAAGACGATCTCGCCGCTGATCTTCTCGGGGAAGCCAGGGAGAATCTCGGTGGCAGCCTTCTCTTCACCTCCGGCGGATGACTCGACACGGTCGATCAGGGATTCCATCTGCTGGATCATGTTGTCTAAGGCGCTCTCGGTAGAGGGTTCGGCACCAGTGCCGAATCCATGCTCCACGCCGGACCAGCCCTCGGGCACCTGGTAGGCACCGGGGCCAGAGATAAGACCACTGAGGGCACTGGCAGCCACGACTTCGGGACTGGCCAGGTATGCCTTGGCGTCGCGCGAGCCCATACGTCCCTTGAAGTTACGGTTGCTGGCACTGATTCCAACCTCGCCGGGCTCCAAGAGGCCCTTTCCTAGACCAATACACGGTCCGCAACCAGCAGGCAGTGGCTGCGCACCGGCGTCGAGCAGAGCCTGCCAGTCACCAGCAGCCTCGGCGGCTTCCTGTTCGGGGGCGGAAGCTGCAGCAATGTACAGTTGAACACCATCGGCAATCTTGGGGATCACATCATTGTTCTCCTTGGCGGCGTCCTTGAAGACTTTAGCGGCGGCTGCGATATCGGAAGCACGTGAGTTGGTACAAGAGACGATGTACGCGCGGTTCACCTTGATGTTCTGCTGGACGAGCTCATTCAATGGGGTGGCGACCTTGACTGAGTTGGGTCCTGAGACATAAGGCGAGAGGGTGGAAAGGTTGAGGTAGAGCTGCTTAGCGTATTGAGCATCGGGGTCAGCCTTGAGGGGGTTGGCGAACAGCTCGTCGACACGCTCATGGGTAATACGTTCGCGAGTTGTCCGGTCATCAAGCATAGCTGCCTCGGTAGCCTTGTATCGTAGCCAGCGTTCTAGGGTTCGGTCGATGGGGAACAGACCAGTGAGCGCGCCCCACTCGGTTGTCATATTGGCAATAGTCATTCGGCTATCCACCCGAAGGCTTGACATGGTTTCTTCGGAACCGGTGAACTCAATTGCATGGTTGAGGACGTCGCTGTTAAACAGTCCACACAGCGCGACAATCACGTCCTTACCGGTCACGCCCACTGGAAGGGTTCCGGTGAGTGTGACCCGCGCAACGGGCGGAATCTGCCACCATGTGCGCGAAGTGGCCCAGATACTAGCAGCATCTGTGCGCACAACAGCGGTACCAAGGCAACCAACACCACCGTAGTGGTTGCTGTGGCTATCAGAGGCAACAGCCATGGTTCCTGGCCACGCATATCCCTCTTCAACCATGACCTGGTGTCCAATACCTCGGCCCGCAGGGTAGAAGTCAATGCCATGCTGTGCCGCAAATGTCTCGATTTGCTTGTATTTCTTGAGGTTCGCTTCGCTGGTATTTTGGACATCGTGGTCAAGGGTCATGACGATCTGCTTGCGGTTGTGAACCTGTGTAGCTCCCATGGACATGAACTTGGTGGCAACGGGCCACGAGTTATCGTGAGTCATGCAGTACTGGGGTGCAAGGCTGATGTAGTCTCCGCTACGGACGAACTTTCCTTCAGGGAGACCGACTGCATAGCGCTGGACGATCTTCTCTGTCAAGGTCTGCGGTGTCCGCTTCTCGGTCTCGGTCTCAATCTCAGAGAAATTGATTGAGGGAGCGCCTTGTTGGGAGTTCAATGCTTCAGCTTGAGCGATGGCGGTTGTGCTAAGCGAGCGAGGAGCGAGGGGAGTCGCAATTGATCGCAATTGAGGCTGAATTCTTCTAGTCGGGAGGGCGACCGATGGAGTCAGAAGAGGCCGGCGCCAAACCTAGGAACGTCAGATCAAAAATAGTGATTTTCAGAATAATAGGTACTCACAGGCCGGCGCATCAGCGCACACAGATGCCTAGCCATGCTGATCAACTATATGAAAACAGATATGTAGGTGAGTCACTAAGGAAATTTCGCCTGCAGACCTGCCAAGAATCGGCGCCGGCACCGGGGCACTCAAATCATGTGACCTTCGATCCCCTTTCCCCAGCCAAAGCCTGTCTCGTGATTTCAAAGCACAATGGGGCACGTGATATTGTCGATCCACCAAAAATCCAGAACTTGTGGGGAACGGCTTCTCTGTTCCGATGCATTATAGGACTCATACGACTGATTATGCGCACGTTTAAATCGTTATGTAGAATCTGACCAGGCTTTGACGCTCCATTTTTCTCTTTAGCTTTCCTATATTTTATGTCATGATGTCACATCTAGGCATAGCGCGTGAAATACTCCATACGAGTGGATAAATCCACATGTACGTAATGATAACTATGCTCCAGTATAACCCCAGAATATCAAAGCCCCACATGTTGTATAGCAAGGATCATTGCTATGTGCTTGCCTGACACATTGGTAATTGGCAATCGATGAAGTGCCACTTCCCCGAGGCCCTAGTATCCTAGGTGTCTGAGAATTACATGTTTTGAATTCACAGGACTGTTATGCAGCCGCCAACTATACTTCGATAAAATCAAGTGGAGAGAATTCACGACATAGATGATAGATCGAAGATAACGGGCCATGTAAGGAGAGTGAACGAGGGCAATAGATATCAAGAAGAGAAGTTTTGGAATCCAGAAAAGAGAAGGAGGATTGTAATCGAAAATCACGCCTTCCTGATTTGGAGATATCGTGCCTTTGACAAACGAAACATCCCATGCAAACAAACCCAACGCTTTCAACGCAAAAGAACATGGCCTTTTGAATAAGCCGATTCCAATCACCTGGGCGATAAATCTTCTTTATTATTCCATATTCCGTGAACCATCACTGACTGACCAATGAGCTGATAGGTTGAACCAAACTCTGAGGATTTTCTACCTGTTGGCAGGCCAATTATGAGCTTAAAAAATGGATATGGCGAGGCACAAATACCGTGTGACAATGCCAAGCTTAGTGGCAACACCACCTTAACAAAAGTTTGAGTGGCCAACGCACATCAAAATTTTACTACGACGCATAAAAGAGTAGCTATCAAATGCAAGCAGAAAAGATGAATTGGTAATTGTTCTGAAGACCATCGTATTATTGACATATTAACTTTTTACTCGAAAAATCGCACCATCGCGTCAAAGCAACACTCGAGTGTAATGTCTTGTTTGATACAAGACTCGCTAATGAATACAAAGAAAAAACTCAAAATGCCTGTGCAACACTTTCACGCCCAAAGCAACTCATGGCCAGCAGCCTTGAATCTTGAAACCATATAGCCTGGCTTGCAATTTGACTCCCAATCTTCATCGAAGCCCGAGTCAGGGTTGTGAAGATTCTCAATAGGAAGCATGGAGACACCGCGAGGGACGTCAAGACCTGGTGAATCGGCATCACCGCGTTCGCCACAAGGGCACGTCGAGGTTGTCCTGGCTCCAGGTGTAGTGCAAGGGCAAGGGCCTAAGGAGCGGTTGCATGGGATGCACTTGTAGTATGCCCGACTGGAATCATTGGAGTCTTGGCTTGTGGATAAACGGACGCCGGGAAGACCGCACTGGTCGCACTTCCAGGTTTGTGTCATGATGAAAGAGGATTGACTAGAGAATAACGTATAAGTTACTGTTATAAGACTATAGGCATGGAGGACCGATACTCACATTGAACCGTGGTAGAATTGGAGTAAATGGAAGTTGAATGGAAAATTCCAGAAGTTGGACTTGTGGAATAAGGTCGTAAGAGTAATGTATAGTAGAGTACTCTGCAAATAGGCTGAATGATGATCGGTATTGAATTCTGGGGAACAACTCAATTTATAGAGATTTTGCGGGGGAGGCAGATCATCATGACGCTATTCCGACCCACTGGACTGCGCAATTATGGGCGGGGGGATCACCATGGAATGTTCGGTGCAATCACGTAAAAATTTGGAGTTCTAGACTGGATTTCATCTATAAACGGAAGGCACGGCTCAATCGGGTAAGTACAGTCCCGAGGCAAACCGAGTTTTTAGGTAATTTATCACGCAAACGGGTCAAGTGACCACGCACGTGTGGGATAATTACGTTTCATCTCGTGGATTGTGCAATTTCTCTTATTTAATCGTTGCTATTTCCAGACTTTTTCAGAAATTTGCGGGAAATGACTCGGTCCCATGATGCTGCTCCAATTTGCTGCGGGGGCCGAACATCCCCCGCATTTTGCGAGTCTCTGCCCAGGTACCCGTAGACTAGAACTATGTACGACTTCATATGTATATGCCTATGTCGAGGCTCCATGAAGTTATCCATGCCAGTGCCTTGATAGTGTTCTCCTTCCAATGTATCCTGAAACCCCATCAATTGCGATTACTCAGTGTCCATACAAATGAAAGAGGCGTCCTGACTGCGAAGATCAACACTTCCGCAAGGCCAGATTACCACCCTTGAAAATTTTTCCGCACGATGACCCAATTTGTGGATCTTAGACCTAGAACGTATATGCCTCATAGCATGATGCCTCGGACCGAGTGGCGAGATAGATGTGAGCCGTAGAAGGGAGTGGATACCATGGCCACTCACCTGATTTCGAGTTTTTTCTTGCCATGACTCATAATGCCACGGGTACTGTACGAGGTGAAAATTTGACGTACATAGGAGATTAAGAATTGGGTGAATTAGTGAAAAGGTATAGCAGTAGTATCATACAGAAAACGCGCTGTTATGCTCGAGAACAGCCTCCCCCAGATTTGTCCCGAAGCACGCTAGTCTAAAAATAGTTAGTGCCTTTGCCGTCCATGGGCTAGAGTGAAGCCCATTTAAGTTACCACAAATTAGTATTTTTCTTCTTTCCTAGAGCTATTTGTTCTAGCTTTTCATCTATTTTGATTCTACTTTCATGCAATTCTGCGAGCGATGTTGCAATGGACCCACTGGGTGACTCACTTCATATGTAGAGGTAGGTATATGCAAGGCCTCCCTTCGAGGATTACCTACTCTCAGTTCTCATAGGCATAAACGATGGTCAAATGCCCACCATCAGTATTGAACATTATAATAATGGATACTATCATTGAGTCATGGTGTCGTTGTAGCAGCCCAAAAATACAGGTGGCCTACTATACGACCTTCAGCTACTTTATGTTTTGACGGGTTAGGTCCAGAGGGGTAATCTCACACCTAGACAATATAGTAAGATCAAAACATAAAACGTCAACGCCACGCTACTCGTGCTTGCTTCATGCTATCAAGTGATCACTCTTCCTACTCAGATCTCGAATCACTGCCTCACTCAAATTCTCATCAAATGGAAGACACACCTGTCATGACCACTCCCAGCAGGGACTCAATTCTCACATTCCGCGAAGTCACCGAAGAAAACTGGCGTGAGGTAGCGAACCTGAGCCCTAAAGACGGCCAGATAGGCAATCTCGCTCCCAACGTTTGGTCTCTTTGTGAAGCCCACTACTCCGAAGACGCGTGGGTACGAGCCATCTACGCCGACGAGACACTTGTCGGCCTGCTCATGATGGCAATATGGGATCCTGAAGAGGCCTACTACATTTGGCGATTCATGATTGATGGCCGTTATCAGGGTCTCGGGTACGGTCGCCGTGGCGTAGAATTCGCGATTGCACATATACGACAGCATAACCCTCAAGCAAAGCAGTTGGGGGTGATGTCAACGCCACTGGAAGGAAAGATGAGTAGGAATCCGTCGAAGATTGTGAAGCCTGAAGATTCGCCATATCAATTTTACCAGAGACTTGGGTTTAGGCAGACTGCGCCACCAGATGAAGATGGAGAGATTATGATGTCAATAGATTTGTAAACACGAAAAGGCTACAACAGAAATTGTTTGTGTTTAGAGACTTTGAAGTGAAATTAAGCTTCAGTTAGAGTTTGGCAAATCATATCAGTGCATACGGGGAATTTGTTTCGAATATAGCAGTATGTATTGCGCTAAAGTCAAACAAATAAAAAAATAATAAGATAGAAAGAACGGCCCAGCAGAAATCCCGAGTCCCACAGGGCTCAGGAGGGAATAAGTGAACACTAAGCACCAAGCTAAAACCATAAGACAGAGAAAGTAAAGTAGAACGCCATGCCACACCAGAGATAGGAGATAACAGCATTAAAACCTGTCCAGAGTTGAAGAGAGACGTCATGTCTCAGAGACAATGAACAGAAGAAAAGACAAAGTGCCAACCCTCAAGGACCGCAAAAAGCAGCGACGAATTTGACAAGAAAAATTAACAGAAGAAAGGCAGAGCATGAAGAGTATTGACATGATCCATGTCAGAAGTTTGAACACGAAAGGAAAGAGAAACCAAGGCGAGGTCAGTGATTATTGAATGCGGTAAGACACCAGCCCGTAAGGAATCCGAGAAAGCTCAATCATAAGGGAATCGTCAACGTCCGTAGATCGTGAGCCATGAGCCGTACCAAGTCCAGTCATGGGGTCGTCTGTAACAAAGCGATTGCGTAACCACAAATATTGCCCGAAGTGCCAGTAAGAAAATCGCAGTTAAATGAAAGGCGCAAATCACAAATTTTGACAGGATTAGTAGGTTTCAAAGTCATCATTCCATTCGGTGTCACTACCCGCGACACGGAGGACCTGGCCTGGGTGAGGCCCATCTGGGCTCACGCTTCTGATTCCCTTGCTCTTCTTGCCCATGAGGTCCAAGCCATCGTCTGGAGCGAAGCGCTTGCCTTGCCCAGCGCGCAACTTGGAGTAGTAAATGTCACTGGAGTCAACATCAGATTCGGATCCGTCATCAAAGGTCTCCCAGTTTTCGGAACCGGAGGTGGCGGTATTGACAGTGGATGAGTTGGAGGTTTGGCGAAGTGCAGGGGGAGGAGGTGCCTGCGACAGATACGGATTCATGCGTGGATACCCTTGTTGGGAAGAGCTCAAAGACAGCGATGACAACGAAGAGCTAGATGAATGTGAGAAGCCGGTTGACCGCTGAGAGTTTGACATGACAGATGCGCTCATGAAAGACCGCTGACGGTCATCGTACACGTCCTCTGGGCTGACTGGCCGGACAAAGGCGTTGGACATGGCACTGTTGCAGCGCGGGGGCTCCAAAATATGACTATGGCGCTCTTTCGACTCCACGGTCAAGGCACGCATGCGGGGCGGCGCATTACGGGGTGGAAGCATCTTGCTATTGAGAGTACTGGATGAATAGGTACCAGGCCCCGTGCGACGTTCAGGGGAATTGTTTCCGTGGGGCATATTGCTCAGAGGAGCCCGCGCAGGAAGCTTAGAGGGGGATGTGGCTCCTGACCTGGATCCACCGTATCCGATTGTGTTATGCTTCACGGGACGACTTCCATTGGGGGTCTTGGTAGCGGAGCGAGGGGGAGGGGGTCCACGCATCGAGCTTCCAGGCCGCGACGGCGGCTGCTGTCGGATAGGATTGGATTTAATGGTAGAAGGGGGAGCTGAGGGTGTCTTGGAGCGAGGCGGGGGTCTTGTGGCAGCGCGCGTCAAGTTATCAAGATAACGCTCGCCGTGGACCAGGAAAGGCCGGCCGAACTCATCCTCCCAATGCTCAAGCTCTTTGCGAAGGTCTGCCTCAAGCTTAGGCAAGTCCTTTGAAATACGCTTTCGCATCTTCTCCTCTCTGAGAAGCTTGCCAGGGTCACGTTTCTCGCCCTTGTTTCCACGGGCCATTAGACGAGAAGCATCTTGGCTGGATGTCGACAAAGCTTCACGGTCTGCCAGCAGGCCACGGTGCTTTTCGATCATTTCTAGAACAGGGGCGCGTTGTTCTTTGAGAGCTTCCAGGCGTTGGATCTCCCCTTCATGGGCTTCCAAAAGAGCATCGCTGAACACATCAGAGAAAGCAGGGGTGAAATCAAGCATCTCCTCTTCGGAGAAAAAGAGACTATCCCAGAGCTCCTGCAATCGGACACGAGCGTCCTCGACGAACAGGTGCATATTTTGTCTCTTCAGTTCGTTGAGGCGATTCAACTCTTCCTCAAATTCGTTTATAGTGCGCATACCACAGCCACGATTAGCGGCCAAGAATGCCTTGCGGTCTGATTCCTCAACGCCAAAGCGCTCCCAAAGGCCCTCAACGGCTGCTCGGAGCTCCTTAATCTTGCGCTCACGACCCTTCTTCTCGTCCATCAGCTTATCACGTCTAGCCTTCAGGTTGGCAAGGTCGCTTTCGTGCAGGCCAAGTTGCTCGGGAGAATCGCGGTAGTGCTTGACGATGTTGGAATCGGTCTGGACCTGGGGGGTTCCAAGCTCGGCCCACATCTTAATGATCTCCTCAGAAGTAGTCTGAACGAAGGAAACACGACGATGATATTCTTCGTAGACGCGACTAAACTCGGAGTCCAGCGATGTGACATAATCGGGTGAAAGATCGAAGCTTGGGGGAATCGTCGAGCCTGGTGCAGTGGGAGGCAATTCGATGATAAGGAATGAGGCCTCTAGGTGGGATGAGTAGGATTCGAGCGCATCAACAAGTTCTATCAAGAGTCAGCATAAATACTCAGCATCACAATTCACTTGAACATACTCTTGACCTGCTCGAAACGTTCACGATGCAGCTTGGTCATTCCCTCGCACTTTTCGCGCAGGAAT